GGGGCTGGTGATATGACTGGGCCATGATGGATCAGCCCGTTGTGCTCCAGGTCTCCATGAAAGTCAGCGAGTCACCGGGACATGCATTGGACTACAGAAAGAGAAAGCCAAAAGTAGAAAAGGAAAAAAAAAAATTGAAAAGGAAGAATAGAATAGAAGCTTGGAAAGAGCAGAGTATGTTAGTAGGGGTGGGGTGAAGTTTAGACCCAAACTATTGGAGCCAGGTGCGGAGATTAAAGCCCTTGAATTGTATTTTTGGTAGGCCCAACCACCGGTGCAGCGATCAAGATCGACCCCCCAAATACGAGACGATGAGACTATGAGACTATGAAACTATGAAACTATGAGACTATGAGACTACGAATCTCTAGGCAAGATGTAAGAGCCACAGGCTCCGGAAGGTGGAGATTTCAACCGGGGCCAGGGGCTAATGATCTGGGAAATCCACAAGGTAGTATCACCGATCCCCTGATGTAGCACTCCTGCACTCAATCAATTGGCCCCTTTCCCCACCGATCGACTTGTATATTTTTATCTCTTGATCTCCAGCCTCGGGTCTCGGTGGATTTGAAAAGGGAAGTTCTGCGTTGACGATCCCCCAAGCGTGAAATCATACTTCCACTCTCCTGCTCGAACACTCAGACATGATCATCACGGTACGAGTCTTGCCCTAACTATGACCGAGCCGCACTCCATACTCTATAGCGGTACGGATAGGTTCGTGGGACCCATCTGCTTCACTTTATGGGTCCTTAGGAACCTCAGGAAGTCCCGGAAGCCGACCGAAAGGGAATATTGCGGCGACTGCCCGGCCGAAAGAGACTACCTGGTATGATATTCAGACATCGGATGGCGTGAACCCGAAGCTCTACACAAAAAGTCCGGGAGGGTCAAACGGAGCCCTCCGGTAGCCTGTCGGCAAATCTGAAACCTCCAGAAGGGCCGGCGCCTCTGGGAAATGCCGAAAACGCTCTGTTCGTGACGGGGATCGGGTCTTAGAGTGGGCCCCGGGTGACTAAGAGTCAATCAAGTAGCTCACGTAGCTCAAGTAGCCTACTCATGAATCATGATCATTGACTCGGGAAGGTGTGGGCTCTTTGAGACATTCTGTATTGTATTGTAAATGAAACAAGGCCCGGGGCGGATGGCTGCAGTACTTCAGCCTCTCCCAGCTGGACTTGGGAAAAGAATTTTACCCGTCCAGGTACCTGATCGACGGAAGTTTGACAGGTGCAAATAAAAGGTGGAGAAGATCGAAATACGCTAGAGATGCCAGCTGTGGGATCGACTCCGTCAGTCCCAATCACTTGACGGAGCTACGTATCCCGTCTTGGCCACGATCCAGACAATGGTCGATCTTTCGGCGGATCGCCCTCCTATTCGTAGGCTGCAAGCCCTGAATCACGTATCCGTATCCCATAGATGGCCTATGCGCACAGACCTTCGAATGGACTCGCCATGTGGGTGAAAGGCGAACCGGCTCAAACGCTAAAGGACGTGCTCCTTGACAGACAGTGGGCCGTGGTTCCACACCTACCATGCCGTTCATGTGGCTCCCTCTAATCCCAGTCTCTGTCCGGACTAGCCCTGCACTGGTCTGCACTGGTCTGCTTCTGCTGGATGTCTATTCCCGGCCTAGCTTTGCATCAGTCCGCACTGGGCCTTCCTGGGAAACATCTCCGTCCCAGATCTCATCCCACCACCCCCTGGCCATAGCTGATCCAGGGCTTGGGGTTCGGCTCCACATGTGCAGCTATCCCTAGCGCGTTCTGAGCGGCAAACTTAGCCTCATGATCAATTACCCAGGAGGCAAATCATAACTCTGCTGCGCTTTCCGTACTTTGGCTCGCAAGCTTCCCCTGATTCGGCAATGCTTTGAATTCCCACAAAGATATAGTGCTTCACTTAGACCCGCTGAGAGCTATAGAGGTCCCAGCCTTTCCAAGTCTCGGCACTTTTTGGCCGTTTATGGGATAGCTAAAACTGGAGAACGTTGGATTACGATATGGGGGACTCGGCCTCGGCCTCGGCAGCTGGATATGGTCTGATTTGATTTTTTGAGTAAAAAAGTCCGAGTTCTTCTCGCCCATTAGACTGGAATCAGGAAATAGTGATTGTCTGACAGATTTCGGGACTAGCATGACGTCTTCAGCTCGAGGAATCTAGTTGGTGAATTCAAAACTTCGCCATGTGTGGAAATAATGGGGGCCTGTTGGCCTCAGCGAGTGGCGGCTATCCATTCTGTGTATTAGTCCACTAATGCCCCTGTAATATGCAATTAAACCCTGCAAGTAGATTTCCTTGCAACAACGTGGAATCGAACCAGGTTGATCTCCGGGACATGACTCGTTAGTGCACCTTAGTAATTTTTAGAAAGTCTTCCAAAGATTTCGAGCTATGTCATCTATCTGCGTAGCGTAACATCCACATCTGAGCCTTCCGGGAGAACCACGGGATCACGTAGACAGCCACGAGCTAGAAGCTCACAGAAGTAAAGCCTACGTACTTGGGGGAAAGTCTACACCGACACAAGCCAACAGAAAAAGCCACTAGCTAGAGATCTGCCGATCAAGTACTACCGTCGGATACGACTGCCTCTATTAATCCAGCATAGAGTTGGCGCCGGTCGTTCGGGATGTGGCACTCAGGATGCCAGCGTATGGAGCCATGTTAGAATCCCAGAAGGGGCGCCGGGACCATGTGCTTTTCCCCCGGTGGGGTCTCAGACCTGGGATCTGTCAATGTCTCACAGTTGGCGCCGGCCCAACGGCGGTTCCAGGGGTGAAGTCTGTTGATCCTGGTTGGGCGGGCCGGCTAATTTTCTGGGACTACTATAGGACTTGGGACAAGGATCTGCCAGTGTTACACTGCTTGCTTCTAGGGGGCAAAGGCAGAGTGCGTGGCTCCGGGTGATTTGCCTCGGGCATTTGGAGATTAAACTACGGACATGTGACGAGAGTGGATGCAATTTCATATCCCTGTACGCCTCCAGCGATCCTAGTGAACCTTTACCTGCGCCACCTGTGCAATGGTGGAGATTATTTCCTCTGGATTGGCGGTGTCCGCGGCACCGGTAGCCGTTTTGATCTCTAACTTTCTCTGTAGATTGAGGCTTATGCAGTCTTGAGATTACTTCCTTTGCCAGTCCGGTTCTGGGCCTTGTCACCTACATGAACTCAACTACCTCATTGCCGTTCTGGCTCATTTCCACGTCTGCCATGGCTTTCCTCTTGGCTACCGTTCTTGGCTGCGCAAGTCTTGCTCCGGCATTGCCCGGATGCACTTGAATTTGATCATCCCTATCTAGTATGACCCAAGCTCCGAAACAAGCATTGCAAAGCACTTGGAGTACAGACAGTGCGAGAGACTCTGGAGATGTGCGAAAATGGTCTTTCTTGCTTCATACATGATATATAGTCATTAAATCGTCAACAGTCGATGCTAGGGTTCCCAATGGCCTCCAGTGTCTCCATGGATGTGAAGATGTGAAGCTCGATCATTGCTTCTTCGCAGCCAGCTCCTTAAGCACCATATCCACTCCCGCAAGCACGGTGCCCCATTCCGTTTCATGCACCCGCTTCTCAAACATCTCCAAGTCCTCATCCCGTCCCTTTTGGAAAGGAATCTCCTGCACCAGAATGGGTTTACCCATATCCACCTCCGAAATCACGTCATGAATCATAACACCCGTCTTATCAATTTTGCCCTCCATCCACGCAGCATGAGCCCGCTCGATCGCAGCCTAAAAAAAACTTACATCAGTTCTTACCCCACACAGAACTAATGGTCTCAAAACTCACCACACCGTTAAACGCCCCCGGCAACGCCGGATGCAAGTTGATAATGCGAACACCAGCCGCCTGCAACGGCTCCAGGAACCGTGGAGATAGCACATGCATGAATCCAAGGCAAGCAACGAGCTCGGGCTCGTCGACCAGAATTAGTCGCGCAAGCTCGGCATCGTACTCCTCGCGCGCGGCCTGGACGCCCTCTGGCGTGGCAGGGTGCTGCTTCTTGTATTTGACAAGGTTGTGGTATTGAGTGGGGATGTTGGCTTTGCGGGCGCGCTCGAGACCGTAGGCGTCTTTGCGATTTGAGAGCACGCGCACGATGTTGGCGTTCAGTTGCTGCGCGGCTATTTTGTCGATTACGGCTTGGAGGTTGGATCCGTTGCCTGAGATCAGGACTGTTATGCGAATTGGAGTGGACATTCTCGGTGCTTGCGATAATCTTCGAGTGGGTTCGTGGGGTTTCGAGGGATTTCTCGGTGCTCAGTGGTCGTTCGGTCGTAGAGTTTCTTATGAGGTCTCGAGCGGTTGCTTCGTAAGTTGAGATTTCTATTGGCCAAAGCGGATGCAGTGCTTCGGAACAGATCAATTGAGTAATTCAATAAGAGACTGGACTTTCAGAAGCACACCTGTACAAGCCAAAGAGCAGAAAGTAAAGCTGAAATGCGAAGCTTCATGCCGCACCGGGGCAGATTTTCCTGCACGTGACTACGATCGAGGGGTCGGCGGGGCAGGGCATAGTGTCCGATATAGGACGTTACTTACTTCCAAGATCGTGAACTTTTTGTAAAAAGTGTAGAACTGAGTGGAAATAACTACAAATAAATATCTTTTCTCACGCAAACTGGGCTAATTGCGCAAAGGCCGTCCAAATTTCCCAAGAAAGAATCGATAGGTATGATCAACGGCGTGCACTGACAATGAACCAACAAGAGACCAACATTGATACAAAGGAATAAAACCAATGGACAGCCAACCGAGAATAGACGTAGAAAATGTCACAAGAATCACGCCGCTTCTAAACTGGTGAACGTTGATGGAAGATGAACTTAACAGATAAGGCGCCCAAGACACGACGCAGTACGAACAGAATGCAAAAGGGATATCCATGAAAAAGGTCGTTAGGCTCTAAGCAGACGCTGGATGCTATAAATTGACGAGGAGAGGAGTGGCCCATAAGGTAAAGCATCCGCATGATTTGACGGCAGTATGCTAAAAATCAGTGGGTTCAGCAGCTGGGGTAGGGACAGCGGCAGGAGCAGCTTCAGATGTTGGAGCGCTATTATCGTTAGAGGTTTCAACGACGCCTTGACCACGACAGAGTGGGCAGGAGTTGCGGCCAGTCGTAAGCCACTGGTCAATGCAGTCCTTGTGGAAGACATGTTTGCACTTGTTCAATTCTCGGACTTCCTCGCCGACTTCATAGTCACTCAAGCAGATGAGACAACGCTCTCCGTCCGACATCTGAATTGAGCCGGTGCCATCCACAAATTCGGCAACCAAGGACCCCGCATTTTCGACAAGACGGAACAATCCGCCTGCGGAATTGATATCGTCCTGTGAGGCGACAGGGGGCTTAGCCGGTCCTAACAGGGACGATAGCAGAATCATATCCTCATACGTGGGGTTCTAGAGACAGTAGTTAGTAACTAGTCCTCAAGCAAGTAAAAGAAGGGGTACTTACATCAGTGAAGAGGCTCGGTGTTGTAAGAGCAGGGTGGTTCTCTGATAGATTGGTCCCCACGACGTAGATCAACCAGCTTCGACCACCACTGGGAGAAGGTTGATCAGGTTCAACCATGCCATTGCGGCGCACTGATCCTGATCCAAGAGCACGATGACGGGCGTACTCGGAATCGCTTCGTCGGCGTTGCCGAGCGGCGCTAGGTGCGACCGGCTCCTCTGTGGGTTCCGCTGTCGATTGCAACGGATATCCCTCATGCAAATGCGGTAGAATACTCGGCGACATGGCTGACGCAGAGGAAGGCCTACGGCTTGGAGTCGAAGTGCCAGAGGATACAGCAGATACGCCGTGCTCGGCGGGTGTTGAGGGAGGAGGGTGGGGACCAGGTGGGCTTTCAGATAAGGCAGAAGGGGGGAATGATGGGTATCCTGGACGAAGTCCGGCGTCAGATAGTCTGCGAGAGGGGTTTAATCCTGGTTGTCGCAAAAGCTCTGGAACACTAGGTGCACGGAATGTAGGCACTGCAGGACGCGGAGGATTCATTCCTCCAATTCCATCTGGTCGCTGTGCCAGATCCCCTGTCACACCTGCAGGTCGCGGAATAGCATTGGGCGGGAGGAATGGTAGTCCAAGAAGAGCATCCAGGCCTGGACCCCCAGCGCCTTGCGCTCCCTGTTCTCCATTACCTCCATTACCTCCGTTGCTCGATGGAACGGACCGTACACCGACAACTACCAATGTAACTGTTCGACCCTCGCCGCCCTCTGGAGGATCATCAAGAGACATTCCGTTTGACGGGGCGCCTTGGGTATCAGGCCCATTCGAGTTCTCACTGGTGGCATTGGTGTTGGAAGAATTGGCAGGATTTTCAAGATTGGGGCCCAGCGGAGACTCCGAATTGGCAAAACGGAAGACTCTCAGAAAGTTCACCGGTGGTGATGGTCCTTCGGGTCCCGGGTTACTCGATCCTTCTCCAGGCGCTGTCGGTTGGGATTGGGCATTTGTGGCATGCTGTAAACTCTGGATGAAGTTCTCAAGAGAGCCTTCCAGGCCGTCGTTTCCAAGGGCTTGTATATTTGGCAGAGCAGGGCCAGTGGTGCCAGAAAGCTGAGCCGCGATGGCAGCTGCAGCGAGTTGAAGAACCCGAGAAAGAGGTGTTTGTTCTTCTCGGCGTAAGGCTCGCGCAGATCGGGCTCTTATTAAGCCAGGAAGCCTGCGCATCCCCAATACGCCAGGGTTTGGCTGATTGGAAGATAGCGGCTCACCATTTGAAACTCCAGGTTCTACCGAATCCAATTCAGGCAGGGGTTCACCAAAGTCCAGGCGAGTATCCATGGGACTTGGTAAAATATCGTCGAAAGACTGTCTCACTGGTTGGTACGATGGACTCTCATGTGATGAGGCCATATCAGATTGCGACTGGCCGAACATGTTAGAGATAGGTGCGGGAAGAGAGTGGCGCATGCGGTGCAGGCGAGCACTTCGACGCCAAGATGACCTGGCGGGCTCTGGTAGCCGTTGAGCGGTAGCCTCAACAATAGAGTCGGTTGCAGCATCTGAAAGAACGGTGGAATCCGCGCGCTCTGCGCGAGGAGGAATGAAGTAAGGTGTTCGAGAGGTACGTCTGCGGGTGATTCCCCTGGATCCAAGTGCTTGGAAAGGGCTAAAACGGCTGGTACTATGAGCCGTCTCAGACCTGACAGGTGTTCTTGGAACCTGTCCATGGCGGTGTGCGTGGCCCTCTGCGGGTGTCTCCTCTGTGCTACTAAGAAGACCTCGGATCACCGAATTGGGGAGAATTCTGGATCCTAATCTCGACATGGTGGATTGTCGCCTTGCCATACGGGCCATAGCGGCCGAGCGTAACTCTCGATCTGGAAGCTCATATTCAGCGTCATGCTCTTCTTCTATGCTCCGCATCTGATTCGAATAATCCCCGGAAAATCGTGCGGGTTGCTGCCAATCCTCTAATTGTTCATGCGATTGATCCAATGCCATATCTTGGTCGTTGTGATGGTGTATTTCCGCTCCGGATGAGGAACCGGCTCCTCCGTTCTGCTCAGTCGCCTGTTCGTTGTTCATGTCTTCATTCCTCATATCAGGGTTGCGCTCTGCTGAGAAAGAAGTGTGGTAATCTGGGTAACCAGTGTCGGGTGGATCTCGCGCTGTAGAAGCAGACTGTCCCATAGTAGCCGATTAAAGTGGTGAAATCGGGCAGGGGATATTATACGTCCACTGCCATATGAATGCCCAAAACAGCTGGTAGCGACCGTATCCACACTGTCTCTACCCGATCCTGATTGAACCGACTAAAATGATCAAGCGGACGATGTCTGAACGATGAATATGATATATCGACCGGATATGCAATGTGCGTCGTTATCGGCGGGCGGAATGTGAAATGACAATGGTTTCCGGCTATGTTGGGAAGCTGTAGTGTCTCATTCGGGACAAAGGAGGCGTTGAGGCGGCGATGAGCAATAACGGACAACTATGTGAAACGCATAGGTTGTTCGACACGAAATATAGCGACGGATCAGGGTAATGCCGAACGGTTTGACAAGCGCCTAGGAGTAGCCCGCACTCGAGGTACTTAAAGTGCCTATTAATACCCGCCGAGCCGGGGCGATTGGGAAATCCGCGGATGGGGCCCGGTGGATGGTGGAAGGCAGACTCCCCAAGATGATCAGCAGCTAAGAGGGGAAACGAAAGACGAAGTGAAGAGGAGGAAAAGGAGGTAAGGAGGAGAAGTTAATCCACAGAATGAAGAGGGCGATATCGATAAGTGAATGTTTGTCTCCTTTGCCTTCGGGAAACTCGGCCTGAGGTTCGGAAGGTTCTTAGTCAACCAAAAGTGGATTTCTAAGAATCTCTCCGTCATTTACTTCGCGAATCTTCCCTGAACTCCATGGCCTTTGCGCCTTGATTTCCATGGGCATATGGCTCCCCGCCTGGCCGCATCCAATTTTGCCTTGCCACTGCCGACATGGGCGCAGCCGGCCAGTATTCGCTCCGAACACTATGATCGAAAGCGAAAGAAGAGCGACGATTGGACCGATGAAACAGAAGGAGACACGACAGATGCTGCCTCGGTGGCAGACTCTGCAGCTCCCGATTCGCCTCTGACCCTGACACCCAACGAGTCCCATCAATATCGAATCGCCGGTCTCTCCTCCAACCAGGAATTGCCGAGCGGTAATTTTCCGCATGCACCTGGGTACGACAAGGACTATGTCTTCATTAGAAGGAATTTGCCAGGTCAACTTCTCGGGAGTTTACCTTATTTGGATGTCCCTCTCTATCCCCCTCAGTCCGCGGCACTCCAAGGCAACATTCGCCTGCAGCATTTGTCGGCATTAACTGCCATTCTACATCGGTCTTTGCTTCATGGGGACTATACTCGAGCTGGAAGAGCGTGGGGGCTATTATTGCGAGATGGGATTCGAGGAATGCCCTTGGATATACGCGCCCAAGGCAGGTGGGGAATCGGTGCTGAGATTTTGCTGCGCCGAGGCCAGTCAGAATCTTTAGAGAATGCTGATAACCGCACGCCCAATAGCCTTGGTGACCACGATTCTGCTTCGCCATTCACCAAAAAAGGATTTGCGGAGGCAAAAGAGTATTATGAAAGGCTCATTCTGAATCACCCTTTCTCGAAACCTCATCCAAACTCTATCTCTGCTTTGCATTTCTATCCCGCCATGTTTGGTCTATGGATTTATGTCACGCAGGAAGAGAGCAAAATGGCAAGGAAAAACGTGCTTGAGCGTGACCTGTCCGTCGAAGAGCCTTCGGACGGGGAAGACTCCGAAAATGATATGGAACGCCGAGAGGCCGCCAAAAGATACACCATTACTGCAGCCGTCAGAGCGAAAGAACTAGAGCAAGCGCAACTAATTGCCACACGCATGGATACGCTTCTCGGGTCCCCTCCGTACGCCGACTCTCCACAATTACTAGAACTTCGAGGCATGGTGTCTCTTTGGATTGGTGATTTGATTGTCACGTCCTTGCCAAGGCTTATCGAGGACTCGGTTGATAATACCGATAAAATGACCAACAACAGCGCGCCTGGCTCTCTGGAGGCAAGGCGTGCGCAAAGGCTTGCGATGGAACAGAAGCAATCAGAAGTAGACAAGGCGAAGGAGTTTTTGGAGAAAGCGAAAGACCGAGGAAGGTATGTTGCAATCAATCTGGAGCATTTCCATATTCACGAATCCTCTTCTCCTTCTCCTTCTCCTTCTCCGCCACCGTCACCCATTGACTTGGTGGATGCTTCTTCGCCCACTCACTTGTCGGATGACTTCTCGTCGGACGGACCGCCAAATGCTCCATCTGTTGACTCGAGGAGTGGTACTTCGCCCGGTGACTTGATGGATGATGGAGAATAATGCAATATGATACCCTTAGTCTTCGTTTATAGATTACTTCAATATGCACTTTGAACACACTTCTATTTCAATGTCCCTTAAGTAAATCTCTGTATGCAACAAGAGACTTTCTGCACTTTATCTTCTCTGAATTTTCCTCACTTGTAGTTATAGCAAATTTTGCAATATGTCGAGTAAAGCTCAACTTTGGCAAGAATGGATATGCACGTGATCACGCGGTGGTCTCGCGTCGGAGTCTGTCAAACATTCGGGTTTCTCACCTTCTCACCAACTTTATGAGAAGCAATTGTACACAGTTCGATCTCACGGTTAGATACATACCCAGTGGGACTCACTGAAATTGTTCAATCAATTATGGGGGTGGGTGACTATGTTCACTCTAGGGAGGTCGGGCAGCCTCGTGCACCCGCCGACCTAGGCCCGTCGCAGCGCCATCTCCGGGCGGAACAAGTCAAAGTTGAGATGCCTATGGGTCACCTGAGGGATGCCAGTGGGAATGGTAGAGCTGCATCCCCGAGATTTCAACCTCCCGTGGTGCTTCCACGCCAGTCTCGCTCGCCTCCTGGAAATGGAGTGCAGCGGGATATGTTTGACACCGATGTCGAGGGACTCGATGATTCAACTATCGCAGGTACCAGTGTTTTCGGCTTTGATGACGGACAATTGCATTCAACATTCCATGCAAATGGTGATGAGAATACTTCACCACGGCCATCTTATCTCCCTCGGCCTAGTCGACACTCCCGATCATCCTGGTACGGAGGTGGTCTAGGTGACAAGGCTATGAAGAAAGCTGGCTTTAATTCCTCCGACTACGAAGAAACGGAAAGTCAATTGACTTCGTCTGTTGGAGATGACGGAGATGATGAAAAGACCGAAATAGCCGAAAAGGTTGAAGAGCCAAGCAGCTGGCAGGCATCTCACAAGTACCGTTCCACAGGAGAGCCGCTGAGCAAGCGCCTGGAGAACTTTTGGTCCGCGAGTAAAAAAGCACCCTCGGAGTCCATGGATCAAGCACCAGCAGACCCCCAACCACCGGCTCCTATGAACCCTTCGCCCGAATCGCAACCGCGCAAGCTGGGCCATATGCTTCCCCCGCTGCTGCAAGGAAGATCAAAATTCCCCATAGCATGTCCGTAACTCCAAGGACTCGCTTCAGTCCACCTAAGCCTTCTCTCCTGGACCGGCTGGATATATCACCAACCCGACATGGCTCCGAGCCGCCGCCTCAACTAATGCGGACCCTCAATATGCCCACTTTTCAACCGTCAGAGCATGGCGATGACGATGGAAGCGATGCTGCCGGTATTGATGAAACTATTCGCGTCAGCCAATTCAGCAGCAGACAAGCAAGCGAACATTCGGGTAATGCTTTCGACATTACCAGCCTAACCGACTTGTCGCGTGACGACAACGATGAATTGATGCAAGATCCATTCTTCGCACGCTCCGCCACCAAACGGGGCAGACGCAACACAGTCATCCGTACGATGAAACGAGAACTGGAAGCAGACTATCCCCCGGAGCTACTGTACCAGAAATCCTTTGCCGATCTTCAAGCCGAGCCCTTCGAAAAAATACCATCCCCTCCCCCAACAGCCAGATCACCTTCGTTGCCACCAGGGCCGCCTCTTGTGCCGAATTTTCACTCTCCCAATGATGCCGTATCCGAGCTTCTACGGTCTGCAGAAGAAAACCGCCCGGCGTACCTTTCACGCATGTCTGTCGATGAGTGGGAAGACTGTGGAGACCAGCTAATCGACCGATTCAGCCACCTCCTCACGGAGATGAAGAATTTGCGTCGGGCTCGCCGTCAAACAGCTGCAATTTTTGAAGCCGAGATGCGGCGTCGTCACGAAGAGGTCGAGGTACAAGATGCAGAGTTATCGACGAAGCTGAACGAAATGCGGACTGGTGGTGTCGAGGTCCTCCGAGGTCGATCGAATGGATGATGACAATTCCCTCTTCTTACCTCTACGCCACCACTTTCCGTGTATCATTTGAGATGCATAGCTTATGAACCTCGCGGCATATTCACACCACTTCTATGCTACACTTACTTTGGATTGAAACTTCCATACTTTATTCATGCTCAATACCCCTATCTGCCCTGTCTTATCCTACCTACTGCGGAAAATCGGATACCAAGAATGTTTTCAACTTCATGAAAGATGCAGTCTACCAATATGTATAATATGCACAAGCGCACAGCCTATATGACCATGCCATGCCATCTAAGTCCTAACCCAAAGTTTGAGATACACCAACAAATGCTTAAGACGCCAAGAATAGTCCACAATGCAACAACATCTCCCTGAAATGGATAACACAATTGCGATGTAATGATTCATGCAAAATTCAACGAGGCCCTGGACCAGACTGGTAGAGCGCAGCTGCAAGCCGTTTATAATCTTGTAGTAAAATAGCTATATCTCCAACGCGGAGATCAGTTGCATCCTTCGTTTCCAGGAACCGTTGAATTGGAGGTCCGATCTTCGAAGAACCAGGAGAGCGACTTCCCGCTCCACCAACTTCACCAGCTGAAGGAGGCGATGTCTTGAGGCGGTCCATTGCTGCAGGAGACACCGATCTGGCGTTTGGAATTTCTGGTGTATTGCGGCCAAAATTCTTGATCATGCCAGGGATGTGGTTGAGAGGGTTGAGCGTGTTTCCGAAGCTACGCATAGACTCTAGCGGGTTGGGAGTTGTGACTGAAGCCGGCGATTGGGCAAGTTCGTCCCGTAGTGAAGTAGCGACTGACATTTTGCTGCTGCCCTGTGTCCTCGCACTGTCGGTGCTTCGGTCACGAGGTGTTGGGCCTCCACTCACGAGGGTAGATCTGGAGCTGCTGCGGCCTTGTGCAGCCTCCTCAGCAGAGATCGCATTTATGGAGGCCATTTCTTCTGGGGTGAGATTCTGGTTGTTGGCTGGCGGGTTTGATACTAGACGGCGAGCCTCAGCCAACGTCTTGGGTAACAAGGTTCCATCTCCTTGTGCGTTAGGCCCTTGTGTGGTCTGCAGTTCCTTGAGGCGACCAAATAGGAAGTTAAAACTGTTATCAAGCGACGCGCCGATATTCTTCAAGCTTTGATCCGCAGTACTGCGGACTGCATCATTGGCAGCTTCGAAGACCTTTGCCGGGGGTTGGAATAGGTTACTCAAGCGTCTTTGTTGCGGTGCTGGGGAGGGACGAGGACGAGGTAATGTGGAAGCAGCTGGTTCCTTGACCTCGGGCTGTGAGATTTCAGGTTCTGCAGACACAGTCGTAACTGCTGCAGTCGTGGTATCTTTGGTTGGTCGGAAAGGGTCGACTCGCTCGGAAGACGGCGTAGCAGCCTCACTTGGGGTTTTGATAGGGCCTTCTTGAAGCTCATCTGCTCGTAAGCTGGATAGCTCAACATTCTCCAAAAAGCTGATAGCAGCCTCAAGATTAGTCAAACAATAGGCTGTCTCGCCGTCGATTTTGTTCGATGATCTGAACCGTTGGATGAAAGTAAGGTTGCTGACGATGTTGATACCCTCGGGAGGGCAAGTAACAAGAGAATAAATCAAGGTGGGTAAAATCTCGTCCGCGGAAGATGAAGAAGGGAGCAGTTTGGTAAGAGCATCAACAATAGCTTTGTGAGCAGCTGCTAACTGTTGAAGCTTGCCGAGAGGGTATTTCTGGTCGTTCATCTTTTCCAGATACTCCCGTGCCTGAGCAAGGCAATTGTTGGCCTCCTGTTGCTTCTCCTCGGAGATTCTTGATATATCCAAGTCAATGCCCAGGTCTTTCAGATCGATTCCCACAAGTAGCAAAGCTGCGGTTTTGGAACGCAGCTTTTCGTCTCGAACTTCATCCAATGTACTTTTGTGTCTCCAGATTTTGTCATAAACCTGCTCACAAACTCTCCGCTCTGCAGCTTCTTCCATTGCCGCTCGCTTATATTCAAGAGCCTTGCGAGCCTTGCGTCTCTCCTCTACCTCCTCCGGGGTCAGCATCTGTCGACCAAACCCACTCGGCCGGACATCATCCTGAGAGCGCTTGCTCGTCAGTCTTGATAGACCACTTCCCCTCACCCTCGGAGGCGCCTGGGGCGTTGCTTCACGGTTGATACGAGATGCAAGTGCGGATATATGGGTGGCAATATGAGATTCGGCGCGGTCGTAGAAGACTTGGAAGAGGGAGGAAATTTTATCAATCGTAGGAGGTGAGTTATGAACCTTGGCACTCAAGGAGTTGACGAACCTGTTGGCAGTCGCAGTGTTAGGTGAGGATTTTTATTCATGGCTGATTTAGTTGCTACTTACCGATCTGTCAAGCTCACCAGCTCGATAGGGAGCTCCTCGGAGGGATCTTGCACGCTTCGTGATAATACGAAGCCCTCATCTGCCTGTCCTTCGCCGGTGCTACCGGAAGCTGCAGACCTTCGCCTTTCGAATACATCGGTGTCATTTCCCTGCTTCTTCTCCTCGGAAGGCGTCGAGGGCTGCGTGGTAGGATTTGCTGGCTCGGTTGCTGTCTTGGTTGTCGTCTCGTTTTCCGGCTCATTTGCTGTGTATTCACCAGAGACCAGGGGGCTAACGTCTGAGCTCTCCATCCTGGTGAACGACCGGGCGGGATGCAGTTGAGGCCCAGATACATTATCGGAGGGGCCAGACATCTTAGCAGGGGCGACACCTGGCCCTATAAGACACTAGTCGTAAGTGCTCCGCCAGGCCCAGCTGATAGGCTCATGCAGATAGATGCCCGTTCTCCCCAATTCCGCACTGTCCAGCTCGCAGGACTCAGTGTAATGTGACAAGCTGAGCAAAAGACTTCGAGAATGACGAATCCAGGGTAAATCCCAGGGTCAGCAGTTCTCAATTCGAAGATCGCCAATCCCGAAAGATGGCGCGTCACGGGGCTCTTATCACGTGCGGATCACCTCCGCACTGCGTCACTCCGATAAGCCGCGATAGCCCATCATCCGTCCTCAGCTTCCTGTATGTTCGCCCGTCGCCCATCGCCCGTCATGGCCCCTCAACGATGTCGAACACGCCAAAGGAAGAGACTAAGTCTCTCTGAACTCTTAATATCGGCTGTACTTCTACCTCGCGCCGTCTACGGGCACTACAACCTACCTCCACTCCAGGCCCCAATCCTCCCGCCACAGCTACCCTTGGATGGGTCCGAGCCCCCGTCAGAAACACACGAGTTTGTAGGTTGCCTGCTGAGGAGCTCTTATGTTCTGTACAAATACTTACTATCTTTAGTCACTTCGCCATATCTTCCACCGAGGCACCTACGAACACCCTGACCTTCATGCCCGTTTAGACGTCGGACCCGACACCCGCCTCATAACTCTATCCGAAGATGGGACAGAGACTGAATCAGTTGAGGTGCATCCTTCACTGGTCGCTTCCTCAAACCCGATCACGATACAACGGCTAGCTGATCGGCGTTTGTCGGTGATTGAGAGCCACTTGGCAGCTGCAAAGCTGTCCGGTGAAGCTTCCACGTTGTCGCCCACGGAATGGGTCATGGACACACTTCCGGGCCCAAATATTTCGGACAAGGCAACCGTGTTGACTTTTGCCAAGATGACTGCAAATGACTATATTGAGGAGCCTGGTACCCAGGATTGGCATACTATCCACGGACGGTTTAACTACTCGACGAGCTTTGGATGGAAGGGAGATGGACTCCGAGGGCATATTTACTCCGACAAATCCAACAGCACTATTGTCATTTCACTCAAGGGTACTTCTCCAGCCCTATTTGATGGTGCAGGAACTACAACAAATGACAAGGTGAACGATAATCTGTTCTTCAGTTGCTGTTGTGGTCAAGGAGGGTCTTACCTCTGGAGGCAGTCATGTGATTGCCAGACTGCCACCTACAAGGCGAACTTGACCTGCATCACCGAGGCAATGAATGATGAGAATAAATACTACAGAGCCGCCATTGATCTATACACCAACGTGACAGAGATCTACCCGGACACAAATGTTTGGTTGACAGGACACTCATTGGGCGGTGCAATGACTAGCCTGCTTGGATTGACCTTTGGTCTTCCAGTTGTGACTTTCGAGGCGGTTCCAGAAGCACTTCCAGCAGCTAGACTAGGTCTTCCGAGTCCCCCAGGTCATGATTCACGCTTGCCCCAACAGCGAGCTTTTACAGGCGCCTATCATTTTGGCCATACTGCCGATCCGATCTATATGGGGACTTGTAATGGGATTAACTCAATCTGTACATGGGGTGGCTATGCAATGGAGTCCGCATGCCATACCGGCCAGATGTGCACTTATGATACCGTGGCAGACAAAGGCTGGCGCGTAGGAATCGGCACTCACAAGATCCAGAATGTCATTTCTGATGTGATCAAAGCCTACGATGATGTCCCACCATGTGCGCCCGAGGAAGAATGTTATGACTGTGTGCTCTGGAAGTTTTTCCGAAGTAATGGTTCCGAGATCACTACCACGACGACTTCAACTACAACATCTCCAACACTCACTAGGACCGCAACTTGCAAGACTCCGGGCTGGTGGGGCTGCCTCGACGAAAGTACTACGACCACCGCAACAACCACATCTACCACAGCTACAACTACTGCAACAACGACAACAACAACTTGCAAAACACCAGGATGGTTCGGCTGCAATGATCCAACAACCACGACAGCAACATCCACCCCAACTTCGACCTCGACCTCAACGTGCGAAACCCCGGGTTGGTTCGGCTGCAATGACCCAACAGCTACCGCACCTCAAATAACACCAGCGCCTACAGTGGCACCCAAGAACCCAGAAGCAACGTCGACAAGTGCGTGCCACAATGCTGGCTGGTTCGGCTGCAATGACCCATCGACCACTACTACGGCCGCCACTATGACAGGTCATGGTTCCAAAGCCTCATCGACTTGCACACACCCAGGGATAGTCTGGGGTTGCTGGAAATAGTCAACTTTCCCATACTCTCCTTTATTTTCCATACATACACCCGTCGCATACTATATGTACTCATCTGCCTCGATCCATGACGGATCGCAATCATGAGTACATCAACAATGGCCATCTGACAGACCCATTGGATTTGACATATACAAGAGATACGATCAGCGAGCCTTTTTCCATTATTGATTTTCTTTTTCTTTTCACCCAACTGGACACACGATGTGATTGGCGTTATTATTGGAAGACTGATGTCGATCTTTTGAGCTCAAGAGCCATGTTGACAGTGAATTCGCTTTTTGTATATCTTAGTTACGCTGAGTTTTTAGACTTGAAATTTTACGTTCCAGACTGGACCCTCTCCTTGTAGATATTTCCTTGTCGAGACAGACAACCAGGCGGAGACCTCTGAGCTCCGTGTACCACTGCGGAATCCCGCTGACCGGATTTCTGGTTCCTGACTTACTCCAGGTCGGGATTTTGTTTTTGAATTAGAATATCGATTCTCATCAGAAGCTGGTGTACCAGTTGTGTCTTGGAACACATTAAGTTTCACTGCGCGGTCGCAATGTCGATAAGACAAAACAAAATCGAACATGTCATTTAGGAAATAGTGACGGCACTAATATACAGTAAGGTCGAAACACAAACGATTCCAATCGCGTCTCATCCCAGATCATGGCCAACTGCACCTGGAGTATAGCCCGTTTGTATCAATCACTTAAGACTTGCTCTGTTCTCCTGATTTCTGTTCTCCTGATCCTAGGGCCTTGTTCACAGTCTGTCCAAGACCCTTGGTTGCATCACCAAGTCCCTCAGTAGCACCGCTCACAGTCTGGCCGATGCCCTCTGCAGCGCCACCAGCAGCGCTCCCCAATCCGCCAAGTGTGTTGCCAATCGTGGTTGTAGCGCCATTGGCAGTGCTGCCTACTGCGTTACCGAGACCTCCAAAGAAGCCAGCTGTATTATAATACACGGTTAGCTCGAGTATTTCAAAATGTGGTAAATGAAGATCGGTTGCAGTGCAGCTCAGGCAAAGAAAATCGATGACTACTCACGGTTGCTCTGGTTGCTCTTGTTCTCTTCGGACATGGCGAAGATTGGAAGAATAAACTTGAAATTGATTTGAACAGTTTTGTTCAAAGAAAAGATAGTTGAAGGTCTGATTTTTGATTAAAGTGATGGTTCCTGAGAGGCGGTATTTATACTTGGTTCTGACCCTGGCCGATGATATCATTTTGCCTCCAGGCCGGATTCGTCTATGTAGCCACCCCAGGTGATTGCCAACCTAATTCTGATCTCCCATTGAAGATACAATGGCATGCGCGGCTAAACTGAGCGTGCAAACTTTTCGGCCACAGGCACAAGGATTCATGCCAAGCTTGTATCTATCGCGAGTTTTGCCAATATGGGGCTGTGCGTGTTTAGGGCGATGAAGCTAGAGCGTAAGATTTACTCACCATGACTCACCATCTATAAACAGTGTTGGAACGCTGTATTCTAGCTAGGAGTATATAGAGAGGGCGATGTTTAAATCAATTAATATCGCAATTCCAAGCAAGATACCGCCGATCGACCGATATGGGCTCCATTGAGATACTTCAGTCTGAACGGCTATTCCCGAGCACAAAGCCGCCTCGGCGGGCAGTGGCACTCTCTCTTCTTGATGCGACTGCGGCAGAATTTGCGCCGACTTGTGCAATCTGGCTTTGTCAACGACCAAACAACGTTCATTTCGATTTAGCCCATCATTTTTGCCGCTCCCTTCAACTCGTTCTAGACGCTTATCCTCAGTGGACGGGTCAAGTCAAAAGCATCTCGACGCTTGACCCATCTCAATTGGAAAGCGAGGAACTCGAATTTGCCCCACATGCGCGTCGATTTGGACGAGTTTATGCTCATTATGGGACATCTCAGGATGCCGGAGTCGAGTTCGTGACGGCAAGGAGCAGTGCTACTCTCGAGACACTCAGCCCCTCTTCTCGAACTACAGACCAGCCGATCCTGAATTGCAATAACTGTTCTTTTGCTGGACTTGTTTCATCCACTCTTCTGGCTCGCCCAATTCAACAAAGCGCCCCCGAACAGGATGGTGCTGTGCCACCCGTGCTGGCAATCCAATTGACCGAGCTAGCGTGTGGCAACTTTGCGTTATCGGCCAAGCTTTCGCATGTACTAGGTGATATCCAGTCGCTTGTTTTGTTTGCAAAAGATTGGTCGGCAATTAGTCGCTGGATTCTCGCGGGCTTAGATCTACCCCAGCCTGTGCTTAACCCCGTGTTTCAACCAGAACTACTGGACTCAAAAGCCGCAGGAGACATCAGCGGGAACCAACCAGACCCACAAATTCTTGACCGAGTTGGAGCCCTGCCTCTACATCGCTACGACTGGTGGGCTGTACAGCCACGATGCCCTTGGCCTCAAGAGATCCCGGCCGCGTTCCGGGACGAGGAGCCAGCGCCTGCGGGAACAGCTATGCCCTGGTCTGATTGGGATGTCAACTCCCCCGTATCACATTACTTGGTGCATTATACGTGCGACCAAGTTGAGGTAGTTTATCAAAAGGCAACCGAGGGCGGGCCAACAAACGCCCGAATAAGTCGACACGATGCTGTTCTGGCTCACATCTGGTCATGCATTGCTCGCGCACGAAACCAGCAGAGTGACGCTGGCCCTCTACACTGCGACCTTGTCTGTGGAACGCGCCCTGCACTCCAGTTGGGAAATAATTTCATCGGCTCAACAAGTCTCATGTTGAATGTCGAAATGTCTGGCATCCAGCTAGCTTCTCCAAGCCAGGATAACCAACTGCGAAATATTGCTCAACAGATCCGCGAGACCATCAACAAGATGAGTAACCCGACCGCGCTCGGTGTACATCTTCACAGCATCGCGTTCGAAAAGACTCCGCAGCGAATTTGGCAGGCATTCCTGGGACAACGACACCTAATGGTGACAACCTGGGCACGAGCGGGCCTCTACGATATAGATTTCGGGCTCAGTGCCAAGCCAATCATTCGGTATGCCGATGCAGTGATTCCCGACTTGGATGGCGTGCTGGTCATTAAGGAGGCACCCCCGTTGAATATAAGCACAACGGGAGAAAGTGATTGGACCGAAAACGGGGTGGATATCTCAATTCGCATTCGAACTGAGGACATGGCGCGATTGACACGGGATCCAATGCTTCTACCATGACGAGGAGGCATGATAATTTCAAAATCTTCATGACCACATGATTCCCCTGATTCATAATTAAAGACCAGAGAGGGGTATTGGAGATCTCGGGCCAAATGCGGCGGATGGCACATGCCGCATCGCGCAAGGGTCTTTGGTCAATCAGCCAGTAGGGTTTGACAGGTACCTGTCAGACATGCACAACTTATACTAGATAGTAATTCGGGATCTAAGCGAAGAATTAATGCTAAATCAAATAAACCTTTAAGCTCCGTCCACAGAGGTCAAAAAAGAAGAAAAAAGGGAAAAGAAGGCATCATGCACACGGCAATGTTACCCCGGGTGGCCCCCCCCCCCCCCCAATTCGCCAAGCTTCAATGAAAATTTGTGTCTGGAGACACGAGCCTGCGTTCCCCGCAAACCTCTGCTCTTTTATTCCTTTTTCTGTCTAGTCTCCCGTTCTAGATTCCAGTTGATTCCTTCTTTAACCTAGGAGAGAATAACTTTGCGCCCCGGAGAGCTCGCGTGCAATGTTTCCACGAGCCTGTGGGTACGCATAGATTTTTCTTTAAACTCCGCAGGTCTCCGAGTCCGTTTTCGATCTTCTTCAACCCGCTCAACCGCCCCCTATCCCTCCTCCAAATTCTATATACACGTGTCTTTGTGATCATAGCCCGCCATCATGGCTGAGACCAAGGCGCACGATGCCATTGCGCCAGTGGATGGGCCCCCGCCGCCCGCATACCCCTCCGAGGGGCGACCCTCAGACTCCTCGATGAAGACAATTATTCAGAACGCTAAGGCGGCGACGGAGAAGGAGCAGAATATGAGTCTGCTTCAGGGTATTAAATTGTACCCCAAGGCTGTCGCTTGGAGTGTTCTCATCTCGACCTGTATTGCAATGGAGGGCTATGATATCAGTCTGGTGAACAACTTTTACGCATTCGACCAGTTCAACAGGAAATACGGTACACAAGTGGCGGGTGGGTCATATCAAGTTTCTGCACAGGTACGCTTTTGTTGAATCCCTTCCCAGACCCATTGGCGGGGCCTTCGTCGGCCAGGAGCTCGGTCAGGAGGCAAGACATCTGTACTGACACCACGTTCAGTGGCAAGCAGGTCTGAGTAACGGTGCCTACGCTGGCGAGATCATCGGTCTATTCATCAACGGATGGGCTTCGGAACGGTTTGGATATCGGTATACCATCATGGCCTGTCTGTTGCTCGTGACCGCCTGGACCGCCATCTTCTTCACAGCCCCGAACGTCCAGTCCCTTCTCGCCGCCGAGATTCTGTGCGGTATTCCTTGGGGTGTTTTCCAGACATTGACCATCACGTATGCCTCCGAGGTGTGCCCCGTTGCGCTGCGCGGATACTTGACCACCTATGTCAACTTTTGCTGGGGTCTTGGCCAGCTCATTGGAATTGGCGTGATTATGGGAATGCTGAACCGGGAGGACCAGTGGGCATACAGGATTCCCTATGGATTACAGTGGATGTGGCCTCTGCCTCTCTTCATTGGAATCGCTTGTGCTCCTGAATCCCCTTGGTGGCTGGTTCGCAAAGGACGGACCTCGGACGCAAAGAAGGCCCTGGAACGCCTCACCAGCAAGAACCGCGATACTGATTTCGATGCCGACGAGACGATTTCGATGATGGTGCATACAACTGCCCTGGAGGCTAAGATCACCAAGGGCGCTAGCTATTTCGATTGTTTCAGGGGCACTGACTTGCGCCGAACCGAGATTGTCTGCATGGTCTGGGCGATTCAGAACCTGAGCGGAAACTCCTTCTCCAACTACTCGACTTATTTCTTGGAGCAGGCCGGTCTCTCTCCGTCCAATGCCTATGCGTTCGCCATGGGCCAATACGGCATTAACATGCTTGGTACATTCGGAGCGTGGTTCCTCATGAGTCTCGGAGTCGGTCGTCGCGCCCTGTGTCTGTGGGGACTGTGTGGCCTGTGTGTCATGCTGCTTATCATGGGCTTCCTGGGACTCGTCCCGTCTGAACACCGAGACGCGGCCTCTATGGCCACGGGCTCCCTCATGCTTATCTGGGCACTGTTCTACCAGCTGACAGTCGGTACTGTCTGTTATTCCCTTGTGGCGGAACTGTCCACACGCCGACTTCAAATTAAGACCGTCGTCCTCGGTCGCTGCCTGTATAACATTGTCGCCATCATCTGCGGCGTCCTTACTCCCTATATGCTCAACCCTAGTGCCTGGGACTGGGGCAACTATACGGGCTTCTTCTGGGGCGGTATCTGCTTCCTCTGTATAATTTACGCCTATTTCCGCGTGCCAGAGCCCAGCGGTCGGTCATTTGCCGAACTCGATCTGCTCTTCGAGCGCGGAGTCAGTGCTCGCAAGTTCGCCGAAGCGGAAGTCGACGTGTTCGACGAGACCATCGAAGGCCAGGTGGTGGATAATTACCGGGAGCAGCAGAGGAATCCGGCTGACGCGGAGAAGTACCAATGATGCAATGTGTCTCATGTTAATGACGTCTGGACGCGCCCACTTTGATCTATCTGTACATAGTCATATCTTGCATTTGTAGCCATACATTTAATAATACTATTTATTGTCCTATTCTTCCGAGTCCTAGTTATTCCCGTTCCTGAAGCTAGCGGAGCTAACGAGATCCACGGCTGACAGCCGTTTGGAACCAGTGTCCACCGGCTCAGCCACTGCCAGTACGAACTCTCCTCCTCCACCCCCCTTCGTCATTTCTGGGGAAATCCCCGTAGGCAGCAAGATCCCGGCTTAGAATTTCCATCTGCCAAGTATCTTCACGTCTCCTGACTCGCATTCTTCATTGTTTTTCGTGGTGTAGTTGGAACCCCACTCTTCTGCAGCATGGACACGACTTTCATCACCATCCACGGTAAGTGTCCGCCGGGTGTCCCGTGCATGTGGCATCCTCGATCGATCGATCGATCGGTACCCCATAGACCATCACTAACGGAAGGCTCACAGACCTCTCGCGCGATGCCTCCATTCGCTATGCCTCCGACAGCATACAGGTTGTCCTTGGCTACCAGCCACACGAGGTTATCAATCGCTCCTGCTGGGAATACTTTCATCCTCAGGAACTGCCCTTCGCTCGGAGTGTACACGGTCGAGGCGTGCGACTAGATAAGGCTGCAGTGTTGAATTACTGCTCGATTCGGCACAAGGATGGCTCGTGGGTCGGATGCGAGTGTGTCTTCACCGTGGTGTACGATGTGTTGATCGCAAGTACCACAGTTTACCGCAGTGGAAAGGGAAGTCAAAGTAAGCTGTGAACCCTGCATTCTTTAAAACTCAATTCGAGATTGCTGACATGCGGTCGTTTTCTAGAGCGCGCCCTTGATGCTCCCATCGTCCGCCAGCTGTTCGACTCCTCGCCGCATGATCCCCGCTACCACATGCTTACTTGGATTTCGGACAAGTTCTCACGACGCCTTACTGAGCCGCTTCATGAGCCGCGCGCTGCTCTTTTCGTTAATCGATTTACCCGCACTGCGACTATAATGTACGCTACCAATGGCGTGTCGGAGATTCTTGGCATGAGCCCGGACCAGCTTATTTCTCGGAGCTTCTTCTATTGTATTCAGGAGGCCTGTCTCCGAGATGCAGTTCGCTGTCTAGAAGGCGCGAAAAGCAACGACTCGATTGCGTATCTGCGATTTTGGTTCCGCAATCCGTTACAGGACGATAACATAGACGTCGATGGGAACCCTACATACGGCACCAACCCCTCTGTGGATCCGAGGACCCCTATTGAGTTGGAAGCTGTTGTATCTTGTACGTCTGATGGTCTCGTTGTTATTCTCCGCCGAGCTCGAGCTCCAATCCCGGCTGCTGCTGTCCCGCCGCAGCCTGTGCCTGTCTACGCCAGCGGCCTGTTCGCTGCGCCATGGGCTTTGGAACCTGTCTTCTCCTACGGTGCGGCATCTTATCCTCACGACAGTGCAGTCCGCCAGTCGACATACCCAGAAGAGAAGAGAAGCTACTGCAGAGACGACAGTATCTCCATGGACTCCAGTTCTGCATCTGCGTCTGCGTCTGCTTCTGCTTCCTCGGGATACGGCTCCTTCTCGCAGTCCAGCGGTTACGAGTTCGCTTATCCCCCCTTCCCAGAAGAGCCCAACACGAGGGGACCAAGAGGACCCAATGCATCCAATCTCATGGATACTATTCGCGACGTGGCTGTGTTTGCATGGGGAATTGTCGGTATCAATCGATCATTGGAGCAATACAAAACAGGAACTCCGACAGGCGATGCGCACCCCGTCGACTCGGATACGCCTATGGGTAATGCATGGGCCAGTGAAACTGCGGCAGGCCGTAGCTGGCAGTAAATACTGAACGAAATATTACGTCAAATACAGTTAGATCTTCTTCAAGTTCCATTACACAGCCGGGCCAGGGTTTTACTACCAAATGGCTCTGAATACACGGCCGTGCCTTATTTCCCCAGAGGTATTCGACGCCACTTAGAGGGGTATCTTAAGAAGAGGAAGAAGAAGAGGCCTGGCCTTAGATCTACGGAGATGCCCAGAAAGACGTTGGGAAGGGAACTGAAGAATTAAGTGTATCGGCCCATTTGATTGTCTTCTCAAGAAGGCTGCAGGTAATATTAAACCCGATATATTTTATAGGGATCATCGGAAATTACTCGTTTGACCACTCGGGCTTCTTCTTCTCAGCAAAGGCAGCCATTCCTGTAATCATGTCAGTGGGTACATTTAAATGCATAGGATGAAACGTTGAATCAACTCACCAATCTTTTGGTCCTTGCTGCCAAACAAGCTATGGAACAGGCGTCGCTCATACTCAACACCCTCACGCAGCGACAACTCCTGGCTCTTATTCACAACCTCCTTACCAGCAACAACCGCCACACGGCTATACCCAGCAATAGTTTCGGCGGTCTTGAAAGCAACCTCAAGCAACTCCTCCTTACCACCATCAACAACCTGTGCCGCAACACCCCACTCACCGGCCTCCTTGCCGCTGAAGTTCTTGCCAGTGAGAATCAACTCCATAGCCTTGCTCTTACCAACGGCCCGGGTAAGGCGCTGGGAGCCACCGGCGCCGGGAATGGTACCGAGCTTGATCTCTGGCTGGCCGAAAGTCGCGTTCGATGTGCAGTACAGGATGTCGCACATCAGGGCCAGCTCGCAGCCACCACCGAGGGCGTATCCGGACACAGCGGCGATGACGGGCTTGCGGATTGCGTTTGCGAGATGGGACCACGGCGCGATGAAGTTGTCGGTGTAAGCGGCGGCGAAGCTCAAGGGAGCCATCTCCTTGATGTCGGCGCCGGCTGGGATTTGTTAGCGTGGCTCTGCGTTGTATCTCGGTTTGTAGGGGAAAGTACCGGCAAAGGCCTTCTCGCTGCCTGTGATAATGATAGCGCCGATACTCTTGTCGCTGTCATACTTGCTCAGGGCATCGTTGAGCTCGGTAAAGAGCGGGCTGCAGAGAGCGTTCAATGCCTTAGGGCGGTTCAAGGTGACTATGTGAGTTAGCTACCAGCTCACATACGCTATGGCTTTGAGCCACCTACTGAGACCGACACCGGGTTTCGGAGTGGAGGTGAGGATGTGCTCATAGCTCGGACCGGACGAGTACTGGCGAATGCGGGCCAGGTAGTTATTCAAAGGGACGGCTGTCCGAGAGGTAGCGAGACGAGCACAGCGACGAGCAAACATGGTGACAATTGCGAGCTGTAAATGTGTAGATTGGAAGTTGGAGCTTGATAGCTAGTATCGGGACAACGGAACCAGGCCTATGATGTCGACCCCCCGCAGCCGAGCAAGGGCCGAAGTTAACCGCGCCGAGGCCCATCATTGGAAGACAGCTGATTAAGAGTGCCCTGACTTCGCTCCCTGACTCAGCTCCCTGACTCAGCAGCACTGCCACTTGTAAATCACGTGGTACGTGTGGCGCCCAGATCATCGATGCGTTGATTGGTCCAGCGCCAGGGGACACTTTGCTCCTGTTTTCCCAGCCTGCATTCAGTCACTGCGATCTGCGTTGACATTTTCGGACATTTTACCTTCATTACCCTTTTCTTCTTCTTCGCAACCCCTGTCCGCCATCATGGATGTCCCCGAGCCCGATCAGTCGCCTTTTACCGCCATGACGGCGCACACTTCTAAACTGACACGGGTGAGTGTTTGCCTTCTCCATGAGGGGCCCCCGGATGGCGCATGGCCGCCATTCTCCGTCCGGAGTTTCAGATCTCCCTACAGAATGCCATGCTAACCAATCGCCATAGCAATATCAATCCTGGCTCGATGCCTCGACTCCCTACACCACCTATCGCTGGGTTGGCAGTGGTGTTCTGCTCTTCCTCTTCTTCTTGCGCATCGTCTTTGCGCAAGGATGGTATATCGGTACGTCTTGTCTGAACTTAGCCCGGGCGCCTACACAGGAAGAATTGGATGTTTTCGTCCAGGGCAGACTGAGGGAAAAATGATCGCATGACAATTGATGACAACGAGAACTGAACGCTGACTTTCATTTCCATCATTAGTTGCCTACACTCTCGGCATTTATCTCCTCAACCTTTTCCTCGCTTTTTTGACACCCAAGTTCGACCCATCGCTCACACAGGATGAAGGCCTGGAGGACGGCGACGCCGGCGCTTCTAGCCTTCCCACCAAGCAAGATGACGAGTTCCGGCCCTTCATTCGCCGTCTGCCCGAGTTCAAGTTCTGGCACGCGGCCACCCGCGCCATCACCATCGGCTTCGTGTGCAGTTGGTTCGCGATCTTCGACATCCCCGTCTTCTGGCCCGTCCTTGTGGTCTACTGGATCATCCTGTTTGTCTTGACCAGTGAGTTGAATCCCGAATTTCCCTATCTCTCAAGATAAGGCCCCGATAAACATAGAACACCTATACTGACTTCTATCTAGTGCGCCGCCAAATCCAGCACATGATCAAGTACCGCTACGTGCCCTTCTCCTTCGGCAAGACGCGTTACGGCCGCTCATGAACGTCTTCTTTTCGCTGTACTTTTTAATTCTACCTCTCTGGCCTCTATTATCAGAGATGCTTTGTGAATTTCAACGTGTGTATGTATCTTAGCGGCTGCCATGGATATGATTCGAGCGATGAAAAGAAAAGAGCATGGGTTGAGGGTTCATGGCGATCTCTGATTGCTCTGTAACTCGTATTACTTTAGAGGGCGCCTTGGTTCTTTTCTGCGAGAACCCTTGATTGGCTTTTCATTTTTCCTGTGAGATATGATTAGATCTGGGGCCGGTCATATCGGCCTTGATGTTTTTCTATGACCATTTGTTTTGCATGATAATACATTGGGTACCGGGTCTAATTATGATGAACTCAAAGTACTTTTTTTTGTTTTTACAAACTATCGCAAACCACTGTATGAGATGTGCCGATTACCTGTTGGTCTGAATTGTAATTGCATGCAACTCGATGCTCCAGCCTCATACAAGCCACTCGCCTATAATCACTAATCTCGAGGACCTGAAAGCCAAAGTCCGCATCAGCACTGGTTTGATTTGAGATGTTTTGGCATAATTAATGGCCACCGATTCCAAACCCAGAATGACAACTGACAGTTCCTATAAAACAATAACAAAGTTTGGAAAGACCATTTCGGTTCGCTCAAGCTACCTCTGCAGGTGTAATGTAAGACTAGAGCTTAGCAGAGAGGGGGGGGTCTTGGCCCTGTAGCTGAAAGATCTCATTTATTTCCCGAGGTGCATAACACTAGGGCCGAGTCCCTGCACCTTGTTCTACTTAAGAACCTGCCAAGACAGGGTTTGATGCCCGTTAACTTGCAGAGATTTCACATTTTACGGGGTTCTGGTGTGCAGACATGGCCTTATGCAGTTGCTTGCGTTCGTCGTCTTACTTTGCCATGCGGGGCGCATTCCTACAGGGGTGAACGCTGATATCAGCAATAGTGACGGTCAGGTACTGGGGAGAATTGACTCTCAGCCGGAGCATATGCTTGTTTTGTTGATGTCATGACTATCAATCATGTAGGTACTTATAGATCCTCTAACAAGGCCTGAGCATAGACACTATGGGAACTTTGGGGGTGTAGGGCTTTGCCGGGTTCTTAATGAGTAAACGTGCCCGCGGTGGGGATCGATCTTTGATACTTTCAGTGTGCAAGTTATCCCAGGCCTAATTAAATGGCTTGTCAGTACACCTCTACAACCTCTTCCATGATGATGAAAGGGCTAAAGCAACCCTGGGTACTCCTGTTTTACATGTCTTCGGCTGCATAAGCTTTGTTCGGTGAGTACTTCAAATGGTCTGCTTGTATTCGGCTACTGTCAACAAGTCAAGCGTTGAATTATAGATTTGATTGAATCAATATTTCCTCCCAAACACAATTCCCATTTGAAAGTCTTGTAGCTTTCTTTTAGCAGACTCCCGGGCAGTTTCTGGGGGTCTCTGCCTACAACATACTGGTATGAGACACGTGCAAACCCTCAAGTGCTAGACTCGCCACGGCCAAGGACAACGTATAATGACAGGATGTGGCCATTGGATGGCGATAACAGAGCTCAGTGCCTACTTCAGTCGTGAAACCAACCCAAAAGGTCGTAATAGAACATAGCGTCGATCACAACCGAAGTAGATTGCAGGAGCAACCCAAGCGCGAGAAAACCACTTCATGGAAGTAGGGAGAAAGACGATAAATCAATTAACTGGGTAGCCATCTGACTTTTTCAACCGCGCTGTAAATAGACATGTCACCCCCAAAAGCTCTCCGGACCTTCGCGCTTGCGTCGGGGATAGATGCTTCATACTTGCAGTCCAAATAAGAGGCGAATATAGTGGAGACCACGGCTTATCTGCAGTTTGTGACCGTAATGGAAAAGGTGCGCACAGAACTCCGATTGGATAGAGAAAACTGTAAAGGTGTATTGACAAGCAATTAGATTGGATCTAGGGTAGGTACACAGCAGAGAAATACTTGGTTCTTGAGCTCAGCCGAGTTGTGGTGGGCGTGACTCACCGACATCGGAGAACTCATTCGTCATCTATTGTGCTACACAGATGTATGTTTCTTCACCAGCGTAGGTTCAGGGCATTTGTCGAAGGAGGATAACTGGATCGAATCAGAACTACCTAAGTCAATCCATCTCGATTGAATAGACATCGCATGGTGGCGTTGATACTTGTGGACGGGGTCCGATGACAGACGAGTATAAGAAGGCCCTGAGTCATCTTCTACGGCCGAGCATATTACCAATTGAACACTCTCATCATGATTCCCTCCGAATACTGGCCTTCTTCGATGCCCTCTCAAGGTTGGGCTTCCATGATCTCCTCTAAGTATTGGGATCCCGCGACGGGCCTCACGATGAAATATCAACTGAACGTTTTCAACTTGTCCAGGCCCCCCGGGGCACATGAGCCTATGAATATAGTTTTACTGATCTTTGGGTTCATCTTCATCATCATCTATAACACTCGACATGAGGTTCCAATCTACCAACGAAAATTTCACAAGAAGAAGATCTACCTCTACGTGCACATCTTCACTGGTCTGACAGAGGCAATTCTGTACCGACTTCGTGAGACGTTCCAGGGCCGTTCCGATCTCTTGCCTCATGCTACAGATGTCTTGTCTTGTTTCATTTGGGGCTGGACAAGCTTGGAACTTGTGAAGACGCTTCGCCGAGGAGATCCACGAACCACACGACCTCCTTACCAGGCTGCTGCTGTCCTGCGTCCAATGATATCCCTCATCTCCTACCTCTTTAGTATCCCCAGCCTACACAGGTTGTCAATCAGTGCGCTGGATAGTTTCTTCTATGCCCGTTTGGCGATTACCTTTTTCAGCTACACGCCGTACATCCGATCATACCGGGGGAGCACCATTTACGCCATCTCGATTCCACTGGCCGCCGCCCTAAGCATTCATGAGAGCCGAGTGCCTGGGGCATCATTGGTATTCATTTTTGCGACTGCTTATATAAAGGGACTCAATGGATGGGTCACACACCAATCACATTACTTGAGAGGGTAGGCAAACACCACTTTCGATTTCTCCCTAATAAGCCACATTTTGACAGAATTGATTAGGTCCGAGGATTCTTCCAACATCTCAATGCATAAGAAAGCTCTCATATCTACGTTGGTGAGACTTGGGTTTGTCGAATTGGAGGAATTGCGGGCAGTGGCGAAGGCCAAAGAGTTGGAAACCTCGGTAGATGATCAATACGTGCCAATGGCATCCATGGCGATAAAAAATAAAGAAATGGGCTTTCAATAGGGAGGGGGAAAAGGCATGCTTGCCATTTTTAGAGTCATGATACGAGCAATCGCGTTCTCGGGGATTTTCAGTACTCAGTTTTTTTATTTTATATTGGCTAGGAATGTGAAGTAAACTGCTCTACAATAATATCTAGTGACAGAATAGAGCAATAAACCAAAGTTCTTTTCGTGGGTATCATAACAAATTCACTTGCTGTTCAGTACACAAACGTCTTTATTCAAAGAAAAATAGAAAAGAAAAGAAAAGTCCATTTTGGGTCGTATCAACTCCACTGACATCCCGGGTATACACCAACACCACATAAAGTGTGTGCCATAAGAATGATAAAGGGCATGAAAGGAAAAAGAAATCATTAGAAGGCAAGGGCACAGGCAAAAAGGTATCACGCTTAAATCTTCAAATCCTCGACGCTGTTCGACCGCTTGGTCATTTCGATTGCACTGTCACCGAGGGACAGGACAGACATTGTGCGTCCGTTCTTAGGGCGGACGACGTCTTCTTGCTTGGTGCAGATCCAAGTTGAAGCATACATGTTGACACTAGACTATGTTAGCGATGGCTGCAGTCGAGAGTTTCAGGTGGGGAACGTACCGGTCAATGCAAGTACCGGGGAAACGGGCACCCACGCGACGGGCTACGAAGCCGTTTGCTTCAAAGTGCTTAATGTACCAAGGCTCGATACTAGCGGAGCGAAGAAGGATGCGGCCACCCTTCTTGAGAGCATGATTGAACCGACGAGCTTGTTCTGAAGCGGCGTCCTCGGTGGGGTCAAACCAGTCCATTGAGTCCATGACCTAAGTAATTGTAAGCACCACGTGGATACAACAAATGAAAACATTACTCACCACTGCAATAGTCAATGTACCAGGGGTGATGCGGTTGATGACCTCGTTGATCTCATCGGTGTGGATGCGAAGGCCATCGAAGGCACCGGGGGTAGAGAGCTTAACGTGTGCTTGGGGAGACAGATAGCTGGGGTGGCATCTGATAACCGGTTAGTGCAATTCTATCTGCAGGAAGAAGGTCACACGAACCGTCGAGAGAACTTGCCCTGCATGCACAGGTAGTAGAAGTAGTTGTCGTTGCTGATAAGAGTTTCCTTGACGACAGGGTCCAGGGTGTTCACAACGTATTCCCAGATTGACTGGCCGCTAATATCTTTGCTGCGCTTCATGTCCGAAGTCAGACCGTTGCGGATGAAGAAGTCATCGACGATCATATTGCGCTGGTTGCGCGGAACACCAGCCGCCTTCCAGGCGAACCACTCAGTACTCACGATGGCCCAGTTGAGAGGTTTGCTCAGAAGGACCTTGCGAATACGAGGCCAGATCTCCCGCTGCTCGGCCAGAGTCTGGGCCTCACACATCTTTTGCACCTCACCCTGGAGTCCGAAGATGTTGAACAAATAACGCACCATGCGAATGGCATGGCGAGAGCCTCCGGTCTCATACAGGCCTTTGCCAGAAGTTGAGGTGAAAACATGGGTGTGCTCAAGCCAGTACTGGAAGGCCTGGCTGGACAGATGGGGGCTCAATTTGGTAATGAGCAGCTCACGGAATTGTGCGTGCTTGCCGTCACCAAATATCTTCCACATATCCCGGTGTCCCAGTGCGGTGTAGCTGGCCACCTTCAACTCGAGAAGGTGGTTCTGGTTCGGGTTGAGGTCCACGGCGTGGACACGTCGAGGGTTCTTCTGAAGGTAGTCCAGGATGTTGTCGCCGGCACTGGTGATAGCCAGGATAACGTCATCAGAGCCGATGTTCAAGAGACGGTGGTCTACGCGGGGGTCTTCCCACGTAAAGGCGTAGATGTATTCATTCTGGAACTGAGTGTGCTTGGGCAGCATGTCATTGTAGTGGATACGGTAGTGGTGGTTCTGGTAGAAAGACGAAGGCAGGGGCAGGTTGGCACTCAGATTGATCACGGCCGATTCGTATGCCTTGGACCGGATCTCATTCGAGCTCTTCTCGACTGCTTTTTCCATCTCCTTCTGATGGTTGGCCGGTAGCAGATAGGGCGATTCCGTGAATGAAGCATCCAGCTTCTCGATGGTGTTCTGGGCCGTGGGAGTAGAAGCAAATTCCTTGGGACAACCAACAAAGATGTAGTAAGGAATACCACCAAGTAGGTAGTTGCGGTCGCTAGCTGAAATGACAGTTCCGAACTTGTACTCGAGATAGTCACGTCGGGCAGCCTCCAGGCTGACGCGGTCAAAGTCGAACCAAGCGCGCCAGAATACTCGACCAAGCCAGTTGACGTGGCGGTTGAAAGCACCACCGGTGTAGTTGCGGGTAGAAACATCGACGATGCTCTGGACATAGAAGTCGCAAACACCCAGCAGACCGGTAGACTTGAGGCGCGAGGTCAAAGAGTCAACAACGCTGTAATAGTCTACAGAACAGTCAGCTTGGTTAAATCTCCGAACAAAGCTTGGGACTTTTGCCATACCAGGAATCATAGACAAGCTGTAGCTCATGGTAATCAAATCCACGCGATCGGTCTTGGCACCGGTCGGGGTTTTGGGATCGAGCTGACGCTCAGGGAGACGGAAAGACCGGGCATCCTGACAGATAACGGTGACATTCTTCCATCCAAGACGTTCAAAGCGCTGGCGAGCAACTTCACAGAGGGAAGGGGAGAGATCGACCAAGTAAACTTGATCGAAGAACTTGTCGACGGGGACGAAAGAGGCCATGGCTTCGATGTTGTATCTATTTAGGGTCAGCCATTGCAAGCCAAGAGAGATCGCATTCTGCATGATCAAATTGCATACCCAGTGCCACCGCCAACCTGTTATTCTCAATCAGTACGGTTCCCATTTGTCAAATTTAAAGTCATAGACGTAGACGTAGGGAAACTCACATCCACCCAGACTGCCTTTCCTGACTTGATCTCCTTGCTCTCGACCTTGTGCTTCAGCTGCGCGGCCACCAGGCCGAGCATGTCCTCGCGACCATGAAGGAGACGGTGGCGGGTAGCGTCGTAAATGCTTGCCTGCTTCGACTTAGCAACTCCTTCTCCATTCTCCCTTCTTCCTCTCGTACCTGTGTCTTGTAGAAACTCTCCAGTGCACCCTGTTGGCCTTCGGCACTCTTCTCATGCGGTTTGAGGATGTTCGCATAGATGTATTTGAGCCAAGTAAATACGCCTTTGTTTAAGTCAACCTTGAATTGCTGAGATGAGACAACCATGACCAGGCCGACGAGGGCAAAGACCAGGAACGCCGCTCCGGCGATGTAGACGTGTAGCCAATCCATTGTGTATGGGCAATTGAAAGAGATATGAAGACAGAATAGGATCAGGGACAGTCATATACGGAGGCAGGGCGATGGCACGCGCCGCACTGGGGACCAAGAGCATCGTTGAGATCCTATCACGACGACACATGGGTGGGGGAGCCGCGATAAGCCCGGAATTGGAGGGGGATTTACGGAGGAAAGTACATGGCACAGGGTTCTGATAGCTAATCAGCATTCAGCGAGCGTAGTAGTTACCTAGAAGGGATTGTCCCAGAAGTAGATCAATGACCCGAGTTCATCCACGGGCTCCGCAATGGGAAGGCGGTACATAGCTGTCGTGCTGGCGTATCGTGCACATGCTCTCCGGGTCAACTTTAAGAGCGTTTGGCTTCACTCGTCTACCACTAGTCCCGATTCTCGGGCCACTTAGAGAGTCGACCCGGGCCATGTGCCTGGAAGTCTCCACTAAGTCGGGTCCATCGGGTCCATCCCCGCCCATCACTGCGACCCGTGGGGGCAATTCCGACCCCCGATAGGCCCGTAACTCGATTATGGGTAACGGAATCCACAGGCGCCAATCAAGTTCGCAATCGCCGTCACGGTCGAGCTTCCCCATGTTTAAAGGGATCGCTCCCTAGCAGTATTGGCCCCGTTATGCTATCAGCCCGTTAATCTGCATTTCGCCTACAGATCACTCCGTACTCTGTACTTTACTATGAGGGACTAATTATTGGGTCGTATTGCCGATCCCGGACTTCCTTTCCTATATGAACCCATCTGATAGACCCCCTATAGTTGTTCCCCACTATGGGCCTGACAATCTATCCTCAAGTGTTCCATTATTAATTAGGGGCCTTTTATTAGCACTGGTGTTTATTCACAGACTAGCTACCTCGGGAATCTACCTATCTACCCAGGGGCATACTTAAGACGGATGGCTCTGAAACAAATAGAGCGCCAAGTGTCCAGTACTTCCGATAATTGGTGTCACCACCTACACTCTCTGACTGTTTCTCGAATCCGATTGCCAAGAAGCGCTAATCTACTTACGACATATTCCAATAACACTCAAAGGTCAAGATTCTGCGGATCAACATGAAGGAAAATTTTGAACCATATTATTTTCTATTCTTAACAGCATTCAATGAACACTGTGTTGGTATAATTCACAAGTGGATTAGCATAGAAAACCGCAAAGTCCAGAAAAGATCGATCACTCCCTATTCAGTGGCCAAGAGGGGCGAATTTTCATGCTCTTATGACACGATCTGCTCCACTATTTGTCTTTGCCGCGGCTGCGTATCGTGTTCTTGAGGATCCTCAAGGGGACCCCGTGGATAGTCTCAGGAGATCCTCAAATATAGAAGTCAGAGATTCAGCTAAATAGAACATGATTATGAAAACCTAGAAGGGTTCACTGTAAATGTAGCTGATTTAAGAATGTTGGGAGATAGTAGGTTCTATCGTGATACTTAAAAGGCCTCTTTCGATCACTTCACTTGATCGGACCGGAGTGGCCTTGGGTTGAGGTATCCCATTTGATGGTGTAAACCGTACCGGCCCGAATAGTTTCACCCTGGGTAGGCCGGGTAATCGGATCAAATTCAGGGTTTATGGAAAAGCCTCAACCAAATAAACCGATTATAGAAGCGGCCTGGTAATGAAACCTCATATTGAATAGTAGGTAGTTGTTTCGTGACCAAATTATGAGGATATTCCTTGTATCAGAGGTTTGTCGATGGAATACTGAGTAGAGTAAAGAAATGGCAGGGGCATTCAGTGATATTTAAACTTCTTGGAAATAAATTGCCGAGTAAACCTCCGCAGCAGTGATAAGCTTTGTAAAAGAACGATACTAGTCATGAAGTGGGGTGTTGGGGGCTGAGCACCATGCTATCCGCAACAAGGCAGCTAGGTAGGAAGGAAGGAAGGAAGTGTATTCAATGGAGATGAGGCTCGAGATCATTTTAAATATTGCCTAATATAGATTGGGGTAGTGCAATAGCCCTTTATTGTCCGCGGGTGGCGCGGGGCCAGAGGCCGAACTGCCTTGGGCGCGCCCCTTCACAGATCGATGTAGATAATGTCACATTCCTTTGAATAGAGTCTCACAGCACTCGTTGGCTCCTATCTTGCAGGAACGAATATCAAGCCCTTATCAACTCTCTGCTGCTCTAGCTTTCAATGTTGAGTAGAAACATTAAGATAGGATGCGCTGATACACGGCCCCATGTCAGTCAAAATGATGCGGCCTTCGGGATCTACAATAAATTGCCTAATTCAAAGATGGCTTCCTTTGGCCCCAGGGCATAGACATTGTCGCTATAGACTATCCTGTCAAATGCATTGAACAAGCCGCAACGCTGAACCTAGCCCCCGCGCTCGGATCGGTCCACGCGACAAAATGTGGAGGGACGCAAAGGACCCTGCCAAACTTGACATTCATTTACCTCAGCCTTCGACATCAAACCTCGATTATCTCAGAAGCTCCTCTGTTTGCAGAGATTGAAAAATAACTGCTACCAGCTCAGACACCACGGTGACACTGGTGCCTCTCACAACGACCGTGAACCGCCTCGTATTGTATCCTACCCCACTCAACTGTCGATCCCGTGGCGTGGTACAGTATTAGTGGTAGTCCAGACAACCGGGCTGTCTGCGTTAAAGGAGGGATCAATTAAACCAACGCGGAGACCTCGGTTCGGTTCCATTTTACCTTTGATTTGTGGATTGGTCAAGTCGACTGGTGGAACATAGCCTCCAGTAAGCCCCATCTGAGTTAGAGAAACTCAGATGGGGCCAAAATATATAACCAGGAGCTCGTTTTCAACCCCGGTCACTTAATTGTCTGCATCATGGCCATCGAATTGTCGTCCATCACAAACCGAAGGGGCCGGCGATCAGAGGCTGATTATGTCCCGATTCGGCCCAGACTCATTCACCTGAAGGAAATCAAGTCGAGCTGAAAAGATAACTTCAAATCTAGCTGGACGAAAACTGGGTTTTTGATATAGCATGCTGTATTGGGACTACGGCAGCTCTGACTGCAATAACCGAGTTCCTTCTCGCATACGACAACAAAACTATTCCAGAATGGCCGAACGGCATCACTCTCAATGCTGTGCTATCATTCCTGTCGCTTATTCTGAATGCATGTCTGCTTGGTGCCGTAGCCAGTTGTCTTGGCCAGGTGAAATGGAACTCCTTCAATAGGACACGAAGACCCCTGGCAAACATAAATACCTATGATTCAGCTAGTTGGAGTGTGCTGGGCTGTATACCGTTTCTTGGCCCAACTAATCTCTGGTTCCTTCGAATCTATCTATCTGTTGATTAATGCAGTGATACTGAGATATTCATAATGCAGACAAAATGCTACCATTGGGGCACTTACTACCAATTTGGCTGCTGGGAACGCGCCTTTCATCCAGCAGATGGCCATGGTCGAGAAAAGCCTGATTTTGTCTAATTTTCCAGCATCCATAGCCCATGCACAGTCATACTCATACCATCCCTCGGGCAATACAACTGGCAAGGAACCACGAAATGAGATGATCGGGAAAATATATGAATATGTCTTTAACTGCTTGAAGTCGGGCTGTTCAGCAAACAGCTCCAAAGCATCGTATTCTACAATTTCACCGTCATGCCCAACTAGGGAATGCGCTTCCCCCATTTAACGACTTGCAGTCTGCTCATGAGGTTCTGATATCTCTCATATATTATCACATTCAAAAGCGGCATTTGGGGATACAGGCGATCCTATAAACCGCTATTCCCTCCCAAAGTGCCTAAAAATCTCCTTTCGCTCCAATTGGAATAATGCCACGATCTTTCTTAAAAGCATGACAGGCTCTGTTGCCACTGAAATTAGATCAATGACCCAGCTTCCATATTACGGCAATACGACTATGGTAGATTTCACGGCCATCAAATATCGCTCTGGATCCAATACACCGATAGTTAATGCGACGCAATGCGTTGTATTCTGGTGCATAAAGACTATGTCAGCACATATGACGGGTAGCAAGTTCAACGAATCTCACTTGGAGACGTGGACTGATTCTACTGCCGAAAGACCACGCCAACTCCTGAGACTCCGTCCGCTTAAAAACTACAGAGCGCCAATACCTGACTTCATGGTCAATCCCGACTCAGGCTTGCTTGGGAACGAATCTCATGAATCGTCAGGATCGAGGAAGTTGGCTTATCACAAAGCTCGATATGAACAGTTTTGGGTGTCTCGATTGCACCAGTGGTAAAACGGACGATAACCATGCTGTGACAGACTTCACGCAACCGATGGCGCTTGTCCCAGTGAGCAAGATCTTTAAGAACATTGCTGCTGGAATGACGATATCCGTCCGCCAATTAGGAAGCGCAAGCTAGAATAATCTTTTCGATGGGCGTGGAATACGTTTCCTGCGGCCTTGATGATCATAACGACGAGCCTACTTGCAGTTAAAATTTTGCAAGCAAGACGAATCGGAGTTCCGCTGTTAGAATCATCTCCTATTGCCTTGTTGTGCTCTGGCTTGGACAATGACATTCAAGCACTCGCACTGTGATGGCAAAGCTCGTCAAAAAAGAGGACAGATCTTGGCGGATAGAGGATGACGAAGAGAATTGCGATCATCAATGTTAGATTGTTGTCGTCATGCACGAGACTCATGCTTTTCTTCAGTAATACTTGTCAGAGAGGGATGACTGAATACGGAGATATGTGTAAGAGTGATGAATTAGTGCTATGGGAGAAGTAGGCTATCTAGGCTAGAAACAATACTAAATAGAGAAACTAAGCTAGGAGAGCACTCTGCGGCACATAAATGACTAAGACGGTCACCCAACGTCATCAGGTCATAAGTTTCATAGACAGACAAGCCTTCAAGCTGCATCCTAGGCCGGAGTAAACCAATTACTATAGATTTCGACACCATTAACCAGAATTTCTCAAAAACCTCGAAGAATGAACACATTCTTGAGGGAAGCTATCTAGACACAGCCGGACTTAGCTAACAATCAAATACTTCTAAATATGCGGCTATGGCTTGTCTTTCCGCGGGCATCTAAAGAGCTGTTGAAATGGTAAACTGGCAAAGAGCAAAAGGTCTCCACGGACCCCGCCAGTTTTTCTAGAGGGCTGAGAAGGCTTAGCAAAATAAAGCGTTTAGGCCCCCTTGAAGCTTTCTCTTGATTGGGCTGTAAGGTGATGACTTTGCTTAATCTAGGGGGTCAAAGCGTTATGATGTGGCTGAAATGTAGAGCTGAAATACACGTTACTTTTTCGGTGTGACGATAACTGCAAGAATCGCTGCTTCTCTACAGCATGAACCTGGTTTGCATACTCGCGAAAAAGTAGCACCAACGCCATTTTGACCCTTCGGGTGTGTTAGAACTCTCGACTCACCCACAGCACGTAGTTGACGGTCGGCAGATCGGTTATAATAGCGGCCTCGCATAATGCAGCTGTAATGGGATGACCCTGCAGTGCAGAGGAAAGGCCCACTCTTCTGCACGCTAACTACCAAATAATCAAGTTCGTTTACGTGGCAAATATGATCGATGATCTTACAGAGCCGAGCCGGCATCATGATCGACTCCTAGCTTCATCGAAAAGATTTTCCAAGAACATCGAAGTTACACACCCCAAATTGAATTTTTTTATCTAGCTTGAAGTCACTTTAATGCCATATCATGCTGGCCATTGCCATACAAGTTTACGGGCACAGAAAGCCTACGTAGCTGGTTCACTGACTTCCTTCCCCTTGCGGAATGAGTCTCAATAATCCCCATAGGGGCTTGAAGAAATTAATCGAGAAGCATCAAGGGCTTGGCAACGCGGTAAGCTAGAGATCTAGGTGATCATAAGCCCAGCCGAGTACCTGTGGGTATAAGTTGCCCGGAGATCCCACCTTTGAATGTCCAAATCGGTATCTTATGCACTTCCCTTTCATGCCTGGTTCCTAAAGCATTACCTAGCCCAGAGTTTGCCCTCCTTGGAAGATGACGCATGTGGTTGAGAAGGCCCCGAGCGTGGCTGAATATGATTCTGATTTCACCACTGAGTGGAGTGGCGCATTGTACGGGGTTCGTCGGTACCTCGGAATGATAGGGTAAAACATTTCTCAAATCAAAACCAAGCAGTAATCCGTGGTTGTTAATTTTGCAACTATCTTCAGTCTCGGATTGGCTCTCTTCCTCACTGGCATTGAGGCAACCATTGTGAGCACGTCACTGGTGACCATCGTCAATGACCTTCAAAATTCCGAACAAAGCAGCTGGATTATCACCTCCTATCTTTTAACATATACAGGTTCTCTGATCTATCCTCAATTCAGTGTGCTTCCGTCTAACCTTTATTGCTTCTAGGGTTTATTGTCATCTGGTCCAATTTTGGCAACGTCCTTGGGGTTAAACATGCCCTCCTCAGTTCCTTGTTCCTTTTCACGGCATTCTCAGGTGGTTGTGGTGGAGCGCAGACCTTTAATCAATTGTACGTTGGATTATCTTCTTCCAATCCATGTGATCGGATCTAATCCCCATGGATCATAGGATCATCTGTCGCGCGTTTCAAGGAATTGGCGCTGCTGGTGTGTACACTTTGGCATGCTTCTCTTTTATTCGTATCGTTCCTCCTGAGCAATACAAGCTGACCACCACAATCGCTGGTGGTGTCATATCACTGGGTCTTGTTCTTGGCCCCTTGTTTGGAGGTGCCATTTCTAACAGTGGAAAGTGGCGCTGGGTGTTCTTATACAAGTAAGACCATTCTATCTCCGATTTTCCCAAACTGACCATTATGGCAGCCTTCCAGCAGGCGCTTTTGCGTGGCTTATGATTTTCCTCATTCTCCCAGCCCATTTCCCTCATCGATCCCCACCGCCAACTAAGGAGTCATTATCGATTCGAATTTGGCAGAAGACAAAGACTTGTTTCCGTCATCTAGACCTGATGGGTGCATTTATCATATTAACTGCCTGTTCGCTTCTTATTGCCGCTCTTCAGGAAGGAAATTCTCAGTATGCATGGGACTCCGGTCTGGTAATCAGTTTCCTTGTTATCTCAGGAGTCTTCTGGTTTGCTTTTGTCGGATGGGAATGGTTCATCTCTCTGCATTGCCAAACAATTAGCCCAGTATTTCCATGGCGATTGACCCACAATCGTACTTTCATGGGACTTGCTCTGTAAGTAATGCTTTTTCAGCCCCGAGTACTTTGTAGGAGATTGGACTAGCTAACGAGCGGACCTTCAGCGGATTCTTCACAACCGGACTACCCTTAACCGTCTGTGTGATCATGATTCCCCAGCGATTTCAAATAGTCAATGGAAGCTCTCCGATCGGCGCCGGCGTCAAACTGTTATCATTTGCGCTAAGCTGTCAGGTCGGCATCATAGCCTGCTCTCTGTTGTCAGGACGCGCTAAAATTCCTTTTTGTTACATAGCGCTATTTGGTATAGCCTGTCAGATTGCCGGTCTGTTTCCCTATTCAGAAATTGCCTCTACGCCAAAGCTTTGGCTAGGTCAGTTCGGATATCTAGTTTTAGCCGGGCTTGGGATAGGTCTATCTGTGTCTGCATTTTACATGGCGACATCACTTGTGGTGGATCCGAAGGATCAAAACATTGCTCTCGCCATTGGCATCCAATTAAGATCCTTGGGTGGCGTTGGGGGAGTTGCAGCCTCGACCACCATTCTCCACCATTACATTCAGAGCCGATTGTCGTCTAGTCTGCAACCTCAGGAGCTAGCCGCTCTCTTGCAAACAACCACAGCGATCAATGCTTTCCCTTCAGATGTTCAACTACATGTTCGTGAAGTCTATGCGATGGCCTATAGTGCGCAAATGAAGTTGACCGGCGCATTTTCGGCAACGCAGCTGTTGGCCGTGGCGTTGATGTGGAAGAGAGAGAATGTGTGACGCTGAAAGCTCCGGGCTGATTCGGAAGAAAAGGGCACTGTGGATGTTACCTTTATTTGGAAGAAACTTCGAGTGATTTTATGAATTTGGAGCGCCTATCGCAGGAAGATGGTCTCAGGAATTAGACAATCCTCTATTTCTCTCACCACAGTCTTGGGGTTTCTTGCCACTGTTCCGTATCGGTGCAAGCTTCATTAATAATGACATTAAGAGCGTCGTAAATGCTACCGTGAGTTCAGGGATTTTGCCCTGATCATTGATTATTGCTAAATATGCGAACATCATTCCAGTAGTTGTCTCGGGAAATGTTGCAGAGAACTGGAACGGGGAAGCCTAGGCATTTGAGAAGGACTTGTCTCCAGAATCTGAACAACTTGGCAATCAAACAGTATCAAACTCCAGGTTCATTGATCTATTTAAATGATCATTTCTCTCGAAGCATCGTGGAGCTAGACATTTATTTCCCCAGAGGATAGGCAGACAATGACTATTTTGATTCACTCACATAAAGAGATTTGGAGAAAGTTTGAGCCCCGGACGATTCAAAACTTGGGACGAAACTCAAGTGCTAGCGCGAGAAGAAGAGGAATTAATTTGTTATAAGGCTGCTAATCCAGTTTTAGGTCCGAGTGATTTACATCGCCCGATCTTGCGTTCTGGCCGTGAAAGGCAACGAGTTTGACTTCATGAAATCTGCTACCCTCATAATTCGAGTATTCTTGAGATAGTTGCAACCCGTAATTCGTCTGTAGGCCACATCATTGACACATCATCATTTGCATCGGTGCTGGAGAGATGCAAGGCTTTCGACCAGGCTATCAGTATGCCGAAGACGAGTAGAATCCGACCATATATGAAGCCACGAAGGCAGAGAAAATTGGAAGCATTGCCTACTGTGCCTACGTGAAACTTACGAAAAAAAACGCCTAGGACTGAATGGTGCAGCACAAACGCTGATCACCAAGTGCCCGCTATAGATCTTCGGTCCTTTCCTCGAGAGGGCATCAACGCTCTCGCGTCTCAATGGGTCGATGGATAAACTTCGGGTATGCTTGTTAACTGGGTAATCACTGAGCCACTGAAAGATAACAAAAAAATTGGACCTCCTACACCTGAGTGTCAGGGCAAAACAAAAAAGATAATCGTAGATGATTATACACATGGTTCCAGAGGGGGTCGAACCCTCGACTTTGGCGTTATTAGCACCACACTCTAACCAACTGAGTTATGGAACCCGTTTGTTGTGTGTACTTAAGGGGGCTTGTGGATCAAATTTAGATGCACCTAGATAGGGCGGGCATCATGATGCCCTAGACAGAAAATTGTCACTGACTTCTCAGCCACATAGTCAATTTACATTGAATGGAGACTGCTTATTATATACAAGAAACCATATCTTATTTCACGATCAATCAAACTTCACGAATGTTATGTATCTAGAAATCACTGATATTGCCAGAGCTCTTAGTTTAGGTGGGCCCAATAAAAAAGCGACGCTAGCAGGTGCCAAGACCACAAATCAGCGAGAATCAAAATTTGTCGTCATGCATCATCCTGAACCCCACTTGTTCCACAATGGTCCTCCAAAAAACATCAATTGGGGTTCCATAACTCAGTTGGTTAGAGTGTGGTGCTAATAACGCCAAAGTCGAGGGTTCGACCCCCTCTGGAACCACTTTTCTTTTGCTTTTGCCTTTTTTTATACTTATCTTTTTGCTTCCAGTTCCTTCTAGGGATAGCACTCATTCGGAATTTTGAGTAGTGTGTGTGGCATAGGAGCTAGGCAGGTCATAGGGGTATTTGTTCTTGGTTCTTCTTACTTACTGCCAACCCAATATTTGATCCTATATTTCTGCAGTGTAAAATATCCGGAGTCCATCGCCCTTTAAACAATTCCAATGACCGATCATTCTTACGTTCCGCAGGCCTATTTGGCATACGCATTCCCCGTATATTACTCACTTAATTCCTAGAGTCTATGTGATCGGTATGGCTCGGGGGAGCTGGGGCTGCTTTATCTGTATGCATTGTTCCACGGATCCTTGGGTTCACTTATGGCTACAATCTCAAATATTGTTCTGGTATTCTTCCTTTTTTTTTTTTTTTCTATTGGTTGCTGGGTGTGAATAGGATAAGGGCCAGGTCTGTGTGCTCCATCTATCCCAGGTGGCACATTCAGAGGTTGCAGTTTCATGTTGGGTAATGGGTTTCGATTGCCAAAATCCCCAGTGATTGTATATATCCCAGCTGCAAGAGATACGCTTTGCAGTATTAAGTGACAGCACCTGGTCTTACTCTTCCGCTTCCCGGGCAAACATTTGAATTTTGACGTATCCACTCTAGAATGCTGTAGTCACACCCGGGATCACTCGAGGCTCTTCAACCGCCTTGATTCACGCTTAAATATACACTAGCTTGTTCACGTACACTGATCTCTAGTATGATTTGATCTCTCATGAACATGCATCATAGTTTCAAAAAAATGGCCGATCTTCATATAAGAGGTTCCATAACTCAGTTGGTTAGAGTGTGGTGCTAATAACGCCAAAGTCGAGGGTTCGACCCCCTCTGGAACCATTTATTTTTGTGTTATGTTTTTAGTCCCTTGGGTGCTTTCCAAGAAAGAAACCTAGGACCAGGCTCACAAACTTGATAGTTGTTATTTATTTATTATTTTTAATTATTTAACTAACCATGGAAATGTATACTGGTGATGATGCACTTTCTTTGTTCCCCCTGCGGACTTTGGGAAAGACATTGATTCAGTATGAACCACTTGTGGATCTTGACACCCCCAAAATGCCACGCATCTGCTCACTCAGGGATCTTGAGAACGGCTCGCCCTTCTATCTCCGAGCGTTCGAGACGTCCTAAGACTTCAAGAAGATCGCTTAGCTCGTAGCACTCTATATGCGCTTTGACATCACCTGCCACCGCCATTGCCAACAATTCATCCATTTCCTTCGCAGTACCCGCAGAGTTCCCGACAATCCTGAGCCCTGTAAGTCCAAGCGAGTTAGCTCAAGAAGACGGTGGATTGTGACTTTGCATTGAATTGGGTGTGATTCTCACCTTTAACAATCATGTCGAATGGGGTAGCCGGCAACCTGAACGGAACGTTGGGGATCCCCACACAAACTAGTGTTCCCAGAGGACGAAGCATTTGCATGCTCTGCTCATATGCGCGTTCACCGTTGGCAGTACAGATAACGGCATGTGCGCCGAGCCCGGAAGCAGAGGCCTTAACTGCCTCTACAATATCCACCTTGGAGAAGTCTAAGAACTCCGTAGCACCGAGCGAGATGCATAATTGTCTCTTCTTTTCACCCCTGTACAATGTTAGCTTTAGTCTAGAATAAAATCGGAAGTGACCACTGTCACAAGGGAGCATACTTATCGATTGCAAGAACCCTTAGCCCCTTTTTAGCAGCAATCTGTACACCCCTGTTCACAGTGAATCTTAGTACAAGGATGGAAGACTCAATTCGAAAAGAAGGCGTCGTACATATGCCCCAGGCCTCCACCTGCACCAAGGATAGCAATCCAATCACCTGGCCTGGAGTTGGTCTTCATAATTGAAGAATACATAGCGATTCCAGCTGTGAACGATTAGTCGCTCAATTCCCAAGATTCTGACGTGGAGCACAAATCAAAAGTTTCCCATGAACATACCGCAAAGAAGAGGAGCAGCTAAATCAGGAGATAATTTGGAGGGGATTTTGGTAACATGAATGGCTGGGCTGACGATGTACTCTGGATCTTCTGGTCAGTGACGGATGGTGAAGTAAATTCCAAAATTCCACGGAAAAGCCTACGTTGGAAAGTACCCGGGACATTCTAAGTTTTTAGAAGCACATGTTAGTTAGATGATTCCAAGATTTGAGCATGGTCCCTGGGAGGTATATAATGTTCCACAACCCTACACTTACCGCGCCAGCATTTCTCTGATTGGGACACGCTGTGTGATTAACTGCACATATCTCACACTCGAGACAGGAGCTGTATAGCCATCTAACCAAATTACCCCTCGTTAGTCCGCTGGAGCTGGAGCTGGAGCTGGATGCAGATGATCCCATTAGCACTAACCGGATACCAACTCTCTGGCCCATCCACAACTTTTCATCGACGCCAGCTCCAACTAAATCAGATGGACAAATTAGTCATGAGCTCGATATTGGCTTCGACGGTCCAAGCAAATATTGTCTTGCCTTTGATCACCGTTCCGACTCCCTCGTGACCAGCAACGTCTGTCTTCATCGGTGTATCCCCCATGATACTATGCAGGTCGGAATGGCACACGCCAGAGTACTCGAGCTTGATCAAGACGTCACCGCCGTCAGGCTTAGGCACAGGGTGTGTGTTGCTAATCACCACTATAGATGTGGCAGACATCCCAGGAGGCGGCACAACAGCTGCAATCTGAGTGGATGGAGTGGCCATATTGTCTTGCGAGAGTCACAAAATGGGATATAAGTGTCTTGATTGGCTTTGAAAGTGAGAAATTGAAAGTTCAAATTGAACGACTGAGAGACCAGCCACTAGATAATGCAAGTTTGGGTCGGATCACAAGTGCGGGGGTGAATGATATGCCGCTTATCTCGAGCGATTTGGAGATAGGAAAGCAGTGGGTTGTCACTCTAAACAATAGGTGAACAGATCAATAAACATGTGCCTATACTACGCAATCTGCAGCTAGACATAACCTGGAATAACCAAGGAAGGTATTTCACCTCTATTTCACCAGTCAAGCCTCACAGCAGTTCATTAAACTATTACCCTAACACCCGCAAGGCACACCCTAATCAAGTAGCAATATAAGACAAGGACTCCGCCGGTCTCAGCAGAGCCGAAGAGAAAGAAGTGGCATAGCACCCCTAATGCAGCAGGATGACCCCGAGTTGCGCGAGAAACCCGAGTATCAAGGTATATCGTAGATCAAAATCTATCATCCGACAAAGATGTACTTCATGAGTTCTCCGCCTGGATGGTTTGCTAGAAGTAGAACAGTCAATATACAGTAATCATAAAGGGATACTTGGAGAGACGAACCACCAGCCAGTCCATGCCCTCATTGATGCCCTTGCCATCAATGGCGGAACAAGCAACGATACTCCAGTTCCGGTCCCGCAGCTCTCCCAGTTTCAATGCCTCCGAAATTTCACCCGCACCCTTGGCACCAGGCTGGTCTTGCTTATTGGCAAACACCAGCAAAGCCGCCTCGCGAAGTTCATCCTCATTCAGCATGGCCGACAGCTCATCTGCCGCGGTCCCCAGCCGCTCGATATCTGTAGAGTCGATGACAAAGACGACGGCTGCGGTGTTGGCGTAGTAACAACGCCAGTAGGGGCGAATGGATGTTTGGCCACCAAGATCCTGGAGTCACTCTTGTCAGTGGCGCCCAAGCGAAACCGTGTAGTACCAATACTACTTACCCAGACATTGAAATTCAGATTCCGATATGTGACCGACTCGACGTTGAATCCGATGGTGGGAATGGTGGTAACGACTTCGCCGATCTAGAGACACGAGCTTTTAGCATCGGAGCTGCCAACGCGCCTAAAACGCGGTAATACGGTTGAAATTGGTATCGCACCTTGAGTCTGTACAGAAGAGTGGTCTTTCCAGCGTTATCCTGGATAGAAAATTGCAATCAGTCTTTAGGTCCTGCGCTGGCCGTGGATGCTTCTCCCCGCGCTGGTCGAGTAATCGGAAGGAGCTGTACGTACGAGACCCAGGATGAGAATTCGGATCTCTTTCTTAGTCCAGACCAAAGACCACAGACGCGATAATGACCCTCCCATGGTAATGTGTAGTAGATGATGTCCGATTTGAAATCACCGGTGTTGGTTCGCGGCTATGACAGGGTCCGAAGTTGAGCTGCGACAGTGTGTCGCGAGTGAACAAAGGGGAGTCGTTCAGGAGAAAGAGCCAAGAAAAGGACGGAATGACTATGGTACAATCGGAGCAGGGGAGAGAGAAGTGAGGGGAGTTGAAAGGGTGGTGGCAACCGCATTGGAGCGATCGGCCTGTGCGTGTGGGCGGTCAATATCGGGGAGTCGATGGGGATCTCGCTCTACACCTTCCCGTCCTCGCTGCTCTCTTTGGCCTCATCCCATTGAAGCCGGTCTTTCTACCACTTTCACCTACGACTCTGCGCGCGCAAAACGAAACCAAGTCCTTGACTTGCCTTCTCCCTAGATTGAAGCGCATCCCCATTGACCCGGCGCGGACGGTCACCCGCACGCCTTCAACATGGTGGGCAAGAAATCGGGCAAGGCCCTTCGTGATGAGGGTAAGTTGTTGCGACGAAGCGGCTATGGCATATGCCATGCGATTTGGTCGATTGATGTCTAACATCGAACTAACAGGTCTCGAGCGGACGGATAACAACATGGAGCTCTCCAGCTGGCCCCAGATCCCAGCTATCAACCAGAAGAATTACTATACGTGAGTGGTCGCATCCCTCCTTATTATTCTGAAGCGATTATGGGAAGAATAAAAATGCTGATCGTGCCCATTATCTAGTGACTACCTTAAGAGAGATGATCAGTACCTGGCGTTCAGACTACAGAATGAGGAGGCAAGGACGAAGATGACCAAATCCGCCAAGGACAAAGACCGCGCCCTCGCCATGGCCAAATCCAACGAAGGAGGTGACGTGGAGGCAGAGGCAGAGGCGGACGGTGATGCCAACATGGAGGACGCGGAAGAGGTACCGGCGGAGACTGTTGGCTCCAAGGTCATTATCATTCACATTGGCAGCCAGAATCTGCGCATCGGATTGGCTAGTGATGCCTTGCCGAAAACAGTACCAATGGTCATTGCGCGAAAGTCGAAGACTAGTGAAAGCGAAGACCGAGAGGAACCTAAGCCGAAAAGGCAGAAGCGGGACGATGACACTCCCGAGGAGCCAGAGAACCTATTTGGCGAGGAGGTATGTTCGATGATATTCTACACCACAGGCAGCAAGGCAGCACAGTAGTAACTAATTGTGGGAATAGTGGTCGTCTCATTTCAGTCAAATGTCAGGAGACCTCAAGGTGCACATGCGACAAAACAAGCGACGAATGCTGCCCAACTCGAAGGAAATGGTTGTGAACTATAACCGGAGGACGAACCCAGAAATTATCTCAGAACACAACGACCCACTGCGTGTCGACTGGACCGAGCTGTCCAACCCTCCGCCAGAGTACATCATCGGACAAGCTGCATTAAGAGTTCCAGACTCTTCAAATCCTCGCTACAAGCTCTATTGGCCTATTCGACACGGATGGTGCAATGAAAGGGACTACCACAGCAAGAGAATGTTGTTTTTGGACATTTCACTCATCCTGGAAGATGCGATCAAGACCCAATTGGGTCTGACCAGCAAGAAGGACTGGCACCAGTACTCTTGCGTATTCGTCATTCCTGATCTTTACGAAAAGTCATACGTCAACCAGGTGCTTGAAATGTTGATGCGGGAATTCGCCTTTGCGCGGGTTTGCTTCATCCAGGAGAGTCTGGCGGCAACTTTCGGTGCCGGATTCACCTCTGCCTGTGTGGTGGATGTTGGAGCAGAGAAGACATCAATCTGCTGCGTGGAGGAGGGCATGTGCGTTGAGAACTCGCGCGTGAACCTGAAAATGGGTGGCCGAGATGTCACCGAGACCTTCATCAAGATGATGCTGCATGATCACTTCCCTTATGCCGACATTGATCTGTGGCGGCGGTACGACTGGTTGCTCGCAGAAGAATTGAAGAAGAATATCTGCACGATGAATGAGGCCAGTGTTTCTCCACAAGTCTTTGACTTCCACCTTCGAGTATCCGGTCAGGATACCGTGAAGCACACATTTAAGGCTTTCGATGAAGTTCACTTGGCGCCGATGGGCTTCTTCGAACCAACTCTATTTGACAACGAGGACAAGCTCAAAGGGCGTCGAAAGTTGATTGAACCTTCCTTTGACATTTACGATGGATCCAAGAATGACCCTACCTCTGCGGCCCAGTCCGAGATCATGACTGCTTTGGCTCCTCCGCTTCCACCCAACGAAAAAGCAGATGGGGATGCCCCAGTAGCGACGGCGGAAGTCCAAGCCACCCCCAGCAAACCCCAACCACCCAGTGCATTGGGTCGAATCCAGGAGCAGGAGGCCACGCCCCGCTCATCTGTTGCTGGCTCCCCCGCGCCAGAAGCTGCAGGAACTCCACAGGCCGGTGGCAGCACCCCTGCTGTACCTGCACCGACGTCCCAACCGGCTCGTACCTCGATCGAATATCGCGATGATATTTTGCCCGTCTTCGCCTTGGACAATGCCATCTTGACCTCGATTGCACACGCCGCTCGATCCGATGAGAAGAAGATGCGCGACTTTATCGGAGGTATCATGATTGTCGGTGGTGGCAGCTTAACTAGTGGCTTGAACTTGTTTCTGGAAGAGCGGCTCCAAATGCTTCGCCCAGGCTTTGCAAAGGATATTATGATCGGTGTGCCGCCACGAGAGATGGATCCGCAAGTCGTTGTGTGGAAGGGAGCTAGTATCTTTGGCAAGCTGAGTGGGACGAATGATAGTTGGATTGGAAAGCTAGAGTATGATCGGTTGGGTCATCGACTGATGGCTTACAAGTGTATGTGGGCCTACTAGGGTGGGTTTGATTGTGATGAGATGCCCTTTTTGTTTATGTAATGGTTGTTTAGGAATAATGAGCTAGTTTTGGCTGAATGAAACGAATGTCTGTGTCCGATTTCCGCGCCATTGAGTAACAATTCAGTTGTTGCCTGCGGACTTCATTCATACTTCGGATCATCCCTCTTACGGACTATCTTTATTCCGTTTGCCCTCCCTTCGTCTCAACCACAGAGGCGGTCGCGCCCGGCAAAATGTTTAGCATTGAACGACCGACTCGATTCTCGGATGCGAACAAGCTCTTTATCAAGCCCCTTGTCCCACCCTTTGGGGTTCTCCTGAATTGCTCATTGTACCTGGTACTCCCGAAGACTGCGATTAATCGAAGGTCCTTTGTGACTCGTCCTATCTAAGCTCTGTCTGGTTTGTCTCTGCGCCGGTGGAGCCAATTCAAACCCGCGCTCGCAACCGTGACTCTCACCTGAACGCCAACATGTCTTCCAAGCCCAAGGAGGGTCAGTCATCTGGCGGCTTCCACCAGGAGTACATCGCATCTCTGCGCTACCGCAATGATCTCCCCCCACCTGACATGCCCCCGAAGTTCCTCGACATTCCCCACGAAGGCCTAAGCCGTTTCCTCACTCCTGGATTTGCGTCGAATCTGGCGCGTCGTGAGGAACCCAATGTCGATGTTGATGCCGAGGGCGGTATGCCCATTGACCTTGTTGGTCTCCCGGGTCTTCACTTGGGCGACGAAAGTGGTACGTGGGCACTGTTTATTGATTCAGAAAGAAAAGAAAGGTCGCTAATGAGAGCTCTACATAGCTATCATGGCTCCCGAACACCCCGGTCCTCTTGATGAGGCGGATCTCCCCCTCCTGATGTCCCTTGATCAACTTCGCAACCCCGCCCCTAAGAACACGAATGTTAGTTTCCTTCGTCGCACGCAGCACATCTCTGTCGAGCGAGGGGCGGCGGCACCGGGTGCCCCCGCTAAGGCCCAGACCCGTATCGGTAAGAAGATCAAGGTTTCGGTGGATGACCCGAGACACATCAAGAAGTTCATTCAGACGGGCTTCGACATTGCATACCCCGAAAGCAAGCACACCGGGGAAGATACAGAGAGCCGGATCCGCGGCCTTGCCGCCACAAAGGCTGCGAGTGACGCATGGGCGAAGCCTGTCCACCCTGATAACCCTAAGTTGAAGCCTGTTGGTTTCTTTCCTGTGCTTCCTGATCTCGAGGGCTTCCCGGATCCCGGTGGCTACGTTCAGTTCAAATTCGACAAGGCGCCTGTTGGTGGTATTGCTGGAAAGCGTGACAAGCGCATGGAAGTTGCGTTGCTTCACCCCCGGGCTCCCGAAGAGCGCATTTGTCAAGAACACGCCTCGAAGACGGCTCTTTACGAGGCCAACCCCGGCATCTACCCGGACCCGGGTCCTATTCCATTCGATTACGAGCTCCTCTTGCCTGAGAAGCATGAGAATGCAAAGAAGATCCGCAAGAGCATGAACATCAACGACCCTGACCGCGACGACGAAAGCCTGTACACCCACGAAGGACCCGATGGCAATAAATTCCACCGCTACGACCGCGCTCGCACCTATGCCACTAGCATGCAGTCTCTCAATGCCGATCAAAAACAGAGAGATATCGCTCTCACTCTCTACAAGCCTAACGAGGGCGAGAACAAGCAGACGGCCGCCTATTACTACCCAATTCTGGGTAAGACCCGCCTCAAGCCTGAGCGTGCCCGCACAATTGCCCAGGCCGGTCTTGCTCCTAGTGCAACCCAGGCACAGGAAGACCAGATAGATCAGATGCAGGTTGTTGTTCGTGACCCCGATGAGGCTGAGATGTACAAGCGCTCTCTGCACCGCGCAAACATCGACCCGAAGTTTGCCAGCACACTTCCCCTCCTCCTGAGCTCCCTGTCGAAGAGCAAGAGGAGCAGCCCCATGCAGCTGACGAGGACGCTCAAATGAGCGATGAATAGAGCACTTGAGGGTTCCCACAATGGTGCATGCGTGAATTTCCTTTCTTGAACATTGCAACTTCGGAGTACTTATGGAGCCTGGCGTCTGGTGAGCGACACAAAAAGGCGTTGTGTACCTTTAGAATTCATGGATTCCCAATAGTACAAATCTTTACGCATTGTCCACCTCTTCATGGAAAGATAGCTCGATGTGTAATTGCGCGGGAAGTGTCTGCACCAGAGTGTTATTTCGTGGAAACGCCAGCCGCTGACCTCGCTATTATGCACCCTGATCAGTCAGACATGCTGCCTAAGGATCAACAGTAACCTCGAGATGCCATTGACAAGTAATTCACAAGTCTACTGTTTATGCATGTACTGTAGCATAGACCAATTAAAGCAAAGATATTCCGCTCACCGCCCGCATTTGCAAAAGATCCCGATTCCGCCCTGCGATACCTCGATCTCGACCTGCAAGGGCGCTGCATAGCCAGAACCTCGGAGCCAATTGCATTATCTAGGTAAGTAAAAGCTCATCCAAGCCACCGCATGGACAGGAATCAGCTCGTGGTCCACTCAACCAGAGCACCCAAAGCTCAAGCTGCACCACTCTCCGGGATCGGGAATCGCAAGAACTAACCCATCACGCAGGTCCATACCGGCGCGTACTCCTCGAGACAGCGCCCAATTAAGCATATAGGCTTTGTACAGCCAATATGACATCCCGTTCCGCGTCTATCGCCTGGCGAAACAGCCTCCGGGCTCGCGCCCTCCCCGCCTCCCGCTGGACTCAACGGCCCTCGGCCTTTCTGCCACGGGCCGAGCGGTGCGGCACTGTGAGATATGCCTCCGAATCTGCCCCTGCGAAGGCCGCTGAGGTCGTGAAGGAGGCTCCCAAGGAACTCCCCCAGGAGGTTAAGGAGATCCCCAAGCGTGCTGGTCGCAAGTCGCGGAAGGGTATCTATGGTACTTCGTTGGCGGTTGTGCTGCTGGTGGGATACATCTATGGCACTGATACCCGGGCTAGTGTGCACAGGTACGGTCTTGTGCCTCTTATTCGGATGATTTACCCCGATGCCGAGGATGCGCATCATGCTGGTGTGGATGCGATGAAGACCCTTTATCAATATGGTCTTCATCCTCGTGAGCGCGGCAATCAGGATGGTGATGGTGCTCTGTCTACTGAGGTATGTTCACATCAAGATATGACGCTGTAGCATCCAATACTAACAGGCTGCTTGGAAGGTCTTCGGATACACCCTCTCCAACCCCATTGGTATCTCTGCTGGTCTGGACAAGCATGCCGATATCCCCGATCCGCTGTTCGAAGTTGGCCCCGCCATCGTTGAGGTCGGCGGCACTACTCCTCTGCCCCAAGATGGTAACTCCAAGCCTCGAGTGTTCCGTCTGACCTCGCAGCGCGCCATGATCAATCGCTACGGTCTCAACTCCAAGGGAGCCGACCACATGGCCGAGGTTCTGAAGCAGCGTGTGATTGACTTCGCCTACGCTGCCGGCTTTGGCAAACACGAGGAGTCCGCACAGCGCGTTCTGGATGGCGAGGCCAATGTACCTCCGGGCAGTCTGGTCCCCGGCAAGCTGCTTGCTGTGCAGGTGGCCAAGAACAAGCTCACCCCCGACGGAGACATTGATGCTATTGCGCGCGACTACGTCTACTGTGTTGACCGTGTTGCCCGCTACGCTGATATTCTCGTCGTGAATGTGTCCAGCCCCAACACCCCCGGTTTGCGCGACCTCCAAGCCGCAGCCCCACTGACAGCCATCCTGACAGCCGTCGTTGGCTCCGCCAAGAAGGTTGATCGCAAGACCAAGCCTTACGTGATGGTGAAGGTCAGCCCGGATGAAGACTCAGACGAGCAGATCTCCGGTATCTGTGAAGCAGTCTGGAACTCCGGTGTCGACGGTGTCATCGTCGGCAACACCACCAACCGCCGACCCGACCCTCTCCCCCAGGGCTTCGTCCTCCCAGAGAAGGAGCAGCAGACCCTGAAGGAGACAGGCGGCTACTCTGGCCCGCAGCTCTCTGACCGCTCCGTCGCCCTTGTTGCCCGTTACCGCGCCCTCCTCGACAAGGGACCCCAGTCCCAGACTGACGCGCCCGATGCCGAGAAGATCCCCGCTGATGCCCCGCGCAAGGTGATTTTCGCCTCGGGCGGTATCACTACCGGCCAGCAGGCGCGCGCCGCACTGGATGCTGGTGCCTCTGTTGCGATGATGTACACCGGCATTGTGTATGGCGGTATCGGAACCGTGACGCGGGTTAAGCAGGAGCTGCGCGAGGAGCTGCAGAAGAAATGAAGCGGTGTGCGCGAGTGGTAAAAAAAAAAACGACAACGATAGATTATATTTTTGTACATAGCACAAGACAGGGATTCTGCATGAAATTTCTTACTCATTAATGTTTCGGTGCGGGGCTGAGCTGGAGCTTCGTTTCTCGTTCGACAAGAGCAAAAGCGGGACTCGAACTCGAAGAGCGGAAAACAGCGACTATTTAAAAAGCGACTTCTTGCCTACTCAGGCAGTACCGTTGTGGGTTAATCAAATCGACGAGCTCGGATTACTCGATCAGTTCGAAGAATCACAATTGAGTCCACAATGCGCCCACTAAGAGGTACAGGGGGGCAGAGGATCCAATTTTGATGCATTGACACCCATAGCGCGGACTAATCCAGGGGAAAGCGCCGAATAAAAAGCCATACGCAGAATGCAGATCAAAAAGCTTTGGCGCGTGACAGGGCCGTGGGGGTGGCACGCAGGATTGAACCCACCAGTTCTCCATTTTCCAGTGCTCCACGAACTCCACAGACTCCATCGAAGCCGGGATCCCCAGGTTAGGCTTCCCGAGAAGCTGGGGGGTTTCCATACACGTCCACGACCCGCATTAAACAGCTGTCTAGACCCGTTGTGGGCTTGGTGTATGGGCTATGGGTATAACCATGACCGTATAGTGTAAGATGCGAAACACAATACACAGTTCGTAAAATCGTTGGCATTAGAGAGGAACGATAAAGGATGCAGGATGCAGGTTATGGGCTGTTCAATCAGGCGACACCCAATGTCTCCTCCACCTCACGGACGACCTTGCGCACGCCTTCGATTTCGTGCGCGAATCGGCCCAGGAACATTCCGTCGACGGCTTTGCCCAGCCCGCCCGCGCCCCAGAGACCGGGACCCGCGCTGCCACCGTAGAGAACGCGCGCAGTGCCAGGCCGAGACCCAATGACACCGCGAATGCCGTCCACCACTGCAGCGACGTGGTCGACGCCCGCGGGCTTGGGTTTACCGATCGCCCACACGGGCTCGTAAGCGAAGATCACGGGTGCCTCAGCGGGGATGGCATTCAGCACGGCTTGTACGAGGACTGCGCATTCGGACACGGCCTGCCCGACAGCCGCCGAGGCTATGGCCCCCGGGGCAGTGACCTCCCCGACGCAGACGAGGGGGACCATCCCCTGGGCACTGGTAGCGGCGGCCTTGCGCGCGGTCTGCTCATCTGTCTCACCGAAGATGGCACGGCGCTCAGCATGGCCCAGTTCGACGATTGAGCAGCCCAGGGACTTGATTGCGGCCGGGGATACCTCGCCGGTGTAGGCGCCGTATTCTTCCCACATGCAGTCCTGGGCGCCGAGGTAGAACGGGGGCGGCGACGTGGGGATACCGGAGGCAGCGAGCTTGCTCTCGTATTCCCTGATGATGTCGGCACATGGCCAGATGGTCAGGAAGTCTGGGATTAGAGCCAGCAAGAGCTTCTCGCGGTTTTGTGGGTTGACGATCTCGTTTGTGGGGTCGAGGAGGCCGCGGACGTAGCTGAGGGTACGCTCTGGGGTGAAGTACATCTTCAATGAGATGAGGAGTAGTTTCTCCGGAAGCACGGGGTAAGTTGTGGGCGCCATGGCGGGAATCTAGGTCGTGAGTAGTAGATTGAGAGTAGAGTGTTCCGGGTTGATGTTGATGTTAATGTCGAAGAGTTGAAGTGGATTCAATGGGGTCCCCGGACAAACAGGTTCGGGTACGTCGGTGTCAAGTTCTCCCGCTTCCTGCAAGTATCGTGCAAGTATTGCAATTCAGACTCGAAGGGAATTGAACAAGTGGCCTCAATTTGGAGTGAGATATTTTTTTTTTGGGTCTCCTGGGCATCCGGCAGACGCATTAGTGGTCGACAAGGCGCCAAGGGGGAGCCGGTCCTCATTCGGAGGGAATCGAGCACGGACGGATTGAAGATCGGAGCGTGATGTCACCAAGCGTTAGGACTGGAGTTGGATGCTGAAACCCCGCGGCTCAAGATTGCGACAAGTGGCTCCATGGGATGATGTAGATGTATGAAAGGGGTAAGGCTAGAAGGCAGAAACCTGGTTCGCAACGATGATTGGGAGAGCAGATAATCAGTGCCAGGTTTATCTCAGGTACGGAGAAGAGAAACAGACAAAGGCCAAAACCGGTTGCACGGAAGGTCCAAAGTGACTATTCCCGAGATCTGGGCTTTCTTAGACTTGCCGCTCGTGGCGGTCCTTTGCATGTGGCTGTCCCGGGCTCTACAACCTTACCATAGACTATGCCCAATCCCACGCTCTCGCCCACAGGTAGTATAGCAAGCATCCGTCCGGAGTACACACGACCGTCACCAGAGCAAAGAGTAGAATCCGGAGTAGGTTCATACTAGCGGGATATGGCTCTCATGTCAGCGGCCAGGTAACCAACGGCGTCATCAACGGTGGAGTCGTAGTGGGGAGGCATTTCTGTCTAAATCCGGAGTCCTAGGCTCCAAGCTGCATCGACCAACTCGCCCCTCATACTGTACTGTACATTAGCTCTCCCAGGAAACGCAAATAGGCGGAGTTTCAGACAATCAGAGTGGACTCTCAAAGATAGGCCTGATATCATGTAGTCCATAGTCAACAGGTCCACCGTATGATCAGGTTTACGGCTTCGGCTCGATGACAGAGTTTCTCGGCAACCTTTGGAAGACAGTCAATCAGAATCCTGGGTCCTGGGTCCTCGGCCGGTCGACTCCTATGCCGCACGTAACAAACCCCTCATCTAACCGTTGTCTCGCACGGGCGCTTTCATTCAGCGGGAAGGTATCCTAGCGCCGACGGGTAAGACAGGGGAGGTCTGCCGAATCTGAGGCACGGATCATAGGGAGTATCGAGCACGGATCACACTCAGTTGGCTGAGCGGCAGCCAAGGCCATGACATGGATGGCTTCGGCGATGGCTTCAGGCGTCTATAGTATAGAGTGGTAATGACAGGGTATCGGATATGTACGACATCGTATGGTGTTGATGAGCAACCGGACGGTTGTCCAGTTATAATCCCCAAAATTGAACCATGACGCCATGAGCGGGGCAATGCGTCTGGACCTTGTACGTGGATACAAGAGTACCCCGTACCATGTACCATGTACCAGATCATGAATGGGACTGGAGTCTGCGTTCATCCCGTCTCCACCCTGGGGTATGGTTCTCTCTGCGCTCTGCGACATGCTACGGGTATAAGAACCCCCTTGCTCCTCTGCTACCTCTGAAGATCCTCAACTACCATCCTCTTCTACTTCTACATAAAAATAGACCTTTTTGTTTATACTCTTTCACCATGTCTGACTTGAAGCCACTCCGTCTCGTGATGGCCTGCGATGAGGCCGGTGTTCCTTACAAGGATGCCATCAAGGCCCTTCTCGAGAAGAACCCTTTGGTCGAGTCCATCACCGACGTCGGTGTCAACTCTGCTTCCGACAAGACCGCCTATCCCCACCCCGCTGTCGAGGGTGCCAAGCTCATCAAGGATGGCAAGGCTGACCGCGGTCTCTTCATCTGCGGTACCGGTCTCGGTGTTGCCATTGCCGCCAACAAGGTGCCCGGTATCCGCGCCGTCACTGCCCACGATCCCTTCTCCGTCGAGCGCGCCATTCTGAGCAACGACGCCCAGGTCCTCTGCATGGGCCAGCGTGTTATCGGCATTGAGCTCGCCAAGAAGCTGGTCGGCGACTGGCTCAAGTACCGCTTCGACCCCAAGAGTGCCTCGGCCGCCAAGGTCCAGGCCATCTCTGACTATGAGACCAAGTTCGCCGGCTCTGCTTAAATCAGGTCGATCCTGTTGCAAGAGATATCGATATACTTCCCCGTGGGCAGAGCCCATCGCCGACCTCTGAACATACCTGTCTGCACACATGGACGGCACTGTCACGTCTGTTATTTATTGAAAGCGCATCATGATACCACGAATTGAAGGTTGAGTCCTGCTGTTGAAGCTGGGATTCGGATCTAAAGGAAATTTCATACTTGATCTCTGTACATAGTACAAATTACAAAGAAATAATTTGCAGCCTGCACATCCATCCATCTTTAGACCTCGAGAACTGTTGAAGCCGAAAGCACTTGGAAACGGAGCCCGCAGACTGCATAGAACCTGCTGAGTCATCCATTCCGCGGGGATCGATGGGCTTCCAATGCTTCTACATCTGCACTTCCCTTTGTAAAGTAAAGAGCAGCCAGATGAACGAGCAATCTCATTTGTAAATAAATCAAATCCCCCAATCCATCAACTTCCACTTTAGCTTCATGCACTTCATTCCCGCAACCCCTCGTTCCTGATCGCTATAGTGGGCCGCCCCACCTGGGGAACTGATTGATCAGCGACTCCAAAGTCCACACTTCTCCCTCTCACACACACACCCTGCAATCATGGCCTCCGAGCTGAAAGCCAAGGGCAACCAGCTCTACAAGGAGGGCGACTACCTGGGCGCCGAAGACTACTACTCACAAGCGTACATCCACCATCCACATCCACCGTCCACCCGCAGTCCCAACTGCCTTCCAAATCCTCAAACTAACACAACCCAGAATTCAAAAGAACCCCAACGATGCAACATTCTTCACAAACCGCGCCCTAACTCGAATGAAACTCTCCAAATGGTCCGAAGTCGAACATGACGCTCGCGCCGCAATCAACATCTACGGCCTGAAGAACCCCACATCCCTCAAAAGCAGCTGGTACCTTGCGCAAGCACTTATTGGTCTCCAACGACCACAGGAAGCATATGAAGTCGCCATCGACGCATACCAGGCTAGTCTCGCTGCTAAGAGCGCGCAGACCGAGAACCTGTCCAATATTGTACTGCGCGCGAAGCAGCAATTATGGGCTGCGCGGGAGTCAGCGCGTTTGCGTGAGATGGATGAGACGTTGAAGAGCGTTGAATTGCTTATTGAGGCGGATCTGGAGCGGTCGATCAAGGACTTGCAGGGCCAGTTGGAGCGTGGGGAGATTGGACAGATAGGGTTTGGGGAGGATGAGAAGGCGATTAGGGAGGATGCGGAGAAGAAGGTGGCTGATTTGCGGGAGATGTATCGGATTGCGTCCAAGGGGGAGATTGCTGAGAGGGTATGTGGCTTTCTTTTCTGATTTTTTCTCTCTTTTTTTTTCTTCCCGAATGGTGCTCTGGGTTTGAGGTTGATGCTGACTTGTGACTCTTGTAGGTTGTGCCTGACTGGTTGATTGATGGCATTACTTTTGAGATTATACATGATCCTGTCGTGACACCGGCAGGTAATAGCTTTGATCGCATTGGCATTGTCAAATACGTTGAGAAATCGGGTGTTGATCCGCTTACTCGTGTTTCTATGACGGTCAATGATTTGCGGCCCAACTATGCGCTCAAAGCCGCCTGCGAAGAATTCCTGGATAAGAATGGATGGGCGGTGGACTGGTGATCCTGGTTGATATATTCTTTTCTTGTCCAGTGTACATTTCTCTATTTTATTTCCGTGCATGGCGAGTGATATGCAGCGTCGGCTTGCATCGGCATGGGCGTCACAGGTCCTTTTGTATCAATAACTGCATACCTGATAGATTACAGTTGCATAGCATTTCTTTAAATTTCATTAACTGCGAGGCCCCAAGTGAACAACCCTGGAAAACCATAGACAACCAAGGTGAGCCATACCCATACCCATACCCATCACCAGAACAATAACCAACTGGCGAGTGCACTGTCAGCAACCCCACCCGTGCCCCTCCTCAACAAACCCCAAGCTCTTCTCCCCCAGCTCTTCTCCCCCAGCTCTTCTCCCCCAGCTCTTCTCTCATCACACACATTCACAATGTCTGACATCACCGATTTCATCTCCGCCCTCGAGGCCGCCCAGAGCAAGGCCAAGTTCACCCCCGAGGTGCAGAATGCTGCCTCCGGCATCGACCCTGCTACCCTCAAGGCCGCCGTCGAGGCTGCCCTTGCCATGGGTGTGGAGGACAAGCTCTCCGATGACGCCCAGATCGCCGCTCTCAAGAAGGGTCTCGACTTCGCTGGCAAGCTGGTCATGATGCTCAAGACTGCCCCCGGTCCCTTTGAGAAGAAGGATCTCTGGGTTTACTTCAAGCTCGGCAACAACGTCATTCCCGAGAAGGCTGGCATGTTCGACATGGTGGTATGTTTCAATTTAGTGTTTCCTTTGGATTGGGTGGCTCAGATTGCTAATTTGGCTTTCATTTTACAGAAGAAGCAGCTCGTCGGCGAGTGGGAGAAGGTCAAGCACTACAGCGACCAGAAGGCCCAGGCTCTCTACATCGAGAAGGTTAACGAGTTCATTGGCAAGTACAGTCTTCGCGATGAGTAAGGGGTTGTGATATCGGCGAGGAAGACATGGTCGAGTGGGGAATGGGAGCTCTAACTGCGAATGGAACGATGAAATATCCTATGGAATTGCTATGACTTTAGAAATCAAGCGATGCATCACGAATGAATGGAACGCCCGTGTCCTGTACATAACACATGCCGAGGTAATTGTGTCAGTTTAGTGCTGGGCTGTACCTGTAAAAATGTTGGAATAGTGGCTATAGAAGCAGCTCAACTGTCATCGCGGGAATTCTTCAGGCGGCCCAGGATAGACCTTGCCAGTCAGGAAGATCGTGTGACTTTGTTGCACACCATGGCTCGTCTGATGCGCTGTATGGTGTGAGTGGGAGATCGTATGGCAGTCGAAATCCAACAATTGTAGAAGGTTTCCTCTCCAGGGCGTCGTCCGAAGACGAACAGGGCCGATCGCGCTTAAAGCAGGGCACCATCAACGCGGAAGATTCCGATATGGGATTCGGAGAGGCAGAGTCATCCGTGAACAGCTCTGGCCACACAGCGACACCAATTTCCCAGCTGGAAATTCTCACTTCTCCATTCGCATTTGTCGCAGCTCCCCAAGCCTGTGTGGACAGGTTCGCAGAAGTTACCATCGCCCAGTCAATGGTATCCATGGTTTTTGCATCTGAATACCGGACATAGGTCTTGATATGAGGTGCGGCACGACCGCGACCGGCTTCACGCTTGGGAGGTTTGTCTTCAGATAGATCAACAAAGTTCGTACTCGACGGGTTATCACTTGCCCAGTGACAGAGATGTGGACGCATGTACTGAAGTTGTTTTTGCTGCGGCGCGCTCTGTATTTTCATATGGATTGATCCGCCAGAACCGTAGCCATCCAACGAGCGCCGGATTTCGTCTGGAGTTGGGAAAATGATGGAGAATTTGGGTTGTGGCTTTGATACTGGCGCGAGTGATTTGAAGAAGACATCCTTCAGCCACTTGTCTGTCTGGCCGAGGGAGGCTACTGAAGAGATTTGAGCGACGATGTGAGGCGTCAAGCCCTCAGGACCTTTCCCTTCTTTGGGTCGTTTCTTGATAGGTATGCGATTCATGAGATCTCTCAAAGCAGGCCAGCCCCATACAGTAGCAATCTCAGAGTCGAGAACACCGAAATCCTGCTTGGATGGTACACTCGCCACAAGCGCTGCACGAATAGCGCCGAAATCATAACGAATAAGTTGCTGTACCAGTGAACCGGTTTTCTTGGGCCCATAGGCCTTTAAGTATGACAGTAGATCTCTCTTGAACCGTGAACCACTACCGATGGCAGATTGGGCTTGTGCAGAATTCAGAGATCCAGCTGGACAAAGAGGAAGCAACGGGGACCGCCACACAGCCTGTGTCATGTTCGTCCAGTCTCCTCGGATCATGTTTGCGGTATGTATAACAACTCTGATGAAGTCAGTAAATAGACCATTAAATAGTCGATCAATATACGCACTGAGCCAGATCATCATGCCGCAGAAGAATCATCATCTTCGAATGGTGCGTCCCAAACCGCTCGGGCATATAAGCTATGATGGGTTCGACATTGGAATATCGAGCGCATGCTTCCTATTACCATGTCAATTTTCATCCCATACTGAATCTCAAACAAAAAGGGCTGAATGAAAAGAGAGAGGCGAGACAGGACTTACTTCCACCCGGATCCGATTAGCAGCCTCCCTCTCCCAGGACCCATGCACGACTTTGACTTGCACCAAACTCCGAACGTCCTCGTCAAACTGATTCATCACGAAATCCACGTCGAACAAGTAGTTGAAGTTCCAGCACTCGCGGATCATTGGATCCCCGAGAATGTCACGCAGTTTGACTGTGTCGACATTGTAGCCCTTACTGGGGGGAAGCCCTCGATGTGACTTAATTGGACCGGAGATGAAACGAATTGAGGCCGTTTGGTGGAGTTGGCCTTGGTCAATTCTGGTTCTTGGGTAAGAACCTGGTCATTCTTGAGCTCTGGACATGTAGTATTGAGGCCTGGTGATTGCCGAGAGCGGGACCTGGGTGGCGGAGTGATAGCTCTGTGTAAAGAGGCCAAAGGTGTCGAGGCCGTACTTTGATGATTATCGCCTGCTCTACTCGAGTCTGGAGACAGTCTTGCCCGTTTAGATGGGCGCTCCATCACCAGCGGCCGAGATCCAACTTGGAGGCCAGGGTGACCAAGCGAAGTGACTGGTCGCGTGGGGACTGGTAGCTGGCGGTTGGGTTTGAGTGAGCTGAGAGTGACCCGAGCGTGGGTTTGAGATATAAAATTCTGTACTCGAGTAAATTGAAGAAGCATTCGGCGTTGTTGATAGCGTCAGTCTAGGACCAGGAATAGATGAGATGAGGTGATTGGTGAGGTGCACGGCGAAGTACAGCCCGATCGAGAAGATACTAATATGAATACGGACCGAAACGCTTGACTGTTCAATTCCTTCTCAACATCTTTCTAAACATCTCCGTAGAGTTCTGGGTAGACGCCTTTGTGTTCTTTTTCCAAGGTATTCCTCTCAATGGCTTTGGAACCTGAGGAGATAAGCCACGGCCGTGTGTTCAGCCATTTTTAATGCGTTCTTGGTCCGGCTATACCACCGCCCGCTGATCTGCCGCTTCCACACTGCGTTGATAGAAATACTTTGAATAACTTTTCTCTCTAAGTAATATAAATACAGTCTAAATACAGTTCGAACTAAATGTACATGCATGACCTTTTAAGAGTCATACTCGGTGACGCAACAATCACCACATGAACCGTTGAATCTTGCCCGGCTCCTGGGGCCATTCGAAGCCCTTGTACAGGAAGACGTACCCCGTAACGACATTGATGAGAATGAACCATACGGTTTCAAGGAACTTGGGGAAATTGGTAGCCACATCCGCGCGGAATTTCTCGCCCTCATTAGCAAAACGCTTTCGGAGCGCTGCGGGAGTCGGCGAGGGTGGCAGATGCAGGCGCCACATCACCCAAGGGATAATAAAGTATCGGGGTTCGACAAGCGGTGCTGTCACAAGAGACAATGCAGTGGCAGCGATCCAAACAAGCACAAAACTGACTCGCGTCTCTTTTTCCTGGGCTTTCCGCTGAGCAAGAGTCTCCCTCATCCGTTCAAATGCCTCAGGTGATATTGGCTGTATTTTGGGTGGCTGCGGCTTCTGCTCCGGCTGCTGGTTGCCATTTTGGGGTGCAGCCTTGGCCTTAGCTCGAGTCTGTTTTCTGGTCTCCTTGGGCACCTCCTTCTCAGTAGGCTTGGTGGCATGAGTTGGCTTGGTGGCAGGGACTTGAAGGAACTGAGGAGTCGAAAATCCAAAGGCGGAGATCACCGACCATCCGCAGAGGAAGTAGACCACGACTGCCGCGTACTTGATGGTGGGGTGGACTCCAAGCAGGAGGCGGAAGACATAGAAGACGTAGTGACGGTTGTCAGCCAGAGTGAAAGGGTGCACAATCGTGTTGAAATGGACGATGGCAAGCATGGTCGGCAGAACAATCAGGCAGGCGAGGATACCAGGCAACTTCTTCTGTTTCTCGGGGAAGCCATAGTTGAGAGACTTCGGCAGAACACTCCGAGGAAGAACAAGATTGAGCACAGGGATAATCAAGATCGGCCAGGAAAAGAAAACGAAGTAGGGCCAGATATAAAGCATTTGAGCCAAATGAATCCCAGCGGTATGGAACTCTTTGTGTCCTATTTCAACTATGTCAATTTGAGAATTTTGATGCCAATAGTTTGCGAGCTTACCCAAAACAACACCATCGTTCCAGAGAACAAATGCACCAAATGCTCCCAGAATGATAATGTGGGGGAGGAGATATCCAACAACGGTGATGGGGTGTCTCAGGCTCGACACAGCGAAGGAAATTGCAGCTTTGAAGTAATCTACAGTATATTAGCATTGCAATGGTCAAATGCGAACTGTGTAGAATACCACATACCTCCAAGAGAAGCCTCCGAGACCAACGGGTCATAAATATGGCCTCGCATACCACCTTCAAAAACAGAGGGTAGATCAGATGACTGAAGAGTCTTGGAGTGGCTGCGAATTGTCCGAACAACTTGCAGTCCACCCAGGAACACAGCCACCCAGAAGATATTTGTCTGGCGGCAAACCAACGCCGCAAGCCCAAACACTAGGAATCCAAAAGTAGAGACCACAGTGTATCCTTTTCTAGACGCCAGCTTGAGATCCCAGTTGTATGCCTCGACGACAGCCAAAAGCGCGAGGATATCGGTATAATATAGTCCGGAGAAGAAAAACAGCGGCGGAAACAGACAGATGTTCAGCACCGTATGACTGATCCAGGCACCCGCTTGTCGGGAGTTTCGCACACTATGCACAGCATCCGAGAGTGCCTGAAGTCTCCACGGGAGAAAGACGGCGGTTGTCGCGACATTGGTCGCGCGCAGAGCTTCGGTGTCGAGCTTCGTCGGAGAGCCGCGGATTGCGAGAAGAACGGCGCAGAGGAGATACGACCATAGGTAAAGGCCTGGGGGAGTAGTAAGTTTTGGATCCCAATGTGTCCATTGGTGAGCCCAGTACGCCTGAGCTTGAGGGACATGGAAGACCTCATCGAGATACGGCTCGGGGACTTCCGCGTTAACCTTGGCCCTCCAAACAGGAATCAAGACCAAGGCGAACGGAACGGCATAGCGAGCCGCACGGCTGAGGTTCGATTCGGAAGAACTCATTTTGTCCCGAGAACGAATTAGCAAGGCTCTAAAAAGAAGCTCGAGAAAGACGACAGGTGGGCAAGCTCCGGTGCAAACACGCCAAACACCGCATTTGACATCAAGACGCGAATCGCGAATTGAGACTCCGCATATTCAGACACGCGACATGGGGCGTTGATGACAATCTCCAGACGAACTGGCTACGTGACTTCTGATTCTTTTTTTTTCTCCGTTGAGACGCGCCAATGGCTTTCCCTCTCCCGCGGGGCATCACGCCCACGGAGATTGCCTTTCTTGCGGAGATGGAGACGGTAACCGTAGTGCCTCGCCAGCGCCTCGAGGGCCTCGAATTACTCGGTGTAAGGATTATCGTGCTATGAAGGTGTTTCAAAACTAATGGGTTTCCCAGGGTCCTATTGAACCTCTCGTCCCGCCACGACGCGCATCCCTTCCCCTCTGGCTCGCTCTGCTCCTCAAACGCCAGCGCCGAGCAAATATCATGCCCCCGCCATGGCTACACCCAGAAGCGCTCAGCCTCCTTCTCGAGATTGAGTCCCAGCATCAGGACTATAAAAACGCCTTCTCGCCACCTCCTCGACTGCCTGGTCAGCCCAGTATCCGGGAGTTGCAAGATGGAGCCATGCCCGTTGCCCGGCCGCAGTATACAAGAGACGGCGACAAGTACTACCCGGCGCCGCCATTCCTTCCTCAGAATGTTGCGCAATCCACAATATCAAGGGATGAAGTGCCTCCATTACCCTTCCACTGGGTTGAGGTCGGGAATATGTTGCTTGATGCGGCGAGCGACGATCTAGTAGACCCGGACCAGGTCAGGCGGCTTCTGAAAGATCTTCGTGAAGTGCGCATGGCTAAGATGAGATCTGGTGTGGATGTCATGGACGCAGCGGCAACAGGCGGAGGAGGTGTAGCGCTCACAGGTGTTGGCGCAATGGAGATTAGCGAAGAGCGTGGGTTCTTGACCGGCGTAGTTGACGGTCTAAGGTATGTTTCAACTTATTGGGACCTATACGTTCAGTTCTGAAGGATTCACACTAACAATTCTCTAGGAAAATCGGCGCATCGAAAGAACAAGCTCGACGAGAACAAATGGCAGAGCAAAGAGCGAATGGTGGATACAATGGCACTCAAGATGACGAGGAGGAAGATTACATGGAATTCTAGGCGCATGGGATTTCTCATTTGGGTATGATTATTTTGGAGTTAAGGTGCATATGTGACGCAGACCGATGCCCCAAACGACGTTCATGTATATAGACTTATATACCCGGCCTTTTTTCAGATCATGACAAGAGGTTATAACCAAAGGCTATGCCAATTCAATAAACACCATAATGCGAGCGCTCTAATACAAATCGAGGGGGGATAATGCTGCGCGACAGGAGTGGGAGAGCACCGTTTCGCAGACACGCGGGTCCTGGGTATTGCCTTTCATCGTCAAGCCGGAAACAGAAGTCGAAATTATTTAATAGGAATATTCGATTCATTGGGCATTACCCTGCTCCTTTTGCATCATCTTCCTCCGCGCCGCGAGGATCATCTCGTCGCGGCGCTTCTGCAGAAGCCGTTGTCGCTCTTCTTTATTCTGGGACCAGGCATTTTTGGAAGGCGTCGCTGAGATAGCCTCTGCGTTCTCACTTGCGAGCTTCGCGCTCAGGTTATAACGGGATATCAAATCCTGCCCACCCGCCTTCGACGTCGATGCAGTTGTAGAGGTAGCCTGCGTGGCTGGGCGATTCGCGGGCATCACAACCTGGGGTTGGAATGATGGAGGCGGCTACAAGAATTAATCAGTCAGTTTATATTCAAAATATAGGGTCTCCTTGAGAAAATCCATAAGAGTCACCCGGGTAATGTGGCGCAGATGGTAACATCAGCGTTCACCGCAACACGTACAGTTTCCAGACCCCGCCCGGCCAAGATTCTCTCTGTCGTCGCCGCAACGCTGCCGCCATTACGCTGCAGGTCCCACATGATCTCACGGGTGCTCAGCTGAGGGAACATCTGCAAGATCTGCTCCACCTGGGCTGGATCGACGACATTCCCACGTCCGCGGGGCCGGCCGCCAGTAGAGGGGCTGTCGTCGCGGTTAAAGAACCATCGTAACACAAAGAAGGATACCACTGCCAGAGTAAGAAGAGAGGGTATGTTCAACGAAGGCTCGTCGTCATGCATTGCGCTGGCGGGATTCGGACAGGGTTCGGTTGGGTTGAATCGGGATGCCAAAGTCGGATTGCGGAGGCGGGACAATTCCGGGTCGGGTAGGAGGTCGTGCGGGAAGGAGGAATGTCGCGATGCGACGAAGACAAGTTGGGTGGGATGCGTGATCGAGTCAAGTTGATGTCCTGGGTTTAGAGGCGCGAGGTGTGGCGTGGGAGTTTCGGGTCGGGGTCCTCTGCACGTGCCGAAGATTCCGTGGGCACCGCGCGCACCTGCAAGTTGATTGAGAGGTATAACTGCGAAAGAAGCCTATGAGTATCTGCGATGAGATAAGAGTATGCGCCTCCGATTCATTGAAGGCTAGGTATACTCATATACTCCGCAGGACTGACCACCAGTCATGATCTTGTTGGTTACCCGATGTATACTCCCGAGATACCCTTTAGGCAACTGTCTTCATGAACCCAACCTTGAATTTGGTTCTATTAAGAACGCCCGAAACCAGACAGGATTGAAGACTACATGCCAGATGGGAGGTATTGTTGGAAAGTATTCACAAAAGTTATTCTTATCAGGAAGCAGGGTGGTTGAGATCGAGTACTCTTGCACCTAAGCAGAGAAAATGATTTACATGAATCAACTAATACTCCAGAAAACAAAACTGAGACTGCGCAGACCCAGAAGCCATTATGCGTAGATCATGAGCGTAGATCATGAACCGATATCCCTTCCCAAAACCCGATAAAGCCGGACTAAACCATAACACCCGCGGCCACGCTATGGAGCCATAATGCACAGCACCGGACGACACCAATAAAACCAAAGGCAAAAAAGACAAACAGATTACCAGCCGACGTCTCTTTCATACCACTCATTTCATGTCGGCGGGGGTCAGTGCCTGGACAATACTGGTACCCTCGCTGAACCGCGTGCGGAAGATGCGGTTGGCGTTTTGGAACATGCCGTCCTTGAGGGAGACGACAATGAACTGAGATCCCTTGAAACGAGTTTTGATCAAACGACCGATGTTCTGAGTATGCGAAAGATCCAGCGCAGCGTCGACCTCGTCGAGAATGTACATAGGTGCAGGCTTGAATTGCAACAAAGCCATAATGAGCGACAAAGCGATGAGGGACCGCTGTCCACCACTCAGCTCTGTCAAACTCTGCTTCCAGACCTTGCCCAGAGACACCTTGACCTCCAAACCATCGGTAATATCCTTGCCTTCCGGAGGATCCAGCTTGGCGAAACTGCCTGGCAGAATGTCTGCGAAGATCTGTCCAAAGTCGCTGTTGACCTTGACCCAGGTCTTGTGAAGAGCCTCCTTCTTATACTCGTTGAGATTGGTGATGGTCTCTTCGATCTTGCGCTTGTCGCGAGTGACCGTTTTCATCATGTTCTTCAGAGCAGCTTCCTTCTTCTCGACACTATCGATCATATTCATGACCTTAGGATTGATCTTCTTCTTCATACCCTGGGAACGTTCCGTCAGATTGCGTAGCGTCGACTTGCATTCGGCAATGTTCTGATTCTGGAAGTGGTAAGGTGTGTTGGCACGGCCGAAGTGCTCTTTCTCGTCTGCAATCCACTCATGCTCTTGCTCCATATGGGAAACGGCCTGAGCGGCAGTGTGCTGGTCTTTCTGCAGCTTCTCAAGTTGGTGGCCCAACTTCTGCATCTCCAAACCTTCCTCGGTGATCTGCGAGGACTTGGACTTCATAGTTTCCTCGAGCTCCCGCAATTCTTCGTCGAAGCCGGTGAGCTTAGCCCGCTCATCTTCAAGCTGAGCTTGCACAATATCGTGGGCATCCTGCGAAGATTAGCATCTGTGACTTTGTCGGTATAATCTCGGTTTGTATGTACCTTGAGTCGTGATTGCTCTCGCTTGAGAGAATCCATTTCCTCCTGCTGCGCCTTCAGAGTATTGATTGACTCGGTCAGCTGTTCCTCGGCTGCGGAAAGGTCGCTTCCAAATTGCTCAGAATCGAGGCGAGAGGACTGTAGCTCTTTCTGTAGCTCTTTAACCGAGGCTGAATTGTTGGTGAGACTCTTCTTGAGCGAATCAACTGAAGCTTGCAGCTCTGCTAACTTGCTGTCTTTGTTGTTGCTGAATTCGCTCATGTCCTTCTCGATTCGTTTGATATCCTTGGATGCTTCGGTTTGGCGAGACTTGGCGTCAACAATGTCTTTCTTGAGCTGCTCAATATTCGCCTTCATCTCCTCAACAGCTTGAATGATCGACGACGACGAGTTGTTGTTGATCTGCTCTTCGGTGAGCTTGATCTCGTGGGTCTTGAGGTCAAGCTCCTGCTTAATCGAACGAACAGCATCGAGCTTCTTCTTCTCCCTCTTCATGTTGTCTTCCAGCATAGCAAGCTGGCGTTCCTTGTTTCGCAACTCCTTGGTCAGTTCATTGAGCTTGCCCAAAGTAACAAGAACACCACTAGAATTGGGTGAACTTCCACCAGAGAGCGTTCCAGAGGGATCATAAACATCTCCGTCGAGAGTAACACTCTTCATACGGACAGAAGGATCGAATGTCACCTTCTTGGCTGTGTCGGCATCATTGGCGATCAGGGTATTGCCGAAAACGTAGTTCATAGCCGCAAGGACTTCCTCGTCGTGGCCGATCAAAGACAATGCCAGGTCGACCTTTCCGGGAGCAAGCTTTTGTGCAGCTCCAATCTTCTCTGCAGAAGCTTTGAAAGCGGAGATCTTGTTCAGAGGAATGATCGTCACACGCTTGCGCAGCTTACCGTTTTGAAGCAGCTGGGTACCGATTTCAGCGCTTTCAACCACTACGTTGTACAGACGGCCACCTGCACAAATCTCCAGAGCGGTGGCAGATTGCACCTTGTCCTTATTGAGAGTGAACAGCTGCGCGACCAGACCTTTGACCTTGGAACGATCAAAGTTTGGGTGGGGATCGGTGTAGTTGAAGTCGATATTCGCAGCCTTCCTCCTCAAGCCATCGGCCCTTTGGCGGAGATCACTGATATCGCGCTGCAGTCCAGACTGCTCTTGGTAGATTTGCTCCTCTTTGCCTGGCTCAAAACCAAGTCGAGAGAGCTCCGACTCCAGCTTTTGAGCCTGGGTTTTCATGCCTTCCAAGTCCTTCAGGAGGCCTGAATTCTGCTCCTTGGCCTTTTTGGCGCGCGGCTCTTCCTCTCTGATCCGCTTCTCAAAGTTGGTGATCTTGAGCTTCGCTTGTTCTTGTTCCGTAGCGGCGTTGCTGGCGCGGTTTCGGGCGTCTTGGAGTTGTCCTTGATATCCGCTCTCCTGTCCTTCCTTCGAGGCCACACCAGTCTGCAAGGTCTGTAGTAACTCTTCTTTTTGTTCGACTTCGACATTTTGCGCATCAAGTTCGGATTTGGCTGAATCGTATTGGGCTTGTAGTCTCTCGTAGACCTTTCTCTTCTCCTTCAAAGCTTTCTCCAGTTCGCTAACGGTCTTTTGAATGTTCTTGCCCTTCTCTTTCTCCTCCTCCATGCTAGAGTTTTTCAGATCGAAGACGGTTGTCAATCGAACCAGCTCGTGCGAGTGATTCTTGACTTCATCTTCAAGACCTTGGAACTTACCACCCTTCCGCAGTTCCTTATCGCGCGCGGCCCGGACCGATTTCACGTCCTCTTCTAAGTGGGCGATTTCGCCCTTCAGCTTTGCGGCATTGTCTTCCAGCGCTTGAACCTTGGCTCTCTTGTTGTCGCACTCGTCGCCTGCAATTCGTAATCGCTCTCCGCCGCGCACGTAGTCATGGGCAATAACGAGGCGGGTCAACCGCTCAAGGTCATTTTGTGTTTGTTGGAAGTCGAGGAATGCACGCTTTTCGGACCGGAGCTTCTCAAGCTTGGGCTCGATCTCTTCCTTCAGAAGCTCTTCGATCTCGCGCAGCTTCACGTCTTTCTTGTTCATTGTCTTGTTTGCTTTTTCCCTCCGGTCTTCGAACATTCGTGTACCAGCCGCTTCTTCGATCATTGACAAAATCTCAACCGCCTTCATGTTCAGGACTTTCGTAATGCGACCCTGCATAATGAGGAAGTTGGGGTTGTTGATGTTCAGCTGAACACTCTGAAAGAGGTTCTGCACAGTCTGTTGCTGCGCGCGATGGCCATTGATCAGGTATTTGCTCGTACCGCCAAGAACGATCTGTCGGGTCACGGAGATGTTGGCGTATTCTTCAAATCCGATTGGGGATTTGGACGTGTCGCGATTGTCAAAGACGATGGTGACACTGGCCTTGGTCACACCAGCTTGACCGCGCTTGTAGATTAGGTCTTGAAGGTTTTGCGCGCGAACGGTGGACATGTTCGTGATACCGAGAACGAAACAGATCGCATCGAGGATGTTGGATTTACCGGAACCGTTGAGACCGGTGACAGCGTTGAAGGATTCGTCCCTAAACCATGCAATTAGCTTCGCTCCATAAATGTCACATCTTTGACAGCATCGCATGCAACGGAGGATTTGCGCACCATCCCGAGATCACCGTACGCACGGCGTACGATTTGAAGCCCTAAAACACAAAGAGGTTAGCGCATAGAGTAGACGTAGTTAGCTCAACTGGTAGCTCACGTCTATCACAATCTCGGTGATCCGCATGTTGGGCAATGCGGGCTCGTCGGAGGCGGTATCGTGAGACGAGAGGGGTCGTGTTTGTGATGATGTTTATGATTGACCATAATGGGATAGCGCGAGTCACGTGTTGGTGGGAGCTCCGCTTGCCGGTGAATAGCTATTCCGGATATCCCCTTGTGGACTATATAGATCAAATTCGTCTACTTTTAGTAGCTGGCAGGCTTAATCTTTCGACGTGAGGGTGAAGCCGAAAACCATATCCACCGAACTACAGAGAAACCGAAAGTAGATGTGTACTTGCCTATACTGGGCAGCCAACCTCCAATGGCTGCACTCGAGCATATTAGGTCATCTCGGCCACTTTCCAAAAAACTCTCCGTCATGTTCAGTTGACTGTGCCACTTCTCTATAGCCATATTAGCATTATCCCAATGATTCAGAGAATAGCGGTAAATTTTTTACCGCAAGTAATTCATCACAGACACAAATCTGACAAGACTACCCATTATCTCCCTCCCTGATACTCATGAAGTCACATTGAACGTAGGAGATCTAAATCATCCTAGTCTATCACCAAGCTGGCTGACCGCCTAGTCTAGTTTAGTTGCTGTACCGAGCCCATAGTTTAAAGAATACATCATCTTTCCATCATCCGCAACCTGTGTTCGTACCATAGTCCTAAACCCAGGTGGTCCCCACACGTGTTCGCGGAGACATTTTCGGACACTTTCGACACCGCTTCGTATAGCAGACCAATAGTTCGGTAAGATCAAAGTGCAGAATGCCAGGCAAAACGTATAAAAACACCTCCAGGGACACATGTAGACTATTCTTTTCTTCATCCCTTACACAATTTGTGATTCAAAATCTATTCAAGTCCCTTCAAACTTCCATTTCAATTCAATATCTAGTACTGGCTCCCACCAGATCATCGAAACCGCACTCTACAATGGATAAATACGAATGGCAGAAGATGTTCAAAGACAACAAGTTCGTCGACAACTATAAAACCGGTGAAAAGGTCACCGGAAAATTCGCCCAGTCACTGCTCGAGCAGAGTGGCATGGTCAAATATGCCAATTCTAGCCCAGAGAAGTCCCTCGTGGTGTTAGACAATGCTTGCGGCACTGGGGTTGTCTCGAGTCTTCTTAACCAGCAGCTTAGTGAAAAAGTCAAGAAGAACTGGAACTTGACTTGCGGTGATATTACAGAGGGCATGCTGGCTTACACTCGTAACCGACTTCAGCACGAAGACTGGCAAAATGTGGAGGTCAAAAACGTGGATGCACAAGAGACTGGATTGCCTAGTGCTCACTACACGCACGCGATTACTGCATTTGGTAAGCTTGCACCCTATGCTTCAAGTACATTATGCTTGGTCTAGACTACTGACCCGGTCAGCTTACATGGCTCTTCCTAAATCACTGGAAGCTTTGGATGGTAAATAGCTCTTTTGGTCCGTCATGATGCCATGTCATTAACTTGATCTGGTATTAGAAACGTCTCGCATTCTCCAGCCTGGAGGTACCATTGCTTTCTCGACCTGGATTGAACGTAAGTCTCCAACAATAATGACTAGCCCCTCGAAGTAACATTAGTCCAGCTGGCTGGATCACCATCGTCCAGAAGGCTCTCGAAACTATCCCCGAGAGCCTACCTTTCCCTACAACTGAAGAATTTCTCGCTCATTCCGGCCGTGTCGAATGGAACTCTGTGCCCTGGATCGAGTCCCAGCTCAAGCAGCGGGGCTTCGAGAAAATCATCGTGAAGGCTGATACCAAGACCATCTCACTGCCCGGTCCAGAGTTTGTGGAAATGGCCATGATTATGTTCCCCGTCATTACCAAGTCCTTCTGGACAGAGAAACAGCGCGAGGATCATGGAGATAAGGTTCGTCCGGCATTGGAGAAGTACCTGGAGCAACGCTATGGAAAGGATGAGGACGTGCCTATGGAATGGACGGCTATTCTTTCTACGGCTTGCAAGCCAAATTAATGGCTGGTCTTTGTGGAAGAGAAGAAGTGCCGAAGACACGAGGTAGAGGCAACTTTGTATAAGAGATCGGGGCGAAAAGTGCGGGATGGAAAATTGAATACAGAGTCTTTGCCTGGCTTTTGTCTTAAGATGCATCCTGGTCATTTTTCTTGCAGTTCGAAGCAATGATGGACTATAGATCAATGATCAAGCTGGTTGAGTCTACAGACAGAAGTCAGATGTATGAAATTGGCAAAGTCATAAAGGCCATTTGATTGTGAGATCATATCTTGGTTTCCATAGCCCATTTAGATTCCCCGATAAATCAACGCGCCTCGATCCTGAACTGCACTGTACTATCGGCCACCCTTGGAACAACGTTACAGAAACCATTAAGCCAAACGCCATTGCTGATTACATAAATCAGTTCCGCCACGCCTTGATCTGCTTCATAGATATCTACTCATGAAGCGTGCGTGGGACCAGCTGGACGACTCATGCTGCGGTTGGCGTCGAGCCGGTTATCCAAATCTTCGTATCGCAAAATAAATTCACGCTGTCGGGGCCAGTTAGCATGCTATTTCGTTTGTCAGGTGTTTACTTGACTTACTCGAACCTTCTTCCAGCTGGCAGGGTCCCAGAGAAGGTACACGCCGCGCTCACTCACGCCGCGCTCCACATCGACCGGGCCCGGATATGTGTCATCACGAGTCAACCAGCAGCGCTCTAGCTTGTGGTAACGCCATTTGCGACCCATCAACTCCTCTGCGACTAGCTCTTGCATGATATCTCGAGGCATGCTATAGAAGATGTAGAAGAGCGTCTCGTCGCTGAAACCGGGAATTCGGGATTGGAGGGGCTGGATGTTGGCGACATTGTAGCAAGATGGCAGGGAGAAATCTTGCTCCAGGGGTACGGCGGACATGGAGGATACGAATGGTGAGGCAAACGAGGTGTGCAGAGGCCTACAGCGTGTCATTCTTAGCAGTGATCGGAGAAAACGGGATAGTCGGGAAAAGACGCGTACTCGGGCTGGTTCAAGTCTAAACCAAGAGTCATCAGATCTTGACCAACAGCCAGACTGGCCACATCGGGGCTCTCGCTGTGAATCATGCGCAGGAGGCCGGCCAGTCCGAACCGATCGAGCTCATTCATCTGTGCGAGAGGCGGCTGCTCAGCACTTTGAGCGCCGCCCGAAACCTCCTGGCCCTCGGTAGCTTGTTGCTGCCTTTGCTGCAATTGTTGTTGCGGATCGCTGAAGGTGCGTTGACCCGACATGAGGGTGTTGTTCAGGTCCTGCAGTGTCGGTGAGTGCGGGGCCTGGACCACGATCGACGATCTACTCACTTCTTTCTCCTGTCCCAACACGCCATTAGGTCCCTGGTGCACAGGCGATCGCGATGTTCCGATACCTGAATGCTATATTAGCCACCCATTTTCGACTGTCGGTCGCTTTCACTGGCACTCTCTTACTGGTATTGTAGCTCCCGAAAGCCGCATTCTGCATCAGAGAGGTTCGGCGGTCTTGCCCGAGCTCGGCAGGAACATTGCGACCCAAAGGAGGGAACTCCTCGATGTTGCCTGTCTGAGGCTGACTCCCTATTTGGCTACTGATGCCTTGTCCACCATTCCTGAAATCGTCCAGTCGGTTGGCAAACTGACTCCCCGAGGGGAACATGTCGTCATGAGGAGGCTGAGACGGTTGCTGTGCAGAATGTGATGGCGTCTGGGAGGCTCGAGAAGGGGTTTGCGACGTAGGAGGAGGCTGTTGTCTCTGAACAGGCGTGTGCTGTGCAGCTCGTTGGCTTGCGTTGGCCCACACGAGCTGTCCAGGGTTCTGAGATTGTGATTGCTGCGGCGCGTTGGAGAGGCTAGGGAATTCACTAAAACATCGTCGCCGTTAGCTCTCAACGCGGCAACTCCTCGGGCAACACCGAGGAAAATGGACCAATTGATCCTATCAGCAACGAGTTCCTTACGACATGTCTAACGGCGTGGCCGGTTGGGAACCCCCAAGACTTTGCGCAAAGCTTCCCATAGTTCCCATGGTGCGTTGCTGGTTGGTTTGTAGAGTGGAGGCTCCGCTAACGGGGAGATTGAAGTTCCAATTAGCTGCGCCACCTGCGATAGTAGTCCCCCGAGTGTTAGCTTCCAATCCGTGCCTTCGAATCATGAATTTCAATCGACTAGTGAAGAAATCGTACCCAATTTTCCGTTTGGCAATCGTGCGGAGGGCAATGTAGCAGTTCGGGCCTGTGCTTGCTGTGGCGCGGGGAATCCGGACATGCCTCGTAGCGGCTGCGGGCCAGGTCCTATACGCGAGGACAAGGAGTTAGTATGATCTTCACTGACTCAAATCACAGTGCCCATGCCTTGGGTCAACGCAAGAATGTGTCTCCAGATCCTCTCAAAAATGTCTCGGTCGCAAATGAGGGAACTATCTGCACCCCGGCTGCCATTGGAGCACGAAACCCCTTCGCCCTCGAATTCGAAGTGAAGATATCTCCGCCTTTCGAGACCAATCCAGGAACAGTGACCCTCATATCTAACACATTCTCTTGTGGCCGGAGACACGCCAGGCAAGGCACTGAGTGGGTGAAGAAAATGACGCACCTGGCCTGTTCATAATCGGGGGGTCGAGGATCAGTTGAGTAAGAATGAGAGAGACTCTCGGATCGGTCGAGCACAAATATCAGTCGAGTACTAGACCGAGTAAGAAACCGTGGAGAGATAGCAGTCCACAAAGGCCCTCTCGACCGTACTTAATGCGGTACTGCTCCGCCTGGAGGTGGAGTGACTCGATTGGGCGATTAGGCGCGCGGATGCGAGTGGATGCACAAGTTTACTTTAAGTTGTAGTCGACAAAGTGACCATGTAAGAGGGATAAAAATAAAGAAAATTTTCAAGAAAGACCGAACTTCCGACGAGTCGAGCCAAAAGACAGTCCTGTCTTTCCTTCAAGGTACAATTGAAGAGCGGCTTTGGAGTTGCCGCGAGTCGCGCACGTGACCATCCGCCTTCGATCCCGAAAAAAAGACAGCGCCAATTCGGACTCCTGCAACGACAAAGCATCACCATGCATCGGCCGTCCATTGCTCGTCTCGCCCAATATGGGGGTCTTGTGGCTGAATTGCCCCCTCCCTATCTGGCACCTTCTCTCCATTTCTCGATGGCCCGATCCTCCCAGTCCTCGAGCTTCTCTACGACTCCTGTCGCCGCCGGCCGTGGACGCGACATGAACAGAACCCGCGGCGTGTCGGCCATTCACCGCACTGGCACCCGGTTTAAGCTGAGTGCATCGAAATATCCCTTGCCCAAGCCCGTGACGCCCGAGCCGCAACAAACCCCCGATCACGGACTCTGGGGCTTCTTCCCCAAGTCGCGCGAGGCAATGAGCGCCCCCGAATTCGACATGGACCATGGTGAGTGAACAGCTTCCCGGTCATGTTACGTGATATACACTTCAAACGTGCTTTGTTCTAATTGGTCAAACTAGGTCGCTCATGGGCCGTTCAAGAACTACGTGAGAAGAGCTGGGACGATCTGCACAAGCTGTGGTGGGTTTGCGTCAAGGAGCGCAACCGCATTGCGACTACCAACTTAGAGAGAGAGCGAATGAAGGCTGGTTATGGTGAACACGAGGCCAGTGCGCGTGACCGTGTGGTAAGTTGTCACCTTGCTCGTCTAAGCATCACTTATATCATCGTTTGGCTTGCTGGAGAAATCCACCGATGCGGCATTTCCTTCGAGGGCTTGCCAGTTGGTTACTCTTGAGAGTCCAAAGTTCCTCGTTGTCATTTGTTTCGGTTATGTACTGACATCTCTTTCCCTTAGGTCCAAATCACACAGAAGAGCATCAAGCACGTTCTGCGTGAGCGCTGGTACGCCTGGGAGGACGCCAAACACGAGTACTTCACTAAGGGCTACCGCCCGCAGCATGAGTCCGCAATGGAGGAGGAGACTTTCGAAAGCAGCCCGTCGAAGCCTTAAATGAAGGCGTGGAATCCCCGTCTCGAATCTTGTAGCATAGTCCAGACCACCTTTCTTTTTTTTTCATAGTTCTGCTGCATGTAAATTATCTAACGAAGGATTTCAAATGTTGGAAAAGCTGCCTTCTTCTTTTATGGGACAGTGAATCACGTAGACCACGTAAGAACATGTCGTTTCAGGGGCTATACGTAAAGAATAGTCTAGAACCGTTGTCTATTTAAAGGGGGAGTCGAAGCAGATTAGGGGGATAGGAAGAAAAGTGTTTGGTCACTGAGGTAACTCACTAGTGGCGGACCCGTCAAATAGTCCCCTTCTTACCGCTTCGTTGATCCGCGGGGGAGTCTAAGGAGAACCTTCTTTCTTTCCACTTTCCGGCATCTGCATTACCTTTCTCATATCTTACCTACTCTTTGCTTTGCTATATCCACAATGGATGAGATCGCGCCTGAGTACGACGTCGTGGTGCTGGGCACTGGTACGTTGCTACCCCGCCATTCCACTGCACAATCACTGACCTTCCCCTCCAGGCCTGACCGAGTGCGTGTTGTCTGGGTACGGAGCTCTTAAACATCAAGCTGTCAATGCTTCTTCTCTAATGTTCTCTTCTCCAGTGTCCTGAGTGTGAAGGGTAACAAGGTCCTCCACATCGACCGCAACGACCACTACGGAGGGTACGCCGACCAACAGAGCTCCCCACAACTCCAACCAGTGCCGAGATAGCTAACAATGATTTCAGAGAGGCCGCCTCCGTCAACATTGAGACAGTACGCCTAGTGGTCCGTTCGTGATGGTCCCTGCTAACACTCCCCCGCAGCTGTTCAAGAAGTACCGCAATGTCGCCCCCGGCGAGGAGCCATGGAAGAAGTACGGACGTGTCAACGACTGGAATATTGACTTGGTCCCCAAGCTGCTGATGGCCAACGGCGAGTTGACCAACATTTTGGTTTCCACCGACGTGACGCGATACCTGGAGTTCAAGCAGATCGCTGGCAGCTACGTCCAGCAGGGCAAAGGTCCTAAGGCGACTGTAGCCAAGGTGCCCTCGGATGCGGGTGAGGCCCTGCGCTCTTCCCTCATGGGTCTCTTCGAGAAGCGCCGCGCCAAGAAGTTCCTTGAATGGGTTGGAGAGTTCAAGGAGGACGATTCTGCGACCCACCTAGGTAAGTGATAGTAGATCTTAATGGCCATGGTATAGCTAGCTAACCTAGTCAAGGCCTGAATGTCAACGCTTGCACCATGAAGGAGGTTTATGACAAGTTCGGCCTCGAGGAGAACACCCGTGATTTCGTCGGCCATTCCATGGCCTTGTTCCCCGAGGATAACTACATTTCCACTCCCGGCATGGCCGTTGAGGCTATCAACCGCATCCGCCTTTATGTCAACTCCATGGCTCGTTACGGCAAGTCTCCTTACATCTACCCTCTCTACGGTTTGGGTGAGCTTCCTCAAGGCTTTGCTCGTCTGTCCGCCATCTACGGTGGCACTTACATGCTGAACACCGACATCGACGAGGTGCTCTACGATGACAGCGGCAAGGTCTCCGGCATCAAGGCCACCATGAAGGACCGTGATGACCAGTCTGAGGCCATGAAGTTCGAGACCAAGACCAAGAAGATTATCGCCGATCCTTCCTACTTCCCCGGCAAGGTTCAGGTCAGCGGATACCTTATCAAGGCTATCTGTATCCTGAAGCACCCCATCGACAAGACTGACGGCAGCGATTCGCTGCAGCTGATTATTCCTCAGTCCCAGGTTGGACGCAAGCACGGTAAGATGAAGATGAGCAGGCAATAAGGAGGCATTTCACTAATATCTGTAGATGTCTACATTGCGATGGTGTCTTCCGCACACAACGTCTGCCCCAAGGGCTACTACATTGCCATCGTCTCTACCATTGCCGAGAAGGATGCTAACCACCATATTGAGCTTGAGGCCGGCTTTGACCGTCTGGGCGAGATTGAGGAGAAGTTCATGGGTCCTCCCATCCCGCTCTACGAGCCCCTGGAGAGTGGCGAGAAGGATAATATTTTCATCTCCAAGAGCTACGATGCCACATCTCACTTTGAGACCACAACCTGTAAGCTTTATAGCCCTCCCATTGAATTATATGTTACTAACTGCATCTGTAGACGACGTCAGAGATATGTACCGTCGTGCGGCCGGCGAGGAGCTGAAGGTTGAGGGACTCCGGGAGGACCAGCAGCTGGCTCAGGAGTAGATGACTAGAAGCCTTCAAATGTTACAAATTGAGCTATCGCTAGATGCTGGTTGACTATATTTCTCTTGAACATGTTTGATACTCTGTCGTTCTTCGTTTTTCGCTCCTGAGCACCAACTGCTCTGTCAGATCTAACCAGGAGGTAGCAAGCGCAATATACCTGTCTGCCATTCAATTCATACAGCCGTAGTTCTTTATATTGGCGTAAGGTATCAAAAAGGGCAATGTTCTATGTACACCCGCTAAGCCCGTCTCCACGTCCACCTGTATCTCTATCCATTCTTAAATCCTCTGTTTCATCTCCGGATCTGTATTCGCCTTCTCATGCTCTCCAACAACGCACACATCCCCAGACTCGGCCTTCTGGATCTCCGCACGCAGCAGTGCCAGCCGCTTTCCGACATGTATCAACTCACACACTATCCGTGCCTCAGTACCTGTCGGCACAGGGCGCAAGTAGGTCACCTTAAGATTGCGGCTCACACCGCCAAGAGAGAACTTGCCGGGCTCCGAGACACCCAAGAGAATCGTGGTGGAGAGAACATCGATCAAAGTGGCAGCGCAACCGCCGTGCAAGTTGCCCATATAGTTGCTAAGAGCCGGGGTGATGTTGATGAGGAAGGAGACCTTGGCCGGCGGGCCGCGGGTTGCGGATTCAAAGCGCAGATTGCAGCTGCGCGCATCGACATCCCAGTGCTGGAGAATAGTCAGCGATGTATCCTTGAGGCTAGTGGATTGTCGCGAAGCTAGTCGCTTGTTAGGACGAACCTCCTCGCTGCCCAGGCCCATTCGAATCGTATACTCGTAGACGAGCTCTTCAAACTCGTCCATTTGTCGCGCCGGGGCTTTGATAGCATGTTCGGACATGATGATTGTAATAATGAAATGACTGGTAGAAAAGAAATAAGCAAATGGGTATCGTGGGAGCTATGAAGAAATTGAAGAAGTTCCAGGATCCTCGTAACGGCAGGTCCCCGCAGGCAGCTCCGACGTGGACCTCGGCATCGACGATGCCGATATCACGCCCGAGTGTCTTGCCGCATACAACCTTGGAAGCACTGTCGAGATTGGGTTTTCGATACGAGACTCTATGGCGAAATCTCCCGAACTGTCAAGTGCTTGTGTGCTGGTTCCATTATATCTTTATTTTAATTCTTATCGACTGTTCTAAGGTTAACGTGCATGTGTATATTTCAAGGTATCTTCGAAGCTTTTTACTATTACCAATATCAATAATATCACTCTGTTTCCAAACATTCGCGATTGCATAATTTAATTCATTTGGTCTCACAATAATGACTGCCATCTCATCTAGAAGCATAAAGACGAATGTCCAGCATGGCGACTCGCGCACCTGACTTCGCGTCACGCGTGGTGGCCTCAGGCGAGAAACCCGGAGATGTCGATTTGTTGCCGAACCGTCAATAGCTGCCCCTGCCATTGACCTCCCGACACGACTGTCTTCGGGATAGAAAAAGGCTAACAGGCTCCCGGCGCCTTTTTTTTGACATTGCCTGCGTTCAAATTGAGACGACATCCCTCTATTCTTTTTATGCGTGTTGTGGGATTAAGTCCCTAGCTCGACGTACACAAGGGTGATCGGACAGTGTTGAGCTCAGTATTGATCACTGGAGCGGTCGCAAACCCGAATTGTACACTCAATTTGTATGAGACGCATCACACGAACTCTTTTTGTCTCCAGCGAGCCACCTCGCCCCTGCCTATATCCTCTAAACATTGTCCGGCGCAACACGACAAATCGCAACCATGAGGGACCCGCGCGCATCGAAGCGGAGAAGAGTCTCCGAGGAGCCATCCCAGGACCAAGATGGAGATATTGAAATGGACGGCGACGAGATCGACATTTACTCAATTCCATCCTCCCCAGCCGCTGGAGACTCCGAGGACGACCAAGATTATCGCGCTCCCCGGAAATCAGCAAATCGGCGTCGATCAACTCGAGGTGGGAATAAAACTGTGCCGGAAGGGCTGGACCAAGAAGAAGAGGCTCATGAGAATGGCGCAGAGACACCCGCGAGAGCTGGTACTCGGTCAAGTGGACGGCAGCGCAAAGCGCCCCAGAGATTGGAAGGCGACGCCGTGACACCGTCTTCCACGCGAAGAGGTGCCGCTACGCCTCGGAGTACTCGTGAGTCAAGAAGCGCACAGAAACCGAAGCAGGAGTCTGTGGACGACGAGGAGATGGATCTGGACGAGCCGTCACCGAAGCCGACTGCCTCGGTTGCAAGGACCAGGTCTAGGAGGAGTACTACCAGACCCAGGGCAAATGGTGCGAAGAATGGAGGACATGATAAGGAGTTGTCTCCTTCGCTTGAAGGGTATAATGATGGTCTGGATGACCTTGTTGCCATGCAATTACAGCAAGATCTCCAGGGCCAACAAGAGACGCACGAAGTTGCTGAAGTGGCTGAGCCGGTTCCTGAATATGTCGAGAACCTACAACAACTCTGTCAGGGTGGACTTCAAGATGAAATGCGTGTCCTTACGACTGCCGTTCTGGAGAAGTTGTCTGGAAAACAGCAAATTCCGCTCAAGGGCGTTGAGAACGAATATACCAAGGTCAACCACTTGATCGAGCAGACGGTAACCATTGGTGAAGGTAACTCGATGCTCCTTCTTGGATCGCGCGGGTGCGGAAAGACGGCAATGGTGGAAACTATCATTTCTTCTCTTGCAAAAGATCATGGGAACGACTTCCACGTCGTTCGTTTGAATGGCTTCTTGCATACCGATGATCGTCTGGCTCTACGAGAAATGTGGCGCCAGCTTGGTCGTGAGACCCATACCGAGGACGACACAGCCAAGGTCAGCTCCTATGCCGATACGATGGCGACCCTTTTGGCTCTCCTCTCTCACCCGGAGGAATTGTTCGGCGCTTCTGGGAATGCAAAGGATGTGACAGCCGCCAAATCAATTGTGATTCTGCTGGATGAGTTCGATCTGTTTGTCACCCACCCACGCCAGACTTTGCTATACAATCTGTTTGATATTGCGCAAGCACGAAAGGCTCCGATCGCAGTGATCGGGTTGACTACCAAGGTCGACGTGACTGAGATGTTAGAGAAGCGAGTCAAGAGTCGTTTCAGCCACCGCTACGTCTACGTTCCGCTACCTAGGACCTATGAGATTTTCTCGGATATTTGTATGGCGAGTCTTGATCTCAGTGACAGCGAAGTGCTGCAGCTTATGGGTTCTCTCGGCGATAAACACGCTATAGTGGAATCCAATGATTGGAAGACTTTACTCGAGGGATGGAAGGTATACTTGAAGGTACGCGACTGCTCATCTTAGCTACCAGACTTAACGATCAAACTGACACTTTTTTTATAGCAACTATGGGACGACGAGGACTTCCAATTCCACCTCAAGAGAATCTACCACCAAACCAAAACCGTCAAGGACTTCCTCACCAGCGCTCTTCTACCCATCAGCGAGCTACACCTCAGCACGCTAGCCGCCGACAAACCTACATTCCAAGTCCCAACCGCCAAAAGCTTCGCCTCACAATCTCTCTCCTGCCCCGACCCAGCCCCACTCCCATTCGCAACATCTACATCCTCATCGAGCCCTTCCTCCCTGCCACTGGCACTCCTGCTGGCTGCCACTCGCCTGACGGCTCTCTTCGACCCCGGCAACGACGGCCAAGCACAAAGCTTATCACCACTCGCACTCTCTTTCCCAGCCGCATACGCAGAATACGTGCGTCTACTCACATCCGCCAAGACATCTGCTTCCGTGTCCGGTGCGGCTGCCACGCCTGGCCGCGTCTGGGGGCGCGATGTGGCACGCGAATCGTGGGAAAAGTTGGTTACATGGGGGCTGGTCACTCCGGTTGGTGGAGGTAGTGGCACTGCCGATGGGCAGATGTTCCGAGTGGAGATAAGCTTTGAAGAGGTTGTTGAAATGGCTGGATCGAGCAGTTCGTTGGGTCAGTGGTGGCGAGATGGTTGATCAGGTCTAGCATCGTCAACGACATTTTTTTTTTTTGATTATGCATCTGCATTTTTGCATTTACTCAGCCATGCATTATCTACACCCAGGGCTGCACGCTTTAATGACGTTCGAATTAGAAGAGCTCAATACTATGTTCAACCCCTGAGAACAAGCATCCGTTTAGGCGAGTTTCAGACTTTGTCACGAACAACACAGTCAATGTGCATACCTTTGCCTCGACCCCCTGCACCTAGGGCAAAATTCTTTGGAACCACCCCCCACAACTTCCAGATAAATCTCGATCAGAAGAGTTTCAAGGTTATTACAAACAAACCTGCTCAACGTGGGTGCAAACCGGTTTCACGGTAGTTCCACGCGGCCGATCTACCGCCCGATCGATTGCCACGCTACAGTAGATTTTCTATATCACATTCTTGGAAGGGAATACCAGCCTATAAGGTAGCGGACCAGAATTCATCCCCGCCTCGTCTAAGCATTGGAATCGATACCCGTGGACGCTAGCTCAATTGGAGAGGTCATGACACCTTCAGCGGCCGATCATTTCCTAGATGCTACTTTCTAGATTGGCGATGATATCGCGCTATCCCTGGCCTTGATCAATCGTGTCCGCCCTTACCTTTGCTCCCTGCACCGTGCCGTGTATCCCAACAACAGTTGTTCTCGGTACATCATCGGAGTATGTAGGAACTGACTCAAGGTTTCGATGTCGGTATTTATTATTAATTATTTTTTTCCCTCTCATGGATTGATGCTTTAGGAAGGTCTAGATGGGACTATTTGGTAAATCCAGGACACCTCACGTGGTACAGGTGATAAAAACAGAGATAAAGCAAACAAGAATACCTCCCATCCATGGATGACTACCTCAACCTCCTCCCCGGGCCCATTTCAAGACCATGGCTACCGGTAGAGGATATACTGTAGCCAAATCCGATCTCAACTACTAACAGACCCCTTCATCAAAGTGCCACCATCTTTGCCACATTGATCGCAGGGTTGGTGATTGGTGCACAGACACGCGGCATGCATGTGTGCCATGTGTCGAAAGTGACATGTCGAGTGACATGTCGCAAGTTCTCACGACTATGCCTAGAACGGAAATGGAGGCAGGGGGTCTCTGTTTGGCGAACTGAGCATATTACTGCACATGCAGCACGCCGATTGCTGGGGTTGCAAAACATAATTTGATATTATTAATATCTGTCGGCCTCCGGTCATTCTATGGGCCGAGAATGCCGCACGCTATCAATGCGGACATATGCTGCCTGCAGGCTGCGAATCTGGGATGTCCCGGGTTGCACGGGAATAGATTGGGGGTTCGGGGTTTGGAAGTCCTCCTCAGTTGTGGAAAGAGTCGTGGATTCCCCACAGGGGTCATGCATCCTGTTACCCTATTGTCTGCACTACTTGGAATGCAATCTTGACCATCTCCTCGGACCTCCAGTTACGGTCTGGTCTCTTTCACAAGGGGGGAGATTCCCCTTATGGACGAGCAAACCGGGCTACCGCAGCGGGCCATTACCTGCTAACCCCGAACCGCAGGATCTGCGGCCTGCAGCACCTGGGTTGATTTGCAACGGCATTGGGTCGCAGGCAAGGTCGCCATCTGGAGCTATGAGCCATGCGAGTAGTGCAGAATTGTGGAGTCGAGGTTCTACAAGAGGTCCAAGTGACGGAGAACCATTTCCTGTCCAACAAGCACTCAACACATCTCCGACTCCACCCTTCTTCACGGCCACTAGACCGTTGTGGCGAAACGGCTGTTGGAAAGGGGAGGGGAGACTAAGTATCGGTACAGGCATGACAAAGTTGTGACTGGAAATTGGGACTTGGAACTTGAGTCGAAGCATTGACCCTCGGCCGAAGGAAACAAACCTCAGGTCATACGAGCCCAAGCCGTGTCAAGGAACCACATGAGAAAGCTCCTGCATATTTCGCATGGTACCCCAGGAATTAGAGGACGAAAGTCGAAACGCACCAGGACGCTGGAAGCTGTAGCTGCATATCCGGCGGTCACCGGCGCAAGCAACTAAGAAGCAACCCCGCTCTGTGGGAGTATGAGGCGTTTTTGTCATTTTGTCTTAGTTTTCGCGGTTACCCTAGAGGCCGACATCAATTGGCTCACAGGGAAATTTGTCGGAGGTTAGTGGCAAGTGAATAAGAGACGGGATGGTGATCGTCTCCCCGCTTCTGCTTCAGGCTAACGGGGCTGTGAAGCCCACAATGACGGCACAAAGGCCGGGAAGGGCATGTTGGCTCGGGATTATTGCGAGCCAGTGGCATAGGGCCCTCAAGTCAGAGTGGTCTATGGGATGGCAATATCGGACGATAGCCATGCTTCTAGGACGACGATCACTATATCGCCCGCACCCATACCCTGCACCCTGTTGGCTCCGTCATAACTCCGTGCTGTACGGAGTATAGGATGTCGGGGCTGGTATGGCCTGAGATATCATGGTTGTGTTTTTCTGGTAGGTATAGATAAGAGTGTTTCAGCAGGCCCTGAAGATGCCAAGTCCGAGCTGTCTACTTGGCACTGTCAATCTGCAGCTCTGTTCCATGGGTGTAGTGTCAACCGCCATGAACCTAGGAAAAGAGCACTTTCTTGGCTCAATTCGATACCCAATCTAATGTCATATGATACTGGCCGTGGCCATGGATTCCCTCGCACGACAAAACGTCAGCTACAGAGTATGGCCTTTGTTCAGATTCGTCAACCTAAAGACTGAGCTCGTTTCGGCCCCCAAAACAGCGACCGGAACCATTCTCAAACAAGCCTGTCAGCACGCAACAACCTGCAGCTACGAAACGCCGGAGTCAATCGAATCGACCAATGGATGCAACCTATACGCATATCAAGTGGGCAGATGAGAGACCGCGTTGCTATGTGTCTCGAGTACTATACTAGACCAAGCAGAGTAAATAAAAGACAGGTGGTGTTATGGGAGATCCACATAGTTTCAACTGTAAGTCATCACGGCGAATTAATCACGATCTTCGCCGGGCACCGCTAGCTGCAGCCGAACCGCCTTGGACCTCCCCCCTCTTTCCTATTCCACGACTGCCACTGACTTTTTTTCCTCTGTAGATCATCTACCACGTGGACAGCTTCCCGTGCGGTGTGATTTCTTGAGACTGTGGGGGACTCCCGGTATTCAAGCCGCACAAATGGGGTAACGGTGAAGTAAACTGTAAAATGGATATCTCGAATCCTGTATCTCGGACGGAGTCATGGAGGATCACCCCTTCTCCTCGGAAATATGATCTCCGAAAGTCAAGTTGGAGATCAGAAAATCGAGGCATCACGCATCAGGGTAGCAGTAGCATTAGCAATACAGTTTCTCCAGCCTTGAAATTTCTCCGAGTCTGCTCCACTCTCCACTCTTCACAAGTGCCAAGCCTTGCTTGATTGTGCGGTCCCAAAAAATAGTCTCAGGAACCGAAGGCAAAATCATTCAACCGTCTTACTATTCACGTACCTCTGTATTTCTTGGTTTCTTTGCGAAAGACCGGCCCCTGAGCGCCAAAGGAGGAGCAATCTCCTTTTTCAGTGGAGCGGCCGTTTGATGGGCGCAGAAACACGAGATTCGCTAGTGAGCTCTTAGCGTATTCTAGAATCCTTCTAGAAAGGTTTTAGTACCGGAATTTGCCACGCGCGGACATCTCCGCCAGACTCTGCCCCGGCCCCCCCGTGGGCTTTGATGAATCAAACATTGCACTAGTGGTTTTCTTTCCGAAATGATATCAAAATAGAAAAAAGAATAAAGAATCAAGGATAAGTAAAATAAAATAAAATAAAATTGGCATGTTTAGTAAACATAAAAGAGTGATGTATGATGATAGGTAGACTTCCCTCCCCGCGATAGCAAAGAAGTCTATGACGTGATCCACCTCGCACCTCGCACGCTATCTCTTGATCGAGTAAGTGCGGTGGATCCCCCCGTATCGAAGGTGAATGTATTGTTACACCTCCCTGGATGGTTTCTGTCATTACGGTTGCGGATCGTCCCGACAGATCCCCCTTTACGTTTTACGATTTTACATCTCGGCCGGGGTCCCCCCTGAGGATCCCCAAGTACGGCCGACGTGCCGATGTTGTTTCCGCCGGCCAGGCCGAACTATTTCCTATGTCTGTGGCTACCTAGGCCCTAGGTCTCCTAGGTTCTATATGGATTAGTAGTCAGCAGCCCTAAATGTCCAGGCGCTTGTTTGTTTCAGGGGAGCGAGGCCGGAACTGTGGCTTTTCCATTTATAGCCAGGATCTATCGGAGGCTAGAAAGGATTGAGGCTCTACCAGCCCTGGACGCATGATAAGGGCTACCCCCCTTTTGTCTTTTTTTTTTTTTTTTTTTTGAACTGGGCAGGGTGAGAATCCCTGCTCCGTGTTCGGAGCTGACGCGAAGTTAGTGGTCGCCGAACAAGCCACATGGCAGGAATACGGGGAGGTCTAAACGCCTCAGATCTCTACCTGACTCGGTTTAGGCAGACGTTCGACCGGAAAAATTCCACGTGGTGAAATGGCCCACATAGCCGGCTCGAGATGATCGCCCAAAAAGGTCGAACGGAAAAGGATAAAAAGGTTGTAGGGCGCGCGGGAAAGCCACATGGGAGAACTGGGTCCTTGTTCGGGATGACGGAGCCTATTGCGTAGGGCGAAAGCACGGGTGTACGGTAGCATTTAGGATTCAGGGGCCGTTCGCTTCAAAATATCCCGCTGGCTGATTCTAGCCCGCCGTGACAAATGATGGAACTTGGAGGCTATTCCCAAAGATAGGACATCCGCCAGCCACCAGGCTGACAGTGGTGGAAATAGACGAAGATCGAGCTTAGCGCGAGCCACGAAGCCAAATGATAGTTCAAAACAGCCGAAGCCACGTTCCGGCTCAACAGCCGGATTGCTAGTGCTGCTGTATTCCGCAACGATTTGCATCTCCATATCGATTAATCGGGAGTTATTCTGAGAGACTATGTGTATACTTCGTCCTAGTCTTGGTATCACCAGAGGAAGGCGCTTTGACTGGCCGGGCCGGAGTTACTGTCCCAGGCGGCCGAACTGTACTTCGTCTCTTCTCCGGACGTGATTAGTTCAGGATATACAAAGTTCAGCCAGAGGGACTTGAGAGCAGCGGTCGAGAACGACGATCTCCCCAAATTTCACCCACACTAAGCTTGGTGTGGGTGATTGGCGCAAGGGTCTGTTCGCGGCATCTTACAGTTTTGCACCTGACTCACAAGGTTTTCGGTGGGGGTTTTTGAGCTGGACCAGGCTAGATGGTGTAATAGTGTAATGCAGGGAGTAGGCAGGAAGACGACAATCCTTTCCCGATAGTTCCGACTATGTTCGTGGCTGCCCATAATCCAGCCTCAGAACCATGGAACTTTTCAAGGTTCGAGTGGAGGCGCAATATCCTGTAGGTGACCTGCATAAATCCATTGTCGCGTGGCGGTCAGGGATCATCGATACAACTAAGGGTTACAATACCATCATAACCATTAGCACCAATTCGGGTAAATTAATACCACTAGACTCGCCAACTCATTTGGAAATAGCGGATCAGCATACGAGGATCACTGGGTCTTTGGCTTTGGACTCTTGCCGTTGGGCGTCTGACCGCAATTCTGGCGCATGGAGAATTCTCCGTAACCGTACTAGCGGCTTCTCAATGTTTGATGCTGCCCACTTGATCTTGGCGATAACGGTTAGCTCAGCGGAACTAAGCGACGCTTTCTCGCGTGTGCAGTAGCGGTTTCACATTTTGGCTTTTCGCTAATCCGCGCCAATATTTTCACGTTCGCTGTTCCTCGATCGACTAGCACTTGATCTGAACTTTGGTTTTTGCTTTTTTGACAGCTCTTAGTTCCATATCAGAGCCTCAGATTTTGGGCGTCGATCAAAAGCGTCTCGCCTGTGACTGGATCACAAAGCTTATGGCCCCGCGGTTGGACCCCATCCTTGGACACATGGAAGCTACCTACCTATTTCGTACTGTATTTCGCGCGAGGGATTTATTGATCATGGCGCAGGTGTGCATAAGAATGTTTCCTGCATCGTCTAGCCTGCGCGGTCTCGAACTATAGATCGAATTCCCAGTCCACGTGGCTGATCGAAAGTCGATAGATCTCAAGCACGTATGCGCGATATATCACATCGCTCTTCGATTCGCATGGAACATGGAACCTTTCTGATCCCGGGATATCCGATCGACCCCATGAATCGACAGGTATACCTTTGCGCACTGTAATGTGTCATGGCGAGCGTGATCCCTAGCCAATCTTAGGTGCTCGTCGGCTCCTGGCGGACGAGCTCGCACTGACACTGCGTCTTTGCCAGGCTGGTTGGCCAGCCTTGCTGAGCACTGCCTCGCAGGATCCGGGCTGACGTGTATGACAGCCAGCTTCGTTTCCATCTGGCTGGGAGGGGGTTCGTGCCCTGTTCTCTGGCAGGTTCCCCGGGGGCAGATCATGGAAAAGGTGGAGAGACGACTGACGTGTTAACTCCATCAGAAGAGCCCTGGAAGGGGGTGATAATCGCGCAACCCTTGGCTAGTGAGGCTCAACCGCTAATAAAGGACATGTAAGGACATTTGTATATATGAATAAGGGTCGATCGACGAGGGTTCTAAGGAAAGCGATGTGAGCCAGGGGGGTGATTTGACAAGCCGGTTCGTGTGTTTCGGTCATTAGTCTGTGCGCCTCCATCTCATCTTCTAGAACCAGTAAGAAGGGAAGCGTTGGGGGAGATGAAACAAGCCGTTTGTGCGGGACAAAACAGCCGCACTTGAACCTCCAATCATTGGGAGCCTCAGGCGCTCAGGCTCCACGTGTGTCCACGTGGACCACATGGACTCATCGAAGCCTGGAAACTCCGAAGAACCCACGCCACGGTCAAGCCCTGAAACACGAAACACGAAACACGAAACACAGAGACACGGAAAACTGACCCAAGCACTTCCTTCGTGGCGCCGGGGGTCGCCCCCAATCGGAGCCGCCTGAAACGTGGGATGCCACAGATTTTGCCTTATCGGCCGATGCTTGTACGGCAGGACAGATGGAAAATACTCCGATGATGATCTGGCTCAAAAAGCAGAACGGGATCGAAGGTACCTCGCCACCACCCGATAAGGTTCCTGATAGTGCTGGGAGGGGGGCGAGGGATTCCCACGTGGGCGTGAGAAAGAAACACCTTTGCCTGTTCGGGCCAGGGGCCCGAGAAAGACGAAGCCAGTCCGGAGAAAGGTGGAGTATCGCAATCACCGTGTCCCAATGAGAACAAGGGCTAGATAGATGATAGGAGGCCACTTCCTACATCGGGATGCCACTATCCCTGATCGGGGAAATGTCCAGTCGTGCACAAAGGGGGAGGGGAAATCCCGAGTCAGTCTCTTGGATGATCATTACATCTGTAATACCGATACCCAGCGATCTTCAATCGGATCTATTCGGTGTTTGCATCTCATTTCCCTGGGTCGCTGACGGTTGGTTCTAAGGGATCTCGGTGGCCCCGGGCGGATGGTGAAATCATGACTTTGTATTTGGAATAGGCGTGGGGGTACACCGTCCAGATTATGGTTATCATGGATTGCTAGATGGCCATAGTGGTCCGGACACAAAAATGAGCAGTCCTGGCCACCTGAGAATAGGACTGATACTCGGTACTGCCGTACTGGAAAATTAAAAGAAAAGAAAACCAGTGACAGTACCGAGGCACTGCAGGTATCCGGTTGCAGTTTCAGGCCCGAAACAAGGAATCCACCGATCTTTACCATGAGGCAATCCCCTCCCTTGGCCCACGTTGCTTGGGTGCAGCATACCTAACTCTTTCCGGCTGGACTCACGCGTGGGCTGTGGGTCATGAATGACAGGCCGAATGGCTGTGATTCTTCACAAGGGGGAGATCACAATCGTTCCATTTTTTTCTTTTTTTTTCTTTTCCGTTTCTACTCTCTCTTTGTTCTTTGCTTAGACCCGCCCTCTTTTCCCCTCTAATCCACCCCTCTCATTTTTTTTTTCATTTTTTTTTCTTTATTCCCCCTCCAAATATACCCTAGATACAGAATTAAAAAAATTAATTTAAAAATTTAAAATTAAATAAAATATAGTAAATAAAAAAACCTCCAAGAAACTAAAACGGGAAAAAAGAGTAAAAAAAATAAAAAAAGAAACCAAAAAGCTAAGAAATCGGAAACTATAGTGTATAATTTCCTCCCAACCTCGTTTCCCCCTTCCCTTTCATTCCTAATTCCCCCCCCCCCTTCCCCTCCTCCCGTACACTGTATAGGGAGTTCCACCCAAAATTGGCTTTACAACCTTACACACCTCTACGTATTTTTGAATGGTTTCGTGGGTACCACTTTGATTTTACCCACTTTTCACGAAAGTCTGGTTCACCCAAGAGACTTCCCATTCAATGCCAACCCTACCTTCCGTGAACCACCCCAGAAGACCTCTCCCAGTTCCTGCAGTTCCTGATCCTTCCATTGTTCATTCTTCAACCCCCCTGCGGCTGATCCGATCCTTATTCAACCCGCATTTACTGGGTCAGTCGTCGGTTCGATTTCAAGACGCAATCGACGTTCCTTTGCTGCCTTGGCTCAGAGAACCTCCAGCGCCCTGGCGAGTTTGTCCACCATTGCTGCTCCTACGCTGCACACCTCCACCTCCTCCAACAGTTTGAGCAAAACCAAGAACCCCTTGACCCCGCCATTGTCCGACGACGAGCAATTGTCCCTTTGGCGCCCTTATTCTCCGGATCCGCCTAAACGCCGCCTAACTCTTCAGCGCGTTCCGACCCCTCCTCAAGAATCCCGCAGCCTGTCGGGCCTTGCGCCAATCGCGCCTCCCAAGATGCATCAAACGTCGTCAAGGCTGTTGCGCATGACCGAAGATGAGCGCCCCTTCACCAAGGTAGGTCACTGCTGGGAATGTCGAGAATGGCATGGCCACGGCCGGAAAAGCCCGCAATTGAGTAACTAACAATTCCCGTTAGGATTTCATGGACTTGTTCTCAACCCTCATGGTGAGCTTGAAGTTGGATTCGCACCGGGTTCGCTTCACGCGTTATGATCACACCTTCACCTCAGAAGAGGCGATCAACAACTTGGGCTCGCTCAAGTTCTCCCAGTCGAACCGCATGCCCGATCCCAAGGACCCCTCGCGCATCGTGACCACCACTACAACCACCACCTTTTCTATGGCCAAGGAGATGGCCCGCTCCGTGTGTCAGCGCTTCGTGGATGCTCGCTTCATCGAGTCGGTGGATGGCAAGGCTTTGCCGATTTTCCCTCTCAAGGGAGCGCTCTTCCAGCTCACTCCCAAGGGTATTAACATCCTCCAGCGCTTCTGTCAGCGGAACGGAATCACTGCTCGTCACGTGATGGACGTTCTTGAGTCGCCGCGCAACACCATGCAATTGGTGAACCTCGAGCGAGACACCGAAACCGATAAGCTGTCGCATGACCGAGCCACCATCGAAGTCATCTTCCGCCGTTTCGCCGGCCAGGATGGTCCCAACATTAAGAGCAGCATCTCCACCTCCGACTCCGATTCATTAAGCGACTACTCCAACGGTATTGTGGGTGTGAAGATGGCTCGGGAGCGCAAGCTGCATGATGGAAAGTCCTACACCAACACCTTCACTGGAAAGGGTGCTGTGGATTGGTTGATGGATTGCTCGACAACTATCGAACGCCGCGAGACTTGCCTGATTGCGGAGCTGTTCCTCAAGTACGGTTTAATTACCATGATCCAGGATGACAAGTCCTACCCGGACTCGAACGCCGTCTTCCAACCGTCCAAGTATGCGATATACACCATTACCGAGCGAGGCCAGCGTGTGTGTGGATGGATTGCCCGTGACAAGGCCCGCGATGCCAATGCCAGCACCAACAACACTACCTACGACAGCCGCGGTATGCCCCGCGATTCCAACAACGCTCGCCTGACCCACATACTGGGGGACCCCGCCCTCCGCCTTCTCTTCCGCGAGTTCCTGCGTTACTCGCTGTGTGAGGAGAATCTGTCCTTCTATCTCGATGTTTCCGAATTCACTGCCAACTACCACAAGGCGGAGAAGACTGGCACGTTCAACAAGGTCGACTCGGTGCGCGAGACCCTGGCTGCTGCCTATGGTGAGTTTCGTTCCAATTGAAATCACAGTTTTGTTTTCTTTCTAACACCCCCCTTAGGTTTGTACAACGCGTTCCTGGCTCCTGGATCACCCTGTGAGCTGAACATTGACCACGCTCTGCGCAACAGCCTGGCCAGCCGTATGACCAAGGCCGTGGGCGACGACGAGTCAATGTTCAAGAGTCTCCAGGAGGTTGTCCACCTCTTCGAGCTAGCTCAGACCTCGGTCTTCAAGCTGATGTCGAGTGTAAGTCTGACTCTACCCGGTACAGATGGTGTTTGATGCTGACTTTTGATAAAAGGACTCCGTTCCGAAATTCCTTCGTGACCCCAAGTACTCCGTGGTCCTGCAGGAGCACGACGTGGACATTTTTGGCGGGACACGCTCGTACTCGCCGACCCCCGGCGGCCCGGAACGAAGCATGAGCCGTTCAGCCCGGTCATGACAATCATCGATTGATGCCTCCACATCAGCAAACACCTGGCCTCGCCGTGATTCGAACGTTCCCAAGACCCTTGTCCGCGCATAATCGCCAAGCTTCAACGCCTTCCCGAATCAAAGTTCTGCGGATGCGATACCGGCCCAATCGAGTCGTATCCACTTGCCGTACTTGTGCGACTGCAACGCGGGAATCACACCCGCGACGGGGATCTGGCGCAACGAGTCTAAGAAAATAGGGGAGAGTTCTTTCTTCGACCATTCCGATTCCGTCATGATCCCTTCCGACCACGAATTTACCTTCTCTGCTTTTCAATTGGCATGCAGCCTAGATTACCCCCTGGTTCTCGGGCTGCCCCTTTACCCCCTGCTACTTTTTTCCCTCGCCACGAGCTTTTCCTTTATTCCCTCCAGATGAAAGACGTTACGATCGATGCCTCATGTTATAGAGAAGGCCGGAATTTTCTTTGGGAACCCCCGCTCCCCCTTGTAATATTTGGATGACGTTTTTCCTCTTTCCTTATACACGATATCCCCTTCTGCTGGCATCTTTTCAACCATGGAGAGGCGCCAGAGCCGGAGAAAAAAAAGAACCAGAAAATATCCTCAGAACAAAAGACCGGTTGTTGAATCTTGCATGCTTTGATTTTGTTTTCGTTGAGCATCAGACATGGCGTTTATCATTGCATGTTCCTTTTCTTTGCCCTTTTTTTCTTTTTTTCTCTTCATACTCCTCTCCATTTTATTCTTCCTGCATGGATTTCGAAGCATTTCCTAGTCTTTTTCCTTTTTCTTTTTCCTTTGTCACATGCATTGTTCTTTCTTGGGCACAGCGAGTGAGTTCTGGTCTTTTTGTATGTCATATCTTACCAGTTCCTACGAGAATTGTAATGGACATTACGATATCATATACTCTATTCCTTGTAGTTCTCATCTTCGGGAGCGTGTGTCTTAGGATGGCATGAGCTTACTTGGTTAAGATAGATCGATAGACAATAGACGCATTCATTGATGATACTGAAGTACTATATATGCATTTTACTATTGACTCCGGCTGCCACGTCCATTGTAGGGTTGACTTATTTTCTTTTTTGGCTATGCTACAAAACAGGGCAGATAAGAACAGGAGATGAACATGAATGCGAACACCACAAAGTCAACCAATATACCAGGTCTTTGCAGCTCAATCAGAATACACACCTGTCCAAGACAAGAACTAAAAGAAATTATATGGATTCTCAAACGCCAAGTCGCACCTAATGTCATATGTCATCAAATTCCATTTTCGAGAGAAAGAAACCGCAGAATGACGAAGGGGAATCGAAGTATAAAAGAGACAAAGCACTGAAGGAAAAGAGAATCTACTTAGATCCCCAACCCCTCAGCCTCATGCCTTCCTCGATCGCAGTCCAAATACCCTCCACAATCTCCCGATCCCTCCACCTTCCTCCGCCGTGGATTCCACCCTTCTCATCCCAGCGCTCAACGGCGAAACTCTCCACGCCACGACCCCATCCCTTGACCTGCGATGGAACTTCCTCGCCGCGCCAGCCAACGTAGATACCGGTTGCATGCTTGAATAGCTCAGGCGGAGAAGACCATTTATATGACTTGAACTGCCATGTCTGGCCGGTGGTGAAGACGGCAACGAGTCGGGACCAGTACTCGGGCTTGAAGTTGGTTGTTCCGTCGACGAGAATGAACTTGGTTGGCTTGAGGCCACGGCTGCCGGAGCCGGAGCCGATTGCTGAAGCGTTGGGGTTGGATGGGTCGGCTTTGATGCGTAGTGGGCGCTTGAGTTCCATGAAATTGGCTTCAGTGGATGTGCTGAGAGTTGGGTGGTCGGGCGGGACGAAGACGCCATCTTGGAGGAAGGATTTGATGTTTGACATGCGGATGAGGGATGAGGCGGAGGGGGAGAGGAGGATAATTGGGTCCGGGCGTGAGTTGGACTTGCGAGATGATGGCATTGAGAGACCGGCGGATGGGGCGGGAACCATTGATGAGCTCTTGATGCCTGGTTTGGCGCCTGCTTGGCCGGGGCGGTTGCCTCTGAGGAACACCTCGGCACTCTTGCGGACGTGAGAGAAGTCCTGTCGATATACCATTAGCTTCATTGTCATTCTCCAATTGATAGGGGGATTCGGCTTACCGTAGCCTTGATGCCGCGCAGCACCGTATTCCGATCTCCGGTCTTTCGCTCTCCATTGTAAATCTCCTGCAGTCGGGGGTCGATTTGCTTCTGCGTTCGACCCGGAGCACCGCCTGGTACAGCACCAACAGGGCCACTCGCCACCTGTGAAATGCCACCTGTCGCACCAGAGGCGATTCCAGCGGACGCATCAGCCTGAGCAGCACCGGCAGCCGCGGCGGCCGCCTCAGCTGCAGCAGCAGCACCCTCGAGAGGCTTGATGTGGTCACTTCCATCCGAGGCACCTTCAAGCCAGGTAATGAGGTCGAGACGCTCAAGGAAAACGAGGTTCTGAACCTGCTCTCCTTGACCCTTTGCCTTGAGGGCTTCATTCAGCTCCTGCGCTGAGGCAATATACTCGGGAATAGCGACATCCTTCTTCTGCCACGCAAAGAAGATACTGCGCAGATCGACAGCCTCTTTCGTGGCATCGGAGATGAACCGTGTCGTTGTTCCCAGTGGGATTGCCTGTGGGATTGGCTGTGCAAAGTAGAGATGTGTCGCCTGAGCTAGGTCTTCTGTCGCATTTTCGTCGGTGAGCTCTGATGAGGTCGTCGGCTTTGGGAGGGTGCCGGAGGCGATGGCGCGCCGAAGTGAGAGGAGAGGGTCTTGTTCGGCCGCGGACATGATTTTGATGAAGGGGACAGCGCCCTGGGAGAAGCTGCGGTTGGATTGGGAGCGACTGGAAGTTTGCGCCTGGAAGTTCGACGGGTGCGCGATTAAGCTCGGTGCACGTGACTTCGATGGGTGGTCTGTCTTTACAACTGCATTTCTGAATTTATACGTAACTAGTGATTTTATATTTAGTTTATAAGAGCTGGATATTAAGCCGACGAGAATAAACTTTGATTTGCTTCTCAAACGTAACCAGGAAGACATCGCTTCGTCCTGCCACCTCAACTTATACTACGCAGGCCAGAGCTGATGTACCGCCACATCCAGCTCCACGCGCCCAGAAAGGCCGTGACACCAGTGAAAATAATCAAAGTACCATACTTGGTGTTGTATCCTGTTGCAGAATCCAGGCCATTCGGGTCACCCACAGACCCCTGGCGAAGTAGCAATGTACTCAGTGGTCCACTCACGACATTTCCAATACCTCGACCACCAGCAAGCAAACCAAACACCAACCCAGTCTCCAGGGACGGGGAAGACTCATGTTTAATCTGCGTTATGACCCCCGACCAAGTGGAACTGAACCCACCTGCGAAGAAGCCATAACTGATTGAAAAGAGAGTAAGTAGAGCAATGCCAGTATGCGACGTTTCGTTACCAGCCATGCCCCAGAAAAGGAACACGGATAAAGCAGATCCTATTGAAGAGAGCAATAGGATATTGGTGACTGCGAAGCGATCACATAGCATCCCAAGCGCAATGCCACCGAAGACGGACGTTGCGTTGAAGAGTGAGACGAGCATCGTGCCCGTTGTCACTTGCAAGCCGATTGTTGCAGTTGAGTAGGAGGGGAGATATGTCGAGGGAAGGAAGTATCCAAAGCTCTGGATGATGTTGCCCACTTGCAGCATCCAGAAGGTGGCCAGGCGTAGGAAACTAAGATCCAGGCGACGGGCAGTGGAGGAACGCGACACGGGAATTCGGGGTTTCATGAATGGCAGGGAGAGAATTGTCGATATAAACTGTCGAACAGTGAGTATTCGATAGGAGGATTAGATAGGGACGTAGAAGGATCATACCGTGACAACAGCCCAAGCACGCAAAGTAGTACTGGAACCAAAGCGGTCGAGAGAAGAAGCTGCGATAAAAGGAAGAGCAACACCAGTAACACTCTTCGCAGACCACATTACGCCCAGTGCAAGGCCCTTCTTCCGGACAAACCATTGATCAAGATACAGCGAGCTCGGGCTCCAGAGTAGGCCATTGCCGATGGCGCACATTACGCCCTGGGTAGCGATGAGATGCCATATTTCCGTCGAGAAGGAAGACAGAATCGACCCGATCACCGTGATGACCAGCCCAGCTGGGGCGCAGTATGTTTGAAGATATGGATACCGGGTCAGCAAGGTGAAGGTCACCGGTGACATAAGATAGAGGATGCCCTGGCAAGTCAATCAGCATTAGAGACTGGTCGTACGACAGGTTCGAGAGTCGTACACCTGAGGTGGTTCCAACAGTAGCGAGATCTCCTTTATTTCCCTGCAGGACGCTATGAGTAGTGTAGTACTCCTGGAAGACACCGAACACAGTAGAGAAGCCTGCGGCGGATTAGTTCATGTACTCCAGTTGTTCTCAAGTTGAGGTATACCCCAAACTGGCAGCTGAATCAGACAAGACGACGCCAGCATCAACCAGGCAGCTCTTCCTCCATCAGCCTGAGGTAGCGCTGGCTGTTCGATCTCGAATTCTTGTGTTCGGGGTGACTGGGCCTCGGTCAAGGCAAAGGACTCATTGGAGACGCTCATAGTTGCGTTATTTCATATCCTTTAGCAAGACAGAGATTCTCATGTTAAAGATTCAATAGGGGAGATGTGGAATTCTTGTGCTTGGTCCCCTAATTCCTTGACTCATCGAGACTTTCATGCAATGACGATCTTGCGGACTTCGTCCCGATGTTTTCTCGGGAAATGCGGAGATTCGCTCGACGTGGTTGGCACAGATAAGGCACTCGACCAATGCTTTTTTCTACCCTAATTAACCATTTACTGGTCCAGGGACTTAGTTCACGCCCCAAGAGGATAAAGAAGGTCCAGATTTATGGTTGAAGAAGCCTAGGCCTACATATCTAGAACGAATGAGTCAATAAGCGGTAACAGCCCTCCCGAAGCCCCAATCTTCCTTCTAGAGTAGGAGCAGGCGGTCAAAGGAGAAGTCAGTGAGATGTCCTCTCCGAGAAGTGCCCGGTGCTACATGGCCAATATGCAAACTACGCATTATGGTACCTAAACCAATACTACTCCTACAAACAAGTTCGGACAAAAGGACAAAACTATCAACATGTTGTTCATACAAGCTATCCGTACCATGAAATGGTAACATCGAAGTCGAAGGGGAGAAAACAAAATCCGGCAGATAATCTCACAAATCATGAAAGATCGAGCACTGCATTTGAGCAGCAGCCCCATTCCCTGAACCCATTCCTGGTATTTCCATAACCGACCAATCCCATACAATTGACACGCCGAGTACGCCTCGCATTGAAAAGAGAAAAAAAAAAGAACCGTCATTCGAACAGCCCGAAACGCCAGGCCCGTTCAGTAGGGGCCGAATCAAGTCACGCAAGAAAGATTTTTGGGGTCGTAAAACGTAAGTCCGGAAAGTTCACCCGCCACACGAGAACAAGTCATGATGGTCATGATGAAACAGATCACGATGAGATGGAGGGGATGTGGGGTTGAGTTGATTCCGGAGCGTCTTTCATCGCTACATCGGGTGAGCTAAGGGTTTCCTCTGCCTTGGTGACAGGAGACGCCTTGATAGGAGTCTTTTCGCCATCGGCACTATGTGTTGGGCCTGACCCTGGCGTGGAAGGCGAATTCTGAGGAGCAAAAATGGCTGCCTGGACCTGAGACTTCTCCGACGTGGGAGTGGCCGTCATGGTGTTTCTTCGGTTAAGATAATCACCAAGGCTGAGTTTCTTCTTGGCGGGGGTAGGTGCAGGTGCAGGTGCCGCGGAGATAGCCGGGGGCACAGTAGCATTAGGAGATGTATCGAAGTTCGTAGGAGAATTGAAAGACATAGACCTCGGGCTGACCGCGGAAGAAGAGGCGGTGGGGATGGTAGACGGAGGAGGCATAGTGACACGGAGGTTGCCACGGTCAGCCGGTATTACGGAGCGAAGGAGAGGAGTGTTGTGAGCAGCAGTCGATGGCCAAGGAGGAGGAATAAGCGGCTTGCTGGGATCCTGATTGGCTTGGAGTGATTCAGACTCAACATTGCTAGAGTCATCTTGCATCTCTACATCCATTTGGCCAACTGGAGTGGAAGGCTTCCGCTCGTTGTCCGCATCGGCCATAGCAAAATCACTGTGACTGACAACTGGAGATCGAACCGTGTAAGGGGATGACGATGCTGCAGGACCCACACTATCAGAACCGGCCGAAGATAACTGCTGTCGCGCAACCTCTTCGGATCTCAGTCGATCCATGCTGAACCGCTTCAGAAGCCGTAGGGTCATGGGGACAAAAACGGAACGGGGGCGCGGTGACAGGCCGCGGGATATTGAATCCTCAGGCTCGCTAAGATTCGCCTGGACCGCGGCATCCACGTATGCGGGCCTATTATGCGTAGAGCGAGAGTACGGAGTACTTGATCTGGACGTCTTCCGAGGTGATCCACGACGACCAGGGAGCAAAGGTCCAGGGGAGAGCGCTGATGTCGGAGAGCGAGATTGGCCTGCAGAATCAAGATGGAGTGACTTTGCTGACCGCGGCTGAGAAGGAAAGTATCCTGTTTGGGTGGAGCTTGCCACAGCTGCGGGTGATTGCGCTGATGGTCCACTGACACGTTTCTTCTTCTTCTGCCCTGGGCGATGCTCTTGTTGCTCCAGTTGTTGGAAGTGTTTTTCAGCGTCTGCAATTTTACGTTTTTCACGAGTAGACAACTCCGGGAGGACAGGACTGGTGTCACGGCTTCGAGGCTGTCCACGTGCGGAGCCCGACGTGGATCGAGATTCCGCGGCGACTTCATCGTCTTCCGGAAGCTTTGTCGTCTCGCTTCCAGCGCGACTGATGGATGTGCGACTCGTATCGCGGGGCGAAGCGGTAGACTTCGCCTTGACCCTCCTCCGCTTACCGTTCGCCTGCTTGACACCAGACTCGAGGAATTTGGGATGCCGCCGGGAATCCAGTTTTGCAAGTAGACAATTCCGCGGCATACCACAGGCACAACCTCCGAAGTTGGCGAGTGTGTTGCTAATGCAGATAGCAGCAGCTTCGGTGGTGATGGCCGCAGCCTCGGTTGTACTGTCGCCAGACTCCTGCTTCACCACACCATTCGATGACTCGGGCAATTCAGAGTCTGGTGACCCAGACAAAGATGAATCCACATACCACATAATGGTGATCTCTGAGTTGGGGGGATGTCCTCCTTGGCAACGAAACAGAAGTGGTACTCGACATCGTTGGTGATGAATATTTTCATCGTGACGTTGGGATTGCATGACCGACGGGTGTAGCGGAGGACACTGCCTTCGTGGCGGCTGTCGATATAAAGGGGAAGGTGAGAACTGAAGAACACAAAGGGTTCGGGGTGTCGCAGTTCCTGCCAACGATTCTTGGGATCAAGGCAGTAGTCTTTAAAAAGGCCAACCTTACCCGTAATCTCCCCAACGATCTGATCTTTTTGTACAGGATCCTGAGTCTTGAGGATCTTCCAAGTCGGTTGCGGTCCGCTCATCTCGGGCGAGGGGTCCGTGATAACGTCGGTGGTCAAGTTCGGCCAACGCGATCGATCCAAGGCCGCATCCGACCAGTTGAACGTATCTTCGGTGCTCCCCTTGGTCACGCGTTTCAAAGCTTCGGGATCCTTGACCCACGAAGCAGTATCACCGACTAGATTCACATTAACAAACAGATTACTATCCATGTCCACATGTTCATCATCTCGGTCGTAAAGGTGAAGGAATTCGTTCGAGTAAAGTGGGATGGAAGGGCCAGGAGGTTTAGTAGGACTGGGTGCAATGGATGTGGATGAACGACGTTTCCGAGTCTCCGAAGGAAGGATCGGAGTACCCGCGAGAGCACTGATGGACGCGGATGAGCGGTGGGATGTCTTGGTCTTCTTTGGCGGGGGTTGATCGCGCGCCCCTGACTCGCTTCGCTGGTGGCCAAACCCATTCACATCGCCCTCCTTGCTCTTCTTCTTTGTAGCCTTTGCACTCGGCCGCTTTTTCCGGTCACCGTCCTCACTCCGCTCTTTGACACTCTCTGCCCGCTGGCGCTCGATAGCGCGGCGGACATCCAAGGGCCTAGGCTCACAGTCGACGCAGTTGTGCACATCAGGAACCCTATGTTTAGGGTAGTAACAGATGATGTGCTGCCATGTCTCACACCCTTCGCAGAATACCGTATTACCATCATCTTCGTCAAACTGACAGATGCACTTGATGGTGTACGGCTCTTCATCGGGGGCGACTGAGTCTGAGATGGCGCCGTTGGCGAGAGGTGAGCCCGGAGGAGGGGGGACCGGATAGGGATCCGTCGTGGCGTGCGTGATGGCGAGGGAGGAGGTATCTGTCATAGTCTGACAGATTACCCCCTCTCAGGTAACGGCAAAATGGTGTATTTGGGATATGAAAGATGGCGTGGCCGTGCCGTCACTATTCAACGGGCATGTCAACGACCGCTTTTGCAGATGGTTCACTGCTAGATCCTCCTTGTCAATGCCAGACGCGTTCGGACAGGGGACTACGCAGCGAGGGAACGTCGAGGTTAATGACCTCCAGTGGAAACCTCAGTATGCCAGCCACTACAACCAGCACGTTCTGACAGAAGGACTGGATCAATCCCGATGGTTATTGAATAGCCGGGGTGGGCTGACGAGGTCGGAAAATCTTGGCTGAATGCGCCTGCCCCGTGTCCAGAAGGGTGGACGGAAGAGGGAGTCAGATGGCGATCTGAAAAAGGCTGGAGAATAGAATAGGGCTCGAGGCGATTCGAGATAAGAGAGGTTAAGCGGCGCGATTGCGTGAGAGAAAGGTAGAGTCGTGGTTGGAGGAGGGCGAGTCGAGGGCGAAAAGGGTGAGTGACGGGATCGCGTGGAGGGGACGAGAAGAAGAGGACGAGGATTCCAGACAGAAGTGATAGTGGAGGAGACGGAAACAAACGAAATGGAAGGAATCCGAGGAAGATAGGATATGCGCAGTGGGAAAAGGAGAGGGAAAAGAGGGTGATTCGAGTTGAAGGAGAGGCGGGCCTAAGGCAGCGAATGGGCCCCGAACCAGGCAAGGCGAAAAGGGTCTAGCGTGGACCACGCGCTGGGATGCCACCAGGAGAGTGACTCGACCCGAAAACGAAAAAAACCGGGCATTGCTGGTGGTCACGGGACTTTTGGATACGGGAATGAAAATGACACTAGTACCGAAGGGGACTAGTGTCGGGAAGAACTCGGTGGGGAGTCACGGTCCAGAAATGCATGGAGGAGACTGGGTAAGATAGGTAAGATAGGATATCATCCCATATACCTACTCCTAGGTCAGTAGGTTAGCATCTAGATTATTGTTAGTCGTATAGCAAAATAAATTCACTCTCGGGGTCTCCTGTCCCGGCTCCACCAGGTTCCGATGCACATCCGGGTGTCCATGCACCCCAGTGTGACTGGGTGACCTGTGAGATACGCATAGGTATCACTGAGATCCGATAGAGGATAGCTCATTGCTCGGAGGGATGGGTAGGGATATGACTGTTCATGCCGAGTCCCAAAGGAGGTTTGTTCTGTACGCAGACAAGAAAAAAGGGCCATGGAATGGCTAGAAGCATTCCGTGAGGCGATTCCTCTACGAGAAACAACGCCTTGCACGGATCAGATAGGGTCAAAAAGGGGCTAGCAGATAGCGATGCAAGATTTCATGAAAGGGGAAGGAAATCCCGATCATGGGGGTAAAGGGGGGTCAAGTTGGACAGAAGCAAAGAGTATAGAGCGGAACGTGGTCCATGGAAAAAGGGAGATCAGCCGGAAGGATGAATGGGGCAGGGTAGGGGGGAATGGCGCAGATGTCGCGAGGGGAAGGGGGGGGGGGCCCAAAGCCATTCTGGCCCAGGCGTAGGTCAGAAGAAAAAGGCCTGGAGGACACAAGTGTACGACCTAGCACCGGAAGTGGGAACTCGGGAACTTGGGAGCGAAGGCGGAAGAAGAGGTGCCTAAGAAGGTGTTAAAAGGGGGGATGGGATGCTCAGCAGGTCTGCGATATTATTATTCCAACCTTGTGATTTGGTGGCCTTTTTTTTGCCACTATAGAGGATGCTGGTGCGCAAGGAACAGGGCTAATCAAAACCGTTTAGTCGATCATCAGGCGGAAGACGGAGTATTGATACTGTATGGGTCCACCCGCCGGCCCGCCGCGCATCAGCATCAGCACCAGCATCAGAATTGACATCCATCTTCCGCTCAGGTCTAGGGCAATCGCGAGTTTCAGCATAAAATCTGGTACCTGTTATCTGGACGCGCCAGGTTGGGTTGTTCTGGTTTGGTGACGCGGGGGTGCCACCCGTGATACAACAAGTAGCACACCCGATACACACCGACGGAGAACGCGGAGTACCAAGGAAACGGGTGAAGCTATCACCCGGGCATCAAAAATAGAGCATAGTCGTGAGAATCATATTTGGGAGGGGAGAGATGGGGTGGGGTATTTAGAGTTGAAGAAAGTTGTTGTGGGAAGTTGGTGCGTATGCCACGTGAATGTAGTCTACGTGATTTCCAACAGTGGCAAGGCAACGAGGCAAGCACTGGCGACAAACAGGTGTATAAAATAATATTAAGAATACAGGCCGCAGGCACAACTAAAGATACATGAAAACAACCTCAAATTCCCTGCTTCGAGTACCCGCTGCCTACCCAGACGACGCCATCTAGTCTTCCACGGCCAATGACCATACTTGATCCATTTCGAGCGATGATGCATTATCGGGTCGTCCGTTTTCCTGGCCCCGCCGACGGGGCGATCGAGTCGTGAGATTACCAGGGCCACCTTTTCCAGTGCGCTCTTCGCTCTCTTGAGCACGATAGGGAACAAAATCCCGGAACCGATGGAAGAGGTATACAAAGCTGAACATGGGGAGAGTGATATAAGCAGCGAGAAGCCTGCCACCTCTTGTCCCATTCCGAGGGCCAGGCAGTACTCCAGCGATACCATTGGCCACGATCATCGCAGCACTGGCAGCAAATCCAAAGTATGTACCGAACGGTTGGATGTCGAACCGATACGCGCTGGTAATGCCTCGCAATTTCATTTGTCTTCTGTAATGGTGATACACGGAGGCTGAGATGAGCCAGGACACGAAGCCAGAGCTGGTGAGGAAGAGAAGAAAGTAATTCGACGCGACTGAGCTGGAAATCGCAACGGATATGAAAGCGAGAAGAGCAGGCAGGGCGGACACTGTGACGGCAACGTAACGAATGCCGTATCTATTGTGGGCTTGGAAGAATTTGAATCCATGGCCGAGCTCTGACATGGCGACCAGTACATGCGAAGCAGCGAATAAAAACGATCGACCGGAGGCAACCGAAGAAATATAAATCAATACAGTTGCCATGACGGGGACAATCCGAACTTTCGCCGCGTTGAATCCGATTACGAAGGGAGACAAGCCGGCCCCAGCTCCATTGTTCGTAAGAAGAGGATCATTGTATGGGGCCATCAACCCCATTGCAAAGGTGCTCAGGATATATGGGAAGATCGTAGTGGCGACGTCAAGGGTCACCTGTCGTGGCACGCTAGATTGGATGTCCGGATCTAGATGTTCGGTCACTTCAGACTCGCTCGGTACTTGAGGAGACTCGGCACGATGAACGATCATTTCGGGGCCGAGGGTAAAGGCGACGGAACTGGTTAGAAGACACTGCAGCAAGCCCAAAAACTTTCCCATCGCGCCTTTAGCCAAGTATTCATGCATCGCACCAGGTTTCTTCCAGTATTGGAATCCCCACTTATCGTGTCCAGTAGCACCACCGATTGCAATAGAAAAAGACAGAAAGAGGAGACTGATCATGGTGCCGATCTTGATTCTAGTGAGCAGCTTCTCGGAGCTCCTGAATAATCGCTCGGGGATGAAGTTGAAGCCAACGACGACGGTCGTGATGATAGACAGTCGGCTGACAATAGTAGGTCCGGGGTTCCACACGCCAAGGTTCACAACTGCTGTCGTAATCTCGTATGGGACAAACATGACCAAGGTATACCAGCGGAGAAAGCCGGCAGCAACTCCCATGCTAGGAGTCATGTATCGAAAGACATGTGTGACCAAGGTACCGTTTCGAGAAGGTGTATGAGTGGCAACTTCAGCGGCAGTCGTAACCATGAAGTAGGTCAACAACGATAGAAATATGTAGGAAATGAGCAGTGAAGCCGGGCCACCGATGGCCAGGGCCTGACCGGCGCCGATGAACAGCCCCGTACCGAGTGTCGGGCTTACGGCCATGTGTGATATTCACATAAGAATGACGAATGAATGGACCATAGATAAGGTCGAAGAGAATCGCGATGTTAGGAGATCTCGAGGAACATTGAAGGCATTCAAGATGTGCCCGTTGCCGTGTCGCACCTGCGACATCGCACATTTGGACCTTCCCCAACAGGACGCGCATCAACATAATCTGTTAGATAGCACAAGTAGCAGAACATCATGATAATATTTAAATTTTGAAATGATGTGAAAGGGTATCATTGAATTAGCTGCCAAGGGGACGAAATCATGACAGGGTAGAAGTTGCTCTTGATGAAGAGAAAACAGAAAGTAGATAAATCTTATTGCGAGGCCATGTCCGTCTCAGCAAACTCCAGCCACTCTCCCGTCAACGATTTCTTCCAGAATCGGACAACGCCATCATCGCCGGAGGAGATAAGAGAGTCACCTAAAAAGGCACATTAGAGCATAAAGAGTAAATCGGGGATCACAACTTACCCGCGAAAGAAAATTCAACTTGCCACACATCAATATGCTTGCTGTCAATGCAAGCCACCTGCTTGAAGGAGTGCCGGAATTGAAAGTCTCCAGTCGCTGGCCGGTTGGAAGGAGAAGAAGGCACACGGGTTGCGAGAGCAGAACCAATACCTGATTGCGACATTCCTCGCAGTGATGATTGCTCTTGACGACGATCGTCCTTTCGAGAGTTGGAGGTTTGGGATCCCTGGTTGATGGGAATGGTGTAGACCTCGAAAATACGGACCAAGCCGTCTTTACCTCCACTAGCAATAAGATCATAGCCTCGGACGGAGCCATTGGCCCAGGAGATGTCCCGGACGAGACCGCCATGCCCGTTCAATTCAATGGCATGATAAAAGCGCCGATTCGCATCGGTGCGATATACCTTAACTGTATCCATGGCTGCCACAACCAGCGAGAGGCTCTTCGGATCTGAGTCCGGCAGAAGGGTGTGTGTGATGTCGGTGGGGTCATGGTGAAACTGGACCCTGAAGCTTGTTTCCTCGCCGCGTTCAGGCGCGGGACATACGCGAAACTGGTCAAGGGTCTGCCAATCTGCCAGACTATCTGGACTGACCGGCTCCATGATCACCAAGTAGCCATCTCTTGTAATCAAGGCAAGCCATGACTCCAGATCAATATTGCGGAAGTCCAACGACACAAATGGATGCCTTTGAGGAGCCGTCATGCGAAAGATGGACTTGAACCGACGGCCCGAGTTAGGCGGCTGGGTGACATCTTCCTGCCAGATTTTGAACTTCATGTCCTCTCCCACGCTGCCGATATGCTGACCAGAGAAGGGTCCGTTCCAAGTTGCCTGGAACAAGAGTTTAGCCTATATTCAGCCATGCGGTATCAGGAGCTGATTTCTTTGAGTCTTACATCGCGAATCTCCGCGTCGTGAGCTCGCCAGGTATCTGTCAGCTGCCATTGATTATCTTTCAAGTCCCAGACTTTCATGCGATGATCAGACGAGGCCGTGACAATGCGGTTTCCATAAAAGTTGAACTTGGTGACCGATACCAGATCCCTGTGGCCAGCATCGAAGTCGGCAAAGCCGCCAGCCATCTCGGGGTGCTCCACTGCCCCCATCGAGACCAGATCTTTGACTTGACTAGATAAAGACAGGATAATCCGTCAATGGGCCAATGACGCGTTTTACCCACACGTATGCATGCTGTGACATGAAACAGAGGTGTCTCAGCGTCCCTGCGGCTTGCCCTTCTCGGCCGCCAGTATCACGGGACTGGATCTCGCCGCCCGCAAAGCGGTGTGTCGCTGACCGGCAGAATCGATAAGCTTATCGTTGTTTCCGGCTTGATGCCAGGTTGCGTAAGCTCTTGCTCCATTTGAAATTGTTGTTCACATCGTCTGGAATTTGTTGGTCTGCTGCTTTTCAGACCCTGGCGTCAGAGCCAATTGCTCACCATGAACACTCCAAGCGATCTCTCCCGGGCGGAGACTTGGCGTCTTCTGCTGTTGGTGGGGGCTGGAATCGGCGTTCTGGTTAACACGTTCCAGGGTGATGGCGCGCCTCTAATTGCCTCAATTGCGATGGCCGGTATTGCCTTTGCAATCACATTCAGCATGATTCGGTGGCTCGGGCCTGTCTTTATCAAAGCTGGTCTGAAAGGCAAGGATATGGCTAAACCCAGAAGGCCTGAAATGTAAGTATACTCCTCAGTAGCCTTCAATGGCATGGGTATCCAGGGCTAATATTTGCTTCAGCCCGGAAACAATGGGAGCCGTCTGCGCCGTGGTATATCTCATCTGTCTCATCGTCTTCATTCCATTTGCCTTTTACAAAGACATTGTCGCCGCCACGTCTGGCGGAGGTAATCGCGATGTTGTGATCGAAGACCAACATATTGAAACTGGTCGGTACCTGCATAGGTTTCCCCATGGAAAGGTTTGTGAGACTTCTACTCTTTCTCTAAGCACTGAGCTAATTGTCCCCGTGGTAGCTTGCATCGTACCTGTCAGGTCTTCTATCCCTGCAGTCCATCGTCATCCTTGGGATTGGAGATGACCTACTTGACATTCGCTGGAGACACAAAGTCCTGATCCCTGCATTTGCCTCCATCCCGATGCTCATCGTATATTTTGTCGACTTTGGCGTGACACATGTCGTTGTGCCAGTCCCGCTGCAGCGGTACCTTGGTGATTTTATTGACCTTGGATGGCTGTACTACATGTACATGGCGGCCGTGGCAATCTTCTGCCCGAACGCCATTAATATGCTGGCGGGTATTAATGGGATCGAGGTGGCTCAGTCGCTCGTTATCGCGGTTTTGCTATTGTTCAATGATGCGATGTACCTGACGCCTATCACGCCATACCCTCATCCGGCCACTGACTCCCACTTGTTCTCGATTTACTTTTTGCTGCCATTTATTGGCGTTTCAGCGGCGCTACTGTGCCACAACTGGTACCCCTCCAAGGTGTTCGTGGGTGATACCTACTGTTACTTTGCGGGCATGGTGTTTGCGGTTGTGGGTATCTTGGGCCATTTCAGCAAGACTCTTTTGCTTCTATTTGTCCCGCAGATCTTCAACTTCCTTTACTCAACACCACAGCTATTCCACCTGATTCCCTGCCCACGTCATCGACTGCCAAAGTTCAACTCCTCCACCGGCCTGCTTGATGCCTCTGTCACGGAATGGACTATTCCTCCATCACCATTGATTACTACCACACTTAACCTTCTACACATATTGCACTTGGTGCGAGTGAAAAGGAACGAAGATGGTCAAATTGTTGAGTCTTCAAATCTAACGATCTTGAATCTTTGGCTTGTGTGGATGGGGCCAATGAAGGAAGATCGACTTGCATGGCACATGGTCGGAGTCCAGACATTCTGTGGACTTTTCGGTCTGTTTGTACGACACCGACTCGCCTCATTGGTGTTCAACCAAGATAACCTTGGACTCGAGATCTTCAACACATGGCATGCCTAGCCGTTCGTTTATCCGATTGAATCGAGAAGAAACACTTGTCGATGTTTCGATTCTATGTACATACTTATGCTCTCCTTCCGTGAGGCCGAATAGAGATGTCTTTGGTAATTCAGCTCGTTATTTCCTGCTCATTTCTATATGTCCTTCGGAGTCATCTATGTGTCATCATTTACTCATTGTCAGAAGCATCCCGCAAGGCACGAGTCTCCCTGTCAATCTTTTTATCCCCGAATGCATGCCCGATTTGTCGAACAATGAGCCACGCTGGCAGAATAGCGATTGCCCAGAGGCCAAAGTTGAGATAAACGCTTCCGACGGAAGCCATAATAGATACGCTGCTGAGGCCGTACTGAAAGAATCGTTATTAGCTTGTGAAAGGCCAATAGAAACCAGGCAAACAATGCGAAACATACGCTAACACACTGGGCGGCAGACTCGGTCCCTCGCAGTAAGCCCGCAATTCGAACAACTTCCTCATGATCATCGGCCAGGTTTCCGACGAGGAAGAATCTGCATCCTTGTTAGCATACCTTCCAGATGGCTCAACTGGGGTGTACATACAGGTACATGTAATTGAGTTGAAACCCAGCAACCCAGAAAATGAAAAGAGCAAAGGCCCTTCCGAAGCCAGGGTCGACCCAGTCATACACAGGGCCCATCTTGTTGAACTCTGTAGTTACCACCGATGCCCATATCCAGCACATACCTTGCCAAGCCACAACAAAAATGAATGCAGACCGACTTCGCGTCTTCAGTGATATCGATTTGTTGTCAAGGAATGTACCCAGCAGGTTCCCAATGATCAAAGCAACCACACCAGACAAGAGGGAACCCAGAGCTCTTGAGCGCACCGAGAACCACAAATCCTCGTATGAGAACATGACAGCCTCCGTGTAGACCGCCTGGCAGATGAACGGGATAGCGAGGAGAAACTTGCGACTGACGAAGAGCTTCAACATAGCCCGCATTTCATACCCGACACCCTTGGTGACTTGAAGTTGAACGGGGACACCATCCTTTCGCTGGACTTGGGACGGGTTATTCAAAAGCAAACCAGCAAAGGGCCCTAAAGCCTGAAGCACAATGAAGACGAGGTATACAGCATATGAAACACTGCCCGCGGTCGCACGATGAGCATTGATTCCCAAACTAATGGCACCTCCGAGGATCTGTCCTCCAACACGAAAGCTGAGCCAGAAGCCCAAGAATCGCCCTTGGTTATAGGGCTCAGGGTATGCGAGTGCGATAGCTGCTTCAGCCGCCCAGAAGATACCCGCCGACAAACCACACAGTGCTGCACCGAGGAGCACCAGCCATTGGTCGCCGAATCGGTTGTTCACATATAGCCCCGCTGCGTATGGCGCGTACCCCATTGTTCCCACAATCAAAGTCCATTTAATCCCAATGAATCGCACGAAGATGCTGGAAAAGAAGCATGAGACTACCATGAGTGCGAACGTGAGGGCGTTTGCGGCGTTGACAAGATACGGTTTCTCCTCGCCTCCTCCACCTAAGGAGTTCATGGCACCCCAGATACCAGGGGCAAGAAGATTGCAGAGTCCCAGGATGAGGGCATTGTAGAAAGTTGAGCGGTACCATTTTACTGCGTTCCTTGTCAGGATGTTCCCAATTGATGAAGGGGTAGTCTCAAAGAATGAAGAATTGCTCTTACCTTGCTGTTGCCCAACAGTGGGAGTATCAAAGGAGTCACGACTAACCTCTTCATCTTTCGGTGAAGTGGCCTTTTCGGAGCTTGCCATAATAAAATTGGCAGGGAACGCAACTTTGGGCACTAACCGAAAAGCTTCCAGAGTCAGCTAGAGGCACCCGCCAGATTTAAGTATGCTGCACGATAGCAGATCTAGATCTAACTATCGGAATTCTGCAATGAAACATGACATTTCGTGCTATGGTAACATCGGAGCCCCCACGTTTTGGACTATCGATTGGACTCTTGTTTATTCGGATGATGCCTTTTTAGGAAAATAGATGTTGTCGTTCTTGGAGAATATTACGTGCTCACACGAACTATCGATAAGTCACCCATGTCTTGTCGAAGAAAGTCCAGAATGGAGTCTTTAATCACCAAAACGGGTGTTTGCTTCCAAAATCATGCCTAATTTGCTGTCATTCGAGTCGAATTAGGTAGTTTACACGGCCGAGATGCACGTCTACACCTCAGTGGCTCTATATCAGCTTCGACAACGAATCGCTTACTGCAGTACATACCCCTCGGACTAGACCCTTATTATCTATGTTGCATGAGATAGTGGCAGATGGGAGGAGCAAAGTTTTGCAGATATCAGCATTTGGGGAGAAGAAACTTGGGAGTGAGAAATGGTGAGCCGAGCTGGAGGCAGTTTAAAATAAGCATTTCGCAATTAACGCAAAAATCATTGAAAATATCCTGTCCATCTTTTTGGGTAAATTGAATAACTGCGCCTCGACCATGATCCTCAAATTCACTCTGCAAATACTTTTGCAGGGGTTGATGGGTTAGCGGACCTTCCTTTTATTCCTCCTTGCTACGGTCTTAGTACCATCACAAGACGAATTTATGCCTGTTTAGCCGTTATACAACACTTGGTTGAATCTATTAGTATTTGAAGTCTGCCTCTGTTTTCTTTAGATGTGTGCCTTGGTCTAAATTAGGCTGGTGCTTGAATTACTTCTCATTTGAACCTGAGCAAAACAGTTTCATGTTTCGTCATCACATCCCCGGATCACATCAGCTTAACTCAAAAAGGCACCTTCGGATTTCATCATCTCTATCGAATTGTGAGCTACGCCGAGGCTTTCTGTGAATCATGACGTGAATCGATGAAGTTTTTGATTTATACTCAACGTTGTCGATTTTACAAGGTCGCAAAGCAAAACCCTAGATCCGATGATTTATGGAGAAGACCTCAGTATAAGAGTAACTCCCAAATAGACCGCACGACGGGTGATCTCACAAAGCAATCAAGGCTTGATCTTCATTCCCCTCCCCCGGGCTGCCAACGAGGAGTCTCCATCACGCCATCCGGCCCCCGCCATGAGCAATGACGAGTAACCCCAACCCAGATCTGGAAGCCACGGGATAGGTCGTATGGCGCAAGTTTGAGACGATATGCTTTCATTTGGGACTTTTCTATTAGATATTTTCCAGGCCAAGCGCTCAGTGGAGACTCCCCAAACCCAGTGCGTGCTTCTGGCAAGGACTGATACCAACGCCCCCGCTCCCTGATGGCGAGCGTGCATTGCCTTGTCCTGTTCTCGCCCGAGAAGAGACCTGGGTTGGTAATCCTTAAATTAGATATAGATAAAGACGGGCTGGATTTGGGTTCTGTGGTGATTGCATCCAAGCATGGCATTAGTAGCGCCCAGCATCATGTCAACCACTACCTGCCTTCAGCTCGACGAAGTGCGAAACGAGCAAGCGAATTTCCGTCGCTGCTTCTTTTCTGAGCCTCCGTCTCACGTCTCTCATCAATTAAGAGAGGAACCGTCGTCCCCGAAGTCCGAAATTTTGGAGACACGGCAGAAGGTGCTTCTTCTCAAGGGAGCTCGGGAGCAATACACCCTGGTCGATGATCATACTGTTCCATCTATTTTACATCCTGGTGAAATTCTCGTAAAAGTATGCTCCCTTTGGCTCTCCTCTGATCTGCATGCAAGATACTGACGGCTCATTGGTAGGTATTGGCAATCGGCCTCAACCCGATCGACTGGAAGGGACCGTATGTTCGCTCAACTCATCCTCACACAGTCCTCACATTAACTGACAATTGTTTTCAGTGCTTTCAACTTTGGCATCCCCGGATTACCATGGATTAACGGTCGGGATCTGGCAGGGCTAGTCGTCCAAGTCCCCAATGATTCGTCTCGTCTTCGTGTTGGCGACGTCGTCCTGGTGCCGTCAACAGACTATCGTGACATTAGGAAAGCAGCTTTCCAAGAATACGCAGTTGCCACCGATTTCAATGCAGCTCGCATCCCATCTTCAACATGCATTCAAGCCTCCGCCTCAGTTGGCGTTGCCTTCGTCGCTGCTGCCCTGGCTTTAGGTGTTTCATTCGGGTTGGACTTTTCCCTTCTGAAGCGATGTCCTGGTCCAAACCTGGTCGAAATTATCAATAAGCTTGAAAAAAGCGAGATTCCAAGTGACATTCATGATGAATGCTTTGCTTCGTCGTCAGAGGCACAACGGCCGCAGCCCGGTGAATGGGTTGCGATTTGGGGAGGTAAGATATCGAACATCCCATGTTTTATGTACTATACTGACTTTTTGAAGCCTCAACAACTACCGGTCTTGTTGCTCTCCAGCTGGCTAAACTTGCTGGTCTTCGAGTCATCTGTGTGACTGACGTCGCGAGGCACGGAGCGAAGCTTGTGAAGTCAGGTGCCGATTTGCTCGTTGATCGCCACGATACCGACCGAGCGGTAGAGATTATTATCGGTGTCACTGGTGGTAAGCTGCGATTTGCAGTGGACATTGTCGGCAAGGATACGGCCACACTTCTCCAGAAGGCCCTTGACCCTTCTGGACACTCCCATCTCTTAGGGCTTACAGGACTTCCGAAGGAGCAAGTACGTGGCATCCACCAACACACCGTGCCAATTAAGTTGTTCCATACAGCACCTGCCGTGGGTGAAGCTATGGTGACCTGGTTGGAGGATCTGCTAAGCTCAGACAACTTGACCTTGCCAGAGATTATCGAGGCGGACGGAGGACTAGGGGGAATCAATGCAGCATTGGAGGTATTGCGAAGTGGATCGGCCTCTGGGAAACGGATTGTGGTGGGGCTTGGCGAGCGGCCATAACGCTTAATTCTTTGATTTTTTTAGACTATCCACCGCGACGTGTGAATTTCCGAGGTGTTCGTAGCAACCCTTTTTTAAGATTTAGCCACACTTTGACATGTTTCTAGAAGATGAACATGGACAAGAACATGAACATTTGGACAAAGAAAATGCATTTAAGAGGCTTTGTACGGTCTAATTTTTAATTCTGGAAGGGAAGAATAAATGTAGACACAAAGCCAAACCACACTAGTGAATGTCTAGAAACCTACCCCGGATTCAAAGCACTCTGGGCGTAGTTTCAAGGTTGGACGGGTAAGAAATATATTCACCGCTAACCCCGAAGTATGCGACTACCCACGGGTGAATTGAGATCTGAAATCACCTATGCACTGCCGGGTACAATGAGTCAAAAGAAGAGCATCCATGGATTGACACATAAGAAGAAACCAACCCACCAAATTGCTAATGACTTCCACTGCAAATGCACAGCCCCTCACATCTTGTGCAGAGCGATAATCTGCAGGCGGGGCCCGATCGGTCTCCGGCGGCCGAAGCCAATCAATGCCCAGCCATTAGTGCAATTCTTAAGAATTGACCCCGGAGTCGGGTGGTCTACGTCATGCATATTTACAACTGAACAATGCAATTCTACCCAAAAGTCAATCGTATCAGATAGAAGCTCTAGGGTTTAAGCTAAAACACATACTACAACCGTAATCGTTATCTACTTTCGAACCTAGTTAAAAATCTTCAATAAAGATGAGTCAAAGTGAGTCGCGACCAGCCGCCCACAAGCGCCACTACCCGCCGTCACATTTTTGTTGATGGCCGATATCGGCCGACATCGGGCCCCCCTAGTTTCGCCACTTCAGCCAATAATCTCCCAAGCATTGGCCGCTGACCGACCGAAACCGGCGTTGCCCCTCGAGTAGCTCCCCAGCGACATCGCGGGCGCGGCGAAATATAAGTTGTTTGCTATCCCTGACTTCTTGCTACTCTCAATCTGAATTATCTATACAACATGCCTTCCGCAGAGACAAAACCGAGAACCTTGTATGACAAGGTTTTCGCTGACCACATTGTCAACGAGCAAGACGATGGCACTTGCCTGCTTTATATCGGTATGCCGAGCTGTCCCGCACCTTCACGGTATTTTCTAACATTCAACCCCAGACCGCCATCTTGTCCACGAGGTGACCTCTCCTCAGGCTTTTGAGGGTCTCACAAATGCCAGCCGCAAGGTCCGCCGGCCGGACTGCACTCTGGCGACTGTTGACCACGTATGTTGGAGCCTCCAAATCGATGGCGGCGTTGCAGCTAACCGGGGTTTCCTTGCCTACAGAACATCCCCACCTCCTCTCGCAAGAACTTCAAGAACGCCTCCGACTTCATCAAGGAGAACGACTCGCGTCTCCAATGTACCACCCTCGAGGATAATGTCAAGAACTTCGGCCTCACCTACTTCGGTATGGGCGACAAGCGCCAGGGTATCGTTCACATTATCGGTCCCGAGCAGGGCTTCACTCTGCCCGGAACTACCGTCGTCTGCGGTGACAGCCACACCTCCACCCACGGTGCCTTCGGTTCCCTCGCCTTCGGTATCGGTACCAGTGAAGTCGAGCACGTTCTCGCTACCCAAACACTCCTTACCCGCCGAAGCAAGAACATGAAGGTTCAGGTTGATGGAGAGCTTCCTCCCGGTGTTACTAGCAAGGACGTTGTTCTCCACATCATTGGTGTCATTGGAACTGCTGGTGGTACCGGCGCTGTCATTGAGTTCTGCGGATCCGTGATTCGTGGCCTCAGCATGGAAGCCCGTATGTCCATGTGCAACATGTCCATTGAGGGTGGTGCTCGTGCTGGTATGATTGCCCCCGATGAGATCACTTTCGAGTACCTCAAGGGCCGTCCCCTGGCTCCCAAGTACGGCAGTGCCGAGTGGAAGAAGGCCGTCAACTACTGGTCTACTCTGAAGACCGACCCCGGTGCCAAGTTCGACACTGAGATCTACCTTGACGGCAAGGATATCATTCCTACCATCTCCTGGGGCACTTCCCCTCAGGATGTTATTCCCATCAACGGAGTTGTCCCCAGCCCCGATGACTTCGAAGACGAGAGCCGCAAGCTCGCTTGCAAGCGTGCTCTTGAGTACATGGGTCTCACCTCTGGTACTCCCATGAAGGAGATCCCTGTCGACAAGGTCTTCATCGGATCTTGCACAAACGCCCGTATTGAGGATCTGCGCGCCGCTGCCAAGGTTGTCAACGGCAAGAAGATTGCCTCTAACATTCTCCGCGCCATGATCGTCCCCGGTTCCGGTCTGGTCAAGGAGCAGGCTGAGGCTGAGGGTCTGGACAAGATCTTCACCGATGCTGGCTTTGAGTGGCGCGAGGCTGGTTGCTCCATGTGTCTGGGTATGAACCCCGATATTCTCTCCCCCAAGGAGCGTTGTGCCTCCACCTCCAACCGCAACTTCGAGGGTCGCCAGGGTGCTCAAGGCCGCACTCATCTGATGTCTCCCGCCATGGCCGCCACTGCTGCCATTGTTGGCAAGCTTGCCGACATTCGTGAGCATGTCGTCGCCAGCCCCGTCATCGCCAAGGTTCAGCCTGTTATCGAGACTCAGCCCGCGGCTGACTCCCCCGAGACCGAGGATGAGCTTGACCGTGTCCTCGACCTTCCCGCTGATAACGAGCCCCACACCAACACCTCCGCTGTTGGCGGCGGCAGCAGCACCGGCCTGCCCAAGTTCACAACCCTGAAGGGTATCGCCGCGCCTCTGGATCGTTCGAACGTCGACACCGACGCCATCATCCCCAAGCAGTTCTTGAAGACCATCAAGCGAACTGGACTCGGTGTCGCTGCCTTCTACGAGCTTCGCTACGACCCTGCCACCGGCAAGGAGAACCCCGACTTCATCTTGAACCAGGGCATCTACCGCCAATCTAAGATTCTGGTCGTCACTGGCCCCAACTTCGGCTGTGGTAGCTCCCGAGAGCACGCCCCCTGGGCTCTGCTCGACTTCGGCATCAAGTGCATCATCGCCCCCTCCTTCGCCGATATCTTCTTCAACAACACCTTCAAGAACGGCATGCTTCCTGTCCCCATCACCGACGAAGCCGCTCTGGCCAAGATCGCCGCTGAGGCTCACGCCGGTCGCGAAGTTGAGGTCGACCTTGTCAACCAGGAGATCAAGGACTCCGAGGGCAACAAGATCGCCTCCTTCGAGGTCGACAGCTTCCGCAAGCACTGCCTCGTCAACGGCCTCGATGACATTGGTCTCACTCTCCAGATGGAGGGCAAGATCCGCACCTTCGAGACCAAGCGCAGCCTCGAGACTCCCTGGTTGGATGGCAGTGGCTACCTCAAGCGTGACAACCGCGGCGCTACCCGCATCGACGCCGCTCCTGTTCCTAAGACCAACCGTGGTGATGTGAAGAGCGAGCCCCTCGAGTGGTAAAATTTTTCTGTGTTTAAATTGGCGCCGTGCAGGATCGCATTGAATACGGTAATAGAAGCTCTGCTTTGTGTTCAAAAGTTTTCGCCTTATTTCAGAAACCTATATTCCCCTTTTGATTGTTTGTTCTGCATATTTCGAGGCCTTGTTTTTGGATTTCTTTTCAGTGGTCTACGAGTTTCAATGAGAATGAGTTATGAATCCAGACGTTTCTTTACTGTAGTGCTATAGAGTATCACAATTCTAGATGACACTAAAATGGGCGCTAACAATGGCTAGTTCTTGCCTTAAAACGCCATACTAGGAACTTTCGATTTTTCAGGATCTTAGCTAGGTGAAAACTCTTCACGTATTTAAAAGGTCTGCCCTGGCCCATTACGCGCATTGGGCACTGACGCTCGATCGCTGTCCTTCTCCCCGTAGCTTGAGACCCGATCTTCAATAGTAAGAGTCACCCGTCTCACTTAGCGACATGAAACGTCCAATCCTCGGGGAAGTGATCGTAGTGAATGTCCCCCTTGCCACGATAAATGTCATCATAATGCTCAATACGAGTTTCCGGGTCCTTGGCCTGCAGGTAGTACTTTTCGCTCAAGGACCGGAACGCGGGGTCATTCCACATGGTAGCCATCCAGGCCAGAGCGTCCTGACTCGCAGATGTCAAAGGAAGGCCGTAGGTACGGAATCGCTGATATTGTCAGTGATACTCATCATAAATACTCGGCACGAGAAATTCGTACCCAAAGGACCGGCCAGAAAAAGGCATCGGCAATACTGAATCCTCCAAACAGGAAACCCTCGTCGGCCTCCCCGAGAACCGCAAGGCGCTCTTTCGAAGCCTTTCGGACTTCGTCCCACAAAGCTAGCATGCGGTTGATATCTTTCAAAGCCGCCTCTGGAATCGGCACATTGCCGGTATACCGGGCGAGGAAGTTGGTACTGTATAGGTTTCGCAGAGTCGAAAAGCCGGAATGCATCTGGGCAGCCGCGCTACGGGCCAAAGCTCTGAGTTGACGGTCACGAGGCCAGAGAGGAAGCTCGGGATGAGACTCCGCGAGGAATTCGCAGATTGCCAGTGAATCACCGATGGTGGATCCGATTGAGCGGCATTGGAGGAATGGCACGAAACCAGTTGGAGAGACCGTTTTCACCTATGAACCCGGATACAAATGTAAGTAGTGATCAAAAAAGAAATCAATTGATCGTGCATTATCATGTACATCGGAAAGTTTGATGAATTGGGAGCTATGCGGAATTTGGAAATACTCCAAGACAGCTTCCACCCGGGACGTCCAGCCTAGAATTATGATTAGCGATGCTCGACACTCCGCGCTCAGTGGGGCTTACTGGAATAGCGGGTGTAGGTTCCAACAAAGTGATAGTCCATTTCCTGAGCCATGACGATTGCAACTGAGAACTTCAAATCAATTCGAAGGGAATCAGAAGAGAACGGATAATGGAAGGATTAATTATCGCGGTTATTTGCGGCCTGTGGCTGACGTGACTCATTTCCATGGTTACTGAAACGCCAATCTCGTGTCCACGATCAAGCTACTGAGTATAAACTTGACTAGCAGCTAACAGTACATGCCTTTGATCTCCAGAGGCCAATCTGCTTATCGAGAAATGAGAGGACATTACATTAGATACTAGTTGGAGACCAATGGCGAGAAATTTGGACAAAGGAAAAAGTGGGCGTTAGAAAAGGAAACTAAAGTCCGGCCGTGACAAGCTCCATTAAATCATCTTCCTGTTTGGCCAATTTCATCAACAAGAATCACTTCCTAGGCTTCACCTAAGGCTTTGACAGCTGTTCGCGGCGGAAGAAGAGAAGGAAGCCACCACTGTATTTACGTTAGAATTAAGCCTTCTATTAACTAGATCAATTGAAACGGCTTACCAAATCAAAAGCTGGAAAACAAGCGCGATCCAAAACCATGCGTTGCCCAATGCACTGACACCGGCCGTTATATCTGGGGAGATGGGACCCGGGCCGATCTTATTCGGTGCGAAAGATCTCGCACATATCGTTGCGAGGGAACCAAGAACCTGCGAGACAAGCAATGTGAAGCAAATGTGCATACGCGTCAAGGTCTGCAAAAGAATCATGCCGAAGCCAAGACCCTGCAGTGCATCCAGCACACCGAGCCATAGCCAAAGACTTCGGGATATCAAAGCACCGGATACATAGGTTCCTGCCCATGGAAGGAAAACACCCGTGCCGGATGTTCCCCACCATATTTGCGCCCATCTGGGTGCACCGAGGCCACAGGCCACGATGGGTAAAATCCAGCTATGCGACTTGGATATGCGAGCCATGAGACAAAGCACTGCTATCCAGACCAAGCCGAAGAAGGCAATGCAGAGGCATAGGATCTGCCAGGGCCTGGCGTGATTGGAGATCCAGAGGACTATGATAGTCTTAGTTGTCTCAATTGCTCCAGATGAGTGGGAAGTAGGTACTTACAGTTCCAGTTTCGACCATAGGGTGCGCTCAAGAAGAAGTTCTGGAAGATGACCACAACCCAATTCCAAAGCACGATCTTTCGCCGAAAGACGGACTTGTAAAAAGACGGAACCTTGCCAGGAGCCTGACGATAGTAATTTGGCAAGCCGAAGTAAACAATCAAACCGATTGTCCACAAGAAGATTGTGATAGGTGCACAAACCGCTCTGCCTCAACGTTAGTCCAGGACTTGAAAAGACGGGAATCACGAATGAAACTAACGTCATCCTCCACGTGTTGGTAATACTGCCTTGCACATTCGCAACCCCAGCATTCGTCGCCTTGGTCAGGGTTGAGCCCCAATACCAGAGAGCGATGACATATGCTTGCTGTGTGCCTTGAATAAGACAAGCACGGAACACCCATTGCTTCACAGGGGCTCCGCTCTCATCACCAAAGTTGAGGGCAAAGAAGATAGAACCACTTGATGATGCTGCGGCATAGATACCACTTCCGATATTCTGAATCCATCCACGTATGAATGAGTTAGGCTCGTAGTGGGCGAGGCCAATGACCAAAAAGGCAGAGCCGTATAGGAACCATGGTACGGTCAAGACAAGCACGGATTTGTAGAATCGGAAGAAAAACCACCAAAGAATAGATGTAATCAGATATACAGTAGCGATTCCATACAGTTTTGCTGCTGTCTGCCCGACCTCCCCAGTAAGCAGGGTAATTTGATAGGAATTAGCAGCAATGATCTGGCCGAGACCGAGGAACAGGGAGTAGACTGGCCAGTCTCCAAGTCGGATCTGCATCCATTTCTTCAGCCCCGTCGGTGGGACGTAGTCTTCTCCCAGCTGGAACTCATCGCCGACTTCTTTTCTCTCTTGACCGCCACTCTCATGAGATGTGGTGTCATCATTGGTGATAGACCCCGGAGGAGAGGACCCGCCGTTCTTGCCGAATCGCATTGAAGGAGCTGGAGACTGGTTGCGTCCCAGACGTGCATCTCGGAATTTATCGAACCATTTCTTCTCGCTCTTCTCGAGATACTGCTCGATGCAAAGCTGAGAGTCTGAATTCGCGCCATTGAGAACTTCCAATTTCTTCTCGAAAGCTTTATAGTACTCGCCATTGCTGTCCGTGAAGAAGGGATCGACCTTTTGCAATTTGTAATCTTTTTTGTCTCCAACGACTGAGTCAACAGATAGCTGTGAGGCACTGCTAAGACGATTTCCTGGCTCTGCCCAAGGACGTTGCGGAGGAAGGAGAGTATCTTCCGTACCCGCTGTGCTGGGCGATGTGGAGCTCGAAGACGTATTCATGAATCGAGGCAAAAGAGAGCCTTGACCCGTGTGTCGGGCAGCAAGGACTTCTCGGGTAAGAGGTAGAAGAGACTGAGAAGCTTCCATTTGTCGACCTGCATCAGCAGAGTCGGGACCCAGTGGATACTCATCGTCACCATAGCAGGTAGACAACATCTCGTCATCACTGTCATCATCGATATCGGGCACTGATCCTTCTCTAACCTCTTCAACATCGCTTACGCTTCCCTTTCCAGGATCTCGTCTCCCACGACCCTCCAGTGGAGCGGAAACAGGCCTAACACCGAATGGCATTTGTCGACTCGGTCCTGACTTAGGACGGGAATCAGCGCCAGGACTCGGATCGCGGCTATATATGATAGAGCTGCGTTGCATCGATGCAACAGTTCCAGGCCTACTACTTGGCTGAAGCGGTGATGTGAGAGTACCAGTTGAAGCATTAGGCCTCGTTACAGCCTGTGGAGTCATCATTCCGTAGATGGCATTATATGCCGACACTGCAGCAGATGGTTGCGCCTGTGTCTTTGCACGTTCCTTGTTGTGAATTCGAATAGCTGTTGACTGAAGAATCTCCAAGTCTTCAATCCATTGTGCAACAGGGAATCGCTGCAAGGCTGATCTCGCACGCATCATAGCTCGAACTTCGGATTTAGAGCTCAAAGCATTGTCAATCGCAAGCTTGAATTGCTTGAGAAGATGCGATGTGGTCGTGGACTCAACTGTATACCACCAACCAGGCATTTGACCGAGACCACCTACTCGAGCACCGATACCAAGAGCTCCCTTGCGACCAAATTCGACGGCGACCAGGCCAAAAGGCTCGTCTCGCGAAGGAATCAATGCGAATTCAGCGCCCGAGAAGATAAATGGTGGCAGAACCGTGAACTGAGGTTTCGAGAATACTCTTCCGGGATAGAGATTCATCATGCGATCCAGTTTGAGGGCGGCAAACTTGCCATACAAATCAATAACCGGTCCGATGCAGATGAGTTGAACATTTGGTCTTGATTCAAGAACGGCAGGCATTACGTCGGCGATCAGATCGATGCCCTTTTGCATTGACCATCTTCCAACAAAGACGAGAAGATCAGCAGAAGGGTTCTGTTCCAGACCAGCCCATTCTTGAGCTTGACGTTTGAGTTCTTTTCTGCCAATTTCAAATGCACTGTCGACACTGATCTCATTTTCCTTAGGCAGATCCTTGTTCCACTCGCCAGTATCCGAGGGATCGGGATTTGGCAAATTTCCAAGCTTTCTGAGACCCCAGAAGATAGGATATCTTGCATAGGAACGTTTGCCATATTTCTTCGAGACGCCAACAGCACCAAAGCCTTGCTGGTGTAGACGTAGATAAGTAGCACCGGCATGCAGCAGGTTGAAGATTTCACCGAATTGGACATAGCGCGTGACAACATCCATGTCAAGATTGTAGACAGAGCAGACCTCGGTCTTCTCGTTCTGCGTTCGCATGGGCCACAAGCCTTGAAACTCGGCATTATGGAGCGACAGACAAACAGGAATTGTCTCAGGTAGTTGATATAGCGGCGCGAGTGAGCCATGGTAGTCATTGACATGATACAAATCGATGGGGAAACGCTTCATAGCTTGCGCAATGCATTGGTTCCAGGCAGAGTAATAGATGGCACTATCCATGTCGTCCATTCGAGCCGGGTAAGGCTCAAGGGCCGATTGTTGACGGAAGACCGGTGCGTCCAGGAGCACATAGGTGATGTTTTTCACGTAATGGTACTGAATCCTTACCTCATACGAGTTGCCGAGGATAATGACAAACATAGATTCGGCAGGCTTGTCAATAGGGTAATCGATCCCGCCGACACATGGGATGACCCAAATGAGATCTTGATGTCCAAGTTGCTTGCTCATCAGTTGTGCCATGACACCCAAGCCACCAATTTTAATTCTGATGTCCCAGTCGGCAAGGTCATATTCAATAGTCGCGACGAGAACCTTCCGTCTGTGTGATGTGCGGTTACCGAAGGCAGATTTGCTCTGAAGGAATCTTGATCTGGTTACCAAGCGTATAAGAGAATTCTTTGACTGTCCAATCTCGGCTTTGTCCAGCTTGAATAAGTTGAAGACATCCATGGAGATGAGTGTTTTCCTCTCACTCACTCCGACCTGGTTGAATCTGATTCTGTAGAAGGTCTTCTTGAACACGTAGGCAGTTGTGATGGCTGTGATTACTGGGATAACCCACAAAAAAACGAACAGAGCGATTTGGGTATACTGCGAGCCCGCAGGTATGAGCTTGAATCTCATCGTTGCATCGTCAAGGTGGATTCTCCAAGCCAAATGCGGGTGTGGAGGATGCCGAGTAATGTTGATTGTAGTCACACTAAGCGAAGACGGGGGCAGTCGATCCAGAATTGAATTTCCATCGGAATCTCCGTAGATATAGCTCTGATCGGGCTGCCCGCCTGGGTTGATACCCCACACATTGAGCTGACCCTGGGCGGGCCACTCTGCCATGAATCGGAATTTCCAAATGCCATCGCTATCTTGCTTCATGGTGTTTGCCAGCCCAGAATCGTAACCGTATTCATTGAAGGGACCATTGAAAAAAAGATGAGGGAAACGACGAGGCATTTTCCACTCGGGCCCATCACCTTCTTGGACATAATCGCTGCTTCCCGTAAAGCGGCTCCAATATTCGACGCGGACATGTTTTCCGTCCCATCTCTGCGCTTTCGTTCCAGACCAAGCTTGCTCTTTGATGGTGTGATTACCTCCTTCGTATAGGATCCAGGGAGAAAACGAACTTCCCCAGTTGGTTGAGTAGCGATACATATCTGCACCTGCCGCGTTTTGCCGGATGAAGAGCTCTCCATTATTACGCTGATGAAGCAAGTTACTCGAGTAGTTGGCAGATGTAAAGATCATGGGATTATCGTGCTGTCCGAGTCGAACCAAGAAATGATCGATGGCATTGGTGAACCTCCCGTCGCTGCTTGTTGCATTTTTCACAGTCAAGCGGTGAACTCCGTTGTAGACGTTATTCAAAGTTACCGACCAGCCCCAGATACTAGGGATGCTTCCAGTCCACAAAGAACCATCCGGATTAATGAATCCACAATCCACTGTGTCAAGGTCAATGGAGGGAATCTCTCCAGATTCGGTTGTCGATTTGAGTGAAATAGCATCTGCGAGAAGAGTGCAGTCCATCTCCGTGTTGAAATAAAGACCTATTTCGAGAGTCTCGCTTTCTCCGGGGGAAGCTTTGGACAAGACTGGTGCATCATGCCCAGGGGTGAACTTGGTGATCATCGGATGCGGAGGCACGAACTTTTCTTTCGGGACGTAGGCTCTGAACTCGTAAGGATTGAGAGTCATGCTGTCGTGACACCCGTTGAACTTCGTGGAGCCGTTTAGATGAAGCTTGGTGGGGCCATCTTTCAGAGCGAGCTCGTCATGGGGATAGAAGAGGTTCTTGACACTGGTATTGGTATCAAAAGGCGCCACGAGAGCCCGATTATTGTCAGAACAATCGAAATCGTATGTGATAGTCCGATTATCATTTTGATAGACAAACCAGATTGTCTGATTTCCTGCCACACCAAGATCCTGCATCTGGTAGTACGGACTTCGCAGAACAGACCACATCCCTGTTTCGGTTGGAACACCATTGGAACCTGGATAGTAGATGTTGTGTGTTTGGTTAGATAACAACTGGATCCACCAACCATCGTTCAGTGCTGGGTAGTCGTGTCGCATCTGGTACATATGTTTGATGGTATTGCGGACTGGATGAGATGGATCTCGATGGTCGTACGTGGCTGATTCGTCATGACATCCCAGTCGCCCTGATTCGATCGGCCATTGAAAATATTGAGTTGAATTCATCTGGAAGCAACCATGGGTCTTCCAGGCTGTGGCAGCAGACATTGCTTGTCGACCGAAGATATAATTGGAAGCTGAAGCATCGAGGATATAGAATGCTTGTTCCTCCCCCCAAAGCAAAAGTGGGATACCAGGCAGATGAAGAGTGGTGATAAACAAGGCCAAGAGCTGCCTCTCGACACCCTGCGAGACGGTTGGCCAACGGAAGACATCCTGGTTTGTTGCGCCGTACATATGCCGAGGATCAAATTTGCCGGTATTGGCATTGATCATGTCATTCGTGAGGATCATCTCGTACCAAGCTTCTGTCCAATTCACTGGAATATCATAGCCAGCTGCAAGGTTTCCATCCATTCCAAGGAATCGAGTAAGCGAGCGATAAACAGAATAATGGAAAGCGGCACCATCAATTGCCTGTTGAGTCTCGTCGCGAATAAAGTAATCCTCAGATGAGTTCTTCAAGTGGAACGCTTTATCGAGTGTTTCGGGAAGCATGTCAGGTTGCCGACCACGACCTAGGAAGACAGATCCCAGGTTGTTTCCTACTGTAATCTCTCCCGGGAGAAAAAAATCCTCCTTCCCGACTCGACGTGCGCATTCTCGGTATGAACTTGAAATGTCACCGAGTGCATCAACGGTGGCCTGGGTCGCTTTATCGTAACGGAACCCGTCGATATCGAGCGAGGAGATGATCATACAGGAATGTCGGATGAGCCGCTGTCGGACACTGGGTACCCATTCACGTAGACGATCCTGGACCGATGCGAATTTCGCAAGTTCACGTTGCCAATCAGGGAAGACACCGAAAGCTTCGATGTCGCCGTATTGATCGAAGTCACTGTCGTAGCATCCCGATAGCTCACCTCGAACGTATGAGTCTACTGGGAATCCAGTCTCGTTCCAGAGGCGAGGATAATCGCAGGATTCATTATAGGTGTTGCCAAAATGAAAATCAACGTAGTGTCGAGATGACTTCCACTCGGCCTTGTGCTCTTTCAACGAGAACGGTGTGGTAGTGTTCAAGTACCCCTCGGAGCCAATAAGATCACCCATTCTAGGAAAGAATCAACTTCTTGTCTAGAACTTTTATGTGAAAGATTTGGTGCTCTTTGAAGGACTTACGTGGCAACCGTGTTGTCAAAAATGACATACATGCCGCGGTTATGTATCTCTGTGATGGCATCTCGCCAAGTCTGAATTGTACCAAAGTGCTGATCAAGTAGAGTCGTGTCAAGAGCCGAGTAACCGTCTGAACCCCATGGCTGGTTCATCAAGACTAATCCGGCAAGGTATATTCCCTGAAAATGAAGTTTTAGTTGATGTGTTCTTCACTCTCCAAGCAGGTTTCATTCCTAACCTTAATGCCCATTCCTTGTAGATAGTCCAAAGTATCAACCAGGCCTGCCACATCACCGCCATGTCGCATTTGGTTTGAGCTCAAATCATGCTCAAAGAGAGTTCCATTGATGTTGTCGTTGGTCGGGTCACCATTAACAAACCGATCAAGGAAAAGTGTGTAAATTGGAAAGCGCCAATTGGCCGGGGAAGGGTGATAAGTGTGGTTGGGCCATTCACCCCAGTATTCGGCGGGATTTGTGGCTGTCTTATTTTCGTTGATGTTATATGCGTTGAGGTCCTCATCGTATGGCCAACATAATCCAAGCACAGCAAGCTGGCTGATGAGAAGGCTTGTATATCTCCAATGCATCGTCAATAAAAGGTTGAATCCAGTTTCTGCATGGATTTTAATGATTAATTGAAGATTCATCACATTGAGTCATAATGGGATAAAGAAAAGAAGTTACTGCAACTGCATTTTGAAGTGGGATGGGTTGAGTAGAGAAGCAACGCACGTATCCTATGGTCGACGTTGAGGGACGAAGACACAGCGGCACACTACAGGGCCTGGATAACAACTGTTGATACTGAACGTCAACGATGAACCTAAAGCACTTTCAGTAGGAAAATTACAGCGAAAGCATACAAGTACAGACTCAGCCTCCGATGACGGCAGGAGAAAAGAGAAAGAAGAAAATTTTGAAGTGTTTGATAGAAATAAAAGATGATTGGAAATCCCCAGTGTGCCAGAAAAATGAAAAAAATAAAAAAATAAAAAAATAATCCAACTGAAGCCAGATCCCACAGCACACTTTCGAGTAACTCTTATGTGTCTTCTACTTCGCTAAGAAGCATACCGTCTGACCATTTATCTCACCTCTCGTCCCATAGCTTTTTGGTTGGACCTCTTTGACACCCGGAATGAGCGGTGAAGGCCCAGAGAGTTCCTGATGAGAGACAAAAAGCCTAGGATACATCTGGAAACCTCGCGGAATGAATGGAATCTTGGTTGACGAATGCAATATCGAGTGAACAGGGGCTCAGACACCAGCGTTCGGGAGTGTCTCACGAGACATCACCATCGCCGGGAAACTCCCAGCAACATCCTTCGCTCTATGCATAATAGACGGCCGAGTAGGAATGGACCTGTCTCGATACTGCCGAATGCTCGGCTCATGCGGTGTATGTAGGACAAGGATCTGCGATCCTCGATCATGAATGGCAAGGAATAAGGCGATGATGCGATAGCAAAACGAGCGATGTAGAACATGCAGCGTCGACCTGATATTGGTCTGATTTTAAAAATGACTGTCAGTGGACTAGGGCTATCTTGCTCTGAAAAAAGCTCAGTGACGAGGTACGTTCAGTGTAGAAGGTGAGCATTATGGCAGCCATTCTTTTTCCAATTGTCCAGAGCTTGTTGGGAGATTTGCGCTAATTTATGTCTGCTTTTAAAGAAGAAGAGGATAAGACCATTGAAATCCAGGGGCATTGCTATTCATTGGAGCCCTGCAAATTTATTTCATGATTTGCTTCTTCCAAAAACGGTATTACTGGAGCGGATTGCTATTCCGACTGTCGCAGCGTCACTGCTCGGGAGCATATGAAGTACATCCTCTAAAGAATAAGTTTTTGTCGGGCTATGTCTGGCGATTCTGATTGCATGCTGATGTTTTTTTCAATGGTACCAATTCCAAAGAGAATTATTCGTGGTCATTGGACTCAGATCACGGTGACTTTGTATATGGCTACCTGCTTCCAAGGTTCGGAGCGTAGTTTTCGGTGGCTTGTAGGATTGTTTGCCAACATAGACACTATATTTTCCAGTCCGGTCCAATGTTTAGTTGACATTATGATCTCTTTCGGCTTGCATCTTACAGGGAATATACGTATAGAGTAGAGGTCCATGGTTGGATTTCTCTTTGCCTTTCCCCCGCTATTCTCTCCGCAGAGGATCTCGGTTTTGCTATGCCCTTAAGTCTAATTATAGAGCAGATTATTATCCAGAGTTAACATAGACAGTTGTTTCCCGACAGTCAACGCAAATCCGAAGATAACATGAGGTATGATTTATAGTCAGATGAATTGGTTAACTCTATCAGCTCTGGTACTTCTGGGGAGTGTCGATATACATCAAGTACTTTGCTAATAGCTGCTTGGCGGAGCAATAATCGCTTACCACGTTGGTTCACCAGGGTATATCCCCGTTAGATGAGCTGTTGAGAAAACAAGACATGTGTCTAACCATACCAACTTGAAGCTATAGAATACCCAAGTGAAGCTGTCTGTGGCGCCATTCATACTAATTAATAAGAATTTTTTGATATATTAGAGCTTCCAATGTTCCAACATGCGTATTACCTACACAAACAATCGGATGCTCTCAAATACCTGCGCACGCACATGACCTGATGCCGCTGTAGCGATGACTGTGCAGGCTCTGCAAGAACCCTCTTCGCGCATCACAATAAGAAGGCACCAAAGAGTTATGGTTGGCCATGTTCTTCCTGTCTGTAAATATCAGATCAATATCTTCAAACCTGGGCTAGAGCTCGCTATTTTTATACTTGTACTCGCCTCGGAACTGTTATGTTTCAATCGGGGCGTCGAGAGGGAGAAATCATTGTGCTATATTTTGAGTTCCAAATTAACTTAAACGTCGTTATCCATAAAGATAGATACACTGCAAAAGACCCGTTATCGGAGCATCGTTCCGCTGTCGGCAGATGGTCCAAATTGAAATTCAGAATTGCACCCGGTGTTTCTGTGATACACAATCAACCACTGGGGAAACGCCGGAAGCCTCCAGGCCTTGGCTAGTGACTCCCCAATCAGAACTAGTGCGTCAAATGGTCCCTAGCAACTCCCCGTTGATGGCGGTGCACGGTAATTAGACTGTCATTAAGTCCACCAAGCTGAAAGCAACAAAGTATTACGCTGGTAGTATATTCTACTGACAGACGTTCCACGAATTAGGGGAGAATTTCCGTGCTATTTGCCATCTAGTCATGCTTTGCATGTTTCACTTCCGGCTTCGTTGCTTGTACCAAGTCCGCATCTGACCTAAGGCAACTCACAACCCAAATGGCCTGAGCGCGATCAGATCATTAGATGCATTAGATACGTGATAATTCCGCTCGAACTCCATCTAGTGCCGGTGCTAATTACACAATTACCCAAAGGTCAGTTTCAGAGGCAATGACCCCTGCTGTGCTGTGTGACTGTTGAACTCTCATCATCCGGCGTAGTCGTATCTGTTCATGGCAAGGGCTTCAGAGTACGATGCTATCAAGCTTCCACCGAGACGCGGCAGAAATCCTTGAACATTCCCAGTATTCCATACGACGCATCAGCGAGAGGTGCGTGAAACTACCAAGGTTGCTTATAGTTTATATGCCTCTTCATAAATACGATGTAGATAAATCTCTCATCGAGACCGTAGCTATCGAAGTGGCGTTCGTAGGTCACAGCTCCAACTTCGCCGATTGGAGCACCAAATGACTCCCAATCGTCGGCCCTGTCAGACTAGTTTGTACATTGTCAGAGCGTGGGAAAATATATGGGAAGATGTGGGTGACCCGAGTCTACCTGCTTTCTGAACAGGAAAGTGGATCTTGACAAAGATGTATTGAGGCTTATATATAGTCCAAAAATATTCTTTTCAAGACTGCAATGTGCATTGACGGACTGGAGTAACTCCGGACTACCCTGGTATCATAGACTCCTCTTTTCTTGTCTCTTCATACTTCGTACCTCAATGAGGCTGTCGCGGACCATTCTTACTCCGCGCCGTAGCGGGAGCGGTAATCCTTCAGGCGTTGAATTTCACCGGCGCCGATCGAGTCGCTGAGCTTCTCAATCAGGTCGTGCAGACCGAGGACAGAGCGGATGGGGATGTTACCACCAAGGTCACGCTCGGCGCAGCCGATAGCGCTCTTGGGCTCAGAGTCGCTGACACGCTCTTCACGGTCCAGCATGACAACGACACCGGCGACGATACCACCCTCCTTCTCGATGATGCCGACAGCCTCACGCAGAGCAGTACCGGCGGTGATGACATCGTCAACAATGACGACGCGCTTGCCCTTCAGTGGAGCTCCGACGATGTTACCACCCTCACCGTGGGCCTTGGCCTCCTTGCGGTTGAAAGAGTAGCTCACGTTGTCCCAAGTGCCCTTAGGGGAACCGGAGAGAGAGTCCTGGACAGCCAATTCATTGAGGACGGCCGCACAAATAGGAATTCCCTTGTAGGCGGGGCCGAAGACAATGTCGAAGTTGGGCTTGGTGGTGCCATTGGCGTCGGTGGTCACGAAGGGCTCGGAGGAGAGAACGCTAGCATAGGCCGCAGAGCTAGCGCGCAACAGGGGCGCAGTGTGCATGAGAGTTGATGTGAAGAAGTAAGGAGACTCGCGACCAGACTTCAGGACGTAAGTGCCGAAGGAGAGGACTTTGTTGGAGATCAAGAGCGGCAACAGAGTGGACTTGTAGTCCTGGTTGGCAGAGGGCGGGGGGATGGAGGTCGACATTTTAACGGTATTCGACTTGCTCTCTGTGTATAGAAGGGCAGAGACAGCACAGGTGGGTTCCAGTTGAGGTAAAAATGAGGAAGGACAAAAGTCGGCGATAAGCGGCCGCAATGGGAAATTTTGCCCCGGAACCCTTTTTCTCAAGGAGGGGCATGAGGGGCAGCCATAGTACTAGTTCCCATCTTGCCAGTTTCTACTAATAAACAATCCATAATCAATTGGCCGGAAATAGAAGATGTAGACGCGTAACAATGGTCGGAATGTCCAGAAAAACCGCAAAAATTAACGATTGCACCATCGAATGCTCCCTTTTTGGACAGAACACGTGCCTCTCCGACCTTCGGCCTCCCCCGCCAAAACGTCTCAAAAGATTCACCTTTCGTCAACTCCCACTCGGAGCCTTTTTATTCCTTTTTTTTCTCTACTTTATTTTCTTTCTTCTGGGTGCTCCCCCCTGTTCATCTTCTCATCTGTGGGTGCCATAGCAAACTGGTCTGGAATCCTGGTGATCGTAAGACCTCCCCCCACTGCGCCGATAGCCTCAGGGCAGCTCCAGAACAGAACTATTCGATCGTTGAATCCCAGTATGACTCGCCCTTTCCCCAAGCCCTAAGAGAAGAATACATAACTTTCCTATTGGCGCATCCCATTTGAACAATGAAGCTGACGAATTCCCCGCTGGGCTAGATTAACCCAACACAATGCATATTCGTGAGAAGCTCGCGCAAAAGGAGGCCTCCGGGGAGCCGGGAATCTCCTTTGAGTTCTTCCCCCCAAGACAGCACAGGGTGTACAGAACCTTTATGACCGCATGGACCGTATGCACGGATTGGGCCCCTCTTTCATCGACATCACATGGGGTGCAGGTGGTCGTCACTCCGATTTGACCCTGGAAATGGTTGGCGTTGCTCAGTCTGTCTATGGTTTGGAGACATGCATGCACTTGACCTGTACCGACATGCCTTTGGAGAAGGTTGACAACGCTCTCCAGACCGCCTACAAGGCTGGGTGCACTAACATTCTGGCTCTCCGTGGCGACCCGCCCCGTGATAAGGAGGCATGGGAGGCCGACGAGAAAGGTTTCCGCTACGCGAAGGATCTTGTCAAGTACATTCGGGAGAAATATGGTAACCACTTCGACATTGGTGTGGGCGCCTACCCGGAGGGTGCCGATGACAACTCTGATGTTGACCAGTTGATTGATCACTTGAAGGAGAAGGTGGATGCTGGGAGCACCTTCGTGGTCACTCAGATGTTCTACGACGCTGAAAACTTCATCGAATGGGTGAAGAAATGCCGAGCCAAGGGCATCACCGTCCCGATCATTCCTGGTATCATGCCGATTCAGACCTACGCCTCGTTCATTCGCCGATCGACCTGGACCAAGACCCGTGTGCCTCCGGAATGGATGGAGGCTTTGGAGCCCGTCAAGAATGATGACTCCGCTGTCCGTGATATTGGAAAGCGTTTGATTGCGGAGATGTGCCGAAAGCTTCTGGCATTCGGCATCAACCACCTGCACTTTTACACAATGAACCTGGCTCAGGCAACCAACCTGGTTTTGGAGGAGCTGGGTCTCTCACCATCACCTGAATCTCCTATTCAGCGCTCTCTGCCATGGCGGCCGTCTCTTGCACTGGGTCGCAGAACGGAAGATGTGCGACCGGTGTTCTGGCGCAACCGGAAGTCGTCATATGTCGCCCGCACCCAGACATGGGACGAATACCCCAACGGTCGTTGGACCGACTCTCGCTCTCCTGCGTTCGGTGAGCTGGATGCTTACGGTGTCGGACTCAAGGGAACCAACGAACAAAACATCAAGCTCTGGGGCCAGCCCAAGTCTATCAAGGATCTTTCTGAAATCTTCATTAGCTTCCTGTCGGGCAAGCTTGACCGATTGCCTTGGAGTGACAGCCCTATCACTGCCGAAGCAGATGATATTAAGGACCACTTGATCGCACTCACCCAGCGAGGATTCTTGACCATTAACTCCCAGCCTGCGATTAACGGCATTAAGTCATCAGACCCTGTGTACGGATGGGGTCCCAAGAATGGCTTTGTTTATCAGAAGGCCTACCTTGAACTCCTCGTGCCACCCTACCTCATCGATGAGTTGATTGCTCGTATCGAGAAGAATGATGACCTGACCTATCACGCCATCCAAAAGAGCGGTGAGCTGCGTACCAACACACACGACAGCCCCAACGCATTGACATGGGGCATCTTTGCCGGCCGAGAGATCATTCAACCAACCATCGTCGAGACAGTCAGTTTCCTGGCCTGGAAGGACGAGGCTTACCGACTGGGTGAAGATTGGTCCAAGTGCCACGAGTCTGGCAGCGCTAGCCGCAAGCTGATCCAGCAAGTCATGGACGATTGGTACTTGGTCAACATTGTCGACAACGACTTCCACCGAACCAATGCAGTCTTTGAACTCTTCAAGGATCTCGAAATCAAGGATCTCTCCGTTGAGATCCCCGGGAAGCCCGAGACTAACGGCGCAACGGAGGAGAACGGCGCCGCCACCAAGAACTAAAAATCCCACTCAACCGGGAACTCACGCTTAATCTAAGCGTTATAGGCTCTCCAACACGAGCCTCTGTCAACATTAACTTACGACTCTACCTAATTCAACATCACCTCTCTCAACGATACTCAACGAAACCTATCCCGAACCAAAACCAACCAACACCAAATCTCGGGCCCCCTTGCAATGTGTCATGGCATCACGATTGAAGACCTCTCAACGATTTCTTCCTGAGCGTTCACTTTTTCATTTCAACATCTAACATTTCCTGTTCCGATACCCCGTCTCTTTAACAATGACGCTTCATCGCTCAGATCACTTCTTTCTCTTCCCACTCCACAGGCCTGGTGCTTGTCTCCTGCATTGCTCTCTGTCGGGCTCTTGGGAAATGGAGGATAAAAAGAAAGAAGAAATCAAAATTCAACATCTTAATCTTACCCTTTCGGGAAACATTTCCTCCCCTCGTTTCTTTATTTCTGCAGAAATTCCTATTATAGAGATTGTAGCTAAGGCGATGACTTGGTCGTTCTTGATTTCAAGCAGCACTTCTTCACTCAGCAGCGGTGTTTCTTGTGGCATTTGGGCTATCTTTGGCGTTGTCTAGTAAAGAATAAATGCTTTGACCTATCATACCATTTCCTATAAGGACATGCGTAGTTTGTAAAGCATGTGGGTGAACACAGCCATCCTCACGTCCTCTGCGATTCTCTCTTAAGGTCCGATTCATGAGGAGGTGCCTGACCAGCTACTTTGATATCCTTCTTGACAATGCTCATACGTTGATATTGAGTATTCTTCATGTGCGCTTAGATTCATTAACTATAATGCATAACTATCTTGACATTGTCACATCCAGCTATCGTATATCTTACCTTGAACACCAATCAAAGAGTGCTATAGGTGCTCTCCTTTCCATAGATAACCTGCAAAGTACCAGTGGCATCAGTGTAATAGATAGCACCAGTCTTCTTATAATTGACCCAAGTATCCTTTCCAAAGAAAGTATTAGACCACTCGAACTGTGTACCAGTGATGTGAGCAGTATATAAGGCGCTGATAACACTGCTATCAGTGATCAAGCCAATACCCCAGACAACGGCGTAAATTGTGATAGTGGAGCCTGAAGGAGGAGTGGTGGCAGACACGGCGTAGGTCAAGGGAGACGAGGCAAGATGGCCGGGAACAACGGTGAAGGTGCCGTCACCCTTGTAGCTAATGAAAATACGCTGCTCGGCGTCGCAGGTGAACAGCATGGAAAGACTGGGGACGGAGCCGTACCAGGAGTCGGTTGAAGGGAAAGGGTTGGTGAATGGGCCGTAGAGGTTGTTTGTGTTGATGACAATGTTGCTTCCGGAGTAGAGATTGGCTTTTGCGACGGTGGTTTGGTCGGTATTGGCTAGGATGAACTTCTCGATTGCAAGAGTAGTGCAAACTTGGGTGGCGGTTGCGACGGCTTGGACGGTCGTGTAAACGTCGATATCGGTGGTGACAGTGGCAGTTTCGGTCACGGTAGAGTCCACAGTTGCGGTGACGGTGAAATAGTCAGTGACTGAGGAAGATTCTACGTCGGTGAAGAATGAAGACATATAGACCGTGGAAGGAACGGTGGAGGTGACGGTTTCGGTGTCGGTGATGTCTGTGGTTGAATAGGCTGTAGCAGTCACAGTATCAATCTCGGTGGCAGTCACAGGGAGGGTGATTGTGACAGTCACAGTCGGAGTAGCCGCCACCACGGTAGAAGTTGCAGTGACAGTAGGCGTAGTTAGGTGCAAGCATGAGCAAACCCCAGAAGCGAAGGCATTGCCCAATCCCTGTAGGCAGGCAGGAGTGGCCACAGCCTGGCCACGCTCTTGAATATCACGGCGGTCGTAGACGATAACAGTGGAGACAGCGGTGGCCGTAGAGGTGACAGTGTCTGACACAGTATCCGTGATGATGGCCGTGAAATAATCCGTAGCAGTATCAGTCTCGGTCTGATCGATAGTAATTGTAGTCGAGACAGTGTTCGTCACATCAACAATATCAGTGACAGGAGTTGTGAGGTAGTCAACCTCGGTGGCAGTAAAGTAGTCGCTGATAGTATCAGTGATGGTTGCCGTTGTAGTAGTAGTCACTGTGCCAGTGGTGTACGCAGTGGCAGTAGCCGTGGCCACAGCAGGAGTCGAAGTGGTGGTGACAGTGTTGGTGGCAGTCTTAATGTTCAGAACACTGGTGCAGAATGTGTCTGCCTTTGAATCCAGCTTCAGGATATCGATGACAAGGTCTTCGAGAAGACAGAAGTCGCGTTCAAAAGGGGTTGCTTCGCTCACCGGGAGTCCACTGACGAGTCCCGTAAGGGCAGCTGCTGCCAACACCAGAGATCGAATCATTATGATATTAGACACGAAACAATGAGAGAATTATCTGCTGGTCTGGATGAAAATCTGAAGGGCGAGGACATGGAGCTATTTATCATTTCTAGAACCTTACAGCTTTGTAATGTTTACACTCCGCTACGACTAGAGGCAAAATAACCGATATACCTCAGCTGTCCATCAGAGTCGAACCATGGGAATCCCGGCCTTGTAGCATTTCAACCGACAGACAGGTAGTGTGGGGGAAGCTTACTGCTTCAACATCGCCTATCGTAGCCAGTGTTTGGCCGGGTGTAAGCCAAATGTAGGCTAGGTATAGGCCAGACGCCATCGTGTAGCTCCGGTTTCGCCGCTCAATCCCACAACATGGTGCACGCAGAGCACAAGCTTTAGCGCCTGAAGAAAATTAATTGATGCCAAAATACGCGGGCCGTGGCCTACGCCACCGGCTGCGCCGAAGTCGAAGTTTAAGTGTGCTCAAGCGCGGCGCTAATTCTATACTAGTAAAAACAGTCTGTCCAGCCGAGAGACTTCTTCGAAAGCGCTCATACCAAGGCACCGGATCGCTGAAGGCCCATGATGATAAACACTGAAAGTCCAATTGAACCGAAGTTATCGAACAGAGCGCCAAAACGAGGAATTCAGTGCAGCATGTTACGCAATCCTTTTCAGATGGCTTTCTGATTCAAGCCCTATTCAAAATGCGCTATACCCGATACGGTTATAGTCCAATAGTGCCCCAAAAGAAGCTTTTAGCGGACACGATAGGACAAAGTTTGGTCTACAATACTGTGTCGGATTAAATGCATCGAGTATGTTTTTACTTGTTTGGAAGAGAAGTAATAGGGAAACATTGGTGCGTATGTAGAAATAGCTCATATAGATAGGGATAACACGGTAAAACAAAGCCCAAACCAAAGCCCCACTAAGAGATACAAGGGGAGTACATAAAGCGCCGATATCCGACGCCCAACAGAAAGAATGCATGATAGACAACCAACCAAAACACCCCAGACAGGCGATAAAAATACAACACGTCAATTAACGAGGACACGTCCGACACATTGGAAAGCCCATGCAAATGGACGGGCAAACCAAACGATCCAGCTTCCAACAAGCACAACATAGGAGGCAGCTCGGCCAGCCAACATAAATCCGAAGCCGAGTATGAACAGATAGATAATCGCCTGAAGGAGCTCCATCAGAAAGCGACTAATGGCTTGGTCATTCTTGGCTGTGGGCCAGGTGCCAGTTGTTTGGTATTTTGAGACAACATGGTAGACAAGACTGAAAACTCGGTAACAATGACGCACCATATTCAGCACATTGGTCACTAGAAATTTTGCGTACGGGCTGTCGGTCACCTGGAGTAGGCCCTTGTGCATGTTTGTGACAGCGACGAAGACAATTTCAAACATCATAGATAGAGCCTGTGTATTGGCTGCATCCTTGAAGGGCTCGTCTTTGTCCTGTGAGTTCAGCTCGCCAAGGTCATCGCAGACATCGGTGATATTTGGCTGAAGACTCTCCTTCCGTTTGGGGACTTGGTGTCCGTCCAGCTCTGCGATTTCAACCTCAGCGGACTTTCTGGCCCGACGTAGGCGTGCCTGTTCCTTGAATCTTTCCAGTCTCTCGAGCCGGGCGATCCTCTCAGCCGACAGGGGTGAATTATCCACGGGCTTCTCCATCGGAAAAGATTTCTCCATTGGAGGAGACTTTTCCATTGGAAGAGACTCCGTTTTCGAAGCCTTCTCTGGTGGGGATGGCTTCTCGACAGAGGACAGCTTGGAAACGGAAGACTGGTTCTCGTTTTTCGCAGGGGATGGTTTCGTGGAAGGTGGAGGGGTTGCCTTCTCTCTTGCGGACTTGAATGACCTCTCAGATCGCGAAGACTCGGAATTGTCTCTAGACGGACCAGACGGCTGAGAAACAGGAGAGCCATTGCGGCTGATGGAGGACCCATTACCCTTGCGCAGGGATTCCGCACGATTGCGCAAAGACTCGGTGCCATGCCGCAGTATCGTGGCAAGACTATCTGTGGGTGACCTCACGAGACCGGTGGATCTTGCGAGCCCTGAGGTACGGATGAACCCACGGATAGAGCCTCCTGTTTGTTTCGCGTGGTCGTCCTTTTCTTTGTCTTTGGCCTTGGACAAGTTCTTCAGCGTAATTTCTGGTTTCTTGACGGGAACCTCTTTCGTCGTGATTGACTCTTTTCCTTTGTCCTTCGCGGTAGGAATGCTGCTGAGAGGAGTCGTTTTGGAAGAGGTTAGAGAGGACGCGATCGATTTTCCCTGCGATGCTGCTGCTGCAGGTCTCAGCCCAGAAGGTGTAGAGATGACCTGGGCTTTGGCTCGAATGGCTTTGACGGCTTCGCCGGTGCCAGATTGGCCAATCCCGCCAGGACGTCGAAGCCCCTGTGGCTTGGGAATATAGGGCTTCTTCTCTGCCTTCAGCTTTTTCTCTTTCTTCTGGTCTGGCGTGGAGGTTGGAATCATAGTACGTGTGATAGTGGGTGTGATAATGAACACATCGTCGTCGCTTCGAGTATCTTCCAACTTCTCCGACGAATTGGACGTGCTTGGCGCGAGGTAGAAGTTCTCTTTGCTCGATCCCTGGGAGTCGGTCCTCGGTAGATCGCTCTGGGAGCAGATTGGTTCCTGGCATAGGGTTGCCGATGACGACCTCGAGCAGGGGGCTTGCTTCGAATTCCGAGAATGTTGTGCCCATTCTTCTTGAACAAGGCTCTCCCCTGACTTGGGCGGAGTCCGATTGCTCTCTTGGGATATCCGCGGGGCCTTCTTCTTTTCTTCCTTCTGTCTCTTCTTGACACTTAAAGCAGGTGGGCGAGGTTGCAGAGTTTTCGAGTTTTCGCCGGACGCGAACAGAAGAATCTCGTCTGGATTTTTCGTTCCAGGCCCATTGATCTCCTTGCACCCCAAAAAAGAGCCATCTGGGGTTGCAGAGGATCGTTTTTCCTTGGGTTTAGTTGGAGATTGCTCCTCCCATATTGTGCTGATCCGATTCTTGCCGATCTCATCTGGACTGTAATAGTTTTTTTGTCCCGGAGGTTCCAGTGAGTGGGATGCTGGGGCTGAGGGGGAGGCTGGCGCAGGTGCTGGGACTGACACGGACTGACGTTCGAATTGCGGCGGCGATAGCATCGGCCGTCCGTCATATGCTTTGAATTGACCGGAGCCGGCAGACATTCTGTTTGGTTTTCCATCGGGCGAGTCTTTGCGTGGACTAGGCCGTGTGCTAGGATGTACCATGTGTCCGCCCTCGCGGCGCACCTTTTCGATGCTCTTTTGATAGTCCGCAATTTGCTGAGAAGTCATCGAAGGAGGGTTTGGTTCCTTAGCAGATGGCATATGGACGACAAAGCGGTCTTCCCAGTCACAGTCGGTCACAGAGCTGTCATCAGAAACTGGGGATATAGAAGGGCGAGATCGAGGACTTGACTCGGTGGCAGTGTATGTGATCTCCGACTTCTGAGGAGTCGTCCCGTGCATGTCTACAGGAGACCAGTGTCTCTCCTGAATCTGCCATGGCTTTTCGCTCTCAACGGAGTGGTCAGGCTCATCTTGAGCATAGTAATTTCTGACGTTGGTGGTGGGAGTAGCGATGGTTGTTCGAGATTGAGGTACACGGCTGGTAGCTTCTTCACGGACTTCTTCACGGACCACAGAATGTGTGCTTTCTTGGTAGAGGTTTATTTGAGGGGATCTCTTTTTGTCGCTTTCCCTTGTACGGTGGTATGAAACCCGTTGAGACAAAGGAGACGAGTCCTTCTCGATCTTGTCGGTCAATCTGCTCCAATATCGGTCACGGTCCCGCTCGCCAGACTGGCCACCGGATCCTCCCGAAGAGAGGACAGTGGAAGACGGCTTAGGTATCCCAGTTGGACTGGGCGTCTGGTTCCGTTGCTCTCTGCTTCGTTCGGTAAGAGACTTCGGTACCGGAAGCTTGGTTGCTTTTCCTTTTTGATACATGTTGTCAAGAGGGCTGCTACACTCAGCAAGTTCGGAACAATAGACTTGATGGGTGTTTTGAGGCGGTGTGGGGCTTGACAGCGTAGTAGCTGTGTAGTTAGCTCGGTATGCTCTATACTGAGGCTTATGTTGGGGTCGTGGTGAAAGGTTCACAAGATGTCCGTCTGGTAATTCGACACGGCTGTCGATCTCCATGGTGGACTGAGAGATATTCGTGGAGCTATCTGTCTTGACTCTCAGGCCAGAATTGAGATTATCCTTGGCCCATGCCGTCAAAAACAGAGATGCTTGGTATCGTTGGCGTGAAGATCAAGGTGAGGGGTTGGGTGTTTGGAACAAGTGTCCGTGGTTAGGGTAGGACGGGGGTGGTCGATGTACATCAATCAGGACCAGACAAATGACAGATGCAAAGAATGGGCCGTGGGGTCATTGATCCTGGCGCGGATAAGAGAAGCGAGCTCTTTCAACGCGTAAGTAAGAATACTGGGGTCTCGTTGGTCGGAATGGTATGCGGTTCGATGAGGAATGTCAACCCCCGCGACGGAATGCCCAACCTTCAAGAAGATATTCCCGCCCCGATCTGGAATGTTGGCCCAGGCAAATTTGTTCATGTTCTGGAAACGCTCCATTCAGAAGCTGCGATCCCGATTCGGGGTGGTCTCCCTGAGTAAGAAGTTACGAAGGTGTTGAAATTGATACCGCCATCCATGGATTCAGAAAAGCATCACAATTGTCAACAGACCAATAAGAAAGCAGTTTTCAGCGGCGCTTCTTTATACATTCACCCTGGAGGTTGGGCTTCAGATTCCACATTCCTCCAAGTGGCCAAGTAGGAGAAAGAGCCACGACGTTGGACAACGTGGACTGGGGTCTGTACTACAACCCAGCCAGGGCGATAAGATGAACAGTCTTTCCAGGCATCTTCGAAGAAGCGCTTCCAATAGAGTAAAAGACGTCTCAACTCCAGGAAGCTGTTTAGATAGACCGAGAGAAGTAAAGGTTTAGGCCCATTACAAACCCTTCTTGGTCCGGTTGTACTAGGGGTAGATTAAGCTCGGCATCAAAGGTTTTCGTGCATAACCATGCATGGCTTACAGACATGACGTATTGAATTCTCCTGGAAGGGGTACCTCTCATTGTTAAGGATGAAGTCATTCACTCGTTTTAGAACCGACCAGTTTCGCGACGAGAACTGAGGTTACTGGGTCTATTAACTCCTGTTGATGGACCTAAGGTGGTCGCAAGGCTGCTGCGTTTGAGAGGGCTGGATCCTTTTCTCAAAGGTGTGGTGCCTCGCTCTTTGTAAATGAAATCCCCGTTGTTCTGGACGCGGCGCTCAAAAGCAGTCGATGCTGACTTTCTCAGAGGAGAGTTTGCATGCGAATAGACCCCAAGGCTACCGCCATCGCCAGTGCTCGTCGAGGCAGGTCGGAATTGCGGCTGTCGCATACTCGTCCCTCCTGTTCGTACCAAAGGGGAACCATCTCGTGACACAGTGGGGGTGTGTAATGATGACTGCGCTTGGAAGATTGACGAGGCACTGGGTGTGGACGTAGGGACAAATCGTCGAGGTGAAGAGCCGTCAGGGTCGACGTGGCTGTGATAATTTGGGTTGGGACTAGTCTTGAAGCCATGATTGATGATGAAAGTCGGAGTATAGGTTTCCACCTTGTTCGGGGAATCCCCAGCGGCAGCAATCTCATCAGAAAACTGCGTACCAACATCTCTCATTAGAGGTCGTGTCCTAGGGTGGACGAATTTTGTTTCGTATTCCTTGAAAACCTCTTTCTGCACCAGCGCCGAATCTTTCGCTTGTTGTGTATATGACGATGAGAGAAATGACATTTGCACCGACACCAGAGCGGTCAAGAAGATGGTCGTCACCACTGTCATGCTAGGACGGGGATCTGACAGTTGGGCCGGTAAAAAGTGCAGGTAGATCAACACATGCCCTGGGCTAAACAAGCAGAACAAGCGCACACTCATCGAAATAGGGTCCCACATCGCAACCTCCCAAACATCGCGTTGCGCATCGGGGTGGGCCCTCGATTGGGCGGATTCGCCGGACAGGGCGTTGGCCAAGTATCGGAGGGGTGATGCGGTCAAAGGGCTCGAATCAACTCGGACACGACGTGCAGAAGGTGTTGCAGGAGCATTGTCAATCGAGTTTTCGAACATTCGGTAGTGTCGCTTGCGATAGAAAGTGTAAAAAGCATTGAAGCCTGAAAAGATGCTCAAGACAAGAACGACGGACGATGCCTACAGCAATTGAACGGTGCCAGTTAGCTTCCAAGTCCAGTGAAAAAAACGACAGAAAGCCTAGCAAAGGTAGGCATCACGTACAAACCAACTGAGCCAGGGCACGCCTTCGTCTTCCCCAAACACATCGTCAATGGCTTTGCTTCCACTGGATCGGCTGTTTGCACGAGCGACAAGGAAAATGAAGTTAAGCGATACGCCGATCGCCACTCCCCAGTCCTTGTTCATCTCGTCCCAGTCATGGCATTCGATCTCCTCGGATACCCAAAGGAAAAAGTCCCACGGGTCCAGGTAGGCGCGGATGCGCTCCCCCAGAGGGCGGCGCCGCACTAGGCGAGGCATAGTAGAGGATATAATGGGGGATGGCAGACAGAAGCTGTTCCTCAGCAGCCTTGTCTTATTTGAAGTGGTGGAAAGGCATTCAAAAGGAGTTGTGGGGATTGCAGTGTCGATGCGCAACAATGAAGTAAACAATCCCGGAAATTTGGAGAAGCCGATGAGTCAGCACAGCTCTCCGCGATCAACCAGCGGCGGGCATCCAACGACGTCTCTCTGGGCTTCTACTGATTTGTTCTGTGTGCGGTCTCTGCTTTGTTGTAAGAGCATTTGGCCTTGAACTCCTTCTATCGCAACTTCCGCCTTCCCTTCCATCATGGCGGCAGCCGCAACCTACAAGGTACTGGACACCTGGTGCTTCGAACAGCCCCTCCGATAGCTTTGCTAACACCCCTCGACTACAGGACCGGCAATTCCTCGCTGTTATTGGCGATGAAGAGTAAGTAACCATACCATTGCCTTGCAATCACTGGCAGTATCATTCCCAGCTAACAGCAACTTCTTCTATAGCTCCGTTACCGGTCTCCTGCTCGCTGGCATTGGAGTACGTACAATCCTCGAAGCTGCCCTCTAGCGACCCTTGACTTCATATTGTGTGCGATATACTTATGTGATTTGCTCCACAGCATGTAACCGATGGCCCAGACTCCCAGCGAAACTTCCTTGTTGTCGACGGCAAGACCGAGACCTCGGAAATCGAGAAGACGTTTCAGAGCTTCACCCAGGAGCGCAAGGATATTGCCATTGTCCTAATCAACCAACATGTTAGCTACCCCCTGTATTGATCAACGAGCTCTTGGTTCTTACACTGCCCGCTACAGATTGCGGAGCGCATTCGCCACACGGTAGACACATTCGCGGACCCATTCCCCGCCATCCTCGAGATCCCCAGCAAAGACCACCCTTACGATCCGGAGAAGGATAGTGTGCTGAAGCGTGTGCGCCGGCTCTTTGGCGAGTAGAGTCATGGAGAGGGCCATCTCGTTCTTGGGCGTTGTCGGCTCAAGAGGTGTTTCCATATCGTTTACCTGTTACTCAAATATTCCGATGACTACGATTTCAGGGCTGTGGATCAGCTTGCTTCTGAGCTGAATACGGCGGGGCCGATAAGCTTGAGAAGGAAGATACCCAACATGTCTGAAATTTGCATATAAACATTTCAAAGATCATTACATTTCTAGTCTCGAAATCCAAAGGATTGCAGTAGGCATGGAACGTCACAAGGCACACCATATTAACTGGTCTATTTCTGCTGGCGTTTCTTCATGAGTCCTTTGACTTGCTAAAGAAATCTGTTGTCCTCTTCTCCACGCCGACTTCTGCCTCCAAATCCGAGTCAACTGCATCCAGGGGGCGAACCACCCCGGGGACCACGTTAGGGACCAAAGTTGCCTGATCTGGCCAAAAGTAATTCAAGCAAAGGTACAACACGATAGATAGGCAAAATCCATAGAGAAAATTGATGTCATACAGATGCTGCAACCCAGAGTTGATATGGACATTCTCCGGAGTCACAGCATGTGCCAATCCGGGCAAAAGTGGCACAATCACCAACAGGTTACATATTAGAGCACGCCAATTTGTGCCCATCTAAGTGATCCCAGAATTATTAGTATGTGCGAGTCACGATGACTTATTGAACGGTACTCACTCGGTAGTAGTAAATCCCCCGCGGGTCATAAAGAGCAGGGACATCGTATTTGCGACGCTTAATGAACCAGTAGTCGCAGCAGAGGATACCTGCGATAGGTGCCATGAATATAGAATAGGCACCCATGAAGCTGAGGAAAGTGGCACCACTCTTAATGATGATCCAGGGGCACAGCGCCCATCCACCCAAAACCATGCATAGAACCACTCCACGTTTGATATTAAACCATTTTGGCCATATCGTTGTCATATCTAATCGCACATGTCAGTAAGTTCTCACAACTTGTTTGGGAGACATTGGTACGTACCATTAGCAAAAGGGATCGAATTTGCCGATACATTGGCGCAGATTTGCGCTATCAACCATAGGGTTGCGCAGAAAAAAGCTGCTGCTCGTCCACCAGGAGAACCTTGCCACTCATCAATGATCTGCAATGGACTCCAGAGAATGGTGCCATAGACGCGCTTCGAAGCACCGGCCGCAATGATACCAAATAAACCGGTAATGACTTTGAACAGTGGGATCATCGGTAGTTGCCAAAGTGTGCTTGTAGGCTTTTTTGCTAAAGCGCGAAAAGTCGGAAATGTTGACCGCTAAAGTTGAGAATCCTCCTGGAACTGATCAGCAAGTTTTTGTCAACTCAGTCAACTGATCAGCTAACCTGTAATTGAAGTCATGTTCATTAGCCACAGCCATGCCCGCGCAGCGCCATGGACAGAAGGTGGCTCATTAAATAAATCGCTTCCTCCCCCTGCCTTGACAGTGATCCAGATAACCATGGCTAGCGCCATAGGTGGTACGAGGGCTGACTTGGCATAGAACATATACTGAAGTTTGTGTGTAGGGATAAAGAGGAATGGCGCTTGGATAATGTGGTAAATCACATAGGAAACCATTCCTTGGGTTGTGATAGCCGCAGAACCAGGCAGATGGTTAGGAAGGTTGGCATAGCTGGGCCAAATGGCGACGATGATCTGTTAAATTGATTAGCTCTAGCCCTTCGTAAATATCTAGATTGGCGAGGTGGGCAGACTCACGGGAGTGACACACTGTCCTCCGTATGAACTCTGAATACCAAACCAGAATAAGGCTAGAATTGCACGCGAGGCCACGCAGAAATAGCTAAAGTACGACCCGTAACTGGCTCGAATCGCCACGGGGAAAGGGATGTGAAGGTCAGCTCCTACGACCCCGTTAAGCACTGTTGGAATAGCATTGCATATTGCTGCGACCAGCGTCAACAACACTGTGTCCGTAGCCGACAAGCCCGATGCATACGCAGAGCTCGCCGCGGACCAAGTTGAGACAGTGACCAGGTCTGACAACCAGTATTGGGTGAAGGTCCACCCAGTCCAGGTCCATCTCTCTGGGGGCACTGGATCTTGATCCGCATTGCTCCACACATGCTGTGGGGCAATACTACTCTCTTGCTTCGGTAGAGCCCAACGCTTGTGAAGACCCGCCATGATGGTTGACCTTGGAGGTTTGGGGCAAGATTGGTCTTTTTGAGGTTTGTGTAACCTTTTAGTCTTGGCCTACATTCCTAGCTATCAGTTGATCTGTATCAGGCCTGGACTTGTTGATCGCATAGTCTATGCTGTTCTTCACAGCATTCGTCCCCAATCGTTGCCATTATCATTATCTTCTCCCAGCCCTGTTCACTCTAGCGTCGGCCGAGTTGATAGTGCAGATAAGCTATGTTAAGTACTGCGGGGTGGCCCTCCACGGAACCCGTGTTTCGCCCGATGTTATATGCGCCTGTTGCATCTTAGCTTGTATATCTCCGTGATAATGAATTCACCTGTACGGAGAAAAAGACTGGCGTGTGCAGAGTGTACCCGACGGAAGATCAAGTGCGATAAGGTGCTTCCTTGTCGGAATTGCCGCCACAGGTGAGATAGAATCTAGGGGACCAGAAAAATCATTGAGATTCTCATCAGTATACACACAGGGGCAGTTCATGCTATCGATCTGAGCCTTCTCCGCGCCCGCGGACAGTCGCATCGCCTAGGATCCTCCGCCATAATGAGCGTCCGTCAGAATTGACAGGGATTATTGCGGCTTGCCTGAACAACCTTCAAGCAACACTGCAGGAAGTGAGAACATCCGAGGCGGCAGTCCCCGTTTTAGATGACAGGGCAGTGTCTTGGTCTGATGCAGATGTGTCGACAACCCGTGCGCCATCAGAGGCCCAGGAGGTCAACTCAAATTCCGAGACAGCTGAAGCGGAGGACGCCGCGACTATTTTGGAATTCCTCGCTTGGGGAAAACGAAAAGTCCCTGATTTCGATGAATTAGCCGATCCGACTGCACCCTCCCAATCTCCTGTGGACATAGACGTCTCCTTGTATGAACCTGGGGACCCTCCTTCGCTGCGTCTCACAGACGATCCATCCTCACTCCCAGTTCTACAGCTTTTACTTCCGGAACCGCCGACTTTAGTCCAGATGATCGGCTACCACTGTGAGTGTCTGCTATGGTATCATGCATCTTTTCATGGTGGTATATTCCAAGAACAGGTCGATCGGTTTCTCAAACAACAAGGCCGGATCGATGACCAGCGAATTGATCTCCAATGGACTGCACTTCTATTTGCAGTCTTGGCAGGCAGTTTGACCTGCGCTCCCCGTCAGGTCTCCATTTCATGGGGGTTTGAAGATAGAGAGCGTGCGACGCTTGCCCATCGATTCTTTAAAGCCGCACTGATCTGCCTAAGCCTTGCAGATTATACGGCCCGTCATTCCCTATATGGCGTCCAATGCATCGCAACTATGACTCTAAGCGCTCACTTGCTGGGCCATTCTAACAGCCACTCCGTCAAACTAGCTTCTGCAGTGCGAATAGCACAGAGCTTAGGCATGCATAGACTTGGTGGGGAGACTGATGATCATCCGTCCAGCCGAGCAAGAAGGGAAATTGGCCGACGGCTGTGGACTGAATTATGTATTCAGGACTGGTTCTCGATCCCATTTTCAGAAAGCTACCTAATCCATCGACGGGATTTCAATACAAAGAAGCCTCAAAACTGTATTGATGATGGTGAAATGAGCACGGTACCCGACAGTAGACCTACGCTTGTGACCTACCATCGCTGCTTATATGACATCGCAATCATCATGCCTCAGCTCCAGGATGACCTATCCGTGTCACATACATTGTTTGCAAAATATGAACATGTCATCCGGTATGATACGCAAATGCGTACACTCGTGAGCAAACATATTCCGTCTTGTCTGCGGAGTAATGCCATGGACTCGTCGTGGCCCAGGTATATCCCTTGGGCCAGACATTGTCTAGCCATAAGCTCCGCACATAAGATAATCATGATCCATCGCAAGTTTCTTTGGTCAAGCTTTACAAACCTTGCCTTCGCTTTTACACGCAAAACCTGTATTGCTGCGGCGAAAACTATCATTCGTGAGCAAAAACAAGTCATCAAGGAAGATGGGCCGGTTCTATGGATTTACCACGCGTTCAGCGTGGCGGCTAGTGTACGTGTCAATGTTTCACTTCTTCGCGCACCAATTTGACACTGATGCCTTTTAGATCATACTCTGTCTAGATCTTTTCTTTGAGCCACTTCCTGAATCTGATCAACGCGATAATCGAGAATTAACCAAAGATACGATTGAGATCTTATCACATTGCGAAACAAGTATGATTGCGGCCCGAGGAGTCAAGATACTAAGAAACCTGCTACAGCTAGAGCAGGAGCGGGGCAGATCATCATCAAATTTGGATATACGCACTCTTGTAGAATCCTTTTGTCAGCAGGAGGCTTCGACTAGTCGTTCTGGTAGTTTGCAGCCCACAGACAAATCATCGAACATGGGAGGACTATCACCAACGGCCACATTGCCATTTTCCGGTGATTTGTATGGCAATTTTTCTTTCCCAAGCTCCGGACCCGGGATCCATGATTCTTTAGAGGATATTTTGTTATTCGTGCAGAACGGAGGGTCCTGAGCACGATTTACTGTTTTCAATGTCTAAACAAACATTACCTGTTTTCTTTCCAATCGTATCCTTCACTTCAAGTGGTGTAATTTCTACTTTTCAACTTTTCAAATAATGTTTTGCGAGCATGACGAACGGGAATTGATGCAGGACGAAGATAAAATGGAAGAGAAATATCTTAAATGAGTCCATGAATAAACTGTATCAATTTTATCGGAGTTCTTTTTATAGAAGAACATGCGCACCATGGCGGGCGTGTTTCCGACAAGCGCAAGCAGCCGGGCCACGTTCAGGCCACTCGCCCCGACTATATTGGACCTTGCAATCATTTCCATTAATTTCAGCATTGGCGTAACATGGCACTAATCTCCGCGGTACCCTCGACGCAACTAACTCCAGCACCCTACCCATCTATATCACTGAGAGGGGTGATCCGATGCTGCGATATTGCACTGATGCATAATGCGCGGCCCATACGACTCAGGGAATTCGGTCTGCCCTAGGTTAGTACATTGAACCCTTTTTTTGCAGATTTTTCAAATGATATCTTACAATACTGTGCCACAATGCCCGGTTATACCAAAGGATAACATCCTGTTCTTCATGAGGATGGGCATAGATGTTCTCCGGCGAGAGAACGGGACTCATGATCCTAAAGTTGGCTGTTAGATTTCTTTCATGGGTGGTGGGCTGAAAATGGGGAGGGAAGAGCAGACCTATGCATAAACGCGCGAACCTCTTTCAGATCTGTTATCACAGTCTCCTCTCCGTCCGGGCTGCTCTTGAGATATAGCTTGAACGCCCCCTGACCATGGACCTGAAGAGATTTTTCTCCAGTGACTGGGTTTTTCCATACCATGGGATATATGCAAATATTTTCTTCTGACCATGGTGAAAGCTTGTCCAGCGGTATCTCCCGGTCTTCTGTTTCGATGAGATGGCCAAGCTGAGTACTGCGCGCCGTTGACATCCACTGGAATGCATGCGGCGCGTACTCAATGCGACTGTGCAAAACTATTTCGCGCAGCTCCGGGTCCAGAAGATCTAGAGCTTGTGATCCAGCAATCATTGCAGTCGCTCCGGGCGCGATCTTCTTCGTCCTGCCAGTCCCATCGCCCCAGTGAACAGTAACATCGGGGCCCTTGGGCGTGCGCACAGCGAGGAGGCAGCCTACGCGCGGCGGTGGGATCTTGTACAGAGATCCGTCCCAATGCCACTGGTAGAATCGACTAGCACCTTTTTCTCTTTCTTCCTGTGGGATGTGCGGTGGAAGGTGAAAATCAACATGGTTAATTCCCTTTACTTTGAACCCCGGCGGGAAATCGAAATGGTCTGATGGAACCTCGCCGCGGCCTAGGATATGAACTTGAGGCTGCTCGTTGATTGCTGGTCTGTTTGGTAGACCGTAGATCGTGACACCGTTCTCCGAAAGAAGGACGGGGTCGGCACCGTGAGCGAATCCTCCCGTTTTCTCATCGGGATCAAAGCTAAAGAACCAGGGACTCAACATTTCTGAGTAAACGAAAAGGCTCCAAACATTGATCTTACCATGAAGTCAACCGATATTGCTGTTTTGGGGTGAGCATTCTTGGCTGCTCCTTGAAAACAAGAAGTTTGTGTCGGTGAAGGGCATCGGAAATCAAGGCAAAATCAGCCGCGTTGAAGTTGTTCAGATCAATTCCATATATCTCCGCTCCAAAGTTTACGTTGTTCTCGTGTTTGATGGATACTACCCGCCCATTGCTGCTAGCCGCGGATGGGGGATGATAGACTTCGCGGAATGTAAGGGTCTTCGGCTGTTCAGCCTCCGTGGCTGTAGTTGAAACGGCAAATACCATGGTGACGATAACAGATTCAGTTGTTGGCTTTGAGTCTAAGTCGTTACGGATGTCCCTTTTATTTGGATCTGATTTGACATGCCCGACTTGATTAGACGATGGCGGCAATAGACGGCCGGATTGCGGGTGTAGATGGGCAGTCATCTCGGCCGTACTCGGGTCCGTTAATAGAGGCCCCCCAGAGTGATACCAAGATGCTGTCTTCATAACCAAAAACACTTGCTGAAGAATTTCTGGTCCGTTTCGAAGAGAACCTGGGATACACAAACCAAAACACCAAGATCACCAATATGCATTATACGGATACTGGAAACTCATCAGGCGTCCTTGCAATTTTTCTCCATGGCTTAGGAGGATCAACTGAAACATTTTTGCCAATTCTACCCTTTTTCTCCCACGAAACGAACCGCCTGATTTGTGTTGATTTTGAAGGATCCGGTCAAACTCCGTTGTCTTCACCGAACGTCAAGCTATCCATCCCACGCTATGTCAACGACCTGGAATATCTCATCGCATCTCTCCAAAACTCTGATGGGGAAGAATGCAGGGAGAAGACTCTCTTCATCGGCCACAGCCTCGGAGCTATCGTCGCGATGCACTACGCCGCCAAACACCCAGATAAAGTCCAAGGTCTCGCGCTATTGGGACCCGGCCGCTCAATCGCCCAGATTCCTATCGCTAGAGAACGGATGCTAGGCCTGGCAGAAAAGACACGCGCAGGGGGAATTGAAGCTGCTGGAGATATTGCAACTTTTTCTAATTTTCCTCAGGGGGGTGCTGTTGCACTTGAAATGCGAGAGAGTGTACGAAAGGCCGTGGAGAAATGTGACGCTGAGGCCTATGCTAGGACATGTGAAGCCATAGCAGGCCTCGATCATTTGGATCCTGATTACAGCTGCATCAGTGCACCGACCTTGTTGCTAGCAGGAGATGGTGATCTCATATCTCCTCCGGAAAGGTCTCTCGCTTTACAGGGCCTGATAGGGGACAATGCATGGGTTCAGGTTCTTGATGGCGTTGGGCATCAGATGATTCTTCAAGACTTGCAAGGAACTGTCAACGCTATTAAGGTTCTTCTTGAAAAAGTGGGTAGATAGAAAACAGAAGTTTGGAGATTAAATTAAATGCCTTGTCTTTTGCATCGTTCGAGTAAAGATTGTTTCGCCTCCGAAATAATCTTCTGCGTGTGAACAATAGCCCGGCTATAGATTAGACTATACGTGCCATGAAGAGCTTCTTTATTAATTACAGTCTCCTTGCCCTTAGAAATAAAACCAAAATCTACAAACCCAGTAGATAAAGCCTTGGTTGCAAGCGTGTCAGGATAGATTGAAGTAGACTACCATGCGAGATAAAAGTAGGCCTGCGACTTAAGCCGGCCATATTTGGTCCTGTATAATTTGGACTTGAAGTTTGAAGGTCGCCGTATAGACTCTAATGGACTTCTCGATTAACATCATCAAATCCTTGATCCGGACCTTGTTCAGATGGGTCAAGAGTCGGCCGTGAATCTCGGCCGTGCCATGGACCCCGCTTTGAGGCCCATGTGAGAAGACGGGAACAGAGAACGCCGCCCCTCTTTCAAGTCACACACAATAACTGATAATGATAATCATCTGGAACATGAATGGAGGATACACAATGCCTATCTTAGAACGGAACCACATGAGCTCGAGCAGGTTCGGCCGAGATGGTTTAATCGACTGGGGCCACACACGCAAATCCTGTTGATAAAAGGATCACCAAATTCTGGGGAATAAGTCTGCCTAATGAGACAAGTATCATCGGATTCTAGAAAGGCTTCATTGATATCAAGACTTTCAGGACATTCCCAGCTTGTCTATTGCGAAATGGACCAACAATCTTCCTTTACCGTGACCGCCGTAAAGCGGTCTTCTGAAGAGAAATTCAACGTAGGTAGCGAATTATACCCAAAACAAGATCCTAAGCTGACGGTACTAATAGTTTGGAGCTCGAGTGACAAGAGTGGATTTGAACAATATTTCAGGTGGGTCATCGTGGAATCCAGTTTTAGTGATATCGCAACGTTCGATCTAACAGTCACAACAGACGAAGATGTCGACCGTCTGAAGGCTGCAGTCTGGCGCCATAAAGTTGTTGTCGTTAAAAACCAATCAGAGCTTCTCCCAAAGAAACAATGGGAATTGGTGACCCGATTGGATCCAAAGGCAACCGACGGCCACAGTCATGGCAGCATCAAAACATTTCGCGCTAAAGGTGGAATGCTTGCAGTAAGGCATCCACACCTAGCCGTCTTGTTGGTAATATCTTACTAATAATAAATTAGCAAGGAAGGGAGGTCGTAGGGATTCCAGGCGCAGAAAACGTCAGGTTGATTGGAAAAGGCTTCCAAGGAGAAGACCATTTCGGCCTCAAAAATCACACTATCGACAGAGGCCTCAGTAACGACTTTCACGCAGTCCCTCCATCTGCCGAAGAGTTCAAACAGGGCCTCACCCGCTTCCAACGTTGGCATATTGATGCTCCGCTATATGGGAAGGACCCTGCGTGGTTCACGACGCTACGATGCATCAAACTTCCCCAAGGGCCCAGTGTCACCGTCCAGTGGGCCGATGGGTCCGGCCAAAGCATCAAATCTTCACCAGGACAAACAGCCTACTTTAGCACGTCACAGCTTTATTCTATGTTGACGCCAGAGGAGCAGGCCTTGGCGGATCATAGCTGGGTTGAGTATGCCCCTTATCCGTATAAATGGATCGAGCGCTGCAAGGGCAATTCCAACGGCTTGGGTCTTGCTGAAGGGGGTGACCGTTTGACGATGGAGGAGCTGGGAGAGTATGATCCGGCAGCAGTCAAGAAGGTATTAAATGACTGGACCTATATCTACATGATACAACAACTAATTTGAGAATAGTACCCGATGGTCTGGGTGAATCCCCTCACAGGTGAAAAGGCCTTCCAGGTCCATGGAATCTGTGCCCGGAAGCTCCATCTTCGCAGCTGTCAGGAGGAGAAACCTCGAATTATAGAAGACGTAGCCGAGATTCGCAAATTCATTTTGGGTATTCAGCAACGAATTCTCAAGCCGGAATACATCTTGCTGGCGCCAGTCGAGGAAGGTGATATAGTCATTTGGGACAACTATGGAGTTTTCCATTCTGCCATTGACTATCCGATTGACATGGGCCCTCGGACTATGCACCAAGCAAATATTAGTGGGAGTATCGGGCCCAGGGGACCTGTACCAATTCCTCAAACCGCATGAGCAGGGAGATTTCACAGCATGCAGAACTCGTTACCAGCCCTGTAATAGTTTGAGCCCAGCAATTGGATTGAGGCAACTTTGTTATCTACAGCCCGTGAAAGTCTACAGCCAATTTCATGGTTGTGAAATAAGTGATCACATTATTCTTAGACAATAATATTCAAGATAAATCCGAGACCGCGGCCATACAAAACAGACTCGGGTCAAATCCAGAGAGCAGGTTACACATGCAAAGCATAAACAGGTTTGTAAAGTAGTGATATCTGAATGGACTGGGATGCTGAGAAGGACAAAAAGATCAAATGAGAGACAAAATCAGCTAGGGTCGTAACGAGACATAAGCGGAAGCGTGGACGACGTAGGGAGGTCAAATAAAGCAAAAATCACAATAATCTTGCTCGTTTACTAGACAGATGCCACAAGGCGTGGATGCAAGGATGTTAAAAGGCCCGAGAAGATCGCCAATCGTCTAAAGGTGGAACGTGATATCGTTGGCCTTCAGGCAGGTAACCTGCTTCTGGTCCTTGTCGTAGACGTCGGCCAGGACAGAGTATTTACCCTGGCATTGCATGTCAGCTTCGCTGGTGGTAATAGGTCGTTCGACGTAGGGCTTACCGGAGGAATTTGCTTGGGCAGATCCACCTGCTTGGTCAAAGACATTTCACCCTTCTCCAGAGGGCACTCCATATCGACATTCTCGAGCTCCTTACAGAGATCGACAGTCTGCTTGATCAGAGTAATGAGACCCCACTTGACCTCCAGGCTCACGGTAGCGCCCTTCTCGATCCTTTCGTTGAGGGTACCGTTGGCCTTGATATTGAGAGTCTGGCCACTGTTTAAGAAACGCAATAGTTAGTTGAATTTATATCCAGAGTATATCAAGTAGTCGGACGTACGGCTGTGGGGGGTTGGGCGAGAGGTTGACAGATTCGATCTTGAGGATATGGTTTTCCGGGTTCTGGCAATACTCCAGAGGGTTGTCACCCTCAACGGGGAACTGGGGTTCCGCAGTCTTGATCGTAACCTGCGAAGGGTCGAAGAGCGAGGGTAAGGAGGCAGCCGAGACCAAAGGCGCCGTGAGGAGAAGGGTGGCGGCCGATAAGAACTTCATGGCTGCTACGGTCGGCTTTGCTCTAGAAGATGGCAGAGGCGGTTGTGGAGAGCGATGTATTTATCAAGAATGAGGTGTTACCTTTAAAGGACCCGGAGGAAGGTTCAATATGGAGTCCAAAAGCTGTAGTGAAGAGAGGAGAGATGCTGGATCTCCAAACCCAGGGCTGGGGTCACTTGATGACGACGGCGCACGTGATGCGCCATGGCCGTTTAGGGCAAGGATCGGCTTGTCATCTTTTCCTTGTATTCGCTGTGTCGCTGTACCTGCATCTCGGCTCCGTGAGATCTCTGCTTATCTTGCTTAGATAGCTTTTCTATGTCATTATTTTGGTGCCACTCATCAAAATCAGTTTACCATTTTATTGCCCATTTCCTCACAATAAGGTACCAAATGATTTGTTAGTCGTTTATCGGTCTATCGCTATCCGGCTTTAGCCCGACATTCCCAAAGTGGAGCCCCGTGACCTGCTCAATGCTCAAGAGCATCGTGACTGACAAAGTGATGCGTATTGGCAGCACTTATTTGTATAAGTCATCTTCCCATTTCTCTCCCATATAAATGGGCCACGGGGGTTTATCTCTTTTCTTTGGGTCGCAAACTTTGGAATTGGCTTCAGCTAGTTACCCTTAGAACGACGGAGGGCTTTCGTTATATATTTCACAAACTGACGTGCTATAACACTGTAGTCTGTTTTAATCTTGGGCCTTTCCAAACACATATAGGCTCTTAGTGGGGGACCCTAGGTGCCCAGTTGGTAGGGCAGGAGACCAGAAATACTTCAATAGTCTACTAGGAATATTCTCATGTTTGAATGAAGGCGACACGAAGCTAGTCAAAAAAGACGCTAGAGAATGTTAAGTTTGAAGAGAAAAGAACCCTCCAGGGCTATAAAAGTAGCCTGCAACTATATACACCCTGAGCTGGAAGTACCTAGAAGTCATCCGAACATCTGATCTGAGAGGCCTCGCAGACCCGGAAGCTGGTTCGTTTGAGAGAAAGACCTCGTGAGATTCGTAGCCTTCATGAGTGGATATAACAAGTTGTTGTTTGAGTATGATTCTTAAAATTGAGTCAACGACGTGGTTGAACGACGACCACATAGTCAAAAACCCACGACGGCTCCATCTCAGTGGCCTATTCCAAAAAGACGTTTTCTTGTCCCACTTGACACCAGACGGATAGATTAGGTAAACTTGTATCCGTGGATATGTGCGATCAACCAAGTATAGAAAATTTCGACGTTTTCTTCCTATTATTTTACCACCTGAGCCCCATCGTAAAGAGTGCAACATATCTGTGATTCCACTCTCAACCCTTTAATTCCTCTGTTTAACCCACATTTGAAGCCTGAATCCTAATATACGGTTGTTCTTCTCCCTGATGTCATACCACATTCCCGGTAAACGCACGTAAAATAGGCAGCGTCACTTCGGACATCCCGGCGTCGACTTTACCCCAGCCGATCTCATGCGGGTTCATCTACTGTGGAAGGGTAAGCTCTCAGAACTACATGGTAAATAATGGGAATTTTTCCAAGCTCGAAGCTGATACGTCTGAAACCATGCAAGACTTCTTGTTGGCCTTCCTCAAAAAATCGTAATCAGTCAACACGAGAGTTGGTCGGCCTGCATTTGACTCGAAAGCGGCTAATGGGGGATTGATTCTTGAATTTGGAAATGGTACTGCTGTTAAAAACTTCACTGGTGACTGGCTTGATGCTGGATGTTCCGATCCCCCGTCCCTTTCCGAATTGACGGGTAAGCTATTAGGAAATTGTGTTGAACGAGGGTCTAATGGCGAGAAGGTTGAAATTTTGAGCAGAGAATCACCGTTGGTACTAAATTAGCGCTAGCTGGATTGTACATAGACAACGCCACTCGGGCACGCGATCTATAAGCATGTTCATCTAGCTGAAGATTAAGAATCCAATGATTTCCGAAAGAAACCCGCGAGTCCAGGAATATTTCTGGATCACTGACCCACCAGAACCCCTAATCGTCAAGTTTGATAGGCGTTCCTGCCAATTGCGTGGGTCTCTACCAAGCAAAGCCTCTGGCGCTAACCTACAGGAGAAATTGATTTACCCAAACCTCAAGATTGTCGCGCTAGTTCTCTGCGACTTTCGCCCTAGTTTCACTCATCGGCCCTATGGGGAAATTCGCTGCCAGTTCACTTGGTTCTACCCCGAGCCAAGTTTTTTCTCTCTTAGATTGTTGTCTTGGCCTTCTTCAGCATACGGCAGCATTCCCTTTGGCGCCTTGATTGAGAATGGAGCAATCAAAAGATGACTACCGACTATCATATGTGAGACTCGATGATGCGCCCGAGGCCGAGAGAACGCGACAACGACCATTGTCCACGGCGGAACAGGTGTTCCTGCAGTCTCAAACACAGGGATTCTGGGGTGCAAGCTGGACCCTGGAAATTCTGGGGTGTCTCACATCTATTGGATTCTTGGTCGCCATTATTGTGATACTCTTCAACTTCGATGGAAGGCCAATGCCTGACTGGCCACATGGCATTACGCTCAACACCCTCGTCTCGGTGTTCAGCACGGTCATGAAAGCCACCATGGCATTTGTTCTGACCGAGTCTCTGGCGCAGCTCAAATGGTCCTGGTTTCGAGGTGGAAACAAGCTGAGTGACCTTGCACTTCTCGATGCCGCCAGCCGTGGAGCTATGGGAGCTTTCATTGTGCTTACCCGCTTCCTGCCTCGGTAAGTTGGCCAACTATGATAGCAGATGCTCTAATACTAATCGTTATCAGCCATTTGGTGACTTTCGGATGTTTCATCCTCGTACTAGCTGCCGCATGCGACCCGTTCGTGCAACAAGTCATCGGTATTAATGCGAAGCCTATCCATACCCCAGGCCGGTCATCTATCCAGGTCTGTAACGCCAGCCTGTATTCCGACTATGGCGAGGGTGCTGGGCCCGGAATGAACGAAGTACCACTCAGCACGAACGGCGCAATCTATTCCGGCCTCTTTCAAACCCAAGCCCCAAACAGTAAAGATATCCTGGCAAGTTGTCCAACTGGAAACTGCACATTTCCCAAGTACCAATCCCTCGGCTTCTGCAGCAAATGTGCCAACGTCACCGACTTTCTTCATCTCAACAAAACACCACTTGGCACAACCCTCAGCACCTACAACTATAAGCTACCCAACGGGTTATCATTCTCCACCGCCGAAAGCATGATGTACATGATGAACGCCACCTACAATCTCGATCTCCTGAAAATCAACGCCGACGGCTTACCACTCATCCTCAACTTCACTGCGATCACTTCTCCAGGCTATGGTGTCCCACCAGCAGTACAAATCAGCGCGACAGAATGTGCTCTTTACTTCTGCGTCAGCACCTACGAAGCAAGAGTCACAGAAGGTGTATTCTCGGAAAACAGAACCGCAGTCGCAAGTTCCTCCAACACTTCAACTTCATGGACAGACGCAACAGATGACTTCGTCATCACGCCAGATACGTGCTTCTTCAACGGAACTCGCTACAAAAAACCTTACACAAGCCCGCAAGACTGCATCTACAGCGTGAACTGGCTCAGCCGCCTAGCCATGCAAAATTCATTATCCCCTCTAATGAAAGGCGAAGGTACCCTCTTCGTGAGCAACAGACCAAGCTGGACGCCCAGCACCGCACAGGCAATCTACGGCACTTATGGAAACCTCACCGATATATCAACAATGTTCGAATCCATGGCATCCTCATTAACGCTAAACGCGCGATCGAAGGTCTGCTCGGCTTCCGTGAATGGAACAACATGGACCATGCAATCGTTCGTTCAGGTGCGATGGAAATGGTTGATTCTTCCTGGTGCGCTGGTCGTGCTTAGTTTGGTGTTCTTGGTTGTTACTGTTGTTCATACGAAGAATCAGTATATCTGGAAATCGAGCCCGCTGGCTTTGTTGTTTTCAGATTTATCGATTGATAGCTCCGGGCCATTGAAGACAAGTCCGACGCTTAGGAGTATGGAGGATACGTCAAGGAAAATGGAGGTTTGGTTGGAGAGTTCGGCGGAGGGAATTAAGTTGAAGGCTATTCCTTCTTGACATCCCCTGCTCAGGTAGTTATTATATATATCTCCAGTAGGCTTGGTCGTATGTGATTCGACAGTCAATTACGATATGCATTAAGATCTGAAGACTCAGTGCGTCAAATATCCCATAACAACAGCCGCCTCGATATCAGAAATGGAAGGCGAATCGTACAACCGGAAGATAAATGCTGGGCTGGTGGCAATGGAAACTATATGATCGGGCTAATCCTTTGGGAGGTCAGCATAACTGTGCCCGACATCAATTGATTCGAATGTCCGTACCGCTCTGAATATTACCATAGAGATAGAATTCACTACGAAAAGGAAGTATTTGAAAGGCAAATATCATGATCAGATCTCCAATTATTTTTACAGGAGTTTATGTAACAATGTATTGCCAAACCAAGATCACGCCGAACCAAGTATATTTCTAGAATGTACAATAAACGAGAGAAAGAAAAGAATATCCACAGTAAAGCGCTCAACCCGGCACCGGAACGGTTCTAGAAAAAGTCTTGTCCATCACTCTGCGTACACATTAAAAGCAATGCTTTTAGATAGCGATGCCGAGGAAAATGGCAGCAACAATGGCGCCAAAGGCAGAGCCAGTAGAGCGGGTGGCAGAGTTGAACACAGGGGAGGAGGAGGCAGAGCTGGAGGTGCCGGAGCTGGTGCCGGAGCCGGAGCTAGCGCTGGAGCCGGAGGAACCTGAGCCGGAGGAGCTGCCGGAGCCGGAGGAACCTGAGCCGGAGGAGCTGCCGGAGCCGGAGCCAGAGCCGGAGGAAGAGCCGGAGGTGCTAGCGGCCTTGGTGGCAGAAACGAGAGGGGTGGAAGAGACAGTGGAGTGGAAGCCAGTAGCGCGGGTGCCGTTGTGGGCGGCAACGATGCCGGCACCAGTGATGGTGGAACCGGAGGAGGAGTCGGTGGTGCTGCCGGAAGCGGAACCAGTGGCGGAGGAGGAAGCGGAACCGGTGGCGGAGGAGGAGGAAGCGGCAGAGCTGGAGCTGGAGCTGGTGGTGTTGCAGCGGAGGCTGTACAGAGGGGTGGTGTTGGAGGTGCTGTCGGAGACACCGAAGCTGGGGGAGGCACCGGAATCGGCGAGCATGTACCACCAGGTGTTGGTCTCACCGAGAAGAGGACAGGCAACCTGGTCCCAGTACTGCTTGGCGTTGGCAGTGGAAGCAACACCCTCACCCTCAGTGGGGCCGCTGACGGGCCAGCCGGTCTCAGTGATCCAGACCTCCTTGCCGTTGGCGACCTCCTTGGTCTTAGCGACGGACTCGTCGAACAGGGCCTTGGCGTTGTCGATGCTGTTGGAGTCGGTGGTCTGGTAGTAAGGGTAGCCATCGAAGCCGAGCCAGTCAAGAGCGTTAATGACGGCGGCGTTGGAGCTGTTGGTCCAGGCGTCCCAGGTGTCGACGTGACCGATGGGGGCATCGCTCAGGCTGGTGCCGGCAATGGCAGCGCGAACCTCCTTGATGTACTCGACGAGGACATCGGCCTCAACACCGGGGCCAGCGTTGGACTTGGAGCCAGTGACGGAGTTACGGTACATATCCTCGCTGCCGACGGAGATACCAACAACCTTGTCGCCGAAAGACGGGTAGGCGCTGATGGCAGCCTTGAGGGCAGTGAGCTCGTTGGCCATGTTGCCGCCGGAGGCCCAGAGGCCGAGGAGAAGGGAAGTATCCTCAGCAACGGCGGCGGGGATAGCCTGAATGGGGTCGGCAGTGGTACCACCCTGAATCATAGTGTACAGACGAGCGCTGGTGAAGCCGTTGTCGGTGCCAACGAGGTTCTTGGCGGTCTGGAACTCGGTCTTGAAGTCGGCCTCGTACTTGGAGCTACCATCGACGTTGGTAGAGCCGTAGTTGAAGCCCTGGTAGGCGGCCTCAGCGGTGGCCACGGCCAGAGCGAGAGCGACAGCCTGCTTGGAGAACATTGTGAGAAATCGATAAAGACTGTATATGAAGTATAGTAGATAAAGAAAAATAAGGTCGAAAGAGTGACAGTAAAGGTGAGGAAAGAAGGTAACAAGAGAAGGATGGAGAGTGAAGGAAAGGAGAGAAACAAAAGCTATGTATGGAGAAATAAAATCAAGGTCTGAGAGTTGCGGACCTGAGTTCTAGACAACGCCACCGAACACAAGTGGAACGCGAGTGGGCCGCGACACGTTTGCTTGTCCCAATTCCTTCAAGCCGATTGGTACTGGCCGTCCAAAAATAATTGAGCATCCAATGATCCTCTCGGAGTGGAGCTCATCTCCTGGTCTTCCATCGGGGCCTGACGGGGAGGCCTGATGTGCCATTCGCTATCCCCATCTTTCCCATATTTCCACCCAGTCTCCATTTCACTGTAGGGATCAAAGTTTGCGCCCGTGGAACCGCGTCCGCCTCGGATTTTCATCTCCCTGAAGTTGCGAACTCCGGTACTTGGGACCCTTGGTTGATGTCCCTTGCTGACTTTGGTCCCTGGGTGAGCAGGATGAAAAATTCAGAGACAAAGAGCCGGGAGAACCGGGCCCGGCTACCTCGGCATCGGTCTCGGGGCCTGGTGTTCTCACTGGGCGTATGTAGCCGGAATACGTTTTAACGCACAGAAACGATGTGTCTTACATGACAGAGAACTTCAGGGATCGACCCTCAGGGACGCGATCTACAGGATTCGGAGAGATCCATCTGCTGTGATGCGTCATTTGCAGTGGATGGGGATGTGGATCTTTCTACGCACAATTTTTGTGGCTGATCGCGCTAACCTGATCGGGGAGGTGACCGCGCGCTGACACATGGACACCTTATGACCAAGGCATTCAATTTCAATACTGATTGTGGCGAAGTCACGGTCGAGGCCTAGTGCCGCCGGCCGAGCCCCCAATAATCCCTCACGCTATGCACAGTAGTAAGGGGGCTCGACTGAAAATTGCGGGATGAATGGTTGCTATTTATACCTATCATTGATTGTGTCTTGACAGGCTATGTACAAGACAAGATCACAGGGGTCATGATCCGGGGAATTTAATGCTCAGAGACGAAGATACCGGCCATACCCATGCCCTGTAAACCAAGATTAGTTATGTGTCGTAAGCACGCCAGGGGTAGAGAGACATACAGTTCCAACACACATTGAAGTCACAGCAACGCGCTTGTCTTGGCGACGCAACTCTGCCAGAGCAGTGACCACCTGTCGGGCTCCAGTAGCACCCAGGGGGTGACCGAAAGCACTGTCTCAGTTAGCCCCTATTACTCATCGCCGGGATACTAAATTAGGAACTTACATGGCACCTCCACGAGGGTTGACCTTGGCCTCGTCCAAGCCAAGCTTGCTCACACAGTAGACACCCTAAAGAAAGCTGTCAGACACGGAGAAGACCCACCAAGTGTGAACTTAAACTCACCATAGAGGCAAACGCCTCGTTGATCTCAAAGATATCAATCTCGTCCTTGCTCAAGCCGAACTTGTTCAGGATCTTGGGAATCGCCAGAGAGGGGCCAATGCCCATGATTCTAGGCTCCAGTCCGGTAACGGTAGCACCGCAGAACTTTCCAACAATGGGCTGTTCAAGCGCCTGGGCCTGCGACCGCTTCATCAGAACAAGCGCAGCAGCACCATCGGTGATCTGACTAGCGTTACCACCGGTAGTGGCACTCGGCTGCCACTGAGGGAAAGCAGCACGAATTTTGCCAAGTCCCTCAGCGGTAGTACCATGACGAATACCATCATCTCGATCAACCACAATATCCTTGACCTCCCCAGTCTTAGGATCCTTAATCTGAGTCTTGATAGGAACGATCTCGTCCTCAAACCAACCAGCCTTCTGCGCGCGCTCCGCCTTCTGGTAGCTACTCGCGGCAAACTTATCATGCTGCTCGCGTGAAATATTGAACTGGTCCGCCACGTTCTCCGACGTCCGGCCCATGGGCCAGTAATTCTGCGACGCGATCGGGTGGTCGTTGATACGCTCCGCCATCTCAGGAGCACCGCCGTCGGCGTTGGAGCTCATGCTCTCTGCGCCAACCGCGATACCAACATCGATTGATCCGGCGATGATCTGGTTCGCGATATTTTGCACGGCCAGCAGGCCCGAGGAGCAGAATCGGTTGGTAACAGATGCAGCGGTTGTTACAGGGAATCCGGCAGCAAGAACTGAGGAGCGGGCGATGTATGCGGCGCCTTGAGCGAGGCAGTTGCCGACACAGACATCTTCGACGAGGTTGGGGTCGATCTTGGACTTCTCACGAACGGTCTGGAATGGTCAGGCTTATGGAAGATGTATGTCTGCTGTGGTGAACTCACGGTGAGAAGGGAGATGAGAAGGTTGTCGACGGTGGTATCCTTGAATCCACCCTTGCGGGCCTTAGTGAGCGGTGTGCGCGCAAGATAGGTAATCACCTATAAACTCGTTAATGGACCGATCATGCGTAGCTCGGAGTTGGTACATACCACATCATCGGGGTTCTTAGAGAGGATCTTCTGCTTAGCGGCAGAAGTGCTCGAAGGCGACAACTGGTTTGCGACCGAAGCCAATCGCTGCTGTGGTGAAGACATGGTACTTAGGAACGGGAAGTTTTCAGGAGAAACAAGTTGAGATAGCAGCGCGGACTTCTACTTTATTGATCGAACGCGGGGAGCCGATGAGCCGCGGCTGTTTCCAAACCTAGGAAATTCCCAGGGTTAGTGTATCGGGCCAAGCCTAGACAAAAACACTGGGCCGAACACGGTCGATTCGACCCGATAGAAGTGCCGTTGCTCTCGGCGTTCAGTTTGTAAGATACCGTAATTGTTTATTCCTCGGCATGTAAAGACGGCCTGTGGTTGGTGGGTACGTTGTAAATTACAAACGTTAAATGTTACCCATACCACTTGATGATCGACACTATTGATTGCTGTTGGGCCGATGTCGGTGTGGGTTAGTGCGTTTCAACAGTTGTCGAGGAAATATGCATGGTATCAAGTATCGTCATTGTAGGTCTCATAGCATCTTCAAGGATATTTTTTCAGGATAAAGATTGTGCAAATACATTTCCGGGGGCGTCCGCGCCAAAACCGGGGTAGACCAACCGGCTAAACCGTGGGGAGGAGCCGGAGATGACAGAGCAAATACGGGGTATTCCCGTATTGAACTTCGTAATGCGCCTCGGTGCTACTGGTGGGATACCAGGTCATCCTTGTATTGAACGGCAGATTGAAGCTGGATAGCTTCCGTTTGGACCTTATAGAACCGGGGTAGCTCTTATAACACGCAAGCTGTCGCGTCTTCTCTTCCGTGTTTGAACGACCTTGAACCACCACACACGCAATGGAATTCTTCGCTGAAGCTGGCGCGCCCGCTGTGGCTGTTGCTTCTGCCATTTCGGTGGCTGCAGGTGCCTATTTGAATGCAAAGCTCTCGATCTCCACCGATCTCGCTACAATTTTCAATGATAGGGCCTTTGGCAAGCGCTTGGGAGAGCGCATTGGCCAACTCGGCGAGTCGGCGACGATCTACAAGATGCTTGAGCGGGTTGTCGAGGTTGAAGGACAGGGAGCTGCGGATGCGATCTGGTTCGAACAGAAGACATGGTCTTATACGCAATTGAAAGAGTGTGAGTGTCTTTTTTTCGCTAGTTTCAACCTGCTATTGACTAACTCGTTATTTGTAGTGGCCGACCGGCTTGCAGCTCTGCTACATAGCCGGGGATTAAAATCTGGCGATATGGTGGGTGTGTACACGACCAATTCCCCTGAAATGGTGGTTTTGCTCTATGCACTCTCAAAATTGGGTGCGGTGGCCGCTATGATCAACACCAATTTGCGGGGTAAGCCATCTATTCCTGAAGCTTTCCCATAGCATCTAACAGTCCTTCAGATGATACCTTCATCCACTGTCTTAATGTCTCCGGCTCAACATCGATCATTTCTACGCCCGATATGTGTCAATATGTTTGCGGGGACTTGCCTCATTCGACATTCAACCTTACTTCATTCGACGGCGTTGAAACTGGTGCGACAGATCTCGTCACCTTCGATATTCTCCAGCAGTTCTCTCCGTCGGGAATAAAACCCGCCAAACGCAGTCCAAAGGATCTCACAGCCTTGATCTACACATCGGGAACTACCGGAAAACCCAAAGCATGCGCTGTACGAAACATGATGGCTCTGATCACATCCACACCTCTATCATCAGACTTCAACAACAAGTCTAAATATTACCCCATGCGAACATATTCATCTCTCCCCCTCTTCCATGGCACAGCGTTCTTCACCGGATGCTGTTACTCCGTCGGAAATGCAGGAACTCTCTGCCTGCGACGCAAATTCTCAGCCTCGCAATTTTGGAAAGACGTCCATGACTCGCGAGCAACCCGCATTCTATACATCGGTGAATTATGCCGGTATCTCCTGGCCACACCCCCCTCTCCCTACGACAGCAACCATAACTGTATCGTTGCATCGGGTAACGGTCTACGAGGTGAGATCTGGGAACGCTTCCGTCAACGATTCGCCGTGCCGGAGGTGCGCGAGTTCTACCGCTCTACCGAGGGATTGGCTAAATTCGATAACCATGGAGTTGGCTCTTGGGGCGTTGGCAAGGTTGGATTTTCAGGTCCGATCCGCCGGTTCTTGGAAGATGATACATTCATTGTTAAATATGATACTGAGACTGAGATGCCCTGCCGTGATCCCACGACGGGGTTTTGTATTCGTGCTAGCTTGGGCGAGGAAGGTGAGGCCATTGGTCGTGTTCGCGACCGCGGGCTCTTGACGGAGTATCTGCACAACGAAGAGGCTACGGAGACGAAACTACTTCGTGACGTCTTCGAAAAGGGCGACCTTTTCCAGCGCACGGGTGATCTCGTACTTCAAGATCATTCTGGGTGGGTTGGTTTCCGTGATCGCGTTGGTGACACTTTCCGCTGGAAGGGCGAAAATGTTAGTGCAGGTGAGATTCGTGATCATATTTGCCGAATTGAGGGTGTTCATGATGCCGTGGTGTATGGCGTGAAACTTTCCAGGTGAGTTCTTTACTTTTATCATTGATGAATTATTGAAACTTGAAATACTAATTGTATTGCAGCTATGATGGCCAAGCTGGTGCTGCTGGTATCACTTTGGAGGAGCACTCATCAGCAGCCGAACTCCACCTTATGTCAAACCTTTACAATGAGCTGAAGAAGAGGGGTGTTCCCTCATATGCTCTACCGCGTCTAGTCCGAATTACCGAAAAGTGAGTATCTGCTTGTGTTACGACAGAGAACATGGTCTAATTCATTTTATGACAGGGTTGCTACCGGGGCCACCTTCAAGCAAGCAAAGGGTGATTTGGTAAAGAAGGGCTGGGATCCCCGTAAGGGTGGAGAGGGTGACACGATGTACTGGTTGAACGGTACGAAGTACCAAAGATTGGATGACCAGGGGTGGTCCCAGATTGAGACCGGGGTGGCCAAACTGTGATCTGGCCAGTTTGACGGCCAATAGATCAATATTAACCAGGCGTTACATTGGTCGTATGGATACATAGCGCAATAACATTTGAATGATAGAGTACATGCGCAATTGATCTGTTGAACATCTGACGGTATAAACATATTAAAACTACTGGCAGTTAGTATGTCCAAGAAGCTTAAAAAAGATATTCGCTACTTGTGAAAGCATAGTTTTGAATAATCAAGGGATTTCTTTGGAAACTCAACGTAAAAAGAAAGTAATAATTGAATAGCAAACAGGCAGGACCAACAATACCAGCAACACATTCGACATTCCCACTTGTCATCATGAACCTTACAGTCAGACCCTGCTAGCTGGCTGGTGTTGTGAGGCAACCAGCACCCCGTCTCAACATCCAAACCATGAAGAGCTGAACAGGACGAAACTAGGAAGAGACCTTGCTCAACAGGAACTGAGCAGCAGAGCTAGCATCATCCCCATAAGTCAAGTGAGCTGCAGTAATGATCAGAGTGTCATCGCAAACCAAATCACCCAGAGCGCAGTAGACCTTTGTCTGATCTGCAGGGTAGTTGGGAATGGAACCATGGTCCTGGAAATTACGAGTGAAGCCAAAGAGGGCCACAGCCTTTACCTTCGCCATGACTGAGGCAGGAAGATTCTGAATGGAGTTATCCATGACAGCAGTACCTTGACTAGATTGGTTGAGATCCATCAGCCTTATGTTCTTTGGAGATCATGAGCAGGTTTAAGACAAACCTGTATCCACCAGCAACGATTTGGGTATCGGGACACTTCGTCGCAGCAAGCTTAAAAAGATCCTCGGCCTCCTCGATGGCAGCGGGGGAGGTGTTTGCAGGCAGGAAGTTAGATGGCAGGTCTGCAGTGTACTTAGGACCAACACCCTGGCAGGCAACTTGTCCGGGCTTTGCAGCCTGGAGATCAGCGCAGACCTCCGGACCGACTAGTTCACCGAGAAGTCCAATTTCGGTAGAGCCACGGGCAAAGATGAAGGTGATATCCTTGCAAGATCCTGTGCGGAGATCATTGCCAGAGTCAACTAAAGATGTCGAGATATAATGTTAGCCAAATTTCCTTAGCTGCGCTGCAGTAGGAAGTGCACATACATTGGCGTTTCTGGAGATCCACAGGGCTTGCAGCCACGGCACCAGCTAGTGCGAGGGTCAAAAGACGAAGGTACATGTTGCAATTGGAGATGGAACGAATGTGTTTGGGATATTGCTGGCGAGTAGATGCTCTGGAAAACATACAATACGGATATTTCATGACCTCTTTATACCTCCAGAGTCAATCCGACAAGCCAATAGGGTGAACATCGGACTCAAGATCAATCTGTAACGAATCTGCCCGGCTCCACGTGCTTGCTCAGTATTAGTTAACGTGCTGCCTGGATGATCTGTAAATTAGACACTGGAAGGTTTGCATCGGTATCTTTACTTGGACAGACTCATCTTCTAGTCGCGTTTCATTTTGTCTCAATGTTGGTATCTGGCGTTTGAGCCAAACGGCAGGCGGGGTCTGATTGGTCTCCAAAAGAGCAATATTCTCGAAGTGTACATCTTGCCGAGGTTGAGACAGCCTGGCAGTTCTTAGATATTCGGGAAATCTGCCTTATTGACAGAAACGTGCACCCTTTGACTAATATTTAGGGTTCGGGTTCGGAACCTGCCCCAAACGGGGAGCCTCAAAATTGGTCCGCACGGCGACCAGGTGGGGACGTGTTAGGGAGACCCTTTTGACCCTTGGTCACGGCTCTGGGCGGCCGCACGGAATATACTAGCAGATCATTAACAGTGGGAACCTTGGGGTTCTCGTGGAAACTTATATCAAGTGATCCCTCGGGTCGACCGGGATTTCCCAACTAGGCAATCCGCCACAGATGTTTAGCGAGATGATTGGACGTGTTCTTGAAATATGGATTTTCATATAATATTTTCTCTTAAGGCCATTAATATGTATTCTTGTGATGAGCGCAAGCACAATATGCCGCCGATCAATATGCAGGGAAAAAAAAAGATCATCAACCAGAAATGTACAAGTTGTGACCAGTTTCAAAAGTTCAAACAGGCCACACTGACCGCAATGATATATACACAAAACTCAAAAATTAGCCATATCAAGTCAAGTAAATGAGATGGAATGGTCTGTAGTACTTTCAACATGCAATGGTATCTTCACACAGGTTTCTCTCCCTTCTTCTTGCCAATGCGCAACCGCCTCTTCCATTTCATGCCACTCTTCTTCATCGCACGCTCGGTTCGCTCCCAAGGGTAGTTGACAGGAGACTCACCACCGGTGAAGATGAAGAAGTCATACAAGAAGGCTCCACCAAAGGAACCGGAGATCGCACCAACCCACGGTCCATAGAACCAGTAAGCATTCCTGAACAGCTCGCCACTATAGCCCATAGCGAGCAAGGCGAGACGCGGACCAAAGTCACGGCTAGGGTTGAAGGCAGCGCCGGTCTGGTAGGCAAAAGAAATACTCAGACAGGTAATGATAAGACCAATGATGAAGGAGTTCATGCCAGCACCGGGCGGAGCGTTCTGGTCATCACCAAGAGCTAGGATCACAACGCACAACAGAGCCGTGCCAACGAACTCGTTGAAGAATGCTGTCTGGGGACTGATCCAAGTTTCACGCTGGCTAGTCACGAAACTAGTGACAATGCCGGTGGTTGTGTTGGTGGCGAGGTAGTGTTGGATGGACTCGTAGTAGATACCGTAGGCGACCAGGGCGGCACAAAAGGCGCCAATGAACTGAGCTGCGAAATACTCCGGCATCAAACGCTTTGGGAAACCACGGTAAAACCACAGCATAATCGTAACAGCGGGGTTCATATGAGCACCAGAGATACCACCAGAAATGTAGATACCGATCATTGTGGCAAACCCCCAGGCCCAGTCAGTTGTGTTTGGATTGCCCGAATCAGCGATGGTCACAGACAAATCCGCGCAGAAGCCGATGGTAAGCTGAACGAACACGGCCAGGGCCTCGGCGAGGGCCTCGCGGTGGTGGGTGCGAATGACGGACCATGTGGTGTGATTGTTGTGTACTTCGTCCTCGACGAGTTCCTGGATCAATGGGTGAAGATCTTCAGGACAAGTTGCTTCGTCGAGGGAAGGGAATTCAAATTTACCCTCGTCTTGATAATCTTCGGGCTCCTCAGGCACAGCCCCCAGAGGGTCGTTACTGAAGTAACCGGGCGGCCGTTTGGGACCATCCTGGTCATCAACGCTTGCTTGAGACTCTCTTTCTTCGACTGTAGAGAGTTGATCCTGGTCTTGGTTGTTCCATTGAGACGGGCGTCTCTGGCGTATGGATGAGGAGCGGGAAATACGCGATCCGGGTCTCTGGGAGGCAGTCTCACCGTTCAGGAGCTTGTTCATGAAGTTTTGCTCACGCTGCAGACGTGCATCCTCCACCTGTGCCGCCATCTTCCGCGGATCAGCCGTCTTGTCGATTTTCCCCAGCTCCAGATCATTTGGATCAACGTCCAGTCCCAGCTTCTGCGAATTCTCGGCCGGCATCTCCGCATTCTGGCGAGCCTGAAGCAGTTCTTCCCTGGTCGGTACCATACCTGACCGCACCACACGCGGCAGGGGCTTGGCCAAAGACCAAACTGGTTTCGCATTGTTTGCCTGTTCGTATGATGGATTCAGATCACCGTATCCAGGCGCCACAAAGGGCTCTTGAGATAGTTTGTATTGCGGCGTCTCTTCTGGACCAGCCAGGGTAAATTTGCCGGTCGTTCTTTGGGCAAGCGTCGTTCGGGGAGCAAGGCTGGGAACGCCGCTTCGTCGAGATGCTGCTGAGCTGCGTCGTCGCAACCCTTCCGCTTCCGTTCCTTCCTCGGCCGTTTGAACTCTCCTTGGGGGTGAAATTGGATCATCCTCCTCGAGTCCTCGAGTTCTCGTCGGGGAGACAGGATTTGTCGATGACCGTTGACGTCCCGACTGTTCTCTTTCGCTCCTTGCCCCCGACTATAGAGTTAATACCGATGGATTAGGCGCCGCTTCTCCGTCTGGTTGTTTATGTGGTTGCACTTACCACGGCTCGGGGGCGCCCGGGATTGTCTTCTCCGTCCATGATTTCCACTGGCCAAATTCCGGTTTATGGTTGACTACTGGGAGTCAGCAAGATGAATTGGGATGAAATGACAACCATTGGACTGAATAGCATGCATGTCAGTGCCGAGGCGAACGGACCTACGGAAATAAGCAATAGCCAAGCCCCTAGTAAACTAGGGAGGGGGGGGGGAAACAAAGTTGCAGCGCAAGTGAAGGCAGACCTGGGATATAAAGTGTCTAAGCTAACCCTCCTCCGGGATCCGTTCAATCCCAGCACAAAGTGGAGGTACTACGCAAGATCCATCCGATCATCGTGATCTTCTCTCTGGCGTCGCCCAAGCTTCACATGAGGAGCCAATCTCTGATCAATGAGATTTTGGAGGCTGCCGCCTAGTTCCTGGCCTGACCCACTGTCGAGTCAATGCTTGCCACTGATTGAACCGTGGGCCTCCCCGACCGAGGAATTTGTTACTTCCCCTAACGGGCCCGGTCACTTTCGTTCGTCAAGACAGGTTTTTCTATGGACCCCCTCGAATACGCCAATTTAAAGGCTTCCGTCCTATCCGAGACTGCACCCAAGGCACTTTTATGGATCCCAATGCACATGCGTGCACATTCTCAACGCCGTGGAGGTGCGTGTGGCGCTTCTTATGACATCATCTTGCAATGGACCCTACAGTAGGATCTCACGATATCCTGCGTGAACCTCCACGAACTGCATTCTCATCGCCAAGGAAAGGTTTATTATCTCATTGCGCCCCACTGTGACTACGGCCACTAACCGGAAATTCCCCCATGGCTGAGCTTGGCAATATCCGACATCTGTTCCACCTCGGAAAAAAACATTAAGAACTCGGGAGTCAGTCTTAATAATCCCGGTCCACCTCAATCACATCGTCATCAGAGTTCATCTCCAAACACTGGGCCTTCAACTTCCCTGTCATTCTCGCTCAAGCCTCTCCCAAAGCATAATTGACTGGTGGCTATCCTCTCGCTTCGGTCGCATCTCCACACGGCGTTCGGGCAGGACGTTGACGAAAAGTCCAGGTAGATCCTTTCCCATTGAGCCCCATCAATGGTGGAAAGGGGTTATTAGCCGCATAAGCTATCCAAAGTCCCCACTATGCCAGCAAACGCCATTGATGCTATGACGTTTGGCACTTGATGTGTTTCGTTTGCTTGCACTAGGCTTTTACCTTTCAGAGAATTGTGCAGCCAGCACTCGAGCTCATTCGTCAAGTTTTCCGCTCTGTTTGTGCATACCGTTGCCTATCTATGTACTGTACTGTATAGGAAAATGGAGGCGGAGTATTTGTGAAATAGGTGGCTTCGGCAGAGGTCCACCCCAAGTCCACTGGCCCAGTTATTTTCTCCTGCCTATTGATCGAATTATTGGCACCAAGGGAAAGGAATTCACCATTTAGATTTCGGCAATTTTTCGGTATGTGGCCACGGTGTGGATACGCCACATGGGTGCGCTGGAAACATAATCTCGATAGGATCTTTTCGATGCCATCGGCACGGGCAATGGAGCGCCTTTAGGTAGGTGGCTTCATTGAAGATAGTATGCCTTCGCCTTCGCTCATATGCCATATCTCCTATTACTTTCTACCCACATGTAGCCACGTGACCTAGCACGCTCATTCAGCACGGTGTTGAGTCATATAATGCACTAGGAGTGGGATCTTAAATGACATGGATCGCTTCACCCTACCTGTACGATTAGTGGCTTGACGTTTTCAAGGATCTTGGCGACGGCGATGGAGAACATGTGATGAGCCTGGTCAAGGACATGAAACTATGGCATCTGAAAGATGCAACAGAGGATGTAAACAGGGCGAAATCGGGACTCTCAAGTCATTCAGGGTATAAGGATGCAAGGGACTGCAGAAGACCGTCGTTCTTCCACGCGATGACATTGAGGGCGATCCATCTTACACCATCTTGAATCCCTGGATAGGGCGTACGCTACAGCCATTTCTAAAAAGAAGGGGAAAATTTAAGCATAGAAAATCAAACGAAAGAAAAATCAGAAGGGGTAGAAGGGTGAGCTCTAGGATTTTCGCCATGTTCAAGGAGGGAAGGATTTCTGGTTGCTAGATGCAGTGCGGGTGCAGTGAAAATAGGGGCGATTGCCGGAAGCATAGCGACCAGCATGACTCACAAACATCAAAAGTGACGCAGTACACTATAAATTGATGTTCTGGATTTCAAGAGCGTATAATGAGCACTATAGCCAGCTAGCAAAGATACATTCCGACATAAGCAGTGAGGTTGGTATTTGGCCTGCTCGGGCCTGCACTGTAATCTTCGATGTCCGCTGGCAGACTACCTGGAATCGTTAAAGCAACTTGGTGGGACAATTGCAGTCCGAAGATCCGAAGAAACGGCGACAAGTTATTCGTGCACCTGTCCGGTGTGAGTAAGTGTAACGTCTTCTTCCCGTCACTTCTTTTAACAGGTAAACTCACCAAGATCCCGGATCATTCCATGCCCAGTGCTGAAGAAATCATACTTTACCGGATCGGGGTGCGCCGGACCTAATTGGGGGCCACATCAGCTGGATAAATGGTTGCAAGGCTCAAGGTATAATGAAAATTGGGGTCGACTTTTCGGGCCGTTTTCCACAATGGCCTTATTTAGGGCAGCATGGGGTTTGCGGAAGGCAAACAGGCGCACAGCCTTAAGGTCGGAATAGATATACATTTTTAGTAGATATCGATCGGGAATCTGCCAATGTGCCCATACGACGGGTTCTAATCTGCGGGAGAGCGCAATTGTGTAACATGAGAAGGATTGGCTATAGTGCAACAGAGAATGTAGAGGTATATGTACATCGGGTTCTGTTGCGACCTTATTGTTTGATGCACTTCCCTTTCCATTCTACGAGGATAAAGTTATCAGATTTGGCAAAAAGCATTCTTTGCCCAGTCCACCATGGAGTTGACAGGAGTCTCCGTACGGAGGCACCTGATCATCCTGCTCCAGCTCTTGGATCTGGCCTCTCATGCCTCTGCAAAAGCCGTTTTTGCTCATTTTATGGTAAGGTTGTGTTTTCGGGCATATCTTCAATGGAAATGCTGACTAGTACATCCGCAATTAGATGGCGAGCGCCGCGCAATATGAAGTTGATGACTTCAAAAATGACATCTCACTTGCCAAAGGCAGTCATATTGACGCATTTGCGCTTAACATGGCTTATGGGGTTTCCACGAGTGAGCAGGCAGTTGCCAACGTCTTCAATGCGGCGGAGTCCCTGGGTTTTCAGCTGTTCTTCTCGTTCGACTATGCCGGCAATGGATCTTGGCCACAGTCTGATGTTATTGCGTTTCTGCAGAAATATTCACTTAGCTCGGCCCATTACAAATACGGTGGAAAGCCATTTGTTTCTACCTTTGAAGGTCCCGATAATGCCGGTGACTGGTCTGAAATAAAGGAACAAACGGGATGTTTCTTTGTCCCCGACTGGTCATCGATAGGAGCGCAAGCAGCCCTTCAGCTGGCAGGTGGTGTCGTTGATGGCTTGTTCTCGTGGGCGGCCTGGCCCACGGATGGTCAGCCGATGGACACATACATTGATGCTTCGTATCTCGATAATTTGAAGGGGAAGCCATACCTCATGCCAGCATCACCGTGGTTTTACGCCGATATGCCGGGATACGATAAAGACTGGGCTTACCATGGTGATGATCTGTGGTATTCTAGATGGGTGGAGGTTGCCTTTCTAGAGCCTGAGTGGGTTGAGATTATCTCCTGGAACGATTATGGAGAGTCACATTACATTGGGCCCCTTAATGAGAAGGGGTACGGGGTGTTCACCACGGGAAAAGCGCCTTACAATTATGCGCGAAATATGCCACACGACGGTTGGAGACTTCAGCTTCCATACGTGATTGATCTGTACAAGGGTGGAACAGCATCGATAACGGAGGAAAATCTAGTCGTCTGGTATCGGACTCAACCTGGGACCGCTTGCGCTGAAGGGCAAAAGCAATATAAAGATCGGTCCTTCCAGGACAGAATATTTTTTTCCGCACTTCTGCGTTCCAACGCTTCCGTCAAAGTGAGCATTGACGGTATCGAAAAGGATGCCCGGTGGGAGTTCGAGCCGAATGGAGGTATAGGCATCTACCACGGCAATTTTGACTTCGACCATGACCATCTGGGAGAAACTACCGTCTCAATCTCGCGCGATGGAGAGGAGACAGTCCACGTCAATGGGCGGGCCATCACCGAGACATGTACTGATGGTTTCGCCAATTTCAACGCATGGGTTGGAAGTGCGACTTCGGGAACCACCTTCTCCCCGGTCGCACCAAAGCTTTCACTCTCCAAACAGGTTTGTATCAAAGGGTCAGGCTCCGCAAACTATACAGAGCTTTGCGAAACTACTTGTCGATATGGATATTGTCCCATTGACACTTGTTGTTGCACTGCAATGGGTGCCCAGAAGAAGAGACCAAAGCCCACGTACGAAAAGGGCACCCCCAAAAGTGGCGATGAAAGTTACTCCGGCTTATGTTCCTTTGCATGCTACTACGGATTTTGCCTCGAGGCAACATGCTCTGGAAATCAGACGGCGACACATTCACATCCACATCTCGGTCCACCCGCTTGCGTGGGTAATGGGGATGATGACCGCGCCAATCTGCACAACTCTAGCTGTGCAACCTCGGGCCCTCATGCGCAAACTACACATGTTAGCAACGCCTTCAAGCAGGCAATCACCTCAGTGGGGGCTCCTTTCGGTATTGGGTTCTTCATATATGCTGGAATAGTGTTCGGTTTTTATTTTTAAGAATGACGCAGCACGAAATGATACTGCAAAACAATGAGGGAACAATTAAAGACCTCTGGCAGAGACGTGGGCAGATTCAAATTCCATATATCTTTGCTCTAGAGTTAGAGGTCGTGCTCGAATTGTCTTGTAGGGTTGTTCACGGTTAACGTTTGAATACTTTTCTATCATCCACTGATCCGTGTGACTTTAATAATGCATGGGAAAATGTACTTCGTATAGTTATAACTAGATCTTAAATTGAACGAATTTGAATCTGCAATCATGGTTAGTCTCTAACGTTGGAACTACCGTCTGTCAACATTTACTTGCACCCTTGCAGGGTTGGCGGCACTGTAATAATCTTAGACCCTACGAGTTCCATCGCTTCGTTAAGAAAATTAAATGAACAGCATATCTTGTGTTCTTGAATGAAACATACGTTTCAAAGTATTTGAATACGTGTAATGAGCACCGCGATACTCCTCTGATCACTATGAAGATAAACAGTCCACAGAGGATGAAGCCACGAGGGTTATTGATCCATCATTGATTGAACACTTGTCACCTTGAAAGTGGGTGCTTAAATCCAGTATTACGCTCTTAATGGTCCTGGACGCAAATTGTCGACCATGGCTGATTTATTGGACTTTAGGTTCATCTTTGTGCGCCCCCGAGTCTTCCTCCCAGGCCACCTTTGTTTTGACGTTCAATCAGATATCATGATATTTGGTCGACCTTCTGATCACTTGTGTATATCTAAAGGCTCTTTTGGAGGGATCGAAAAACAAAGCTTGGGATACAACTCGAACTTTGGTCACTTGCCATGAGAAGGGAGGCTGCAGAAATTCTGAAATAGGTGCTCATAAGGATGACGAGGGGTTTGAATGAAAAAAGAGAAACTATCAGGCTCTAGTTGGATTTTGCGCCCGAAAAAGAAAGGGGCATGAGAGTGTAGGATATTGAGGAAGTGAGCAAGTGGCCCAGGAGGGTGGAAATTCTCACTACAAGCGACGCGGTGATAGTCGAAAGGGAAGAAACATTGAGTCACAAAAAGCAGGTCGGCCATCGAAGCGGATTTGAGACTTGCAAATTTAATTCTTGGAGTATTTCAGTGATTCGAGTTACGGTCTCAACTTCTCAACCTCCCATCAGACTTCGCTACTCATAGCTCTTGAGCCTTCCATGGAGGCACAACAAGATATACAATACCGTGACCAATAGAAGCAGCAAGTGGTCCGACCTTGAAAGCAATCGAGTTAGCTGTACGATCTTGAAATCGAATTTGGGATGAGTCCTACCCAATGTATCCAGTGATAGCTGGGGAAGGAGGTCGCGACATAGACTCCAAAACAGCGTGCTGGGTTAGCGGCTGCCATGATTAAAGATTAGCATATTTCCTTCTACATTTGTTTGGACCAAAGGCCTCGGTAATACTCACACGCGCCAGCATATCCAATCCGCGTAAATGAAGAGCCCAAGCTCACGCCAAAAAGCACCATACCGACAAGGAATGGGGATAAAGCAGGGCCATATACCGTACTCTGTCTAGGATCGAGACCAACACCGAACGAAAGAAATATAAGAAGAAGGCAGAATACGAATTCAAGGAGAAATGCATCATCTACAGGCACGAGGCTTGTGTCAACGAAGCATCCTCCGGTGGTGAAATCGCGGGTACCATATGCTGCTCGAAGCATGAGACCTGCTATAGTGCCGCCTGCCGTTTGACTGAAGATGTAAATGACCATTCGAGGTAATGAAATCAGACGAGCGAAGAAAGTAGCCATCGTAATAGTCGGGTTTAAGTGACTGCCGCTGACATTCGAGAAAGAAAAAATAAATAGTGTCAGGAACACCCAGTTGCCGAAGCCGCCGATCAGAGGGCCTAGAAAGTTGGCCGTTGCAAAAACACCAGCCGGTCCAGTTGGGACGACTGACGCTGAATTCGGGCGTATAGCCAGCCATGATGATACAAAAACATTTAGCATAGTACCTATCATGGGTTAGTTTTCATTCACTTCTCAACAAAAGGACTGCTCTTGCCTATCCCTTCGATGAGTCCAAATTTCCAATAGTCCAGATTCAGGAATCCTTGTAAGCTGAGCCCTTCCCGGGCTGTCATAAGCGGGGCCGCATCAGGGGCCTTCTCCAAAATCTCGGCACTTCGAGGATCATCACGATCAAGCACTAATTCCTGATTTCCACCAATCCGGCCGGCGAATGGCTGCACATGAGCCCGTTGACGTGCCATCCTGCTCTGCTAGTGTTGGGGTCGCAAGGAAATCAATGAATGGACGCCTAGACGTATACCCGAAATATTTCTATGCAATCCTCCAAGTCGAGTCTCGCGGCACAGGCTCCAAACGATAATTTGCTCAATGTCAGCGATAAATAAAGGGGCGGTGTCCTGTTGCGGAATGCTGATGGCGGCACTAGCTGCAAAGGGAAGCCAGATTTTCTCGATGAGGACCCGTGACCCAGCGTGATCGCTACGTCTCATTTACGAAACCAGGTCCCAGTCTGACTTGGTGCTTGAAAGACAAACATTTATATACACATATGCCTTTTTGTATCATCTGAAATTCAAGATGAACTGACCATGAACTACAGCGATCGGCTCATCGGTAATGGTCATGTGACATTCCCGGAGGGCAGGGGTTTTACGGGAACGGCATATAAAATTCATGAATTCTCAAAATAGACTTCAAAACCAGTAAATTCATTTAATACAACCATTTGAAAGGACCTAATTACAAGACATATTTGAAAAGCGGAGACTTATCTCCCAAGTCAAACAGCTGGTCCTCAGTATAGTTCACTCTTGCTTCGTCCGCAATTCGGGCCTTCCTAGCATTTCCAGCCTTGTAAGTCCATTCAAGAAAGAAGGCAACAAACAACCCAAATGCTCCGAGTGCCATACTAAGACCAAAGCCTGTGGGGTATCTTGGTTCCTCACTCGCAAGATACATGAAGCTTCCTAGAATACCACCTATGTTGCCCACGCAGTTCATCAGGGCGATGGCAATCGCTCTTCGCGAAGAAGGTGCAATGTTGTTAGCATTCCAGGAAGCCGCAGCTGCCTGGATTGGGTATATACCTACTACTGCAAATACAACAGCGAAATAGGCTACGCCTCGTTTGGCTTCGAGGTCTCCATTCAGTGAGAAAATGATAGCATAGGCGACAGTGACAATAATCATAGGAATGGCCACAAATGGCATTCGCCAGTAGAAGTGATCCGAGAGTTTCGCGAAAAAAATAGCTGATATCGCGGCAGCAACGTATGGAGGAGCGGAGGTAAGCTGGGCGTTAGTATCGCTGAAGCCCATGGCTTTGGTGATTGTTGGTAGAGTGAACTTGGTACCTATCAAGCATTCTGATTAGTTATGTGATTAGTTGCCTGGAATGAGAATTTCAATACCATAAGACAACGCTGACTGGCAGAACAAAAAGTAAGCCTGGATGTAGATCCGCCAATTTGAGAGGACTATTCTGAGATCTCTCCACTTGAAGCCCGTCTCCTCCGTACTAATTCCGCCTTGTTTGATGAACATCGAGAGTTCCAGATAGCGAATTTCTTCTGGAGATAGCCAGTGTGCCGATAAAGCGGGCGTATCAATGAGCAAGAAGAAACATGCGACGCCTAGTATCACACTGGCAATTCCTTCGAGAATGAAAATCCATCGCCATCCCTCAAGACCACCGATCCCGTCCATCTTAGCGATACCAGCCGCAAGAAGACCAGAAAATGCGCCGGAGAGCGCACTGGCACAGTAGAAGTATGAGATCCGAAGAGCCAGCTCTCTGGGCATGTACCAATAGGAGCAAAGATAAATAGCACCAGGGAAAAATCCAGCTCTATGAACTCAGTATTAGAGAGAAAGATAACTTGATCGGTGACACTCACTCAAAAATACCAAGCAGTACCCTTGTAGTCATAAGACCACCGAAGTTTTGCACTAGACCGGTGCAGGTCATCACGATGCCCCAGCTAAACACGAGAATGCCAAGGTATACCGATGGACGTTTGAATTTCTTCAAAAGGATATTGCTGGGAACTTCAAGCAGCACGTAGGGAATGAAGACTATACCACAGATATTAGCATACCTCTCGCAGGCTTGATATGAGAAGACTAGACATTCTTAGGTGTAAAAGCCTTAGGGCGGACTCACAGATGGATAGAACAGTGTTGTATTGTATACCCGTCATATTGAGGTCTTGGACCATGCCTTCGATTTTTGCATTGCCGATATTGGCACGATCAATGTGACTGATCAAGTATAGCACTGCCAGCATGGGGACCAAACGAACATCAACCTTGCGAAAGACACGTTTTCGCTTCTCCTTGGGGAAATTAGTATAGAAGTCTGCATCGTCGGGAGTCAATCCGACAACACGAAATGTTCCAATCTCAGTTACATGAGATGGTTTGGGAAGACTCTCGATATGAGAAGATTGGTCAACGATTTCGATATCGCTTTTGCCAATACTTTCAGAAACCATGACGATAAGATGGACTGTGTGATCCTTCTACTTGGAGAAGGAATCTTACAAACTATTCCCAACCGGCCGGCCGAAGATGGTCATATATACATCATCTCGGCTAAGCCATTTTGGCGTAGACCATCGCTCATGTATAATTCGAAGAAGTATAGGGTCTGAGCTCTCATTGCTTCCCCAATACCCCCGGGTCTTGGCGGCCACGCTCCAGGCGGGGTTCGTAGCCAAGGATGCGGGGATTGAAGTCCAAGGAAAAGCTGGACCTAGTTTTTCAGAGACGTTATTGGAGGATTATTTGCGTGTGGTTTGACCACTTGTGATACGGATAAGTGACTAGCCTGCGCAGATGTTGTCCGGATAAGTCGTAGCGCGCCAACGCACCATTCATCTCGGGCGGTTGGGACCTGCGGGGTACGGCATTCACCCATACTGTCAAGGGTCAGCGAGCAGTAGCCCCTGGACCCGGTCAAAGCGTATTTTCCGAGATGATAGGCCGGAAATCCGGTTTATTTTCCGTTATTAATCCGATCTAATCGGATATCGAAGGTAAGGTGGTATTAAACACCGCGAGAGGAAACTTCTAGTGGCTGCCAATAGGGCACATATACACGTCGAGCTTCCCACACAATAGTTGACAGGAATAATGCTAGCGATCTACAGTAATACTCGAAATCAAATTTACCTCTACACTCTTCCACTTTAATTCCCGAACCCTAATTCCAAACACGCTAAGCCGGATATAGTATATCCGTCGATCCCATTACCCTTTGTAAATTACTAGTGATGCGCGCTTCGCAGCTGATGCCCTAAAACGACGAAGCGGAAAACCAAACAAGTGATGTGCCTCATCACGTATATGCCAAAATACCTGACCAATGAGAGCAAGGCTTGGCGAGAAACTGGTGACGCGCGCTATCGCACGCTGTACGCCCTGAAACGATGAAAATGAAAGAAAGGGACGAGAAAGTCAAGAGGAAAAAGGGACATTATTTTGCTTCACTAATACTTCACAACGCGAATGAGCGCTGACGATGAGGAACTAGACAATATGACTAATAGCCGCAACACCTTGGAAAACAGAAAAATCAGTAATCTGCTCATTAACCATTGTATTTCGGTTGTGCAAGTATATCGGCGAATCATATTTTTCGTTGTCTTCGAGAACGCCTCTCTGGAGGTGGTGTGCTATCTCGTAGCGAGGGTTCATTTTCGTCGGTGGTCTCTGGCCATGTAATTTGTGTGGCCTCCTCACCCTCATTATCAAGTGCGACTATTTCAGGGAAATCTAGTCGCGGATGGGTGATAGGAAGTAGTTCAGTCCGCGAACTTGCCACTGATTTAGTCGGGGTTTGAGGGCCGGCCCTTTGGGACCAACGGTCAACACGCTTCCGTTTACCAGTCGAAGAAGGGGTAGCGGGCACGTGATGATTTGGTGTCGCAGTTATCGAGGACACCACGCAGAGGAAGAAGCAAAGGATCCTTATCATTCATGTGGTGTTGATCACCGTGTAAAATAGATCTGCCACATAAACTACACACCGATGCTTTTGCAGCAGTCGAGGTCACTTCTTCGTATCTGGAAACGGAGTTTCGTATATCAGAGGAGGATATAACCGGCGGGAATGATTAAGAAGCAACTGCATGACGGTCGTACTCATTCCACAGAACGTCGGGGGCCTGACCTACAGCGTCGTGCGGCGCCTGTCCTTGAAGGGTTCTTTGCCTCGTGCTATGTGGTCGCAGACCTAGCAAAGATTGGAGTGTCCCACCTGGGGGAGTGTCCCACCTGGGGGAAATAGATTGGGAACTGAAACGCCGTCTTGGGAGCCATCAGTAACCTCTGTAAAAGACTGCCCCGCCGGAACAGTGGCGAGCCGGCGACGATTCTTTTTCCACTGGCGACAGCGATCACAAGTTTTATACCGGGGAGACTACCAGAGTTGGGCGTAATTTGAGCAGAGCGTAAGTTGTGAGGTTAAGGGTATAGATATGGAAGGTAGCAGAGGTTGTGAAGGAGAAAGGGACGTTGATACCTTACCAGTAGCAAGGAAATAACGACGGAGTCTTTGACGGTGGGATTTCTGGAGGCAGGTAAGACATGTTTTATATAGAGGCGACTACCAGGTTCGCGAGCAGCTAGAGCATAGCACGGTTTGCGCAGGAGGGAATTCTATGATAGTAGCATAGATGGTTATTAAAGTGTAATGAAATTATATAAGCTAAGCAGGGCACTATAGCACGTTTAGATAAGGCGGGAGATTAAAGAATCTTCTAGCTTACTTTACGACCAGGTTTGTAGAAAAGGGAAATGAAACGAGAGGATCTCTTAAGAATATTCAAATAGCAAAACACAAGGCAGGGGAAAGCACTGGCATATATAACAGGCCAGGGAGGCGGAACGTAACTTAGGAAAACAAACGAACAAACGGACGAATCGTAAAAGTGTATCAAGAGCAACTCAACAGCGAGGGGGCAATAAGAAAACAGGAGTGAAACTAGTAAGAGCTGAATAGAAGAGAAAGTAAGGCAATAGACCAGGATGAACCTGGTAAAATAGAGCAAGGTGGACGGTTACAGTTCCGGTATAGAATATGGAGAAAAAGCACGTGAAGACACGCAACACGCGAGGGGACAACACGTAAGAGGACAAGTAATAGGCCAATGAGAAATAGGCTTGGCGCGGAATGTAGGTAGTCGCAAACCCAGCGTCGACGCAGCGTCCCAGCTATCAGCCTCGCGTAGACCCACGGTATGTAATAACCCTTTCACTCTATTCCTTCGTTTCAGGGCATTCAATAGAGCACCATCCTAGATCAATTACTTCACCTTCAGGCCCTCCAAGCAAAGCACTAAGTGTTCTTTCTAGAAAAGAAACCAAATCTCCCGCGCCGGACTGTGGTATTATCGTTCTGGGTGAAGCTGTGCCTCTCAACAACCATCTCAACAGTTGAGCTAGGGAAATCACCACATAATTGAGAACCGTTAGTCTTGACGAAGAGGTCTTTAGCTGATTGGGGCTGCCCAGAGACGGATGCACAGATTTGTAAACCTCCGCTCTCGCAATGGAAATTCTCATAGCTCGAAGTTCTTGCTTGCTCTGCCTTCTTTGCCAAGACAGATAAGCAATGGTGTATTCCCATTCTTTGGTCTTCGAGTTCTTGTTGCTGGTGTTTCCTTTGTTGTTCTCGCAGCTCTAAAAGCTGCGCAGTGTAGTCGGAAATGGATTTTTGTTTGTCGCTTATGAACCTGTCCGTTTTCCGAGTGGTGCAAGCCGACTCATGCTCGTCAGCGTCAAAGTTTGCAACTAATCCCTTAAGCATATCACGTCTGACTCTGCCAAGGTCGGATTCCGCTTTCCGGCAGGCATAAATACAGGTGGAAAGAGCCTCTTCAGCTTCTTTGAGTTGATTTTGCTGGCCCATAAGGTCAGGCGTCCTTTTGGCAAGATAGTGGAGATGGTTTGAAAGACAAGAACTTGTCTTCGTGATCCTGTTCTGGAAGTCTGAGACTTGACTCAATGTTGCTTTCCGAAAGTCACTAGTTCAGTCAGATATTGAAATTGAGATATGTCGTTATATACTCACAAATCTATCATGTTGATAATAATGAGAATGGTCCCTTTATACGATGCTAATCTCTCCTTGAATTCCTCGATGTTGCCACCAAGGAATCTCATTTTGGCCCAGTCATGAAGATTTGGCTGATTACCTCCAGAGTGCGTCGTGCATCTGTTAATAATACCCTGAAGGCCTTTGCAAGCCTTGTCGCATGCCTTAAGAATTGGTTCAAGTTCTGGCAGTACGTTCTCATCGAAAGAAGACTGGCGGATTCTCTGGAGGACTGGAAGAAGGCTGTGTATCTCTGCTTGGAGACTTTCAACCGTTTCCGGATAGCCTTTGAAGCTTTGAATTAACTCGTATAGAGATTTAGCGGAGTGAAGTGTAAAAGATATAATGCCAGTTAAAGCGCTAGCAGTACCCAGTGCGGTCGTCAGTGGCTCACCCATACTAAATGCCGCCTTCTGTTGAATGAAAAGAGTGAGAAAAATGAAAGTTGAATTGTTTCGTATCAAGGGAGTCTATTGAACTCTCGATAAGTATAAATAATAGCCCTTCTAAAGATAGAGTTTAAAATCGAAAAGCTTTGTTGTGCTATTGTTTCAGAATAGCGCGCGCGTATTCTATCCGTGAATTCAAGTCTTGTCAAAGGAGTAAATATCTGGGGAGGATTGTGACTGATTAACAATTCTATTTTTAAATAATGATAAGGTGTTTCAGATAGCACCAGAGCCTAACACCGAACGCCTCTTAATAATAGCTAGGTCGAATATGTAAGGGAAGCATCCCACGTAGGGTCGACCATAGAGGCCGGGGACAACAGAACGGTATAGAGTGATTAGCATAGAACGTGGCGAGACAGAGCAGTAAACCAAAGAGAGCGTGAAGCGGCAAAGCAATAATCAGACCAGCAGCGTGGAGATAGACACGAGCAGTTAGAAGAGAGCAGAGGAGCTAATAAGAATAGTTCTTAGCATATGGGCTTTAGGACGTGGAAATAATTCTGGCAGGACTAACGAATCACGTGAGAGAGCGTTGAGATATAAGCGAGCAATCGACGTCTAATCGGCGACGAGTAGGAACGCATGTTCACGGGCAGCTCGTGAAGGGTAGCAACCCCTTTCATTTCGTTCCTTGTGTCGGGGCACTGATACGTGTGATAGGCCGGACAGGTGAAGCGCAATTCAATAAAATGAACAAGAGCGAAGCAAAAAGAATAAAACGACGCAATAAGGAACGGAAGAGATAGTAGGGTGACAGAACTAGGATGAACCTGGTAAGAAAAATCAGGATGGAGGGAACATAGTAGGAAAACACGTGAAGGCACGCAGCATGTGACTTCCCAAGTACCAGACCAATGAGAGAGAGGCTCGGCGCGAAATTTGGGTAGTCGCAATCCAGCGTCAACGCAGCGTCCAAGTCAGCCTCGCGTAGACCCACGGTTTGTAACCCCTTTCACTCCGTTCCTTCGTTTCAGGGCACTAGGATTAAAGATCCAATCATGATCATTAGCCAATCCCTACTCCTCATATAGACGGGCACTTCCCATCCACGGACCAATAATTTTAGGAATAAAGAGAGTCCATAACCAGCTTCTAATACGCCCCGGATAATTGAGGTCTCGGTTTCGAACGGGCAACTTAGGGCTATATGTGCAATGTGATTAAGATATAGCATAACTATTATTCTACTGCTATCTACACCCTGTTCCTTGAATAGGCTTAGTACACTTTTGTATTCAGTACTTATAGTGTTTACTGAGAGCTCTTCATTGCGCTTATTGATACGACCTAAATCAATTAGGTTCCGAGTTTACCATAAAATGGAGTCCAGGCTGGAGCCAATCTACCCGGTCTGGGCCGTTTTCCTCTAACAAGATCTGGGATAGGGTCAATCTGCCCTGGTGGACCCTATTCCCATTCCCATTCCTCTTTTCCCCCTAGACGTCGTCAACGGAAGGCCAGGAATATCTTATTCTAGCAGGACTAAATCAAGTTTATCAATAATAAAATTTACCAAATGTCAAGTCCCAGACCATAATTGATGGGATTCTTCATCTAGCCCTCGGCCAGCACTAGCAGGCTGTTAGGAGGCCCTAGAATCGGACCCAAAAGAGGTGCAAGGAAGTCTAGAGCAGCTCAATATGTTAACCATACTGTAATAGATAGAAGCTAGTGCCTAAGAATATATTTATTTCCAAATCCATATCTTCGAAAGAGCGCCCTCGGGTTATACGTAGACCTTTCTGCCACTCTTAATTCCTTAAATGCTTCATTCTTGGCAATGCAGAAAACATCTACAATGATAATTAGGAAAAAAGATCCATTAAATCCTTTTGAGACGATGGGGGCCTTAAAGATGATCTAGAATTACCAAGTCTTAAATAATTCAAACAATGAGTGGTAACTTTAGAACCTTAAATAACATATAACGCTCTCGCTTCATGGATATTGCTAGAGAGTGTCAATGGAGAACTTGATGTACCTAGTAGTTATTTTTAGATCTGTAACAGCATATGTATAAATACATTAGTACTGGAGTATGTCGAATACAGTTAGAGACCTAGTTTTTACCAACGGTCGGCACCTCGTGCTGTAAGGAGGATATTGGCCATTTCTTAGAGGTTAATTGGTCGCAGCGATGCTCCACGTTTAACTATAGAGAGTATCTATTGCTTTAGCGAATCCCCATCAATCTGGGTTAATTTATGGCTGCTGGCGCGTGATTCTGCTCAAGATGCACCCCCGGTAATGCGGAGGAGGAGGTTTGTGCGCGGCACATTAAACCGTCGTTTTGCTTCAATAATAGAGGTAATTTATTCGCTTTGATAGCTTGTATAGCTAAGAGGATACGGTACTCCTACTCGATAGATTTCTGGCCTGTTTGAGAGCGATCTGGAGGCATAGTGGTTGGTAGAAAATAGAAGAGACGCGTTGACGCTTAAAAAGATGGCTGGGGTGGCCACTCGCTTGGGAATTACGTTATTTAGAGGCAAGGTAGACTAGTAAACTGACTTCCTAGAGAGATAAAATATAAAGTACAAAGTATTTAAATGCTTAATAAGCACTTAGCAAGGAAAAAGCCTCAAAGCCCTGGGTACTACGCTAGTTTTGGCGCTAATGTATGAGTGTTGCGTCCGCCATTAACTATCCTATATTAGGCCTAGCGCTTATTTGAACGATGTTGTCACTTGTCAACTCGTGATCTGTACACAGCCTCGACTAAAGTCTATCGATTAGTCAATTCATGGAGTAGGCCTTCGGCAACGATGAATCCCTCGAGCGCCATTACTGCATAGAAGTCCGGCGTGAGTCACGGTCAAATTATTGGCCCAAGCCATGCAATTGAGAGTTGTAATGGAGATGTAGCCAGCTCCCGGCAAAGGAAAACCTACATTTGGTTCTTGCTTACCCTGTAAGCACTAACCGAGGAGACGCATAATGTAACACTAGATAGCCCCGGCTGGCAAATCAGGTATAAATAGTCTTCTCGCATCCTCTTTGCATTTTTAGTTCTCATCATTCAATGTACCCTAATCAACTTTGACCGAAATGGCCCCGTCTCTCCCATCGCGTTATGAAGTGCGCGTTCTTGGACCAGAACATGAGGAATGGGCCCGGGCAATTTGCGTTCACACCAATATATTCTACTCCGCGCTCTGGCCGGTTGCTTATCCAGAGAATAAAACGCAGCGGGCCTATCATTTTTTTCGAGCTGCGCACTATATAATCAAGCACCAGATCGATTCGGGAAAGTCTCTCGGTATCTTCGATAAAGAGTACCAATTCAAGCGACCGGAGTCTGCAAGCACCGAGGGCAAGCTATGCTGGAACCTGGAGGATGAGAGTGCCACCGAAAGCGAGCTGGCAGAGCAAATGGACTTCCCACTAGTCTCCATTGCCATGGCCTACGATGGTATCGACGAGCTTGACATGGCTCAAATAAAACCCCTAGTAGTAGCGCTGCCCTTATTTGAAAAAGTCTACGGCGTCCTCAAAGAGCTAGACCAGCGCGATCCTGCTTCATGGAAGCCCACGGGCCGCGGACAAGTACTGATGCGCAACGCTACTAGCACCGTCCAATCTTATTCCGGCCATGGACTTATGAGACTGCTAGCCGAAGAGATGATGAGACGATCGGCCGCGGAAGGCTTCGTCGGTATCCAGATCGAAACTGTTTCTGAGGCTGTGAAAAAGGTGTGGTCGAATCCGCCAGCACCGTTCAAGGGGACGGTCGTCGGGCAGTTTCACACAATGACATTCGAGGAGAAGAACGATTCCGGGGAGATTGTGTATCCTTTCCGACCGGCGAATGTCAACATTGCCAAAATCTATGTCGATCTCCGGGCTTCAGATTAACGGAGCGATCGGTTATATCGCTCGGCAACCAATTGGACCGATACTTATGAAGATCTAGCAACTAGTAGAACATAGTTGAATTAATTCCAGGAACGATTAATTCAAAACTGTCTCAGAAGAATCCCGAGATTGGCGAGCGAATGGTACATCAACTATTCCGATAGAATTTAAGCAAAGGTATCATATTACGCTTGCAGACAATGTTTGTTGGACTGGCTGAAGCTCAACACTCACCTCATCAATCACCAGAATGCGCTGAGACCTCGCATCCCACTCAGAGTCATAGATCCGAAAATATATCCGCACGACGCCTGCCGGAAGACGTCTTCGCCGCTCTCATCCCCCTAGTTTCGTTACTATAATCATTTGATTTTGACCACGTTGTATTGGTAGACCGCTTACGGCTGGCCCTGTCGCTGGACATGCCGAAGATCCTTGCCAATCTGCCACCGAACGTTGATTTCAAGAGTACCCGCATCGTTGGCAGACACGTGCAGACAATGCCGGTTGATACTTCAATAATGGACCACATGTATCCCTTCGCGTAGAGCCATGTGGAGTCGAACTGGCCCAAGACGAGCATTGAGAGGAGAAGACATGCTATGGCGGCGGCGCAATCACTTCAAGAGAAAATAGAATGATTAGCACGACATCTTCTCCGGCACTCGCGTGTCTTTTATCTTCTAGATTCAGAAAGAAATGGCTATCCTTACAAGAGGCCCAACGCAAAAATCAGAAATACAGCTATTTTCTGCGGCGTTGGAAGCTGAAACTGCCACACGTTAGGAATCGGCATCAACCAGATCGCGAAGTAAGTGATAATATTCACGATTGTGTAGCCAATGGCGAACTGCTTGAAATTCAGGTAGATTCCCTCATATGTCCAGAAAGCGTTAATGGGTTTGCAGTTGAAGATGGAGAGGAAGGTCATGACAATTGTCCACGTCGAGATCAATGCGATCATGCCGTATACCATGCGCAAGAAATGAGAGTCCCAGTGAAGCTACGGGTGGTAATACATTGTAAGTGCGTCAGGATAAAAAGAGAGTCAATGAGCAACACATGAAGCAATCATCGAGCTAGAACGTACATATACATGCAGACAAAGCCCTAGAACCCTAAAGGCCAAGAGAAGCCAGGCTCAAAAAGGCGATGCAGGGGCAAATAGGCAGCGTGCGTGGCAGTAGAGTCCCAAGGTAGACAAGCTGCTTGGCTTTGCGGACGCGCACGTACAACCACGTTGACTAGTTCAATGTAGAAAATGGAGAGGGAAAGGGCAACAGAAAGGAATCGTGCAGATTGATGTTGAGTTACATGTAAATCGAGATTGGCCAATTACTAAGAGAGGGAAAATCCGATGACTAACAAACACAACATCGAAGAGACATATAGGAATTTGCTATTTACTTTCTTGAATCTTGATCGCGTGGTTAGACCATTATATAATGCTTTCCTTGGTCCTGTAGAGCGCCTTTTTTGGAGTCGCAGAGCTGCTCCTTGCAATTCCCCAATTGCCATTATTCAACAATGTTGATATGTATAGGCAATATTTTGACTCAGACCGACCATGTCCCCTTGGAATAGTAACAAAACTCACAAAAGCTGCCCCCAAATGCACGATGTGCTTTTTTGGTACGACATACATCATCCTCATGATCCATATCCATGGCTCTAGCGTGAGTTGGATCGCGCTTTCAGAAGCAACGCGCGCTGTAGTGTTGCGTAAAGGCTTGTGTGTTTGAATCGCGCACGAGAATGGAGTCTTCTTTAAGCTGCATGACGGACCATCGTCCGCATATGCAGTTGTCGGTGTAGTCGATGTTGTTGTGACAATTTTGTCCGGGCTAGAATTCCGTACCGAGTGAGGAAGCGGCAAGGAGGACGATAATGCTGAAGACATTTATTATGATTGAACCTGAAATTCCGCTTAATAGGGATTCATTGATGGAGTAATATAATAGTTTAGTAACTCACCGGAAAAGGACGCAGATTTTAAATTGCTAGGAGATAGAACGGAGTATACGAAGGATGGCCATCGAAGAATATGAGGGCAGGAACTTTTATTTCCTTCTATAGGCACTATTTAAAAGTGCCACGTCGAATATTCAGCATCAGCGATTCCCACATAGTTGCAAAGCGGGGCCTATGTTTGCTTTTTTTCGCCCCACGGCTCTGTAAGGCACATATTTAGCCACCGCGCTGGATATGTGTTCCGAAGTGCAGATCCCTGGCGTCATTCTTGATAGCCGTGTCTAGCCTTCTTTGATCAGTGGATAGAGCTTGGTATGTCTTAATCAAAAACAAAAAAATTGGCGTCGTCGATTCAGCTCAGAGGGAGACTGAAACTATCATTAAATTAAACCATTAATCAGCAATTTAGCCTTATCCAGTGTACTGGTACATTATCAGGACTAGTGTAAGTAGTTTAGAATACTTTTATTTTATTTTATTTAGATATATATATGGATATACTTTTTTTAGATTTCTAAGAGAGATACAGAATAGTACAGTGTCTAAGGGTGGTGCTTAGGAGTGAAGGGCAGGACATTGGAAGGCTTCAATGAAGGAATTGTTGTTTGTAGACATTTCAAGGGCAGGTTTGCCGTAAGCTACAACAACCTTCTGCCCTTCGACCCCACTGGCACGATTCTCGTGCCTCCTGAAATAACATCGTTAGGAAAAGATAGGAGATCTAGCAATCTGGCTTGATCCGCGCCCACCCCCTTTTCTCACCTAGACATTCAAGGATTTAGGAGCATGAGCTCGAAAAAAAATTGGGAACAATGAGTTGATCTTTACTTATAAGGTTACTAGATCCTTGGGTGAGGCCTCACTCTTCTAGCAAATCAAGTATGTGACTCGATCTTGATCGAAGCTACACAGGTCATTACGCCTACTGCTAGGGATGGGACACCGGCGAACCTAATTGGTTAATGGAACCCTAGGGCGATGTCAATCATCCGGACTTAGCAGGTACCGAGATTCTCCGACAGCCAGTAACAGTCCTACGGAACCGACATTCATCCTAAACTCCGGCTTATCCTATGGTGTCGATCGTAGATTTCTTTTTCCCAGATTAATTATCTACAGCACTTTCCAAGCTTCTGTTATATGACGTATAGGTGTTGAGGAAGCATGCGTACTAGGAAATTCAGAGAAGGATTTTGTCAGAATTTTCGGAGTCTCCCTTTGTTTGGCCTATTTACACCACAGGAATCTAATATCTATTGGTTTCTACGAGAACCACATTACTACAACACTGACATATTGTAGTTACCAGTGGGTACGACACAGCCCTGCAGGAACTACCAGTGTAAGAGTTTGTATAATCGCGTCTGGAGCTAACGTTCGAGATATGATTTGTAAGAGTGTGGAATTAAAACATAGTTTGAATATAAATGCACTGTACCTAATGACATAGGCTTTTTGTAATCTCCACCATGAGCATAACCTGGCCCTGAATTTTTAATAAATTTTAGGGGCATGCTGCTGGTCGCGTCCATTTGTTTGTGGGGTGGACATTGCCGCTTGGTCGGAGGTCGCATTGAGTCCCTAAAAGGTGTCTAGAAGACGTCCAAGGATCTATATTTAACTATCAAACATTTCTCTTATCATGAGAATAAAACCTTTCAAAAGCCTCTCCGTATACTTTATTTACATTTTATGCTAGAAGCTGGTATTAGAAGTGAACATGCATCCTTGAAGCAAGGGATGTCGACTTGAAAGGGGGAATCTAGTTTCGAGTCAAATAACCCCCTTTTAACCTGAGGGTATAAAAGCGGAATGATCTCAGCTTTAATATTACCACCACTTTCATTTTTTCCAGCTGGAGCATCAGCACAATGTGGGAATACTACGAAGGAAAAGTCATCCTTATTACCGGAGGTTCCGGTTTCCTAGGCACTACTCTGGTCTACAGAGTTTTACAGAAGGCCCCCTTTTCCCATGTCTTCTTGCTCTGTAGAAAAAATCTCTCGTACGGGCCTTATCCATTTTTCCTTTTCAATGCTGGTGACATTCTAACTGACTTGGCGGTCTGGAAGGAACCTTCGTGAAACATGGAGTCAATGGCTACCGGAAGAGATCGTTCTCAAAATGCTAGATCCAAAAAGAGTCACCATCTTAGAGGGTGACATCATAAAGCCCGAGTGTGGATTGTCTGTGAGCTGTGTCAACATGTTAAGGGCTAAAGTCAACATAGTCGTGCATTGTGCTTCTTCCATCAGCCTGGCGCATCCGCTGGGGAGACTCTCTCAGAACATTATTGGTGCGACTGAAGGGTTGGCCAATTTCGCACTGCAGCTCACAAACCTAGAGCGTTTTGTCTATATCTCAACGGCATATACGAATACTCACCTCTTTCATGCGACACCCGAAGGAGATGTTCGAGTGGAGGAACAAATATACCAGCTTTCCGCTACGCCAAATGTACAGCTGGAATGGAGCGAGGTGCAGAAGAAGGGAACAAGTGTTGAATATCAATCGAACAATTTTCCATGGGCGTATGCATACGCAAAGCAATTGACTGAGCGGCTTCTCTGCGATATATTCTCTTGCACCGGAAAATCCGACAAGCTGCTCATTCTGCGACCATCTATCATTGGTCCGGCGCAGAGGTACCCGTACTCTGGGTTCAGCTTCCCACTCTCCACCCCTATGACTATATTCACTGCAGCAACCGCATTGTGGCCGTCCCTTTGGGCACGAATTTCCACCCGGTACAAGAGACCCGAGACAGAAGCGACGAATGACGAAGTACCAGTGGATGTGGTTGTCGACCGTCTTCTCACCCACTTAGCTTTCGGGACAATTGGCCCTATTCATGCTGTCAGCGGAGGTCGTGCTCGCCGTGAGCTTCATGACGTGTGGACCGAGGTATGTCAATTTCGACGATGGCCATGGGTTCCCCGCGTTGAATGGTTGGCGGATGATTGGCATTCAGACAAACAACATTTTGTTGTGCGTCAATATGTGATTTTGGGAACTTCCTTCTTGTTCTCTGACGACAAAACGACAATTTTGAGAGACAATCTAAGCGATAGAGATTTGCGAGAACTTGAACTTTTCACGCTTTCTGAGCGCGAGTCGCCTGATAGTTCCCTCAAAAAGCACCAGATATGGTACTGTATTAATCGGATTGGAAGAAGAAGTCTCCTGGCTCGGTGGGCGTCTGTATTGCTGTATCGGTCATATAGGCTCAAGGATATCAAAATGGAGATCGTGAGGAGATGTGCATGTTCTTAAAGGACTGCGAAATGCTGATCCCAAGCTTTGTTTTCCCTTTAGAATCCAATACTGTTGACCCTGAAAAATGATATAAATGAGACCTTCTTTCTATTCTAGTTCTGCTTTAAACAAAAAATGGATTCAGGTTTGTTGAACGAGTCTTTCAGAGCCGCGCATACTCTTTTTGCGAAGGAGCTGGAATTGAAGGATCACAGATATGCTCAAGCCATCGCCAAACCTCCGTGTGGAGTGAGCCATGAATGCAGAACCCAGATTTTTCTTTGTCCTTGGTGGTAATAATCAAGTCATGGTACTCCCATCCAAGATATGCAAAAACATCTATCACCGGTACATGAAAATCTGCATAGTAGGGTTTGACCCCGGGTCCAAATGATATGTCATACCAATTTTGATGCGCTGAAGAGGAAACTTGGATATTGGGGCGATTCGGGTTGAGATTGGCCGGGTGCAATGGCTGCTTGGGCCCCATCGATTCATATCTCTCACGGAAGAGCTCTAAGCATTCAGGGCTACGGGCGGCACAAACAGCATGGCGGACCTGAATCGCAAGCACGATGAGCTGGTCATCACCATGAGGCTTATCAATTCCCTGGGCCAGGGGAATAGATATTGGCCAGAAAGTGTTGTGCAATGGTGCCGGCTTTTCCAGATGATGGTTGAAGTTGTAAATGAAGCCTATAGGTGTAGGGGACAGGCCTGGGAACGCTTTAATTGTGGCCTATTAGAAGCATTAGCCACTTCTCAATAAATTGTCTTTGGAGAAATTTTTGTACCTGCGCAATTATTGCCATGAGGAGGTCGTGTCTAGTCACGTGAACCTTTTGCTTCCTGGCGAGGTCGTCTAGCCGATCTAGAATAGCGCTAGCGATGTGCATAGTTCGAAGTGATCGTTGACTTCGTGAACAGACTCGAGCTAGCCATTGAGCTATGCCATAAAGAAGCATTCTGCTCACACCCGTGGCCCATTGTCGACATGATGCATGATATAACTGCTCAGAAAGCGGATCAAGAGACTCACGTCCCCGCTTGGGCGCCTGAAACAGAATCTCAGACGGTCGCGCCTCCTCAATAGGCTCAATTGTCTCACCCCGAAGTAGAGAGGCAAATGCAGACACAATACGATGGACACCTTTGTGGGGATAAGCAAATTAGGAAACCGAGCTTAATAGAAGATGGCACGTTACCTGCACCGTCGCAAAATACATGCTGGACGGTGAACTTCAAAAGACACCCATCTTGGAAATGTACAGCTTGCAAACGACATACCGGAGGAAATATTTGGGACTTCAACGACTGAGGAAACTGAAATTGTTTCTCCAAGTCTCGTCGTTCTAGCTCGCCGAGATCTTCCTTGGCTAAGCAGTCGAAGGGAATATGTTCCGCCAACGGGGCGTCCACAATCTTGGACTGCCAGTGCATAGTGGTGTCACCCGTTGGAAAGGCACTGGTGCGCTATAAAGATCATGAACTAGGTATGCAGATAGCATTTTTTAAATAAATCTTACCGAAAAATTTATATTTCTTTGGAGTATTGGCCAGGCCGACAAGAGTTGATCAAAAGCATCTTTTAGGCGAAATGGCTCCATTCTTACTCGAAAAACGTATAACGCGATTTCCTGTAGGAATCGAGGACCAGCAGTGTCAACGCAGTGGAAATCCATATCAAAGGATCTGACGCAATACTGCTTCCAACAAATAGAATGCTCTTAACAGCTAGTGAAGTGGGAGTAATGGGGGTGGGAGTGAGGGTACATATTACCTATGGATTCAAGTGCAGATTGGTCAGACAGATCATTCCACATTAAAACTCAATCGATCGATATTGTACCATTTGCATTAAGCGGCGCAATTGATGTACAAGCTATGTAATCCCTTGCATTAAGAGGTCAATATGTTTAGATGCTATGCCATTCCTTGCAGCATTGACAATTGCCAGCTCATCCCTTCTTTGGTCAGCTCCTAATTTAAGTCCGCACAGACCGCAGATTGGGTGCGCCAGAGTATTAGTCAAACGATTATTTTCTTGTCACAGGAAGGTCACCACTTTGTCAAAATTCATTACCGTTGCCATTCACTTCTCATTCTTTATACCATCCGTGCCGAGATGCGACCATATCAGTTTTCTATTATATTCGCCGCATGCCTTAGTGTGTTTCCAACGGTGGGTGCTGTTTTAGGTACCTCTTGCCTTGGTCTAGCCAAAACCATGAACAAAGTTCCTGGTCTTTTCGTGGAACACTCGCAAAAGATCGTGTGTGACGCTGGTTGTGAGCCGAAATTAGACCTCTGGGACAAATTCACGAAGCCAGAGGTTATTGAGCCTCTAGTAGCAGATGGGGCTGCCTACTGCGGAGTTCCAGAGGCCACGGACGCGGCTATTGATGCATTTGATCAGTTCTTTCAAGCCATCAAGACCAAGTGTGGGGAAAAACTTGGAGCTAGCCATCTATGCGACCACCCCGAGCGATTGCAACCTTTTATGGACTGCGTTCAGGCGAACACATTCTCGAGCTCGATCAGTTCGCTACCCAAACTGCTTCCATATATGTCAGAGGGCATGTGTAAGAGTATGAAAGAGTATCTTTTGAGCGACCAGCTATGGGACCACGATTTTCCTAGGCATGGGTCCAAATATGTCCACCAATGCCATGAGCTATGATGGTGAGACATCCACATTGGTAAAATGAGATTGTAAGTTTCCAGCAAGCACTGATAACCTTTACATTACGGATAAGAGCTGATAAAAGCTAGGTACAATTTCTTTCGTCCAATTTATGACTCCTTTGTTCGGCCTTACAGCGTGCCTGGGGTGTCTTACATGCCTTGGTCTGTCTGGATTCTTCTCTCCTACATAGATGGGAACACACAGGAGGACAACTATTTAGAATATGACTTCACTTTTCGGTTTCTTTGCTTCATGGTTCAGCTTCAAGGATAAAGCGATACCCACCTACAGAGCGTGTCCACTACGCCTTCCAGAGTCTTTGGGAGTGTGTGTGTTGCTGGTGCCCAGTCTGCATTGCCAGACAGCCATCGAGCCATCCCCATTTCAATAGTCACCTGACAGTTTGTCTACCAAGCGATACCCTTCAAAATTAAGTCACTTAGAGACACGATTCTCCACATTCCTAGTGAGGCCGTGTCTCCATTCATTATCTTATGTGAGAGCATTTGGTGGGCAAGAACAAATGTCGGAATGTTTATATGCAACCAATCAACGATATCAAAAGCTCTGTCTCTGTATTACCCCTGATTCTGCCAATTTATAGGGGGATTCTAGATTACATAAGTAATAAACATGAAGGATAATTGTATCTCCGGTCCACCGCGGTATTCGTATTAACAACAAACTATTGCCTGATCCGCGAGGCAAACGAGGGTGTGCTGCTTGGAGGTGAGGAGGTTGGCCCCCAACTGCTAACATAAGCAGCCAAGAGCGACTCTGCAACTATACGAGTCACATCACAATGTGCACTCAAGTGTTGAGGCCATTCAACCTAGGCCAGACAGTTGCATTTCGGATCTATAACCTTTCTGAAGACATAGCGGCAATACGCCGATTTCCTAATGTTGTCCTAGGCTAATAGTACGGTTGTTGCGGATCATGTCTGACACTCTTATTCCTAGGACTCTAATCCCAACCCGGTTGGTTGCCTTTTTGTATATCGGATATGTAAATTAAAAGACGTCAAATTCAATTGGGTCTCAAATTAGTTAAATATAAATTATTGAATTTGTAAATATAAAAGGAAGGAAAGTTACTATATCTAAAAAGGCGCTTTCAACACTCAACCGAAAATTGGTCAATTGCCAAATATGGAAGACCACTGATAGAAGTCATTTTGAAAGTCAAGGTAGTCATCGTTGAGCTAGCCACAAAGCTAGTCGAGAACTCCCGCCATATACCCTTGGCCACAGTGCCTAGGTTAATTGTATAAGTGTTGGAATTGGCATTATCCAAGTGACAAGAGAACGTGGACGATACGGTTGCTCCTGTTGTAAAATACCACCAAGATAAAGTGTAGGTATTACCCACAACGGTGTTGATGGATTGTACAATGCTTCCGATACCGGTGTTGAGGACGCGGGAGTAGAGCAGGAGGGCATAGGGGGTGTTGTAGCCAGTCGTGTATGACATTGCAACAAGGCCAGTACTGCTAAAGGCCCAGGGAGTGAGGACACCGCCAGAAGCGCCGGTTGAGTCACCGCCATCGAAATTTGGGTTCTGGATCAAGTTGACACCGCAAGTTGCTGCAGCGACGGCTGCAGTGACAGTTGTGGTTATCGTGGTCGTCTCGGTGATGGTTGTTTCAACGGTGCTTGTGATATCCACGGCTGTTGCGACGGTGGTTTGAATAGTTGTGGGCTCCGTGATTGTGACGGTGATTGAATAAGTGGAAGTGACAGTCGAGGTTTCCGTTACATCAACGGTGACACTTGCAGTCTCGGTTGCAGTGACGGATGCTGTTATGGTAGCAGTTATATCAGAAGTTTGAGTGATTGTCTGACTATCCGTGACGTCTAGCGTTTCTGTAGTGATTTGAGTCGTGGTAATATCCGTGGTGGTCGTTTCGGTGATATCCGTTGTAATATCCTGTGTCGTCTGAGCTGTTTCTAGAGTCGTCACGTCCACAGTGGTCGTGGAACTCAAATCAGTCGTGACAGGTATTGTGACATAGTCCGTCACGGTTGCTGTCACATCCTGTGTCATCGTAGCTGTCTCGATATCTGTGGCAGTCGTAGTAGAGAAGGCTGTGACAGTCACAGTCTTGTCCTGCACCGATGTGGAAGAAACGGTCACATCGCTGGTCAGGACATGGCCCACTAGATGAGTGACCGTATTGGTCACATATGCGGTGACAGTCTTGGTGCTATCAATCGTTTGTGTTCTCCCGCGTATGATATGGGTGGTCAAAACCATGGTCTCCTGATATTAATGTTAGAATCTTAACACCATGTCAACCCACTTCCATCGAGAATTGAACATACAGTAGGTCGAGCGGCAGCCTTGGTGATATACACCGTCTCCTGAGCCCTTTCTCGAAGCAGATCGGAGCATGCAGTGGATAGGTAGTCCTCGGGAATCGTCCTCAGAGCCGGAGGAGTAGGGAAAGCTGGTTGCCCGGCATACTCATGTCGCTTTTTCACAGTCACAATAGCGGTCTTGGTAACGGCAGTGCCGTCAACAGTCACGACATTAGTTGAAGTTAAAGTCTCGTAATCGGTCACTGTTGCAAGAATGGTATTGGTCTCAGTCTCAAAGTCCGTCTGGAAATTTGTCACTGGCAGAGTTGTGGTAGCGGTAATATCGACTTCTTGAGTCGTCGTAGAAGAAATAGTGTCCGTTTCTGTTTCCGTGGCAGTCTCAGTAAAAGAAATTGTAACTGTCTCAGTATGAACGTTGGTTGTAGTCGCTGTGAGCAGATCGATAACGGTATTGCTAGCGAAAACTGTCTGAGCATCCGTAATGTACACAGTAACAACTGAAGTGAAGTAATCACTGATGGTATTGGTCTGAGTCTGAGTCGTGGTTTCCATGGTGACCTCAGTGACCACAGCAGTCGCATAGTCGGTGATGGTCTGGCTGATAGTACTCGTATCAGTGCTCGTCAATGATCTGGTGATTGTCTCCCACACAGGTTCGGCCAGGAAATCGGTTGAGACAGAGGTAGAGGTAACCGAAACCAGATGCGTACTTTGGACAGGCACGGTATGGGTAACTGTAGTAAGGCCTGTTGTCGTTTTGGTAACCGGACGCACTGTCGTCGAGGTGACGGACTTCGTTTTCGTGTTTGTCACCGGGCGAGGATGGTCCGTAATCGTATGGGTAACTTTGACGATGGTTGGAGCGGGAATCACAGTCTTGGTTAAAGTTACTGCTTCGCAACTGGAATGAATCAACTGGCGACAGAAGGACGGTCCTTCGGGAATGTGTTGAATCAATTGAACAAGCTCTTCGCCAAAATCTTCGCCAAAATCGCAGTCATAGTCATCCTCTGCTTCATAGGGGGGCTGAGGCAAAGCCACCGCAGTTGCTGCTAGCGCGAGCAACAGCGACTTCCAGATTCCCATCGCTGCTTGCAAATGTCTTGAGAAGGCACATCCTGAAGGTCATGGCCCCGTGGATTTATATCACGCTGGATCCATTAGCTCAGTCTTGTCATCGTGGCGAACTACCTAGGGCTGGAACGGAAAAGTGCATCTTGAAGCGACATGGAGCCTTTTTTAGCGACCATGAACCCCCAGGTTGGAAATGGGGCCTGTTGGCGCAAGAACTAGTGAGGCGCTAAGTTGGTGGTGGTGGAAGTTTGGGGAGAAACAAGCGACCGCGCCACTAAGATCGCGCCCCCGTCTCAGGTACCACTCGGCGAATCCCGCACCAGCAAGTTTAAAAGCTGGGTTGATTATCACGTTGACAGACCGAACATGACAAATCTCGACGACGGGGATTCCGGTTCAATTGTTTGGCGACCAGTCTCGTAGGAAATCGATCACATCGCGCCTAGCACAGCAACCCAATTCTAACGGAATAATTGACGAGATGCTCGATCGGATCTACTGAGCCATGATCAGCATCTGATAGCATGATCCTTGGTCAGATTTACCTTTACACCCTTCCAATCACTCGATAAGTAACATGGCGGATCCTGAAACTACCACGATGGCCTGTGACCTGCTTTCTTGAACGAACCCAAATCAGACCCAACATTAAGGCTTTAATTCATCTTCCGATGTCGTATCGGATATATTCGTGTCTATTAAATCGAAGCGACTGCTTGAAATACTCGCTTCGGAATACACATTGTCACTATACTTCCTGTGACTCAACTAATGGCCTGTCCCTCCTCACGCCTTCCCCCTCTATCACCGAAGACCACACCTGGCCTCTCGTCACACAGAACAGAAACATCCATCTAGCTTCATCATCTCTTTTCTCGCCCTATTCCGCTCTCCATCTCTTTGTGAGGCTAGGCGTCAAAGCCCTTTGAAATTTCCTCATCTGTTCATCAGAAGACCTGCCGATCTCCCCATCCAGCACAGCAGCTGAACATCAACCGCCCCTTCACCCCCTTCTCTCCCTGCCCAGTCAAACATATCGTTTTCATCAAAGTTGACAGCTAAACGCGTTTGCTTCTGTTCCAGATTTCCTTTCTTGGCGACCGCAAAATAAGGAGAACATTCACAACTCGAACAGCCTTTGTCAAAGGGCCCAAGAAGCCTGGACTCGCTTAATACAAGAACCCCAAATCATCTTCCAGTGGTTTGACATCAAAATCGGCATAGATTGCTGCCTTGGTGGCCGATGGCTGGTTAAGAAGGGGGTTATGGTACTTGGGTCCTCATGCCACTCTTCCTCGAAAGTATCCAGAATCAGATGAGGCTACGATGCGAGATTATAGTGGGGTTTACAGCCTTTCTGGTCCCCATAGATCAGAAAAGGCAGCTCGAACAGGCCAGAATGCTCCTCGATGAAAACAAGGACTTTCATGATGGTTCTAAGAAAATAATCAGAGATCACCTGGCCTAATTTCAATCATGGCATTGATCCAACAGCTCAAGGTCAGCCGCCTACTGAACTATTGCCATTCTAGTCAGCCCTAGAAGCATGGAGAGCCAGCTTTCCCAGCCGGGCTTGTAGCTTGACAACCCAGTACACTGCTTGTAGTGACAAAGAGGATTGCCTATTTAGAGCAGGAGACTTGAAGTAAGAGCCGAGTTCAATAAACTTTCGCCGGATCAATGCTGTCGAATATAAAGCACTCGGGAAAAAGTATTATTACATCAAGCAATATGTCCAAAAAAAAGATATTTATGCGATTGGGCCTGAATGCCTATTCAAAGATGCCTTGGTGCTTTCCAGCTATATATACTTAAGCAACATATAATAAAAGAAGAATAAAAACAACATGTAGTGAAGATCAAAAGAGAAAATGACGTGTATGCTATGTACAATACAATATCAGGCCTCAAAAGGGGGTATATAAGACAGCTTGAGAAGTGAACTGAACAGAGGAGATGCCAAGACAGGTATCGTCGTTTTGAGATGATTAGCAGGAATCTAGAAAAGAAATCCGTAGTATTCCAGAAGCGTATGCATGCAAGGGTATTGGATGCGGGCATGGTATTGACAAGAAGTAAATGCGGGCAATGTAGATTTTTGTAGACACCATTATCGTGAATGGGTTTGCGGTGGTATATTTGTTATACAATGCATAGGTAGAATGTTGAAAGAGAATCCAAGTGTGCTGAACGGTGCGGAAAGAGATTGTTCAAAGTCGTGTCTTATATGTATGGATGGATCATTGAAGGATCATGCGAGGTTGGCGAGCGGCAGTCTTGGTAAGCTTCCCGGATAGTGGGGGTGGAGCCTCCTCGAGGTTGCTTTTTCGTCGGTCCTGAACGTGCTCACGGACCTGCTGTGAGCCGTAGAACCGGCTGGTATCCAAGGTGTTGGCTGGTCGAGGAATTTGCGCCTGTGCCTGTGTCTGTACCTGTGCCTGTGCCTGTGTCTGTACCTGTGCCTGTGCCTGTGCCTGTGCCTGAGCCTGTGCCTGAGCCTGTGCCTGAGCCTGCGCCTGAGCCTGCGCCTGAGCCTGCGCCTGCGCGGCAATGGAGGGAGGGATCTTAGGGAGTGGACAGTTTGGTGGTGGAGCTGGAGGGCCCATCGATAGGCCCAGGCCTGGCATGCTTTTTCGGCGAGACATGGTATAGGGGGGTTGGGCCTCGGTAGGTAAGGGAGGCAGGGGTTGCCTTGGAGCAGGCTCAGGTGGAGGAAGCGGTGGGGACATGGTAGGCAGTTGTGGCTCTGGGTACATCTGGATGCCGAGTCCAGAGCGACCAGCCAAGCTCAGAGGCCTGGAAGGCGGAGAACTCGTGTCGGAGGGACGAGGCACGCGGGAGAAATTCGGGGCTGGTTGTCCCGAGCGCACCATTCTTGATAGAGCGTCCTCGGAATTGAATGTCCGTAAGGTCCGCCTACTAGTTGCATCGAGAGGCATAAAGGATGGCTCCGAAGATTCTGTGTGGCGCGAACTTGCCACGCTGTAGGTGGGCGACTGCGGGGGAGAGGAAATGTTTGAGATGTTGAACTCGGTGCTCTCGCCTCGCCAAAGAACATCAGCCACCGATGAGGGCTGGCTACTGACGATAGGTGTTGGTCCCGGCCTCGCCGCAAACTTTTTGCTGAATAAAGGAACGCTGAAGTTGGGGGCTGGCGGAGAGGCGCTTCGAGCCAATTCTTCGGGGAAGGCGGCTGGTGGTGGACTGGGTTGAATATGTTCTTCACGAGAAGGGTTTGGAATAGCCTGTGGCTGAGACATGAAATGAGATTGGCGCTTGCTCTGGCTGGATGTCGGTGGACTGCGTGTATATGTTGACTCCATATCACGGGGCAAGGGAACTTCTGGTGGAGATCCCGGAGGGTCTGCAGATGTGAATGATGATCCGTGCGCATCGGAGGTGTTTGTAGACATGGATCCAGCTCGGGAGTCAATTATCGAACGGCGGTTCATAGAAACATACGAGCTTCGCCGAGACTGGTGTGTCATCCATCCAACAGATGTACCATCATCCTCCTCATGAGGAGATTGCAGGTTCACCGGTTGCAGGAATAGACTTGAAACGCGATGTGGGTCTTTCTTCACCATTTGTCGAACACTTAACTTGGGCCGAAGTTGAGGCTCAGGCATCTCGTCGTCTTCAGAGTGTTTCTCGGTCGTGAGTTTAGGCCCTCCACGAGCTTCAATCTCCGTCCGAACCACCGTCAGCCAAGAGATCATCGACTCGGGGTTATCGAAAACCAAGAGGAAGCTGCTTGCCAACCGTCGCGTGTTGGATCGGTGAAAGCCGAAGCGCAACCGGGGTTTGGAAGGCTCCAGTGGCTCAGGGCCGGCGTCTGCCGTCGAATTTTGAGAAATCTGAAGGACCCAGTGTTTTCCCGGGATGGCATCACTAGCAAAAGCTACCGATTTGGGGCCCAAGGGCAGCATCCTCTCCGGAGGGCGGTCGTTTTTGCCTTCGCCTGCGTACTGAAGGATATAGCCGGTCGTAGAAAGCACATATATTTTCTTTGTCCATTCGACCTTGTTTATAGTACTTGATAGAGTTCGTGTATGTTTCCGCTCTTTTTGCTCCTTCTTTTTGCGTGCTGCGTCAGCCGCCTCGTCTTGTGCTAGCGAGTTGCTTCGGCCACTGTCCAATTCACTTTTCCCCATTGTCGCATGAAGACGCAGAATCGAATCTGCGGAAATCGCCGGCGCAGCAAGACACTCATGCTTGAACGATTGTGGGTAGGCCTGGAATAAAGGCGGTGGCTTCCAACCATACTGTTCCTGTGAGCGTAGTTTAGGATCGACAACTGGCTGCGGTGGTGGGCGCGTGGTTTTCAATGTCACAGGTTGTTTTGGCGTCGTTGGGGAGGTCAAGGTGATATTTGAAACTACTGTCTGTGGTGACAAGATGTCGGGAGAAAGAGGGGTGTCGGCTACGGTGACTGTTTGTGTTGCGGATTGTGCCTCCTCAATCTCGGCCAATTTGTTATTGGGGGGCGCCGCGCGGGTAGATTTGTCGCGTGTGAACAGATTGCGCAGACTGCTCTTGGAAGTTTGTCGTCTGACTGGGCTCTGGAGAGGAATTGGCTCGCCGGAGCCATTGGTGCTTGGGTAGTCATGTGGGCGCGGACGCTGCAATCGCGACGGCGCTTTAGTTGGCTCACCTGCTGTCGGGCGGCTGAAGTTGGTCTGTAACGGTGCGAGCCGATGCCCTCTGCGCTCACCAAATGAAGGCGGCACAGAGTCAGGAGTCATGGACATGTCGCCCATGTCCGGGGTCGTCTTAATTGCCGTCAGCAACAGCGCATCGCCGTTAGAAGGTGAGTGAAAAGGAGGTTGATCAACGAGGTAATGATCATCGACTGGGCAACGTGGGCGCGCACGAGGCGAACGTCATCGGCGAATTATGAGAACATGAGGAGAAATCAAGGAACCAGGCACAAGGAAAGGAAAGGAGAAATTAGCGAGTGGGGGGGGGGAATCGTGGGTTCTGGTTCCCGAACGTGATGTGAAGTGCATAAAAATGAGGCCCGCTAAAAATTGCGCCCCCGTGGGCCTTTCATTTCACGCTCTTCTTACTATACAAAAGTACCGAGTATGAAATGACCGGTGTCTACAGCCTATAAATTTATACTCTACAGCCTACAGCCTACAGCCTACGCAGTCCTGCCTCACGGCTAACTCCAATCTGCAGAAATCTCGAACCTCAAGTGGAGCTTAACGTCCTACTCCACTGAGTTTCAACTTTCCTCTCTCGGTAAACAGTCGTGCCACTGTATAGGACTCGCCTCACTTCTCTGGCCTCACTTTGGCCCACACTTCAATCCTTGTTCGGGCTCAACACATCCCATCAGCCCGGCCCCATTGTCACAATGCTGAGCCATCGCAATATCCTTGACCGTGAGGCCGCGCGGGCGATGAGTAGTCCAGTGGACATCGACCGAGCCGATCCGCTGCACGCATTAGCTGAATTTTGGACTTGATCTCTCGTTACAGTGCCTACTTACCACAGTCATAGTAGGGTGGTGCTTCTTCGCTGAGCTTTCCGATGCGATCAGGTTCACGAAGGACTGCACGAGTCAGTTCCAAAGGGAAGATTGCGCTTTCAACGAGGCTACTCACTACGGCCTTGAAGTAGCTTTTGAAATGGAATGTCTTGGTCACACCCATTCCGTCCGTGTCCAGTGCCCACCCTTGTTGCTGCAGTGCTGCAGTGTCCGATCCGAGCTGCTGCGAGTCTTCACCCTCTGCAAAGCGAGGTGTCGGCGCGTTGGAGGCCATTCGGAGCTGGGAGGCGACGGATAACAGTCGGGGTGCAGGTGCAAAGACGGGTCTTTGCAGGGCGAATTTTCCGAGACGCAGGGCGGGGAGGCTTGCCATGGCTGCAGCTGCTGCAGTTCGGAGCTGAGTGCTTGCGAGTTGCGCCGATTCTCAGTTCCGGTGCACGGACCAGTTTGCTATCTTATCGGTGTTTACTTGGAGTAAATTGCACCACGTTCAAACACGTCAATTGGAGACGCGAGGTAACTGTCTCCACTACTGTCAATTGACTTAGTGCACACTGTATCTATAGGATCTGACTGTTGGGGTTTTGGCCCCTTCGATATCGAGCAAACTTCCGTTACTACACATCCATTTCCGAAAAGGGTTGGTACTAACAGGCGAGCGTATAGCGGAGTGACTAATATATGGATGAACATCTCAGAGAACACTCAGCAGCATTGAGATATCAGATATGGCTTGTGTATGTCTAGTGTGGGGTGACGCTCAAGAATAATGCATGGGGATAAAAGCCGGTCGCTAGGGTCCACAGGAGCAATGGGGCCCACTGTCGCCCACCGAAAAGATGATGTTTCCTATAATATGATATTCACATCATTTATCTGCAATCGTACCATCGTGTGATATCTCAGAACCGGGGAAAGTATAACAGCGCGAAATTGGCCCGAGAACTTTGCGACGCAGAATCATGGATGGCAGCCATCTTCTTCTCCAGGGCCAGCGGACGTAAGCCGTCGATTAGAGAACTCTCCGAGGAAACGAGATTAGAGAACCAAGACATTCCTTATCTCAGTCTGTATGATCTATACCAAATTCGTGGACTGTATTCAAGGTTTCGTCTAAAATATGCCCCATAAGAATCAACTATTCACGCTTGGAAGTCAAGTCATGTAGAGAAGTGTGGTCAGCCGGATCCTCCGGGAACCATGAAGAGAAGAACGAAAATAGCCCATTATATCCCTGGACTTGCTTTGGATAAAATTGGCTACCAATTCGTCTCGCGGGCCGGTCTTTTGTAGAAGCCGCTCAGCTGGCCTCGGTCGCTATACAGCATCGAATGCATGCCAAACGAGAAGATAATAATGGATCTATAGTAGCGCAGGCCAGGATCAACATTATTAAGGAATCAATCATCACAGTCAAAGCAACCCAATAGGGGCTATAGCATCGCATTGTATTATAGTCTTCGGGGGCCTATATGCATCTGGATAACTCACTAATTAATTGTTGATTAGTCACTGACCGTTAAGCCTGAGCTTGTAATCTTTTATATAAGCGGTGGCAGTTCAGGAAAGAAACCCCTACCTAGCGATCCATTGCATATGTATAGCAGTTTCGTGTACAGTCCGCTAAATGCATTTGATCTGGTAGTGAATACAGATTGAAGATTGTTCGGAAGATGCATTTACATCTTGACGCTTACCCGCACGAAAGTAAACGACGTGGTTCGGACTGGAATGAATGCAAGGACGATATAAGGGCACATTACTGATAGAATTCGCTATGCAAGTAAACGAAAAGGTATGCAAGAGACTGTGCAGGTCAGATCGGTAGGTAATAGGTGTGTTCATCGTTGCGAGGACCGTAAGTACGGCTCGAGTCTTTGACTTGTTTGCATTCCTAGGACTGCCAATGCATCACGAGTTCCATATACATTACTATGGAACGCCTCGTTCATGTAACTGCGACAGTCTTCATTAATATGCATACGCGTAACAAGGTGGCCTCGCTAGCACCCTAGTAAATGCCACCGACCACTCTAGCCTGCGCCACAATATTCAAGACTTTTCCCCGGAATTGGCCAAATCACTTGACCAACCCTGAATACTACATTGCCACTGAACCATTCACTAGAACGGGACAATGGTTGCCGGATATCTACCAAGCCACGCGAGCTCTCCGCACAAGTCGCCGATTCGATCGTGGAGACGATCCACTGTTCCGGCCCCCGGGGCCCCATTTCATCCCCGAGTGCTACTACGGCCTACCCCAACTATTACATCTAGAGAGACCTGGAGAAAAAATGTAACAGAACATGAACATATCATTGGATTAGTCAGCTAAAGTATACAATTCGTGACCTGTATCCGCGCCTCGCAAAAGTCCAGTAGCGTACATGACATCCCCAGTTTGTAAATCTCGACTTTTGCGCGGTCAAAGCAGAGAAAAACATCATTCTCAGACCAAACGCCTTGCGATACTATCGTTGGCACCGTAAATGTGCGAGGGTCCGTAGGGTATTAATCATGCAGTACAATCAGATAACAGCCGACCGGTAAAAAAAAATAATTAGAGTCCGCCACGGCCAGCGCAAGGATTCGTGCGATTGAAGACATGCACAGAGAAGTGAAAAGAAATGGAAACGATGATTATTTCCAGCGAGAAGGGCTCAACCCCGCTCGTCATCGATTTGACTGCAGGTCCCTATATCGGTTTCAGACACCCTTTTCGGCAGCAACCAAACTGTTGCGGCGGGAGTTGGCCCGCGAGTTGACGCGGGAGTTGACGCGGGAGCCCGGGCGGCTGCCCATGGCTTGCCGCATGCGGAGATCCTGCGCGGATCGAGCGTACGAGTTCGCACGCGACGCCATTGGGACCTTGGATCCACGACGGCTCGCAATGTGCGCGTCGTGCCGAGCCTCCGAGAGTTGCTGAGCGAAGGGGGAGCGCTTGCGGAGACTCGGGCCTTTCCAGTAGATCACGTAGACTGCAATGACCAACACAAGAGAGATACAAACTAGAGATCATGTTAGCATTGTAATCCATATTTCCCCGTAATGATTGAACGTACACAGAATCGTGGAAGCATATTCGAGGTGGTATTTGCCGCCGATATTGGTGAAGAAAGGTGTAGCCGGGATGGTAAGCACACCAGCCAGGAAGTCGCGAGACCATCCGTTGCCGCCGGTTGCGGAAGCAGAGTAAGGGCCGTAGGCACAGATCATGTAATCGATGGTAGCCATGTAGATGGCATAGTTGGCAATGCCAATAATGGCAGCAAAGATCATGGAACCAATCCAGTGGCACTGGGGCAAACTGGTCCAGGCGAAGCCAATGAGGCCAATGGGCAGGCAGGGCGCGGTATACAGCAGCCACCACAGACGAGACTCGTACTGGGCGCGTTCACTTTCCGGGTTATCGCGTCGCTCCTTAACGTTGCGGCGGATAATGGGGAACCACGAGAACCAAGCGATAAAGTATCCGATGACGATAGGAATGAAAGCCAGACCCTTCTGCCAGGTGTTGAAACCCCACTGTCCGTAGACCAGAGACAGCGACTGAATGAACATGAAAATCAGAGCATCACTGAAACCGCTCAACAAAGAGAGGGTCAATACGATGGGCTCGGTCAGGAACATGCGGAAAGGACGGATCCAGGTGAGCATGAGCTCACGCGGGGGGAAGCGTTGGCGGAAAGACATGCCCTCAGTAGGGCCCACAATGTTGGGGTGCTCGCCGCTCTTGCGCATCTTCTTCGCAATGCGGTCCATCAGGACAGTGGTTCGAGTTTCGGGGACAATAAAAAAGTGCATGATCTGAACGAAGCCGCCAAAGATCAACTGAATCCAAATGTTCCAGCGCCAGGGAAGGTAAGCCTCAACGAAACCACCGATGACAGGACCGAGGACTGAACCACCGACGGAAGAAAAGACGACGGCCGCAACAGCGTACTGTTGAGTGTCGGCTTCCCAAAGGTCCGCAATCATACCCAAAGTCACCGAGCCACCGGCGGAAGAAAGACCACCGAGGGCACGGCCAACCATGATGGAGGCGAAGTTGGGGGCAAGAGCCACGGGCAGCTGGAAGACATTCACGAGAAAGAGAGAGGCCTGGAGAATAGGTTTGCGACCCAATTCCTCACTCCATGGAGCCCACAGCTCACAGCCGAAAGCGTACAGCACAAGGAAAATCATGGCACCACAACGCGCCGCCTGCATGGAGACACCAAACTCCTCAGAGATACCCGACAAACCATTCGAGTATAGCGAGGTATTGAAATTCATGGAGACTTGTACCAAGAAAATCACACTGATGATCATCCACTTGCGCCTCTCGCTGAAAGAGTATCCGAGCTGGTCGTAGCACATGTCCTCCGTGAGCTCGACCCGTCCGGATGGGGTGGTGGGCTCGAGTTCGTACTGCCCATCGGTTTCCGACTTCTCGCTCATGACGGCGTGAATTTGATCGGCCTGGGTGGTGCTAGAGGCCTCGGAGGACTGCACGGGATCACGGCCGCCGCCGACCTTGTCGGGGACGCTGGCCATGCTGAACTATTGATAGTTAGTATAGGCATGGTCTGCGATGGGACCATGTACGACTCACGGTTGATTAGATGTTTGGGGTACAAGCAAAGGGCCCAGAAATGGAGAGAAGAAGAGAAGAGAAGAGGAGAATGGAGAAGAGGAAGAGGAAGAAGGAAACAATAAATATAAAAGCAGGAAACAGAAGGCGCGATGCGGCCAGTCAAATGCGGTCATTCCACTTCCCTGGTTCCATCCTCCGATTCTTTTTTCTGTAATTTATTTTATTTTATTATTTTATTATTTTCTTTTTATTTCTCACTACAAACCCCAGTTTCCATTTCCCGGTTTTAGTCACCCACTATCTCCAGACTTTGACCTCGTCCCCGACTTTCCGTTTCTTCCCTAAAGCGGCTTGCCGACTGATCGTTTCCCCGTGGGTATTTACCCACTTTTTTTTGGGACCCCATCCCCGGCCTTCCCAATTCCCCAAGTTTTCTACGATGTTACATGCACTCTACAGCTACAGCAGAATACCATGCACCTAGTCTGCAGGATTTGGGGGATGCGCGCACGCGCACGGGCGCAAGACCCTACGTACCCCGGCCAGCATTTGCCTCTACATAAGCCTCTGCATAGGCCCTCGATGACGCCGGGAAAAGACGCCCCACGGGCAGCGCATGCACCGCAATTGGGCACCCGGATCCACTCCGGCAACGTTGACCGATGACCGATGGTCGAAGGCTGAATCCTTGGTCAAGAAAAGCAGAAGGGAGCGGGAGAACACCGAGACTACCGTTTTGGGTCCGACTCGGGTCAGAATGTCCGCATCAGGGCGATGACCTCTAATGCATCCGGAACAGGATCTAGACCTCTGTTCCATTCCGCGATGCTTGCAACATCGAATCTACAGTACCCATGCGATGTCGAGAGGTCGAGATGTCGAGATCTCGTGTGGCGCCCCGCGAAGCAAGGAGCGCAAATTCTGCCCCGGGTCGCATGGGTCCCCGACGATCCGGGACCTAGGAACGATGACGCAGGTCAGCCTGGTTCTTTTTAGTCAACTGAACCGCCATTATTTGACTACGCTTCGCCCTTCACACTAGGCTTCGGCATGGCCGCCCTAGACCGATATTTTCATAGTCCAGGAAACGGTGGCGGGCCGGGGGGTGACGTCAAGATGGCGGACCAACACCTATCATAACCAGAGGCTTGCCGTGGTTCGATCGAAAATCAGGAGCAGGCACAGGGTTAATCCGCCATGGCGTGGTCCATTACGGGCGTGGCGCCAGCCCACTGTCATCCAGGACAGGGGTCCAGAACTCTTGTTCCGACTGCGGGTTCGGGATACTCTTACTCTGTGGGTGTGTGTTTTTGTGGTCCCAGGGGGACCTCGGACCGGCTTCTCATCGAGACCCGCCCATTCGACCTGCTCTGTAGTCCTCCGTTTTCCAGAATTCGAATAGAATGGAAGGCCGTCAAATGTCAACCACATGAGGGCTGATCTCAATCCCTTGCAGACCCCAACCCCTGGGAGCCCGTGCGTTGTCGATACTTTTGGCCCCCTTGTTCCATGGGGGAGCATCTGCTCAGTCATTTATTGTTCTTTGGACCCCCAAGGAGAGAAAAGGTTGAACAAACAGAGTTTTCCTAGTTTTGCCTGGTCCACCGAGTCGCATTGCCGAGGGTGGACCACATCTTGTGTACGTTGTCCGGAAACAACCAAGGCCGCAACCCGGAGAATGTGCGATGCCACTTTCGCGGTCGCGCATAGACATCGTCAAGGATCTCCCGGATCTCAAGCCACGCGAGCCTTGTGTGGTGATCAGTGGACTCCGTAAAGTATATTCAAAAGCCTCACGGCCCCTGAGAAGAATCGTGTTTTGCTTTGAAAGTTTGTCGCCACCCGTCCCACCCGGAGGAGCCGCGTGGGACTTGGCAGATTGGGTTGGGGTCTGCAACTCCGGACAATGTAGCAAACCGAGGAGTCAAGAATCGTAGGACGGTTGCAACACGGGTCCAGAGCAGCTGGATCACTTACTCGCCGATTGAATAATTTGATTGAGGGTGTTGTAGGACCCCAGATTTGGGCAAGATCACGTGATGATGCCCCAGGCTGGTGAATGAGTCAGGTGACTTTCCCCGCGATAGTGATCAGTCAGCAGGCCATCATGCCGCCCGACTGAGCATCGGAGCTTCCTGGAGCTCAGCCATCTCTATTGTGAGCCGGACTTTACCACCATGTCCCCCGATCTGAACTCTCTTCCACCATCCCGATCTTCCTCGTCTTCTTCGTCGCTGCCACATCGGAACGTCCCACCCTCGCCCGGAACAGTCCCCGCACCCGTGAATCCTACCACTACCTCCCCACGGCCATCTCGTGGATCTAGCATGGGCCGATTATCGGTCTCCGAGCGACGCCGCTCGGCAGCCGGTATGGCTTTGAACCTGAATGATATGACCAATACGGGCTCAGGAAGTCTCACCGAAAATCCCTGGTCCGACCATCGCTCCTCCATGGGGCATGCATTCCGCACGGCTAGTCCCACCAGTCACGGCGGCAGTCCCGTCTTTGCGACAGCAGACCCGCACCACCAACGGGCACCGTCTCTAGGAGAGCTGCACCAGGAGTTAGAACAGGAGCAAGAGGCGCAAGTGGTGGGTTGTCTTCCAGTATACCGGAAATATGCATCTCAACTAAACTGTTCATGTCATAGAACCGCCTTTTGCAGATGATCCGCAGTCAGCAAGCCCAGCTGCAACATCTCCAGCATAACCAACAGCAGAACCCGCAGTCGGGCACAGCTGTTCTTGATGATACTCCGTCGTCGGAACGGTCAGCCTCGTTCTTCCCTACCATGCCTCCACCTGCACCATCCAGCCACCGACTATCCATCTCATCGCTCTCCAACCGTCCACCAAGCCTGACTAACTCTCCAAGCATCCGACCACAAGATGGATTCCGAGGCTCGGACGGCACAGAAGCATTCCCCGCTCTACGAGATAGCTCATCTCGACGAGGTAGTCGAGACGAGAGCGCATTCTACCAAGCCGAAGCAGCCATGCTCGGCCGCGAGAACCAAATGCTTCGTCAAAGAATCCGAGAACTCGGTAAGTCGTACCTTACCTACACCCCAACCTTGAAAATCCCGCATATTGTGGAAAACCCCACCCCGACCAAAAGTGGAGATCATTGAGTACAATCCCTAACACCCCACAGAACGACAGATAGGAGATATGACGACTACGTCAGATACCCCAACTACCCGGTCGGGAGAGCCAAGGCAAGAGGGGGCCGAAACGGACCCGCAAGCCGTGGGATCTTCAGACGGGAAAGCATCAATCTGAGTTGAACCCGATTCTGAATTTGATCCTTCGGCCGGGGTTTGATGTCGGGTGTATCCTGTTCTGGTGATGATTGACATGCCGGGCGCACGGCTTCCGTGTACGGCTATGCAAACGAGATTGCTCACATAAGATCAAAAGATCATGAAGTTACTAGGGGATCATCCATTTACCTTTCTTAGCTGCTAGTTCTGGGCGGTTATAAATTCTTTCTGGGGCGTGAAGTGCCCTCATACGTCGCCGGGCCGGTGGGTGCATGATCTCACAGCGCTGTGCGCATCAGGCGATAGCTGCTGAAAGTCGCGCTTTGGAGCCTTAGACATCGCAGACTTTAGTCGGGATATCCATGGGGGTTGACGCACATTGAGCACTAATTATCTGGACCAAGGCTGTATGTAGCCGACTCATATGCGCCGTTTAAGACTGTGGAATCCGAGGCCTGGAGACTCCCCGCCGCCCGGGCACCCCAAGGTATACATTCAATAGAGATTCATTCTCATTCATTGTCAAATGTTGTAAACGTTTACACCGATGAAGCTGGTTTGCTCACTTTTGGCTGGGAAATCCATACAATAACAAGACATTAGTCTCATCCACGTGTGCGAGACCATCAACATCTCTACGTAGACAACCTCGATAACATAATCATGACCACTTGCACCGGTAAAACATTCAAGTTCAAACGACCTGCATGAGTTGGAAGTTAAGAAAAACTATCCTGATTGATGTAATATACAAGACCCCAGCAAAGGCCAGCGGCGGGAAATATATTTCATCTATTGCGCTCGAAGACGAAGAAAAAGGAAACAGACTGGTATCGGATGAAAGGGAACAAACTAGAGCTTAGCCTTCTCGGGCTGAGCAGCCAGGTCAGGCATGAGAACATCGCGCAGTTCAGTAGCAGCCTCGTTGAGGTAGTAGCTCATGCGGTGTGCGCCGAGACGCTTGCAGACGATGTTAAAGTTGAGGCTAGAATAAATTAGTATGGACGAAATATTTGATGGGGTAGGGTTTGGGCGGGTGTGTACCTGTTCTCGTTGATCATGTAGGCAATTCCGAAACCGTCGTCAATAACCTGGCTCCAACCGTAGCCGTTGAAGAACTCGGAGCTCAGCTGCGAACTGGAGATATACCAGGAGCTGGAGTAGGTGAATGCAGGATCTTCGTAGATGGAGGGCAGTTTCTCACCGGGCTGAAGGAGCTTCTTCAGACCGAAGAGATGGCGGTCGACGCCGCGGCCGTCGCTGGCTTCGAGTGTGTACTTGGTGTGTTGGGCGAGGGCGGCGCGGAACAGCTTGACGACTTCTTCGCGAGACACGTTGGGGTCGGCGAAGGCCTTGCAGAATGCAGTGCTCTCGTCGGAGACAGTGCGGGTTGTCTCGGTACGGCCTTGCTGGAACTTGCGGGTGGAGGCGGACTCGTAGGTCGGACGGTTCTTGCCATACATCTTGAAGTAGGCGAGTTGGATGACCATCTGGACATAGGCATCTGGGCTGCACTTGAATTTCTTGATCAGGCCCTTACCGTAGCCCTGGTATGATTGGACGACAAGCTCATGAGATCCGATTTGCTTGCGGTGGTATTGGGTGGCGATGTCGATGGCCTCGTTGGCAGCCTCGTTGAGGTTGAAGGTGAGGGGTCTGGGGCTAGGCAGCTGCGAGCGGACGGTCTTGGGGGAGAGGTCGATCTTCTTGTTAAAGATCACGTCGTTGACGTAGTCACTGAGACGGTGGGTGGGTGTGCCGTCCATCATGCTGTGCTCGCCCATGAAACCGGCGGTACCGTTATCGTTGATGATGAACTGCAGGGGCTTGTCGAACCAGCGGTTGGCGCCATCACCGTGCCAGTACTGGCGAGCGCGCTCCTCCAGAGTAACGGGCTTGGCATCATCAAGACAGATAACGAAACCGGCGGACTCAATCTCCATCAGGATCTGCTCGTTGGCAGGGTCGGAAGAAACCAGGGTCTTGCGGGCGGCGTTCCAGTGATCACGGTCAGCCACAGTCAGCGTACCGACCGGCGGCGCGGGCTGAGCGACTTCATAGATGCGCTGGAACTGCTGCTCGAGCTCGGAAATGTTCAAAGCCTTGCCGTCAACAACAACGGGAACCTTGAAGAACTGGTTCTTGCGCACAACCACGATGTGCTCGTTCTCGGCAGCAGGGAACTTGCGGGCGAAATCCTCCACATCATGGGGGACACGGCAGCAGTTGAACATGTACTCGTACGAGTTCATGGCCATAGGCTGACGGCGCAAGTACTCGGGCTCGAGGGAACCGGAGTCAACCTGGCCCTTGAATTCAAGAACGGCGGTCGCAATAGCAGCAGCGCGCTTGGCGGGGTCACGGCGCTCACGGTCATCACGGTAAGAGTAGAAGTAGGAGACGTAGGGAATGACGGGGTCACGGTAACCCAGGTAGGCAGCGGAGTTCCACCACTCAGCAATCCAGTTCTTCATCTTAGGGTCCGCAGCACGCTCCAAGAGGCGCTTCTGCAGAGACTCGCCCTCACCGCCGGGACGAATGAACGCCTCGACGGCCTTCTTGGTGTTCTCGAACTCGGTCTGGGAGACCAGCGGGTGGACCGACTTCAGGTACCGGCGGCCGGTCTCCTCGAGCGAGGGAACAGGCAGACGGGGCAGAGAATCCTCGAAGCGGAGCATTTTGCCTTTGGAGAGGTCCTCCGTGTAACCTGCGGAAAATCAGTTGCGAGTCCCATCGCGATCGCGACTAGCATGTGATCCACTCACCCTCAGGAACCGAAGAAGCTTTCCTAGCAGGAGCCATGGCGAAGGTCTGTAGACTGTTAGTCAATTGCTCTAAGGTGCAATTGTCGCGCCAGCATCTGGCAGCTCGTAGCTGCTGTGCCTCGAGGCGGAGGTGGCCGTCTTACCGAGCGGGCGAGTAGTGACGTCGGAGGGAGCCGGGGCCTGGACAGGGTGGAGAGACGGCTTCGCGCAGAGGCAGCGAACATGCCTCTCAGTTGTAGATGGTTAAAGGATTCGGGTATAAAGAAGGAGAAGGAGACGAGAAGTAGATTCTCGAGAGGTAGGAGAAGGAAAGACCAAATAAGAAATGGGCCCGTTGTGCCTCGGTTGAGGGGGAAGCCGACTCGGCGGTAATATCGTAACGGGTATTGTCCCGTACTGTCATTCCACAAGGAGACGGTCCCGTCCGGGCGGTATTTTGCGGGGAACCTTCCCTCGGAAAACGGACGAGAGGCCAGAATACCGTGACTGGAATGGTTTTCGGTATTACACGGCTGGGCCGAGGTCGGTTGGGGCGGGAATCCGGGGACGTGTGACTTCACTAGACAGGGATCACCGAAGATGAGCCGAGATAATTTGATCTTGTGGGCTATACCTCCGTGATAGTATTGTCTACGTAGCCTCTACGGGAAAAAGGAGCATCAAAAACGGCCAACACGGCCCGAGAGGCTTCGGGGCCCCAGCGCGACACCGCAATGCGGGGAGAGCTTCTGGTTAGCGCCAGTCCGGCTATACTATACAAAGTAGCGGAGTACAAAGCTCCCCGCGGAGAGATGAATTAAAGATAGATACTAACATACTAAGAATACTAAGTACTTGAAAGAAGTGCAGGAGGGGACAAAGTCCCAGGTATATCCCATTCCCCCTCAACATCCCTTCATCCGCTCCCGTTGCCCCGGATGCCAATAGAAACAGATCAGAACGCGCACGCGCTATTCGCAGGTATCAACGCCCCAAGATCGAAAAGAAAATCAGACAAGAAATAAATAGAACGCCGACCTAGTCCCAAAGAGGTAAATAAGGGATCTCGAACACTGTAAAAGGAAATACTGTAATTGGGTCATCAAGAGACCGGTTGGACAGGAGTGGGCTGCTCTTGGCCATCGATAGTCCGGGGAACTTGCACTCCGCTTCGGCGCAGCTCATCCATCTTCGCTATGGCTGGTCCCGTGCAAATGCGACCCGTCTGCATCAGAGTGCGTAAACGCTTGCGTCGGGCTTCGCCGCTTCGCTCCTCGCCGCGCCCAACCCCGTCATCGACCCACTCCACACTTTGCACCTTGAAACTCATGCCATCGTGACGGCCCTCGAATTTTCGAGATTTGACGCCAAACATCACGGTCGAGTCGTACTTCTCGAGACGAGGCAAAATTAGGAGTGTAATGTGTAGGTCTTGGTCGGTGGGAGGGACAGGCGGCAGGCGAGCCTCTTTCTCCGGAGAGTCAGACTTGCCATCCGGACGCTTGTCTGCTGTGGGCTGCGGCGCATGTTGGTAGATGTCCTTGATTTCCAGATCAAGCATGGACTCATCGACAGACTCGCCCCAGGCACCCCGGATGTAGCCCGAGTGGATGGCAGCGGCGACGGGGTCTGAGTCGTCAGTGTAAACACCCGTGCCCCACAGGGCTCGTCGTGCACAGATCTCTTCGCGGCGAGTCGAGTCTATGCGGAAACGCGGTACACGGATAGTAAATGTGCAATTTTCACGATTCTCAAATCGAGGAAGAGGTTGGGGAGTTGAAGTGTAGCCGAATTTGGAGCTCTCTGAGGAGGACCTAACAGATGGAACTCCCACACGGGGGTTGTAGAGTGTTGAACCAAGATGATGACGCGGTAAATGAGACACGCTCGATAGAAGAGGCTCGAGATTCACGGTCGTGCGAGGCTCCCGGATGGGAGATGCGGCGGCAACAGGTCGAGGCGCATGATGGTGGTGATGATGGTGATGGTGATGATGCCCGGCGGCGGCATCTGACGGGGTAGATGTACGGTTGAAGGGGTTGACAGACGACAGAGATCGATGCAATCCAGTGAGAACGGCAGCTTCCTCTTCCGCCTTATGACGGTGGTGGTGGTGGCTATCGGACTATGTTAGTGGCTATCATAGAATGGGACCCAAAAGATACGTACTGGTGATGGTGATGGTGTGGATGAACGTGACGCGAGCGACGAGCTGCCCGACCAGAGACATCTGCGCCATCCAATTCCACCTGATCATCTTCATCCCGTGATTTCCTTCCCCTCCTAGTGCCCGAGGCAGATGTTGGGCGCGCGATCTTGTCATCAGCCTCTCCATTCACAGGACGACCGTTCAAGCTATCACGCTTGAAGGGGCTGGCAATGAGCGGCGTCGACGGTCCACTGCCTATGGGTGCTCCTGTCATACCTCCAACACCTCCAACACCACTACCGATTCCGGAGAACACCCGTCCCAATTCATTCTTGATGCCGGCTTCGCCAGAAGGATTGATGAACGGCGCCTGCGCACCTTGCACAGCCTGGGGAAGCGGAGATGCTCGGCCGCCACGTTTAACATCTGCACCTAGTGATAGAAGGTTGCGGTGCTGCAGGAGCTCTTCACTTCCTTTACGCCGACCTTCTTCTCCAAGTGCACCCAGTCCGATCGTGTTCGGCCCCGACGAGGAAGCCGAAACTGGGTTAGATCCCATGCGCGCAAGTTGTGGTTGTTTGTTCGTATAGGGCGATTCGCGGGGGGAGGGAGAAGGCTGACCCTGGCCGGTTTGTAGGGAGAGTGGAGGCTGCCGACTCCCACCAGGCTGAGAGCCCAAAGACTTGGTATAGCTCTGGATGGCACCAAACCCAAAAGCTCCAGATTCCGGTGCAGGGAACCGTTTGCTTTCGGGGGAAGATGGATGCGAGCGACCTTGCTCCCAATTTGAAGCTGTCGAGTGACGCTCGATTGCTTCCCTCTCGCCATATATTGATGAGCCGTACCTCGCCGAACCGCTAAACGAACCCTTTGGTTCGGTCCCGTGAGATACCCGGTCTCGATCGCGCTGTGAGACATCCTCCGAGCGGCGGTCTCCAAAGAGACTGCCGAAGCGACCATGGGGATCCCGCCCATGAGGATCAAGACCCGCATAGGAGGCCGGAGAGGCCCGCTGTCCAGACTCAGATCGGTCCGACACACCTGCATTTGGGCGTGACTGTGGGCTATACCCGGGCGGCCGCGTAGAAGCCTCAGCGTTAGGTGGCTGACTGCTCGGTCGGGCAATGGGCCCACTGAAACTCATACGTCGGGGCTCACTGTAGGGAGGTTCGGCAGCCGATATTTGAGGTGATGGGTGTGTTGAGTGCGACTTTTCAGGAAACTGTGATTGTGGCGCCCGTGAGAATCCCCCGTATCTGGTTTGCTCGCCACCCAGTAGACTCGATCCTCCGCCCGACCCAGATCGGTATGGCCGGCCCTGCTGGGGCTTAGAAAACGGTTTCTCGGGTGTATTTGATCGACGGAAAAATGACTGCTCGATTGGCAAAGGCCGTGCCGGTGCATTCGGTGGTGACATGGCTGCAGAGGCTGGTGCAGGCGCACTGCCGAACAGGGAGGATGCGGATGGCCGCGAAAACGGTGCGGACCCTGTATCTCGGGCCGGGCGCTCGGCGTCCGATCCTAGCATGGCTGATATAGACATGCTACTGCCTGGTCTCGGCGCCTGACTAGATGGAGCATCGCGGGAGAAGAAGGAATTAGCGGGCGCGTTCGCTGATTGTGATCTCGAGCCGTAGGAGTGAGGAGGAGATGGTGGAGGCATTTGGCGAGTGCCGAATGAAGGTGGAGCTGAGTTTTCGTGTGATCCTATCAAAAAAGCAATATCAGCATCGAACAGAATATCACAGCGGGCTATGTAACGCAAAATGCGATGATGCGATGTTGTCACAAGCTGATGCGCGCGATCCGCGTAGCGCAGCGCGATCTATTAGGTCCCAGTTACTTACCGTGGTCAGGGCTGCCACTACTGCCCTGAGATGCACGGCGCGCAGAGTCAGGCGGAGGATGGTACATGTCGCGCGATCCCGGAGACATCATGAATCCCAAGGGGAGATGATGAATTCAGGACCGCGAACCCGTGACTCCGGAAGCTGAACCGCTAGTCCCAAAGAAGGCTAGCGTGGATAATCCTCTCTAAGCCCCTTGCGGACTAGTGTACCCGAGCGGCGGATCTCAGCCACCGGGGATACATGCATCAGGGGAGGCTGGGCCCTGCCAGTGCGACTCTGCATAGGCCCGGAGAGTTCTTCTCAAGCTTCCTGGCCCCCAGACCCAAGGCCGATTGCGCGATTCTCATCCATGTTGGCCCCATAAGGTAACATCCGCTTGACGTGCGGAGAAACGGGGCCTGGGAACTTTGAAACCTTGGAACCACGGGACAAGTCCGAGCCCAATCTTGTGAATCCGGGGCACAGAACACGCACAGCAGACGCGCACAACTCAACATAACAAAACACAAGAGAGTTTCTGCCTACCTAGTCGATATTGACCACTTTGTGGCTGTGAATGGTTTCTTCGATGCGATGACGGTTGCTGTTTGGACTCTAGACTCGCATGTCGGCGATGTTGATGCGTATTTTGATTCCGCGGTGGAGACAGTTGAGTTCCGCCATTATTCTGACCACGTAAGGGGTGTAGCGGACGCGCAGCCGTGGCGTAGATCTGTGTAGGAGAAGAGTAGTCACGGCGGCTCAGGCGAGGCTCGGGATCGCGGCGTTCAGGACGGGGATCCTGAGCTACGGCGTATGAACGGTGTCGATCTTCGCGAGACTCCTGAGAGTTGCCTAGGGGGGAAGGTCGGGGCGGATAGGAGCTCTGGTGTGGGCGTCGGAAATAGTCCATGCTAAGCCCCGGGGCGAGAAATGGGCAGGAAGAGGGAAAAAAAGATTTCTTCAAGAGCGATCTTGGACGGTAGAATGGCGGTGGAAAGGAAAAAAAATAAAAGAGGGCCCGGAGCTGAGTGTACGATCGGCGCTTAGTGCCGCGAGCCGATGTGGGACGAGGTGCGAGGTGCGGAGAAGAGTGTGTCCAGGAACAGACCTCGATTGAGTTTCCTTTCCCAGGATCGAGTTTTGGCGAATGCAAAAAAACGGTGAGGTTCAGCAGGGGAACGTATCCGCAGAGCCGGGATGACGCTCGTGCGCACGATAACGGGTATCAGTCGGGATCCCTGATCCCATTACGTTCTGGTACGGGAGCAGTTCGGTCGAAGCTAGAGTCAATAGTATAGTCTGGTCCGCTTCGGAGTCGACCTGTCTTATTTACGTTGTCCGGGTCAAATGTTCCAACGTTTCCACGTTGGGCTGCCCAACCCATACCTAACCGAGTTAGGCAGCATGCAATCACCGTGTCTTAACGACGCAGCCCCGGTGATCCGTGCTTAGTCCAGGCACTTACAAGGATTTTAGGTCGGACGAAAATGTTTACGTGCTAGCCACAGACCGCCTGGTGGCCAGTCTAAGACTTACAAGTTTGGGTCGTACGTGTGCACCACTCCATCGGCAAGAAATAAATATCAGTTTGATTAGACATTGACATTGGGTATCATAAGCAAGAAAACTATATCGCATAAGGCACTTCGCATATCATCATGCGCAGATCGGGGTGAGATGGTCGTTCATAACATCTCCCCCGGAAATGTCTCCTTTCGAGATCCAGAACACATCCGAATAGGATTGGTTCGCACAGTCCGTGCTGGGCAATGAGTCGCCTGTGACCACAACGATTACCGCACCCTGGACAACTTCGGCACCATCCCAGTGAGATAATCGACCACGCTGACGTAGAGTATCAAGGCGCAACGCGAGTATGGAATACAGCTCATCGATCGGTGATTTAGCGTCTAGGACGAGCATGAATGTACGAGCGTCGGCCATGCTCATCGTCTCTGGGTTTATAGGGAGCTGGGAACCAGGGGAAGATGCATCGGCTTCTCGGCGTGTGAGGAGCGAGTCAAATCGAATCTGCAGGTCATTTGCGGGATCGTGGCTGGACAAGCCCATTTGCAGCTCGTTGCCGTGCATCCAAATGTCGGTGCGGAACCCTTCGCATCCGGCAGCAACGGATTGCGTAAGGGCGTTGGGTCGGGGGTCGGAGTGGGGAAAGGTGCAGGTATTGGGCAAGTCGCGATGGCTATGACGCGACACCGTTGCAGGGCGCGGGTGCACCTTGGTAGGAGATGGGAGCGCGCGAAGGCATTGCAATGCAGCCCTAAGATGTCATGGTTAGATAACGGCCATCAAGGCGAAACACTGGCTGCACTTGGGACTTATTGACTCACAAGCATGCTAAGATAAGGCAAGTGGCGCGAAGTAATGTCTCCTTCCAGCGTTTCTGAACTGATACCAACCATTCGGCAATAAAGGTACCCAGTCCCGGAATACATTCGGTGGGATGGGAGCGGAGCGGATGATCATCCAGCAACCAGGGGTCGTATTCGTACCGGGCGTTGGACTCGATGTCCAGCTCCCCCTTGGGAGATTCCCTGGGGAGAAGCATCTCCGGTGCACCCATCAGGCAGGAATCGAGACGGTGTGCCAGAAGATGTATATAGCGGTGAGGACCCGGGGGAGGGTGCTCTTCCAGAGGAACTTATGCGGCAAGCCGGGAGGATAGCCATGGTATATAAGCTTGAACAGAGCTCGACCAGCATGACAAGCACAAGGTTAAGGCCAAGAGCGGGTCGTATCGCGCAATTGTGGGTAGCTGATGAGGAGAAGCACGCCATCGTGATTGGCGATACCACCACAGATGATCACCGAGTTTGCGACCGTGAACTGATGCAGCCACCTAGAGCCAACGGCGACTCGAATCGGTCAACTCTATACTGTGACTTCGAGCACCATCTTTCCATGTGCACTTGCCAGCACTTGGGTGATGGTTTCACGAAGTCGCCCATTCCAGGGACGATCCGGGGCAAAGTGGATCGCACACAATCACCGCGCGGAGTGACGTTTGTGCTGCCAAGACCGCCAAGCAGGATCAAGACTTCCTATTTGTCTAACAATTTTGATTTTTAAGGGTCCATCATGCATCAAAGTGTCGGTCTGGCCTGTACCAGTAGTGGTGTCCGAACGAATGTTCGTGTTCGACCCCGAGTCAAGCGACCACCACTCATCTCACCCTGGGAGGCCTGAATGCAAGATGGTGCGCAAGATGGTGCACAGGAGGGGGGGGATGATATCTGACCAGCTCAGCTCGAAATTACTGAAGACTGGGCGCATGTAGTAAAATTACTGCCGGCATCGAGCCTTGAGAAGTCGTGCTGGGGTGGGTCCGTGAAGACCATCTCCGGCCACTCACGTCTACAATAGATATGGCGACATTGACTCAATTAAAGTTGAAAGTCGTATCAGTCTCTAGATATTGTTTCTCGTATTGGATATTGATGCCCCTTTCGTAGCCATTGCCGACCCTTATAGCTTGGCTTGCGTGCTACCCTGCGGGTTATGATCAAAGATCTTGTTCTCCTGCGTGTCCAATCGGGCCTGGGAGGACTGGAACAGCCGGGGCAGTCCTGTCTCCTCAAACTTGGCTCCACTAACTATCATCTTCGCGATGCCTTCTGCTGCAAGGAAGATCTGCGGCATGCCGTGACCAGTGAATCCGGCCAGGATGAACTGACCCTCCTCTCCGGGGACGTGACCGACATGTGGCAGTCCATCAGACGAATAGCCCATGACTAACTCGAGTTAGTTTTTGTTGTTGCTGTTTGCTCTTTGCTTTGGGATATGGATGCACCTACTTCCAGTCCATACTCTGTCCGTGTAAGCATGGCTATCCTCCCACCCGACAAAGTTCCGCTGCATATACCCATCAAAGTACTGCACGGCGGACTCCAGAACACGAGAGTCGTCGCTAACATCGTACCAGTTATCCAGCTTGTCAATGAACGAACTGCGAGCCCCTCCAACTACAATGGACCCGTCCGCACGAGGAATGAGGTAATCGTAATCCCATCCACCCCATCGCAAGGTATACGTCTTTGTCAAGCGCGGAGCCGCAGACGCCGGAGGAACAGCAATGCGACAGCAAGTCCCCCTTACAGGCACAATCTTGTCCTTGAACTGGGGCGCAAGAGCCGAAGTGTAGGCGTTCGTCGCGAGCACCACCTTCTTTGCCGCGACAGCCCCGCGCGGTGTCTCGACCCGCCAGGGATAGACAGAAGCCGGGTCAGTTGACTTAGAAATATTTGAAACCGCACTATGTGTCTGCAGGTTCACACCTTGGGCCAAGACCTTTTCAAGAAGATGAAGTACAAACTTGTAGGCCCAGATGTGGCCCGCGTCATAGGTGAAGCAGCCCGCTGCGCCCTTGACCCCTGAGAACTACTCGAGTTGGTGATTTGATGCTAACAATGCTTCTGGAATTACTCACTGCCTCCGCATCCCTGGGGCCGACACATTGTGCCTCCTTTGTGGGGGCGCAGCCTCCCGCAATGAGCCGCTCGCGACCGGCCGTGAGCTTGTTGAAGTGATCTGCATCCAGCTGCACATCAACTGCCTTTGTGACAGTATAGTCACAGTCAATTTTCTCCCTTTCGACAAACTCCTAATGAAAACCAGTTTAAGTCATGAGATACCCTGAGACACCCTGAGTGAAACGCACCTTGACAGCATAGACATGTCTCGCTTCAAACTTCGCGATCTCTGCAGCCGCCTCGACTCCATGATCCGCAGCAACAGAAGATATCCAGTTGTATAGATCGGGCTTCATATGTCCACCTTCATAAACAAACAATATCAGCCAAGCTTCGTGAAGTAAGCAACCCATCTTACCATTCCGAGCAGTAGCCCCCGAACATGCCTGCCGCGCCTCCAAAATAGTGATCGAGGGCGGATTGGTCCCAGGCTCTACTTGGTTAAGAATGTGATACGCCACCGACGACCCAGCATATCCAGCACCAACGATGACAATATCACTTTCCTCAGGCAATGTCTCGCTAGAGCGATAGTTATCCAGAGGGTGGGGATCTGTACGCCAGAACGGCAGCATCCCATTCTGAACGGGCACGTGTTTCGACATTGATTTTGATTTTGATTTTGATTTTGATTTTCGAAGAGAAGGCAGAGTTGGGGTGATCTAGATAGCGATAAACATTGAAACAGGGGTGCATTTATTGATGATGACTTCGCTGATCTTGGCGAGTGAGCTTCCCCTCAAGGACCGGCTTTGTTCCCGGTGGCCCCGCTTACCGGGTTGGAGATATGCTGATCGGCTCTGAACGATAGAGGCAACTAAGAAGATAACGATAGCGGTATCTTAGGATACAGCCTGATTGCCATACCTATCCATCGTTAGCTATGATGATGGTAGAAATGAGAGCTGCTGATAGAGGAAAGTTGAACAGGCCCTTGATTGATGTTCATTTGTTCCAAAATTGTCCCCAAGGGCGCACTGAATATATACGAGGATAGGCACAGGAGTTATAGAGTATTTCCACATATATAAAACACAACTACCTAGTCTGGAGATCCAGACTACACTGGTTATCTGTAAGCATGTATTTCAATGTGCATAGCCCTGGATATGAAAGGGTACGCACATTGAAGAAACCGAGAGCAGGTACATCCTAGCATTGATATAATCCCAAACATATTGAAGGTCAATTTTAGATCAAAAAGCCGCCTGGTCAGCAATAATCTTATCAGCCATACCAGGTAGAGTAGCATCAATGACATCCATTTCGCCAAACAGGTTGGTCAATGCCTCCATCTCTAGCACTGTACAGTAGGCACCCTTGAATCTGTTTTTGAATATTAGTATTGCTACAATAATTCTGAAGAAGCAGTTTAATTACCCAGCTGTTCGGGCTGCTGAAACATCCCACATATGAGCGGCAGCAAACCACGGCTTCTTGCCCTCGTTCTCCGAGGTTAGCCTGTCAAGCAATGGCTTGTATGCGGCGAGATCAGGCTTTCCAATCCCAACGCTATCACAAGACAGCAAATTCTCAGCTGGTAGTGGAACACCAGCCTTCTCAAAGTATCCACCGACACGCTTTAGATCAGCTGCAGTGAAGGCCCATACTGTAAAACCAGCATCGCGAAGCTTTTTCACACATTCTGCGGCGCCAGGCCGCATGGTAAGGCTTTGGTATTCGGTCATAATGTAAGCGAGATCTTCAGGAGAAGCAAAATTGCGGGGCTCCTTGATACCACCCATCCAAAGGAGGCGGTAGAATAAAGCTTCCAAAACCTTCGCAAAAGGCTGGTACCTGCCTGAGATACTGAGGTTGGTGTATTCCCGCTCAGCAGTCTCCATCCAAGCCTGACCTAGGAGCGAGGGCTTGACACCTTCTGCACGCAGACGGTCGCCGAGGCGATGTTCGATGGCATTGTAGAGATAGTCGTATGATACCAAGGTACCGACGATGTCGAACACAACGTTCTTAGAAGAGGCCATTTTGAACGCAATTGGATGAAATCGATGCTTTTCGTGTAGATCCTTATCTGTGGCGCGGGCTCCCTGGCAATTTATGCGATAGTCAAACAAGCAGTTGAAAGTGAGACACCGCCAACGAAGAAGGCCAAGAAGATACGAGTTATCTAGAAGTGGAGAGTGACTTATCATTCCCGTCAACCCCGCTTGTTGATCCCGGCGGGATGGGTTGATCCACCGGCTCCAAGGTCTGCAATGATTTCATAGAACGATTAGTAGATAGAAGTTGATTGAGGATGTTTGTTTTAAAGAAGGGTTCACAACGCAGACTTTGTCTAGGGCTAGGTTCTATCGAACCGAGCAATCTATTTTTGTCAGTGATGGCTACCATCAGCGAAAGCCCGCACCTGCAAAGTCAAACCGAACATTTACAGAGAAAATCGGACAATAAAGGCGGTGCCGATATAGAAATTGACATCGAAAGAACCGTTACTTCGGAAGACGAACAACATGGTATCTCCAAGGAGATCCCGTCCGGAGCACCCACCGCTGGATACCACCGTTCCTTGACCCGACGCAAAGTCATGATGATGACATTTGGGGCGGGAATCGGGACGGGCCTCTGGGTAGGTACTGGACAGGCATTGCACTATGGTACGTGGATCTCCCGTGTTTCTATAATATGTCTTGGTGATAACATTCTCCCTAGCTGGGCCCGCTGGAATTGCTGTTACGTATACCCTCACTGCGTAAGACACTAATACACGATATACCCTCAAAAAAAAGCTGATCATTTTGAATAGAATGATCGTGTATGCCCAATATTCTGCCATTGGTGAAATGACAGCTTTCAAGCCGGTCCACGGTGGTTTCATTCGGCAATCCATTGAATACATCGACCCGGCTTGGGGCTTTGCTATCGGGATGAACTTTTGGTTTTCTGTACAGATATCCTCATCTGCTCTACTATCACTGTGGCCCACTGACAATATCTATAGTGGGTCATGATCATACCCGCAGAGATCACAGCGGCTATATCAGTTCTCAAATTCTGGCCCGAAACGGAAGTCGTTCCTCTCGCGGCATACATTACAATCTTCATACTTGTCATAGGACTGGGAAACGTCTTTCATGTACGGGTCTATGGTTATATTGAATACTGGATGTCATTCATCAAATGCCTGGCTATTATCCTCATGATTTGTTTCATGTTCATCATGACATCTGGAGGAATCCCTGCAACTAACGGTCCCATTGAATTCCGGTACTGGAAAGACCCAGGCGCGTTCAAAAATGGCATGAAGGGCATTGCCAAAGCATTTATCCAGGCCGCGTTTAGCTTTGGTGGCGGTATGAATTCCAATCTCATAGCTACGGATTTTTAGCTGACTCAAAATACGCAGGTGAGCATATTGCAGTCATTGCTGGTGAAGTAGCCAACCCCAGAAGCACCATCAAAAAGACAGTTCGCCCGGTATTCTATCGCATGTTCACATTCTTTGTAGTCAATATTTGGCTTGTTGGCATGTGTATTTCCTCCGAAGACCCTGATCTGACCAACAAGGGAACTCTTGGAAGTCCCTTCGTTATTGCCATCAAGCGCGCCGATGTCTACGGCCTGGCACATGCTATTAATGGATTCATCTTCCTCAGTGTTATTAGCTGCGGTATAACCAGTGTCTATGTCGCTAGTCGAAGTCTCACCGCTCTAGCCGATATGAACATCATTCATCCATTCTTTGGGAGGAAGGATGATCAAGGACGACCATGGGTGGCCATGATTATCAGTTTGAGCTTAGGAGGTGGACTCTGTTATCTTAACGTGAGCAGCGTGGGTACTGTTGTTTATGGATGGTTTTCAGCATTGGTAAGCACTTAGGATATCTTCCAAACCCTGGCCCAAAACGCATACCCTCCTCCTTCTGCCCCACCATTACCTTTCAAGGCTTGACTAAAACTGATTTGACACACAGGTTGGGATTGCCACTTGCTTCGAGTGGATGTCTTGTTTCATATCCGTGCTGAGATTCCGTCAGGGTCTTAAGGCGCAAGGCAAAAACCTCCGTGATCTGCCCTTTAAGGGATTCCTTACTCCTTGGACTCAATACCTGGGTCTGATCATCGTCGTATTTATTCTTGGATGCGAGTTCTATCTATCATGTTGGCCATTCGGAGAGAAGGGTAGTGTGAAAAGCTTCTTTTCCACATACCTAGCTGCTCCGTTGTTTGTGTTAGACTACGTTGCATACAAGGCAAGTTGAGACATACTTATATTTTTCTTCTCTCGCAATCATGAAATCTCCTGCTGACTATTCAATAGCTCTGGTACAAGACCAAAATCGTCAAGCCACTGGAAATGGACTTTAGCGAAGCAGAGTACTTTGATGAAGAAGATCGCTTGAACGCTATAGCTGCAGAGCAAGAGAAGCCCACTGGAAAGGAGACATGGACCAAGCGAGTGAAATATATGTTGTTTGGGTGAAGCTAAGTCGTTGGTTAGTGGATACAGCAGGTTGAAAGTACCTAGCCACCCCATGGGATAGGCCGATTTTATATGAGGATAAATTGCTAGCTATACAGGTTCAAAAAGATCTCAGATACATAGCTCTCTAAAAGAAATTCACTGAAAGCTTTCAATATTTGAATATTAAAAACGGCAGACCTTAGACATTTTTGCTTCGCGCACGAAGGCCCTGGAGGAAACTCAAGAAGGAAAAGAAAACAGAATAGATTACCTCAGACCATGAAAAATCAACATTTGGGTCCAACTTAGGTTATTCAAAACTACGACAGTCCCTTCGATACCCTTCTTGGAGTTTCCCGTGTGTCGTTCAAAGCCCTGCGGAGAAGTTAGCTTGGATCATACTATTGTCTATATCCAGCCCTAGCTCCTCGCACAAAGATCTAGCCCCCGTGGAATCATCTGAGTCTAGTTCACCCTCCTGTCCTATATCAAACACTTCAATTGTAATCGTACTTAACTGAGGGGTCGTAGTCTGCGCAAAGGGGAGGAAGTTCTGAATAGCTTGCGCAACGTTTTCTGTGTCCCACTCGAAGGTCTCCAAGATATGGCCATTACAGATGAAATGTCGAAGGGTCAGAGTTGCACGCCGCTTCTTTCCAGGTATTCCCTGAAGGAAAGGCAAAGACGACCAGCCACCAGATCCCCTATAAGCTTGGCGCAAACATCAACATGGTGAACTTGGAGACAGTCGACCTAGCACGTATCCTGACTGGTGACTCTCAGGTGAAGCAGAAGCTTTACGATGCTGCTACACGTCCCGGAGCGTTCTTTTTGGACTTGAAGAGTAGCGGTGCCGATATTCAATATGCCCTCGCAGTAAAATTGAAGGATTTCCGCGAGGATCAACCTGCTTCTAGCCACCGTGGGTAAGAAACACTTTTCTAAATCATTCGCTGGCATCAGGTGAACTGACTCTATCAAGTTACAAGAGCAGTGATTGTGATGAGACATTCGAGGTACTTATCATTCCTGTTCGTTGCTTGTGACAGGCTCTGCTGACTATACTGACAAGTTCGCCGACGACGAACCCCTCCGTGATGACTCAAGACTTCTACCCATTCTGCAGGGTGAGAGCGACCTAGTCCGGCAATTCAACAAGCTCTGCCACGCTGCTGCCTTGAACATGCTTTCATCACTCTCTGATTCCCTCCGCCTCGAGAGCGACAAGCGTTTTGAAGCTCACTATCGAACTACGGACAGCAGCGATACTGGTCTCAAGCTCATATACGAACCCTCACTCGTCAAGATCGCTGACGTGGTCAAGAATAAGCACACTGGCAGCGGGGCCTTTAACCTGCTGTTCCATGAACAGGTGGGATTGCATGTCTACCTTCCTGAGCAGAACCGGTGGGAATTTTCAGCGATCCCTGCGCCCGGATGCACCCTCGTCACCGCGGCCGACTTCCTGCAACGCCTATCAGCCTCGCAATTCTACTCCCGCTGCATCGTGTCCCGCAACCCAGGCACGGGGCTGGGAAACGGTATTTTCTGTCATACTTCCTTCGCCCTTCCCACGCCACTAAGCCACACGGAGTCAAGAGACGACGGATAGTCAGCCAATTTGGCCCAGCAGTTCGGCACCCGGATGAACAAATATTTCCCTAAGACTTATCAACAATTATTGAAGCTTTGGTGCACGAATTGCCAATGGGTTACATCCCTGTAGATACATACATCTGCTCTACATATTACTTAAAAGACATCATTTGAATCTACCATTCACACGTCGGTGCTTCTCGATGTGCGTATGTGCGTAGTAGGCCGGCAGGACCCGGCCGCTTAGGCCAAGCTCAGCTGCGATTTGAACGCCCGCATGACGCCAATACACAACTGACCTAGTGCCCTTATTAGTCGCGTCAGACAGTAGACAAACCTCGCCATCGAGGGGATCTGTTCATATGGAAGCTCACGACTATTACACTCGAATCGCGCCTACCTTTTCTTGCCCCTGGAGAACAGCAGCGCTACAGCGGATGTAGCAATGGCAAGCAAAAAATTGAACCACTGGCCGGAGTGAAGTCCCCGGAGTAAGGCAGATAAGTCACCCTCAGCTCCCCTGCGGCTTATGGCCCCCCGTTCCACCGATATTTGCACCACGGTTGCAATCATGGTTCCAACGGCCCTGCCCACCTGCAAGACAGCAGATCAGCGCCGCGCCGAGGGCCTGATTTTCTAGAGGTAAGCACTGCACAGTAACAAGGTTGAGCGTCGGATGAAGATTATCAGCTCCTAATGCAGACAACACCACGGCCATTAGATTGGAGTATGTGCAAATTCCAAACACCATATTCAGTGGTCAGAGATGGTAATGAAACCCTGGCTGCATTAGTGGTTCTCATTACTGTTGGAACTATATCAAGTCCGCGCTCATTCTAGACGTGAGCTGGCCGGCTCGCGCCCGCCCCCGCCCGCGGCCGGCCCCGCCACCCCCATCGTTAGTCTATTGATATCCGACCCTCATGCGGCTTACCCCAGAGCTATATAGTGGATCCGCTGTGCCTCCGCTCGGAAACCTTATTCTAGTATAGAAGGAGCCTTACCACGTTATCATACTCACGAAACCATTCGGCCGATATACCATATCTCATTCCTGACGTGGTCACGTCGTCTGGTTCTTGTTCACGTATAAATATTTCATCTTCCTAACGCACAGCTTAGGTTTTCTCATTCTGGCGTACCTTAGTGCAGCTTACTCGTTTCGGAAACAATCTGAACAGTAGATACACTGTGCCTCTTTCTCTCCTGTCTCTCTCCCGTTCCCACTATAAACGCCCGAGCTACAGGCCTCCGACGCTATTGACACCAGTATGGAAGGATCATATCCCCTGCAAGCACGCAACACAGTACGCCGCCATCGCGAGCGAGCCAAGTACGACTTCGAGACGGTCCATTCTATCGTGAACGCGTCACCCATCCTCCACGTGTCGTTTCTGCCTACGAACCGGGACGATGATCCCTTTCCAACCATCCTTCCCATGATTGGCTACATGGGCTCATTTGATGGCTCGTCGATGGGAGCCCTCGATCTATATCTTCATGGCCACAGTGCCTCGCGTGTCATGCGCTTAGCCGGCAATGACAGACCGGAGGGAATCCCCGTCTGCGTCGCCGCGACCCTGCTCGACGGCATCAAGCTCTCGCTAACGCCCTTCAACAACAGCTGCAACTACCGCAGTGTTGTGCTGCACGGCTATGCATCGATTGTGACGGTTGAAGCAGAGAAAGAATGGGCCCTTCGCCTCATTACGGACGGCTTGGTCCCGGGGTGTTGGGACAATTCCCGCGTGCCTCCTACGCGTGCCGAGAATCTGAGCACGTCAGTTCTCAGGGTTCACGTCGCCAGCGCCAGCGCCAAAATAAACCAAGGTGGGCCTTCTGATGACAGGAAAGACCTTCAAGACGATGAGGTTACTGGCAGAGTGTGGACGGGGACACTTCCTGTCTGGGAGTCTGTTGGGACACCCGTTCCAAGCATTACGAACAAAGTGGCCCAGGTTCCGGAGTACGTGGTTCAGTGGCGACAGAATCACAATGCGGATAACGAGTTGTACGCTCGGGAAGCCCTTGAGAAAGGTAAATAGTGCGAAAGCTAGTCGATTGCAATGTAATCAGTTCCCATCAGGACAGGCCAAAGAAATTGTACACTGTATCAAATACTGCCCGCGTATGCCCAAGATGGACTCGTCTTTTTGCGTTTCTTCTGCGGCTCTACAGACGCCACCATATTTAAGGACATCATAGCTCACTACTATGAGAGGGATCCCCTTCAAAAGATTTATGTCTTCCTTGAATAGTGTATTAATGTGGTCGGTGCAAAAGAAGAGAGTGCTGAACACCATTTTCGCCATGCGGGCTTGAACATAAGGGGTTTGGATGGGTAAAGACTCTTTTCTCTCATATTTGATGGCGAGCACTTTGACCAGTGAAGAAAAATAAAGTGCGATATGGATTGCCACAAGAATTCTCCACAGCTGAAGCAAGTATAGTAGGGACGATAATCATTGCCGGTCTCATTCCCTGGGAGTACATGGGACAATTCGGTACTCTCACTGCAGTGGAGGCAGCTCCGTGGGGTTTGAATTACGGTATGATCCTGTTCAGGATTGGCCAAAATCAAGGCTTCGCCGTTCATCCTGGTAATGCAGCGCCTGTACAACGCTTGGGAGGTGTAAAGAATAGCCCACTGCAAACTAGAAGCCTGTCAATCAGTGAAGACGGCCCAACAAGTGTCAAACTGTACCAAGACTGATTTTTAGGAATCAGATAGGATTAAATTTTCATTTCTTTATATACATACGAGTAAGACACTTTGGAAAGACACGAGGCGACCACGGCAGCCATGCAATATGGCCCAAACGCGGGATTCCCTGCAGCTGGCTTCGAAAACTATTGTAGTCAACGACAACCTCCCCTAGTGCTTTCCTCTAGAGCCGCTATCCACAGCCGTAAGATCCAAATCAAATACATCGATCATTAGATTTGAGAACTTGGAAAGAACCTATACATCTTGCCCGAAGAAAACTTCCGCGTCGAGCTCTAAATTAGCGGAAGGCCATTCCGGATTCAGGAATTCTGTCAATTCGCTCATATCCGGATGGAACACACTTTCGCCCCCTGATGTAAAGCCAGACATTGGACTGAATGAGGAAAGCTCGAGGATGTTTCCGCTGCTCTTGCTTTTCATGGATTGAGTCCAATTCTTGAACGTGGCGTAAGCGGATGATGAGCTGTTGGTGGTCGACTCAGCCGAGCGCCCAGATTCATCATGCGATGATAGCTGACGGATGGCTGCTTCGATAGATTCAATATATGATATCTCGGACTGGGAGGCAGTTCCTCCGATCATCTGTCGTATCAAAGTCATCCCGCGTGTTAAGCCGTCCTGGAGCCTTTTGGATTTCCCAGAGTTGAGTGTCTCCGCAAGAATTACCAGAAGAGCCGCCCGGCACGAGCTGAACTCGTTATAAGACGCACGGCAAAGTCCGATGTTGTCTGCCAATGATTGTAAGATTGCCAGCATCTCCAGGGCGCTTTCCACACAGTTGTTCACGAGCTCAGAGCGATACGATTTCCCAACTCCCTGACTCTCGTTCAGAGACCTATCCTTGGTATCATTGTGAAAGATAAACGGACGGCCCATATATATGAAAATAAGAAGGTAGCTCAGTTTAAGATGCGAATTTTGCCGAAAGAAGAGCCCTTGGGGATTGGAATCGTGGCATGTTGTAGGAAGAGAGCCCCACCATTGCTTCATGGAGTTCTTTAGACGAAGAAGTCGCTCAGAATACTCCAGAAGAAGCCTCTTGGGGCACCTCTTAAACTGTGTTCTAAAAGGTATTCGAATTAGCATATGGACGCCCTGGGTCAGGGCTAGTGGTCACCCACAATGTCTCAGCCACTTCTCCCATCCAAGATCCCAAGTTGATCCATGCAGTCATGTTTGGAAATCTTGGCGACTCGAATCCTGGACAGTCGGTGGGTAGATCCGCGTTGATTTCTGATCTCGCAATGGAAGCAGGCCGCCCATGCATGATACTTGTTCGTCTATGGAAATTATCAGTGTTGTTTCAAAGAGTAATAAGACTCGGAAGCGCACTTTTCAAGCGTGTAAGCCGACCAGAACAGACGATTGCGAAGCTCAATAGTTCTGCTATCACCATTCCCTCCAGCATATTTGCGATGCATACCGTTCTGAATCGCCATTTTCATCGCAAGGCCGAGGTAAGTGTAGGAAAGCCCGCCCGCCGAGACAGGTAAGGCCCATGTCGCTAAAAGAACAAAAGCTTGCACGCTTTCGTATGAAGCGGCCAAGATCACATCAGGGACCAGCTTGCTGGCTACATGATAGAACACCAGTCCTACTGAGTCTTCAACGCACGCGGCGGCCTCTTCCGTTTCTCCAGAATTCGGGTTTGAGCGATCATCCTCCATGTGAGCCATCTGGGTGCCGATTGCTAGGACCGAGAAAAGCGAGCACAGCCAAGGGATGTCATTGGCAGACAGATCCGTTGTCCCATCATAACATAAATGTAGCTTCTCATAGACCCATTCTTTTTCCAGATAGAATGCATTGCCCTCTGCGAATTTGAAGAACACTCCGATCAGGAAGGTGGCTATCGGTTCGGGGGGTAACTGGGCGATCACTTCGGTCACAATGTGGATTGATGATTGCAGATGAGTCGGGCGCCAATACTCTTTGACCTGTGAAAGATTAACCTATGGGTTCAGAGACACTTGACAGACTGTACTAACCCCTGGTGCGGGAGTATCCTTATTGGAACTTGTTGTGCGACGCAGCTTTTCCGAGAAGTTCCAATGTGAAAACTCTCCAGAATAGACTGCCCCCGAGTTAGATTTTGCAGATAAATAGGGACAGCAGATGGAAAGAAACCCACAGGCCACATTTCGAGACACAAATTGAACATCAAATGATTCGTTGACGTCCAAGAGGTTCTCCATCTCACTGTTCTTCTCCGAGCATTTCAACGCGATCCGACTGATGTTCTCTTCGTCCAAGGGAACATCACCGAGGAAATGCCGTACAATATGTTCAAGGTTTTGAACTCGCTGATCACTGTCCGTTGGTACCGGGGGAGGAGGCTGTCGGGACACCACAAACGTCGCTTTCTTGGGTACCGGTTGTTCCTGAAAATGGCACGGTCGACTAAGTCGCTGACATCTCCAGCACGGGGGGCCGCCTTCGCATTTTTCCTTTTGTCGCCGACAAGTATCGCATCTTTTCCACGTCAGCTCGATGAAACTCATTGGGTAATTCCGAGATAATCTCACATACGCAAGTGAGGCTCGTCTCTTGCTCCCTGGTCCTTCCCGCTTTCGCTTTATTCCCTGGGGATCGTCATCCCTGGTATCTAGCGACATTGAGCAGCTGGCGAAAATCGTCCGGTAGGTCAAGATCTTAGTTGCAGGTGACAAGGTTCAGAAGCTCGGGATCTCAAGCATTGCGCATTCCCATCGGCGCGATGGGTTATCAGTGCCTTATCAAGTGGAATCCGCTAGACTTACGCTAGACGAGACGAGGATGCGGGGTATATTCAGGAGACCAATTAAGCAGCTTCGATGAGTCTTGTCGCACCTAATCAGAGCGATGTGGGTCGAGGCGTTACTGTGCTTTCGGTCTTTTGCCGCGTTATCGTTAGTCTTCATTGGCGGAGCATAGTTGGGGTGCAGTTATCGTCTTAGTCGAACTTAGGACCCTAGGGCCAACCAGGCCGAGACCGGAATCATCATAAATCACTTGCATGGTCGATGCTGCTTGTCAATTCTTGTGGCATCTAGGCTATTGAATATTGACTGTTAGAATGTATCTGAGATGGAATGAGTGGCGCGGGTGTTGATAAGCACGTAGCGGGGAGTTGAACGTTTCAATAAATCATCTCGGTGGCGCTAACACATTGCCGAGTCTAGGCCTGAACGTTTATTTCCGTCGCTGTCATATAACTACTCCAAGGGCGTTATGAATTCTCTCGTCTAGGTACCCTGGACCCTGGTGGCCTCGAATTGTTTGCTTCTGTCAACAGTGAATCCTTCCCCGAATGCAGTGCCGGTCCAGTTACTTGTGAAGTATATAAGCGCAAATGTCCGACTCTCCAGGTTGCACGTCACTTTCTGACTCAATTCAGCAATTATGCAACAGGAAAGATACAACGATCAACTGAATGGTTCATTTAACATTGGAGGGTTCGGCGCGGCGGGCTTCTCGCCGAATGCTAAACTCCGAAAAGCCCCACACCCCGCCGTGACTCAAGAGCCCAGGATTTAAAACATCCAGAAGTCCATCACTTTAATCTCAAAATAACCATTATGGATCGCCATTTAGAGCCCATGGTAGTAGCTGATGCTAGACAGCCTACTCTGTCGGAACGTCTGTTAGTGAAACGCGTCATTGTGCTTCCGGGTAACATACTAACAAACTCGCAGACAGCCAATTCTCATTTTGGCTTCTTCAACAGCTCTGGTTTTCACAGGATGTGGCATCAACTTCACATTCGGTGTCTACCAGGATCTGTATGACTCTATGTCCAAGCTCCCTAATACGCCCTTTACCGGTGCAACCCCGGCGCAGATTGATCTCATTGGCACACTATCCATCGCGCTCATGACAATAGGCGCACCGTTCACAACGGCTTGGAGTAAACAATATTCGCCTCGATCAGTCATCTGGAGTGGCGGGGTTATCTATTCCGTCGCACTTGTTCTTGCCAGCTTTAGTCAAGCTCTATGGCAGTTCCTTCTCACCCAGGGTCTTCTACTTGGAATTGGAACCTGCATGGCCTACATGCCCTCCGTGACAGTGGCACCCACCTGGTTCTCAAGCCACCGCGGACTTGCCATGGGAATCATTCTTGCCGGGACCGGTGTCGGGGGAGTCGCCTGGCCCTTGGCGTTTCGGTATCTCATTGAACGCGTGGGATTCCGGAATTGCCTCCGCATCACCGCCGCGATTTCCTTCGTGCTAATTATGGTGTCGGGCATTTTCATGCGATGGCCCGATAGCCAGTTGACCCGTATCCAGGCAGAGAATGCCGCGAATTCACGAGCAAGCTTTCTGCGTATTCCGCTGGTTGACTGGCGTGTCGTGCGCACTCGCAAATTTGCCGCCCACGCATTAGGAGCAGCCCTTCAGTCGGCTGCATACTACACGCCAGTGTTCTTCTTTGCCTCTTTTGCGCGCACACTGGGTTACTCACAGGCCACATCAGCCAACTTCATTGCGATTTCGAACGCAGCGAATGCTGTTGGCAAGATTGCCATCGGGTATGCCGCAGACCGTATGGGCCGGCTGAACACATTGTTCTTGACAACGCTGCTGTCATCCGTGGCTGTACTTGCCCTTTGGCTCCCTTCTTCCCTATCAACGAGTCAGTCCAGTGGCAGCGCCCTATTCATCGTGTTCACCGTGTTCTATGGAGTGTTTGCCTCGGCCTATGTCTCACTGTTTCCGACAAGCCTGGTAGAGCTGTTTGGTGTGCAAAATTTCGTCGGTGTTAACGGCGCGCTGTATATGGTGAGAGGACTTGCAACGTTGCTAGGGACTCCTATCGCTGGCCTGTTGATTCGTAGCAGTCAACACCAAACGACGAACTCACACAGTTATGTGAATACTAGTATCATGGTCGGCGTCTTACTGGCTGCTGCAACATTTGCAGTGCTATGGGTTAGGATTGAAGCAACTGTGATATTGGAAGGGGGACAGAGACCTCGCAGAAAGTGGCTAATGTAAATAGCCCGAGGTGGCTAGCTGATCTTGGAAACCAAAGGGGGTGAATGGGGGAGTGTCTACATTCCAAAGCATCTTGCAAAATGTTCGAATGTTTAAGGCACCTTTGACCATCCTGGCTGTTCCCAATGGTTCGCGGGAAAAAGTGCCATGGTGTGCCAATACTGAAACAAATGGAAAAGATTGCAAGGTCAAGGTTGGTTGGTGCAAGCTGCCTAGAGGTGGCCGGGCTATTTGCATTTATAGGACTCCCTTTGATACTTAGTACTTAGACCAAATGATAAATCAGACTTGACTTGAAATCGGGTCATGAATCTCGAAACGGTAATACTGAAACTCCTGAGTAGACAAATAGCTCGTGCTTTAAAACGGTGATACGAATATGCCAAACCGTGAACTCGGTGCTGTCGGATTAGGTGCCTAGAGATAAAGATGAATAGGCTAGAGACTGCATCTTGGACTTTGAGTATCTTTGGAACCGGCCTTAGATCAAAAGGTATGTCGATGCAGTCACTGTAACAGTATATGCCAATGGATGACATCATTATATGCATTTCCGATACACTGAGCTCAGAAAAATTGCCGGCAATCCAACACTTCAGGGTCGTTAGGAAGAAATCGGATTCGAAAATTAGACCCAACACAACTGTCCGGCAGATGCTTGGCATTGACCGCGTACCTCTCCCACTAGGTAGATGTGAAAAAGACAGAGTCCATGCAAGTGTACTTAGGATATTTTCTATTTCAATTATAGAGAATAAGAAAGCATACACTGGCCAACTTTCAATGAGATAGTAGATAGCGTTCATTCTGGCTGAGAGGAGGAAATTAATTGATCTAGGGATGGCTTCACGAACGGAGGCCAGTGTTACGGCTCAGGCAAGCTAATCGGAGAAGACATCTTTGACTCAGGTCCCCAGTAATGTAATATTAAGACAAGGACCGAAAAATGGAAGTAGGAGGAGGAGATAGGCCTAAGAGGGCTATTTTAAACCACTCTTACCATAAACGGCACTCATGCAGGCAGTATTATATCTATCTATTAGTCACGGAAGTGTTCTCTACAAATCGATATAACCTCTGAGGATTGATGGTAACTACATTGAATAATCGAATGCAAGAATAGGAATAATAAGGAACCTCTTCTAATTTGCCAAAGCCCTAGTGGAGCCCTATGATCTTGTCACAGCCAATTTAGTATTGAAGAATGAATATCCTAACTTTTTACCGCTAAATAAAAGTCCTCCAATTTCAATACCAAGAAGGGAGAGGGTATCCTCCCAATACATTGGCATGTAGGTACACCTGGTCAAGAGTGTTTTGACGAGAAGTTTCAGTTGAATAAGCCCAAGTCTCGAAAAAGTTTTACAATTTGCTTCGAGAAATCACCCTTAGGAAACTCTACGAGTTGCTCACTGTAGTCTGGAAATCTTCAGGTTCACGGCCCAAAAGCTCCCCAAGGAGAGGTGATGCGTATGCTGCCTCACCTCGACGGAAGGCTTCAAAGGTTGTCGTCCACACCTTGGAGTGATCGACTCCATGATAGAGGAAGTTCGGCTTGACCTGAGGCTGTGCAGCAAATTCATCTTCGGAGACCTGGTGGATCTTGACAGGTAGGTTGGCCACTTTGCCCAGAATGTCCACTGACTCCTTCAAAGACACCACCCGGCTTCCGGAGAGCAAAACGGACTTCTGAAGATATGGGAAGCTCTTCGGATCTTTGACAAATCTTTTTAGAAGCTCAGCAGTGCCCTCGCCCAGCTCTTCACGCTTGACCCAGGCAATACCGGGCCCAGATCCGTCATGTGGGATCTTAATCTCACTGACCGGGTTCTGCGGGTCAAAAAAGGCGGTATAGAGAGGGTACGACTCGGAGTACAGGCCTTCGCGGACCACCGTGTATCCAAAGTCCTTATTCGTCTGGGACAAATGTTCTAGATACTTCTCTGTATCCAGATGAGCTTGCATAACGTGAGCCACGGAGGCTTTGTTCTCTGGCTTGCCACCATATCCTAGAGAGCCATAGAAGATATGCTTAACTCCGCTACGAATCGCAAAGTCAATGGCAACCCGATGACGCTACTCGCACAATTGTTAGCACTGTGTTAAATACTTCCGGGTGGATTTGCTTCCACATCTTACCTCCGATCTGTGCTCATGCTCGACTGAAGGATATGAGATCAAGAACAGAGTATCCACACCATCAAAAGCACGCGAAAGGGTGTCATCATCGTCATAGTCCGCATGACGAACTTTTGCACCGGCAGAAGAAGCGTCACTCAATTTCTCGGGATGACGAGCGACGAAGGTAAGATTTTCGGACGGAAGTCGAGGTAAAAGATGCTTGACAGTGCTGCCACCAATACCGCCAGAGGCAGGGAAAACAGCGACTCTATCGAATGACATTATGAACGTGTTCGACTTCAAATGACTGAGATATGTGAGAAACTTTTGTATTTTGCAAGAGTGACGTTTTCTAGTTATCACTTCAGAACATTACCTTTTTTCAAGAGTCACTGGATCTGATTTGTCACAGAGTCGGCATGATTTGGGACCGGTCGGAAAGTTATGTTACTTGTAGATGCCGCAAAGCATCATTTGTCAACTCGGGCACAAGCGACGGCGACTTTTGACGCATACTCGGGCTGCCGGCCCACCCGGACTCGGACTCAGTTTCCTCGGCGATCTCGTTCCGTTGGATCAGGTGATCATTCTAGATGTAGAAAGATTCGTCTCATCCATAGAAAGTTCCTATTCAGCTTCTTCCATGTTCGAAGAGACTTTCCTGTATCTGTTAAGACGAACCCTTGCGAGAGCTATAGGTATAGACTTCAGATGGCTAGTGGCGAATTAATCATTTCTGGCCACCATATATGGAAGCATAGGTCCTAGTAGCTATATTACCTACGATTTACAAGGTAGAAACCCTAAAATTCCGTGCGTACGGATTCAACGATGACTAGGCCGTCACGTAACAGACGTGGATTCCTGTGGTCTACTGCGTAATGCGGAGATAACTCGGGGAATATTCGAGAATAATTATGTGTATTACTAATACAAACGGACCAGCCATTGGAACGAAAGGCCAACGGGTTCAAATTATTAGCTACGTACGGGTTGACAACTTATGTGGACTTGTATGGACTATGACCTACATGCATCTCTACAGAGATACAATGTTTGATAGTACGGAGCGAATCAGTGTATCGCAAGCCATGTGCCGCGTAAGGTCGGTCTGGACGATCTCGAAAGCCGGCATCGCAATGCCGAGTGATTCCGTCCAATCATATTCCAGTCTTCTCGATACCATACTTCTGGCGCCGCGTCAAACCGCAAACCTTTCTCCCCTCTAACGTCGTCGTAATCAGACAGATTCGTGTGATAGAAGCCCTGGAGCACACACTCGTGTTGTGCTCATATGGGACCCACATTCACATGCAAGGAATACATCTCACATGTCAGTTTCACGTGAAAGAGTCTCTATGTTATTACAGTCGGTAATTTCAATTTCAATGTGATTTGCTCCGTGGCTCTAATGCGTCTATGTACGGCCTCATGAACATCCAATTCATACCTTCATGGGCCGGGCGTCTGTGCCCTTTCCCCTAATCCCATTAGACCACCCGCAATCCCATTCATGCGTCTATCTAAAATATCTTCCTCGCTGTCTAAAGATGCGATACTTCGGCCACGAGGACGATGAACGCCTGGGCTTTCTGGAGCACTGTTGATTCCGTCCTGGTCTACGCCTTCTAGGTCGAGGCGTTCTAGCTTTGCAAGAAAGTCTTTTGCATCGCTAGACTCGTTTCTGGTGCTCGTAAACCCGGTCACTCGGGAAGATGCGAAGGAGGAACGAGATCGGCGGCGACGGCGGCGAGATGGTGAAGCCGGCGGGTGATCTTCGTTGATAGATGATGACGTGATCTTGCTCATGCTCATTTCCAGTGGTTTGTCCTCGTCAGCGGAGGACTCCCCTGTGAAACGGCGGTGGTGGTTGCTAAAGTAGCCTCTCGCACTACCATTGCCCTTAATTGAGCCCCTCCATCTTGCAGAGGTCCGGATGCTGGAGAGCTGAGATGCCTGAAGAAGACTGTACTCGGAGCCATCCAGATCCATTGTGTCAAAGATGTTCTCAATCCAGCTCGCACTGCGGTTAATGTATTTCCATGCATCCGGGAAGAATCCCGCCATTTGCATGAATCCGTGCGAGACTCCCGGAATGAGCGACACCTCAACATGATCCTTCTCATTGAATTCGCGTCGGGACTTTTCCAAGCCCAGGTCTTGGCGTTCATGGAATTGATGAAGCTTCGCTTGGCGCAGTCTGCCTGCGAAGATGACCGTATCGTCAACTAAGGGGTCGCGCTCGCCAGTTAAAATGTAGGTTTTGGGGAATGCTGCGAGTAATGAATCTGGAGCAAGAACGGGTGACAAATAGAAATCTGTATTGAAGTCCGGCCGGTGGTGAGGACCGATGTAGAGGATGATCATAGCTCGCATCATCTCAGGCGTGAGGATCCGATCATGCACATAAGATATCATTGATGAAACGGCCAGTCTGGTTTTTAAAGGCTGAGTCTGGTCTTCTGGCTGAGGAACTGCATTCTCGCTCAGATCCTCGCTTTTCTTCAATTTGTCGCGGAGTGCTCTTGACGTTTCGGATGCAACATCGACTTTCTCGGGTTTCTGGGGTGATTGCTTCGTGATCGCAGTCAAATCCTCAACAGAATGACCTGGGGAGGTATAAGGCGTTAACTTGCGATATTGATCTTGCTTCCGCTGCAAAATGCTTCGGTTGGTCTGGCGAGTGTCTTTATCCTGGATCAACGACATTTGCTCGTCGGTCATCCAGCTCTCAACTCTCACGTTCAAAGCCGGATATGCCAGAACCAGGCCATCTGGACGAGGAAGCACATCCTCGCCTTTCCAACCCCGCGCCATGGCTGACTGCAAAACCATCAGTGTCATGCCAACGGCGAGGTTCCCGCCCGCACTTTCTCCGGTCACAACGATTCGAGGGCGTGTTGAGCCGCTCAGCCCGAGACAACGGCCATTAGTTGACATGATAGTGTGGTAAACATCATAGCACTCATGTAATGCATACGGGTATGCGTATTCCGGAGCCTTTTTGTAGTCGATGCTCAAAACTGGCACTTTCAGCCGACCCGCCCATGACGATAGTTTGTCTTCGGAGTTCCGGGGTCCCATAGCAACAAAGCCACCTCCTGGAACATCTAGAATAATGGCAGTTTGATCTTTGAGTGCACTCAAAGGTCCGTCAAAGTACAACCATGCATTCACAGGATCCGCGTGAACGGAGTGGAGCGGGCGTGCAATGCGAATCGCCCGAGGCGCATAACGAGTCAATCGGGGACGGAGCAGGCTCGCCAACACCCATAGGTAAGGAGATGTAGCTTTGTTCCACGACACACGCAGATGCTCTAAAGTCAAGGTGCCGCGAACGCGTCGAACCTTCTCATCCGCTTGTTCCGCGGCGATAAGATAGTAGACCGTGAAGACCAACGAAGCCAAATCTCGCAGGCATTTCGGCTTAATCTTCATAGCCGTCCAGAAACCGGCGTCTAACCCAGTTGTGATCCATGTCGCGCGGAAGAATGATCGTGAGTAGAGGTTTGCCAAAGGTTCCGGACATTCCAGTCCGACGATCTTGGCAAAGTTGCGGCTGACGTAGAGCCAAAGGAAAATGATCACAGTCGTTTGCCAGGCACTTAGTTTACTGCTGAAATACCTGGAAAGAGACCGAATGAAAGGGGGGCCATGCTTGTTCGCTCTGTGGTGAATAAGAGTCTTAGCCACGATACATTCCAGGATCAAATATATCGAAGCATCGGCTCACCGCAAAAGATAAAGTGACCAGAAAGAAACTACGGCGAAAACCTGGATTTTGCGGAAACGCGTAGAAGGTCTCCCTAAGACGTGGTCTGTAACTGGCATTAGCGTTAATCTTGACGATGGTGAGGCGTCTTACCTATCATATCTACCCACGCTGCATATGCAGCACCCTAGCACCTGTATAAGGAGATTTTTGTACAACCGGAAGGGAAGGAAAAACTCAATGATGATCCAAAGAGGAACACGCAAAAACAATGCAACGATGGAATTAAATAAAATTGAAATGAAGTCAAGTGAAATGCAACTTTCACATGTGAAAGCCGTCACATGCCGGTGACGCCATCAGCTGACTCTTATCAACAAATCAGCGGGGGTACATTTCGCTGCCAACGTGGGGGATTCAAACCCCAGTTCTTACTTCCGCTGACGCACTATGATACTATTCGTGGGGTATTAGCGGGCTGGACACTCCCTGGGGCTCGCTTAGGAACGCTGCAAAAATTTGGCAAACGATGATCGTCCATTGCTCAACCAAATCACACGCTATGTATGTTCGGAGATTCTGTTTTAGGTCTCAGCACCTCCCCATTCTCGCTACAGCTTCTCAGATGCGTCACTATCCTCCAATAGACATCCTCGGCAGCGTTCTTTCCAACAATAGGATCGAGATGACCGTACCCCTCGGCTAGGAATCTGCGATAGTGCCTCTCCCCGAACCGTCGGCGCAACAACTCATAGTCCTTTAGTGTTGATTCGGGGTTGAATACTTGGTTTTCCGTTCCCGAAACGAAAAGAATTGGTAGCCCTTGTAATCGCTGCAAATTCTCTTCGGTGAGAAGACAATGTGACTCATTATCGGTACACCCTCCTTTTGTTCCCATGCGGACCACTTGCTTCATCATCTTAGTGTAGGTCCCTTCGAAGAACCGATGAACGTTGTCATGAATACCTACGTCAAGGTTCTCATGGTTCCATAGTAATCCAAAGGCAAAAGAGGTTCGACGGCACGCCGTGGATGTGCACCGGTCTCGTTTATTTCCCAAGGGATAGAATCGAAGCAGGGCATCGAGTAATCGTTGAAAGACAGCATCTCCGGCACTGCTGGAAATAGGGAAAAAGTTACCCGCGAGATATTCGTATAGTTGGATCAGAAGAGTGGTCCGTCCTTTGATCGCGTTCCAGTATCCGAAGACCATATTGATGAAGACGGAGTTTGCAGTGACACCGAGGAGGTCACTGCTGAATATTGTTCCATCGAGGAGTCCCATGCCGAGGGCCACGGAGCCTTGACAGTGGGCTATCACGTATGGCTTCAAGGTCTCTCGGCCTCGGATGAAATCGACCGCTGCGGCAACGTCAAGACGGCAGTCGAAAACCGTGGATCTTTGAGCGACGGAAGGATCAGCACTCCAGCGAGGTGAAAGTGCGTAACAACGGTGTCCGCGCTCTCTGAGATAATCGATCATGTTGCAACGCAAGAATGGTAACGCGTAAAGATTGTGCACCGCACTCCCGGTGATACCTGGAAGAAGCAGAACTGGCGGCGGGGTTATGCTGTCTTCCGAAATTCCTTTCCCTTCGGAAGGAAGAGAGTCATACACCTCAAGAAGCGCCTGCACACCATCTCTGGCTTTGATTCTGAATGAATTTGAAGGTAGGGTTTGTTTTGAACGGGTCTTGTCCTCACTTGAGGAGCGAGGGAAGCGCAATGGAACGAAGGGATTGAAGAAGAAGAGGCTCACGTGTAGTATGAACGAGAGCAGAAAAACCATTAAATCCCAGAAAAGTCCAGCTGTCAGAGACACGGTCGGCCGGAACGTTTGAATTTGCTTTTGAAAGTCCAGTAGTGAAATATGAAGGGCCCCGGATCCAACTATTGCCCCATCCGACCGAAGGATGCTGACGTTGACTGTAGTTGTGGCTTCCCAAGTCTTTCTGACAGAGAATGCTATGTTCGAGTTGATAACCTTGCGGCCTTCCAAATGATATTGCCTGCCTTCTACTGAGAGGAGCTGCAACTGATATGAGATGCTCGACGACTCGGGCTTGTCTTCTATCGACGTGAAAAATTTCACGCTCCCATCAACGATTTTTAGCGTGTTTGTCGATAATGCATAGCAAGAAGCTGTTCCAGTGCATTTCCCTTCGTAACCTGACCCTATGAAGACATAAGTGTGAGGTCAAAAAAAGGTCGCTTTGTTTCTCACCTTTCTGGGGCCGGCAGATTTCTATCGTGAGAAATATCCGCATGGCACAAGATGAGCCCTTTCCGAACCTGTCAGAGCGCCCGGGGTCTTTTTTTCTCGATCCAATGCAAATATGTCCATATAGAGTCTCTGTAAACTGCCATCCGATAGGGTTCGATTCGATGCTCATGTTTTCCTTGTGATTTCGTGGATTGCTTGAGACCCTAGGCTTGCTATAGGTATTCAAGACACCGTTCTGGGTCGCAAGATCAATTGAAAGTCCAGAATTCTCCACAAGAAACTGGACAGAACGTTCTGAAAGAGCGGTTATCGTCGCGAGCGGGTTCACACCCAAGGCCGTTGGAATGATGGAGGCATCGCAGCACACAAGTCCTTTGTGTACTTCGCTACCTTTGCCAGTGAAGACCTCTCCCAGATAGTTAGTTACGCCCGCGAGTCCTGTACCATCACTGCTCATATTGGCACCTCCAAGTGGATGAACAGTAATTTCCTCCTCGTGGCGCCCTTATCCGAGTTAGCGTGGGCCGTCCACAGTATCGATCGTTCTTACCGTAGAAGTATGAAAACCCCATGCTTGCTTGTGTGTAGCCGAATAAAATACTCAATAATTTTTTGATCTTCTTGAAATTCTCAGAGCGACCTTCCGAGGGAGCTTGCAAACATAGTTGATCACTGTCTAGGGTCAATGTCATCTCATTACTGTCATGGGACATCACAAGATATGTTGAGGTTCGCTGCAATGCTCCACCACTTGCATATGGGCCAAGTAAAAATGACTTCAATATGGCAAAAGTCCTTCTGGTCCCCTCCCGAGGATTTGACACAAAGGACCTGGCTTGGTCTTTGACTGTCTGCAGAGTAAATAACAGCTGGATCACTGGATTCATCGGCTCAGGGATACAACCATCCTGGATAATATATCCGGAAAGAGGACTATCTACGGGGTCAACAAGGCGGTTGTCGATCACTCCAGTGATAGTCGGGCCTGGTGCCTCAATATCGCGTGAAAATCTGCGAGCGATTGCGTTGACATCGGTTTTCCCATTGTACCCTAGACCGGAATTAGATGCGAGCGATGTGAAATGCTGGACGTGACATACCAAATAGCAACATATCACCATTACCGGAAAGATTTCTTCCAACGAGCGGAGACATCTGCAAGCCGCACTTCTTAGACCTAAGCAGGATCTCAGTGGTACCCAGAGCGCCAGCTCCAAGAAAACAGAAATCCGTCTGGTTATGAGAGGTAATATGTCAAATTTCGTTCGTTTCATGGCTCGGAAAGAGCCCGGTTGAGTTGGAACCTACTGCCTTTACCCAAAAAAGCTGCTCTTTGAAATAATTTTTGAAAACGGATCTGCCACTCCCATGCCACGCAAAATGGATAATGTACCCATTTTCGTTCGGGTCTTTCTCCACAAACCTGACCTCACACCCACAGAATATCTCAGCGCCCCAATTCCAGGCATCTGCAAGATATGTTGTTGCTACCGAGTTTTTCGAGCCATCGTTGAGGCCAGTAGACTCGTGACCTGACCCTGTATTTGCTTGCATTGGTACACCGACGTTGTTATGGCCACTATAGAAGAATGTGGTGAGTGGTGCTTTATAGAAGTTCTCCCCTGTTCCCAGGCGTTTTGAATCTTCTTGCAAATGCTCGAGTTTGCGCAAATTTGGATACTCTTCCGGATACGTGGAAGGCTGTAACATTGTTTCAGCTCGCAAATAGTCTGCTTTGGTTAGTTGTAAGACTTTTACCATTTCGCGGAGAGCAGGAGGCTCACAATCATCCAGCACTGAAGGGTCATTTCTGATCTCCGATGGCCACGGACTCATTGTCAAAGTGTCTTCGTCTGCTTCCAGAAAGACTCCCGCATTTATCAAAGAGCAGCCTCCGAGCCCTTTGGTTTGATTCAGAAAAATGCTCACATACTAATTTGAGGCCCGACACGTACCATGAGCAGAGAATGCATGTTGCCCATTCCCTAGAAATAATTGAAAGAGCCGTGTAGGATTTCCAGGTGACACCCAGTTTGACAGGAAGGAATTCTTTGAAGATTTTCCCGAAACATTCATATCCATGAGACATTGAGGCAGGCTGTGCGGAAATGAGCCGGCTTGGTAGCATGTTAGCATTTGCATGTCGATTGAGCCCTCTTAATGGAAGTTTCATAATTCATAGCGACAATATTTCAATCAATGAAATGCGAAGGGTACTTACATCTTCTTTCCCAGCCGAGCTCAAGTATGGCAACTGTCTTTCCTGCTCGAGCCATTCGACTCGCTGCAACGCCAGCTCCATAACCGGATCCTATAACCACGACATCATACTCCGATCTCATTGAGTCAAATGGAAGACTCAGTATCGGATAGTCATCGGTCTTGTGACTACGATTTGACATTGTTGCTGTCTTCGAATATCTGTCAGACGCAAGGTGTGGGGCACCAAGAGGGTTTTCAAAAAATTCTCAATAATCTTTCAGTAAAAATGGCGTCGCCGGATTAGGACCGAGCTGAGAAGACTTCAGCCTGAGATACCTAGTACGGCTGAGATGGCAACAGACAGATGCGTAGAAACTCTATTTGACGCTGTCAGTTAGTCGCTTTGGACCTCGGCATCGGAGGTGCTGAGCGGAATGGATAGGTAGACTCAGGTAGACTCCGATAGGATGATTCTAGTCCGATATTGTTACAGGCTGGCCACGCACGGGCCGTCGCGCTATATTTGAATTTGGCCCCCTTGCATTGTAAGCGTGCCTTTGCAAATCTCTAGATACCTATTTGCCTCTGAGGTAAAATGGCGGAAGATGTTGATCTCATCGATCTTTATTGAAATCTATTCCACGAGATTGGAAATATTTATAAGCTCTGTTGAATTTTTCCTTCGCCGGCATGTCTTCTCAAGTCTGGAATGATAGAATGCAAGTATTCCAGTATTCTTTTCTGAGTGTCAGCCGGTATGTTTATGTGCATGAAACAAGACGCCTCCTCGTATCTTGAGCGGCAAGGCGGCGGTCAACCGTTTTTCACCCCATGCCGCATCTACAACAAGCAAATACCTTCAGCCACGTAGCCACCTTAAGCTTGTCAGAGAGGGACATCTGGATTCGGAGATATGTGTAAGAGTGATGAATTAGTGCTATGGGAGAAGTAGGCTCTCTATGCTACAAACCAACCTAAAACCAAGTGAGCCCCGCTGGGCTGAATGAAATCTCAACACCTTATGGCGGCCTTGTAAGCCAATGATAATTTTTCATGCTCCGGTTTTGGCAACTTAGCTGGAAATCATTCAATAACGGAGCTGATCTGAAGCTCATGAGGAACATGACTAAAGTACGATATTTTAGCCGAGCCTTGGTCGGTCTAGCTATGCCACCTTGGGCTAGTAAAAATATCAGGTTAGGCTAGTATATGCGGTAGATTGTTTTAAACTTTGTCTAGGCAAGGCCAATTGAATGGGGAAATGGGCGCTAAGCCCACGGAGCGGGCCAACAATACGATGAAATTGCGCTATTCCTCCCGTTCGCGGGAAACTAGTGCCGTAAAGTGATAGATAAGACTCACCCCATTGGAACTAGATACTATCGAGTTACAACGAACGCAGAGGCCATCAGCTCTAGGGCTTTCAAAAGACTAGACGGATAAATCGATCACGAGCCTATATTGATGTTTCCCTTTGATATTCATTCCAAATAACTATTGGAACACCCATGTCTGTAAATAAGCCAGGTATTTATACTTTTTCGTCCTGGCTCTGGCGATCCCGATCTTGCATATGTGCCACAATTGAGTTCTTGGCATATCGTGAACTTGAATCAAATGATATGAATCAGGACAAACAGGATCTCATTTTCCCGGCATCTATACCATGTAATTGGAGCAAAATATCCAGCTCAAGAACACCATGATAAGAGCATCCACTCGGAGTTCGTAAGGCTCCCTATGGAGTACCCGTAGGCCTTTATGCTGGGGTCGTGGCCAGACGTCTCCTAGCTCCAACCACTGTCAGCACTTTGGGTCACACTTTGATAACTCACGATTTGGTGCAAGAAGCCTCGATAATTCTATGATGGATTTTAGCAATCATGGCAAGCTCCAGGGCGCGAATTTTATATTATAGAGATCAAGGGACGATCGAGCTTTACATAAAACCTCGGTCAACATTGGATAAATATCCTGGAGTCCCTGAATTTCCTTTGACTACAAATCCTGTTGCCTTGACCCTTTTCATGCGGCTGAAAGATCCCGCTATTTAGGCGCCCATCACCCTGCTCCTAGTGAATTGTGAGTTCTCGCACAACATCCATGCGGAGCATCGCTTATCTTCTGCGCGAGGTAATGCCAAGGTCCGCCGTCCTTGTTCCCAGACGGGTAATGCCGTCTAAGAGGTCCAGCTCGAGGCATTTCCGTTATGCCTTAACCAATAGTCGAGCAATGCCCCTCTCGACAGACGATTGATAAGTAATTCTAGCTAGCTCAAATCCAAGATGGTTTTTAGAGAAGGGTCATTCTTCAATCTAATCTCTTGATTTAATAGGAAGTATAAGGGAGTCTAAGCACTGAGCACAGGTAGTCTTAGATCTGCCGGCAGTACTCTCGCCCATGAATCTGCTGAAACCTGCACAGCAGAAGTTCCCACGGCATACTCAAAAATCCAGCAATGCAAATACCAGCCGAGTCGCTAACAGTCGTAGCCCCAAGCGAGAATTCGCGGTCTTCTTCGGGCACGCGATCGCTAATTTCTGCGAACGTATTGACATATACCAGACCCCCCAACAAACCTTCCCAGAAGATGATCAGGAACACAAGCCAGATGCTAGGAATGAAATTAAACAAGGAATGGCATGTTAGAAGTGCCAAGTTTAAAAGTTGTAAGATGGAGGGTAGGTAGAGGTTGTGGATGCGGAAGAATGGAGTTGAGGAGCGCGAGACGAAGACTCCGGCTTGGTAAATTGCATTGTATGCTGGGTAGAAAGCGCGGAAGTTCTCGAAGGGTGTGGCGGGTAACGGGAAAAGTAGAGTAGGGGCCACGCCCTGGTTGATCACGTATTCGGCGATGAATACCATAAGCAAAGGAAGCATGCTTCAGAATTGTCAACAACAGAGCATGAGCAAGAATATCATGAGTACATACTATGGGAAGAATAGCTTCCGAAGACGGTGGAGGTTAGCACGGAAGTGTGCCCACTTGGCTGCCGACTCGCTGACATGAACGGCTTTATGGGATTCAGCAGTGGGAGCAGAGACACCCAACAGTCTCTCCTCTTCGTCTCCCGTTTGCAGGTTATGATTATCCTCATCTCCCTCTTCATCACTCGGATGCTCCCCGCGCTCAACAGCATAGTATACTCCCGTCGCCGAGTTAACCGGCTTCAACGCATCCCGCGGTAAAACAAGGAAGAAGCTCGCGGCCATGACAAACGGCAACAGCGCCGACGCTAAAAGAGTGGCCTTGACAGGTATTCCCATTGCAGAGGTAGCTAGAGAATAAGCACCAGCCCCAACCAAGCCAGCAGCGCCAGTCCCGCTACCCCAGGCCGCCAAGCTAAAGGGTCCATAGAAATGCGTCAGACCAACGAAGCTCAGCTCGCCAGCTCCAGCAGAGAAACTCGCTAGAACAATTCCCACAATCTTAGACGCAATAGTCCCTCCATCGGTATAGGGCGGGCTCAGAGCCACGACGACCATGCCAACTATCGACAGAAACACGAACGCGATGACCCGCACCGAATAAGGAACCACATGGATAAAGTATGGGGCGATGAGCTTGGTCCCGAATGATGGGATGATATCTGCGAGGAGAACGATGCCTTTGGGGATATCTGGTCCGACAAGGTCCAGGGCCGCGGAGAGGAGGACAACGTAGAGGACATTGTTGATAAGGCCTGTTTGGCGGTTAGACGCTGAACATTCGGGATTTCGCTGGCTATACGTACCAAACAGCCAGAAAGCGACGCAGACTCGGGGGTCCGCGCCGCTGAAAACTCCATTCAGACGATCGCTGAACCGAGCCCGCCGCGACGGTGAAATGTCATTATCACCTATCGGGGCAGTTGTGGACGCGGGGCGTGTCATGGGGAAGGTGGTCGCGTGAGGGTGGTGAAGAGACTACAGGTAATAGAGAAGGAGGTGACGACTATCGGGAATCCATGTTTCTAGGTTAGTTTCAAAGAGAAGATCAGGGATACGAATGGTAATCGCATCTGTTTCGGCGAGGTGGAAAGAAGGTCAGGCCCACTGAAAGGGTTCCACTCTACGCGTACGTCCGGCAGTCTTGGCACGGGTCTTGAAGTATGACAATTCACAGTTGACATTTCTCCCCTTCCACTTTTATTCTTCAGTCTATCCTCTATAGATGGGATGTTTTCAAACCAAAAATATACGCTGTCGCCAATCAAATGGTATATCAAACACGTCATAGCCGGCATTCAAATCACTGGGTCATTCCAAAATTCAGGACTTGGCCACAACCGAGTCGATAGACTGCTCGAGAATGTTCAGGCCAGCCTTAATCTGATCATTAGTGATGGTCAGAGAAGGAACGAAGCGGACACAGCCATCACCGGCAGTGATGATAAGCATGCCGCGCTCGCGGGCAGCGGTGATAATATCGCCTGCCTTGGAAGAGAAAGTGGGGGTAAGCTGGACACCCAAGATCAAGCCCCGACCGCGGATCTCCGAGATGACATCGGGGAACTTCTTCTGAAGAGCCTCGAAGCCAGCGACGAATTGAGCAGACTTCTCCTTGACGGCGCTCTGGAGTTCAGGTGTAGACAGGCGCTCGACGATGTGGTGGGCGACACGGCAGGCCAGAGGATTTCCACCGAAAGTGGTGCCGTGGTCACCAGTCTTAATATGCGAGGCGACAGTCTTACCGGAGACAATGGTTGCGCCGATGGGGATTCCGTTGCCCAGGGCCTTCGCGGAAGTCAGGATATCGGGGTGGGCAGCCTCGCCAGAAGCAGGGGCCAGGGAGGGGTGGCCGTGGGCCCAGAAAGTGCCGGTACGGGACAGACCGCACTGGATCTCGTCGAAAATCAGAACAGCGCCAACCTCGTCACAGCGCTTGCGCAAAGCAGCGAGGAACTCGGGAGTAGCGACGTTGACACCACCTTCACCCTGAATGGGCTCGACAATCACACCACAGGTATTTTCCGTAATAAGAGTCTGAAGCTGCTCAACGTCGTTGTAGTTACCGTACTTGAAGCCGGGAATCATGGGCGAGAAGGGGGTCTGGTATTTGGGGTTGGGGGTTGCGGATAAAGCACCCATTGTGCGGCCGTGGAAGGAGTTGTGGAAGGAGAGGAACTCGTGCTTAGCACCGGAGGGATCCTTGGAGCGGCCGACCTTACGGGCGAACTTGATAGCAGCCTCATTGGCCTCGGTTCCGGAGTTGGAAATGAAGACTTGCGACGCATCGCGCATGGCGCCGGACGCGCGAGTCTGTTCGATCAACAATTGACTCAGGGCACCAGTCCAGGGGTTGTGATAGAGGTTGGAAGCGTGAATGAGGGTCTCGGCCTGTAGATGCTTAGTATTAGCAATTGCGGAGCTGGGTGTTAGTATGACTCAAACAAGCGCACCTGTTCCGCGACAATCTTCGCGATCTCGGGATCACAGTGACCGAGAGAGTTGACCGCAATACCAGCAGTAAGATCCAAGTAGCGACGGTTCTCCATATCCCATAGGTAGACACCCTGTCCCTTCATCATCATCGGGGCCGGACGGACATAGGTGGGGACCATGAACGGAGTGCGCTCGTTGATGAAGGACTGCGTGAGGGAGTCGGCAGAGGGGTCAGGGTTGGGCAGGGTAGCCTCCTTCTACAATTCAATTAGCACAATTAATTACCGACGGGATTGGTCTGGACGTAGGACATACCTGGACCTGAGCCTTCACATCCTGAGGGACATTTGAAGTGGCCGCAAATCGACGCTGAATGGGTGACTCAATTGAAGGGACCAGCCGGGAGGCGCGAGGGAGGCGGCGCGCGGCCACACGGAGAGCAGACATTGTTCAATGGAATGGGCGAATTGATCGTCCTGACTGAAGATCAAGGTAGGTCCAGCTACTCGGACTCGAGAAGATTGGAAGCAAAAAAAGGCGGCGATATCGGGATCGGCATTTCTTAGTCACACCACTGATCGGCGCCACTCCCCGAGGTGCTTCGGGCCCGTTCGCGTTCTACTTCTCAACCTTATTGATCCAGACAAATACCTCCCACATAATCGCTATGGCGTCCACACTTGCTCTACGCCGCTTATGCGCTCCCTCTTTCACAAGCCGGCTCGCTGTTCGATCCCTCTCCATCACCCGAGTCTTGCGCCAGGACGAGGACAAGCCTGCATTCGCATTCGCATCGGGCCCAGCTCCCCCGCGCCTTCCTAAGGAAGAACAAGAAATCTTCGAAGACCTTCAGCGCCGCTCAACTGGCGCTTTCAGCACACCTCAAGTCAACCAGTCCCCGCAAGCCGAGATCAAGGTCAACGGCAGTGGCGAGGAGCTCCACCCAGATACGCCGCAAGGCTTGAAGCCCGAGTTCGAAGGCGAGAAGAACCCCAAGACTGGCGAAATTGGTGGCCCTAAGAATGAGCCTCTGCGATGGGGTTCTGCGGGAGATTGGAGCTATGGTGGCCGGGTGACCGACTTCTAAGGCCCCGCGACTAAGATATACTGCATACTATCGGTGTTGATTTAATATTCTGGCTGCTGTGATAATACAAAATCCTGGATTGTTCAAAAGCTCATAACGATGTACATAGCATTTGGCTTGAATGAAAGCACCTTTGAAGATGCTGATGAGCGTTTTTTTTTTTGCCACTCAAAATAGAGAGCATGCCGATTCACTAGATGGCATGGCTTGAGGACGAGAAACTCCAATCACAAAAGCCCATATTGCTACCTTTCAGATTTATAGTCGGGCGAGAGTTGCTTTTCCGGCTCGGCTATCATTTGGTCGTCCCAACTTGTCGCTGATCCAGGCCCCAACCCGCGACATCTCCGCCAGGTCAACGCCGGAATGAAGACCCAGGCTATTGAGGGTGTGAACAAGGTCTTCCGTCGAGACATTCCCAGTCGCATTAGGTGAAAATGGACATGATCCCAGTCCCGCGCATGAAGAATCAAAAATCCGCACTCCATGCTCCAAACCCGCGAGAGTGTTCAGAAGGGCTTGTCCGTACGTATCGTGGAAATGTAAGGCCAGATCTGAGTTGGCAATGCCTGCAGCTTTCAGGGCTTGCAGGAGTTCCACAGTTCGGGGTGCTGTTCCCATGCCGGTTGTGTCGGCTACTGAGACCTCGTCGGCACCCATCTCCAGGAGGGTGGCAGTGATATCCGCAACCTTGGTAGGATCAACATCGGGACCTTCATAGGGACATCCCAAGGCAACGGAAACGTATCCACGGACTCGAATGTTCTTCGTCTTGGCCAATTCAGCAATCGGCCTGATGCGCTCTAGAGATTCGGCAATAGTACAGTTGGTGTTTGCCTTTGAGAAAGCTTCGGTGGCTGCGGCGAAGAGAGAAATCTCCGTAGTTGTGGCAGATTTTGACTCTGTCGCGGGTGAGTTTGCAGGCACGCCAGTTGCATCCATGATCTTGACCAGACTCTCCAGCCCCTTGATGTTGGGGACGAGGTAATTGTATGCGATGGTATGTTCAGAAGAGGGGGGTGATGTGAGGAGTTGTTCACAAATCTCAGCCGTACTGGCCATCTTGTACAATGCAACATGTCAGGTTAGCTTTCGGTCCTTGAGATCATGCACCGAGGTATGCCGAGCATACGCACCTGTGGCACCCATTTCGCAGGGACAAATGAGCCCGCCTCGATGGTTTTGACGCCAGTCTTGGCCAGTCTCCGGATCAACTCCAATTTAGTCTCCATTGAGATGGATTTCTTCTCGTTCTGCAGTCCATCTCGAGGACCAACTTCCACGATGCGAACGTGATCCGAGTCTAACCGCGACTCGGTCGCAAAGCGGCGTGTAGACGCAGGGGTGCGCAAAGCCGAGAGTAAACGAAAACGGGAGCGTGAGGCCATCATGGTAGCTCGAGCAAGTAAAAATAAACTATTCGGAAGAGGTTACGGTGTGAGTAAGAAAGTAGAAACAGAGAAAGACGAGGGGAAGCTTATGAGATGCGGAGAGACCCTTGCCTGATCGGGACTAGTGCATTACCGGTGACGCCCCACCGGAAAAAAAGATAAATCGATAGCGGGGCTCATCACTATCATGCCACCAGACAGTCATTGCCATCATGGAGGACACGAGCGCACAGAGTCAGCTGCGGCAGCCGAAGAAGAGGTTCGTGGGCCGTCGTACCGCAGATGCCCAGACTCAGAAGGATCCGGCTAGTTCTGATTTTGAGTCAACGCAGGTCCAGAAAGGTATGCAGGATTTGCCCGGCTTCTTCCAAAACACCCGCTGATCAGTTACGTATAGCTGCACCTAGAAGGTCAGCCCGGACTCTGAATCAAGTGCCTCCCGAGATCCTCAACGACCCGGAAATACAAGAAGCCATGGAGCTTCTCCCCAAAAACTACTCGTTCGAGATCCCCAAGACAATCCACCGAGTGCGCACTTCCGGAGCCAAGCGCGTGGCTCTTCAGTTTCCAGAGGGTCTTTTGATCTTCGCCACGACTATCTCCGATATCTTGACACAGTTTTGCCCCGGAATCGAGACCCTCATCATGGGTGATGTCACTTACGGCGCCTGCTGCATTGACGACTATACTGCGCGAGCTCTTGGCTGCGATCTGCTCGTCCACTACGCCCACAGTTGCTTGATTCCCGTGGATGTTACCAAGATCAAAACTCTATATATTTTCGTCGATATCAGCATCGACACTACCCACTTGATGGCAACCCTTGAGCGTAACTTCAAGCCCGGTCAAACTATTGCCACCGTCGGCACGATACAGTTTAACGCAACCCTCCACGGATTGAAACCTGTTATGGAACGTGCAGGTTTCAAAGTAGTCATCCCACAGATAATGCCTCTCTCAAAGGGTGAAATTCTGGGCTGCACATCACCCCAACTCACTACTGAGATCGATGCTCTTCTCTACCTCGGCGATGGACGCTTCCACCTCGAGTCCGCCATGATTCACAACCCCACTACTCCCGCATACCGCTATGATCCTTACTCGCGCACCTTAACTCGTGAAGGCTATGACCACAATGAGATGCACACCCTGCGGCGCGACGCGATTGCATCTGCGAAGACTGCCCGCAAATGGGGCATCATCCTGGGCTCTCTTGGCCGCCAAGGAAACCCCAACACGATGGCAATGATTGAGCGCCATTTGGAAGAGCGCGGCATTCCAATTATCAATCTTCTTCTGAGCGAGATTTTCCCTGGTAAGCTGGCTTCCATGGCCGATGTCGAGTGCTGGGTTCAGATCGCTTGTCCCCGTCTCAGTATTGATTGGGGTTACGCATTCCCGCGCCCATTGTTGACACCATACGAAGCGCTCATCGCGCTTGGGATTCGTGAGAACTGGGACAGTGCCAACAAGGGCATTTATCCCATGGACTTTTACGCGAAGGATGGATTGGGTCGCACGAAGCCTGAGCAGGCTGTGCGTGCTGCCTAAATGACTTATACTCATGATATATGCTATTGGACGACGCAAAGAGAATGTTTATACCCCAGATAGATTGCAGGTCACCGGGCCAAGCCCGGTGCTCCTCGGAAATAGAGTACATACGTGTCTAGCTCTTATCCCTTGCCCCATGTTACTTTCCATTGATCAGCGGTGGCAGAAGTATCAGAACTCTACCTATAGACTAGCCAAGGGCTTACAGTATCAGCCTGTTAAACCATATCATTTCGCCTCCCAGTGCAGGTTCCAGATCCAGGCCAACTCTCTTTGCCACTCTATCCACAGTAAATTCAAAAGTTGCTTTCACAAAGTCATAATCCCTGGGATCTTGACGCAGAACCTCGAGCCTCGCCAGCCATGAGTCGCCCGTGACGTGAAGCATCCAAATCACCATAGGAATTTCTTGAAGCAGGCGATCGGCAAAAAGACTAACCCCACGCAGCTCCAGGTCTAGATTTCCATAAGCAGGATGAGAATACCGTCCAGCATGGGCGTCGAGAGAAACCGAGGGACGAGATGGCTGAGAGGGCAAAGATGGATAGAGACGTTCCCTAACACGGAGATTATCACGTCTCCTATTCGCTATCCGTAATTCAAGCTCAGAGCTCCAATCCACCCTCTCAGGAGAAGGGGTACCCAAAAGTTCATCCAACATGTCCATGAACAGAGAGATCTGTACACAGTTAGTCGTCCCAGTTGTATTCCCCATCATTACCAACCCCCACTGAAGATCTGGCAGGTACATCATGACAGACCCAAATCCAGTCCAGCTACCCCCGTGCCAGATAACACGTTGGCCGTGATATGTGTCAATCGTCCAGCCAAGAGCATAGGCATGAGGCGGTGCAAATGGATTGTTACCAGATTCAGTGAAATGGATGCGTGGTTCTGTTAGTGTCTGATGTGCGGCTTGACTTAATGGAGATGACATGTTCATCATGCCGCGGAGCCATTTCGCGTAGTCGACGACGTTGCTGATCATTGCGCCGGCTCCTGATACGGCTGGAAAGTCGGGAACTGGTTGTTCGATGAAGGTCTTGGTGGATGCGTCCCAGGCGTAGCCTTGTGCTAATATTGTCCCTGGGTCTGCTGCCGCTTGTTGTGGTGTCCAGTATGTGTGCCTCATGCCCAGGGGACCCCAAAGCCTCTCCTTCATCAAATCTCCGAGACCAGAGCCGGTCATGGTCTCAACTGCATGAGAAACAGCGGAGAACATATAACTGCTGTACAGATACCGTGCACGAAAATCAGCAGCCAGAGGAAGATGTCTTAGAGATCGTACAGCGTCCTTGACAGAGTTCGTTTTCGGGCCGAAACTAAGTTTGTGGTCTGAAAGGCCAGCTCTGTTACTTAGGGCATCCTCAAATGTAACTTGCGATGTAATAGAGCTATCCGAGAGAACAAATTCATCTTTAATCACTGATGAAAGGGTCGAAGTCCAGTCAAGGCCCGGATTCTCATCAATGAGCAGCGAGACGCTCGCGGCAGTGAAGGACTTTGTGGTGCTTGCCGTGAAGAAGACTGTTTCAGGTGTCACTGGAGTATCGGGAAGTACCGAAAATCCATATCCCTGTCAAGACTTTAGCCCTGTCCTGATGACAATGATTAGCGCGTACCTTGGAGAAAGTGGACGGGCCATCGATGACAGCTATCGCGAGACCAGGAACGTGCCATCTATCTAACAGCCCCTGGACACGGTCATTGAACTTGGCGGTAAAGGGCGACTGTGTAAGCGGCATGGTAACTGGAACGGAAGAGATGTTCAGAATTGCGCAGCGTCGAGAAGAATTGAGTTGCCTTCATATCACCACCCTTATGGACCCCGCCTTTAGCTTCTCCTGACACACCTCTATTGACCACCCCAATGTTTGCACCTTCAAATTGCGCGGGACAAAGTGTGCCTCTGCTCTTGATGACTGGGGCGGTAGAATTACGAGGGAATTGAGAGGAAATATCAATGCATTCAACCATGACCAGGAAGGTATCACGAGGGCTATTCCGGCCATTCGTTGATTGGAAGGATGCCAGTACTAGCCTTTAGGCGACGTCGGTTCCCTTCCGAGATACTCTGTATAGACTGTTTGCCATATGAGGCTCACCCTGTCTAGTTGGAATTCTGCTAAATAACTATAGTTATTAGTCATTGAATTCTAGTCGCGTTAAAACTCACATACCCCGTGCGCTGCATCACCTGATGGTGAGGCTGAGTCCCACTCGGCCGACTTCGTGTCCTGCAAACTTCTTCCCCTTGCAGCCTTTAAGCCCCCACGGGCATGATCTTTAATCATTGCCGTTATAATGACATCGTCAATCTTATTTGGCGATATGAACTCCGGGCTTCAAGTAGGGAATAATCATGGCAGGATCGACGCACAGTTCCACCTTTCCACAGGTAGGTCTACTGGAACCTTAGGCTGCACAAACCCTGGCAGGTAGAGGCTTGTTAACGAAGGACTGCCGTGCCATAGAGCGATCTGAAATATACAACACCCAAGGTGGGGCTGTCTTCAGCGGCAATCTTTCCGCAGATCGTGACATCAACATTCGTACGAGTCTCTCTGCAACTTCTGGCTATGACCTGGCTATGGCTGTGAAAGCACTGCCCATTCTAACCGCTTCAAATTCCCAGATCACATTACTACAATCCGTCCACTAGCTCATTCCCTCTACAAATCCCTCTTTACCTCATCGGATTTTTTTGGCCAAGTCAGAAATGAGCTTGGCCTTCTCGTATCTGTCCTGAATGCGACTGAAGAACACACCCAAAAGGTTCATCCAGACGATGCACAGCTCCCCGAACTGAACGATGCATTAAATAGATGCCACGACGCATTGCGTGACCTTTCACGATTGAAGGAACACTTTGATAACGTCGGTCCTCAAACTCAGGTCACCTGGGAACGAATGGGCTGGGGCGTGGACGAACTGGTGGACATCAGAGCGAAGCTCTTGTTATACATACAAGTGTTAAACGTGTTGAACACCAATATGATACGGTGGGCTTTTCAAACCTAATGGGGTTCGGATGTTTCGCTGATATTGCAGCAGGTCGTCTCATGAAAACGTTGAACGTATGTTAAAGACTTTTATTAGCGAGATTCGCAGCGGTAAACGTGAATCCTCGGTAATGTCAAGTGTATCGACTAGCTCGCTCTCAATAGACGAGAAAGAAGGGTGGAGACAGCTTCGGAAAGAACTGCAGAGTATTGGCATCACCCCCGAAATCTTCACCCGGAACCGTAATTTTATCCTCACCTCTCTGCAAGCTCTATCGCAGAACGAGATTGAAGGCTGTCATGTCAACTTTGCGACAGTAGATTTGGGTCAGGGAGAAATTTTCCCAGAAATGCTTCGGGGGCCTTCAGATAGTACTCCGGGGGCGGAAATTGAGGATGAGATCCCCGTGACCACGGCCACAGACACTGATCCCTATCTCCCGGAGGAGGAAACGCTGAACGTCGAACCCCAGCTTCCGACCTACAGCCAAGGGACAATCCCTATCCTGGCACCCGGCAAAAAGTCCAATCGAGTGGCGCGGCTACTTTACAGAATCACTCACACCAATGCTGATCTCATAAAGGCAGTGCGAAATGGAAATTTGGATGAGACCAAAGCAGTCAAGAACGCCATTTCCAGCCCTCAGGTCGCCAAAACAGCCGGTACGCAGGTGTTCACTGGCCCACCTCAACTGAACCTGGACACGGCCTCTCCATCCGACGAAACGATTGTCTTGTCAAATGAGAAGAACTATCCAGACTATCCTGTCGAACAGTTTCCGGGCTTCTCATCCGCTATGCCCATATCCAACGCTCCGGACGAAAATGGCGTTCTTGATCACAATTTTCATGCCACCGGCGAAGCCAAGGTTCTGTTCCTTACTACAAGTATTTTCGAGTTCAATATCGACAGTCCTAGACGCGAGGCCGGGTATCCCTACCTAACCTACGGACTTGGGGAGATGTTCAATGTCATCGGTGAGACCGGAGAATTGTGGCTTGCTTATAATCAGGACGACTCTGCGCACCAAGTTGGATGGATCTGGCACAAGCACTTTGTCAAAATTTCGTAGCAGCCTTGAGAAATGCAAGTCATTACAGCCACTAGCGAAGTCGACTTCACCAGGAACCACAAATAAATTATTTTGGGCCCTGCCAAGACACTGGCTTAAGGAAATTGTTCAACACCCTGTGAAGTATTCAGATCCTGATGATTGCGCACTTGCTGCACCCAGCAGCTTATGTCATCTGGGAGGTGATTAGTTATTTAGTTCACCATTGCTTATCATATCATGGATAGATTTAAGCCTAGATTTAGCTAGACTCGGTGCCATGCTTCATTGCGCCACTAGTGTGGTCAGTTGTCAACGAAGACAACGGGCGTGATGGGAATGTCGGACTAGTACAGGTAATAAATACAGGCCCAGTACATACATTAATCTGTACAATGCCAAGAAACGGGGGGTTCAGGGGCAGAGTAACGATAATAGGAATAGCATGTCTTGAAAGAGGGTTCGAGAAAGAATCTCTGTGTGCAAGTGGTGAAACTGATTTCGATCTATCCTGTATTTATTTCGATCAAACATCTCCACAAATGAAATGCGTTCTTGTTCAATGATAAACAAGACCATGGAATCATCACCGCTGAAAGTGTTTCCTTCCGAGATACTTGATCGTATCATCGGCGAGCTCGATACAGACGATCCTCCTTCCGCGGACTTAAAATCCCTCCGCTTGACATGCCACACATTAAATGATTTTTCGACTCGATGGCTATTCAGGAATGTCTGGGCTTTTGCAGCAGCATTGCATGATACTATTCAGGAAGGGAATGAGGGTTTCCCAGAGCTCGCGAAGAAATATGGACACTTGGTTCGCCAACTTGAGCTTGATGGTACAAACGGCGCAGACTATGACTGGGATTGTCCATTCGATTTTCTACCATATCTGGAGCATATGCCTTTCTTACAACACCTCGAAATATTAGGTAAAGGGGAGTGGTACGACGGCTATGGAGAACCTCGTCCCGAATTAAAAGACTTAGTTCGGCAGGCCAGTCTTTATACTCCACCTAAGGATCGAGCTTTGCGAAATCTTCGTTCCGGTGAGTGACTCGATAATGTGTTAAGGCCTGATCCTGACTCTTAACTGAAGTGCGTCTAAGGCTCCTCTCACAGAATGGTGGTAAAGACCTTCCTCTGGGTGGTTTAGGAGCGCTATTTATCATTCCCCAAATAGAAAGGCTCGAATTATCGAGGGTCATTCTGATACCAGGTGATCCTCGTCTTCCAGTAGGGTTTCCAGGGCATACGGCCTTCGGCATCACGGCTCTCAAGACTCTAAGTATCGATCGTTCATATATTGATATTGGATCGGTAGTTAGAATCCTCTCCTTTCCCTCTGCCCTGGCCCATCTCCGGCTTATGACTCATAATAATCTCCAGGTCCCAGAGACTCGGACCACGGAAGATCTTTGTCGAGCTATTCTACAACAACGACAGTCGCTGGAGACGTTGAATGTGACTGGGTGGTCCAAGTCTTCTCCACCAAATGGGCAGCTGCACTTGATTCCCCGACTACGTGAAAATAAGGGCGACTTTCAGGGATGGTTCACTACAGAAATACGGATAGTTTAGGGAAGTCGTGAATAGTATGGGTCTGAACTCACAAAACTATATTTGGGCCACCTTCATTTCCTTCTATAGTGAACAACTGTATGTACTCTTCAGATGAAACAAATTGAAAATCTTAGCCAATCCCTTATCATTTCCATTCGAGAATTGGGATTGATTTTATACAGACTTGAGGATTGCCCATAAAAGAGGTTACCAACACAATCCGCATCAGCTGTGCCAGCTTGACTCTTTGCCTTCTCCGTGGCGGATCGGTGGTTGGCGCGCCGAACGCCGCCTTTGAAACGCAACTACAGCATGTGCCGACCTGGAGTCACTACTGCAAAATGAAAGACTGCCTATTCATACAGAATTTCGCGAAAACTATACCCCGAGTCCACACTACGAGTGATGTGGGATTGGTTTTCATTTACAGGCTATGGAGGTGGATTGTAGGATTGGGGGCTAACGTGTCGCATCCTGGCACCGGTGCAGAACAAGACTGGTAGTGGTAGATGGCAAGCAAAGTCCCTGCGTGCCACTTTGTTCATCCAGTTGACAAACAGTATTGCCACTTGCTGTCCCTCCGACACCTTCACCTTCCGCGAGTCTCGCTACACACCAGGACCTGACCGATATGAAGATACACATTGGTCTATCCAGCGATCTACCCACACACTCTTCGCCATCTGCTGCTTTGACCGGCTGAATATTGCTGAACAGTTTGTCAATTACTTGCAGCACGTCCACCGTCGACCTCGCGAGATTTGTATCCCAGGTGGGGTCTATCAAAGTCGACAGCTTTGGAAAAAATGTTGAGATAACAAGCGAGTTGAAAAAAAGGGGAAATAATACGCTATGACACTTGATGGGAGTGATTTCCAAGAACATTTGGAAGGCCATTTTGACTGTGTTGAGATTGAGCCATATGTAGAGATAGTCCATTTTCTGGAAACCAGGGCAAAGGGTAATCTACTTGGAGAGCGCCAAGCCGAACATGCTTAACTCTGTGTACTAGACTGAGGCCAGAATGGTTTCTATTCGATCGTGAAAATCTGTTTTATGAGAGAGGCATTGGGTCATAATCAAACTACCTTCTTGCTATAAGTGTGGAGAGGCTAAAATGACTGTGGTGGGTGGAGATGGAGGAGTTCTTGTTTTCTGTTCTAGATTGTGCCTGAATAGTTCCTCTTGTAATAAAAAAGTTGATATTTATACTTATTACCCTTAAAACCAGTCTTATCAGCAATATACTGCGCAAATGCTCTAGACAGTGAGCGCGCATCCGTATCCCTGCTTTCATCTGTCCAGCTCTGTAATTATTTACTTGTTGCAGTAAATCATTTCCGAGAAACGAGCTCAAACCATATGCCTGAAATAGATAATCAAGTTTTCGTGATCAGTCTATCCCGGGGTCTCTTGCCGGATTATCTGCAGACTCGGGGAACGGGAATCTTCGGTAGTGACCTTAGCCGTCGGCATTTCCGAGCAACCCCTCACCAGCATATATGGACGCCAAATTACTCCAGTTCATCGAAACTGAGTATTCCAAGTTCTACTCAATTTCACATTCAGTCATGCCTGACCTACATTCTCTCCCTGCGGGCACTTGGCCCGCTAATGCCATTCGCAACAATGGACCAGACAACCTAGTGCTGGAGCGCGCAAAGCTACGCGAGCTGGCAGAAGGCTGGCCTTGCTACCGGTACCTATTCTGACAAAAACCCAAGGTCTTTCAAGCACTTATAGTGGTACTAGTGATGCATGCGAATGGGAAAACTTCGAGTCAATTTTCCACGAAGACGCCTTCGTATACACCACCTGGTCCGGCCGTGTATCCTACAAAGACTTCATGGAAGCCTCAAAGGCTGGCATGGACAAAGGCGCATTCATCATGCACCGCTGCCATGGCGTGACAACCGACATCAGGCCCGATGCAACCCGTGCCGTCACCAAGATGAAGGCAACCATCACGCAGCGGTTCACACTCGATGGATGTGAAGTCGATGCCGAGGCTGATTGTCGATTCATTTTCTTCTTTGAGAAAGCTGATGGTCGCTGGGGCGCGCGTTTTGTTCGTCATTGGTATGAGAAGGATAAGTTGCTACCTGTCAATCCTAACAAGGTGCCGAAGGTGGATGAGGCTAAGCTGGCTTCGTATCCTGAGGGGTACAAGTGCTTGGCTTATTGCCAGGAGCTCACTATGGGCGTCACTGTTTTGAAAGATATGCCTGGACATAGGCGCCATGTTGGCTCGGTCAATGGGGAGAAGCACGACTTGTTGTATCAGCAGGCTAAAGATTGGCTTGATGGGAAGAACCTCGATGTATAAGTAGCATTTTATCAATTGAAATTTTGTGAGCTAATGGTTCAACTGTCACTAGACTTTACAATCAATCGCCTCAGTCGTTGAAAGTCCAACAAAAAATCAAATAGCAAGAAGGCTACTGTTCACGGTATTGACTTAAAGAAAAGACCGTTGAGGGTTGGATCTTTGCTGCAGCTTTTGCCACGCTGCGAAGGCTAATAATCTCAAAACCCTGCGTCTCACAAAAGCCGCTGACGTGATCCGCTGCTTGGAATAAATGGTCGTTGGGTGGTGAATCGCTGCTGAAAACTATTTGCGCCGCGAATTCCAGGTCTGCGTAAAAGAGTTCAAGTTCCTTGAGGTTTGATTTCCCAGCTTGCTGGAGTTTGTAATCGAAACTGTGCGGCCAGGCTCGTCCTAGGAACGTGCTCATTATGGCGGCTTGACACTTCATTTCAGATGTTTGCAAGTCGTATTTGCAATGGTCAAATTTATTGTGAGTGAGCTTTTGAATGAAAGATGCATTATTTCAACATCATTGCAGGCTCAGATAAAGTCTTAATACATACGGCTTTGTCCACAGCCGAGCCGACAGCTAGTGTAAGCTGTTCCGGGTCTTTATTGTAACTTATTCGCAGCTAAAATATCTTGTTCAATATCATCGGCGATATTGTGCTTTGTTCTTAATTATCGTGCATCCCATGCCATGTCATTAATTGCACACCATCGCCGCGCCGCAATAAAAAGCATCCCCTCATTTATGAACAAATCCATACTTGATGGACTGCTCCCTAATAGCGCGCCGCATGCAGTGGACAGGCGCAGGTCGTCCTGTAAAGATCTCAAACTGGACAATGCCCTGCTCGACCAGAACCATTAGCCCGTCGACCACAACCCATCCTTTCGATTCGCGAGGGATCATCCGCTCCATTAATTGTGTTCTGGATGGACCATAGCCAACCTGCAATGAATGTTAGCAATGTTCAACTTTTGAAGGAGAGCGTGGCCGACCTCGACAAATACACCACCAGTTCGGCTCTCAAACCACTGGTCCGGAAGCTGCACCGCTATAAGGGACTCACCCCCTATCTGGTATGTTGGAATGCAGGATACAACAATGGTCGGCGGGCGAAGATCTGTTGGCCAAGAATCCCCCGGTGATAGGAGAGCATGTAGACGAAGTTTGACGCCTGGCTTTGAATGTGCCCACTGATGGTAATAATCTGCCAGCTTTTGTGCATTCTCAAGAGTCCTGTTGTAAATGCACATACTTCGAACACCTAGCTCGTAACATGCGTAGATTGCAGCGTGTGCCATTCCACCGGCGCCAATGATCAATGCAGTCGTTCCATCTCGTACTGCATTAGCTGGCGAGAGGTGCTTGTCAATGCAATCTCTGATCCCGATGTAATCTGTGTTGTAGCCTCGGCGAATTGTAACTCGTTTCCCGTCGGATTGGTATTTGTGTTCCAGCGTTATAGTGTTCACGGCATTGATATCTTTGGCATCTGGACTGACTTCGTTGAGGAAGGGCAAGATAGCGGATTTGTATGGAAGGGAAATTGTCAACCCACCATGGTTCTCGTCATCCATTAATTTGTGAACACTAGAAAAATCATCCGACTGCATGCTCTCGTAGATATGGGGCAGTCCACATACAGCATAGGCTGCGTTGTGCATCTCTGGCGACAGACTGTGCTTTAAAGTCTGGCCAAAGATGGTGAACCGTTTCTTGGTGTGAAGAAAGCAAGCTGTCATTGCCTCTTGCGCTTGTTTCAAAGTCACTCCGGTATGTGTCATTGAAGGCAGCACTACAGGAGAAAGAGTAGGGTTCAGCCAGATTGAAGCCTTGCCATGTGATCCCCTATTATAACAGACGACCGGTATGCTTGACGTTGACAAGTCCGCATGGAATGGAACCATCGCAAAATTATCGTCTGGTAGTCTGCACTCCCCAGTAACGCAGAGGGCATCTGCTTTTGAAACCCGAAGTTGTTCTTGAAGGGCTGCGCGCTGCAAAGATCTTTGTGGAGACCCCACTGGAAGTTTCTCATGAACGGAAACAATTAGTTTCGTGTTTCCTTTGGAAATGTGAATGTTTTGGGCCATGTCTACGGCGTACTGAAGTGAACAGGTTATGGCGTCGGGTGCAAGTCGAAGTACCGACATTAATACCCTGTGGTAAGTCTCGCGGTCTGCCTTCATAACAGGAGAAGCCTTAACATCCACAATGACCGGAACACGACAGTGTCTTCTCAGAGATGTCATATGTCGTGCAAGTCTGTCCATCAATGTGCGAGAATTGAACTCCTCAGAAGGAACAACCAGGGCTATGGCATCAGCGCCTCCCTCGAGTGCTTCGAGGTCCTGGGTCCCATCCAGCCAAGTCAATGGTACTTGCAAGGCGAAGGTATGCGATGGAGAGAATGGGTCGGTTGAGAAAATTGAGCGGTGAAAATTTCCAAATATTCGGTGTAAGAATGCCACTAAAATCCTCTCGGTCTCCTTGAGCTTGAGATAGGTTGGCAATGGGCGATCATTCCAAAAGGGCTGCCCCCGTGTATGGTTAAAGAAGTCAAAGTTGGAACATGATTCAAAGAACTCATTTCCAACTTCAAATAAGCGCTGAAATTTCTCTTTGCTTGACCCAACAAGCTGTTGGAGGTCTGAAACATCCCGTCTCACGTATATGACCGGATGTTCCCTTGCGAAATCGTTCAAGAGTGATTGCTGTGGTCGACTGGAACTTCCCCCAAGACCGACAATCACACAGCCTTTTGGGTATTTTGTGAGAAGGACACGCGTTAATTCGAGATCTACCTCACGATAGCGTGCTAACCCATGCCGAGAAATGAACTCTTGAGGTGACGAATGAACTTCTTGCCGGAAGAACGCGTCGAAGTCGATGAATCTTCTTCGAAGCGAAACTGATGCTATGATTCCCAATGTTTTCTTTCCGGCGCCGAAAAAACCGACGAGTAGTAGTGTTGCATCAGGAGCGTATTGTCGTCGAAAAGCAAGAGAGTCGCTTGGTGACGTTGTAAGGCTTGAATTCGACGGCGCCGCAGCGCTACCGACGGCGCTCATTTCGACGCCAAATCAACAGATATGCTGCTTTCCTATGCCAGCCAATTTATCAGTAAAGTCATGTCGCTGTCGGCGATTGAGCGAGTGTAATTTAAGTGGAATGCCACAGCGGCTAAAGACAAGGCCGATCACATGACATTCGCCACGCCTGGAGGGCAACTGTAATCTTCACAAGTTATTCTAGGAGATTTACATAAATGAATGATTGATATGCACTGTATCAATGACCAGTCCACGTCCATCCAAAAGGCAGCGTATATATCGTGCCTGTGACCAATGCCGACACCGTAAGTCCAAGTGTGACGGCGACCAGCCTGTGTGTTCCATCTGCTATTCGGCCAAGCGAGCATGCACATACCAGAATGGCGGTGGCCGGCGCGGTCTTCCATCTGGATATGTGCGGAGCCTTGAGATCGTCTTGGGTCTTATGTTTCAACATGTTCCGAACAGTGAAGCTACAACTCATAGTGTCCTCCGAGACTACCATGGCAAGGGCAACTTCCTTACCAGTGGTGTGGCCGAGCATTCTCATAATATCTGGCGAAAGTCGAAGCTATCTCGACATGTGTCTCAATTATTGACACCTGGGTCGGAATGCCTTGATGATTCAGAGTGGGAACCGATCAAGACGCGAGATCATGGAAGCATAGCTGATCAAGGCAGTCCTCATTCGATCTCTAAACCAAATGAGGTCTCAGCTATTTGTGAAATACCCGTCTTACCGTGTGAGACTCCAACCCTTCCTAACTGGGCTATTCCTGATCATACACCCGACCTGCTTGACTTTTACTTTACCTATACCCATTGCTGGCTTCCTATCCTCGAACGTCGCGATCTTCTTCGAGCTATGCATATCAGCCCTGGTCGATCAGCATCTGATCTCACATCGAGACAAATGTTACTCTGGTCTGTCATCATCTACTCTTGTGCCTTGAAAGGCATACAACTTCCAGGGCAACCAGCACTTCCTGCAATCCAATTATATACTCAACGCATTCTTGCTTCTAATATGGCTAAACTGGAACTTGACCATATACAATCGACTTTGATTGTAGTTCTCACTCATATTTCAATGGGGAACATTAATCAAGCATGGCTTTCACTTGGGCAAGCCGCGAGAATGCTAGCAATCCTGCCTTTGAACCTGCGCAAAGGTCGCTTCCCTCATACATTCAATGGATGCATCTTTCTTGACAATATTATCTCTGCTTTGTTGGGTAAAACGCCCTGTCTTTCATTGGAAGAACAACTACAACAAGGACCTGTGGACGAAGACGATGTTGATGAGTGGGAGGTGTGGTCCGCATTTCGCACCAAGACACCTGCAACCCCTCTGCAAGCTCTCAGCACATTCAATTCCATTCGACACCTCACACAGCAAACTTCACAAATCCTATACTGCACCTACAATACCCTATCAAATTCCAAAGATATTCTGGGTAATTTGCGGCAACAACAGGCAGCCATCCTCCAAACCCGTCCTTACAATCGCGATAGCCTTACCACCCCTCCACTTCTTATTTTGCATCTTACGTCCGCCTTCACGACCCTTTCATTGATTCTCAAACTTGGGCAGGTCTCATCTGCTATTCTGGAATTGTGTATCAGAACAATCTATTGTGTACTCGATATGTTAGATCACTACGTGGAGATGACGGGTGCAGCCGGTTCTTCCCCAATAGTTCATTGTTTTGCACTTCAGTGCCAGCAAGCGCTGGGCATTTGTGTCTCTTTGTTGAGCTCGGCAGAAGAGGAGGCTCTGCAGAGGCGCATAGATGCCCTGCTGCAGTCAGCAAATCCGAACAGCCAGTTTGACGGAGGGGATTGGTTACGACATGCAATTGCTTCAGCTTCAGTTTCAGGAACCCAGAGTGATCAACACAACACACCTTTGATACCCATACCAGCCACGCATAGCACACAAGTCAACTCGGCCACCATGGTGTCTCATCCAGAGCCACCTGACATAAATCTACCGGATCCGCTTTCTATCAGCGACACCACAGTTCCAGTTGGCGGAGGCTCAGAGGAATACGACGCATTGTTCGAAGAAATGATGCTTGTTGGCTCATTCCCAACAAGCAGGTACGTATCCCTTAGCACTCCATATTTGATTCATTTCTGACTTTCGTAGACAAGAGCCTTCATTCGCACATAACCTCGGTTTCTATGACGGAGACCTTGACACGGATTTTTTGGCTCAATTGCAACAACCCTCAGAGAGGTAATGCTTCCCATATATACTGGAATAATGAATACCCGAACCCGAAAAATGTCGATCGGACTATAAAATAAATGCCCGGGCCTGCAGTATATACGTAGTATGCCCATCTCTATCGGCCAAAGCCTTCGCCGACGCAAGCTAATGAACACGAACCAAGTTACCCAATAGATACCCAAACCTACATCAAGCATTGAGGACTCATACCTACCAAACCAATCCCAATAAAACCATGAAGCGCGCGGCAATGTCGACGCGGTGCTTATCAACCTCGGTGCATTGACGCATACTAGTGTTCCGCTGCGGCATGCGCTGACTGAAACGGACATTCCGTTTATTGAGATTCATATTACGAATGTTTATACTAGAGAGGAATTCAGACATGATAATTATTTATCTAAAAAGGCGGCTGCTATTGTTGTTGGGTTGGAGGTTTATGGGTATGAGGTTGGGGTTGAACTTTTAGCGAGAAGTATTGCTAAGAGTGCTTAGGATGGAAGTTGTGGGGTGATCTGATTTTGATAGGACACCAGGGGCAGAGTGTTTGATAATTCGAGAGCTACGAGGTTGAGTAAGAGAATATTGCTTGTCACGGGCGGCTAGTGAAGGCCCCCGGATGAGATCATCTTCAATTCAGAATCTCCTAATAAAACACTTTAACGTCATAGTTTACATAAAAGCCATGATCACCCTTTAGCGTCGTCGGCACTATCAGTATTGAAATCACTGGCGCTGCCGCGTCGAAGGGAGAGAACGTTCTTGTTCGCCAGTTCGTCGGCGGTGCGTTCTGCAGCACGCCAGCGCTTGACGGCCTGCTCGACGTCCTCGAACATCTCCATTGAATCCTGGATGATGCCACCTTCGTCGCCTTCTGACTGCGTGCTCTCACGAGTACCACGGTCACTGATCATGGGGAAAGCAGGGCCGAAGCCACGCTCAGCAGCTGGGTTGTACATGATTGCATTGGCAAACATGCGGATGAACTCCTTTTCCAGCTGCGAAGAGTTCACGATACCCTTTGGAGGCACGAGATCTTCGGTCTTTGGCAGCATGAGGGCATTATGCTTGGAAGGTGTCCCTACGGCAGGAGCGGGTGATTCGCCATCGCCTGCGGGTGTACTGACAGCCTCTGTCGCCGCAACCACAGCTTTGCTTCCCTGGTGCACGGCAGATTTGATAGACTTCAGGTCTTGAGGTCGGTAAATAAGATCGTGGTAGCCTGGGGCATCACGTTCCCCGATGGGTTTTGCGAAGATGGAAGCAAGCTTATGGGTGGTCACATCGTTCAAAATCGGTGCTGCAGTCCGGTGGAAACCGCGTGTACACATAACGTAGCGGGTATCGACCCTAGGGGCCTCCATGGGTGTAGATTCTGGCTCCAATGCTTCGCTAGTACCTCGCTTGCGTTTAGAGCGACTTTTCGTGACTTGATCATCCGTATCAACCACAGCACCCTTGCGGCGGCTAGTAGCCCGCGAAGCCTCGACTTCTGGAGACATTCCTCTTGGGGTCGCAGAACGCCCACGGCTTGGCGACGATGCAGTGCTTGCCGCACGTGTCCGTCGAGTGGATGTTTTCTCGGATTTAATATTAGATCCAGACTTGCCCTCTGGCTGGCCACGTCGAGACTTTCGTTCTCGGGGGGTCGACTCATCCATAGCATCGGGAGATGAAGCTCGGTCACTTATCGGACTGACGTCTCCTGGACCTGGACGTGCGGGTGATACTGGAGATTCAGCAACGCTCGCACGCGGTGTCATCTTCCATGGCGTGGAAGAGCCTGGTGTATCAATGGATAGGCGAGGACGCGAGCCCCGGCGATCTGTGTGTGGCGGTATAACGATACTCGGGGTGTGCGAAATACGCGGATGGCCGATAGGCACAGGTGTCTGGGCGCCCGAAGGAAGAGCACCTGGTGTGCTCGGAACATTAGACGGTATTGAGATCTTTTTAGGTGGAAGCTGGATGGAACCGGGTGGGGGTTGTTTCGTAACCACGGAGGTTGGTTGCGCTGGAACAGCTGTGGGAGTGGCGGAATAGGGAGATTGAGGAGATGGATCGAGCTGCCACTGCTGGAAGCTTGATTGGGTAGGAGTTGGTTGCGCCGATCCTGAGGGAACCCCAGGCTTCCCGGCTAGAGGCGTGGCTCCTGGCACATTGGGACGAGGCGCGATCTGAGATGGATGCGGGGCTCTTGCTGCGGCAGGTGTGGCAGGGGCTGTCTCCTGAGCCCGAGGCGCGAGCGACGGGGCATCTGATGTTTGCGTAGGAGTTTGACCATTAACGGCCTGTGGTTGTGTTTGAATGTCGTGAGTTGGTGGTTGCGAAGGAGCTGGGGGCTGAGATTGTTTTGCTTGAGTTTGACCAGCACCATCTCCCAGCGGTTTCTTTGCTTGAGGCGGTTGCACTGGAAAAACTTCAGGGTTTGAGTACTCCCGTCGCAAGGTCTCTTCCTTCACATCCACATCCACATCCATGGGTTCGGCCTCGAGATTGTCCCCAACCTTGACAGCGTCCTTGACACTTGTGCCAAGCGGCTTACTCTCCTCCTTCAAATGCTCGATTTCATCCTTAATCGCAGTATATCTCTTTTCGTCGTCCTTGATCTCCTTCGTTACAAGCTCCTTGTACCGCGCATAGAGATGCGACACGAGCTCTGGAACCAGAACAGCATGTGTAACTCCATCCGATAGCCCCTCTGGTCGCGGGCTGGAGATTTTGCGCTTCTTGGGGTTGCTTGCGCCGGAGCTTTCGGTGGGTCGTACATTCGGTCCGGCCAGAGCATCGCGATCGAACCCATCGCGCAGCAATGTCGCGTAAAGATCCTCCAATGCCTCGACAGTCAAGCGATCGGCACTAAACGCAACATTCTGCCGAACTAACGGGTTGTTTCGCAACGAACTGGAGATTGTCGCGAAGCTCGCCGGTCGCACATCGGACGTGGCCAGGGACTGGAAGAAGAGCAAGGACTCAAAAGGTGTATATGCCGACAGAGGAGGCATTCCCCATTGCCCGCCCGGTCGGCCACTGGCGGTGAGGACGGGGATCGGTGCCACGGTGGTGGAGGGGAGAGGATCGAAAAGGAACGCGGAGCGTGTTCGATCGCGCAGAATCGGTCGGGGACGGGCACAGGGACGGAAACGGCAAGGTTGGGAAGGGTTTGGAAGGGAGGGAGAGCACAAGCGGACACCTCAGTCCATCCACGAGCAGAGCGGCAGGGGGCTCTCAAGGATGAAACTAGGTGAGGAAGGAGTGGATGAGATGAGTGGATTCGTAACTCCCGATGTCCCTGCAAAGTGACACTCGACTCCAAGATTGCAAGACTGCAAGCTGGTGTTTCTGAAAATACTGGAAATACTGAAAATTACATGGGTCACGTGTCATCCCTTGTTGCCGGGAAACAAACCAGTTTCCATCTATCAAGAATGAGTCTTCTCAGTACTTCTCGAAGTATAGTCGGACGTTAAACTATTGCTGCAAGGCATCTCCTATTTCATCCGTAGTCAACCCCGCCCTGGGAAGTTGAATGAAATACCCCCTTTTCGAATCAAGTGGAGAGCTAACCCCCTGAATGAAGCCCCTAAACCACTACGTAGGAGGGACTTAGTGTATCTTAGTTCGCTCATCTTCCCCTGTAATACGATGACACTCCCCTTGCGGTGGAGATGCTCCCTCCGCGATTCTACTAATCAACTAGCAACGTCGACGATCGTCCCTTCTCCTCGACTTCTTTCTTTTCCTCCCCTCCTTCTCTCTCTCTCCGGAAGATTCCCAAAGCTTCAGCCTTGTCCCCGATCACCTCTTCAGTCCGTGCTTTGCGTCCCGGTATGGAGTTTCCGAGTCCCCTGAACATACTAGCTCCCCTCCCGTTCTTAGGGGGGCGCTTATCGAAGTATAACAGGACCAAAACACTGACAACGCCCGCAGTGAACTCGATCGGGGCAGATCATAGTCATCTTTTACCCTTATTCATTTTTACTATTTCAACTGTCCCCCCTGTCTCGACAAGCTCGGATCCGTTATCCTTACGTGATATCTCTATTGCGACCGCTGAGCTGCCCCGCCCGAAACAAGTCGCACATAGCCCCTCTACTCGAAGAGTCCGAGGTCCCCCTTCCGGATTGATTACAGGAAACATGTCCGACATGGAGCAGGAATGGAAGCCCAAGGCTCGGCCTCAGTCGTGCGTGATCTTCCCTTCTGAAATCATATAAAATGGGCGTTGACAAAGAGTGCAGCACCATGGCACAGGCCTTTTCGACAGCGCTCGACAGCGCCTTCTCGTTGGACAGCGACGTCAACAACCTGTCCCTTAGTATTGATCAGAAGTAAGTCCGAGGATCTGTGATAGCTCCCGCAGGCAGGCACCGCTCAGCGCGAGCGCCGTGCTTGACCCAGGGACGAGCCGGGCGCCGAACTAACATCTCCTAGGAAGCAACAGATGATGATCCAAAGCCGCGAGCTCGAAGCTCTCCAACGGCGCATTCGCGAAACTGAAGAGCGTTTGAAGCGCCAGTCGGTCTACGGAACCTCGAGCCAGACCAACCGGGGAGAGGCTCAGACAGTCGGTAAGGATGGCTCAGTTTGATCATCCCCATGCGGTCCGAAATTGTACTTTTTGCCCCGGAAAGTCGTTCTATGCGGGGACTGATATGAGACAGCTCCCTCCGGCAAGACTACCGTCCCTGAGCAGCCTCAGGAGGAGCAAACGGCCAACAAGTCGTGAAGTGCATCAGCGGAAGATTTTGATTCTCTCATTCCCCTTTTGGATTCAGTAATTTTTTATACCACTTTGACCTTTCCGGTGCTTCGCGGGTGGACCTACAGAGGTCCAAGATATTGATTATTGTTGCATGTTTGAAAGCCCTATGTATGTACTTGGGGCTCCGGTCCCCCTTGGCGTAATTGAGTTTTTTTCACCCGTTGCATAGGGTCCAAGGTGACCGGCGTGTAAGAAAGGGAAACCTGAACCTTGGAATCGTCCCCGGCAAGCGCGCGATAAGCAGTCCAGATGCTAATCGACCGCGTGCACGGGCTCTCATTGGGGCGATAGAGAACGTACGCCCGCATCCACTGAGTGACGGCATCACTGCGGCAGTCCCTGCTTTGCTCATTTTTCTGTGGAGCTTGACAGCTCCAGGCCTGTGCGGAGTACAAACGCATCTGCCCCTCCTCTCTTCTTCTTCTTCCTCTTCCTCTTTTTCTTCTCTCTCAAGTTTTATCTCTTCTTTGAGTCGTCCTTGGTTCTCTGCAATTACCCCGTGGTCGATTCAGACCCTCCCTCTCCGCATTCCGGCTCCACCATGGTGCTGATCGACAAGCACGAGTACCTCACCGAGGAGGAGAAACGTCTCAAGGAAGACCGAGAGCGTACTCGCTATTGGAAACGATGGGGTCCCTATGTGGCCGAGCGACAATGGGCAACCGGTGAGTCTGACGCTTAAACGGCTCAAATGCCCGAGTGCGGCTCGCTAATCATTTTACCATTATCCAGTCCGTGAGGATTATTCGTAAGTTTGGAATCGATCAGAGCGTGGGTCTATGAACGTAACTAACGATCATCAGCGAGGATGGAGACGCTTGGAGCTGTAAGTTGCAACTGGTCAAACTGCGGGGATCATAGCTGACCTGGTGGAGACTTTTCCCACGATCATGCACGGTCGCGCACCTTTCGTTGGGGCGAAGACGGAATCGCCGGTGTATCCGATACCCACGGCCTGCAGAATATTGCATTTACATTTTGGAACGGTGAAGAGTGAGTCTGCTCCCTCCCTTTTGCACGTGCCGGCCTGACTTGCGACTAGCGATTTCCTGAAGGAGCGTCTCTTCGGTCTATCAAACCCTCAAGGTAACCATGGTGAGAGTATCAAGGAAGCCCATTTCCACGTCGATAACACCCCCACCGTAAGTACTGTCCCTGAACATCTCATCGCCGGCGTTAACGTGTCCTGCAGCATTCCTACATGAAATTTCTTTACAAGTATCCCCAAAAGAAGTTTCCCTATCAGGACCTGATTGACGAGAATGCCAAGCGGTCGCGTCTGGAGAAGGAATACCAGATCCTTGATACCGGTATCTTCGATGACAATCGCTACTGGGACATCTTCATTGAGACCGCCAAGGAAGCGGACAAGGAGGAGGAGCTTATCTTCCGTGTCATTGCATACAACCGTGGCCCTGAGCCGGCTCCCTTACATATCATTCCCCACGTCTGGTTCCGAAACACCTGGTCCTGGGAGAAGGAACAAGCAAAGCCATCGATCAAGAAGGACGGCGACCGCACTGCCAAGTCAACTCACAAAACACTCGGTGACCGATATGCGTGCTTCGCCCCTTCGCCCCCTGTTGGTTCCAGTGATGACGATATTCAGCCCACTCTGCTTTTCACGGATAACGAGAGCAACAACAAGAAGCTCTGGGGCACCGAGAACGAGCACCCCTACGTGAAGGATGCTTTCCACAACTACATCGTCGACGATGAGAAAGATGCCGTCAATCCTGACAACGAGGGTACCAAGGCTGCCGCGTGGTATGCCTTTGATGGAGACGACATGGTCCCTCCCGGGGAATGTGCCGTCGTCCGCTTCCGCTTCTCTCAGAAGAAGGAGGAATTCGTGGATGAGGAAGTCCTCGATGATGTGATCGAGCAGCGTCGCGCCGACGCTGATGACTTTTACTACCGTATCAACCCACTTCCCATGAGCGAGGACCTGCGCAACATCCAGCGTCAGGCATTCTCGGGTATGATGTGGTGCAAGCAATACTACAACTTCATTTGGGATCAATGGAGTAATGGTGATTCTGGTGAGATTCCCCCGCCGCCAGGCCGAAAAGGTATTCGCAACGAGCAGTGGCGCCACCTGTATATCGACGATATCCTGTCGATGCCGGACTCGTGGGAGTACCCGTTCTTCGCGGCATGGGATACCGCGTTTCACTGTATTCCTCTGGCAATGATCGATCCGGACTTCGCGAAGAAGCAACTCGACCTTATGACCAGGGAGTGGTATATGCACCCCAATGGCCAACTGCCTGCGTATGAATGGAACTTCGGAGATGTCAACCCACCCGTGCATGCCTGGGCCGTCTTCCGCACGTTCAAGATTGAGCGTAAGATGTACGGCCGCCAGGATTTGGATTTCCTCGAGCGCGTCTTCCAGAAGTTGCTGCTCAACTTCACCTGGTGGGTTAACCGCAAGGATTCAGATGGGAAGAACGTGTTCGAGGGAGGCTTCCTGGGTCTGGATAACATTGGTTTGTTCAACCGCTCTGAGCCTCTGCCGACTGGTGGTGTGCTCGAACAGGCCGACAGTACTGGCTGGATGGCCTTCTACTGTTTGTGCATGCTCAACATTGCCTTGGAGCTTGCCAAGCATCGGAGAACCTACGAAGACAGTGAGTTTGATCGAAATTCAAAGCGCCCTCTGTACTAACATCATTCCAGTTGCGTCCAAGTTCTTCGAGCACTTCATCCTTATCAGTGATGCTATGACTTTCCGCAATGGCGATGACAAGGTCCAGTCTCTCTGGAATGAGGAGGATGAGTACGTCAGAAGATAAAACATTTTACACAGTGAAGACTAACTCTTCCAGGTTCTACTATGATGCCATTTCCTATGGTGGCCCATGGACTCAGCAGCTACCCATTCGGTCATTGGTTGGCCTGATCCCACTCTATGCTGTCCTGACTCTGGAGCCGGAGATCATCAAGAAGTTCCCTTCGTTCAAGCGCAGACTTGATTGGTTCATTGAGAACAAATCAGATATTGCCGAGCGTAACATTGCCAGCATGAAGCATCGCGGTAAAGATGACCGACTCCTGTTGGCTCTTGTCAGCAAGGACCGCCTGGAGAAGATTTTGAAGCGTATGCTCGACGAGACCGAGTTCTTGTCCGAGCACGGCATCCGATCCATGTCCAAGTTCCACGAGGAGAGCCCCTACTCTATGGACGTCAATGGCCAGACCTTCAAAGTGGAATACGTTCCCGGTGATTCGAACAGCTCTCTGTTCGGCGGTAACAGTAACTGGCGCGGACCGATCTGGCTGTGTGTCAACTTCCTGCTCGTCGAGTCTCTGCTTCGCTTCTACATGTTCTACGGCGATTCTTTCAAGGTCGAATGTCCCACTGGCTCAGGTGACTACATGCATCTAGGCCAGGTCGCTGAGGAGCTTCAACACAGAATGCAGCATCTCTTCGCTCGCAACGACGAGGGCCGTCGTGCCATCAACGCGCACTCCGATCTGCTCGACTTTGATGAGCACTGGAAGGACTACCTCTGGTTCCACGAGTTCTTTGATGGTGATACCGGCCGCGGTCTCGGAACTTCCCACCAGTGCGGTTGGACTGGTCTCATCGCCAAGGTCATCCACGACACTGGGTAAGCAATTCTTCTTTCACGCATGCCTTAAATCAAACATAACTAACATCTCCCAGTCTCAACTGTCGTCTCCCTCAAACTCCCCGCTCCCCATTCGCTGCCGCCTCCCACTACTTCGACGACATCTTCTCTCGTACTGGCCGCCCCGGGATGTCTAGACGTCCCACTGTCCGACGCTCCTCAACCACCCGCTCCATCGGCAACCGCAGCGACTTCCACTCCACGCCCGGCGACGCCACCCCAGGTGCCTCCTCGACCTTGGACGACGACGACGACTACGACACTAGCAGACCAGCCAGCCGCCGCGGAAGCACAAATGGAGCAGCAGACGAGCATCTCGATCACTACGTTGAGAGCCAGCTTCAGCGCGTCCGTAGTTCCGCCTCGCTCGGCGCATTCGAGGATGAGCTTGAGACACAGGCGGATCAGGAGAATGGAAATAGAAATGGAAACGGTCACACTTAATGAATATGCTTGATTGTTTTGAGTCTTGCATTCTATTTCGGTGGGTAGATTCATGAGTTTCTTTTTTCTTTTCCTTTGTCATGACACGCTCATATACGTCTAATGGATGTCTTTCTTCAGAGGTCAAATCTTTCCCTGGATATTTTATACGAGACTATAGTAAGAATGCATTTTGAGCCTTTATTTGCTATCTCTTCGCTTGAGCCGTTGGGGACTCCGGGGTCCTCTACGGGTGTTAGTTAGGATGTAGTGAGTGATTTGTGTAGAGCCCCAGGGAGATGATACAGGGGTCATACGATTAGTAGGAATTTGCAGACTACGGCCAGATGTTTAGTGTAATAGAAGTAGTTCTAAATTCGCAGTGACTGGTCATATCAAGATGTATTCAAAGCCTTCTAGAGGGATGCCTTTAAAAAGGGACAAACTGAGGTCTAGCAAGAGCTCTAACGATGTGCCTAAGGGATGTCGAGCAAAGAGTTAAAGAGCTCAGTGTGGAAGAGGCTCCTTTAGGTTAGGTATCTTCTCGAAAGGGCGGTAGGTTCTGTATATCTCCGAACACCCCGTTATGATCCTTCTGAGGCATATAGTTCCCGATATCCCACGAGCATTGAGCTATGGCTCGATTAATTAGCTTATCTCATGCATGACCTATAGAGATGTCGTGTAGCAAGCTATGCAAAGGCTAAAAGGGAAGGAACAATATAACGTGAGTAACCCTTCTGGCGCGGTCCATTTATATTAAACAAGAACATTTTCTCGAAAAGCAGTAGGATTGGTAGATAGCAGGGGAAGGAAGAGCAAAGGGCAGAACCATTAAGACTGACTGCCCAGGCGGACGGCCGACGATCTTGGGATAATGAAAGGGGTACAAGGTTACACCAAACAATTAACACAAGAAATATAATCGTAGAGTATGATAAGTTACAAAATATATCACCAGATAGATATCCAAATTCCACGAGCATTACATGCAAGCTGTGGATCGTTCCTCTTGCACTTAAAGAATACCGGCCAACCAAAAAGGCAAACCCAGTCGTAACGGGCAATTCACAGATTACAGACAGGTTTGTTTATATCCAAGCATCTAGCTATTTCCTCAAAAATGTCAAAACCGAAAGACACAGCGCATCTACTCCAACCTTCATTGTTGGTTGTATAACAGGAGCAAAAAGAGCGGAGTGGTTTCCAGGGATTTCCTCTCCCGAGCTTTGTGCATTATCCCAAATCTCTGGATCAATGCACCCAGTGAGCCAGAAAACGCTTGGAATGTTTCGGCAGGTGGCCAACGTAGAGAAGTCTTCGCTGACGTTCGTCCTGGGTGTATCAGCGTCAAAGCTATCAAAGTGACTTTCGAATGATGCAGCCACTAAAGATGCCAGGTCGCTGTCATTGTTAGTGGGCGGGAATCGTCTTGTCGGCGTGAACACGGGCGGCTTGGGCGAGCCACTCGCGGCACACTCGGCCTCAACAATGCGCTTGATCGCCAAGATGAGCTTCTCTCGAGTCTCTAACTTGGCACTCCGGAAATCAACCCCAAGCTCAGCCCTGTCCGCAATGATGTTCTCTGTCTGCCCAGCTTGAAGACTGCCGACGGTCAAGACAGCAAGATCACTTGGGTCAATCTCTCGGCTCACAATGCTCTGCAGTCTCACAACAATATGCGCAGCCAAAAGGACGGGATCCACGGTCTGGTGCGGCTGTGATCCGTGGCCGCCACGCCCGAACACCGTGATTTTCATACTATCAGCAGCAGCCATGATCGTTCCGGGACGTGATCCAATGGTCCCAGCACGCATTCGCATGACATGCTGACCAAAGACATAATCTGGGACGGGGATCTTTGAGTAAAGATCATCGTCAACCATGGCCTGTGCACCTCCGCCTCGCTCTTCATCGGGCTGGAACAGCGTGATCAGAGTCCCGCTCCACGCGTCTTGCATTTTCACGAGAGTCTCAGCAGCGGCAAGAAGACATGTCATGTGCATGTCGTGTCCGCAGGCATGCATAACCGGCTTCTCAATGCCGTCTGCATCGCGCATAGTCACGGAGCTCGCATAGGGGAGCCCGGTGAGCTCCTTGACGGGAAGTGCATCCATGTCCGCTCGCAGAAGAACAGTCTTTCCAGGACCATTCTTGAAGACCCCTACTAGTCCATAGCCTCCAATATTGATTTGAATGTCAAAGACTTTCAATTGGGCCAGATGGGCAGCTACCTTTTCCGATGTAGACTTCTCTTGGCGCGATAGTTCAGGATGCAAATGGAAGTCTTTGTAGACATCTTCGTAAGGAGCCAAGTCCAAAGAGCCCGTTCTCAGGAGGTCTGATAAACTTGCTTTGGCCATTTTGGTGCCTGCGGGGAATGTGTTATGAAAGTTGAGGGGGAAGCTTCCTGAACTCGGGCAGTTGAGTCAGACCCATTGGAAGGGCTTCCCCGAGGATCCACTGCTGACAAGGCGTACCCGCTCAACTCCAATACAAAAAGGTGGATGAGAGTCTTTATGGGGGGGCCGACCCGTCAAATTTTGATTAATGCAGGCATCTGGATGTGTATCACTTCCACTACACCATGGAAAGCTCTTCGGAGAAATCGACCGTAGAGTCAGGAGTAGCAATCCTCCTTCAAAGAGATGTCTAGCCTAGATGCTGGAAGAAGACATTTAGTGCGTCTCTCAGAGATGATCCCTCATCGAATAGAGGCTATTAACAAACCTCAGTTTTGGTACACCCTTTATGAGATCGCCCTAAATATGACATGAGCCGAAGGTGTTGACGGCGCCTCCGCGTCTAGCGATGAAAGGAACAATACTAACGGAACATATTGTTCTTGATACTTCTGTATCTGGGGAACCTTTGTTAAATATTGAAAGTACAGCTAATCTCTACCCAGTTTAATTTCACGGCCCTAAGGTTCCTGCAGAAAACCCTGAGCTTGGATTTATGCTCATTGATGTTGATGCTATTATTAGGACTCCCTTTTTCAATCCTATTCCGATTCATTTGTTCTTTTTTTTCTTTTCAAAGGTGTAGCAATGCAATTGGTTAGGCATACTATGGGGTGTCCATATAAATCGTGTTGCTACTGCTCAAAGGTAATCGCAAATAGCGAGTCTACTTCGTCCGGATTCATGATGAGGATCTCGAAGCTAGAAATATTGTTCTTCCTCATCCTAAACGTGCTACTGCGGACCGTCACAGCATCTTCACTTATCGAAGATTTCTATGCTCTATCTCGCACCCTTCTTTGGTCAGTAGTTTCGCGAACAGCATCCAACCTCCCACCAAAGGCAGATGGCAATGGCCTTTGCGACAGTTACGCTATCCAGGCAACGGATTCTTGCCAAAGCATTGCTCATGCCTATGATATTACTGTGGCCGATATCAAGTCTTGGAACAAGCAGACATATGGCTGGAAAGGCTGCGATGGCATCCAACAGGGCAATTTCATATGCCTCAGTACAGGATTCCCTCCAATGCCGGTCGCACTTCCAGACGCCACTTGTGGTCCTCAAGTACCTGGAACAGCACGACCAAGCAAGTACGCTGCTCTGGCTTCTCTAAATCCCTGTCCATCGGGCAAATGTGTGAGTCTTGTGTGGTTTGACTTCTTTCCTTGCAACTTAATCTAACAATTCTTCAGTGCATCTCATCCGGTACATGCTCGACTATCTCAGATGTCTGCTCTTCGAGCCATTGCATCTCGAATTGTGGAACAAAAGTGACGAATAAAACCACAATGGAGAAAACTACAAAGACTACAAAAGACGGTGCAGAGACCAAGACCACAGCCAAAGTTGAAACCATAAGTACAAAAGCAGAATCGACAACAACCAAAGTGGAGACTACTTCAACTACAAAGGCTGCCGCAACTACAGCCGTAGACGCGCCCAACAAATGGACACTCACAGCCTACACTGGCGATGATTGTGGCGACGATTACGATCTCATTGAGTTACATGGTGCAGAAGTTTCGGAATGCTATAATGTCCGAGATCTCGGCACTGAGGTTGAAGACACCGGCGCTTCTTGCAGGTATTTCACCGACGGTGGGTTCAGTCAGACAAGCTGTGCCTCCAGCCCCACTGGTATGGTCTTTTGGTCTTTTATCGTGATAGGCGGCACTTGCACTATTTACAACGAGAAAGACCGTGATGGTTCGAAGGGTACCAATTTTGAGCTCAAGACGACCAGTGGTTGCAAGAAGGAAGATATGTACCACCCGAATTGGGGCATTGCGTGGGTCTCGTTGAAATGTTCTACGAGCTAAAAGCATGAACCTTTTTCTCTAGTATTGCATTTCCAGATTGATCTTGGTGCATGATCATAAGTACATTCGACACAAATTGAATTTTAATTCTCCTGTTTATGTTCCGTTTGGGACTCAAGTGCTGTAAAAATTAGATTATTCGTGACCTTAGGCTCAAGGTGCCATATGTCCCGTTTCAGGACTCGCATCTGACGCGGGAAACGAAGCTCTTTTTAATCGTAGGTACGGACTACCTCCAACCCTCTTCTGTACAATGGCTTTGGTGTCCGAAGAAAAAGCCATATGGATGCGGGGCTCCAGTTTCCGCTTTGACCCGACTGCAGAGCCGAACCCGATAAAGCGATCACTAGTCGGGAATACTCATTCTAATCTTCGAAAATAACCAAGCTTTGATACTTCTGGACACTTGCCACTTCTTTTGAGATCTCTCCGAAAATCATTCGCTCTACTCTAATTCAGGCATTGAGCTGAAAGGGATCAATCTCCCATTCCACCGCCAAGATGTCCACCGACCCAAAGTTCGACGAACTCCACAAACAACTATTTGAAGAAGGCCTTAAAACCCGCCGCTCTGTTATCGGAGATGCATATGTCGACAGAGCCCTCGAGAACGGCTCGACTGAATTCTCTCGACCAGGGCAAGAGCTCATTACGGAATGGGCCTGGGGAAACGTGTGGGGCAGACCGGGCCTTGCGAAGCGCGATCGCAGTCTGCTCAACATCGGCATGCTGATGGCCCTGAACCGCGGTCCTGAGTTGGCGGTTCATATCCGAGGGGCGCGGAACAATGGGCTCAGTGAGCTTGAGATCCGGGAAGCTATCATTCATGCTACGGTTTATTGCGGTGCTCCTGCTGGGGTGGATGCTATGAAGATTGCCGAGAGAGTGCTGAATGAGATGGCTGAGAATGGGGAGATGGAGCGTGAATTGGGGGGTAGAGCTGCGAAATGAGGGTGAAACATGTCTTTCAATGTTTTAAATTTCGGGATATACCTATCCATCTCCACCTTTGAACTTGGTTGTTTCCTTCATGTCTATCAATTGAAACCTGTTGCTCCCGGAGTTTAGCCTGGCGGATATATACTTCCAAGGTGGGGGGGGGTTTACGGGGTATCTGTGAGGTAGTCATCGTCAACTACGATGTTTCAAATTACCATACATAATTTGGATATCCAACTCAAAGCCCGAGCTTCAGGGCTGTAAGGCCTGTTGATTGAGGGCATGAAGTAGACAAGGTCAATGGAAGTAATCGAGATCATATCCTGACGTAGGGCGGTAACTGGGGCAACGTGGACAGCCCGCGATCGCTATCAAGTTTGGTGGAGCTGAACCCGATAACCTCTCCCTTGCACTTGCGCTTCTTCGGTCTGGATTACGTTCTTTTCTGCATTGCTCACTCCACACCGCACACTGCACACTACACACTTCCAAGGTCTCATTTGGTATGTCGTGCCTTACGGTCCAAATTCCCGCGCAGCGCAACTCACCCTGACATCGGAATGCAGGCACACCCCCGATCAGCGCTCACCCCGCCGCCGCAAATAACAAGGGAGATTCCCAAGAAAATAAGATGGCTTCGTTCATCACCACAATGTCGGTCCCCTCTACTTCTGCCTCATCTCACATGTCGACTCCCTCCGAGACCTCGTCTCATTCCTTATCGCGATCCCCTCCAACCCCTTCCCTCAGTCTGAGCCCGTCGGGCATCTACCAGACCACCCGTACTTCTCATATCCCTCTTCTGGAACCTCCATCCTATCTCTCTCCAGCAGTGCGCGCGCTCAAGCAAGGCTCATATGGACTAACCCCTCCCAGCAATGCGCGGACGCGAGCCCCGTTCAAGCCCCGCTCTGCGGCCAAGGGCACCAGTAGTTACCAGCTCAGACAATTTGCCGAGGCGACTTTGGGAAGTGGCAGTCTGCGCAAGGCTGTCATGCTCCCCGAGGGCGAGGATTCGAGTGAATGGCTTGCTGTGAACAGTATGACACCCTTCGCACCATCGGCAGACAAACGATGCTAATGGAGTTCTGACATTTGATAGTTGTCGATTTCTACAACCAGATAAACCTCCTCTATGGATCCATAACCGAGTTCTGCTCGCCGCAGACATGTCCTGAAATGAAGGCGACCGATGAGTATGGCTTATCGCGAGAAGATAGATCGTAATGAATCCCGGCTTATGATGATCTAGATTCGAATACCTCTGGCAAGACTCGGAGAACTTCAAGCGCCCGACCAAGATGTCCGCACCAGAATACATTGAGCATTTGATGAGTTGGGTACAGAGCAACATCGATAATGAGCAGATGTTCCCTAGCCGAATCGGTATGTATACTCGATGATTGTCCTGGAGTGCCAAGCTCATTTGTTCTCTCGTCTGCAGGCGTTCCATTCCCCAAAACCTTCCCCAGTCTCATCCGCCAGATCTTCAAGCGCTTGTACCGTGTTTACGCTCATATCTACTGCCATCATTACCCGGTAGTCGTGCACCTCGGTCTTGAGCCTCACCTCAACACCAGCTTCAAACACTATGTCCTGTTTATCGATGAGCACAAGCTGGCTACTGGTAAGGATTACTGGGGGCCTCTGGGTGATCTGGTGGACAGCATGTTGCGCAGTGACTAAAGCGTAGCATGAAGGATATCTTCATATTCTTTGCATGGGAAAGATGCCTGTGATTTCAGAAACTGGACTTTCTGGCGGATGGAGACACAGAAGACATCGTTCCCACCGGCGTTTGGACATGGAGAATACATTATTGCCATTCAGATATGTTGATGGGTTTTCATCGGCGTTTTGACGTTTTGATCGTGTCGGGTTCTCCGGGGAGAATGGACAATGGGGGTTTGCTGTTGTTATTAAACATAGCTATTGCAAAACAATTGACGCGACATATGCCGTTCCGATGTTTACCGTGACCGGAAAGCTGGGCTGTAAGCCTGGTGAGTTGTAATCAGGAACTGAATGTATCAAATAAATCCATAGTTAGTTGAAACAGATCATATTCCAATCCGAGTCTAATACACGCTTTGTTGAGTAAAGAACAAGGATAAGTCTTACTCAAGGAATCTGAAGCTGAACGAAAAAGGAAATCGGACGGATTAGGTCAGCACAGCACGTGACTCGGGAAGAAGTCGGACCTCGAACTCAACCTGCACTCAGGACGCAAGCCCTCCGACCGTCGCTAGCATCTCCCTCCATCTCAACTCCCACGGCCTCCTCCCCCTCTCTCGAGGATATTTTCCTGCTCAATTCCACGATGATGTCCGCTCGCATCGCCCGCACCGGCCTCCGTGCCACCCAGCAGTTCTCCGTCGCCCGCCCGGCCTTCAACGGTCTGCGCACCTATGCCACCCCGGCCCAGGAAGTCCGCCCCCCGGTCGCCCTTTTCGGCGTTGACGGTACCTACGCCACTGCTCTGGTATGCACCCGATCCTTTGCAGGATATAGCTCCTACCCTGTCGAGTTTTTTCGCGACTCCGTGTCGCCCCGACCCCTCCCGCTGCCGCCTCTGCGTCAATTCTGGAGCTGGTTGTCGCAGGGACAAACACGCGCAAAACAACACCGATTCTAACCTTGCCTCTCTATAGTACCAAGCCTCCACCAAGTCCTCTGCTCTCGACCAGACCTCCAAGGCCATCGCCAACCTCGGCCAGACCCTGAAGGCCGACCCCAAGCTGCACACCATCCTCGGCGCTCCCACCCTGACCGTCTCCGACAAGAAGCAGATCATTGAGGAGCTCCAGAAGGTCGCCGGTGCCGACAAGGCCGACATCCTGAAGAACTTCCTTGCCACTCTCGCCGAGAACAACCGTCTCGGCTCCCTCAAGGGTGTCTGCGAGAAGTTCGCTACCCTGATGAGCGCTCACCGCGGCGAGATCGAGCTGAGCATCACCTCCGCTCAGGTGCGTTGCTCACACGTGTTATTCGATTAACGAGTGCTTTACTAATAAATCACGAATACAGGAGCTTGACACCAAGACCATCAACCGCCTCGAGAAGGCCGTTGCCAAGTCTGAGTACAGCCAGGGCAAGAAGCTCAAGATTGTCACCAAGGTAAACTTTTACCATCCCTTGTGGTCCGATTGAATATCTAGCTGACATTCCTAGGTCAACTCCGACCTTGTCGGTGGCCTCGTTGTCGAGATCGGTGACCGCACCGTCGACCTCAGCGTCTCCTCCAAGATCGCCAAGATGAACAAGGCTCTTACTGATGCTTTGTAAATGTAAAATAGAGTTGTGGGGGATGGTTCATATTGCATTCCGTCCCGCATGATCGTTAGCGTCTGGTGAAGGTGGAATCGAGGGGTTTCTTGGATCCCTCTTTTCTTCCATTTGTTTTCAATATCTGTGACTTGCACAATACACATTTTTCTTATCACTGTTTCCGGGCGTAGATATGAGTTCTAGTACTCTGCATAGGTCTATCTAAAAGCCCCGCTCAATTGCTGGGTCAAGGTATGTATGGATAGCTGCACATAATGAAGGCTAAGGGTGCCTGCCCCCTGACTGCTCATCCAAGCCGAGCTCAACTCGTTGAATTATCATTTGAGCGGCTATCTATGCAGCCTTCCAAAGTCCAAGAATATGTATATATTTTGTTTTTGTTTGTTTGCTGTTTTTAGTGCAATTTTGCCCGTAAATTATGTATTGAGAGAAACTACGGAGAGCCTCAAGTGCTGCCGAAACGGGGGCATCAACACGAATTATATACCTAATTTAACAAATGCGACAAACGCTGCGCATGCAAGGAACATACCCACAGGTGGGATAGGGGGATATCTTAATCGAATGCTCAAGAAGTTGGGCTGTACCGCCAGTGCCGGAAACATATCACGCATCCTTAGATAGCGTACCCTTCGTTCTCTTCCGGCAGCTGCTCTCGCACGGTTTCACCGTAGACTGTGAGTGGAATAGAGATCTCGAAAGACTCGCAGCCCAAATGTTCCATCGCGGACATCACTTTGCCGCGATCATCAGAAGACAGTGTTTCCAGGAGCTGTGTCCCGGATGGACTGGGACCTTGTTCATTGTGCATGGTTGGTGTGACGAACTCGAACCGCAGGTCCCAGTCTAGGGTGACGCCGCTTGTGAGAATGGTGGGAGTTGCGGTGATAGGGATTGCAGGGCTGAAGACCACTCTTGTGGCGTATAGGGTATTCTCGAAAAGAGACGCATGGATGCGCCGTGTCGTTCGGTGAATGCTTGCATTTGATCGGACCGCGAGGGTGGGTGTCACCTTCTCCGATGTTTCCAGTGACGCTCGGACAGCATAGCATGGGATTGAGGCATTTTCAAAGTCCACCGTAGCCATGATCGTCTCTCCAAGTCGGTGAACAGGGCGATTCAAAACAACCACGGCAATGCGTTGCCCATCGCGAGCGATCTCAAAACGGTTGGGACTGCGCCGCGAGTTCACAGCTTGGTTGCTGCGGAGGATTGCAAAGTCGATGATGTCCTTACAAGTCATTGCATGGGGAATTTCTTCGAAACTTGGTTTCCTCGAGAGAAGTGCACCAGGGGGAAACAGAGAATTAGATCGCGCGCGCTGCTCTAGGATCTCATCCACATATGACAAGAAATCCCCAGCCGTGTTCCATTGGGTGCTGATACTCTGTGGTTTTTGAGTGACAGGAGCATTGGCTCCAACTTTTTGTACCTTGGCTTCATCGCGGAGAATCACGTATGGCGACATCAGATCATGGCCGAGAACGTCTCCTTTGTCTAAAAGCTATTAGATCTGGGAATTCTGTAGGGATCGGTTGAGTTGAAGCTTACCATTAACACCGCTGAACACACGGAATGGGATGTTGATGCGGTTGACACGTTGAGATTCGTTGGGGCCGCTGGGCCGCTGAGTGCCAATGACCAAATTGTAAGAAATCTTGATAGCTTTGCCCTTGTGGCTCGCCGGAAGCCCCCTGGGCAGAGAGAAGGAGAATGAGTACGATTGTTCTTCCCCGGGCGACAGCCGTAGGTCGACGAAGAGAAGCGACTGTGGAGTGGATAGCAATGGAATTGATCGTGACGAAGCAACTCCACGCATCTCTCGTAAACCATCAAGCTCATTGTTAGAGAGGAGACCATTGATTGACTCCTCGATAGCGTTCCATTTGAACGAGCCCCAAAAGCCGCCACCTTTGCGGGCTCGATCATTGCTGGCAGAGCTTGGCCGTCCTGGGAGCCCGCCGGTACCTGGTTGCCCACCGACGACTCCTTTCCTTTTAACTTCGTCGAAGACCGACTGATTGACGAGAGATCCGTCGACTGTGAATGATGCGCTAATTTGCGCATATCCCATCAGCAGCGCCTGGCCATCGTTGGATCTGACAGAGGGGGCTGCCACGCTCGAATAATGCCGTGCATGTCGAGCAGCGGGTGGAGGGGGCGCTCGTGCACCTTGAGCTGAATAGGTTGTGTACTCGGAAGCTAATGTCTCACTGGAATGGTCGCTGACCGAGTAAAACTCGCCGCTGCTCCGGGTACTTCCGTTGACGCTTGTAGCTGATATTATTCGCGTCAGTTGTTGATGCGAAGGTGCACCCAAGGTTGAAGCATCCCTCGCTGATGTCTTGTTCGGGGTGATCCTGTCGGTCGATTTGGGCGAAGGAGAGAGACGTGGGTGGTGGTTTGGCTCGGTTGTTGGAGAGGCAGCTGGAAACCTGAAATCGAAAGAGGGTGGCTGACGCCTCCGAGAAGAAGTGCGCAATTGCTCAGTCGGGTCAACCGGGCTGGTTGCCAGAGAACTTTGGCGACTAGATCGTCCTAGGCGGGAGGTATCGACTGTCAGATTGCCGGGGGCTGACTCGTTTGGGGATTCTGCGAGCGTAGGACCAGGCACGTGAGATCTCGCTTTTGAGTAACCACTGTGAGTCCGAGGAAGTGCAGGTTTATGAGCCATCATATCCCCTGTTCTATAAGAATCGTCATAGCTGTCGTTCCTCCTGGGGGAAATCTGAAGACTCGCTGAACGTCCATGGGCCCGGGCCGGCTTGCCTCTATAATTGTGCGATGACGGTGCTTTATCGGTCTGGCCTTCGCTATCGATTGAGAGTATCGACACGGATCGTTTATGGCTGTGGCCAGGCTGCCAAGTTCGAGGTGTGGAGGGGCCGCTGGGGGGGGAAGCTCTGGGAGGAGACGAGCGGGGAGCTTAACGAAGAGGCGGTTCGGTGGAAAGGCTTTCTCTGAGAGCTAATTGAATACGATCGCCGTCCTGAGAAGAGGCTCTGGGGTGATTTCATCGAGAAGAAAGATTCTGAAGGAGTGCTGGTGTGGTTCGCGACCCGAGACGCCTTGCGCTGGTGTTGACCAAATTCAGCTCCATTGCCGGCTTCAGATGCAGTATCGGCGATGTTTTTAAAGGTAATAGTGCATTCCACATTCTCCCCTGCGAATATCGTCTGGTCTCTCCAGTTCACGAAGACCTGGATGTTCGACGGCATAGCGGCGCGGTGTCAGCATGTGGTCTGCTGTATCGACCTACTGCACTCAGTGTGTGTTCTCAGGAGTCGGGGATTTGCGACCGTCAAGAACAGATTATAATGATTGTCAAAGAGGCAGCACCATGCTGTCAGATGGAAGACAAGGCGCGAGATGTATGTCCATGGGACGTGTCTGCCGAGGAGTCGGAGTCGGAGTCGGAGTTGTAGGGAGCTTGCGTGACGCCGCCTCCACAATTCCATTGGCGGGACCCCTTTGTTCTATGTAATGTGCAAAATAGCTACCCTAATCGATTATGTATAGTTGATTGAATAGACATTTGATTCATGGCAATTAATATTAGTGATCGACTACTCTCGAATTGGAGATATGGGATGACTCTGGTCGACTCTATGTCCACCCATATAACACTCCATGATCTAGGAACAAGCCCTGATTCCAAAAAAAAATTTGATCATTAATTCACCAGCCATATGTGCAATATAGAATATGTCTATCAAAAAAAGACCGCTATGATGCAAGAGTGGACGCCGAGATGATGTACAAATTGAGATTTCCCCCTATTTATTGTCGTCGTCTCCATACAACAACCTGCTCGCATCGCCCACAGGCCTAGAAGCTTTGGTGGATGGCCGAAGACCTAACTCGCTCATCTGACTCCAGATTCTTTCGTGTCGCTTCTCCCATCGCTTGCGCCGGCTCTCCACCTCCTCCCCAGACGGTCTCCACTTGCTCTTCAGGATGCGACGAATGGCCTCCGGAGAGGTTTTGAATTCTTCGGCCAAAACCGAAGTTGTGAATCGATCGGGGGCAGTGGCATGCAGGTGACGGATACCATCGAGTGCGTCGGGAGAAAGCTTCTTGGGCGGGTTCCAGCCGGCAGGGAATTTCTCGCCTAGCGCGCCCTTTTGTATTTGCCAATGCTCGGTGTTCTTCTTATTGATAGGAAGCTTCTTCGGCTTGTCGAACTTTGCATCCTTGCCAGTACTCTTGCTTTCTTTCGTCGCTTTCTTGCCGTCGCGCTTGGTCTTTACTTGGCTCTTCGCGCTTGGGGGTGTGGATTTTTGCGAAGCACTTGAGGCGATGTCTTCTGTAGTTTGGAGTGAGGAGGACTCAGTTGACTGAGGCGATGACTGGTCGAGCACAAGCTGGCAAAAGCGCGGCGTTGAGCTGTAAAGTCGTGGTTGTTGAAAGGTTCGTTGAGGGCGAGTAAGTCGGTGCGCAGAAGTAGCATGCAGGTTGCGGGGAAATTCAGAGCGGAATACACTGCGTAAAAGCACCGGGAGAGCCATCTTGGCAGATGCAGTACATTGTGTTGCCATTGTAGGTGGCGTGAGTGAAGATCAAGGAGGAAGTGTCGTGACGAAAAAGATGAACCCCGGTGGCGATAAGATCGCTGCCCGATAAGTAAGGCACAGAGCCAAGCCCAACTATAAAGAAGTCTGTTTTGTGATTATCCTCAACCAGGTTCTGCTGCGACGCGCAATGGGAAGTCTGTAACCTCTCAATCCAACTTCTCTATCTCCGTGTTTGATTCGTTTACTACAAATTTCCCTCCCTTACCCTGACTGCTCACTTTTTCATCTTCATTCTTCCATTTCACACCACAAATTAGACTCATAATTCAATAAGAGCCAAAGAAACATGGATGATATCACCAGCTACGGTGTCTCATACAACTTCAGCTAGCAACCTCTCGGTAACTGATGATTTCTACGATGGGTCGACCACTTGAACAAGTCCTAACTATGGGGCCCTTGATACTGACGATGCTCACGATCATAGCATCGGGTAACGCGGATTCAGAGCTTGATGCATTTCTTAAGCTACTCTGGGAGAAAACCATTGACTGTGTCCGTTTATTGATGTCCACACAGGGGACAGAATGTCTGGAAGCGTTGTCTCTTGCATGCAGGAGGTTTGGTTGAGCTTTACCATGATCAATGTTATTCTATGTCCTTCCTCGCAGAGCACTAGCTTCTCTTCGCCTTCATAAAAGAGAAAAAAAACATCCGCAGATTAACATTTTCAGTTACCACCCCCGTTGAGGTCTCCTTAGGACTTCTTTGTATGGATTTGACCTACACGTTAGATGTACGGCAATGTTATCTTGTCTGGAAAGAAATTTAGGCGAGATGCTAGTATGTTAGACACATATAGGTAAAGTTGTGTGTTCGAGGATACTTTCAAGCTCTTTTTTAGAACTTTCTTTTGCCAAACCCAGGCGTAGGGTAACAGGGCCTATCGTTGCGAAGATGGGTTTAGTGCCAAAGGCTATGCTAGGGCCCCGACGGGCGACCCCACCGTTCGCCTCGCCAAAAGGCAGCGTAAGCTCTTAGAGTTTCCGCATAGGATGCAGAGCTAGGTAAGATAGTAGTCAAACTACTTTAGTAATAACTACACTTTGGACCTTCTTAGGCTTAGGCATCGGCCTAGCCACAGCTGTCAGGGGCACATACTTCCCCACCATCCACGATCCACGGTTCATTTTTCGGTCCATTCCTTACCAGTGGAATCTAAGATCAACATAGCTAGCGCCCGATAGAGCTGTTTGTGTTATTTTCCCGATCCTTCAGCTTGACTTGATAGCTCCTGGCTTTTCTGTTTTTTTTTTTTCCACCCCACATCCCTCTTGCCTTCTCCCGAATCCCCCGCCACGCCATTTTTCTCTCCTTTCAAGAACCCCTTGCGACGGATGCGCAATCTGCAATGAAAAGACTCCGCGCACTCAGGGGAGCCTAAATTTATCTCGAATGCCCCAATGGCAACCACGCGCTTCTCAGGGCCAAATGCCTCGCTGAAGATCACACCCTCCAATTCTCCTGTGCTACGACCGGGAACCCGATCGCCTAGCAAGTCGTCACACCAATCCTCGTTATCGCTTCAGACGGTCCTGGGGACTACCACCACAACCCCGAATGGCTTCTCGAGCCACGACCAGAGCAAGCGCTTTGCTCTATGCGCCGGCTCGGCCGCGGTGCTCGCCGAGCTCGACGACGATGCCAACATTAGCCAGCGCTTCTTCCGAGCTCGCCCCTCGGCTACCAGCGTGAACCCGACCACGTCCTTCTACAATCATTCTACCCCGCCAGCGACACCTGATCCCAAATCTCGCTCTCTTTCACATATTCGCTCTAATCCACACCTCAATCTCCCTGCGTCGCCCTCAGGTGAAACTTCCGATAGCGGAAGCCCACGCGCATGGTCGTCAAGAGAAAGAATCAAGGCTGTCACCAGCGTGTCCATTAGCCCGAATGGAAGGTTTCTCGCGGTGGGAGAGGTCAGTAACAAGATGCTGAGATATTGAAACAATCGCCGCTGACCCTTGCTAGACCGGTTACAACCCCCGCGTATTGATCTTTTCAACTGCCCGAGACGCTTTACCCGATGTTCCTCTTTCGATTCTAAATGACCATACATTTGGTGTCCGCAGCCTTGCCTTCAGCCCTGATTCGCAGTACTTGGCAACCCTCGGCAATGTGAACGATGGATTCCTCTTCATCTGGTCAATCAATCTCAAGAATGGCTCGGCCAGGCTACATTCAGCGAACAAATGTACATCCTCGGTCCGCGATATGTGCTGGCTGGGTCAATCCTTAGTTACGTATGTCTTCCCAGGACTACCAATGGTGTAAACACGCGCTAATTTTTGGGGGGTTTAGAACCGGCGTGCGCCATGTCAAGGTGTGGAGGCTTCCTACCAATCGACCAGTCTCTCCTACCAAATCTCGCTTGGTCGTGGAAGGCGGAGGCCCTTCGCCAAATCCAGCTCCAAAAGCACTATCGGGAAGAAACTGCCTGCTCGGGCCACTGGGCGATAGTACTTTTAGCTGCGTGGGTAGCATCTCTGACCAGGAGGCTGTGGTTGGCACAGAGTTGGGTGCTGTTTGCCTAATCGATGATCGGGAAGGATCTCAAAAAATGACCACAGTGGCGCAACTTGGGCTCAGCGTGACCTCGTTGGCAGTTGACTTTGATCGCGAGTGCGTCTGGCTGGGCGGGCGTGGCAGGAGGATGCAGCGATTGTCTTTCGAGGCTATTCGATCACCCCCCATGTCGCCAGGCCGGGTGGAGAAAGGCGCAGTGGACAAGAAAAACAAATCGCCTCCCATTACTTGTATGGGCTCTCTTTCTTCCCATTTGGTCACAGTGGACATGACCCGTGAAATTCGTATTTGCCCAATGGACGCTTTACGGGAAGAAGGCGAGCAAGAACAGGACCCGGGGAGAACTCCATGCCGGCTCATCGAGACCCTGTGCTTGGAATTCGTCGTCTGAAGGCACCGAATGCGTTCTCTGCTGACTTTTTCTCCTGGTCTCGCAATGGTTCCGTGAATTTCTGGGAAGCCAAAGGAAAATGTCTACAATCCAGGATGGTGCCATTCGAACAAGACCTGTCGATTGAAGATGATATCGCAAATGAACTGAAGGTCTTAAGGGCTGGGGACAATGTGGATTGGTTCGTCTCAGGAGACAAACTCGGAGTTCTCAGACTTCTTTCGCGGGAGCCCTGGGCTTGCGTCAATGAGGCTCGCGCTCATGGGACCGAGATTACGGATATCGCCATCCACTCTACTCCCGATTCTTGTCTAGTGGCCAGCTCTGGCCGAGATCGCACGGTGCAACTGTTCGAGAAGAGAGATAACGAACTGCAATTGATCCAGACCATGGACGACCATGTTGGGGCAGTGAGTCAAATATTGTTCATGAACGACGGCGAGAAACTGCTGTCGAGCTCTGCGGATCGCACCATTCTCGTTCGGGAGCGGGCAACACGAGATGTAGATGGAACAACTTCTGTTGCCTACCTCGTATCCAGAGTCATTACCCTCAAATCGTCTCCCGTTTCCATGACTCTCTGTCCTGATGACTCGAACCTGCTTTTTGTATCGACTATGGACCGCTGCATTCTCAAATTTGACATACCCTCGGGACGACAGCTTCATTGCTTCCGATCATCTGATTCGGAAGCAACCGATGCTGTTATAATGAGTGCTTTGACTGTTACGTCAGAAATTCCAGGCCAGTGCCCAAAGCTTTTACTTGGAGTTTCCAGCACGGACAAGTCCATCCGCGTATATGACCTAGAGCGAGATCAGTTGCTCACTGGAGAGTTTGGGCACACAGAAGGTGTTAGTGATGTGTTGCTTCTAGAGGATTCCGATGAGTCTGATAAGTCCGTTCCCAAACGGAACTTGGTTTCGGCGGGTATGGATGGTATCTTGATGATCTGGAATTTATCGGTGCAACAACAAATTTCACAAGACCTCCAGAACGGGCGAGATGATGAAGGCCCCGTGAAGGAAATGACAGCAGCAAAACCACCCTTACGAAAGGTTCTTTCGAGGAGTGAACTGGCTGGATTCCGACCAGAGAACCCTTTGGGAACCCCTACACCTGTTCGTGAGCTCTCTCCGACATTGGCAAGAAAAATGTCAAAATTGTCCTTGACACCATCAAGTCTCAAGAACCACTCTCTTGCTGAGACACCATCTCCTCCAAATCGCCGCTCGCCTACATGCTTCACCCCGACCGATCAAAGCCGCCGGTCACCATCTCCAGTTAGCCCAAAGACAAGGACATCAACCTATAAGAAGCCAAGCAGTGCACGAAACACCAACCGCCGGACATCTATGGACTACCGCTCGCGCGCCAAAACTCCTAGCCGAAGCGAATTTGGCAGTCTGGACATGTCCACTGAGCAGGTGTGCCGAACTCTAAGAGCATATCGCAAAAAGCTCAACGGCTCAAGTCAGCAAATGAAAGCTCAAAAAGAGCTTGAGCGTGAATTGAACCTTACCCTTCGTGCTGTGAGCGCGCGGTCTCAGACCAGCGATGAGAGCGGCGAGACCGAGACCGATAGCAGTGGCAAAGACATGGACCGGAAGCCGAGCTACTCATCAATGTCTTCTCGCTCTCCTCGCATGCCTCGCCAAGCGCCCTCCACCCCGGTGCTACGCCATACAGGCGCTCGTGAGGGTTCGAGAAGCCGGTCTTTCGATGCAAATGCCGATGATTGAAGTTTCCGGCAATCTTCCTCTTGGTTATTTGGAGTAGCCACTTACTCGGACATAAGAGGAGAAGTTGATAACACGACCTCGATTTCCTATGCGATAGATATCATATTACTGCAGGTGTTTGACAACCCCTCGCACCGCATATTTATCTTCTGCCTTCGTTTGTTTTTATCGTTTTTCTCTTTCTTTCTCCTTTGACGTCATCTTCTCTTTTCCTGGTTCCCATTCATCCTTGTATCCCCCTATCCTGCCCACTGGGGATGGAGGGCCACTTTCTTTTCCTGGCTTTTTCTTATACTCTACTTCTGATGATACCCCTATCTTTACACTAAGGTGGCCTAGACCTCTTTTTTTCATCTTCTTTGGATATGAACTTAATATAATGTTGGTTCAACAACTTCAATTTTGATTACGAAGAAGTGCATTCAATTGGTGCCATAATTGGTACATTCTATTATTACACTAAGCGTAAAGGTCTGTTGACGTCGGCTCAGGGAGATTGCGCTCTTTCGTGATACGATGAGAAGGTGAAGACAGGGCTTGACCGACCAATTCTGATAAGCTCAGTGCCACTTTCACTCTGTCGGCTGTGCGAGACTTGATGGTAGCGTTGGGGCGAGAGGAAAGGCTGGACGTGGTCCCCTATCCGCCGTACACTTTCCTCCATCTTGAAGATCACACCTAGACCGAGAGCCAGGAGAATAACAAAGATGCGAATTGGTCAATCTCCCAGTTCCATAAGGAATTGACATCGGACAGAGAAAGACCGCACATTGATCCAGAACGAAATCCTCTCTGGAGCGCAAGTGATTGGCCTTGGCGTGTGCTTGACTCGGGAGCCATTACGCTCATCACTTCCCGATTAAAAGGGCGGGTTCATGGGGCTTGACTAGGGTTGTGAGACGAGAGAATGTTTTGGCCGGGGTGTTACTAGTCCGGAGGCCAAGCCGAGATTGGGGCCCGAGCGATGTGTCAAACTGGTGTCCGTACTTTATGCATTAGGTGCCGATGTTTCCCTTGAGAATGGTCCATAGTTCCAATGATACCAGTGGCCACTCGTTGGAATGAAGAGCGCAGAAAGTCCACGAGTGAGGAGAAAGTTACAGCTACAACCGACCACGATACCCGGTACATATCCACCCATTTTGAATTTCGTAGAATCTTGGAGGTAGGAAGTAACTTAGTTGATAGTTGTACACCTCCACCCCTGTACATTTGAGGCAAAGGATGCAAGCCTTCAGCCTTGGGGAATCAAAAGAATCAAAAAGACCAATCACAAGCACAAGCCCACATTTGGAAGCCCACCCTTTGTATAAAGTCTGAATAAATTACTTGTGAATCCGCTGCGTGGGGAGGAAATTTCCCACAATAAGAGATGGACTGCACGGGGGTTAGTTTCTACGCCAGATCACCTCGACCGAAAACACTTACATGTTGTGATTATCTCGTCGAATCGTAAATGAGAAGCAGCACTGGATCCCCTCACTTGCCGCGTTGGGATTGGGACTCTTCAGAGTACAGCTGGTAAGCATGGCTTTCTGGGTGTTGTCGAAGGCAATAGCTCCGAATTTCTCCCAGTAGCTGACGAGTTGGTCTTCGACTATGATTTCGTGGATGGCGAGTTTGCCCTGACGGAGAGGTTAGTATTCTTTCGAGGGAAAACAAATAGAGGATTCGTACGTCGCGAAGGCTCTCGATTGGAACGTCAATTAGCTGTGCCATTTCGTTGTTGCCTCGGAAGATTTCGCCTGTTCGACGCCAGCAGCAGGCTGGGATGGCCATACTGGCGAAGACGCGATCGTATTCCATGAGACTTCGCTCGAACCACATTTCCACGAGGATCAGTTCGATGTCGGTCAGACTCTGCATGCGCTCTCGAAACTTGGGTCGGAATTTGCCCAGCTGTCCGAGGATCTTTTGGCGGGACTGTTGTTGCATGTTCTTTTCCATATACTGGTTGAGCCTGGCGTAACCCTTGACATAGTTGAATGGTTTCAACAGTCCAGCGTCGTACTTGGCTTTGAGAAGCTTGTTCATACGTTCCTCTGGCGGGTCTGAGCCCGATGGGTCGGCGGCAGTCATGTAGTATGTCTCGCGCGCCTTGTCATTTCCGACCGTTGACGTTGGGCGCTGAATGGAATCGCCTTGCGGCGCCAGGCTTTGTGCCGGCGGGGGAGTTGGTGCGGTGGCAGGCCATTGGGCATGCTCAGGGAGTTGTTCATCGTGTTCATCACCGACGGGTTAGAGTAAATGCCCTGCATGTCTTGATTTTGAAACATAGCTCCATCATCCAGTAGACTGTTGTTAAGGAAGTCTCCCAGCAAGTTGTACTCGTTGGTGACTTCATGGGCATTAAACATGTACGACGGATGAAGCGAGTGCATGTCTTGGAACTGGTTCTGCCCGCCCATCCAGTCATTGTACGGCATCACTAGGATCCCACGTCAGCTGAGTGCAAGAAAATTCAAAGAGTCTTTAGTTCCAAGCTTACTCGGCTGAGAATTCTCATCGAGGCCCTGGCCCGATGGGGGAATGTTTGCAGGCTGCACCGAGGAAGGCGGGATTCCGATCGTACCGTCGGGGAGGATTTGCTGACCGGCAGCATCCGAGACGTCGACATTCCGAGGCATACCTTGAACGTTAACGAGCTCATTATTGGACGAGCCCTCTTCGTCGGCGGCGGATTGATCTTGATCGCGCCGCTTCGTGGGTTCCCGCGGCTCGTCATGGCACAGATGCCCAATATTGCGCTTTATACATCGCGTGCAAGGTCGTTCCTGTCATCGAAACAGATCAGCAGGTACATTTTTTTCTGATTCACAACGGATAGACGGGTGGGATGGAATAGAATTGATTTGAAGGGGTTGGAAGTCGTACCGAATCGCAAGTCATATGCTGTCCCACACGACCAGTTAGCGAAAGCGGGTTCCTCAAAATAGCAACCAACCCCACCACCCATGGATGAGCTAGCTGGGCTATCTCTGAATGAGCGCAGGGTTTGGAATGTGAAGCTTACCGAGCGGCGACAGTAGACACAAGCTGTAGATATGAAGCATTAGCGAAAACCGTCTCCAAGTCGCAGAACTCGGGAGGGCAAGCCCGAGATCCCCGTGGCATGCGCAAAGGCACCTTACCGTGATTGACCTTGCGGCGCTTCTTGGGACTGGAGTGACCGATGCCAGAGGTTTCAGACTTGGCCGCAGGTGAGTCCTTTACGCGCGCATCCTTCCCTGCATCTCCCTTGGACTTGGCGCTCCTCTCGGAGCTTGCGCTCTTCTCAGTCATGGTGAAATCAGTACGACCAGGTGGAATGGCTGCCTGCAGACATTAGTGGAGTGTCCAAGTGAACCGGTCGTCGAAGTTCAAAGTTCCGAGTTCTTGGGGCCGCGAAAGCGGAGACTCAGCCCCTCCGAACTGCTCCGCATGGGGATCCCCGATCTTTTCGGAGCCGCCACCGAGTACAGTTAGGACCTCGGTTCACTTTTTACCAAATTTACTCCTGGAAGTCGTGCGGTGTCAATGTCATTAACTATTTAAATGTCTCATAGACAGGTTTGTGATCAGATACTGGATCGGAAAACAACATCGGACGCTGACGCGTGCCATACGCAATGGAGTTCTCCAAATCTGACGGACCATGATGGATCGCACGCATTCCCCCGCCTCTCAAGGGAAATCGTAGGCGTCTTCAGACTGCCTAAACACACTCATTTTCACGTGCGATGGGGAATCCTCTCAGTGCGCGGTGTGACCATGCCGCAGTTCCCCTGCGAATCCATCGGGATCCGAGCACGCGACAGGGGACAGGGGACAGGGGGTTCTCTCAGGTGTTCCTGTGGCGTAGAATGCGGCCATAGGCTTGCAGTATGTTGGCAGCAAGCCTCTGGGGTATTCACACATGCCTCGCATTCAATCGTGGATCTCGATTCATAAGTCAAGATGCATAAGATCAAGCACCACTTCAGTCGTTCGGCGTCGAGTAATGGTCCAAGGCGGCTTGCGAGCAGGTGATTGCTTCACTGAGTCCTGCCATAGGTGCAGTATTGCTTTGCATGGATTGCAAATGTCCATGAAGTTGGTTCATCAGCTTCTGGATCGCTGGATCCGCGTCCAGCTAGAGAAACATGAGTATGTTATGTTTGTAGATGGCTGGCTGGTGATCTTACCTCATCTAACCCTGTCTGGCTGCCCGTGGTATCCAGTAGAGAGAACTCGTATGTCTGATCTGCGATCTGAGGGAGCTCGTCTAATTGCCGGAGCACAGGATGTTCATTCTTAGTCTGGCGCTTCCTCTCTGCCTCCGCCCTCTTTGCATTCTTGTCCATTTCTTGGAGAGATTTCTTTTCTTCCGCGAGAAGAGCCTCTTCTTTCGCAATTTCGGCCTTCAAAAGATCAATGCTATCTTTCATCGTAGCAAGGTTGGCCTCGAGCGATCGCTGCTCACCAAGTTAGCTTGTGATTTCATGCATAGTAAGAAACCACCTACATGTTCATCGAGAGCCGACTCATAGTCAAAGTTCGAGTCTTTTGTAATCGGCGGAAATGGCATTCGAGGAAGCCGTCTCCCTAGGCTATTTTCAAGCAATATTTTAGCAACTGCGAGATAAAGACTGCGGAACAGTCGCGGGCGTGATGCGACCAAAACACATGCGCAGACGAAACATACTTTCGCACCACGGCATTAACAGCACTCTGTGCCTCGATGCGCTTCTTTTCATTCTGTTGTCGCACAATCACCGGGCGTTCGAGTGAATGGAACAAGTCGCGGACTTTGTCTTGAACGGGCTCGGGCAGGGTGGACCATTTCGCTTTGATTGTCTTCTCGGGAACTCGACGGACACTTGGTGTCAAGTAGGCATAATGTTTAGATTCATCGGCATTTTGACTGTCGCCGGATCGCTTGCGTTTGGGAGGCATGCTTGTCGAGTTGGGGTTGAAGTTAAGACGCGTCGGCCAAAACACGGCGGTGGGGCGGGATCGGCTTTGGTCCGGGGGGATCGTTTTCCCGAAGTACACTGGTTAGCTAGTATATAACCCGTCACTTGGCATTTTTTTATCAAGGTACATTACATCTGATAGCGTTACTAGATTGGCTTCGGAGCACATATTTAACTGAAAGTGGGAAGCTATACACCCAGGTTTATTCTACGGGTTCAATCAGCTTATTCGATATATGCAATGCAATGCACTTCCACCATTGATGTGTAGAACTACTCCAGCTTGGTGAGAAGTAGAGCATGCGAAGATTCATTTCATGCATATTCTGTCTGAAGGTATCACAAATGGTCCGTCACTGCAGCCCTATCAACACCCTAACAACCGGAGATATAGCCGGTCTCAAATGAAAACAATGGTATCTTGTAAAAACTAACGCCCACTCGCCAGTCCAGAGGACTTAACCCACCAACCCCCCGAATCGCTTGCAATGTCACATAAACAATCAATGAGCCGAGGCCCGAGCAATAGAAAGAGAATAGTCATGGTCACTTCACGGGAGGTCCTCATCGAGGCATCACCAGACCATTGATGCCTTTCATATTGGCCAATTGGCTGTGTAAGACTTCATTACCGCGCAGAAGATCCTCGAGCCAGTCGGCAGCCTGGGTGAGCATAGCACTCTTGCTGAAGCCGCCGCCTCGGAGACCAGGTACCAATGTGCACAAGTCATCGAAGCCTTGGCGGATGAGATTGCGCCGCTTCTGCTCGGATAGAATGTGGTTGGTCCTCTTTTGCTCCTCCGAGAGGTTCTCTCGCGGCAGCTTGCTTCCGGGGGTAATGCTCCCTCTACGGGTCGTTTGATTCGAAGCCCGTCGGGCCTTTGCATTGCTGGGGGTCCTGGATTTTCTCGTCTGTAGCTTCGAATCTTCGTCGTCCGAGTATTGATCACCATCCTTGATGGTACGCTGTCGCTTCCGCGGTTGTGAGCTTTCTTCTCCGTCAATCGGGCGAAAGGCGGAGCGTTGCGCATGAGCGCCGGTCATTCGTTCCGGGCTCGGGGCTCGAGTGTTGGCTGCACTGCTTTGTGGTTCAAAGCAATCCAAATGTTCAAGCAGATCCTTTGTGCGTGTCTCCATATCGGGCTGGTCGGGAGGGGCAATATAGCCCTGGTCCATGAAGCTATTATCTGAGCCCCAGTGGAGACCACGCACTTTGCGGGAGGGATGTTGATCTTCGGGGATCGGGTCGCGAACATCAAAGAGCATCTCTGAGGTGTGGAAGCCAGTTGGAAGCTGAGCACGAGGCGACGATCCCGACGCCTGTGCAGGAGCCACGTGCTGTGAGCCGCGTCGAGCTTGGACATGGTGGCCATTGATAGGAAGTGCCTGTCCCGCAAATGCTTGCTGGGCCAGAACCGAACCGAGCTCAGCTCCATTCATACCACCCTGGTAGAGCATGGACGCTGCAGCATAGATGTTGGGGTCTGAAGCACCTCCCATCAGACTTGCTTTGAGATTTTGTTGTTGGAATGATGGTTGCGATAATGACGTTGTAGAACCCGCAAAAGTCGGGGGAAGCTCCTCGGTCCAGTTGAAATTAAGGCCGGTGGATTTGTCCTGGGGGCCGCGCATCCAGAAATCGTTGGAAAAATTGTTTGCATTCATAGTGGTAAAGAAGTTGTCGAGCATGTGGGATTCGTTATCGTCAAGAAGAGAGGGACCCGGGGGCAAGGCCGGAGCCTGCTCAAATGGAGTATCCATGGGTCCAAGAAAAGAATCCGTAAGACTGTCAGAAAAGAGATCGTGACGAGTAAGGTCGAGATACTCACAGCCAAACGGGCCAGGTGGCGGGGAGTTTCGACCAGTATGTACTTTGGGGCCAGATGCCTCCATGGTGTATGTGGGTTGCTGGTCTTGGAGAGCAAAGACGATGTCTGGATCAATGATATGCTGCTCTAAACGTCGAGAGCAGCGTGGACCAGAACGATGTGATCATGCCTTGGCCTTTGCTTGAACCCGGACCAGCAATCTGATAAGTGAGATTCACCGTTTAACAAAGACACGAACAACGATGTCGCTGATAATGCTATTGCGGGTATCGGCGGGAGAGAGTAGAGTTCCCACGGAGAGTGAAAAGAACAGAGACAAGACGCAAGAAGCAAGAATCAAGAATCAAGAAACTAGCAAGAAAGTAGCAAGAACGAAAGCCCAAGAGTTGAAAGCTGGGGATTGTAAAGAGCATCGGCCATCGACTTTCACATGTGAATTTTCCCGGTCGCGTGACGTAACGGCTATACCCAAAATTACATAAATTACCGCTCTGCGCGCGGATGGCTTCGGTACGCCGCGGTACTCGGGGGGTTACGCCCGCACTACTCCGAATGTACCTGACGCCAAGTGCACAGTTGCAACCGTTTGGCATGTTTCCCCGATGTTCCCCAACTTTGAACCCAACCACGATCCAAAGTACTCAGTATAATCCACTTACTTCCCACTACTCGTTACTCGTTACTCGTTTCTCACTACTCCTTTTAATTCCTTACCTCCCCCCACCGCGGCTTTCCCCGGGGTCTGTGCAGACTTAGACTATACAGACTGTGCAGGGCGGTGCAGGCTGTCTCGGCCTGGTCTTGTTTCTGTTCGGAGGCGTTCGATCGTTCCCCCTTTGGGACCACTTAATTAAATCATCCGTGGGCCTGGCTTAGCAGAGCCCCGTAACCGACCGGCCACTTTTGACTACAATTGCCATCGTGTGGATGATCGTCGCTTCCATCCCCGTTCGCTAGTTCGGCCTATGTTTCAAGGGGGCCCTTCCCCACGAACCGAGGCCCCTCCGAGGCCCTCTGCCTTGCTCTTTTCTGCTTAGGCTCCGACGGTCCCTCATATTAAGCACTTAAGCTTGGCTGTTACACAGATCCACGGTTGACCATAGGGCCCCTAACTACTGCAGGTGACAACCTTTCCCACTGAAAATACTACCCAAATTTCGGCCTGGTGCGAACTGCGGCCACCTCCAATCGTCGTTCTCGGATAGGACCTTGTCCCACCACCCCCGGCCTTGGCTGACGAGTACTGGGGTTGACCCGCCGTGAATCACCGGGTGGCATGCTTATCGTTTCGCCCCGCGGATCACGACATAGAGCTTACCGGCAGGATGGATCTCCGGTTGAGTCTCCGTGACAGGCACTCTAGAGCCCGCTTTTTGAAGCCGTACGTTCTCTGTTTGAGTTGTCCTCCGATCTCCCGTGACATGAAGATCTGGGAGGTGGGAGCTCTTGCTAACGGTAATCGCCCTGCAGAATCCTTCGAGCTTATGCCCTGGGATATCTATCTGCAGTCACCCCAAAGCTGGTCACATATGCACGACACTTTGCACGCAGAGACTGGTCCCCGAAACAGAAGCTTTGCGAGGTACGTCGGGGGCGTCGCGCCTCTGTCTTTGTGGTGGGCGCGATATGTCAAGTCACGACCCCCCCCCGTGGCTAGAAGAAAACCGTTGGGTGGTTGCTCAACAAGAACGCACGCTGACCCCGAAACCCTATAGTTGGCTCAAGTCTTAGCGGGGCCTCTGCGCATCAACACCTTTCCGACTTTCTGTGCCGTCCTGGTCGGTGGATCAACTTTGCTTCCGATGTTGTTGTATCGGATATTCGCATCCATAGCCGGCTTTTCCGACGGTGACGTCCAAAGATCCCAGACTCTTCGCCGTCTGATTCGATTCGTCACTGCCTTTTTCTCGGCATGGTTTAGTTTTGAACTTTTGAACAAGAAACGTACACTTTCGTGGGACAGTCGATCAAAACGGGCCTTCTCCGATCAAGAACCCAGGAAAGATGCCGCCAATCCACTTGACCATCCCCGTCCGGAGTTGGTTGGGAGAACGATGGATCTGACGCTGTTCACAGCCACACGAGCAGTGGATGTAATGGCATGTCTAACATGGAACTGGTGGTATCACCGGCGCAAAGCTCAGAGTCGCTGGACCCTCGTTGAGTCGCTAGCTCCAGGTCTGGCAGATGCGGGGGTCTTCGCAATGAGCGCGGCCGTGGTCATGTGGGCATGGTTCTATGAGCCGGAGAGGTTGCCCCGAACCTACGAAAAGTGGATTGGAGAGGTAGCCAAGGTGGACTCACGCTTAATCGAAGCTCTTCGTCGGGCTCGCCGAGGCGTCTTTGTGTACGGCAAAGATACGGGCCAAGCACCCCTTCTCGAAGCTATGTGCAGGGACTATGGCTGGCCCGAGGAATGGGGTGATCCTGCCAAAACAGCACCCATTCCATGCGAGATGGTACACATGGGCTGCGGCTCTAATTGCGAGAAACACGCACTATACCGCTTTGCCCGGACTTTCAAGTTCGCTTGTGCAACCTACATCCCGTTACAGATTGTCCTGCGCCTACGAGCGATGAAGAATCCCACTGTTCTTCGCCGCGCGATCTCTGAAGGCGCCCGATCATCTGCCTTCCTCGCCTCTTTCGTCGGCCTGTTCTATTACGCCGTTTGTCTCGCTAGGACGCGCCTGGGCCCCCAGGTCTTTGATCTAAAGACGGTCACTCCGCAGATGTGGGATTCCGGTCTCTGTGTCGGAGCGGGATGTCTCATGTGTGGATGGAGTGTATTGGCCGAGAAAGCGCGGAAGCGACAGGAGCTGGCGCTATTTGTGGCACCCCGCGCTGTGGCAACGGTGTTGCCACGACTGTATGATATAAAGGTATGTTTGAGCCTTACAAAAGGGTTACACCTATACGCTCCAGCCCTTCTTGAACCCCGAGGCGTGGTCATGCGATTGCTAACGCTTTCCTTTCTCCGTTACAGTATCAATATCGCGAGCGTATCGCTTTCGCTACCAGTGCCGCTGTTCTTCTCACTTGCCTTCGGGAAAACCCGAGGCTAGTCCGAGGTGTCTTTGGCCGCATTGCCAACACTGTGTTGAATTAGATTACTCTTCTAAAAAGGACCTGTCAAGCCCCTTGTTGTTTGTATTACTATGGTGGTCTTTACAACTTTCTTTCGGGCCTCCAGCGAGGAGTTCCTAGAATTACCTATTAATAGTATGCATCATTTAATTTATCAGTCGAGCCTTAATCAAACACTTAAAATCACTTTACTACACCTCACTTAACCCCGACATGATTGAAACCGCGAAGCCTTTTGGTGCCATCTTCACCAAAAGTAAAGCAAGAGCCATTGTACCTCCTCGAAATCAAGCTTCACTTATTGTTTCTGAACAGTTTGCAACACCAAATGTGAGGCTTATCCTGACACTGCTTAGTGTCGATAACGTGATATCCTTATCGATAAGGGTAGGTCACGTGTGTGGATACTTTCCATCGTCCGTTGGAGTCGAACATCTGATCCCAATTGAAATTCAATAATCATGTTTACCAGGCTACTCCCCTCATGGGGGCGCTGCACATTAACAAACAGCATTTCGCAACGGCCAATTTGCATGCGGAAAGGTATCTTTGAAGCTGAAAAGAGGTTCTTCTCGAGAAACACATTCCTGCACGAGAAGCGTCATGCATCCTCGGCGCCGTTCAATACGCCGCAATCGCAGCAGCGCAATACATCTACTATGTGAGCCGAGATTGGATGGATCTGCTCAATTTATATTAAATGCTGACAGCGAATTCATCTAGGTACTATACCATTAGCATGATCCTTGGAACTGTCGCTCTTGCATACGGCTCGGTTCCACTGTACAAAATGGTGCGTATATGCCCTCACAGATTCTCTTTGCATCTCCGAGGAACCGACTAGACTAGATCTTCCCGCTCATTCCTGTTTCCTTTACAGATTTGCCAACAGACTGGTTGGGGTGGCCAGCCCATCCTCACCCACCGCAACGGCGACGGTGACACAGCCGCGCGCGTGACGCCAGTGACAGACTCCCGACGCCTCCGAATCACCTTCAATGGCTCAGTTTCTGATGTCCTGCCCTGGAAGTTTACTCCACAGCAGCGAGAAGTGCGAGTGTTGCCGGGCGAGACGGCACTGGCATTCTACACCGCGACCAACAAGAGCAACTCTGACATTATTGGAGTTGCGACGTACAGCGTGACACCGGGACAGGTGGCGCCGTACTTTAGCAAGATCCAGTGTTTCTGCTTTGAAGAGCAGAAACTCAACGCGGGCGAGTCGGTTGATATGCCTGTGTTCTTCTTCATTGATCCCGATTTTGCTACGGATCCGAATATGCAGGGCATTGATACGATTACGCTATCTTATACCTTCTTTAGTAAGTTGTTTATTGCTGTGTCTTTGATTGAAGCCTGGACTGACCCCAATATAGAGGCGAAATATGACGACAACGGGGTCTTGAAGCCCATTCCCCAATGATCACTTCCTGCACACGGCCCTTGGGCATTCTGGATCTCTTGAGAATTGTGAAATGCTCTTTGTACCAAAAATATTGAGCAAATTGCCAGTAGATCTCATCAGCGATCCTGTTTCTGCCTCTTCTACACCATCTCATCTCGACAAAATGTGCTGTACTATAGTCTGGAGTTTTAAGGAGACCATGGGATGCCACTTGTGATCACCATTGTAAATATAGATATTAATCTCACATCGAAATTATCTAAACAATGATTTCTTACCAAATGTTCCCTTGACGAACTGCCTCAAAGCTGCGTAGTCCATCATGGAGAGCCCGCAGATCGTGCACGGACCATTCGTTAATTAGGTGCGCGTTCCCGACGCGTTCCCCCAATTTCCATTTTCAAAGTCCACCTCGAAGAATCCATCCATCTCGAGAATATCAGAGCTCACAATGGCTCTCCTCGTCGACAAGCTGCGTCCTCGGACGCTTGATGCTCTCACATATCACCCCGAGCTCTCAGACCGTCTCCGTTCATTGGTAAGTGCCCTGCGCTGGGAGAATCGGCAAGCTGCTCACGCAACAACTAATCAACTCTAGGCTCAAAGCGGAGACTTCCCTCACCTGCTTGTCTATGGACCATCCGGAGCAGGCAAGAAAACACGTATCATCGCGACACTGAAAGAATTGTACGGGCCGGGAGTCGAGAAGATCAAGATTGACGCGCGAGTGTTCCAAACGACAAGCAACCGCAAGCTTGAATTCAACATCGTCTCCTCCGTCTACCACCTCGAGATCACGCCCGCGGATGTCGGTAACTACGACCGAGTCGTGGTCCAGGAATTGCTGAAGGAGGTCGCCCAAACACAGCAGGTGGATCAGTCTGCGAAGCAACGGTTCAAGGTCGTTGTGATCAACGAGGCCGACCACCTCACCCGTGATGCCCAGGCTGCGCTGCGTCGTACTATGGAGAAGTACAGTCCTAACCTGCGCTTGATTCTCTTGGCCAATAGCACCTCAAACATCATTGCTCCGATTCGTTCGCGAACCCTGCTGGTCAGGGTGGCTGCGCCTACTGAAACCGATATCTGCTCCGCACTCCAAATTGCTACGAAGAGAGAAGGCTGGAACGAGGCTGAGGGCTTGAACAAGAGGATCGCAAAGGAGAGTGGGCGGAATTTGCGCCGCGCGCTTTTGATGCTCGAGGCTATCTATGCGCAGAAGTACGTTCGACCATGACAATGTGCCTGATTGGATGCTGACATGGATTCAATCAAAGTGAAAAGGTTACAGACAAGACTGCGATCCCACCGCCGGATTGGGAAGCGCTTATTTCGGTGACTGCGGATGAGATCCTTGCGGAACGGTCACCCGCTCGACTGCTACAGGTCCGCGCTCGTCTCTATGATCTCTTGACGCACTGCATTCCTCCATCTACCATTCTTAAGGTACGTACTAAATACTCTCGAAACTAGTATACCGTATATTGATTTGCATATGATAGACCTTGACCTTCAAGCTTGTTTCACGGGTGGACGACGCGCTCAAGCCGGATGTTATCAAGTGGTCTGCCTTTTACGAGCACCGCATTAAGCTGGGAAGTGTGAGTTGTTCTTGGCCCCTGTGCGCTGATCATGATACTAATGTGCATGCCAATATAGAAAGTTATTTTCCACCTCGAGGCTTTCGTGGCAAAGTTCATGCGTATCTACGAGAGGTGAGTCACAAGTCAGATGGCCTTTCAATTCTATTGCTTACCCCTTTTAGTTATTTGATGGGCATGGATTTCTAGATCTCAAACAATGGATGAATGATGATTGTACACTACGGAGGCGATTCCTAGTCACAGTAGGCTTGAGTCATTTATCATAATGCAGAACTGCACGTGAAAAATGACTCAAGCCGGGAAATTGGGCCCCGACTATTTACAGGCGTATCAAGGCATTTTCTCGTGATGGGTTCCGGCGTTTTCGTTTGAGCTATGCATGAAATAGTCAAAATGTTTGCATTCGACTGGTCTTTCGGTAATCAAGAATTTAGGGAGATTTGAGGGACAATTGCGTATCTCCATCTATCTAGTCCCTTCCCACGTCATGAGGGGTTGTGTTGATCAGAAAGATGCATGCTGCGAGTTTACGGTTGAACCTACGTCATCACGGAATACCGTCACTCGACCTTCGACCCCAGGCTTTGCACAGTTCTACTTAAACCAATATTTTTTGATCATTGAACAGACTTTTTCTTGTTTAAAGCAAGTTCAATACCAAACGACTTTGACTATACCGAGATGTCCGACCCTAGACTAATCGATATGGAACCCGGCGGGGAGAGCACGCAGTAGGCGAATCCAACCTTACCAGCACAATTCTAGTTGTCCATTAATATGAATCCAGATACGAGTCCATCCGAGAATTCACAATCCCCCCTGCGAAACAGACTGGCCAGCTAGGAGGTACACTGCTCTTTTACCAAAATCACATCGCAGGCTGGCATTAGCTAACAACCTCAGTCGGCGACCCTCATACAGAAAGCGAGCTTAACACCGGAATTCAGCCCGTGCAAGATGGCACTGCGAGTCGAGACGAATATGACAATGCACAAAAGCTAGGAATGGGACAGATCAATGAGAACAAAGGTAAATGCTAAACATATTCTTCTGTCTAAACTCCTAAAATAGACTCAAGAACATCTTCCCGGAAGGCCGGACTTCAACGGCCCCATTGAGACGTGTATAAAAGCTGACAATAATGTACAAAAGATCGGGATTTCGATACCAAGGGCGATGCAGCAGCCGCAAAGGCCAGGAGACTGCAGGGGTATGGGCCCGGCTCCGGTGTTGGGGCTTAGGTCAACATGGGAAAGGAAAAGGGAATGAAGAGAACATGAAAACCGGTATCATGTGTGAGGACGGATTTATTGAGAGGAAGAAGGGCTGGAGGAGGTGCTTTGCGGCGGATTGTCGAGGTTGTCGGTTCCGAGAGGCCGGTCCCGGCGCGCACGCTTGAGAGATTCGAGGGTGACGCCGTTGCCGAGCTTGGTGATTCCAACGACGGGAGGGTCATCTTTCTTGACAAATTCCCAAAGTCCTGTACAGAATGAATATCAGTCGCGTTACGCAAATTGGGATTATATCAAAACATACCTGGCAACTTGTGTCCAGCCAATCTGAATGCCTCACGAGCGACCTTCTCGTGAAGATCGCCCTTCAATTCGAAAACGACACGGCTGACGGGAAGTCGCACAGTCCAGTAGTCGAATTTACCCTTACCCTTACCCATACGCTGCTCATTACCCTTGGTGTACACACCGATGTTGGCGCTGACACGCTTGTACAGTTTGTAGTTCATGCCTCTCAATCGTCGCTTGATGGCCTCTTCTGCGATCTTCAAGGCCGACGAGGGCATACGGCGGTCATGGTCCTTCATGCGGAGTCCGAAGTCTCCCCACACCACTGTTGTTCCGCGCGTAGATCCACCAGTGGCGACGTGCGGGCGTCCCTTGGGAGACTTCGATTTTTCAGCAAACTTGGGAGTGAGCCAGTCAAGAGCAGGCGAGGTAGTCGAGAAGCATCGAGCCAGAGAGAAGGCAGGTAGCGATCCGGGGAGACCTGCATTGCAATTGTCAGTTTCGAGTCACGGCAATCGATCTAGGAACGCAGGAGAGGAGGCGCACATGTTGGCCGGGTGCAGGCCGACAGGGGCCCAGCAAACATCTTGATCTGAGGACCCATTGTGACCGAGGAAAGCGACCAGAGATGCAACGGACGACGCTAGTTCTTTGCGCAGACCAAACGGCACTTTTCGAGATGCCCGGCGCTAGTCCCGATCAGTCGCCATTAAGTGATCACGTGCTGGGCGTGTCTGTTAGTCAGCAGTCACGTCTCCCGGCGCGTTACCCGCGTTGCAGGCGCCAGTCCAAGGCTGTGAAGCTTTGTGTTCATCCCCAATCGTCTCGGTGCTCTACCCCCACACTTGGGTTATTTTGTGATCGGTGTTGCCCACGATGCCTTCTGATATTAGGAGTTTTTTCGGTGGCAAGCCGAGCCAAAGTGAGGATGTGAAGCCCGCGAAGAAAGAAGTAAGCTACTGTTCTTCTGTTCACTACGGGCTTTGGGGGATCCTGTTCTCAAATCTGCACCTATTGCCCATTATGAAACTTGCTGACCTTGTATCATTGTAAAGGACCCTTCCGCTGCGAGAAAGAAGCGTACGGCATCGATATTCCTCCTACACCTCATTTCGGATCTAATTATTCTATAGGTAGCAGAAAGGTTGTGGATGACAGTGACGAAGATGAAGAGGCTGCGCCTGCGAAGGCGCCTACTCCTAAAGCAAAATCCAAGTCTCAGGCGTAGGTCGATCCGCTGAAGAGCTGCATTGCAGTCACTAACAAATTATTACATAGGAAACCCGAGGAACCCAAGGGCGAGCCCACATCAACCTCGGACTACTTTGCATCCAGCAAGAAGCGAGGAGCCAAAGCTGAGCCCACAAAGACCAACAAGCCAGAGGAAGCTCCCGCAAAGACATCTCGAAATGCTCCCCGGGCATCCGCCAAAGCTAAACCCATCGTTGAAGACGAAGATCTCGGTGGAGATGACATCTTCGCAACCGAATACGGCAAGCGCGGCAAAAGAGAGGACGACTATGTAGCAGCGGACAGCGACGACGACGACGACTTCGAAGTGCTTGAGATCAAACCCAATGCTGCGGCATCTAAGAAGACTCAGAAGAAGCGAACGGTTCTCGATGATGAAGATGACGATGTAATCATGGATGACTTGCCTAAGCCTGCCCCTAAACCCGCACGACCGGGTCGCAAGCGCAAAGCAGAAGCCCTTATCGATGAAGACGAAGACGAAGATTTTGAAGAGACAAAGAAGCCTGCAGCCCGGACCAAGGCTCCTCCTGCTGCCAAAAAGACGAAGGCCTCGCCGAAGAAGAAGGAGCCTGTGGCCGAGAATAAGGAGATTCAGGATATCTTTGACAGCATTCCCTTGGTCAGGCCGCCATCACCTCCTGCTCCAACTGGAGACACCAAGAAATTTCCTTTCGGAGGGGCTCGATCTCGTACTCCTCCTGTTTCGGGAACTAAAGATATGCCTCAAGGCGCAGAGAACTGTCTTGCTGGGCTGACTTTCGTCTTCACTGGCGTACTTGAGTCGTTGGGCCGTGAGGAGGGCCAGGAGCTTGTCAAACAATATGGTGGCAAGTGCACTGGAGCACCCAGCTCTAAGACAAGCTATGTCGTCCTTGGCAATGATGCTGGTCCGAAGAAACTTGAAACCATCGCAAAGAACAAACTCAAGACAATTAACGAGGATGGTCTTTTCGAGTTAATTCGACGAATGCCTGCCAATGGTGGCTCTGGACAAGCTGCAGAAAAATACCAGGAAAAGAAGGCCGCCGAAGAAGAAAAAGTTCGCAAGATGGCAGCAGAAATCGATGCCGAGGAGAAGAAGAAGGCAGAGGAGAAGCGAAAGCAGGCCGCCCGAATGAACAAGGCTCCTGCTGGCGGCTCTACTCCGCCTGCTTCTCAGAGCTCACAGGCTACACCTGTCGACGATCAACTCTGGACTACCAAGTATGCGCCAACTTCTTACACTATGATTTGTGGCAATAAGGGAAATGTGGAGAAGCTGCAAACCTGGCTGCGTAATTGGGAAAGAAATGCCAAGCTCAAGTTCAAGAATGGTGGCAAGGATGGATCAGGACTATACCGCGCAGTCATGATTCACGGCCCTCCAGGTATTGGCAAGACGACGGCTGCGCACTTGGTTGCTAAGCTGGAAGGGTATGATGTTGTGGAGACCAATGCCAGTGACACGCGAAGCAAGAAGCTCGTTGAGAGCAGCACCCTCGGTGTCCTCGATACGACATCTTTGCAAGGATACTTTGCTGGAGACGGCAAGAAAGTCGACAATAGCAAGAAGAAGATGGTCCTGATCATGGACGAAGTCGATGGCATGTCGGCCGGTGACCGCGGCGGAGTTGGAGCTGTTGCAGCCATTGCCAAAAAGACCAACATTCCTCTGATTCTCATTTGCAACGAGCGACGACTGCCCAAGATGAAACCTTTTGACCACATTACCTTCGACATTCCCTTCAGGCGCCCTACCGTAGAGCAGATTCGGGCGAGGCTGACCACAATCTGTTTCCGCGAGAAACTCAAGATTCCGCCGCCTGTCTTGGATAGTCTCATTGAGGGCACACATGCTGATATCCGACAAGTCATTAACATGTTGTCTGCTGCCAAGCTAGGCCAAAATGATATGGATTATGACAAGGGCAAGCAAATGTCTAAGGCATGGGAGAAGCATATCATTTTGAAACCATGGGATATTGTTAGCAAGATTCTCAGTGCCCAGATGTTCTCGGCCAGCTCCAACTCAACGTTGAACGACAAAATCGAGCTTTACTTTAACGATCACGAATTCAGCTACTTGATGCTCCAAGAGAACTACCTGAGAACCAAGCCTGCTCTTACGTCATCTATGAGCGCCAGAGAGTTGAAGCTGAAGCAGCTTGAGCTGGCAGATAACGCAGCCGAGAGTATCAGCGATGGTGATCTTGTCGATCGTATGATCCATGGCACGCAGCAGCAATGGAGTCTGATGCCCGCCCACGCCGTGTTCAGCTTCGTGCGGCCAGCTAGTTTCCAGTATGGAAACATGGGCGAGAGGCCTCAATTCACCAGCTGGCTCGGCCAGAACAGCAAGCAAGGTAAGACAGACATCGGTCTTCTATTTGGGGAGAATTATTCTAATTTCTTTCTTTTCAGGCAAAATGTCCCGCTTCGTCAAGGAAATCCAAGGCCACATGCGCCTCCGCACTTCGGGCAGCCGTGATGAAATCCGTCAGCAGTACATGCCGTACGTCTGGGATAAGTCAGTCAACCGCCTTATGACCGAAGGCAAGGAGAGCGTGGACGATGTCATTGATTTCATGGACTCCTATTTCCTAACCCGTGATGACTTTGATGCGGTTATGGAGCTAGGCCTGGGACCAATGGACCAGTCCAACGTGAAGATAGACTCACAGACCAAAGCCACATTCACACGTGTCTACAATCAGCGCTCACACCCGCTTTCGTTCATGAAAGCCAGCCAGGTTGTGGCGCCCAAGGCGGCACCTAAGGAGAAGCCTGATATCGAAGATGCCCTGGAGGAATCTGATGAAGAGGAGGTTGTTGAGGAAGCCAAGGACGACGACGAGGAGTTAGACCTTAAGAAGGACAAATACGTCAGTCAACCAAAGAAGAAGAAGGCGGCCCCTAAAGGCAAGAAGACGAAGAAGGCTGCGGCTGCGGATGCGGATGATTTCATTGATGACGGCGAGGAAAAGCCGAAGAAGGGCCGCAAGACCAAAGCTAAAGCTCAGGCTTAGGCCAAGGCTGCAATTTTGTAATATATCCTGTTTTTTAAGAAGCGCAAAACTGCAATGCACATCGCGCTACACCCTGTAAACTTCTATTCTCTACGAAGAGCAATGCTTCTTTTAAGAAGAGCTTAGTTGCATTTGCATTATCGTCCTAGCCTGACAGTGGTAAAAATCAAAAGAGTAGAGCAGACTGGCAAAGCTATATAGTAAAAGTCCACCTAAGCCCATTTACTCGCCAACTTCACGGTCCACATCCCACCGAACCCACTTCATAACCCTCCAACCCAGAGTCTTCTGACGGATTGCCTTGCCCCAAATGAAGAGCGGGATCCAGAATATAAGGACACCACCACAAATAGCCGCCATCTCCCCGTAGGCCACGTTGTAACCGTGCTTGTCCACCCATGGGTTAGTATAAAACCCGAGCAAGAAGCCAAAGGCAGACTTGAAGGCCAGCTGGGTGACAACAACTTCTCCAGCAATGGGACGATAGCTATCGATCGTATAGACAAGGGAGACATTGGTGGCTTGCGTGATGGTGAAGTTGACTGCAAATGTTAGAAAGACGAACTTCTCGAATCAAAAACGAAAACTTACTCAGTCCAATGCCCAGCGTGGGAACTATCCAGTGCATCTTGTACTGGATACCACACCCATACAGAGCTAACGCAAGAGGTCCAGTAATAGCCCCAACCATGATCGCAGGAAGACGCATCTCGGGCTCTCGAATACCATTATTGCGGCGGGTAAAGTAATCAGCGACCCAGTCTGATAAGTGTCCACCAAGGATGATACCGAAGAAACATCCAACGATAGCAGCCGAGAAGCAAAGACCAGACTGCCAAGCCGCAAATCCATACGTAGAAGAGAAGGCCGAGGCCACATTTGAGGTGATAGCAGTGATGAATCCAATAGTCACGGACATCACAAGTGTGGCCCACAGAACTGGGGGGAGAATCAGAAGTCCCACCGGTCGGATGGTCATCTGCCAGAGCGATTCGTCCGTGTATTTGCCGTGGTAAAGTTTGAGACCCTTGATCCAACCTCCATTACTGTTCACCGTTTCTCTGGTGACGACTTCGTGGATCTCAGAAGTGCCCTCTTCTTCGCTCTTTGTGTTGCGGCGTACTCGTCCACCAGATGCGGTAAGTGTTGTGAAGGTATCTGCTGAGCCATGTCCTCTTTTATATGCCGTCTCGGGAAATGTTGCGTATACAACGAGGGTGACCCCGCCGATTAGGGCTATCGCGACATAGTAGATGTATCGCCATGGGTAGTCCTTCACGATGAAGCCGTCGACGATCGCACCGAGTGCGACACCTAGGTTGAGAGAGGCGTTGTAAAGGCTGTCGCAAGTTAAAATGTAGTTCCAATGTGATCAATTCTCTAGCACATACGCAGTTATAGTTCCACGCTCATGCAGGAAGAAGATATCGGCAATAGTCACCGGCGCCAGACATTCACCGGCACCAGCCGCAATGCCCATGACAATGCGAGCAACCAAGAAATTGGCATACTCCTTAGCCACAGCACACCATACCGCGGTAATGGTATAAATCGTGAATGCAGTGACGTAGACAGGCCGACGACCGTACTTGTTAATCAGAGGCATCCAGAAAAGGTTACCTAGTCCCTGGAATAGGGCAGTGCAGTTGAAGAAATAGGCCGTCTTTGAGATGGCGCTCGATAAGCCTGTTACTTGCCAATTGGGGAAGAAGTCCTCTGCTGTCTGAATGATTGCGAGCGTAGGCCCGGCAGCGAGGAAGTTGCATAGAACCATAGCGGTACATACTGCGATCGCTGTGTATAGTTTGAACCACCTTGGCCTAGTAGCGATCAGTGGTACACTATTGCAGACTAAGAGAATGGTGTCGTTACCAATTGAGAGGATCTTTGGGATCAGAAGATGGCGTAGGAACCAGAATCACTTCGTTCGTTTCAGCATGTCGGAGACGCAGATGACCTAGGGTCTTGACTTGATTGGTATTTTCTTTCTCGAGAGTACTGCCATAGCCATGAAGACCCTCGTCAATCTGGGTAGTGGACATTGGAGAAAGATGTTTGTAATGATCGATAATCCTATGGACAGAATCTTCCGGGGAAGCTTGATATATACACAATGAAGATGGAGACCAAAACATCGCGCGGGGCCCCCCAAAATCTGGGGAAGTTGCAGTTGAGATCCCGGCCTCCACTTCCCGGCGTGGAGACAGGCGTTCCTTAGCTTTGGCTTTCAAGGCTGGCCCCAATCGTGGTTTCATCGGGACCGGGTAGCGCTTCTGGGTCTGTCGGCTCCAGACTAATACCAATATGCCGCCTTGGGCTGTTGGGTACCCGGCCGTGTTCAGTTGAGAGTTGGGCTGGCTTCACGAAGAACAACGACATATCGTTCAGTCTCGATAAATGCCATAAAAGCCATATTAGAAAGCCCATCCCTTTCTTTCTTTCGTTGATGTTCAATAGCACAAGAAGTGGGGGACAGGTGCCGACAACATTGCGTGGCCTGGCCGCCATGGCGGAAACCGTCCAATCATTATCCATAATGAATGCTGGGGAAATGACTTGGCGTAGAATCTTAGCTGAAGCTGAAGAAGTCTATGATCGGCAAGGAGGGCGTTCAATGTACGAGCCCCCGGACAACTCTGCGAGCTTTCATCTCCCCTTCGCTTTTTTTTTTCGGTTCTCCACTTGCAAGGCGATTTTCATTTTCGATAGAAACTCGTATGAGCAATCGCTTATATTGATTCTTCGATCTGATTTATTTTATCTGCGATCAAGAGTCATGTATAAGAAGAGAGAATCGTGGAATTTGCTCATGGTCAGGGCCAACTTGTTGGAACTCAACTCGCACATGCTGGGTGCAAGGCAAGTAAAGTTGCACCCTGGCTAAGCATGACTCGTGGGCCAGGAGCTCCTTTAAAATCGGTATGTCTTCTTCATACGACATTGGAGTATTGCCATGTACTAACCATACCTGCAAGGTCAATGGCTTTGAAAATGAGGTCTTTACACCTGTACGAAGGCTCTACTGGCTAGATCAGATAACTACAGATCGCTAATCTATTTTAACAGCGCCACGGCTGGCCTGATGATGTGGTTGCTCCGAGCACTATCGCCTATAAGGATAAGAACGTCATTCCTCGTGGCATGTCTCACAGCGAGATACAATCGCCCGTGGCATCCTGGAGGGAAGCTGTTAAGAGAGCTGTCCGAGCCGGATTTGACGTGTGTTCACAAAAATCATTGATGTGCGCTCCTGACTGATGCCAGTTATCAATAGGCCATTGAGATACACGGAGCACACGGTTATTTGATCCACGACTTTCTCTCTCCGGTTTCGAACAAGCGGACTGATGAATACGGTGGAAGCCTCGAAACTCGAATCCGGCTTGCAGTCCAGCTTGTTGATGTCTCTCGGCAAAACATGCCCGAAGATATGGCTCTCTTCTTCTGTATCAGTGGCATGGAGTGGCTGGGACATTCCTTATACCATTCAACTTGCCGAAATCTTGGCAAGCCGTGGTGTGGATGTTCTTGACGTTTCTAGGAAGGACCCAAGGAAAAAGATTGTTGGAGGTCCTGGGTATCAAGCCCCGGCTGCTTCACAAGTTAAGAAGCAATCGGGCGACCGCCTTCTTGTGGGGACTGTCGGGGCTATCACTTCCGGTCCCCAGGCCAATGACCTCCTGAACAGGGGCCTCGACCTGGTACTTATTGGACGGATGTTCCAGAAGAATCCCGGGCTGGTCTGGGCCGTTGCAGATGACCTAGATGTTGATATCAAATCGGCTAATCAGATCCACTGGGTTTTTGCTGGATGTTGTCGAAAGTGATTGCATACTCCTACTAAATAACTTTTGAATAGGTAAATTCCTACCGCTTCGGAGATATCTCCGCACATCAAAATTTGAATGACGCCATCCTATATCAAACAATAGTCAAGCGAGATATTACGAGTCAAGCGAGATATTACGCATTTCTTGTACAGTATTGGTTGATTAATATAACAAGACCCCTCGCAAAAAGGCGATATACAGGCTACTATAGCTATGTATATATCCATGTATTGAACTGGGAATGGCTCGATGGCGGTCTGACTCTGCAGACTAGGTAACACCAGCTAGGAGAATATATGTAATCACCCTTAGGCTCTGTTAGAGAACGTGAGAGGAGGGAGCGGGGACGGAGGTTACTCTAAGTAAAGTATACGTATTACCCTTGATACTATATTATAGGAACTATAGTGTATTAGGTAGATACCTATCCTATCTCTATCTTTATAAAGAAAATACTATGTATACCTGAAGTATTTATGAGACCTTAGTCTGCAGCTGTATCTATTATATCACGCGTGCCATCATTACAATATGTACTCACCGAATTTACTAGCCCATTCAAATATGTTACACTATTAAATTCGGCAGGGGAGACGTAGTAATAAGTGTCTAATACATTGATGTGGATATCTTGCCTTTATAGTCACAAGTAGGTCAAACATACCAAACCCGGTCTTTCTGCAGCCTCAACCTTTTCTTAAATAATTGAATCCTAGTCTTCAGCCTCCGCCTGTGCAGTCATTGAAACCATCGTGATCCTATCAGTCCTTGACTATGCTGAGAGGGAGTGTATAAAAATACCTCAGCCCTACCACAAACTACTATGAATTAAAGAGATCAAGTCAAGGCGCATGTTACTAATACTAATTAGGCGTGAAATGAAAGCCGATATCTAGTATTTAGTCATAGGCAAATTAATAGCATATATATATATGCAAAGAAAAAAATCAAGGGCAGCCAGATTCAATTTAGGTCAAACATGCCGACCCTTGTGTAGGGGCGGGGAAAATGATCCGCAATCTCCGCCACTTCTCACCTCCACTCCGCTCAGCTCAGCTCATGCTCTACCATTCACTCTCTCTACCTTCCAGGCTGGCCCTGATTGATAAATCTCTTCTTTTTCATTAGGAACTACATGTTCTTTCCTGCGCATGCCCTCGCTGAGCATGTACTTCCGACCTTGAAGGCACTGTTGTGGTGAAGCTCGCTTGCTTGTACGCGACTGTTGATTGTGCAGCACCTCTAGTTTTCTCTACTAGTTCTGCTCATTTTTCATAGTCCGCGAATATGTCTCTACTCCACAATGAAGAGTAAGTCGGATCTTTTATTTCCGAGCCCCTTTTGGCCACCTCGTCGCCCTGTCCTTGATTGTTGCGGAACTGACTGGGCTCAAGCTTCACCATCTGGCAGTTACGATCGTCTTACCTTTCAACAATCAAAGACGGCATTGGTGATCGTCTGATCAATGTTAACAACGCCGTACTCAACACTCCAGGATTCCGCGCGGCGGGCTGGTCAGCCGCGATTGCTGGCAGTGCCCAAACCGCTAGCCACATCAAGCGCACTTATTCCCCTCCGATCCCGACTACGGCCGCTGTCTCTTCACAATATTACCGATTAGCTGTACGTGATGCGAATGCTGCACGTGATGAACTCCAAGGCCTCGGCCTGGAGGACGGCGAGGATGACGAAGGGGGCATGGTTACTGGCAAGAGCCATGGGGAACTTACAGCACGAAGGCAGCATGTACGGGCGGGTAAGAAGAAAGGTCGGCGAGAACGGCAACAAGAAGTCCAGCGTCAAGCCGACGAGGACGATGACAGCAGTGACCTGAGCGATGAGAGTGATGAGGAGACGGAAAGCATGCACAGGTTAGTTCATCCAGCCCCGTTCAGTGTGTTCCAAAACCCGTCTAACGCAAATATAGCACTGTCGATCAGATCAAGTTCTCCAAGATGCCCATTCGCCCAGATCGCTCCGATTCCTCTCCAAGTCGCGAACAGCGCGAACGCCCGGGCCTAATGATTACATCCCCTTCGACCCAGAATGTTGCCACGCACAATAGTATGGGCTCTGCAGGAGTTGCAGGAACAAATCAAGATCAATTACGACAGCCGCAACGACCACGCCGAGATACCACTACCAGCAGTGACCTGTCTACAGACAATGAGGTTGAACCGCAGAGCTACAGACCAAGCCAAGTACAGTTCTCTACAATGGATCAGGTATCCGAGCGTCCTCGTAGGCGACGAGAAAGGACCGGCAGTCGTGGTGCAGAGAGCATTGCCCTCGGAGACTTGCACGAAGAGGATGAGGATTCCGGAGCCGAGTCAGTCGACTCCGCCCTCTCTTCTGAATTCGGCGCCACAGCGGGATCTGGCTCCCTACTACTGGCTGGAGTGGGCATCAACGGCAGTCTAGGCATGGATGCTTCCTCACCAATGGTCTTGATGCACAAGCTCCCGGCGGGAACTGGACCAAGTCACACCTCCTCTCCGCGAAAATCGAAGACTCCAGCTCCGGAGCTACATGATCTGCCACCCCCGCGGCCTATCAGCACAATACAGCCGGTCAGCCTGCTGACAAGTCAACTCAAATCCCGCAAACGTGCCCCAAGTAATCCGGTGGAGAAATTCATGGTGCTCTCTGGAAGAGGACAGGAAGATCCATTGTACTTGAAGATTTATGTCCCCTTTTCATCGGATCCCGATGACCCTCTGGATATGCCGCTCATGCGAGAGTCCAAGCTTTCAGAACAACCTGCACCGGTAACTGTTGCAGAGACGATTGGTCTTGCGCTCTGGAAGTATTCCGAAGATGCACGTGGACCGTCTATCGAACGCGAAAAGTTGGCCGTGAACCGGTGGGCACTACGCATGGTCGATGACGGCGAGGTTGAATACGATTTCCCTGCGCTTGGGCGGACGCTCCCCATGACCGATTTCACATCGAACAACAACCAGGCCGCAAAGGCACGAGGCCGTTCACGAGGCAAACCATACGATGAATTCGCACTCGTGGAAGCAACCAATGCGGAGTTTGACGAGAACGAGCGTCTCTATCCGCGATTCAGCGGAAGTATAGGATCCGATGAAAGTGAACAGCCAGCCACTCCTGCCGCTCCAGGTGCTCAAGTTGCAGCACCGGTGAAGACTCCTGGTCCGCGTCTCAATCCTATACTGGGCCTACCCTTCTCCTCTGCTCTGAACGATACCACTTTGACCCCTGCCGATCGACCGGCAGTCCCTATCTCGCATGCCACCCCTCGCATGGGCGCTTCCAAGACTTTGAAAATTCGATTCATTAACCTGGAAGGCTCAGCGCATGTCATGACCCTGAACACAACTTCAGACAGTTACATCGCAGAGATTCTAGACTCTGTGTGCAAGCGCTGGGGTCTGGATAAGGGTAACTACCTACTCAAGGTGATGGGATCGAATACCGTTGCACCACTCGACCGTACTGTGGAGGCTTTGGGCAACATCATTGAGCTCGACCTTGTGCGCCGACGCTTTGGAGCAGGGCCTCTTTCCCTCGGTGGCTCACCGGGCAGCTCGTCACCAAATGCACCTTTGCAAGTCGACAACAGCAACCCGACAGTATTAGACAAGGGCAAGAAGGGCAAGAAGAACGTTCAGCGCATGCTGCCATCATCCTCGCAGAAGCAAGATCTCATTGGTGGCTACTACCGCCGTTACCACGTCTTCCGCAAACAACCCATGTCATTTACCGCCTCGAATCACCGCATCTTGACATTTGACAACGACTACATGCACATTGTGCCAGGAGAAACAGGCAAGACCGCCTCCGATACAAAAACGCGCTCGATTAACTTCAACGACGTGGTGGGCTGCAAGGTCAGTCGGCGGCACCCGAAGAGCTTCCGGGTCGTTGTCCTACGCGGAAACGATGCCACAGAACAGAAGCGGTATGACTTTGAAGCGCGGAATGCGCTGGAAGCCGTTGAGATCGTGGACGAGATCAAGAAGAACATGGCGCATTATCGCATATGAATCTTTTATCATTTTGATTCGGGTCGCTTTATTTGGGAGCAAATCTGTGGAACGGGGCGTTGTGAATCTCTAGGTGTATTCAATCTGATGAACATTTCTACCTTTTTCCTCTCCTAGTGTAGTTACTTAACTAAATGGAGGTGAAATTGAAGTTATAGATCAACTGATAAGCAATAAGCGATAAGGACTGACTAAGTTCGCGTGCCACCACGCCTCGTAGTCACTCATGATAACACCTCGCCAGGGCCTTTACCTCTCAATAATGGAGTCCCATACAGAGGGCGCTGATACTCCACCAGAAAATGCCCCCAAGAACCCAGCCGACCTAAAAGACGAGTCCAAATCAAGCCAAAGTAAAGGCCGCTTCCGCTTCAAAAGCAGCTCATCCCGCGACAAAGACAGCTCTCGACACTCCCATTCATCCCGCTCGAAAAGACACCACAGAAGTCACAGCCCAAGACACAGTTCCCGCCCCTCCAAACGGCGCCACAGACACCACTCCCCCTCCCCAGCCGATGAAACCAACCCCCGCCTCTCGCCTAGCGTCGCATTCCGCGAATCTCTCTTCGACGCGCTAGGCGATGACGAAGGCGCCGCATACTGGCAAAGCGTCTATGGCCAACCAATCCACACTTACGCCGTGCCCGAAGTCGAAGGACCAGATGGGGAGTTGGAGCGCATGGACGACGAGGAATATGCTGCCTATGTGCGTGCAAGGATGTGGGAACGGACGCGCGAGGGTATGCTGGAGGAACAGGAGAGATTGAGGGAAGAGAGGAGAAAGGTGAGGATGAATGAGCAGCTGGGGAGGGGGAGGGATGAGGAGAGAATGGCGTTTGAGAGGGCTATGGAGGATAGTCTGAAGAGGGGAGCGGAGAGGAAGAAGAGGAAGGTTTGGGAAGAGGCTTGGAAGGGGTATTTGGCTAGTTGGGAGGAGATTGCGAGGGTTGTGAAGGAGTCTGAGGCTTCGGAGACTAAGGATGCTTCGGTGAAGCCGCTGAGGAATCTTTTATTTTGGCCTGTTGAGTCTGGGAAGCGTCGCGATGTTATTCCTGATTCTGTTCAGGCCTTTATGCGCCATGTGCCTGGTGGGGATCTTTCGGCGACGCTCAAGGTTGAGCGTGTGCGTTGGCATCCAGATAAGATGCAGCATCGGTATGGTGCTCTGGGCATTGATGAGGTGATTCTGCGAAGCGTGACGGAGGTGTTTCAGATCATCGATCGCATGTGGAACGAAGAGCGGCATTGATGCATTTGCGATTGAACTCGATTGAGATCCGGGGTTGGCGTTGCATTTGCATGGCGTTTACGATACCCTTTATACTTCATTTTCCATACAAAGTACAAATCAAGTACCACTGTTAAGCTAATCATGACTGGATTCATTCAATGTTTCAAAAAAAAAAGATATAGATGCCTGGAAACAAGATTTGAACGCAAATAACCACACGCATTCAAGGCTATGCAAGACCAAAACATTCAGCCAACAAAACCGGAGCACAAGAGAACAAATCTGATATTGATAGAAATTCTGCTTTTCACGGTACCCTGAGCTCGACCAGCTTAGAAGCGCGACGACCGCGCCTTGGTACGGTAGATTGTGTATCCGAAGTAGCCACCCACGATAGCGCCGAAGAACAGGACAACCTTGAACAGGAACCATGTCCAGCTGCCCTTCTCTTTGGGGGGCCTGATGTTGGAGCCGCCACGGCCACGGCCCTTAGAGCTGTCGGAGCCTCGGCTGCCGCCGTTGCGGTTCAGTGAGTACAGGTTCTCCGCCTTGAGAGAGATGATGTCGTGGTTGTCGCTCAGCTCTCCGGTCTCGGCGGAAAGACCCAGGTAGGCGACGGAGGGAATGGCGATGTTGGTTTCTTCAGCGTTGAGGGTGAAGCAGTTGGTCCACGAGTCCTCGGTCTTGTACTGAAGGTCTAGGGTGAGGGACTTGTCCTGGAAGTAGGTTAGGCGCAACTTGGTAGGAACAGGAGCGCTACGGAGACCACGAGCCTAGAAATCAGTTAGTTGAGAGCTCCATTGACGCCTTTATTTCGAGTGAACGTACGGAACATCCTGCCAGCTCGTTGGCCTTGCCGTCGTGCGCCTGGTCGTAGGTAGTCGACCCGTCACCCATCATGGCCATAACGTAGGGGAACGAAACACCGGGGCGGTTGTTCTTGTACGTGTCTATGAAGAGGCCGAGACCCTCGAATCGGTCAGTAGAACCGAAGACAGGGCCCTGGGTGGCGCGCTGCTTGGTGAGCCACATAGCGAAACCATCGCCGTGCAAGTTGCCCTCGCCGTGAATGCCGAATTCCAGCTCAATCTAGGAATTGTCAGCCTCTTGGGCATTATTGAAACCTGGTATCCCTTCCTACCTGCCAATTGGTCGCGGTCAAAGGCACGCGAGAGAAGATCCATCCTTGCTGCGAAGGTCGATCGGCTGTGAGACGAACGTATCTAGCAACAACATTCGTGAGTAATACATTCCTTTCACTAATCAGCAGAATAGCCTCACTTATCAGCCCGAACGATTGTATCTCCTCCGAAGTCGAACCAGCGGCTTTGGAAGTCCGAATCGAGGTAAGGCTATCGCGGGCGTTAACAAGGGCGCGTTTTGAGATACGACAGGACGGAAGCTCATATAGCGCTTTGCATTGAGCTGGGGAGACTCATACCGGACTGAGACTGTGGGTTCGAAGCTATACAGCGATTGCAATCAGTACCTCGGTTGCGCACATGGTGTCAACAAACAGTGACCTACCGGAATGCTTTTGATATCTGAATCGCCTTCGTAGGCAGTGACAGGCACCGAGGCCAAGCCAACGAGGCAGAGAAGGGAAGAAAGGGCGGGAAGACGCATGTTGGAGGGTCGAATTAGAGCCCGGTGGGCTGCTCAAGGAGAGACCGGGGGTGGGAGTAGAGTGGGATGGGGGTAGACCGGTGTCACCAGGACCCGAGAACCCAAGAGCCCAGAGAAATAGATTGAGAAACGGGAGAGGGCAGAGGGAGCGAATGCCGGCAGAAGTAATGAAGTAGAAGAGTGTAGCGTATGGTGTTCGTGTAGATGCGCACTGTAAGGTGTCCACATCAGGTGTGGCGCAGATTCACCAGCCACAGCGGAAGCTTCTCTCAATCCTTGAACTCGGATTCGATCTTCGACCTTCATCCAACAACACCACATCATCACATTCACTATGTCACTATTCGGCTCCTCCACTCCCGCCCCTTCCAAGTCCTCTGAGGACATCAAGGCCTCCCTCGTGCAGCAGCTGCAGCAGGAGTCGGCTATGAACAATGCCCGCGCTCTGATCGGAGTACGTCACCGTCTTTCTACGCATCTACCTCCACTAATTCATGTTTAGAAAATCAACGAGCACTGCTACGATGCCTGCGTTCCCGCTCCCGGCACTTCGCTTTCGTCCAAGGAGAGCGGCTGCCTGTCCAGCTGCATGGAGAAGTACATCGCCATGTGGAACATCACCAGCCGCACCTACATCGCCCGTGTCTCCCAGGAGAGCAAGAAGATGGGTGGTGATGCCTCTGCCCTGGTCGCTATGGGTACCCAGTAGACTATTGAGTCTATCTGACACGATAAAAGAAAGTGAAGGATGGAATATTAAGGAATATGTGTACGAATATTGACGGCCTCGAGCCCGTGTACATTATGGGCGTGGTTCTTTGGTTTGGAGACATGAGGTCCCATTATAGAAACATCCCTGTATATCGAGAAGGGAAAAAAAAGAAAAACTCGATTCCAGTTGCTTTAATATACGATCCAAGATCGGGTAGACTTCCAAGATTCCAAGACATCTCTTGCGGTTTTCCCAGCCCCTCCCTGCCAGCACCGCCGGGCCCAATTCATTTCCGTGCGGGCTTTCATCTCGTCATAAATCATACAGACACGATTAGAAGTCGGGGAAAAGATGGCCATATCTAGGTTGGTTAGTCTGGGGTTGTTCAAGTATAGGTTGAAAGAACTTACGCATCTTCGCCCGCCTGACCGTAGTGTTCCGTCTCTTCGGGATACTTGTCGTATTGGCTCGCATCACCCTGGCCACCACGGATAGGTGGGATATAGGGAGCGTCAATATCCTTGCGGGCCAGACGGTCCCAGGTGACTTCGGCAAACCAGGCGTGGTTCTTGACATCCTCGGGGCCGCCGTGCAGGTTACCCAGACGCTTAGTGAGATCAGAGGTGATCAACTGAGAAAGCAAATCGACGGCATCATCGTGCAAATATGGCGGGTACTTGACCTTGCCTCGCAAGATATTCTCGTAAATCTTGACAGGAGATCCGCTGTCCCAAAAAGGAGTGAATCCGCAAAGCATTTCAAAGATAAGAATTCCCAATGACCACCTGGAAAAATTAGAATGTGGGCATGGGGGTAGAGATCGGGTGAAAGACATACCAGTCAACAGACTTATTGTAGCCCTTGGAGGAGACCACTTCCGGGGCAAGGTAATCGGGTGTACCGCAAAGGGTCCAGGTGATATCGGGCACCTCCTTGGCGAAACCGAAATCTGTAATCTTCAAGTGTCCATGACGGTCTAGCAAAAGATTCTCTGGCTTCAAATCACGATAGATAATTTCATGTGCGTGCAAATATTCCAAAGCGAGCGTGACTTCCGCAGCATAGAATTTGGCGACAGGGTTGGGGAATCGCTGCGGGGATGAAGGTTTAGATAACGCACACAAAGGGAACGATTGACTGATAAACTCACCTGGGACTTGCGCAGCAAGCTAAATAGCTCACCACCCTCTACAAAGTCCATAACCATGTACAGGTTTCGTGAGTCCTGCCATGTTCCCCATAGAGTGACTAGGAATGGATGCCGGACACGATTCAGCATACGTCGCTCGTCGTTGGTATGCTCGATTTGCTTCATCTTGACCACCTGGGCCTTTTTCAACACCTTCATAGCATAGAAACGATGGTTGTGCTTGGACTGGACGAGGTGGACACGACCGAAGCTACCAGTGCCGAGGGTGCGCTGCAGCAAGAAATCCTCTTGGGAGTACTTTCCCCTCGTGGTGCGCTCTTTCTGGGGCTGCTGGCCCTGGCCCTGAGCTTGCTGAGCCTGGGAGGGTGTCTGAGGCGCATTCTGCATACTCTGGCTGGCATTGGCCGGGGAATTTATGATATTGTTGATGCTGGCGGCATTGCTGGACCCCAGGGGCTGCTGGTGCGGAGATGCTTGTGACGGCACGGCGGGTTGCATGGAGGCGCTTGAACCGTCCTGGTTCTCGTTAGAGGGATCGGATGCTTGCTCCGACGCGAGGTCTTGCGAGTCCTTGCGCCGTTTTTTCAACAGGCCTCCTAAGCTCGGCATGGAGGACGAAGGGCGAGGGCCATGAGAAGAGAGGGAGAGGTCCAGAGAGGAAGGTGGGGAGGGGCAGGGAAATGACGCATTGATCTCGCTCCTCTTCTCCTTCGGGTCCCGGCTTGCTCCACTGCTCAATATTAAGTCGCTTTGTGATTTAAAAGAAGAGGATGAAACCAACGAGTGCACTTTGACAGGAGCACATGCACGACTCAAGGAGGGTGACAAGTTGCCCGATAAAAAAGGAAGGGCAAGTGCCTCCCGTAGGTGTTTCAAGTCTTTCTCTGTCAAGATCTCTAACTCCCTAGCTATACTGTACTCGGTTTTTTTTTTTATACGAAACACTCGTGATTCGGCAATTAGACACAGGACCATACCTAGGTAGCTTGCTATCCTCCACGTCTCGTAGCCATGAGTGCAACCTGTCCACGGAGAAACCGGATCACCCCCAGCAACCGATGACGTTAAGAAGTGGTGACTTACCCTTAATGCATAGACTGTCTCGGATGGAGATGCCATCATCGGTCTCAATGCTTTCACATCCGGCAGATTGGCCGGTATAGTTTACTTTGACTTTATTCTTCCTCCAATCCGATTCAAATCTCGTATTATTCCTCCGATTCATCCTGAGATCCCTCCGTTGCTCATCTCGGCTGAGGTAATCAGATCGTGATCGGGAATTCTAATTGTTAGGCCTGAGGCAGAAGTAAAAATAGGTGGTAACCAAGGCATTAAGGCATCAAGGAAGTTATATCATCGCCATCTCTAGTTGCCCAAACATCTACAACACCCCCCATGGCGCTGGTAGCGTATTCCGACTCTGAAGGCTCTGATTCTGAGCCTGAAACTACACCCGCCCCCTCCACCACGAAGAAACCCGAGTCCGGTTCTGGCTTCCGGGTCGATCGCAGCAACCCGCGCAAGATCCAGGTCGCGCTCCCAGAGGTCAAGCCCGAGCACACGCCCGTTCAGGACGAAGATGGACCTGCACGCAAGAAGCCTCGCGTAGGGGGTGGAGGCGCATTTTCAGGCTTCAACTCCTTTCTCCCTGCGCCGAAGAAGGCTGAGAAGAAAGCACCAGTGGCCACAACTCGCAAAGTGTTCAGCCTGAAGACCGGCGCGGCGCCTGGCTTTAGCCGCGAGGCCGATGCAGAGATGAGGAATGATTTCGCATTCGGCGCTGATGCCGTTGGAGATGACAATACCATCCCCGCAGCTGGAAGCCTGGGGTCGCAACCCACAACAAACGATGCGGCGACAAACACCGAAGTCGGGGAAGTCAAAATGCAGGGAAACCCCATGATGTTCAGACCCCTATCTGTGGCACGCAACCAGAAAAAGAAGAAGACGACGACGAAGCTTACATCCCAACCAACACCTTCAGCGCCAGCACCATCGGCCAAACCCGCAGAGACGGTAGCACCGCAGCCAACTACAACAGCGCTTGCCGCGCCAGCTCCTCCAAAGCCGAAAGTCAGTCTCTTCTCTCTGTCTTCTGAAGACACGAGCCGGGCAGATGAGGTCCCTACGTCATCAGGGACGTACGAGCCCTTGGTTTACAGCAATGAAACTGAGTCGGCATCTGCAGCCCCAGCACCCGCGGCAGAATTCGACTCTGCTATTCCAACCTATTCGGCACCTGCAACGGTGTCCTCGCAACCTTCTACATTGGACAACATTGCCAATGACCTGAATCTTTCAAAGGCAGAGCGACGACAGCTCTTTGGCCGCAATGCGCCGCCAGCCGAGTCTCGCATCCTTGAGTTCAACACGGACAAAGAGTATGCCACAAACCAGGTGCTTGCAAAGACCGAATTGGCTGCCACTCAGCACAATCCGGTTCGTGCCATTGCACCAGGCAAACACTCTCTGCAGCAGCTGGTCAACGCCGCGAGTGCGCAAAAGGAGGCGCTGGAGGAGAGTTTTGCCACAGGCAGAAGAAACAAGAAGGAGGCCGGTTCCAAGTATGGATGGTAGTTTCTGCATGTTCCAGGCGTTTACGAGTACATTACTATTTTAAGATACCAATACCAATTCCGAGAATCTACCACTGATCAAACGAAGTTAACAAAAAGAGTACTGTTGATTCCATGTACAAAGAATGTCTAGTAAAATCTATCATATACAAATGCCCAACGCCCCCAAAATATCAAAACTCCAAATATTGCAACCCATTTTTTTATTCTCAAGAAGAGACATCCACCACCTCGGCAAACCACTGCTTCAACGCAGTAGCAAGAACAGCTGGCAACTCACGGACATCACGAACAACAAGGTAGTAAGGGAAGGGGAAACCTTCAAGGTAGCGCTTCATCTTCAGCTTCATCTCACCATTGGAGTCAGGATCAGCCTCGAAGCTAGCCTGCGAAAGGTCGAGAATAGAGCTTCCCTTGACAGCATCGACAATGACGAAGACGATCATAATGCGCTCTTCGAGAGCTTGGCGCACGAGACGTCGAATAGTATCGTGGTCTTCGCAGATACCATCGGAGATAATCAACTCGAGCTGCCACAGGTCTGAGGAACCAGAACCGGGGGATCGCTTCCAGCGCGCTTCGCGGAAGAGAGCGATAGAGTCGGCGATTAGCTTGCGCACGTTTGTGCCGGTTTGCTGGTAGCTGAAGTGCTGGAAGACCTGCATGCCTGCCTCGGAGGAGAACGGCTTGCCGAACTCGTGTGCGACGCGGACATGGTCTTCATCACCGAACCCGAGGACACAAAGGTCTCCGACCTCGAGCATGCTCAGACTCTTAGCAACCAGGGCCAGAGTCTCGAAGGCGAGTTGGCCACTGCCGCTTTCAAGCATGGACTTGCTGTCGTCGACGGCAAGCATGATTTGGTAGTTGCGCTTAGAGGGAATGGAACGACGCATCCAGATCTTGTCACGCTTGTATTGGGAGGCGATGTACGGGATGATGCGTTTGATGTTCAGGCGCTTACCAGTGCGGAAATCGCCGCGAAGCTTAGTTGCAAGGGTAGGTGCGAGAATGAGACGGAGCTGCTCAGTAAGAGACAGAGACAGGTCGTTCGTAGCAGATTCGTAGCGAGACCAGAGACGGCGGGCTTCGGGCTCTGGTGTCAAAGGAGGGAGCGTAGACGAGAGATGAATGGCCGCGAGTTGAGAATCGACTTCATCCAATTCATCATTGATATCTTCGGTTCCGAGAGCGCCCTCTGCATTGTCGCGAGACATGTGATCACCAGGGATGAAAGCTCCAGATTGGCCATCAGTGGGGAGGTTGCCTCGATCCAGCTCCATTTCATCGTGAAGCTGGTTATCCAGAGCCTCTTGGTTTTCCTCTGTGACATCTGGCAGAGTGTTCTCTCCCGGCTGGTTCTCGGACTCAACGCCCTTGTTCTGGTCGAGACCCTGAGCCTGGTCCTCGTTGGCTTGTCCAAGAGCTTGAGTATCTGCCTGGTCGTCATCGTCCTTCAGGTGCTCGAAGTCGGCATCCGCCATATCGGTATCTTGAGGTAGAGGCTGCGACTCTTCGTCTTCTTCTGACGGATTCAAGACTTCCTTCTGGCGACGGTGCCATTCCTCGAGAATATCCCCGAGTTTCTTGAATGCTTGAATTTGAGGATCGTTAGGAGCTGAATCCTCAGCACCGCCGTGGTCGCGACTCCGCTTGCTTTCTTCGCTGTCCTTGGCAGCACCGGTTTGTTGCTCGGCGCTGGCAGTCGGGTCATTCTCACCACTCTCCTGTTGTGCGTCTCCAGAGGCACCCTTGTCATCATTCTGGTCCTGATCGGCACCAAGGCCACCGGTGACTGCTTCGCTAGGAGCAACTTCTTCACCGGCTTCTTCATTGTCGTCGCGTTTAGCAAGGAATTCGTCCTGCTGGGCTTCTTCGGGATCCTCTCCACCGGCCTCTTCTTCTTCTTCGTTTCCTTCGCCTTCGTTGGTATCTTCACCATCAGCCATCTCTTCATCCTCGCCGGGGGCTTGCTCCTCCGGCGGCATGTCCGCATCTTCACCACCAGGCTGATCATCCATTTCATTGGCCTTCTGTTCGTCCTCTGGAAGAGGACCCATGTCATCGAGATCATTCATGCCATCGTCATCTTCACCTTCACCCTCATCACCGCCATCCATGTCGTTACCATCGAGCTGCATTTCCTCGGGCAGTTCCAATGTCTCCTCTTCCTTGGCCTGAGGATCCGTCACATCCATATCCTCACGACCAACAGCTTCACCCTCATCATCGGGGGCTTCCTCCTCTTCATCATCCTCTTCTTCCTCCTCTCCTTCTTCTCCTTTCTTGGCTTCTTCGCCTTCCTTCTGTTGCTCTTGGGCGGCAGCTTGCTGATCAGCCTCTTCTTGGCCCTTTCCTTCCTCGTTCTCGGTCTCCTTTTGCTGGTCATCATTGGCTCCGTCCCACAGCTTCTCGTCAACAGCACCAGAATCAAGACCATCGACACTGCCGACTTCCTCGTCAATGTCGTCTTCTCCTTCATCACCGCTCTTGTCTTTGTCTTCCTCATCTTCATCATCATTGTTCTCACCAGTCTCGCCTTCCAGTTCTTCCTGATCCATGTTCACAGCATCGGCAGAATCATCCATTTCGTCTTTGGTGTCCTCCTTGTTTTGCTGCTGAGCGAGTTCCGAGAGGTCTTCGTCGTCTCCGATATCTTTGCTGATATCCTCGGCGCCTTCACCCTCACCGAGACCAGTACCACTCTCCATCTGACCTTCTTTGCCCTCTTCTTGCGATGCCTCGGCCGGGCTGCATAGGCCTTCTGACGCTACCGTAGTAAAGGTCTTTGTCAAAATGTAGGAGGTCTTGCAAACTTGGCGATGAACCGAGGTAAAGCGGTCGGCCAGATTGTAGCAGATAAGATAGTATGTATTGGCAATAGGGAGAATACTGGTGACCAAAGCAGCGGCAATGGGGAGAGTCTTAGCAGAGGTGTCTTGCAGGTGTTGCAACTGGTCGAGAACTGTCTCCAGCGACAAGGTGATCTCGCTGAGGTGAACAGCCCTTGAGGCTCGGGAGAAGAACTCGTCGCTCCTTGAAAGCAGACCACTAAAGTCGATTCCAGTAGGCACGTCCTTGAGTCGTTGAAGACCGACAAGCATCTTGTCAATGGCAGCTAGAAGGCTGTTGTCGAAGCTTTCAATCGAGACGTTATCTGCGCCACTGAGAGTCGGAAGAGCAATGTGGCTTGCTTGTGTCCATGGGGTAATCTGATCCAAAGCAAAAGCGAGGTCGGGGCGATCCTGTGTCCAACAGCTCAGGTCAGCAACAAGTTGGTCGAGAGAAGACCGAGCTCGCTGGGTGAGCTCCTGCTGTGATAGGAATGCGATGCCGGGCGGAAGTGCAGGAAGTGACTCCAGAGACTTGCGCAAGTCATCGAAAATCGTCTTCTTCACTCGAATCCCCTCAAGAATGGTTGATGTATTGACGCTTGAGAACTTAGCATGGACTTCAACGACGTTAGAGGCAAGTCCAAGAATTGGCGTTAACCATGCGACAACTCTGGTCAGGCCAATGCATTCTTCCGTGGCAGAAGGGCTGGCCTTGATGAGCGAAGTCGAGCCAATTGACCACAAGTTCTGCATCTTGTTCAGGGTAGCCTTGAGATCTCCAAGACCAGAAAGTGCGGGTGAAAGGACACCTCTCTGGCGGCGGATCAGGAACAGTAGATGCTCAATCGAGCCCATACTCCTAGAAACTTCAACATTGCTAAGCTCCTCAGAATAGTTGCGAGATGCCAGACGAGCGCGGGGCAGAAGATCAAGCAATCGGTGGAAGTATGACTCGGCACTGCGAATGGAGGCTGAGGCTGTAACGCCGACTTCAAAGGCAGCACTCGTAGACAGAACTTGAGCGATCGATGCCTGGGTTTCAATGATGGCTGTTCCAGCATTTCGCTTAACACCCATCTCGAAGAGACGTTTCAAAGTGTCAGCGTAGAGACGGCGCTTCTGGACCTTGAGATGCTGGACGTCGTCCTTGTTGTCTTCGGTCAAGGTCTTCGGCGTTGACTTCTTGAACTCATCCATGGTCTCAATAACAGATACAACGAACCCATCAAGGTCCTTGGCAATATCAAATTCGGATGGAATAGCCGAATACAAATTTTGCATGCTGCGAGCTGTTCCATCCGGGTTCTGGAATCGGAGAGCTCTCGACGACCAGAGATCATTGCTCTTCTGACAGGCCGAGAGGGCCTCAGGAATGACAATAGTTGCCAGATTCTGCGGCTCAGATGTATAGACACTGTTCTCTCCAGAATCGGGAACGCCTTGTTCAAGGATTGGCTGGACGGACTCGCCCAGGGCCGCACGATATTTGCGAACCAGCTTGAACAACTTGACATGGGACCTTCTGGCGCTCTCCTTTAGGGCAACGATGCCGGTATCCTTCCAGCTTGCCAATTGGATCTGTTCCTTGATATCTTTCTCCAAAACCGATCTCTTGTCCTGCAGGGTCTTGTCCACGGTGGGCTCAAATGGTCGGTAGTGAGACAAAAAGTTATTAAGAGCGGAGACGAAAGGCATCAGGCAGTCATAGTCTTTACCGAAGACGGTGAGAATAGTTTGGAAATCAGTAACAAGCTGAAGGCGGCGGCTGAACTGGCCCAGTGTGGTGGTATTGAAGAATTGTTCCAAAGTTGAAATGACACCATGGATGTGTTCGCTCATGTCTTTCTCTCCAGCCTCGGCCATTTGAATAGGCACGGCGAAGAGTGCTTCATATGCGACAAACCACCAAGCACTGACATCGTCAATACATCGCTCTTTCTCGAGATCCAGGAGCTTCGCCCATGTCGTAAGCTCAAGGCGACGCCAAGCAACGATCAGGCTCGTGATCTCGTCGTAAAGAGGAGCGGCAGAATACTCTCTGCTGGCCACCACTTGCCATTCATGAACCAGCGAGTAGAGCTTCTCGACCTTGGTGATGAATTTGGCGACGGGTTCGATATGCTTGAATTGAAGGATCTCCGTGCAGCAAGTGATAACGTCGTGGAGAATAGTATGCTCTGGCCATGCAGTCTGGATCTGGACAAAGCGAGCCTGGATCGAGAGGGCGAGAGTCACGAGCCTCCTGGCTTCGGCAATGTTGGAGTCGGTATAGAAGTTGTAGTTCTTCTGTCGATCTTGAGCATCTTCGCCAACAACGTCGTCCAGAAGTAAAAACACCGGGGAAAGGTGGTGTTGGGGTGGCACTGGTGCGAAATGACCCTTGCTGTTGGACCACATGGTTCCTAGCAGGCGACCAGTATCCTTGACAAAAGTGGACAGAGCTTGACCGGTACGCTTGTCGCCCACAATCTTGGCATGAAGGGAGGCAAGGCGGACAGCAATCATCTTGGGGTCAATGCGCCCAACCTCATTTGCATTAGGCAGATTCTCCTGCTCGTACGTTGGGAAGAGCTCGTTTAGTTCAGCTTCATTAACTTCTTCCTCGTCCTCCCATGATCCCTTGAAACGGTAGAGTTCAGACTTCTCAGCTTCCTTCTCCTGGTCCTCTCTGAGTCTAGTCTTCCATAAATGATGGAAATCAGCGAAGACGTGACGGATTGTATCACGCGCTGATCTAAGGTCAAGGACTGATGAATCTGCATCCTTGGCCACCCAGAGAGCGGATAGCTCATGGAGTCGCATTTCAACCAGGTTGGTTGAGCTTGCAGGCTGGTTGACGGCATCCTCGGAATGGATAGGGTGGATTGAGCCTCCCAAGAATGGAGTGCGGTTGCTCAAAGACTGGATGTCAAGAGCTTCACCGGCCTTATCAGTCTGGTTGGAGCCCAAGAAAAGACCAACATCAAGAAGCTGAAGGAAGCGAACCACTGGCACAGTAATATCGTCGTATGATCTGTAGTGCGAGCTGAGGCGGTTGCTGAGCTGTTCGATATTGTTTCTCATAAGCTGAATCATTTCCTGGGACTTCAATGCCGTCTCTGTAGATCCAACCATCTGGTCTGGGTTCCTGTTGAGAACGGAATTAATCAAGTTCGTGAACTCGCCATGGAGTAGGCCAAGCTCAGATTTCCGAGGGCGAGTCACAGATGAGGGAGGGGGAGCAGAGCCCAATTTTTGGATTTCTTCTTGCAACAAGGCGGAGCGCAAGTTTGAAGGCTGACCGGAGAAAGAATCCTCGAACGCAAGAATGGCGTTAGACTTGGCACTGATTTCATCGAGACGTTGGTAATGACGCGTGCGTTGAACAACCAGGCCAAGGGAGGGATCAAAGGCCTTGTCTGGCACGAAGAGTCGCAAAAGAATCATGGCCAGCTGAACTGCCGCGAGGCCGGTAGAATGAATGTTCTCATTGATGTTGGGGGAAGCCGAGGCCAATGAGCGAATGAGAGCTGGAAGGGCATGTTCGGCGAAAGCTTTGAAGTAATGGCCATCTGCAACACTTTGGTCAAGGCGCAGCGACACGGAAGGGGCAGTCTCCGCGGACTTGCCTGCTTCGATGTTCTGCAGAACCGAAATGAGATTTTCGGCGCATTGAGAATCCAAGAGCTCTCTATGGCAAGCGACCAACTGTAGCGTGAGGCTAGCGAGAACGCGTTTGAGGTTGCCAGCCTGGTCCATGGCAATTTGTTGACTGCTCAAAGAGAGGGCCTTTGAAAGGGCCTGCTTCTCGGCCTGGAGAATATCCATCTGGCCCAAGGTTGTATTACCAACCGATGCCAATCTTTCCAACAATGACAATGACAGAACACCGCCAATTGCCAATGGGGAGCTTGATTCCTTTGCGGCACCGGAGAAAGATGCAATTCGCTGGAGGAGTTCGGGAACTTGGCTCTTAGAGGCCGAAGAGTCGAGTGAGCGGGCAGGACGACCAGCAAGCAAGGGTACGACAGATTTAATAGCTGCTTCACTTTGATTAATGTCCGATGAAATGTCATGGTACTGGCACAAAGCCTCAAATTCTTCAGAGAAGTAGGGGTATTGGGCAGAGTCGGATCTTCGAACGGCCTGGCCAAGCTCAGCCACGGTCTGCTTAATACTCTGAATAAGAGCATCTCCATCGGCGCCATCCCGAAGAATGAATCGCTGAGCAGTGACTAGCGAATCCCAGACACGGCTCAGCTGAGACAGCTCCACGCGTGTTTGCAAGGCAAGAGATGTGAATTCGGAGACAGTAGTCTCGAGCTCAATTAAGGAATTTAGCTGCTCTTGGGTGGAAGGGGTAATATGTCTCCAGGAGTCCCAGATCTTCTGCATGCTAAGACCAGTAGTCATCGCCCAGCCAGCTTGGAATTGAGCAAGTGCGCGAGATAGTCCGCTTTCCAAAGGCTTCAATGCGGGCGAAGAGCTGAGCAACGACGCGCACACCTTCCGACCAATTTGCAGGTAAACTTGGAATTCACCTTCGTCAACTTGGCTGACGTCTGTCGCGCGGTAAACATCCCAGCACAAACAGATGATGGTACGGAGTGCTGCCACAACCTCAGGGGATCGAAGGCTAGTCTCGTCCAGGCCTTGGATGTAATCGTACAAGGCCTGGCCGCATTCAGATAAGAAGAAGCCAACGGGCTGCGTTGAATCTTTCATTAATGACTGAATCCGCGTCGATGCCAATGACCTCTCGAGGCGCGTCATTTCACTGGGCTTAAGTTGCAATCCAGACTCGTTGGCTTGAACCAATTTTTGTCGAAGGCGATGAATGTCGAGCCTGAATTCTTCAAGGTAGGCGAGAATGACCATGTCTGAGCGGTAGCCACTGCCACCTGTAACAGACAAAAGCGGCTCATTGACCAAAGGGTGCATTGGCTGCAGGGATCCTTGCAGACCCAAACAGGCCCCACCCATAACAATCCCCCCAGCAATAGCGTTGAGAGGTTTCCAATGTTCATTTTCTTGGAGGGCAGAAGAACGACGTTGCAGGGCAATTTGGACAAGTCTTTTTACTTCAGCATCGGGATAACTGGGCAAATAGGTGCCAGATGACTTCTGGAGATAGAAAAAGTCTACCGGCGAAAGATGATCGAGACAAACCTCAATGGAGTCTTGAAGATTTGTGGACGACGGGGCAATTTCCAAATCCCAGAGGTTGCGGAGTCTGTAAAGCGAGGATTCGCAAGTGTAGGAAGGCCCGATTGTGGCAGGGATGTCCTTAACCTCGCTTGACATGAAACAAATCTCAACACATCTGTTTCGCATAGCACGAGAAAGCTCACCATTTCGAGGATCCATGGTCAAGAAGATACGGAAGTTCGGGTGAGGGGTGATGATGCGCGCCGAGCCATCCTCGGTTCGCTGTTCGTTGAGGATGAGAGTACCATTTGGTTCAGTCAGGGAGTTCAATCTGTCCAGGACGGATGGATTGCAGAGGTTTGCGTTGTCAAGGACCACCCAGTATCCATTCTGAACAGCCCGCGTAAGAACTCCTTCGGTCCACTCAAACCCAACCTTCATCTTGTCGGTATTGCGAATGGTGTCCCACAGCTTCTGAGCTCTAGTGAGGAAGTCTTGCAAAGTAGGATCCTGGTAAGACTGACAAAGTTCGGAAAGAGAGGAGACCACGGTTTCCAGCGAAGTTTCCGAGCTTTGGAAGTGCTGGCAAATCCAAAGAGCCGAAGCCACAGAATCAGAGACATCGCCTGAGGCGAAAGAGTGGATGATCTGACGCCGCAAGAAAAGCTCAACGTCGTGAACAAATGATGAGACTTCTCTCCGGTGGTCAATTTGCTCAAACCCACCAATCAGGTCCATCGTGTCTGTGTCGGCACTGAGAGCCAGTTCCTCAAGGTTGGCACCATTAACAGCCGCAAGCTTCCTAATCAGTGTGGTTTTACCACATCCCGCAGCTCCAACCAGAATACTCGGCCAGGAGTTGTCAATACATAGGATGAGCGACTCGAGGATGTGGAGGTCCTTCGGAAGGACCTTCATGTTTGGTTCAACTGAGCGTTGGAGGAGAGGGTCTCTGGTCAAGACTCCCAAACCGACCTGTAGATACTCAGGCGTAAGGTTGTGGAAGTAGCTCTTTTGGCCGATATCAGAGTCCGTAAAGATACGGTCGTAGATCTGCGAGACCACTACACGATCCTCTTCGCTTCTGAATCTTTGATTGATGACAACATCAAGGAAATGCTTGGTTGGGATCTGCAAATCGCCTCGGTCCGCCAACTGTAGCCATCGCTGGATGTCACGCAAGTTTACCTCCCAGGGGCCACCAGTAGCTCCAAGTTGGCGCTCCGTTGTGATAGCTCGGTTCAGGGTGGAGATGAATTCAACTAGTCTTTCTGTCTGGATGGTAGGGCTACCAGGGAAAAGCTTAGCGCAGATTCTCTTCAAGTCTGCATCAGTGAAACTGTCTGCATAAACGACAGTGAAACGATTGACGAAAGATGCAGGAAGACCCTTCCTGCCACCACCTTGGTGATGTGGGTTCTGCGCAGCGAAGAGGACGAAGTTAGGATGGCGCTTGAATGTCTGGTCAAGCTCGGCGATGTATACTTGTTGACGGTGATCCAAACAAGAGTTGAGACCTTCGAGAACGGATTGCGAAGCCAAGTTCATTTCGTCCAAAAGGACCCAGTCACCACGCTGCATGGCTCGGAGGAATGGAGCATCACGCCAAGTGAACTGGCCAACATCTCCACCCTCTACCGGAACGTCAGACCCGAACAAGTCGGTAAGATCGGTCTGGTCTGAAAGGTTGATTCGAGTGAGGGGCTTTCCAAGGGCCCTTGCGAGTGCTGTCACGAGCGTGGTTTTGCCGACACCGGGGCTACCTTCCATAAGGATAGGCTTCGACGACTGTAGGCCACGAGCAATGCGAACGGAGTTTGCAATGGTTGTTGGGGCATCCATAGTGAATTGCGGGTCGGGTTCGGTGTCCCCGGCAGTGGGTAGAGAGAATGGGCCTACTCGAAGGAATCCGGGCTCGAGGGTGACATTCGAGGATTCCCGATAAATCTTGGAGGCATCAGCACTGAACAATTCGCTCAGCTTGTCGAGACATTTCTGACGATTACCGTCCAGATTGTTAAGAGATATGGCGAGCATAGCGGCTGGGTTGGCACCAAGTGTATCAACGAAGACCATGGCTGCACCTTGGATGATGGCAAAGAAGGGGTCCGCAGTTTGGCAAGTGTTCACGAAATCAACCCAAGCGAGGAGATCACGAAGTGAAAGAGAAGTAGTCGAGGTATTCTGGAAAGTAGTCTTGAACCATTTGGCGAACTGAAGCATTGCTCGAGCAACTTGCTCTTGCTCTAGGTTCAACCGCATTTGAAGAATGGGGAGAATATCTTCATCTTCCGAAAGCTGGGGCGCCCAGATTTCAGTCATACGGTTTCGAAGAGCAGCTGAAAGCTCTCGTTTACCATAATCACCACCAGGGTTCATGGTTGACAGGAACTGGAAGCCACCATCGGCCACAACCATAGAATCAACAGGGCCCTTCTCAGCCAAAAGTATGGACCTAGCGGGCTCAAGAACACTGTTGAGTCTCTCGAGAACAGAATCATCTGCAAGAGAAATTTCATCAAGAAGGAAGAATTCACCGGTCTTCATGGCAGTGATCAGACTTCCATCAGACCACTCGAAAAGAGCATTGCATCGGATGAGATTTTTCTCCACTTTGCGCAATAAGTCCTGGTCTTTTTCTTCTCGTTGTTGCGCATCAAGGGCCGCAAAGTCCTGCTTCAATTGCTCAAAAGAGGATTCATGCTGCTGACCGTGAACAAGGAGTTGTAAATCTTCCAAGAGTTGTTTTTCGATTGCTGCTCGGTTTCGAATGGGTCGTTGAGCACCGATGAGATCACCAGTCTCCAGATTCACATGGGCGTTCACAATGAACAGCTCTCTGCCAAAGGCCTCAGCGACAGCCTGGCAAAGTTGGGTTTTACCACAGCCGGTCTCTCCAACAAGAAGAATTGGCTCGTTATTTCTCAGTGCTTTAGAGACCAAGATGAACAGGCGCCTCATGGCCTTGGTCCAAACAATGTCAGATGGCAGTCCAGTCATCTGAGGGACACTCTTCTCCAGCTGCGAGGTACTGTACAGAACATCTTCATCCAGGCGGACCTTCATGACTTCTTCAATAACAGCCTTGACAGCAGCCTTCTCTTGGGGGTTTCGAACACGCTCAGCAAGGAGCATGAAACCGTTCACTGCGAGTTGTTCGCGATCATCAGCATCACGAAGAGCCCATCGAAAGAGATCACGAAGGGTGGCAAAACTGTTTTTCTGCTCGAAGAGTCGGTTGGATTGACGCAGCAACGAAAGCTTGCGGTAAACCGAAACGATTCGGGTGCAGAAAGATGGTGCAATCTGAGATCGTTCTTTCAGAATGTACTCTAGCTCGCTCTCCGGAATATCATCGAAATGCAGTTCAAGGAAACGATTCCTGAACGCACGAGAGAGGACTTTACGACCACCATAAAGACCAGCAGGGTTTTGCGTGGCAAAAAGCATGAAGTTAGGGTGAGGGTGGACAACTTCTTGGGTTTCAGGGATGAACAGCTCTCTGTTATCATCCAAGAGTCGGTTCATAGCCTCAAGCACGTCGGAGGGCGCGAGGTTAAGCTCATCAAGGACAATCCAGTAACCATTGCGCAAGGCCTCTACCAGAACACCCTCCTGGTACCGCAGACTTCCATCGTCAGTGGAGATGTAAGAACCAAGATACTCCTGCAGGTCTGTGTGCTCGTGGTTGTTGATACGAACGAACTTGTTGCCGGAGACCTTGGCCAGGTACTCAATCATACTGGTCTTTCCTGCAGACGTCGGACCCTGCAGCAAAACCGGGAATCGCCGCGTTGAGCTTGCTCGGACGAGGTTCTTCAGGTTCTTCTCAATAAACGGAGTGATGATGTAGTGAGGTTGCTCCTCGGGAACTAGAGGACCACGTTGCATCCAGTAATGTTTGAAATGGACATAGTCGTGACCGTCCTGGGGAGGCCTTGGAGTCTGGCCAAGAAGAGCCCTGGCATTCTTTGCGTTGCCGAAGATGTGTGCCTCGAGGAGAGGGATCAAAGATCGCTCAGACTCTATACCGAGAACTGTCAAGAAACTCATGCTGAATCCTTCAAAAATCGCACGACGGAGTCCATAAGTGCCAGCGTGATCGATGACATAGATGAGGGCTCGAACAAGGGTTCGGATACTGAAATGCGGTCGTTGACCAGCTCCATCGGTAAGCTTGTTCTCGTTGCTGAGCTTCTTGACCTCCATGTATAATTGTGCAAGGTCTGGTGCCGCGCGCTGGTCGCTCAACGTCAAGCTACCGAGATACTTTTCAATAAGCGCGAGGAGGTCGTTCAAGTCGGTGTCCGGGGAATGCACGTAAAACTCAGTGAATCGAGATCGCAAGCCAGGAGGCAGGTCCCGTTTGCCTGCATCGGTTGCAGGGTTCATAGCACCGAAAATACGGAAGTCGGGATGTCCAAATACTCTCTCAACGTCACCAGCCTCTGATAGGAGCACAGATGGAGAGCCCTCACTGCCATGATGCAGCAGACTGGCAATGTTCTCCAGAGTATCGGGGGAAGCCAGGTTGACCTCATCGAGAAGAACCCACTCACCATTCCTCAATGCTCTCACAATCTTACCTTGGACGAAGGCAAAGGCGAATTTGGCATCTCCTTGGGAAACCTGAGCTTCGAAATCGGCAAGTTGAGACTCAAATCCTTCCCATCGTTGCCGCAGGTATTGGTATTTCGGGGAGTCTAGCTTTCGCTTCTTAGCCGGTTGCTCATCACCATTCTCAGTCTCCTTGGCAGGGTTAAAGACACCATTGGCTAGGCGAACAGCTTCGTGCCATAGGTTGACAAGACGGACCCAATTTCCCGAAGGAACACACTTGGACACAGAAGAAAGGAACTTTTGGTTCTTCTTTGCTGAAAATGTGAGCTCAAACAGCTGGGTGAACTCGTCAAGCAATGGCACAGCCATTGTACGGATGCTGACTGGTTTGAACCCTCCGAGCAAATCAGTACTCTCACTCTGTTGAGACAAGTTGACAACTGTGAGCTTCTGACGCATCAAGGTAGCGAGCTGTTGAATGACAGTGGTCTTTCCGATACCTGTCTCTCCGACAAGCAAGACAGGCTCTGCCATCTGCACTGAAGCGGCGACTTGCTCCATGATCGCCAAGGCGGATCTCGTGGAAGCAAAGCGAGATGCTGCCGCTGCAAGCTTCAATGCTGAGCCACTCGGGACCTTGATCTTCTGAAGAGTCTCACGGCCAAGCATAAGAGAGTTGTTCTTGTCCGTGTAGCTGGGTGTGCGCTCATCAAGGCAGTACTGGGCACGCTGAGGCGAAATCTGAAGTGCCTCAGATACAACGGACGCGAGAGAGCTTTGCATTGACTTTTCAGGAAGGTACTTGAGGAAGATATCCACAATGTCCAACAGGATCTCATCGTCGACACCTTCCGGTGTAGGTTCAAAGCCAGTCTTTGCACCCATACGTTGCAAGCGCCGATGCAATCGACTGCAAAGCTTGATCAAGTCACGGAAACCGGGTGTCCGACCCTGAGATCCCTTGATCGCCAGACTTCCGTGGAACGCAGCACATACCCTTCCATACACATCCATGATAATTGGCACGCGCGACTCAAGAAGAGGGAACTTTTGAAGGATGACATTGCGCATCTCGTCCACAGGAAGAGATGAGACTTGGACTCTCTGCCACAATCGGCTTCCAAGCATGGATGTGTTCGGAGCAATTTCCTCTCCCGAGATGTTGTAAGAAGATTTCATGGTCGCGATGATTTTGAAGCCTTCCGCGCATTTGATGCGCTCTCTCCGACTAGCAATTGTCAACTCTCCCCTCTCGATTATGGGAAGGATGAGTCCAATAACTTCAGATGGAGCGCGATCAAGATCCTCGATCAACAACCAACGGCCTTCTCTCGCGGCCTTGGTCAACACACCAGGCTGCCAAGAGAAGGAGCCCGTTGCAGACGAGGTGGCATACATGCCGAGCAGACTCTTAGCATCCGTTTGTTCGTTCAGATGCAAGGTGACCATGGTTTCCGCCTGGCCCATGGCGGCAGCGATGTCATTGATTAGGGTAGTTTTTCCAGCGTTAGGCAATCCAACAAGGAGGACAGGCTTGAAACCCAGAAGAGATCTAGCGATACGGCGCAAATTCTCTGTCGCGGTTGTGGTTTTGACGATGGAAGAGGAAGACGGCCTAGCATCCTTCAGTCGAGGGATCAAGACACCACAAACATCTGCGGATCTCGCGGTGAAATATTCTCTTGTCCTATCGATCAACTCCATGGTCTCATTCTCTGGTCTTGAAGATCTTTGGTTTTCAATATGGTTCCCGAGAACATCCCATCGCCGCTCTTCCCAAATACCCAAAAGGCGGTAGTCAATAGTGGTCTCCTCCCAATCTCCTTCAATTGGGTCACTGCCAGTGTTGACGCGGAGCATCTTCTCGGTGGCTGCATCAGCCGCGTGCATGTAAAGGGCGAAGCATCTGACGGCGAGGTATCTGATAACTCGGTCATCGTGGGGGAAAAGAGATTGAAGTTGGATCGGCGATACGGCTTTGGAGAAGGTTTCCAAATCGAAGGAGAGAAGTCGGAATAGTGCTAGTAGTAAGACACGAATGCTATTCGAATCCAACTGTCGCAGTGTAAGTTCCTTTGTTCCAGTCAGAGCTGACAAAGCTCCTGCCTGGGACAAGGCATGTTGGCTGGCAAAGGATCGGAGGTGTGTCGCAAATGGTAGGATGCGAGCGAATGCCGCCAGGACGTGGATAGGGTCGGCATTGAGATCCGATCGAAGCCATCGAGATGCCAGGTCGACGACGATCGGTTCATAAAGTCTAAACACGCTTTCTGTACACTGTGGTTGTAATGCGCCAAGCGCAAGCGCGTGTAGCTGTTGAGTCCCCGAAGCAGACCGAACGAGATTCGCGATCTCGCTCGGTAATTGCTCCAGCATTTGGGACTCTGTCAGAGTCCTCTCGTATACGGGCCTCTCGTTCATACTTGAGTCCCGAGTTCCAGAGGAGCTCTTCGTTGTGAGTTGAAGAAATCCACCGCAGAATTCCCCGTAACTTTTTTTTCTGCCGCATCCAACCAGCAGCCCCACCGGACACAGTCCCCACCGCCTGTAGTCGAGAGCTTAGTCACCCTGCAGCTTGCGCAGCTCCGCGGCTTGAAACGTCAAAGGCACCTCTATCTTTTGTCTAGAGATGCTAATGAAGGCCATCAGTGGCTCATAATGACAATGACTGGTCAGGGCTTGGGTGGCGATCGCGACCCCAGTGCCGCGACGCCAGATCAGCCGGAACATGATCGATTTGACCCTCGGCCGCACGAGGCAGGTCGGAACGCGGAGGGCATTCATGAACCGTAAGTGCTGTGAGTATTTGGAAATTGCTATAAAAATTCTGATACAGTGATTGGTACAGAATCACATTTAAACGGAAACAAAGGCGACAGTCCCGCTTCAGTCTGTCGAGTCTGTTCCCAAATCCCGCCGGTGGTTCGGAAACAGGTCACGGATTTACAAGATCTCAGGGTGCTCAGAATGGAGATGCATCGCCTCTAGACCCTTACGGAGCCATTGGATGGAACGGCAACCCGGACGCTTCCAAAGATGGCACCCCTCTAGACTGGTATGTCGAGGGGCCAGGGCGTCGAGTAGGCTACGATGATTTCACGGCTATCGACTGGATCTACGAGTACACAAAAGAGCGGCAACGAAAGCGATTACTCTACTCGAGCGGGCAGGGCATTGCGGGATATTTCCGTCGGCTGATCGAGGCAAGCAATATCTGGTTTGTTTTGGTTGCGACGGGTATCGCAGTCGGCATCATTGCCGCGACTATCGACATCGCGACAGACTGGTTGGGAGATTTGAAAACTGGTTACTGCAAAAATGGCAGCGGAGGCGGAAAGTTTTATCTCAACCGCAGCTTTTGCTGCTGGGGAGTAGATGGTAAGTTCTTTCTGTGAGATGTCCTGCCCATACGCTGACCCAATGGGTTTGGTAGATTACTCGAAATGCCTAGATTGGACACCGTGGGGAAGTGCCCTGAGCTCATCCTCCAAAGGAGGACAATATACCATTGAATACATCTTCTACGTTTCCTTTTCGGTGAGAGCCCAAGGCTTGGAGAGGTCAACGAAAATCCCTAACTCATATCAGGTGCTATTTGCCGTATGCGCTTGCCTTTTGGTACGAAAATTTGCCATCTATGCGAGACATAGCGGAATTCCCGAAATCAAGACAGTTCTCGGAGGAACTGTCATCCGGCATTTCATGGGTCCCTGGACGCTTACTATCAAGTCCCTTGGACTGGTGAGTCGAATATGTCATATATTGCGAAACTTGAATCTGCTAACTTCTTACTAGTGTCTCGCGGTTGCATCCGGACTGTGGCTGGGCAAAGAAGGTCCACTCGTGCATGTTGCATGTTGTTGTGCCAATATCATGATGAAGCCTTTCGATAGTCTGAATGGAAATGAAGGTATGTATCAGACGTCTCACAAATTGCTCTCAAAGTAACGATTTCCAGCTCGAAAGCGCGAGGTTCTCTCTGCGGCGGCAGCCGCAGGTATCTCAGTAGCTTTCGGTGCTCCCATTGGAGGAGTGCTTTTTAGTCTGGAGGTACGTGGCAACCTCAAGATTTCTTGAAGTTGATACTGACCAAACCCAGCAACTATCGTATTATTTTCCAGATAAGACCATGTGGCAAAGCTTTGTTTGCGCCATGGTTGCCGCAGTCACGTTACAAGCTCTGAACCCATTTCGCACGGGAAACATTGTTTTATACCAAGTCACCTATACTCGTGGGTGGCATCGCTTTGAGGTCATTCCATTCATTATTCTCGGTATTGTAGGAGGTCTTTTCGGCGCGTTCCTTATCCGGATGAACTTACGAATTGCCAAATGGCGACGATCTCGGTCTTGGTCAAGACCCGTGATTGAAGTAGCTATCGTGGCTCTTCTGACGGCTTTGATCAACTTCCCCAATCATTTCATGAGGGCTCAAAATTCGGAGCTTGTTCAATCTCTGTTCGCGGAGTGCAGCAGTGAGACATACGATCGATTCGGTCTCTGCGCCACCGGAGCCAAGTCATTTGGCGTAGTCGCTATTTTGCTGCTGGCTGCTGTGCTAGCCTTTTTCCTTTCTGCATTAACCTTCGGTCTTGATATTCCCGCCGGTATCATCCTTCCTTCAATCGCCATTGGCGCTCTGTACGGCCGAGCTTTGGGAATACTCGTTCGGATGTGGCAGGAAGCCTATCCGAAGGCTATCATTTTCAGCAAATGTGAGCCCGACATTCCATGTGTGACCCCAGGGCTATATGCAATCATCGGTGCAGCATCTGCGCTAGGAGGCGCAACTCGGATGACTCTTTCGATTGTTGTCATCATGTTCGAGTTGACGGGTGCCTTAACCTATGTCATCCCGATCATGATCGCCGTGATGCTATCAAAGTGGTGCGGTGATATCTTTGGGAAGCGTGGTATCTACGAGTCATGGATTCAACTAAATGAATATCCATTCCTTGATCACCGAGACGATACCATTCCCCCAGACGTCTCTGCTCATCGGGTCATGACCACTGTGGATGATGTTTCTGTCATCACAGCAACTGGACATACCATTGGCTCCCTGCGTGCACTTCTTAATACCACTACATACCGTGGCTTCCCCGTCATCTCAGAGATTTCGACCCCCGTTCTCCTGGGCTACATCACACGCAACGAACTTTCATTTGCTTTGAAGTATTCAACCTCACCGACACAGCGCAACCTCACCAGTGAGACTCAAGTCTTCTTTTCCCATCAGCCTTTTGCAGACCCTGTGGAGACCCTGGACCTCCGTCCATGGATGGATCAAACCCCCATCACACTCAACAGCAACATTACGTTCTTGATCGTGCTGCGCATGTTCCAGCGGCTTGGATTACGCTATGTATTGTTCGCCAACAAGGGCATTTTGCAGGGACTACTGACCAAGAAGGATGTTTGGTCAATTCTGAATGGCGTCGAGTTCCGTCGACAAGAGGCTCTCCGAGACCATGATTATGAGGCTCATCATGTGGCTGAAGAGGTCGGTCTCCTTCACAGCGATGAACGAAGCAGTCTCAGCAGCACTCTGAGGCGAGAATCCCTGTGATCTTTTCTTTGTAGCCTTTGTACACTTAATGTGGCATCTTTTGCGTGGTGTTTATTGGAGGAAAATGGATACCTGTTAGAGCCAGCATCTCGCTGCGGAGATTCACCTACGAATATATTGATCTCTCATTTTATCGCACGTGAAATGCCCAACCAACTTTGTAAACTTTGGATACCTTTTGGCCACTTTTCCGCGCGACATTCTGTTCCTTTGCACCATTTTCAATCTCAAGATTCATCCTCCATTTTCGCTCGTTTGTTCGTCTGGACTCCCCTCCACGCGACATTTTGCCCCGCTCACCGCCCGGCTCGGCCGCATCAATGGCAAGCTCATTCAGTGATCCGTCAGAATCATGTTCTTCCTCGACACCAGATGACAATATGATGGTCGATCCGTTCGAAGTGCGCATGCGGTTTACGACGCAGCTGCAGCACCTCAGCGCGTCAGTCACATCCTCACAGAAAGCCGCCCACTATGCTCTCAAATACCGCGACCTCGATGAGGATCTCCATTCCTGCATTCTGGAGCAGCTCGAGAGAGTAAGCAGATCTCAGTCGAAAGATTACCCCTCATACTGATTTAGTGTAGAACAACATGAATAACCGTGCGAATATTATGTCCTTCATCGAGCACTTTTGCGAAATGGCTACGAAAGAAGACCACCTCCCCTACGTCCGCATGATTCAACGAGACATCCTTCGAGTCGTTGACGCAGTGGTGCCGCCCGATGGCACAGGAGCCGCAAACGTCAAACACGTCCGACGCGTTCTGAGCAGTCTGCAGGGCAAAGAGATTCTCTCGGCTGAAGCTGTGGAAGAGATCAACGCAGCTCTCAAAGACCGAGAGCCACACTCTGCACACCTGGACTTTGAGCAAGAAGAGGCACCGGAAGGCAGCGCGAAGTCGAAGACGGGAACGCCCCGCAACCCCAAGACTCAGGGTATGCGCGTGGATAAGAGACAAATCGAGCAGAGAATCGAGGAAGACCGCGAGCGCAACAAACGCCTACGAGAGAGTATGTGGGCTGTTAGCGGGGATGACACTGAGGAATTCTCAAAGATGTGGGATGATATGAGCGACATCGGCGAAGATGACTTCATCAACGCCAAAGAGGAGGCTGCTGAGCGCAGGCGTATGCTCAAGGCCGTACGACGGAGATCTTGATTTGTACAGCTGTCCTGTTTTTGCATTGCTTTTCTGATTGCATCCGGATCTTCGGTGTTATATTTGGCCTGCTCTGGTGTTTTAGCAGCAACAGCATGGGGTTTAACATTAGAAAGGCGTTTAGGCGTGGGTCCTCGTTGAGATACCCTTTTTTTTTCTATCAAGTACCTGGGATGAGCTAAAGGGAAAAAAAGTACCAGGTTCAGAAGTGTTATATCTCCATCTACAGAGTGAGCCTTGAGTTCGTACAATGGCTTTCCGAGCGGATCGGCTGTAACAATAGATCCGAGATCGATAGCCTTGGAAAAAGTCCTGATCCAAGGCAAGAGTGTTTTCAACGGCCGGGGCTAATTTCCACTAGACGGCTTGTGGATATGAGATGTATTGCTAGGAGCCTTACATGAATCTCGAGGTTTCAGGAAAGTGTCGTCTGTACATGCCCGCAGTGAGGGGTTAAGATATTTCCCGAGCGAGGTCAAGCATTCGGGTCTATACTTTAAACACAGTGAGTGGCCTTGTGCAAGCCTCCACTCGTTATCCAGGAATTGCGACTAATCTTGAATAGTACTAGACTCCACAAGGATGTCGATCAATGGGTCCTTCGGTAGCTGTGAGAGAAGTCCGATGACCGCACTTCGGTCGGTGGTAATTACTTCTTGAAGGTCAGTCGAGCGAAACGCAGGTCCAGTGATGGGGAAATGTTATCTGCAGAAAACCTTGAGGAAGCTAGCGGGTACTCTGATTCCTACCTCAATCGTCCTCATTCTGGTGATTCTCAATTCTCCAAAAAATATTAGACAATTTTTTGGGACGCGAAAAGAGTCTGCATATATCTGCAACAGTTGAGATTCTCCAATATACCGACATAATGACCTGGAAGTTTGGCATTCAAACTACTACGTTATGCGCGGTTTATCTAGATCCGAGGCGAGCCTAAACATTATGCGGCTACTCCACTTGATCTGACATTGACCCCGTTTCAGGGCTAGATATTAGTAACACGCGTCTTCTCTTCTGCCAAGGTCTAATAGACTGAAGACAGTCCAAGCACAACCCATCTTCATTGCAATGTGGCCATCGGTAGGTATATAAATCCAGTGCAGCTCCGAGCTTTGAAGAATTGAAATCAGCGTCATTCTTATTCTTGTCTGTCACCCTAGTGCCTTGGTTAAGCAGCATCAAAATGATCGTCCCGAGAAGTGCAGCTCTTGCTACGCTCCTCTCTTTTGCGGGCTTCAGCCAAAAGGGATTTGCTTTGAGCTCTTCTTTGTAAAGGCCGATTCTTGTCGACCTTGACGATGATGGCGTCCTTGGTGGTTTTTACCGACCTTCTGTCGCTGGCCCGAAGTCACGAATCGCCGTCTACGTGATGCACGCAGAGCAGGATTACACTTCCTTTGTTTCCTGCCAAACCCTTCAAGGGCGAGGTTTCACCGTATTCTGCGCAAACAACGATGCCAGCAAGAGCGGATACATGTCGGATCTCAACTTCGAGGACATGATGACCAACGTCAACCGGGGCATGACATATCTGCGTAACCTGACCGATATCGACAAGGTCGTCATGCTTGGCCACAGTGGTGGGGGCACCATGATGGCTGCGTACCAGGATATTGCAGAAGATGGTGCTTCAGCCTGCCAGGGCTCGGAGAAGATCTACCACTGCTCAAGTGCAATGGACGATCTCGAGCCTGCAGATGGCTTGATGCTCCTGGCGGCCAACTACGGTATTTCGACCATGACATTCTTAAGTCTGAATCCTGCGTTCATGGACGGGAGTAACGCGTCCAAGATCAACCAGTCGCTCAACGTGTTCAACCCCAATAACGGCTTTAACAACATCACTCGGTCTAACTACACTGCCGAGTTCAAGAAGGCCTTCCAGGCTGGAGCTGTGGCCCGCAACAACCGCATCATAAAATACGCTGGGGAGCGTCTTGTGGCTATCGAAGCAGGAAACAGCACTAACAATGACGACGAGCCATTTACCATCCCGGCGTCTCTTACATTGGTTTCGACAACCTTTTCTTTGCCCAGGACACTCGCTATCTGGCTCACACTACGCAAGCATGGCCTTTGTTGCACAAGAATAGAACCACTACCCAACTCATTCCATCCATACGTGTCCCTGCCAATTTTAAAAGCATTGCCGACCAGTGGGAGGGAGGTGCTCTCAAGACCACTATCAAGCGCTACCTCTCGATATTTGCAATTCGGGTCGGCGATGACTACATCCTCGGAGCCGACGGGATTGATGGCATCGACTATGCTTCCAGCAATATGGCTCCCCTCGCTTCCATTAAGGGCGTCACTGTTCCTCTTCTTACCATGAGTATGACTGGACACTACGATTACTTGAACGCCGAGAAGCTGCACCTCAATGCTGGCAGTAATGACACCGCTATTGCCTTTGTTGAGGGGGCCCAGGACACCATCAATACTAGCACTGCTTACGAGTCTTACCCTGGATAGTTTGGAGACACCGCTGTTACTTGCTTCAACTATGTTGAGAAGTGGTTGACCAAGAAAGGCCGTTTCATTTAGATCGTTCCACTCTTTATGTTTTTAGACATATAAGTACTTTATCTGTGAAGTGAGATCTAGTCAACTGAGGTGTTAAGTAGCGGGCTTATTGGAAGTCCTAGGCATTCAAAATGGCTCAAATGGAGTCGTCTAGGTTTTGTTGGAACATTCCATTTTATCAAATCTATATATCCAGCCTCATGGGCCCTTGCAATATAGTGCTTGCGATCATCAAATATATGTTTGCGAAATTTTGTTTTATGAATTATTAAAGTAATTCTAAAAATAACTTACCTAACACCGTTCTGCTTTCAAATGTCGATCTATCTGGTTCCCTTTGGTTATCAAATGGGATGTATTTGTAGATCTCATAGATCGTAGCGGGTGCCAAGACTTGCCCGCAATCGGGAAATCCTAAGGCCGAGCGATTTTTTTTGGCGGCGCATCACCCGCCAGCTTGGTTGCAACAACTTTTCTGCACTGGACCTCGAATCTCGAATTTATTTTCTGATCTCTATGTTCTCTCACTTGGTCACTGCTGCTAAGGGTCTATTCACGCGAGAGGAGTCTCAAAACACATCTGCAGATCCTGCTAGCGATATCGCTACCGATTCCAACATGGTCTCCGCCACCAGACGAGGCGTTGTTGCCCCTGAAGTAGAGAAGCCCAAGGCCAATGGCGTCGCGAAAGCCGGGAAACGCAAGACACAGTCCACTGCCACAGAGAAGCCTGACGACAAGCAGAGCAAGCGGAGGAAGAGAGACAGCCTGGAAGCCGCAGATGCAAGCAGCGACGACGATTCAGAGGAGTTGAAGGGTCACAAGAAGCAGAAGTCATCGGTTGCTGCGCCAAAGGCACACTTCCGATTCGATAGCGAGGAGCCTGCCATGCCCGAGGTCACACAGTCCGAAGAAATTCGCGCGACAGCCCAGGACGACGACGAGGATTCAGACAGCGACGATGATGCGCCTGAGATGATCGATAACTCTGCACAGCTCCTCAAGATCAAGGACCAGGCGAAGAAACAGGAGAAGCTGAAGCAACAGTATGTATTACCTCTGGTCAACCTCTAGTCAATTTTTCTAACATATTCGCGCAGAGAGGAACAACTGAAGAGGGAAAAACGGAGGAAACTCGACGAGCGCCGAAAGCTGCAAGCGAAGTCTAAGCCCAAGGAGATTGTCTCGAGCGACGATCTTCTCTCCGAAAGCACGGCTACTCTCCAAGGCTCGATCACACAGGACGCCCGACGCGCCGCCCTGCCGGCCTTGCTTCCCGATGACATCCTGAACGCTGAGCCTGTCCTTCGCCCTCTCACACCGCCGGCCGAGGACTCAATGGCGCCCAAGAAGCCGACCAAATTGAGATTTTTGGAGAAGTCTGAGAAGGCTCCAAAGGATGTTCAGGTTGGAGATGTCACCATTCGCGTGCTTGACGCGCCATCTACGAAGAAGAGCTCCAAGCCCGCATTGGCTCCCAAGGCCTCCAAGGCCGGTCGGAATGTGAAGCAGAATTGGCTCCAGAGAGAGCGAAGCACCGCAAAGGTTAATGGTATGCAAAGGACAGCGGGCGGTCCGTCCGGATTCACGCGCCGTTAAATTGGACAGGTTAATAATTCGGCCACGACCTTATTTTCTGTTTCTTTGTTCTTTTCATTCCTAGGCCAATGTCCCTGCATTACGCTACTGTACATATACCTCCAGCATCATATGTCCGATCGACGAACAAAAATGAATTGATTAATTGAGTCTATCGTTGTAGAGTAAACAAGAGTAGAATCCCAGAGTAGATTAACTTATATGCAAATGACGGCGTCACAACTCGATTACTAAAGTGGAGAAGCACGTGCGAAGCTCCGGCCTTGGAAGCTCCGACTTTTCCCAGCTTCAACGCTTCCCAATTCTACTAAACTCCCCGTGGAGTCAGTCGCCTGTTCGTCATGGCTTCGACCGAAGACTCTCCTTTATTACCCAACTCGTCACCGCAGTCCGGTCGCGCCTCTCGCTCGGTGACGTTCAACCCGTTGGCTACAATTAGCACCTATGGTGGAACCACGGCTACCGATCCCACCTTTCGTCCATTGCAGACCGGCTCTCCTCCCGTCCAGAATATCAATGCCCAAGGGGCCCATCCTCGTCAAGGGCAGCCTATGCTTTCTGCATTGAATAGCAAGCTCCGCCGTCGAAACAGCCATGGCGCTCCCTACAATGCACCGCCGAATGCATCGCCCACCGCTCCTAAGATTGGTCCGCAGCGAACAACCAAAAAGGCGCAGAAATTGAAGCTGCTGCCTGATCCTGTCACGGCGGAAGAGGAAGAAAGTGACGGAGAGTTCCCTCGAGATGTCTATTCGCAAATCACTCGTATCAAGGAGCCTGCGGCACGAAGCCATGCTGCAAGACTGGGTAAAGCCGACCGTGATCGCATCCCTCGAGTGACGGCTTATTGCACATCCGATTCATACCGACTTGAAGGTGTGATCAAGTTCCTCAAATCCCGATCCAAGACTCGCGGTGCGAATCCCAAGCTGTACGATGAATGTGTCTACTCTCCGTTTGACTACCAGTACGAAGAGAAGCAGAAAGGCACTAGGCTATTCCCGAACCCTGTAGGAAATGGTCCCACGGAACGACGACAAAGTGAGCGGAGATACTCCGACAGTGCTGTGGAGGTTGAAGACAACACAAAAACCCGCAGGGAGGATCTGATCGACTTCCGAGACGAGGCCGGTCATGCCGCTGATGCTACACCAGAGCACGCAGTAGCCCAAACAAAATCAGATGAACACTTCGATATCGATACCACCATTCATACTCCTGAAGTCTTCCTATTCGATTACGGAACCGTCGTCATATGGGGCATGACGCCTGCCCAGGAATCGCGCTTCTTGTCTGATATATCGAAGTTTGCTTCTTCGATATTGAGTCCGGATGACACGCAAATCGAGAATTTCAATTTTTACTATGCGCGCGAATACCAGGCTCGCATCTACAACGACTTCATCTCGCTCCGTGACCCTCGTAACCACATGATCAAACTTGCCATCTCTCATGCCCTGGCTCAATCAGTCAAGACCTCCCTTTTCGAGGACCTCGTGTCTGAAACCATTTCCGACACCGCGCCATTGCCTGCGCAGATTGCACAAACGGGTAGCGTCAACCTCACGAGACGACAGATCAACATGCAGATTGGAGAGCTGTTCATTTTGCGCATCAATATCCATCTGCAGGGCTCTGTTCTCGATAGTCCGGAACTGTTCTGGGCAGAGCCACAGCTGGAGCCTGTGTACCAGGCCGTGCGAAGCTACTTGGAGATGGATCAGCGAGTCGGTCTGCTCACTGAGCGATTGGACGTTATTGCCGATCTTCTTGCCGTTTTGAAGGACCAATTGACACACCGTCACGGAGAATATCTCGAATGGATCGGTAAGTAACACAGATGTGCCTGCAGGAACCTAATAGCTAACATAATCCTAGTCATTGTCCTGATCGCAGCGGAAATTCTTGTCGCCGCCATCAATATTGTCGTTGATCTCTATGCCGGTGTCGACTAGGCATGGCAACAAAGCCCAACGCTATCGAACGACGAACTTGAAAAGAAAGCACAGACATCTCTCCCACGCTGGCCTCGATGGTGCGTTGCATGATTTTAGAGTTCATCACAGCCCTGCACGAACTAAATGCCACCGTGAGACGAGCACCAGACCCCGGCCATCATCCCTGCATCCCTGTCTCGAGTATCCACGATGGCCTACCACAACACTTTCCCTCACAATTACTCCAAACCCGGCTTAGCCTATCATCTTATCACCACAGCTTACTGTCCACGGCGTATCACATCCCACTCGATTCGCTGTAAATGAAAGCGAGATCTATCAATACAATAATCTGCTGTCTTCTGGGATCGGAGTCTATGGATTTGACTTTGAATTAGGAAACGGGGTTACGGCGGTCGGCTTGCACTGTACAGATCATTCTTGTCAATACATCTTTGAATGCACATCAATCCTCATGTTGCTCTAAAATGGGAAACTTTAGCTCCACCACCCTAATCGTAAATGCCCAGTACTTGCTTGATACATCAACACATCATCTGAGATGAGGTGGATCTATTATGGCTGGCTGAATACGAAGTGCCAGCTAATCACACCACACACGCTATCTTGGCATCGTGCTTTCCTGACAGTTCGATAGAGTGTTTCAAGCACACGACCAAGTTGGATGCTTCATGCCCTCCTTCGAGGTAAGTGGTGAACTATTATTTGACAAAAGAACCCCTTCGACACTGATGATTCCAAAATGAAAGTACGAAGACTGCCTCCGTAGGCCAAGCCATCTCCCCTTCTTGTCTGTGGTAGTCATCTTTGAATGTGTATGTGTCCATCTGGATACTGTTCCACCGACAATGTCCCGAATGAAGTAATTTGAGTACACCTGGGTCTGGTCTCACACGCAATTCCTACAAGATAGAACTACGAAAAACAAAGCAGCCCTGAAGATTAAGTCCGAATATGTCCCATTGAGTAAGTCTATCTAACAGAGCCACCCATTGACACAATCGAGCCTAACAGCCCGCAGACAGGCCTTGAACCAGAAACTAAGAAAAAGAAAAATACCGTATCCAGCGCTGTATAATAAGCAAACCCCCATTAAAATTAAAGCAACAAGCAACCCGTCAAATCCAGCATCAACCTGACCCCTCAACCTTGGGCTCCTTAGTATCCATATCCATAGGCGTCGTCCCCTCGATCCCCTCAACCGCCTCCTGACTCTGCTCCGGGGGTCCATCCCGGTTATCTTGGCTAGGAGTATGTTCCTCGTGCGGAGATCCATTGGGCCCGGTTTGCACGCGGAACGAGGATGTCAGGTCCTGTTGGCTGGGAGCAGGTGCGAGACGGGGAAGAGAGGCGGATTCACGGTCGCCCTGCTCGGGGGCTTCTTGGGCGGCGGATTCATCTTCGCCGCCTTCGGCGTTGATGTTTGACTTCCGAGAGCGCTTGACGCGGAGGGGACGTTCTTCGGGCTATTTGGCGTTAGGATGTCTTATGGGGGCTCGGTATCAGAGCTGACGCGATGACGGGGGAGCTTACAGTGGGAGGTTGCTCATCCGAGCTCCCCTCGGTATCATCCTCCAGATATGTGCCGTTGCCCTGTGCGCCGAGGCCATTCAGAGATGCATTGGACATCATGGCTGCGGCTCGTGCGCGGAGTTCCGGGTCTGCAGAGCCGGCTTGAGCTTCGTCGGCCATGCCGGTGACCTTGGCGAGGCGCTCGAGGAGCATGCAGGATTCGAGGCGCATTTTCTGGATGTATTGCCAGCCGCGGCGATTACGGGTGCGCATGATCTCGTTCTCGGCTTCGACTTCGGCGAGGCGCTTCTTCAGCGCGATGCATTTGCGCTTGTAGGCGATTTCCACGCTGGGTGGGTTTGCGGAGGTGGTTTGGGGGCGGGCTTCCATTGTGGCGATTGGAGCAGATATATTTGGAGATGAATTAGGTGGCTGGGTTTGGTTTGAGCATAGAATGGCGCGGTTGAGCTTGTCTTTCTTTGACCGGAGGAGACAGTGGAGGTGTGTGAATTCGGGTGGGTTGGGGTTGGGATTGGGGTGGTAGATGTGAAGGGGTCGTAATAGGCAGCAGTGAGAGACACAGAATATATCGGAATATTAATGCCGAGGGTATATAGGGTGTGCACACGCAATGAAGGTATTTAAGTGCCTAAGCTGGGTTGCAAGGAGAGGTGTCCCACGCTTCTACGCGATTTGTTTCTGCCGCGATATCACAGGCGGTGAAGGTTCAATCAATATTCATTCATCAGGGCAACCAGGTTTCTTTCTATCTAATGTCCACCGGTTGTCGGAAGGCCGAGGAAGACCTTGAACGAGTCATAGCTGATGGGTTTTTTAATTAGCAAAGCTCAAATTCACTTGCCGGGTCCAACTTACATCAACCACTGGAAGCCGGTCAAGGTACCCAGCATCACGATACGGGTAGGAAGGCCGTTCCAAAGCCCGGAGAAGCCAATGTTGCCATAAATTCTGGAGACGGCCGTCATGGCACCCTCACCAGCTATTTCAACTCATTGATTAGCTTTGGTCAACGCTCTTGTCCCGTGATATCACTTACCCTTCCGATCGGCATTCAACTTGCTAACCATGACATCGGCGGGATGACTGACAATAGCGCAGAAGATACCAGCGATATAACCACCCAAGAAACTGACACCAGTCTGGGTCAACTGGCCATACTCTTCCTTGGGCTTACCCATGGTCTTATAGATGAGCTTCACTGTCTCCTCAAAAGTCGCGAACTTGGTCATAGTGTAGGGAATCTGGCGCGCCCACAGAGGGTACAATCCCTTGTACAGGCCACCAAGACCCTCCTTCGCGACAATGCGACTCCAGCCCTCGCGGAGGTTATTCGCGTATGGCGGGAGAGTGGTCTGCATGCGGACCTTGATAGCCTCCAACGGGCACAGAGCCATATCAGCGAAGAATTCGGCCGAGGCACTGGCCCCTAGGAAGACGAGGGTGCGGTTGCTATCAGGGAACATCTGGTCGCCGTACAAATACTTGAAGTACTCATACAGACCGTACTTGCCGGCACCCTGGAACGAGTATCCCAGAAAGGTGGGCGACCAGCCGAAGAAGACGCCGCGGAGGCCTTCTTTGGCGAAGATGGAGCGCCATGCGGAGACGTTGGAGGTGTAGATCTTGGGATCGACTTGTCGGCGGCACTTGACCAGGTCGAGCGGTGTGACAGCGGTGTGAGTAGGTCCTAGGAGCTGTCAATTGGGGGTGTTAGGCGAGATTATCGGTCAATGTTGCATACCACACGCTGGAGGGGAAGAAGAGAATGTTAGCACCTTTCATGGGTCAATTGTGCAAGTGAGGGGGTCTTACCGATGATACCGCCCAGTCCGCAGCTATAGAAGTACTTAAGGGTGTTGGGCTCGATCTTCCCCAAGGGAAGCTTGCGTTCTTGTGTAGCCATGATCGCGAAGAGGGGAGATTACAGGAGAAAGATGAGGATGAAGTGAATAAAAAGCCAGGTAGAATGTCGTCACCGCAATGCACAGCTATTTTTCGAGCTATGAACGGGGCACAAGTGACGGGAACGGCAAGGTCGGCATGGGGCTTATCAGGCAACTCCACGATCGTCGATCCATTGATAGACTCAACAGAGTAATATGTTCCTTGGGTTCCTAGCTACCCAATCCAAACCAGATTTAGAGTCTCGGCTCTTTCATGCCCGACCGTAATTCTTTGACCTTTTACTCTACATTTCAACTAACGAGACCGTGGGATGAGCTGAACATTGGAAGGATCACTCGGCACAGACAGTGACGTCACTATATCCGGCGGGTGCCGGCTCCACCGAGATGTGTATACATAAAAACCAGTTATCTACATACTCCACCTACTTCACATTTGACGCCGGGTCTAGACCATAACAATAAACACAAGAGACCCCATGCCAGTAATATACTCCTAGCAGCCCGAGAAGCCGACGGCAGGTGCCGAAGGTTCGCTACGCATGCGCTCAGCCTCACGTGCCAGTATCAACGCCAGTTTGATGCCGAGCGTGGACCCAATACGCCATAACACCTCGCGGATCTGGTTGAACTGTGCTTCGGTTGGCAGACCCCAGGATAGGATATACCATAACGGCCAAATTAGACCGAAGGCCTGCGCGGCGCGAATGGGTTTGCCGTCGAGCGAACTGGTGGGACGGCCCAGTTCGTCAACGTCTGATAATGAGAATGGAATGCTGTTGCAAACGTCTGTGGTCATTTCTCGGACGACTGCGCGCAGGACAGTTTCGTCGAGAGCGGATCCCGCCTGGGATGGATCGTCAGGCTTTCCCGATTTCTTTATGATGGAGAGGTAGGTTCGGTTTATGCTAAAGAGGAGTTGTTGGAGCATGACGCGGGCTGCACGGTAGTAGTTCCAGATGATGGCGTTTGCGATGCACTTGTACACCATCAGGGGCTCGCCTGCTGTAGAGTAGACGATTAGTGGAAGCCAGCGGTCGGGAAGTTGTAAGGGCCACTGCGAGAGCTCATCGTCAGATCGGCGACCGGTCTCAATCCATTGCTCTACTGTGGCCAGTTCGGGAGGATTGGGTGCTTTTTGCATTGACACGAAGAGTTGGCTGATTCTTGATGCTGCGAGCATCAACCCTTCGATGGGGTCGTTACGGTCTAGCAATCCCATGACCCAGTCGATATCATGTCGTGGCTTATCTCCTAATGCGAGAATTTCGACATACTGTAGAAACCATCAGTATCACGTTTAAAAGCAAACAAGGGAAGATCGAACATACGGTATGTGCATAGGCAAAGTTGAACATGTCACGACCGCGCCGGTGATCCAGCTGTCCCTCGCCTCGCAACTTCATGAGAAATTCAAAGCCAGCCGTGTGTGAGCTGAAAAGCCCATTTCTCTCGCCACTGATATCTTCATACAGCGAAAGAAGCATCACGGAGGCAAACGTCTCATCCTTGACGGCGGAATCAGGCGATGCCAGTGCTTCCCGTAATCCACGTAGTGCTTTTCCATACTTATAGCGTGCTTTTATCATAAGAGGCGGGGAATTTGAAGAATTTGCAAGAGTCATAAGTGCCGTAGCATCGACTGCTGATCGCAGACACGCAGCGGGAGAGCCTTTCGCGGTGCTTTCGACCTCGGCGGCACGCGCATAAAGAGGAGGGAGATACTCGAGATGGCCGCTTAAGCCCTCATCCTTGTTGTCAGCGATGGTGTATTGGTCGAAGAAGTAACATAGTGCACGATTCTCCCATGTGGCATCTGCAATGCGATGCAAGCTGAGAGTGGAGCTAGGCTGATGCTGGCGGTCGACGACCGTGAGAGCTTGAGAAGAAGATGAAGAAGAAGATGAGTTAGATTCGGAGATGGAAGAACTTATGTCTTTCTTTGCTAGTCGCTCGACTTTTCTGGTCTCGTTGCGAAAGACCGCGTCGGGCCGGTAGCCCGGACATGGGCGGCCGTAGATGTCACAGTTTCGACAACCAGGACGAGCTTCATCACACTGGAGATCGTATTAGCATTGATCATATGCTAGATCCATATTCGCTGCGAGAGCATGTAAACAGCACGAACCCCCACTATCAAGAGGTTACGTCGACGGGCTTACCTTGATCTTCCGCTTGCGACACAAGTAACATCCGGTGCTCGGCTTGCCCCCATACACCATTGTTCAACCCCACCCTGCTAGACTGTGTTTGACAAGACACTCCAGGGTTCCGATGAAATTCCGACGAGGTTCTGGGGGGTAAGGGAAGACTCCGCTCTTCTCGATCCGGGGGGGGGGTTCCACAGACGGAGACTTTCTGGTGCATAGATCAACTCGGCTGCCTAGCCCGAGTGGAGTACATGCGCATCGTAGTCTTCGTCCAAGGAGTAGATCGAAAGAAACACCCCTGAGTTACAGAGTTACAAAAGTAAGACACGATGCCCAGGACGGTTACGTGAAAGGAGCTTAGTCAGCTTCCTCAAACTGCAGGAAATTTTATAAGGCGCTATATTGCATTGTCGATTCTCGCTAGAAAAGGTATCATCTGGGCCCATCAAATTACTCCGAAATGATCCAGCCCGAAGCTGATAGAACAACAACAATAATAATCAAAATCTCCTCCCCGACTGGAACTCCACGATGATGACAGGTTCTCCGGAAAAAATGAAAGGGCAACACCAACTATGCAACCGCTTGGTGCTCTAGAAAGAATGCATGTGACTGAAAGAATCGCCAGTAGCTCATTCTGGAACAATAAAACAAATGCTGGAAAGGGTTCCAAGCCCTCGACGCTGGAAGACAAAAATAGGATATCCGTAGTCGTTAGATCGCAGGCTATATGTGAAAAAGATTCGTGGCTCAGGAGTCGGCATCCGGCATTGGCTGGTCCGCATCACTGCCCGAGATGGTCGGCGGGGGGTCGGAGAAGCGAGTGCGTTGGCGAGGTTCAATGGACAAGTCACTTTCGTCCGTCGAACCGAAGCCAGGCGTACTGGAGGTACTTTCGATGACGACGTCGTCATAGTCTTCTGGAGGTGGAGCGAATGACCAGACCTGAATCATAATTAGCAGTTGGAAACAGAAAGGAACAAATAGGTTTGAACATACTTCCATTACTGTGCGGCCAGACCGGCTCGCCATGATGACAGCCTTTTCTTCTTCAAAGGCGACTCTCCAGACGGCGTCCGCTGGGCTCGAAAGTTCTCGTAGCAGCTGGCCAGTCTGTAGATTCCACACTTTCACGCGACCATCACTGCCACCGCTGACAATCCGAGTGTTATCGAACTGGAGACTAGTGACACTATTGTCATGGGCCGCCAGTCGGTGGATAGGCGCCATCTTCGTCAGAGACCATACACGCACAGAGCCATCGGAGCCTCCCGTTACAAGAGTATCGCCACGCATCTGCAGTTGACCAACCAGTGAGGTATGACCTTGGAGAATGGCATGACACTGCCCAGAGTGTGGATCCCAGATTCGGACGCTAGTATCTAAGCTACCCGTGGCAATGCGTCGGCCGTCAAATGCAATAGCGTAGATCTGACTGAAGTGGCCCGAGAGTGTACGGAGACAGCGGCCTTGAGAGATACTCCATATCCGAGCAGTCGTGTCATAACTGCCTGACACAACCAGATCACCATGGATGGCCAAACACCGGACACTAGCCTGATGCCCAACCAAGACGTTACGACACGTCCCCGTTGACAGGTCCCAGATGCGAAGTGTGGTGTCTCTAGATCCAGAGATGGCAGTATTCCGATCAGACATTTTCAAGCATCGGACGGTTGATGTGTGACCACGAAGCAAGTGAATTCCGGCCCTAAATGATGTCAGGTTGTTGCCTCGGACGAAACCCAATAAAAATGTAGACTTACCCAGTAGCCATATTCCATACCCTCACTTCGCGGTCGCATCCTCCGCTAACCAAGATATCGTCCCAAGGAACCATGGCCCATACACCCATCACGTGTCCTTGGAGCGTTTTCTGGTTATCACCGTTTGTGTCGTAGACATGGATCTTGGCATTATCCAAGGCCACCACGATGTATTTCGAGGTCAGATGCAAACTCGTGACCACCCCCTGATCGGGAGTGATATGGCGCTGAGTGCATCTGCCCCCTTTATTCCAAGCCGACTCAACCATGTATTTCTGCTTGAAGTGTGATCGGTAGGAAACAGGTCGGGCTCGGAGTCTACGAGGGGGGAAGCTGGTGGGCGGGAGCCACTCTCCCGACAAAGTGCGGGGAAGTTCAGGGGCGGTTTCGACCGACTGCTCGTTAGACACGGTCAAACGCCGTTGCAGGTTGGTAGATGAGCTGTTCTCGGATTTCGATTCCCTAGATCTAGCGGTGAACGGTTCGATATCATCCTCCGAGATCCGGCGCATGGAATATGCGTGTTTCTCGCAGAGGTTCTTCCAGGTGATGTCGTCGTTCAGGAGTTCGCGCCAGCGTATTGAGACCTGCGAGGCTCGTGCGAGTGTCTTTGGATCGTCGATGAAAGAGAGAACCTGTTGAGAAGGTCGTCAGCGGTCTGTCCGCATCCCCACATTATTACAGTCGAATCGTATGACTTACTCTTAAACAAAGTTCATTTGGAAAAACTTGGAAAGGATCCTTTCTCAACCGAGGGCCAACATAACTTGAGACGAAACTGAGTTGTTGGCTGTCGCATACATCCAAGATGCCCTCGAGGAGTTTTTGTTTGCGGGCGTTGGACAGGGTGCTGAAGTGGATGCGGAGATTCAGCAAGAAGGTGTTTTCCTCTTCATCCGACGACACCCAGTTCGGTGGTCGCTGGTGCGGTGTCGGACTAGGCGCGGGCGTAGGTGGTGAGGCGGGAGCTGAGGGAAGCAGGTTGGCGGGTATCGGGGTGACATTCTTCTTGCTGGCGCTAAGAGATCGGGCGGGGGTACTGGTAAAACTGGAGATAGAGTCGCGATTTGAGGCTTGAGAGTGCGAATCTAGATGGTCCGACATTGTTTGCGAACTCATCGGCCCGTCCGCTAGGTCACTGAATACTGGGTCGGATTCCATCCTGACCAGGAACCCGTCCCACGTTTATCGGGGTGTATAGACGCGTTTACCGGTGGCGTGAGGGTATGCGAGATCCCGAGGTCACCGAGTGTTGCCGATAGACATAGAGGATCGAGGATAGGAGGGTGCTGTGCAGTGTGCGGTGTGTGGTGTGCGGTGTGCGGTGTGCGGAAGACGTGCGGTATTATCGTAGTATCGGATCGGGGGCTGGCGAAGGATGACCGCGGGAAAGGGAGAGAAAGGACCGAACTTTGTTGGATGATATGCTGAATGAGAGTTGCGATTTGCGACTTGCGACTGTGAACTTTTTTTTTTCTCTTATTGCTTTTACCCCAGTCAAGAAGCCAAAAAAAGATCAATGGAAAGGGAGAAGGACCAGGCGGAGTCGATGTCGTGACTGGGCTGACTCTGACAAAGCCGCCAAGCTCCCCCCGTTCTCCACTCTGGAATCAATCGATGCCTCATTTCGTCTCCACTTCGACTCCCTGCCTTCTCTGCCCGATGGCCACCCGAGAGGCAACAAGGCAGACAGGTGCGACGGTAACTACAACGGCAACGGCAACGGCAATGGCAACGGCAAGAGGCAATCGGGGTCACCGGGTATAGGTTATAGGCAATTCTGCGAGGCAACTTCGCAAGGCAATGTCTCGGTATATCAATGCCGGTTCGAGTCACTCACTCGGCACTGATTTGACCTCCGATAGATACGACGTATATCAGTATATCCTATCAGTATAGGTTGTATAGTTGGCCCGAATCCCTGGATAGGCAGTCGGCACGCGAGCGTCGACCATGGAACGACCCGTCGGGCGACGATGATGCAGACTGACGAGACTGACGACAACTTTCATCACCCATGTGCATGACCACCCTGGGATGATTGAAATATGAGCGAGGATCCGCCTGTGAGTGATCGAGCGGATTGCCCTCATTATATACTGCCCGGTCACGCTACGTCGACGTGATCGTGAGAACCTGACCTGAACATGCAATGATGACCAACTCCGTCTAGGACAAAGTTGAAATTATTGAAATCTAATGATACATTTATTTTTTCTCCTATCCATCCAGTCCAACACGTAATAGCCAACCCCGTCAACGTATAGCTTACAACAAATTCCAAAGGGTATATGCTCCCGATATCCATTCCCTTGCAGTGAAATGATGAAGATTGCAATGGCAGAATTGCCCACTCCGGGCGAGGATAATGAAGGGAGCCAAGAAGAAACAACACATCAAGTTTAAGCTCAGTGGGCATGTCCGATCTGCAAGAATAGAGGCAGAACCATGCCAAGAACAGAGGCGATCAAGTCTCTCATCGACTTGTCAGATCCGCTTTGAGAGTCTCGGGAATCCCCATACCCGTTGAAGGGTAGTGCCCGCGACGAGCCAGGGCCATTCTCTTGCATCGTGTGCATCGCTACGTATCTGCGTAGTTCATTAGCCAGTCTTTCACCACCAAACAGAGATGGCATCACTCACAAGAAAGTACCGCCTGAGAAAAGCAAAAGCATTCCAGTGCGCCATTGAGAATCAGCCTCGGCAGCACTGGAAGATCCCATCATCTGAGCAAAAAGGAAAGTAGCCAGCGCGCCAACAGGGGCCGCCAGACTGAAAACCAACAAATGCGCTCTCGCGGTCCGACTCGACAGGCCCTGCTTGAGTAGAATCGATGTAAGACCGAAAGAGGCTGGTGCCTTGTGCACCATAATAGCCAGGAAAATGATGAAACTCAGCCCGGCGTCTGAACTGGAAGCTCCCAGTGCGATACCATCCGCCGCGGCATGAATCACCAGGCCCGTAGTGGTCGCAAAGCTGTGACCACGTCGAGAGCTGGAGTGTCCTGGGTCCAGAATTCCTCCATCGCGGGTGGGAGAAGAACCCCGCCTAAGGCCCGATCCAAGATTATCAAGGGAGATGTGATATGGCACTCGCTCATTCTTGGTTGGCGAGGCGAACTCTGGGACTTTGTCGATGAGGTACATCAAAATAAACCCGCTGACCAAGGCAATGCCGATCCATGCATGCGGCGAGCTCTCCTCTTCCTCTTCCTCGCTCGACTTGTCACTCGAAGATTCCTCATTTCGGGCATATAGCAATGGTGTTTCGTCCGATCGGGCTACAATAGGTTGTGTAATTTCACCATCGAGGGAAAGAAAAGGAACAGAAATATCAGATGGGGGTATCAAGGCATCGCTGCCATCGTTCAGTACCGGCGTGGCTCCCGCAAGCCCTTGAGGCTGCCAGGCCACGGCCGACGTGCGGGTATTGAGACTTTTCTTGGCGACAGCATTCGCGCTGTACAGGGTTTCGACGCCCTCTGGTATAATGACAATTAAAGATGTGCCCACCAGCACTCCCATGCCAATCGAGGATATTAACCGGAGCTGGGAGGGGGACAGTGTAAAAACGAGCGGAAATGAGCCAACAACAAAGGACCTGCAGAGTACACAACGTTAGCTTTTGATAATCTTGCATCCCACTACAGGGCAGCATCTCACGTAATGGCCATCACAATGCACAAGGCGAGCAGAGTGAAGAGTCCCTCCATGGTAGCCTCTTGTCACAAGAGATTCGCACGTGTGCCGGGCTCTACAGGGTGCCAATCATGGTGCGAACCTAGAGATATTAAGGGAAATTCGGAGCGAAGTCCCCCGGAGGAGTGCAAATGTCAGGGATGAGGGATGAAGGAAGAAGGGTTGGGCTCAGGGAAGGAGGCGAAGATGGCGCAACTCCCGTCGAGGTTCGGGGGACCCACGCGGCCTCAGGTACCGCCCGCTAATTTAGGATCAAAACACCTGGTCATCCACCCATATTGACGCATGCTGGTATATTGTCAAGAATTCACCATTTCGGCCTTAAAAGGGTCTCGGGTAGTTCTGAAAATCGGTTGTCCTACATTCACTAGGTTCAGTGCTCCACAAGACAGGCGATCTGGACTTGCAGAACGAAACTATTACCGGCCTGGCGTTGATACTTGGCATTCTCTGTGAAGCCACATACTCCGTATTGCATTTTTTGAGATTCAACAAAAATGGCTCTAGCTAGCTATGATAAGATTATGTTATATGATAATCCATATCGGCCAATTTCTACTCCTTTCCACGCCCTCCCCACCTCAGACTCAGCCGTGTCCAAATCAAATAAATCCAACATCCTCCCCACATTATGATCCACCAGATAATTTGCAAAAGTAGGCCTAATATAGAATGCCAGCACAGATGGGAATACAACAGCATCTGCCTGAGATACAGAAAGCATACTCTGAAGATGAATTATACTAGCGTTTCTTCTTTGACGAGTATGGGAACTTCCTCTGGTTCCTTATGTGGGCTATGGTCTCAAGCCAGAGCGTATTCACAAAAAGATGGTTCGATGCTTTATGCTACCAGGTAAAATTGCGGACGACTATCTTTCTTGGACAGTAGAATATTTCCAAGGCTCATATCCTGCTGATGTAAAGGTAAAAGTGAATAAAGACTGACAGAAATATAGATTTAGTTGAGAGTGATGATTTTGAACGAGTGTGCATGAATGATAATCGTCCATGTCCAGCTGACACATCAGAAAAACCGTGGAAATAATCTTCAAATTATAGAAATGGTATCGCTTCTTTAAATTGATGATCCCAAAATATCTATGACATACTAGCGAACGTGCTTAGGCAAGCGGAATCCCAGGTACGGCAAATACTTTCCTGGGTGCCAGTAGATGAAAAGGGCAACACAAGGGTAGATCGCCAATGTGTCGAATACATACATGGCCCACTCGTGATTATTGATGTATCCTGTTCTACCCTCAGTGAACTCGACAAGACGATAGATTGAACGAACCTATCCATCGGTTAGTGTTGTTGGTCAAGCGGTGATAGATCAGATAGAAGCTCGCTCACCAGGATCAAGATAGTGGTGATATTCACAGCTCGCAGCAAGGCTGGCCAGTGCTTGTTCTTCAAGACACCATCAATTACATACTCTTTCTCTCCAAAGCTTTCATAGCGGTCATGAATGGTCTTTGAGAATCGCTTAGAGGTAAAGTTGAAACGAACAGCAGCGATGGAGAAGAGACCAAACGCAGCCAGTTGAATAATGACACCTGCTTGGGCAATGTGTTTGCCTCGGTTGAGCTTATCTGCCGCATTGTTATCGTCGGGGCTGACAGACGTGATGATCACTGCTCCACCTAGTTGGAGAAGCAGTGCAATAACGTCGAAGCCGACAAAGATCGGGGTGATGAATCGTGGAGGTACCCAGCAGAGTTTGAAGGTACGTTCCTCGCGGGGAACTATTAAGAATAGAATGCGGCTGAAAATAATATAGCAGCATGCTGCCATAAGGACTGGAGCCAGAATGATGAGAGAGAATTGTAGGGCGTAGATGGACTTGTCGGTCACATTCTGAGTAGAAACGCATCGGGCGATGTAGCCAACTGCCTCCACTAGAGAGGGTATTAGTATCAATGAAAAATATATTGCACGGCTGTTCCAAGGTTTTATACATACTTGCGGAGGCAGTAACCATAACCACCCAAACCCAGGATTTGAATCGAAACCATTGGATGAAAGTCAAAATGAAAGCGATCCCATAAAGAACAGCGGCGACAATGGCCACTGCTAGAGATGGATTGTAACGATAGTAGGAGACATCATCTCCACCTGTATTGGCTCTCATCTCCAGTGTCATCTTCAATGTGCAAGGACACAGATTCGAAGTGTCACCCAGACCAAGAGACCCGTGGACCCCTGTTTAGGTTGGGCCCTGACTATATAGTACAGATGACCGGCGATCGGTCCACGGAGTTACCGTGCTCGGGCGGCGGAGTTATTATTTTACCCCAGCGTTAAAAAGCCAAGCCCTCCTTCAAGAGGAAAGGAGTTCGTTATCGATCACGAAATCCGCCAAGCCTTCAACTTGTCATAGATCCATTCCAAGGTTCATTTTTCTAGGCACCCGTTCAAACGGATGCTCGGGGTGCTTTCAATATGCTAGCCACGGATATCGAGAGGTTATTCTACAGTAAATGAGACTTGAGCTTATTGACCGGCCTATAATCTTCTCTGAAACATACGAATTGGCTACCCCATTAGGAAATGCGGAGCCACGAAACCGAAGTGGGCGGAGTGCAGCCAACCATATGAGACGGTGATCGACTTGCGGACGCTGACACGGATCGGCACTGAGCCTCGAATCCCGACCGTCTACTTGTTACCGACGCCGCGGAGCACGATACTTTTACCCCGTTTGACCTCTTAAAGCAAGCGAATTGAATACGCTGCGTCAAAGCAACAATGCCATTTTACGGTCGTCCCAGCAAGAGCTGCCAGAGTTGTCGCGAGCGGCGGATCAAGGCAAGTAATCTGGGTATCTCCCCCGATATCTCCCCTAACCTTTGGTAGTGTGACCGCATCGAACCGGTTTGCTCGCAGTGCAAGAGAGCGGGGAAACCATGCGGTGGCTATCGAGATGTTCCGTCCCTTATGTTCCGTGACGAGAATGATAAAACAGCCCGACGCTCTGCAACCGCGAAATCTAAATCGGAGGCTCGGCGCAGATTTTTGGACTCCGAGAGATCTTCCTCTAGCCCGGAACACTCTGAATCTTCTGAAACAAATCTTGTAGTGCTGGAAAAGAAACCGAAGCCCAAAGCGGTGTTCATACCCACAATCCCAGTTGCCGTCTCGTCCACCGTCGACGAGCAAGGGTTGAACTTCTTCTTCCATCGATTTGTAACAGCAATTTCGATGCTAGAAACTGCCCCACCTGAATTAAAGATTTCCCCTTGGTTAGAGGCAATGTTACTGCATCCACCCGTCCGAGATGCAGCCATCTCGGTCGGTCTGGCCGCCAAGTCCAATGTTACGCGAGACCGAGCCATACGTCTCGTGGCGAAGGAGAAGTATGCGGTGGCCATTGGCAGCGTCCGTGTGGCGGTGGATAACCCCCAGCAAGCCAATCCGGATGAAACATTCAAGCTGATTGTCATGCTAAGTTTGTACGAGGTACGTCCGAGCTGCAATTGCCGTTTCCCCACTCTAGGTTCGAGCTAACTGATTCCTGTTAAGATGGTCAGTTGCACTACTAAGCAACCTGACTCGTGGACGGTCCATGTTGATGGTGCTGCAGCACTCCTAAAACAGCTCGCATTCAATCAGACCTTAAAGGTCTTCCGGCCTCGGCCGCAACTACAATATTACTATGTCTCCGTGGTGAAATACTTCATCGCCGAAGGTAAAAGCACTCCTGACCTACTTGAATGGAGCCCTGATATCATGTCGAAATTTGGACCCGAGATGCAACCCGCTATCCGTCTGATCGACATCATGATCCGTTTTATGAGAGTGCACTATTCCATGCGATCAAACCCGAACATTGACCCAAGAACTGCAATAAGTTTAACTCTGTCTTTCGAGTCGGAGTTAGATCAGTGGGCGAACATCCTTCCACAAAAGTGGGCCTTTGGGATCAATGAGTCTAGTGATACCCAAAGTACATTTAACGGAAAGTATATGGTTTATGATGATACATGGGCACCCAGAGATCTCAATCATTACTTCTGGGCAAGATTGATGGTCAACGAGATGATCTTATTGCACATATCAAGGCTCGCAGTGATAACCCCCGAAGACCTTGGACAGCGCCAGCTAGCATTTGACACCATAGCTCGGATGGGGACTTATATTTGCGCTGGCGCTGCGAGCCAAATGGGTGCCCACGGCTGTGGTGTATCAGGTGGAGGCACCATAGGTATGCCTCCACTGAATGGTGTGTTTATGTTAATGTTTCCGTTAGCCATTGCGGGAGGGGCAGGGGGATCTCCGGATGAAGTACACGAATGGGTAATTCAAAGGCTGCAAAAGATCGGAAGTACAATGGGCATCCAGCGTGCCCTGGAGATTATACCTCGATTGAAGCTATCTCGAGAAAAAAAGCAGCAGCAAATAATTTTTCAATGAACAATAAGAGGAACAACTACATCTTCAATTTTAGCACGATCATCACATCGGTATCAGATCTGGCATCTTCATAGAGTGGAGAGTGCCGCTAAGCCAGATTAAGTAATACTGAGCTCCGACGCGGTCAGACGCGACTTCCTTAATCTTCCTTCTCGCAATCACTCCAGACCTGCCCACACATATCCAGAATGGCTAGCGAAGACGGCTGTAAGGCGATCTCACCATCCGAATTGAAGTGATCATTACTAACTTCCTACTTTCTAGGGTCGTGCGACGCCAACGATGCGCTCCACATAACAGTCGTGCAGCCAGGCAATGCGAAACCTAAGACGCTGTCAACGTTCCACCCTCAATTTACCTATCCAATCTTTGGCGACGATGAACAAATCTTCGGCTACAAAGGGTTGATCATCCGGTTACGCTTTGCCGCCCATGATCTCCGTCCCCATGTGCACATTTCTTACGACGATCGATTCAAGGCGGTTGGTGATACTGCTCCGATGGATCTTCTAGGGGCCTTGAAGGATTTTGTTCCCGAAGGTAAATTATTTTCCGTGTGTAGAGCGCGGAATACGAGCTGATATTTGGGCTCTATAGAGGCATTCGCCAACCTTCCCGATTATGAGAAGGCAGTCCAGGACGACCCAAGCGCAATAGACTTTACACCACCGGGCAAGCTAGTCTTTAATTACGAAGTCGAGGAGAGGAGATACGAGATCTGGGCTGGATCACTTGCGGATCCGAAAGTGCGTCTCTTGCTGGACCGTATGCAGGTCCTTGTTTCGCTTTTCATCGAAGCCGGAACTCCTCTGGCGACGGATGATCCTGAGTGGTCTCTTGAGCGCTGGACGGTCTTCTTTATGTAATCTTCGGCCCTTGTTATTCCTGGTCTACTTGGTTGCTAATAATCTACAGATACGAGAAGGTTGAACCTCCGACGCCGACCGCATCGTCCTATTCAATTGTCGGATACGCCACAGCCTATCGGTACTGGATGTACCTGAGAGACCGCAATGAGACTCCCGCCGTTAAAGACGATGTGTTCCCTCTTCCCGAAGTCAAGGTTTCTGAGCTTCCGTCTCGCCTTCGCATTGCACAATTCCTTATTCTTCCCTCACATCACCGCTCGGGCCACGGTACTCACCTCTATACAACAATCCATGCTTCATGCATCGCCGACCCGACCATCGTGGAGTTGACAGTTGAAGATCCCAATGAGAGCTTCGATGCTCTTCGAGACACAGCCGATTACTGTCTCTTGCGCCCCGAGTTCCTCAAACACAATGTGGGCCTCAACCCCGATCCTCTTGGGGCTTATTCTCAGAAGAAGCGCCCTCGCTCCGTTCCCACGGGCGCTTTGATTCCTACTAAGCTTCTTATGGACATTCGCACCTCCTTCAAGATCGAGGCCACACAGTTCGCCCATGTCTTGGAGATGTATCTCCTGGGCACCATTCCCAAGAGCCACCGCATCGCGGGAGGTACAAACCTCGCAAGGCTTTTGATCAAGAAGTATAAAGCAGAGCACGAGAATGATCGCCGATACTACTGGTGGCGCATGCTCACTAAACAGCGCCTGTATAAGAAGCACAAGGAGTTGCTGAACGAGCTAGAACTAATGGATCGGGTCGAAAAGCTGGACGACACTGTGCAGAACGTGGAGGAAGGCTATGAGATCACCCTGGAGGCGCTCGAGGGTCGCTTGCCTGAGCCAGAGGACGAGGCTCCTTTGACTTTGAGTCGTCGCGACAAGCGCAAGCTTACTGTCGAGGATGATGAGGACGAAGAAGAAGAGGAAGAGGCCTCATCATCCAAGCGGCCGAAGGTCTAAGGCTATCACACGCTCCATTAATGCGCGTGTTTCTGTTCTACTATGTAATCTAACACAACCGCTCTGGTGAAAAGGAAATGGTACGGTTTTACGGCCAATGGAATAGCAAGTGATGCTACGAATTAAGGCTTCATGCCCGCAACTAAATCCCGTCACATAAATCTGCAAAACATAACATCTGCCCTAGCAGTAATGTATTGAAAGCATTTGAGAGTATGTCCGTCGAGAGTATACCAAGTCCAGAGCGTTGCCGCATTTCGGCAGATCATTTTTTCCGGCTTCAGGCTCCGTCACAGCGGACGCGGAGCTCACTTGCACCCATTGTTACTCTCAACAACTTTCCAATAAACTACAGCCTTCATATTGGTCTTTTATTCCATTTTCTCTTTCATCCCGTGATCCACGAACTAAGGGATTGGGATCTGCCCGTATAGATTACCCCTCGCACACACTCAACCAGCCTCCCACTTCCGCGACATCTACATCCTATCAACCGCATTTCACCATGGTAAGCGCGTGGCACACCGTCAAAAAACCTTCAAGGCCATGCGCTAACAAACCTGACAGTTGCCTCTTGGCCTCCTTACGGCCGCGCAGGGCCACCCCATGCTGGTGGAGCTTAAGAACGGCGAGACCCTGAACGGTCACCTTGTGACCTGCGACAACTGGATGAACCTTATTCTGCGCGAAGTCGTGCAGACAAGTCCTGAGGGTGACAAGTTCTTCCGCCTTCCTGAAGTCTACATCCGTGGCAACAACGTACGTAAGCTATGCGCCGAACACTCGGTTCACCATGTTGACTACCCCACTAGATCAAATACCTCCGAGTCCCCGAAGAAATCATCGACATAGTTAAGGAGCAGCAAGCAAATCAACCACAGGGCCGACGCGGTGGTCACAGAGACGGCGGGCGCGAGCGAGGCCGTGGCGGTGGTCGTGGTCGCGGAGGGCGTGGTCGTGGTGGTGGTGGGCGCGGTGGTCCTGGCGGTCCTGGTGGCGTATGATCGACAGACAAGCATTGCATGGCTGGAAGGATGTGATAACGAGATACCCTGGAACAGACTGTGTGTGAGGTCGCTCTCGGGGGGGGATCCGGTTGGACAGTTTGGTCGAGCATGGCCGTGGCGTATCTGGCTCTGTATTTTTCAGTGGGAACTGGGTCACTGGGTCGAACGGCGATCTACAAATACTACACTTTAAATCCCAGAAATACTCTGTTCTTTGCTTGTAGATGTCAATTGTTGAAGGGCAGGAGAATCTGCGATATATGTCACGTGACTATCATGGGTGACGGGAATTCGGCGACGCAGAGCTCCGTCGAAGCTCAAGCAACTCGACATGTCGCGGCAGGCGTTGGTCCTTGACGGACTGTGGTATTCCTTATGTCCCTCTTTTTCACAGCCGACACTTCGTCGCTCCGCGCCTTTATTAAGGCCAAGACAGAGATATTCTAAAGCACGCTCGCCGCCAACTATTCGCCTCTCCGCGCCGACGCCCACACCGACTTTGACGCCTAGACGGCACTACAGCAGTCATGCAAGACCATCCGAAGAAAAACATATTGGCAATTCTACGCCAGTGTCAGAAAATCCACGAGATGCTTCGACACAGTGCCCAAACCCCCGACTACCATCCAATATACACCACGACATCACGACAGTGAGCATTGACGAGTTAAACAAACCATATTTTACGGATGAAGGCAATTCGGTGACAGAGAGCTACGAAGATGATTCGTCCCCGCGCTCGGACCCTGGAATATCATCCAACGACCCCCCCAAACCGAAACAACGATCCCGCCCGTTAAGGAAAGAATATGGGCAACTATGGAAAAAATCACAATCCGATCTAGAGGCCATCCTGCAGGGAGAGGAGAATCCCGGATTCGTTGGAACGATAGAGGTGTTGAGATCTTTGATTCGCGATCGTCACGTCGAACCGAGAGCTCGCCACTACAAGGCCATGATACAGGCGAATACCGATAACACTCTTGGAAATGTGAACTCTGTCCACCATCTTTTACAAGAGATGGAAGACAATGACATTGCTGCGGACTCTGGTACCCTACACGCCGCTTTGCAGGTACGTTATTGCTCGTGGAAGACAGATCCTTCGTGATATGAGCTTTACTAATTTTAATTTCAACACGTAGGCCTTTGCTGTGCACCCGGACTACATCCTCCGCCAAGAAGTCCTTCAAAAGCTTCGAGACCGGTGGCTTACTCTGAGCCCTGCTGGATGGCACTTTGTGGTCGTAGGACTACTTCGCGACCATCAGTTCGAACTGGCACTTGATCAGCTTGCATTGATGGAGCGGAAGGAAATTCCGGTTGAAAATTGGCTACACAGCTCGCTGATCTACCACCTATGTGATGTCGAAGAGTTTGACGAGGTGTACCGCCTGATGCGAGCTCGAGTGGAGCAGGGCCATGACATGACCACAGCGCTTTGGAAGCACGTATTGGGAACAGCCAGTACGGCGGGACATTATCTGGCGACTTCTTACGTGTGGAAGCGTATGGTTGAACTCGACTATTTGCAACCTTCAAAGGATGTTTGTAGCAAGGTACTAACGGTGGCTGAACTCGCCGAGGATACCGAACTAGCCAATTCCGTGTTCCGCTTGATGGACAACAAAGGAATGACGCCCGGCCAGGAAGATTATGCGACGCTTATCATGTCTAAGCTGAGTGCAGGCGACTTGCCTACTGCCTTTGATGTGCTTTGCGCGATGCAACAGGAGGGAACAAGTCCCAATCAGGTCGCAACGCGGCCAATGCTTGACTACATGATCAAACATAAAACCGACCATCGCGAGGCGTGGCAGATCCTCAAGCGTCTGAAGAATGAAAGACGCGACATTCCCCTGGCCAGTGTCCAGGTCATTGCCGATCTGTGTCATCACTATGTCCGTAACGATCCCTCTGTGGTGGAGGATGCCATCGGGTTCTACAAAGAACTCTATACCCTGTGCCCCGAAGGGGCAAATGTCGATGTGTACAACTCGTTTATCATGATGTGTCGAACGGCAGGGAACCGAGCCGCAGGGATGTTTTTGGTGAAAGAAATGGCTTCCTTCAACGTCATTCCCAACGGCACCACTTTCGAGAGCATCATCCTGATGTGTCTGGACGCGGGCAACTACCTCTCCGCGAGCATGTACTTCGAAGATTTAATTAAAAGAGAGGGGTCGGTCACCCGGGAGACACAGAAAGAGATTCGAAAACTCTGTGCGCGGTCGGTGGACGAGTACGCGATGCGGTTGCAGTACCATCCGAAGCTCCAAGAGAGCATCAAGATCGCCACCAGTGACGGAACGCCCAGTGGGGACGCTACGGGTGAGGCTGGACCCCGCGGCTTTGGGCGCACTAAGCTCGTGCACGAAGCGCGAATTGCGTATAACCGGGATCGACGACGAAGAAAGAGAGCCCGGGCGGCCATGGAACGGAATGAAAACCAAGAAAACCGCCCGACCGATGCGCAAGATGAGTGGTACTAGGTGAACGGCTCCAACCAAGATTCGGTCGGGGCAATAGAACCGAAGAAACCCCTGAGGGTCCATCGTGTTTCAAAACACAGAGATCCTGCAGGAGACATCGCCATCGTGTACGACCCGCCGATTTCTCAGGCTTCGGTAGTCTGCCGTGCAGACAGTCGTGCGACAATCAGTGCCTCGCCGCATAATTGAGTGTATCATAGTGTACCATAGTCCTGTACAAAGAAACGAAAAACCCTTTAGCCGATGAACCATAGAAAAATCCTTATCACAATTCCCCGTCTCCTGGTTCCTCTTTCCCCCTCACCCACGGAATGGATTCATCCACTCGGAACCACTGCGAGGTGATGCTCCACCGCCTAAGAATAGACCGGGCGTCCTGAAACGCGACTAGGGAAGTTAACTTGCTTCGAACCTGTCAGATAGTGAAACCGAGGAATTTCAGGCCGTGCCTTGATAATTAACCTGAAAACCGTTCGAGCATGAGGGTAGAAACTGCCTGAAAATGGAGGCGGATCGACAAGGGGAAAAAGTGGACCAGCGAGTTGCTGGGTTTGCCAAGCAGAGGTCGTCAGCCGTTACCGTTCAATGCTGAACCCTGTCTCCGTCCCTGTCCCTGCCCCCTCTTGACTATATAGCCTCTGGACTTCCGACTGTTCCTACATCCTACACCCTACATTCTACATTCTACGTTCTACACACCTCCCACTCTTGTCAATTCTATAATTGCATCACTTCCTTTTCACTTCACTGCATAATGCAACTCACCACTCTCCTCCCTCTCGCCCTCTCCGCCTTGGGCCTTGCCAACGCGGCTGCCCTCGAGAAGCCCGCCAACTGGACAGCAACTGGCTGGAACGTTGAATGCTCGCCCGGAGGCTGTATCTACGAGTTCAACATCACCGGAGCCAAGACTGATAACACTCCTGCTTTCAGCACCCACTGCGAGGGTATCTCGCCCAATGCGACCGTCTGCGACCTGAAGAACATCACCGCCAGGGTCAAGCCCGTCGTTAACCCCATCTGGAACGTTGCTGTTCAGCACAAATGGTCGATCCCCGAGCCCCAGTACAACTCCCAATCCGACTACTGGCAGTCCGGCAGCGTCAATGTCACTGAGACCGCCAAGTCCTTCACGATCGTGCCCAAGTCTCTCTACGGGGTCGCCTAAGCATACCGACTCTTCTTTCCTCTTTTCTTGTGAAATAATGACTCCGGGGTCTAGACTGGATGGCTTCTTTTGGTAACCGGCGTTTTTAATTCCCTGACTCTGCGGCGCGTGCCTGCAGGTCCCTTTTTAACGACGGCGACGGCGTTCCGGGTGATTCTTTGTCTACGACACTTTTCGCTCCTTGGAGGACTGGAAAAGTTATCCACTGCACATAGACGTATTTAGTCTGTACAATATCACTTCCCTTTCCACCACAATTGATTTGTTTCGTACCCATGCTTCAACCTATACTTGACTTAAGGTGTAGTAGTGACATCATCGGCTGCGCCTCAATCGCGGCTCCGATAAACAAGTTAATTAACTTAAACCCATCAACTTGCCCAACTCCAGAGCTCCAACCTTGGAAGCTCTCAAATATTCGAAACAAAGCCACACATGTGCTGAATTCCCCGTCCCGCGAGCTACATCCCCTCGCAACAGAATGGTACCTCCTTCCCCAGCCCCCGTGGCTGGTCCCCGCTGACCCCCGGACCCTTACTCCGCAGTCTTCAATTCTCCGCCAGATCGTCGCTGGTCCGCGACTGCAGCACCCGGAAGCTGGTCTAGATCTATGCTACGTGACCAACAACGGTATATACCCCCTAACCCAGACCCAGACCCAGACCCAGATCCAGACCCAGACTGACCACGTGCAGTCATCGCAACCTCAGGACCCTCCGGAACCTATCCGCAGCGCGCATACCGCAACCCACTCGACTCGCTAGTCTCCTTCCTCGACTCAAAACATGGCAAGAATTGGTGTATCTGGGAGTTCCGCGCCGAAGGCACCGGCTACCCTGACGAGGAGGTGTATGATCGGATTCACCATTTCCCGTGGCCGGATCACCATCCGCCGCCGTTTGCGCTGATTCCCAATATTATGGGAAGCATGCGGAACTGGTTACATAGGCTGGATGAGAAGGAAGGTGACGAGCCTGGTGAGCGGGTTGCTGTTGTGCATTGCAAGGCTGGGAAGGGGCGGAGTGGGACCGTGGCGACGGGATATCTCATTAGTCAGGAGGGGTGGAAGAAAGAGGATGCGCTGAACCGGTTTACCGAGAGGAGGATGCGCGTGGGATTTGGGAATGGGGTTAGCATTCCTAGTCAGATGCGGTACGTTGGGTATATTGATCGGTGGACGAATGAGCTGGGCAAAGAGTATGTGGAGCGACCGGTTGAGATCCTCGAGGTGCATATCTGGGGGTTGAGAGAGGGAGTCAAGGTTGCTGTGCAAGGCTTTGCCGAGCAAGGCAAGAAGATCAAGGGAATCCATCTATTCCACCGCAGCGAGCGGACTGTTGTTGCTGAAGGAAGCCCAGTCAAGAAACTTGGCAACAGCAGCAAAGAAAAGCTGGATCATTCGGCCGTCCAATCGTCTGCAACATGGTCGCCCGCTCAATCTGAAGATTCAACAACGCCATCTGCATCGGTATCTGATCTGACGCGCCGATCAACCGTCTCCCCAGCCCGCAACCTATCTGCTGTGATGTTCCGCCCCGCCAAACCCCTTATTGTGCCAGGATCAGACGTGAACATCGACTTCGAGAGACGCAGCAAAGCCGCATACACAGGATTCGCAATGGTAACCTCTGTTGCGCACGTCTGGTTCAACGCCTACTTCGAAGGCGGCAAAGACCACGACTCGGGAATTTTCGAGATTGAATGGGACGCAATGGATGGTCTCAAAGGTAGTGCGAGGAAGGGCACGCGCGCATTCGAGCGTGTCAAGGTCGTATGGCGGTACCCGTTATCACCATCCGATTCCCAGAAGAAAGAAGATGAAGCCAATGTTACAGCCGGCAAACCAATTAACGAACCGAAACCAGGCGAGCCTATCCCCGAAAGTGATCCCGCAGATTGGCGACAGGCAGATGCAATCCAGGATTCAGCCGCTCAAGATAGTAATTCTGAACTCGGGGAAGAGAACAAACCTGCTAAGCACAAACAAGCCAAGCATGCATCGACAGGAAGTAAACTACTAGCTGTTGGCGCGGGGTCGTTACATGAGCTTGAAAAGTCGTTGGGACTGCGCAAGCAGACTGATGAAAGCAAAGATGTGAGCCTGGCTGAGAGTGATGATGAGGCACGCTCTACTCGGTCGACAACTGAGGACGAGAGAAAGCGGCAGGAAGGAGATAAGGATCTGGAGGGTGTCAAATCCCACTTTGAGAAAAATGCAAGAAGTGGCCCTGAGGATGGAGGAAAGCCAACATAGATCTTGACTCTCTATGGCGCTTGACTCGGGAGTCCAATCTAGGGCAAATTTGTATTAATGATACCAAAGAAATACCGTTAAATCATGGAACTGTTGTATAGATGCTACTATATCGAAAAGGATAGTACACCACCCGAACAAAGAATCTAGAGAGGGTCCTAGGCTAGAGATTAGATATGATTCAGGAGGAGTTCCCCGCCTTCGCTAAGGGGTACGTTATCGCCTCTGGTGGGAGTTAGAGGCTTTGGCTTAACCTCGAAAATTATACATATACTCTATAGTTTACCTCTGCGCCTTTTTTTATCAGGAATCTTATATATTCTGCAGTCGGATTCAGGTCGTCAGGATATAAATAAGCATTAACGTTATCGACGACTTTTGCATAGGCATCCACGATCTTGTGCATATCCTCTTATTCTTCATCCCTATCGACGTCCCTCGGCCTGAAACTGACTCGAGTACAAGAGATAGTGCCCTAGTGATTCCGTATCATCTCGTTCGTTGAAAATGTCACCTAGGGTAAAAACCCGCGGTTTCGATTTGAACGTCAAGAGCCGGCTGAAAGAGGCCATATTGTGAAGCTTCATGCCAGCGAGCCAATTCAAGAGCACCTCAATGCCCTGAGCGTCACTCTCTGCCTTTCTGGATGGAAGATGCAACGAGGCTAGTCACAAAGTTATCTAGAGTTGATGAGTAGCCTCTCATTTAGGTGACGACGGTATTCATTCGAAAGTTTGTGCCGCGGTTATTCCACCATCACACCCACAACCGGCCGCCTTGCGGACTCACTTTATATCGTTTTATGATCCCTATGGAGGTTTTCAAGGGCTCAATAGCAGCAGAAGGCCATATGCCAGCTATGTTCAAATACAACGAGGGCAATTTCATAGCCATTATTGCCGCAGGTGACGAAGGTAACCGCAACCTTGTTATGTATCCCTTTCGTATGCATTGGTATATGAGTGTTTCCTGTACTGTCCCCGACACGATCCTGAAAGATCTGACTAGTCTTGAGTACTCTTGGAACGCAAAGGGGAACGTGGAGGAGTTGGCGGAGAATATCCGGGGGTTCCCGAGATGGCTGAGACGGCTTTCTAGGTAAATTTCTGTGCCTGATCTAACAGCCCTGGTGCCTAGTTGGGTGAAATGGCCTACTTAATTTTATGAAGCTAACAACAGAAATCGGAATAGTCGCGTGTCTCAGGTTGAGCTCTTCTAAGTCCGCGACCAAGAGCCCTTACCCAGTTATGTTAAGGGCCGGGGCGTATTGATCGGCGATGCCGCCCATTCGATGGTTCCGTACCAAGGACAGGGGGCCAACCAATGTCTCGAAGATGTGGAAGGGCTTAATGCGCTTTTTGCGGATGTTTCCGACGGTGACTTTATCCCCGACCGACTGCGACTCTGGGACCGCATTCGACGACCACGGGCCTCAGGCAATTCAGAAAAGCGCGCGTGTTTCGCAGTCCAAAATATCGACCAAAGAAGCGACACAAGCGATCTTGGCGGTGGAGCCCTACGTGAGGATGAAGGAGGCACTTGCGCGACTATAAGCGCAAGTAATCGAGGGTAATGGGGAGAGATATAGAACTTCGACTAGCTTTCGTCATTTGGTTCTCCGAGAATTCATCTACTACACTCAACCGACCCATCTCCCTCATTTCTGATTGATCTTAAATTAAATTTTTCTCTTGTCTGCAATGTATATTACCATAAAACAAGACAACACAAACGATCGACCCTGACGCTATGTTCAGGATACCTGGGGCCGGAAGGCTGAGCCATTGAGCCAGCACCGTCGGGTATATTAGCAGATGGCTCGGAGTCATGTTGCCCCGACCAACGGAACATTTGGTTTCCTCACAGGATGCCAAGTGAGGTTAGATACCTTACACAACTACAAGTATCGTCATGCAGACCATGCAACTTTTGATGGTTGCCAGCACACAACACACACTGACCCAACTAAATGGGGAAAAACCGTTGTAGCGACGGTGTCTCTTTCTGGGTTGGTGGTTCCATCTTTTAACAACATAAAATTAGTGTAGCTGAAATGGTAAGAATTTTTGGAAAGTATGGTGGGAGGTAACGAAACACTGTGTTATCTGTTACACTAAAAGCTCATGGAAGGAGTAAAAGCGATGATATTCCTGAGAGGGAGCGTCTCCTGTAAACCTAAGCCGTCTTTGCAAGCGGTCACCGTAATCAGTGGTATTGACAACTCTGGTATTCTCTAATCCCCGAGTCGGCAATTTATGGAGGAATAGACATGCAAACAACATAAGGCAAAACAAGTTTTCCCGGTATCCGGGGGATATCCATGCCGACACACCCTCAATGGCCCAAAAGCTTTCTTGGCCGTTGGAATGCCTGAAATCCGTCGAATCTGGTGTATTTTCAAAACAGAGGTTGGTTTCCTCTTTGGGACTAGTACTAGTCTATGAGGTGCCCAATGGCGCTCACCAATCTCTCACCCAGGAAACACCCACGCAACTACAGTATTAACCGCACGTAGGCCCCACAGGCCCTTGCACCCAATGTTTCGCTATACATTTTATACGCCGTGTACTTGGCATTTCTCACCCGCGAGGCCGTGGACAACCTGTACGCGCCGCAAGTGGCGCAACAATCATGGCGAGAAATTGAAATCCAGATACTTAGTCGACGAATAATTACTGCAAATACAACCTCATCCCCACAGAATTGCTTACTTTCGGTAATATTCTATCTGTGATGCCTACGTATCACTGTGATTGAGTTTCGGTCTATATCAAGTTATGGTCATGATAAGGGGCGTGGACATCCTTCGGATTCGTTGGTATCTTGCAGATAGCTGACATTATCTTGGGCTCGCAAGACCGATATAATTTCCAGTTCACTACTTATACTAAAGGAGAACGATGATTCATTACCAATTTGCATAATCTAACCCTGGGTCTCTTTGGCCCTCGAACTGGACTTAGTTTGCCTTAAGGTTACCTGGCATCGGAATTTTTGCTTGACGAACCAAGTAGTGCTGGTTTCCCATGGCTGTTCAGATTGCTCCAGCTGAAAGTGGAACTTACTCAGAAGGCAAGGGATTACCTTTGACATTTCCAAAAGACTGATATTTTTCCCAATGCATGTTCGAGCACCGGCTCCAAACTGATGTCTGTTTTAGCCTTGGTCTAGTCAATCACAACGAGACCCTTCGCAGTGGAAAGGCTTACCGAGAGAAAATTTGCTTCCATAATCGAAACTCTGTCTTTGTCTTCTAACCACCGTTCCGGTTGAAAGGAAGCGGGATCTGGTCCGAATATCTTTTCACTCTGTTGCGAAACCCAGGGGTTTACCCCGACCACTGTCTGAAGCGAAGGTTAACATTCGAAATCGGCTGGAACGTTTGGGAATAATCCAGGTCTTCTTACCCCCTGCGGAAAGAACTTCCCAGCCAACATCACTCCTCCTCGTGGAACGACGCGTAAGAGAGGGTATCCCGTTGCCGGATGAAGCCGCAGAGCCTCTTTGATACACGCTTGGAGATAAATCATCTGTTGTGACTCACGATAGGTGACAGAATCACTCGTGGGTCTCCCAAGCATGACCGTGTCAATCTCATCTTCAAGCTTCTGGAGCTTTTCTGGATTTTTTAAGAGGTGATAGAATATAGCGCTTAATGAGATGGCAGTGGTATCGGAGCCAGCAGCAATATTTGCCCCGATAGAATTGAAAACATCCGCATAGTTAAGTTTACCGGAATCGAATCGGATGAGGAGCTGGGAGAGAAAGTCTGTGTCCGGCTTGTCCGACAAGCTAAGAGTGCTTGTCTTTGCCTTGATTTTGCCTGTGATATAGTTGGACACCAAGTCAAATGGAATGGGGATTCGAAGGGTCCTGGCAATTTTCGCCATTATCCAGTGAAGTTCAGCGAAGATTCCAAGCCGACCGCCGTATACCATGCTTTCATGGATAGCACCGAGGATGCCATTGCAGTCTGATCCAGCTTGGAGGAAGCCGAAAGATTCTCCAACCTAAGCAGAATGTTAGTTGGATTGAGGAGTGAAAGAGAAATTAGTATAGTGGAATAGCTGACTGTGATTTTCCCGATAACATCAAAGGCATAGAACTGCATCCACGCGGGGAATTGGAAAGGTGTTCCTATGGTCGCAAACAAGCTCATCTTCTCACACAGTTCACTGTTGATCTCGTCAATGGCGGCTTCATAGTTTACCAGCGAGCTCATTGAATACAATGAGGCCACCTTTCTCCGCTTGATTGCATGCCGCCCATTGTCCATTTCTGAGAACAAGTCTGCATGAATTTTGTCTGGATTTCCAAAGGCATAGTAAAATGAATGCTTGGTGAAGGCTGATCCGGCACCATAGATTTGACGGATAGCGCCTGGATCATTGATACTGTAGGTATATGGAGAAATTCGAACAATCGAGCCTGTAAGTTTGTTATTTTAGCTGGTCCAAGGTACGACAATAGGATATTAGAAGTTTACCATAGCGCTTGTGCAATTCGATGTTTGTCTTCTCGAAGTGACCCTGGCACACCTCAAAAAGCTCCCAGAGTCGCGTCCACCGCGCAAAGAAAGGGCCTGGGACAGTGCGGAGAGGGCTAAATAGAACTTGGTAGATTGTGCATGTCACTGTGTAAACCAACAGGGCCACGGCAAGGTGAAGAAGGATGGACATGATTGATCAGTTCATATGTTGTTCTCGACCCTCCAGCGACATATAGGTAGGCCACTTTATGCAGCCAAAGGGGGTTCAATTCCCACCAGTGGCTCACTATTTCGGCTCAGTACCCATCACCCCCACCTTGAGCTATGAACGGGGCTAACAATTTCCAAAATGATCGACATCGGCTCTCCGCAATTTGTTCCGCATTCTCTCTACCCCCCCCTCCCTCCCCCGGGGGGCGACTCTACCGAAAAGATGAAAATAATAACCTCCCCGTTCACATTTGTATTATACATATGAAGAAGGAAGGAGGAAAAGAGAGAGATGTAGATTCTAGAGATGGAAGCTATGGAACTAGATCTATCATGGAGGCTGAGGCAAGGGATGCGGTGAAGAGGGGCAGAATCCCATTCACCGCGAACAATACACACGTCTTTCACTTAGAGAATAGTGTATATGGCAGAGCATGAGGGAGGCTCACCACCTTGGACCTCGTTTCTCTCTCCACTAATTCTGTCGCAGCTCTCGTATCAACCTGATACGGTTTAATGAGACTACTTCCGAATGGTCAGTCAAATAAAAGAGCTTCAAATATAGGTAAAAGCTCACCACTCGTCATGCAAGCACCAGATGACCTTCTCCGGCATTCCCATCCACTTGACCAGGTTCGTTGCAAACGTCGCTGCAGACCCATCGAACGGCCTCCCATTCAAATTTGCCCGCCCCGCAATCCCAAGAATCGCAACAGTCGGCTTTGGCTGAATGCTCCTCACTATTCCTTCATATGCACCTAGATGCGCATTGAATAGAATGTTCATATTTCCTCCACCCTTTTCTCCGAGTAAGATGTTGAACATGAGTTGCCCCCCATCGCAGGCGGACATGACATTCGCCTCTTTGTCATCCATCCAGCTCGCAAACGATGCAGTTCTTTCATCCATATTGCCCTCCCCGATGATCTCCTTCAGCCGAAATAGCCCGTGTTTCATTCCTCGGGTAATATCTAAGGTACTGTCAAATGGAGTCGTGCTGCCTTGGTATACGGCACCGGAGTCAAAAATGTCTGGCAGTGTGGCATGATCACCAGGAATGAGACAGTGGAGGCTTGGCCAGATGTGAAGCTCGGCTACAGCAAGTGAATGATGGGGTTCTAGAGGTGCACCTGGAGGACCTCCGCGTAGAGCTACTTCTCCTGCCTTGGCTGCAGTGCGCACGGCTTTAGCGAAGAGAGGGACTCGCTCACCTCCAGAGACAGGGACAAGTTGCTCTTCTGGAACAGCGGCGTCGCGAAGACGATTAATGGCTTCGCTGTTTGCGATGATGATGGCTCCTGTGCGTTTTGCAATTTTGTCCGCTCCAGGCAGACTTTCAATAAAACCGGGGTGAGTGATCTTGTTCCATGTAATTTTTCTCTAAATGCACGTACTGGTCAAAATGTGCGTGGGAGATCAATATGTAGTCCACATCAGTTACATCGTTTATGTTGAGATACTCGGGCATCAATGATGGTCGATCCAACCAGGTGTCGTGGAATATTGTTAGCCCTAATGCGCGAAGGCGAAAGGTTGTAGCGCCTGGGCGAGTGAGATTAGACGCGTATTAGGATAAAGGTTCTAAAGGGAATATACCAAAGTATTCCAGGGTGGCTTTGTTCTCCATTCTCGTCACGGATGTCTTGTCCCAGATGATTAATCGTTTTATAATTGAAACAGGAGAAGTATAGTTTCGCGTACATATAAAAAGCATCAACAAGCTAGCTCAGCGGAGTCCAAAGGATTTACCTTTCTATTTTCCGCAAAGTTAAAGAGTTTCCACTGCTCGATGACTGAACGGGCCGGCAACTCCCCGGGACTGTGGCTGACCCATTAACTTTCGTTGATCATGGGGTTTCGGCTCCCCGCAGACGTCATGGAAAAGGGATTGCCTGTCTCTACAAAGTGCAGGCCAGCTTTCATAATACCACTGTTTAATGTCGATGTTTGTGAGTCGCCAGAAAATCTATATAGAAACGGAAACCTTCTTGATGATGATAGTTGCTTCCAAGTAATCTTTCTTTTCAGGCTTCTAGGCAACTCGGGCCAACATGTCTGAGTCAAGCTCATTCAAGGTTATCATTATTGGCGCTGGCCTGGCAGGGTCCTTGCTTGCTAATGGACTTCTTAACAATAATGTCCTCTTCACAATCTATGAGCGAGAGGCAGAGAACTCCAAGCGAGAAGGCTATCAAATCCGATTGGGAGACTCCGCTGTAACCGGTTTCAAAGCGTGTCTACGAGACGAGGATTTTAACGCAATTATTCAAAAGTTCGGAAAATCTGCTGCTTCGGGAGCCGCAGCGCCATGTATCTACACAAGCCAGTTCCGACCTGTTCTGGATCTCACCAGCTTGCCCACGTATTCGAAATCCTTCGCAATCAATCGGGTAATCTGTCGCAACTTGCTTCTCAACCCTGTGAGACTAAGTGGAAACATCCGCTATGAAAAATCATTTGCCGCTTATGAGATCATTCATGTCGCTTACAGTGGCAGTGAAAAAGTAAGGGTCATCTTTACTGACGGAACATCCGACGAATGTGATGTTTTAATTGGAGCCGATGGCAGCGGCTCACGGGTCAACAAAGCACTTGGTCTCAAGAATCTGGTGGATATCGACACACATTGGTCCTTTTTGGCCAAGGGAAGCCTTACAAAAGACCGATTGAATGAGCTTCCCGTTCAGCTTCAAAAAGGGCCAATCATAGTGTTCGCAAAAGGAGTGTCCTTTTTCTATGCCTGTAAGATATATCTCTCACTTCGAGACCTTTGAGCTAATATGGTTTATGAAGTATACATGCCCGCAAAGCGCGACGCGGACAAGTCTGCCAGCGATTATATGGACTATGATGAGACAGAGGCCTCATTCTACTGGGGACTGAATATCCCTAAATGTCTATCAACGAAATACCAAGACTATGCAAACATTCCAAACCGCCTAGAATTCTGCCTCGAAATTATCCGCGACTGGGCACCAGAACTGTAAGAGAACATCAAGAGATCTGAACGGTAATACTCAATGCTGGTAATTAACCGATTACATTGTCATTCAATAGGAAATTTTTAATCACGACAGGCCAAGATGATGCGCTATCCTCTGATATTTACATCACCCCCTTGCGAGCGAGTACCAAGCCCACGGAGGACTGGCGAGTGCGACTACAGAAGAAAATACAAGGAGGGAAACAGGAAGAAGGGCACCATCGTGTCTGGCTTTTGGGTGATGCGGTGCACGCAATGCAGCCAAATAGGTACGATTTTCGTTTTCATAAAGCTTGGGGTTCCCAATGTAGTCCATACCAGCAGTCAAGTTCGAAGAAGAAAAAGTTTATCTGACAGTCATTCTGAGCCAACAGAGGCATGGGCGGAAATCAAGCGATGCATGACTGTGCCGACATCCTCCCATATCTGCTCGAACTGAACAGTACTGCCGCTAGCGGGAGGCCCCCCACAGGCGAAGAGATCTCTTCAGCGTGTGCAAAGTATGAATCGACAATGATTGAGCGAGCTTTTACCTGGGTTTCGAAAAGCGGGGGGAACTTCGATGCTGGTGCGTGAAAGATCCAGTAAACCCCCAAGGCATTCTAGCTGACTTTCTGTGCGATTACTAGACATTGGACTTTGATGGAATCTTGGGCAAGTTGATTTCAATCTCTGGGAAAGTCCTCGTGCCAGTTGTCTCTGCCTTTCTTCGCGTGCCGTTCTTTAGACCGCCAGAGACACAGGAGTCAGGCTGGTGATGGCTCTTCATCCTCTTTGAACCTAAAGGGCTTATTGTCATAGTTTATAAACAATGCCCTTCATCTACTCGCTGACTGAAAGGCTGAATTTCATGCAGCTCTATTCTAGGTCCTGATATTGAACTTTAAATGTAAGATCAGAATATAATTAGATACATTAAAGATGTTGATTTTATATTCTTTGAATCAATTCCCATGGCTTGAGAATAAATAATTCATGAGTGGCGTTCATAAGTGGGGTATCGGGGGTTCGGGTATCCGACCGCCGTACGCCGCGTCGGTCAAAACTCGTCGTTATTACGCTACCATACCAGCTCGAGTTGATGTGAAAGCCACATCGCCTCTCAACACGTCCTCTGATCCGTCTGAACTCGATCCTATATTTGATTTCACTAGCGATTGTTATAGAGTGCATAAGTACGCTCAAAGTTGGCAAATGGACCGGTAAGAACCAACAAAAGGGGGTCGCTCACTCGAAAGAACGTCTTAAACATATGTTTTTAGCGAGATCGAATGTCGCTACTGTCAGAAAAAGTTCAATCGCCGCGAGCATCTTGATCGACATCTTCGTTGCCATTCAGGGGCCCGACCGTACCCCTGTTCGATATGTTCGCGGACTTTCTCAAGGCAGTGAGGCTTCCAGTTTATGAGGAAACGTGCCAGGCGAACACAATCTCACCCATTCTGATTATAGAGACACCCTTGCTAGACATCTTGCGACGCACGGAGATGATGCTCGGGAACTTCTTGTTCGCACAAGAGGTACCAGCGCCTGTCAGAGCTGTTCCCAGGACAAGGTGAAATGTAGTGGCGGAATGCCATGTGCCCGATGTCTGAGTAGAAGTCGCCGCTGCCTTCACCGGGGCGGGAATCGGATTTTGAATAGCAGATTATCTTACTGTGATAATCCGATGAACCAAACTGTTGATTCGAGCCCCGATGCGCCAGCTGTTTTCACTTCGCCGAGCAACATCAATGATCCGATTCATGTGCCCTCGTCGATGTCTCAGTTGCCATCTGGCCCGGCCAGCTTTGGATCCAGTACGAATGTCCTGGAAGGCACCCAGAGCAACCATACTGTTTTCTCGGGTGTCCATGATTTGCCACTGGTCGCCCTGGACATGAGCGCTGACTTTCCTTGGACGCTCGAATACACCGATTTCTTCTCTGAGAGTCATCTGGCTGCCCATCATCCACCGGTAGCTCAGTTGGGATACTCACTATCTCCATTCGCCTCTAGTGCGGAAATCAGTCTAAACAGTGGTCCTGATAAATTACCTTCTCAGGGTCCTGTTCCAACGCGAGAGTTTCGGAGCGAGGGCGAAAGATTCTCTCCAACTATTCAAATCCAAGAGCTGCGTCAGTCAGAATCTCCAACTCCCTTCCAGTTACTCGCAATGCAAGCTACAGATGACGATATTGCCATGGCGGAGAATTTTTGTCATGTGAATGTGCCATTGAACAATGTCTATAAATCCGTTTTTGCCTTCTACGAGCAGCAGCATGATGTTCGCTTTCAGGAAGTTCCATTCCCCCATCTTTCTGTTTTCAACTCATTCATCCAGCTCTATTATGAGCATTTTGATGACCAATTACCATTCATTCATCCATCGTTGTTGGAACAAGCAAATACACCGTGGATCCTCACTTTGGCTGTGGCATCTGTTGGATGCCAATATACCAACGTCGCCAAACGGGATGCATATGTACCCATGCTTACAGACCTTCTCAGGTTATCTCTTCCCCTCGATGTAAGTGGTGATCGATTATTTTGCCATTGTGTGTATCTGACTGACTTATCTGCAGGCCCTGAAATCTCGGAGCTATGATACAATGACATTAGCACAGTGTTTCTTGCTGAATGTAGTCAACCTCATGTTCAGTGGTTTCAAAGATCATGTACTCAATCTACAGGTTCAACGAGCCTGGCTTGCTACACTGATACGGCCATTTCTTACTTCTCCTCAATTTAGGGGGTCATTGCTATCGACAGAGCCAAGCAGTGTTCAATCTGATGGACAATGGCATTCATGGATTCGTCGTGAATCAGAAAGGAGACTTGCCTATTGTTTTTCGGGTCAGTAAATATAGAATCTGTTCCGAATACAGGGAAATCATGCACATCTTTCTAGTCCTGTTTCTCTCATTCGACTGACCCGATTTTTATTCATAGTGCTGGATTGCTTCTTCTTCATATTTTTGGGGATGCAACCGACTTTTTCGGCAAAGGATTACGAGAAAATGCTTCCATCATCAGATTTATTGTGGAGAATGCGCAATGAATATGACTGGAGCTCTCATTTGAGGGCATGCAATGGTCAATATCAATCCATGCCTTAGTCTTCAGTTGTTCATAAGCTCACATCAGCCAGATACACCACAGCCGCTCAGTTTGAACGAGGTTTTCTCCATGAACTGGACTTCGAACAGCGCTTTGCTGCACTCGTCCGACTTGAGTAAACTGGTACTGCATCTTCTTTTGTTTGTGGAAGAACAACGAGCCATAGACGCATCCAACTCCAGTGCACTTCTGAACTTCGGTCAGGAGAACCAAATCCTGAATTCAAATACGCGACCACCAACATCATACCGGACATTGGACTGGAAGTACAAGATGCTCACAACAACAGGTGAATCCTCGACATCCACAAGCACGAGCATTTTGGATGCAAGGAACATATTTTACCATTTACTTGGGATTCTCAGGCATATCCCGCTGAAGCAACTCTATGCCTATTCCAGATGGTATGCATCAGAGGAGGATATTGCGGCGGGAGGAGCCTATCTAGCCAGTTGGATGCGAGATAATCCCGTTCTTTCTCGAACCTGTGTCGCACACGCGGGGGCCATACTCGGGCAAGTCCGATCGGCTCCCACCACTGCCTGCTATCATTACTTCTGTCTACTTATAGCTGTCTTATACCTATGGACCTTTGAGCGGTTGAAACCTGACGCTTCTACGGCCCTTGAAGAACTCGATACAATTGGCACCGTCCTCAAAATCGACCAGCATCACGACCCAAGTGTAAGAGAGCGATGGGTTAAGGGTAACTCGGGTATACTTGTTCATATCACGGGTGTTGGCATGTTATCAAGTTCAGGGAGTGCGCAACGCTTAGTAAAGGAGCTCTTACGTGTGTTTGCGTCTCGAACAGGATGGCCTACTCTTCGCAAAGGCTTGATGGTTTGTGTTAGCCAACTTCTCAATGAGGCCTCACCTATAGAGGTTCCTAGATATCCTCACTGAGCGCTCTCTTCATCATTATTATTTATTCAAAGGAAGGCTTTACAGCTTCCAGACCCACACGAGCGTCAGCTTTTGAACCTCAACCCCTTGTATCAGTATTTATCTATCTACAGTCGCCTCAAAACTTTGACCTTCCCACAGAGATACTACACTGCTGTTCTTGAACGCCTGAGTGGTATATCCTTTGACGGGATCACAACAGGCTACATGTCACAGGTGGACCTGACAAATAGCCTATGACATAATTTTAAGAGGCAAATAGATTCTATACAAACGCCGTGGCAACGTTACCCCTGTCTGCGATAGGAGCTTTTCATCATTAGTGCGGGGAGCCGATGCGGGGAGCCGATGCGGAGAGCCGATACACCTCCGAGATTCTCCACCTCTCTCCGTTCCTATCTCGTCACGGAACTGATCTACTGTGTATTTGTGGGACTTTTATATTCTGCAACACGCAATCCCCAACAATAATTTCAAGGCGAGTATGAATGACTGTTGACCTCATCCATGATGTCACTAATATAGCCCCACAGTCAATGGCCAGGAGGTATTCCATCTTACATTCTTCATGGACAATACAAACACCATTAAATAGGAGGATTCTGCAGATGGCAAATACTCATAGCATAGACAGACCTTGGCTTTGAATGGATTATCAAATTGCTATATATAGACAAGTATGAATACGTTATGAATGATTTCCATGTTTTTATTGCCCCGGGCAGTTCCTAGGCAGTCTGCTCATCCAAGCCAGTTCAAATGTTCCAAGCTAAAATCAGGATGAATTGGTAACTATACAATATGTACTTATATAGTTCAAATTCCTCTCGGCACCCTCCATGAAAAACTCCCATTTCCTCCCCCGCATGTTAGAATTCAACTCGTTTATAAAGGGGGAAGATTTTAGGGGCAGAAAGCTGATTTATCTCCAATCCATCAAGATGGGATGGGCCCGGAAGATCGTAGAATGTAGGCTGTAGATCAAGGGGGAACTAGGGCTTATTGTTAGATATGTAGCAGCAAAATCTTTATGCTTCAACGTACCCTGATATCTTTACCCGTATTCATAATGAGAGTTTCATGAGAGAAAACAACGAAATACTCGTTCAAACCAATATTCTCGGGCACTCTCAAAGGCCCGTTGACTCTTACGTAAAGCAGTTACTGATACAGAGTTCTTCAGGAACACATACACCAGCGCATACTGCGGAATGTTCGCTCCTTCAAAGTAGGCATTGAGATTCAACTTCTCCAACACAATACCGATGTTGGCAATAACACCCCATACTTCATTCTGGCAGTGCTTTTCCAATGCCGCTGTCAAGAGGGGAGAAATTTTGGTCTCGAGATTTTCACCATTGCGCTCATTGTCAGCGGTGGACAAGAAATACATAGCAACCGCTGCGTCTCCTTTGTCGAGGGAGATCTGGGATCTCTCAAGTGCAAGCTGAGTCCGGATCCTGACCAGCTTCTCATACGCGAGAAGCACCATGCTAGTTTCAAAATCGGCAAAGAGGGGGCCATCAGGGCCTACCACCTCCTTCACATATTCGCTATTAAAGCAGCTTTTTATGTGGACCCAATACCGGAAGAAAATCTCCGTGATGTCATTTTTAAATAGCGCTTTGGCAGCATTTCAACCTTTCTTCACCCTATCCCTAGCCTAGTTTGAGGCCAGCTTCGTTAGTCTTACCCGTCATACTCTTTCCAAAAAAGTTTTTATAGAAAAGACCAAATTGACGATAACTCCGGCCTGAGCCTCGCCGGGATAATGGCATATCTATAGCTATTTTCGCTGTAAGTGTCTTTCCGAGAGTGCTGTGTGGACGGAGGTTTACGGGAGATATTGTGCTCTTTTTGCTTTCGCTCAATATCAAGGAGATGAGCCCCATGGCGCGCAAGCAGATCAGCCTTTGAAGAGTCCAGTGATTGGTTGGAGTCTTGAGAGCCAGCTGGAAGTGCGATCAGAGATGAAGCACCGCGTCTAGCACAGGGATCGAATCTGTGCTATTTGCGCGAGATTGGTCGTAGCTCAAGATCAAGTCTCCAATTGAAGGTGTGAGCCCTCTATATGAGGGCGACACATACTGTGTAGCTGGACTACCACACTTCGGCTTATCTTGGGCCCGAACTCCTGCGCTTGGAAACGTTCCGGCATCACTGGATTGAGAGGGACTTTGTCTGCGGTGATCATTGGTCGTCGCCAAAGCATTTCGGGAGTACATTGACGGCAGCCAGGACGAGAACCCCCGCGAGGTATAATTAAATATTGGCGAATTATGGCCGCTGGGAACAGGCATAGTGACGGTGCGTTCTTCGGTGGGTTGCTTATAGTCTTGGCTAGAAGAGCCCTGTAGGTCAGCCAGCTGGTTCGTGTTGATATCGTTCACCTCGCCAGAAGGACCAACAGAGCGGGGCTCAGGGAAATGCGTAACATAATATCCAGCTCCACTATCAGCAGACGCAGGAACCAAAGCTGATGGTTTTCCCCGCATCAGCATGAAAAACAGCAGTATCTAGGCCAGCGCCGTGAATCTGACGCATCAGTTTGCGCATTTGCAAGCCTTCTTCGCGCCTACGGGATGAGTCTCATCCAGAGCCGCTCCGCGAGCACTCTTTGGCCAGCTGAGGGTAGACGACCTGCTGCATTTTCCCCGGATTTCCTCGCCCACCGAACGCTAGACCAAGCGCGAGGAAAACACCTCCTTGGACCTCCAAAGTCTTGAGAGTCTCTTGCAAATCCCTAGAGAAGCCATTCCGTGCCATCCAGAGCAGGATTCGGTCGACTGGCCATTAAAGACTGGCCTCCTGCCTTGCTATCTGATCCAGAGCTTTCATTGCTCCAGAATTAGCCTATATTCACGATATGTCTAAAGTTATTCCAAGGGTAGACTGTTTTGGGCATTGGATCTTATAGAGTTGTTTTTTTAAAGTATCTGACTGGTGATCATATAGATGTCAGAAGGTGAGACGAGTTGACCAATTTGTGCTGTTTGCAAACAGCAATAACACTGAAGAAAAGGAAGAAAAAGAGAAGAAAACGATAGATTGAAGCTATGAAGAAGGATGAAGAGAAGAAGCTACAATCTATCTAGAAAGCAAGCCAGAAGTCAAAGGTGGTGAGACTAAATACCAGTAATAACCACAAAATATATCATTCAGGCTTCACACCATGATAGCTCTATAGACCATCAGCATCTTATGATACCCTTCATGGCGTTTCACTTACCACAGTTCCTATCAACTTAATGGCATCCTTCGAAGTGCCGTGATTATTACCCGCGATAACTCCGCCATTGTTCGTTATTCCACGATTATCGACATCGCCTAAATTGACGCCAATGTTCTGTTATTTCAGGTCAATATCTTCCAAACATTGAGCTTTACGTTAACAAACCTGCGCTTTAAGCCCCTTCACTCCCACGTCGCCCGAACCTGGGGCCTTATCAATATCCCCAATCCACTGGCACAATTTGCCGGTTACACTCTTGTAGTCAGACCCAAACTTGCTTTCAAATTTGCACATATCGATGTGGTTGGCGGGAATGGAAACTGCATCAACGCCCAACCAGCTCGCCGACTCCTCCGGCACAATGAACCCAATCTCGATCGGCCCCTTATGCAAAGGACGCTCTTCGAAGAAACAAGCTACTTCCAAGAAAGGCTTGGTGCGCGAACGATCGCGTTCTTTCAGGAACTTTGCGAAGGCATCATTGATGCTTATAAGTTTGACCGATCGTTCCTTTAGGTCCTCGATGTTTCTCTTCTGTGTAGGCATGAAGTATGAAAGGATGCTTATAGCTAGATTTCCGTATTTTGCTTTCGAAGAGCCGTGGAAGGGAGTACCGAGGAAAAGAGTGCCTATGGTTCTATCGGCGAGTTCTTTGGTGGCTTCATCTGCGCCACGCGGCCGTGAAAGTGCATTCGCAACGACAAGCCCACCTAGGCTGTGCGCAACAAAGATAATCGGTCGTTCGGTCTATATAGAAATTTATTTGTTAGAGAATGTCACGGATATGGCCGTAACCCTTTCCTACCGTCTCGGTCTTTCCTCGTAGGCCGACCAGGGCGTGGAACAAAGAAGTCGAGTAATTATCGATCGTCAGATCAGGTGAGATACCTTTCGGACCAATCATGGGGTAAAAATGAGCGAAGTCTGAATTATAGCCAAAGGACATAATTCTCGCGGTCGGACAGTCCGCAGGCAGGAGACTTTTGGGCCAAAATTGAGTACGATCTGAATTCTTCCAGGTCCCTAGTTTGCCGCACTTGATCAGCTATATCTCGGGAACAAAAGATCTTCTGCAAAGTTCACATCGATCTCTAAATGATCTGTTTATGGGTTTAGCTTACACGTGTCGATTCTGTCACCCCCCAGGCCATGAACGAAGACAATACTGTCCATGGACATTTGCGGTCAGTTTGAACGGTAAAACAGATTTCATGCTCACTCACTCCACTTTAGCCTTTTCTTTAGCATCGAAAAGGATATCTCCCAGTCCCTCCCTGGTCGTGTTTCCCGTCGCCATGTCTTGAGAATTAGCCATGTCCAGTTGTTTATTAAACTCAAATTCAAATTCAAATTCAAAGAGCTCAAAAATGATGAGATTGAAAGTGCCCAGACGCACTCCGCCAATATATAGAGCAGAATAGAAGAGGCAGGGTGAAGGTGAGGCAGCTGCCCTCGCGAGGCCATTTGTGATTGCTACCCCTCCTCCTCGATCAGGTCTTCTCAGCCGCAATGCATGATACTCCGTATGCAGATGCATGCTTCTGTGCAGTCCTTCACGAGGTGGCTGTCAGCAGTTTGCGCGAGGCAGATGTCAGCAATCCTTCATCAGTCTCCACCCTATGGAAACTCGAGGTAATATGAACCTCGGTGCCTCATCTTCAGCCCGCGTGGGTCTGGCCAATGCGGAGGCAAGCTCCATTATGCGGGTATCTGCAGTGTGATTATGAAACAAAACCAAGGGAAATAATCGGCGAGCGTGGGTGAGCCTTGATAGGCCCCAGAGGTTTGTGGCGCCGGGTTATGGACAGCTGCCCGAGGAGATGAGGGCTCAAACCCGGGTTTCTGTCAAAGTCGATGTACCTTGGAGGCTAAAAATTGCTGTACCGCTAGCGCTCGCTGGGCTTTGCTTTATGGATCTGGGGCTGAACCTGACAGTGCTGTGCCGTCTTGGAGGATTCTATTCATTCATCGCCAGCTCTCACAATGGCCAGCGCATCTTCCTTCCTGCAAATCTCGTCTCCAATCGGTTCCTTCCACGCTTTCAATACCTCTTGGTGGGAGAGGGAGAAAGCAAATATCGCTTCCTCCCTCAAGCCCAATCAAGATCGATCCCATGCCAGACCCGCCAACCCCTCCCGACACGCCCGCTGGGTCCCTCAAAGACGACAAAAATTCCAAGCAGGGAAATGTAGATAATACCAACATCCAAAATAATGGAGGTGTAGTGACTGGAAATAATTCTGGATACACCACAATAGTTGGTATCTTTCATCCTACAAATCATCTACCAAACTGTGACTCACGGGATCAGGGACAATCAATATCACCGTTGATTCTGCCGCCAATCTTACCGACAACATCGAGAGGTTTACCGCTAGAGTTGCGACAGCGAGTGAAAACCTACAATCAATAGCAAACCGAATTCGAGCAACTTCTCAATTACTGAGCAGTATCGGCGATCTGGTTGTGAGAGAAGCAGCAAAGAAAAACATCATTATCGACAAAAGTTTTCGAGGTCAAAGTCAAGGTGATAATGACAGCACGCTACAAGAAGGAGCGAGGGATGGAAATGTACCCGACAGTGATGGAAGAGATGGCGGTGAACTCGGCCAGTCTCAAGAAAAGAGTGAAGTGGAAATGGCATCAGACGTATTGCAGAAGACCTGTTTTCACGACTTGATCCAGGCTAGCAAAAGTACAACTGAACGCTTTGAGAGTATCAATGCGAAAGTTCGGGCTGCCTTTGGCATGCTCCGGCCTATGGGACGAGACAAGGTTGAGTTGAGCGAGGAAGAACGCAAAAGAACATTCTTAACGGAGCAAGATATTCGCGACATGGATCGACAGATTGATTCTCACATGCTGGAGTTGAACATTGCGTTAACTACCTTCAAGGCCACGATGTAAGTATGTTCTTTTTCTTTTTTTTTTCAATAGATAAAACATAGCGATTGACCACATAAATCCACACAGAGATGCCGACCATTCAGAATCTATCACGTTGAAGCTTCTGAACATGTTCAAAGAGATCAAAAAAATCAGGAATTATTTCTTGGGCCTGGTCCCAGAGAATCCGAGTGCCCGAGAGCCTCAACCCCAACCCCAAGTCCGAGACCCGCAATATAATGTTCCTCATCATCATGGCCCGGTATATCCGCCGCCACCAAATCAATGGGCCTATTCAACTTGGCGACCGTATACGTTCCCCGATCTATCTCGACTGACATCTCTTTATATGGGTTGGACAATAACCAAAGGCCGGCCACCACACGTACATGTCGATACAAGCTCCTCGCAGATTTCGTGGAGATGGGCTGGCTCCCACCGCATGGCACTATCCACTGAAGATCTCTTCTTGAGAGTCCTTGCTCAAACTTCTAAGCGGTTAAAGCTGAAACGAACGATACAGGATGACTGTAAAATATTGCTGAAGTCGAGCGTGCAGAAGATGCTGGTGGATAATTTGCTGCGTGATGAAAATTTGCAGCTATCTCGGCAGTATCCGCTGTTGGAATGGAAATTAGCGGGCTTGGCTTTGAAAACTCAAAAGACAGGGTTCTTTTCTGAAGAAATGAAGAGCATCGAAGTCATCTTGAAGACGGAATGGGCCGCGGATCGCTCACAGGGCGGTCCTATAAGGCCAGGTGGAGGCCCTGGTTCCCCTGGATTCGGATTTCCCGCACATGGTCCTGGTACAAGGCTTGGAGGCGGAGGCGGAGGTGGTGGAGGAGGATGGGGAGGGGGAGGTGGTGGTCCTGGATTTCTTCCTGACAGTGGGTTTAGCGGGGCTGGTAGGAGTTCGTTCAACAACCACGACCCCGGATATGCCAGTGAAGCTGTCGGGCATAGTTTCAATGACGACAGCATTCCTCCTGGTCAACCATATGGATCTGCAGATATGAAGGTGCAACCGGGCACTAATCGACCTTCGTCACCATCTAGGCGTGTAAGGCCAGTACCTGATACAACCTTGCGTGAGCCGCGATTGTCTTTCGTGAGAAAAAAGGCAAAGGGGAAGCCTGTGGGTCCGATTGACGAAGGGAACGGTCGTCGTGTATTTCTTTGGGACGAACGGGACGGATCGAAGGTATACGCTGAAGTGCGGCGTCCAGGAGCCTACCATCAAGACAACATCAGTAATGTGATTCATGAATCGGCTGGGCCCAGTATGTCTTACCCACCACCCCCTCCGCCAGTGTTCATCCACAATGAGTCATCTTTCTATCATGAAATGGCCCCTGGGCCGGAACACGAAAACGTGAAAGATTCATTTGGAGACATGACAATTGAGGAGGAAACGAGGATCATCAATGAGCTATTCGCAGAATGGGAAGATGGGGTCAATGACAAAGGAAAGAGGCCTAGCCGAATGGCAAGGCCCATGCACAACATGGAGCACAAAGAAGGAGCGGACCAACCTCCGAGTGATTTTGGGTATTCGGGCTATAATGTGCCCAGAATGGGCACCACTCGGCGATTGATGATGGACGTTGAGCGAGAAGCCCGGAAGAAAGAGATATTGACGAAAAAATTGCGAGAAACGCATACACTGGAGGAGCCCAGATCGTACAGGTACTCTGAAAGAGTGCCGAATGAGAGACGCAGAAGGACGCATGAGACACGACCGAGTCGCGAAATACCTGGTCTCTTTAACACACGGGAGTCATACGGGGTTGATAATGGAGGAGGCAGGGAGGCTTATACTGAGGAGCCCGAGCGGCGGGAGATGGACAGGGCGGCTCCGCCAGAAAGATTCGTGAGAGAAAATGTTCTCAGAGGGCCAACTCAATGGCTAGAGGTCTCATCGCCCTTGGTGGAGGGGCACGCTAGAAATCTTGAGATAAGAACGCCGAGGATGCGGCGATATACGTCTGGCTCCTCATTCTGGTCGGAGGATGAAGAAGACGGCTAATAGTCCTCTGAAGAAATGTCCCAACAATTGAGTAGATATACGATAAAAAGCTCTATTCTTTTCTAAATCAATGTATTCTATGTTTTGCCCAGGAAAAAAAGGGATTTAGGGAAGGAAAATGTCACAAGATTACAGGTAGCCCATCCGAGAAGATAATCTTAAAGGGCCAAAACACTTAATTCTTCACTTCTTTCTTGATGCTTCTCTGGGTTTCTTCCTAAAGCTCTAAACAGACCTTTCTCTATAATTTTCTAAATGAACTAGTTAAATATAATTGAAGTCGTGGTCAACCCAGAAACTGGCGGGGAAAAAGAGAGAGAAAATTTGCAGTCTGAGGAGGGCATACCGTACGCCGATCTAGGTATCATAGTATGAATTGATGAGAGAAAATAATCATTGAGGAGGACATACAAGTTTTTTTATATTGGCTTCAATGATTACACCTGTATTATCAATCCGCGTGTTTGCTAGTTTCGCTCTATTTGCTTGAACTTATTATGATCTCCCCGGACCCACATCGCTCCGCGGCGGCGTCTCCGAGCAAGTTAGTTGTGTCTGCATCATAGTTTGTGCTGTTTGTGTTGATATATAAGGACCAATCAACGTTAAAGACAAATGGCACGAGATAATTAATCTCACCTTCCCCGAACCCCCGAGGCTTGGGAATCATTACCGTTCGTCGGAAGCACTTATAGCTCGGCGAGTAATGACGTAAACAATTGGAGTAATATTCTCCGTACTTACTGGGGTGATAACACGGGCTGCAGGTAGTTTCAATATAATTAGAAAATAGCTTCTCCCAATCCAGGATGTTCGTACGAGATGGAATTCGACGTTTCTGATGCTCCAGCGTGCGAAAAGACTACATACCTCATTAGACAAGTTCTGTTCCAACTATGATCAACACCATTTTATATTAAGTGCAGAGGGGTGGCGACAGACTGACTATTTGCTTTGTATTTTCCAGGCCTTTTTCACACTTACCACGCTGGTTTGTCGTACTAAAGACTCAAGTATTCACCTTATCTTTAGGATTTACAACAAGCTCTTTGATCATTTTGAAACATCGATGCGTCAGCTTCGTCCAAAGAGGGTTCCCTGTAAACAGCTGATGCTTTCCTCCCTCGAGGCTGCGAAGGTGAAACTGAAGAAATATTATGGCGAGACAGATAATATCGAAGGGAATCTCTATGCAATTGGGACGATACTAGCGCCATCGAATAAGATGGAGTTTTTTTCAAGAAGTGATTGGGACCCAGATGATACAGGAAAGATTTATAGAAAGGAATACCGCGAGAGTCTTCAGTCTCTTTTTGAGAGATATAGCCAACGTCTATCATCAGACAATATATATTCTGATAGTCGGTTAATAGTAACTGAATCAGAGCTTGAGAAGGCCCTTGACGCCGTTGACGGCGATTCTTCACAACGATCAACTGCTCCACAGTATGACGAGCTCACTAAATATCTCCAGAGTGGTAATTCAGTACGCCTACTTAATAAATCATGATACTAACCTAATTAGATACTATCAAAGGATCCGCTCGGACCTTCTGGAAAGATCATCAGAGGCAATTCCCTCTTGCAAGCATTACCTGTGATCTTATGTCAATTCCGGCGGCTGGTGCCGGAGTTGAGCGTCTTTTAAACTCTGCCCGGGATATATGCCACTACCGCCGGGGCTCGTTAAGCCTAGAGACTATTCGCGATATCATGTTATATATGTGTACAACAAGATTCGATATCAAGGAGAAGCAACGGCTGATTCTCCAAGAGTATCGTTTGGATCATGAGATTGCAGCTTCGGCCGAGGCACTTGATGTCCAGACACATAACTTCAAAGCTACCAGTGATGATGAGGAGGATATCAAGATACGTCTTGATATACCGGCTGCTACGGCAATTCCGCAGGCAACCGTAGACGCACCGCCACTCTCAGCAATCGCCGCTGGAAAGCGGCCTGCGGTCACTTCCGGCGATGAGGAAGGTTCTGATACCAATGAATTTAAGGATTCAGACGAGAACTCGGTATCACCCTTGCCTGGCTTACCTGATACGCAGTATAGTGCATCAGGTAGGATACGAAAGAAGTCGAGACTGCTAGATGGGTGTATAGTTTGACTCTTGACTCTTGAGTCTTTAGAGCCATGACCAGATACTATACTATAGATATAATGTAAACCATCCCTAATTTAAACCCCTATTCGAAGATGAACCCATAATATTGACTAAGGAGTAGATATTGTAGTGGTGGAACGCATAACATAATGAATACAGTTGCGGCCTGAGGTGTCAAGAATACCTTGGGCGTAAGCAAAAACTTCTACATGAGGATAGAGATAGGAGAGGAATCTCCCCAATTCATTCCAGTTGTCTCACTCATGATGCCGTATTAAGTACAGTCCCTACGGCCTTAGTCGGGAAACCGTACGGCCTCATTTAGGATTGCTGCTTCAGGATTGCCCATACGGTCTCACGGTCTCAACCCGTACGGCCTCACGGCCTCACCCGGGACACTTGTGACCTCCCTTATGACGACCTCTGGTACGTGCGGGTTGTGTGTGTGTGGTCCGTTGGTTGTTATTGTCCGGTCTGCATTGTCCGACAGCAATCGAGCCATCCCCATTTCAATATTGAAAAGGGGATGGCTCGATGGCTGTCTGACAATACAGACTGGGCAACAGCAACCAACGAACAACACACACACAACCTGCACGTAGTAGAGGTCGTCCTAGGGGAGGTCGCGAATGTCCTTGGTGAGGCCGTGAGGTCGTACGTGCAATCCTGGACGCAGCAATCCTAAATGAGGCCGTACGGTTTTTCCCGACTGAGCCCGTATGGAATGTACTTAATATAGCATGTTGAATGAAAGAATGTAGTGAAAACTGGAATGAATTGGGTAGATGCCTCCCCTTCTCTCTATCCTCATGTAGAAGCTGCTGCTTACACCTAAGGTATTCGTGACACCTCAGGCCGCAACTGTATTCATTATGTCATGCGTTCCACCACTACAATATATAGTATCCTTCTATAGGATAAGGCCATAAAGTAATAAAGTTTTAGTTTACAAATACAATAGGATACAGCCTGTTTCTACATAATTTATGCAATTGACGCCGAGTCGCGTTTTTTTAACTGTTTGTCATGTTTGACGATGCTCAGGGTCCCCGCGGGTCCAGGTCTCGGACCCTGACCCTCCGCATGGGGAGGTGAGGGTCAGGGTCATGGAGGGTACCCACAGGTCCTAGTCAGGTCTAGCTGCGAGCCTGCTCGACGGCCCTCGCCTTTTGACGTTGGATCCGTTTTCGCTTCGCTCTTGCTGCCGCTTTTCCTCGGCGGATGCATACTTGCGCGGTCGATCTCGTCTCTTAGGATGATCAGTATCATCTACCATGCTGATTTACGATGGCGTTTTAGCTTCGACGCTTGAGTGGACTGATGTCAAGCAACCCTGGAAGAGCAAATTGGCAGAGACCACACACCTATTCCCTCGCCGTGCTAAGAACCTCCAATTGCGATTAGGGGCTGCTCAGGATGAATGTGGAAGGGGGAATAGAGCTGAAAGGTTTTGTTTTGGTGATACAATAAATGATGATCACCCTGCATTGAGGCGTGCAGAATGATGCCACATTAACTCTCAGCCCGCATTCTTCGGTCTCAGCCTTCGTCCCACTTATTGTGAATTTAATCTTACGCAAGCTTATGTATGAAACTGCCACCCCTTACCTGATGTTACAGTGTACAACCGAGTGACGAGTGATACAAGGACGATTGTTATTCATGCTTAGTTCTTTAAACTGAAACAATTGCCGAACCCTTCTACGGCAACCATGGCAAGCGACAACAAATCATCCCATGTCGAACTTGACCACTATGGCTCGACAAAATCACCACAGGGATCGAAAAAGGAGTTGTTGGGCAAGGGAGAAGAAGAGGAAGCCGCGGTGCCCGATGGCTCAGGAGATGAAGAAGAGTATCCATCGATGTGGAAACTGATTCCCATCATGGTGGGACTTTGTTGTTCCGTTTTCTGTATGGCCCTGGTAAGGTGCTCTATATCCCACATCATCAAAATCGTCCTGTTAAAACTCGCCTTGCAAAGGACAACACAATCGTCGCGACGGCGATTCCAAAAATCACCTCTGAATTCGATTCACTTGCTGATATGGGCTGGTATGGCAGCGCTTACATGTTAACCACATGTGCGGTGACCCTCATTTTCGGCAAGCTTTACACCTATTACTCAATCAAATGGACATTTATGACGGCCTTGGCCTTGTTCGAACTTGGATCCCTGGTCTGCGGTGTTACCCCAACCTCAACTGGCTTGATCATTGGGCGAGCTCTCGCTGGTGTAGGAGCTGGAGGCCTGTTTTCAGGCGCCATGCTTGTCATTGCTACCCTTGTGCCTTTGCGAAAGCGCCCGATCTATACTGGAATTCTTGGGGCTATATTTGGAATTTCTAGCGTGGCTGGGCCGTTGTAAGTCATATTCTCGCACGTTACGGGCGCTGACCCCCTTTTTCTTTTTGTGATCTCTCACTAATAATATCTCAAATATAACTAGGCTAGGAGGCGCTCTTACAGATCATGCGACGTGGAGGTGGTGTTTCTACATCAACCTCCCATTTGGAGCCGTCACAGCCATTGTAATTGCACTCTTTTTTCAGGATAAACCACCCAAGAAAGAAATCACAAACCGTGAGAAACTGCAAAGCTTGGATTTGATTGGCACAGCTATTTTCTTACCCACTATCGTTTGTCTCCTTCTCGCCTTACAATGGGGAGGTCAGAAATATCCCTGGTCAAATGTGCGGATTATCGTCCTATTTGTGTTATTTGGGGTGGGTCTCTGCGTCTGGCTCTACGTTCAGCATGTAAGGCAAGATCTAGCGACAGTACCCCCTCGAATCGTCAAGAATCGCAACGTGTGGGGAGCGCTGGCCTATAACACCTGCCTCGGCGGCGCATTCTTCGTCTCGGTCTACTATGTATGTTTCTTCCCTTCGAGCTCTGGATGCCTACTAACCATATTCTGTGGCAGCTGCCCCTCTGGTTCCAGGGAATTAAGGGGGCCAGTGCTACTACCTCTGGCGTCATGAACCTCCCATTGATTTTAGGAGTCACTATCTTTGCAATGGTTTCAGCCGTGCTCGTGACGGTTTCTGGATACTATAATCCTTTCATGCTGGCTGCGACTGTACTCTTCAGCATCGGCAATGGCCTCCTCACAACACTGGAGCCTAATTCCGGTCCCGCCAAGTGGATAGGTTATCAAGCTATGACTGGGATTGGAGCAGGCATGGGTATGCAGCTGCCAACTATCGTTGTGCAGGCAGCGGTGCAGGAAGCTGATATCCCCGTTGCGACTACATTGGTCGTATTCAGCCAATCCCTCTCCGGTGCGATTTTTATTTCCATTGCCCAAAATGTCTTCCAGAATCGTCTGCTTGCAAATATCCGGAAATTGGCGCCGATGCTTGACCCAGCAGAGGTTGTTCAAGCTGGAGCAACAAAGCTACGGGAGGCTTTCCCTGAAAACCTCCATGTGGTTCTACAAGCGTACAACAATGCTGTCACCCAGTCGTTCTACATCGCAGTCGCAATGAGTGCGCTTTCGATATTCGGGGCTTTGTGCCTCCAATGGATTTCGGTGAAAAAGAAGCAGGTGACGACGGCTCTTTGAGGGAGGGCTGAAGGCGAGGTGAGGATTTCCTCTACTAGAAAGGACCTTGATACTTAATTGTTTCAGTTGGTATGTATATAAATAATAGAGGAGGCATTGCTTATGTACGCCAATTATGCGGTTTTGTCTACATTCCTTCGAACAAAATCAGTGTAGATACATTGTTCTAGGTTCTTCCCAATGTCCATTTCATAGTGTATACATCTGCTTTGTTGTGGGGATTCTTATTACATCGTGTTTTATGACAGTCTGTTGGGGATAGACAATGATTGACTGCAGGATTCAAAGCTGTATTGAGCTTCCGTATCTCCGATATGTAAAGCCCTAAAGCCCTTTACAGACTATAATTCGACCAATGTTGAATAAATATTTCAAAGAAGGTTCAAGCTTTACAATCAGCTGATGTTTACTATATATAGATGGTGCTTTGGAACAACACCAGGCTAGTATAAAAAAGGTATCTTGTAAGGGGTATATGAAGGCACAGCCACATGCATACGCAAACAATAAGCCCTTAGACGAGATCCACTAATGCTAATAGACCTAGGCAGCATGAGCTTTAATCCAGCTGTTGAAGTACTCCAGATTGGTATGGACATCTGGAAGGGCCTTCTTCCTCTCAGTCTCATAAATACTGAAGCTGATGAGCCCCACAACACTTCCATCGAGAGTGTTGACGACTGGTCCCCCCTTGTCGCCCTCCCAGGTAGCCTTCTCCACCGGCGGCCAATCACAAACCATGCGATTGGAGATGGAGTGAAGGCCTTTCCACTCCTCGGCGCACCAGGTGTCAGTGATTCCGACTGCGTCCAACTTCTGCAACTTCTTAGGGAACTCCGTATGGGTGTAGTTGGTCAAACCCCAACCGTACATCGTCGTACCGGAGCCAATAGCAGCGGAGAAGTTTCCGATCGTCGCGAGCGGCACGTTGTCGGGCGCGGCCTCGCTCAAGCTCAGAAGCGCTATATCGAAATCCCAAGTCTTGGTGTTGTACTTGGGATGCTGGATGATCTTGTTGAAGTTCACGACGGTTCCACCGGTAGTGCGGTCGCTGCTACCAACCCGGGCTTTCAAGGAGGAGCTGGTTTGGTTTTGGACGCAGGATGCGGTCGTCAAAATGGTTTTGGGGGTGACGAGAACGCCGGCACATTTGTTGAAAGCGTCGTCGGACGACAAAAGTGCTGCTACATAGGGGGCAGCATTGGCAGGAGCCTCCGTGCCTCCGTCCAAGGCATGGATGGGCTGTGCAATGGACAGCAAGAGGCAGAGGGAGGATACGTAGGTAATTGACTTCAACATCATGAAAAGAAAGTGAACCAGGTTGTAGCAACTGGACAGGGTAAACTATACTAGCATGCTACATACCTTATATACATCCATCGTCGCCCTTCGTTCGGCAAGAATTGCATGGAAGTTTTGGTTTGATCCACTTTCATATCCAAATCTGTCCAAATAGTTGCAATGTAGGTATCCTGTGCCAGAATCTCCAATTAAGCAAGGAACCTCGTGCATTTATTGAAAGCTGCCCCAAGACTTGGCGTCGGTCCAGCTCGATTATATCGGATTACCTTGCATTCCATTGCATTCCATTCCATTTTGCATTTTCAAGCTTCACATTCTTCCATTAATGTTGATTCTTCGCTTCGTCGACCTTGGTGGAGCCTTTTTTTTCTCACTGCGTCCTGACCACCTCCGTATGGAAGAAAGAATCCCCTGCATTGATATGCAGCTACTTACTAGATATAAATATTTGATGCAATATATGATGCATAATGATTATATATGACGCATCGTAGAAGAGCTGGCCCAGCACCCCAACACGGGTATTTGCCTATGCCCAATTCGGTTGTAAGCCATCAGGTACTCTAGTCCAATGATGAGGTCATCTCGGGGACATCAAATCATACGAATACGCAGTGTATGAGTGAATCATCTCCGTGATGAAAATTATTTTGTTTGAAATGTTCAGTTCATACAATACTCCGTAGTTGTCACTGATTAAGGCATTGATTCCTACGAACTCCTAATAATGTGATCTCACTGGGTGTCGGGGATATCTATAAACCACGAATCTATCTCTAGGAATTCTGTGGATTAAAATTGGGTTGCTAGACCATAGGCAGAGCCTGGGATGTATTGAGTATGGAGGGCTGTCTAAGGTCAAATATGTACATGATATGATTGATATGCGACCCAGAAAACAACAGTAGAGTTGGAGTTGCATGATACCAAAGATGAATGATACTTGTAAGGATATTATCCTAGCTTGTCAAGAGCCAGCCACTTCAGAATGCAATGTCGAACAGTCTTGCCGTTGGGTCGGCTGAAAACTTGTCGATAATAGCAGAGATGTGATTGACCAGCTCTGTAGCTTGCTCTTGACCTAGTACACGACTGCTGGCACAAACCTGAACTTCCAATCGATCCGCATGAGGCTCAGTGAATATCCAGACTTCATCCAAAGGATCGAAGCGAGCGAATTTTGAATACTGCACATCAAGGGAACCGTCATCCTCTCGATCACCATCAACGCTTGATCCCTGTAAAGGAAGACTGAAACTCAGATCGATGTTCTGATGCTGTACGATCAAGCTCAGTGACGTCTCTGCAGGCCAGTTGGTACTGTGTAGGAAAATGTCGCGGAGCTCGACATGTTCATGGGAGAGGGCCCGGGTGTATTGGGTTTGTGCATGGCGTAGAAGATCCATGACCGTCCACTCGGTCGAATCTTCAGGGAAGGTAATCCGTAGAGGGACAAAATTGAGAGTGCACCCCAGGAGAGATTCGATGTTATCCATGGGCAGATTTCGGCCGTTGACAGTGTGGCCAAAGACTATGTCCCTTGAACCTAGATGATGAGAGAGGAAGAACCCAGTTGCTGCCTTGACTAACGTAGCCATGGTGACTCCTGATGGTAATGTTGGAGGGGTGATTCCTTTGAACGCCCAGAGCGTTTGACCAGACTGCGCTGCGGCAGCCGGCTCTGCACAGAGAGTGAGTGCGCGTGGTGCAAAAGGAACGGCCATGTTAGCACCTTCGAGGTAGCGTCGCCAAAATTGGAATGTTGGATCTTGTTGGACATCCTCTCTCGCAGACGAAATTCGATGGTATAGGTAATGAGTAAAGCCGGAGGTCGGCGGTAGCGGAGTTTGATTGTAGATGGCCGCGAAATCACTGAAAAGCTTTGGAATAGAGACACCATCCCACTGAGAGTGTGAAATCTGGATCGTGAGAACAACATGCTCGTCCCCTGGGCGAGAGACAAGCGTGAATCTCACAGGCAAGGAGCCACCCAAGACGTTCAGGGTAGGCCAGTCTTTACCATCCCACAGGGCTTTGCATACTTCCAAGGGATCTTCTTCTGACCAGCATCGGATCTCGCGCACTTTGACGTCCAAGTTTGCCAGCACAAGTTGAATGGGGCGCCCGTCACGTTCCACAAAGCTGGTCCGGAGAATACTGTGTCGGTCTACCAGGGTTTGACATGTCGCCCGAAGACGATCCATGTTGAGCGAGCGCCCTTTAATCGTCCAGTTATACGAATGGAATGTTCCTCTCTTGATGAACAAATGCTGAGCTTGCGTAGCGGGGAGCAAATCCTCCAATGTGCTTGTGACAGGAATGATGTTCTTTGCACATAACTCCTTATGCAGCGCCTGAGGATCTTTGATTGGGCTGAGAGAGAATGGTTCCCACGGTTTGCTTTCAGTGCTATCTTTGGGGACTGCCACACTGGCTAGCTCTGAGAGGACAGGATGGTCAAAGATGTCGGCAACTCCGAAGCTCATGCCGGCGGCCCGACCCAGTGCAGATGCCTTCATTGCATCAATCGAGTGCCCACCACGGAAGAAGAAATTATCACTTGCGCTAATGGTCCCAACCGGAATATCGAGAACCGTTGCCCAGATATTTGCCAACTCACGTTCCGCGTCGGTGGAGAGCTGGTTCCCGACCAAGGACGACGACAGTGAGGACGAGGCCCGATACCCATGTAGCTTGTCCAAAGGCATTGATGTGATGAGATTGCGCAGGCGATTTTGATCTATCTTGCCTGATTGCGTTCGAGGCATGTTCGCAACAGGGAGGAAGATGGCGGGCACCATGAAATCAGGGACTTGTTGGCGTAGTCGGATCTCCGCGGCGGCCAGTTGCGCTGCGAAATTATCGCTGGGAGGTCCCAGAATCTGAGAGTCGTTGCCTTTTGGTCCACCTGCATGGTGGTTGTCTTCCTGCAAAAGGATCATTGCAACAAGCTGGGATTTGGTGCTTCCGGCGGGCACAATAATCTGAGTTACGACATCGCGAGCGACACCATCGAAGGACCGGTGCACGTGAACCTCTACCTCGGCCAACTCTAGCCGTTGTCCTCGTACTTTGACTTGTCGATCCTTACGACCTAGTACAAGGAGAGATCCATCCGCATTTGAACGGACCAAATCGCCGGTCTTGTAGAGACGGGCAGAGTTCGTTTGAGGTCGCAGGGCCTGCAGCCAGGCCGGGGGCTCGATAAAAGTCTCTGCTGTCCTCTCCGGCTGATTGATGTATCCACGGCCGACAATTGGGCCTTCAATCAATAACTCACCAATGGCCCCTTGGGGAACCAGCTTATGGTGGTCGTTCCTGTCTGCCACCCATAAAACGCATCCCACGGGATATCCAATGTTGCGCGGGTCACTCGTGGTGGAGATAGATGGTTGGACGACAGACAAGGCAGAGCACTCTGCAGGACCATAACCATTGATTAAATGGACATGAGGCGCCCAGAAAGATACATCCGTCTGCGTCATGCATTCGCCTGCCAGCATGATGCTCTTAATCGTGGCCAACTCCTCGGTGCGGAAAAGACGGGCTACTGATGGCACAAGAATGGCAAAATTGGCATTGAGAGTGGATGCGACTTCGCCGAAGTTGTTTTTGCGCTGCTCGTCGGAGATCACGCAAATACAGCCACCCGCCATGAGAACACTCAGTTGTTCAACCATACTCATATCAAAGGCGTAGGAGCAGAATTGTGTCACTCGAGAGTGTCTAGTGAGCTTGGCAGCCCCGATATGACCTCGAGCACCTGTGCAGTAAGACCCATGATCGATGACAACCCCCTTGGGTTTGCCTGTGGAGCCCGAAGTGAAGACCACATATAGGGCATGCTCGGGTTGGACAATGGGAAGGCGAATATTTCTGGAGTTGGGATCACTCTGGGAATCCTCGTTCCAAGCACAATTTTCTGGTCCTACGAGGATCACGGTGGATGCCAACTCATTGCTGATGGATGCATGTGTCGAGGAGCTGACCACAAGCCGGGCCTGAACCTCGGAGCAAATCTCCATTCTTCGTTGTTGGGGATACGAGGTATCAAGTAACAGCAAGGTGCCACCAGCCTTTAGCACTCCCAACATAGCCACAGGCGTCCAGCGGGACTTTTCCATACAAATGGGAACCACCTCGTTAGGAGCCACGCCACCACACTTGAAGATAAGATGTTGCGCCAGGCGTGACGCAAGATCTTCGAGCTCTCGGTAGGTAAACGATCCGTTAGTGTCACATACAGCCTCACTGTCCGGGTACTCCATGCAGCGCTCGTGAATGATCTGATGGACGGAAGACTCCACACGAATGGGCAGACTCTGGTTTCTGGCCCAGATCTGGTCAAAGTCATGCTCGCTGAGGACTTCGAGCGCTGTAACCGGACTATCGTTCTTGGCCGTGAGAATGGACCGAATCGCTTTCTCAAAGGTGGCAACAACGCTGCGGGCCTGCTGTTGCGACAGAACGCATGTTTTAAATCGGAGGTCGACAGTGGTGTTATCGCCGCCAGGAATCAGAGAGATAATCAGATCATCTTCAGCTCCATCCTCCATGGCAAGTGTTGTGAAATCTAGGGCTCTGGCTCCCGCTTGCAATATCTGGCCACTTTGCACCCCAACAGAGGTATTGAAAAGCGATCCGTCCATGACACCGGCAAGCCTGTGGGCATTCGAGAGCGGGAAACACTGATGCCGAAGACTGTCCAAATACTCCTTTTGCAGCTGGCAGATACTATCCCGTACGGTCAACTCCCCAGCGAAAGATACCCGGCAGGTGAGAGGATTCAAGATGGCACCTACTGCGTCCTCGATGCCAACAATGGGGAGGTCACGGCCAGACTTGACATAGCCAAAGCAAACATGGTCAGAATTGGTGAAGCTGCGGAGGACCAGGGCCCAGGCAAGGCCTGCCAGGTTCCACATTGTCACATTGTGACGACGACAGAATTCCTCTATGGTGCTTTTGCCCAGGCTACTATGATGAAACGTGCGAGAGGCGTGGCCCCAATCCTCGCTGGAGGTATTTTCCTCTCCACTAATTCTCGGGAACAGACACGGCTCGACGTCTTGAAGATAGTGTTGCCAGTAGGAGGAGTCGGCCTCCCCATCTTGCCGCTCGATATAACTCACATAATCACTAAAGAGCGGCCCTCTGCTCGGTGAAAGCTTCCCCTCATACGCCAGGCATAGATCGCGCTCAATGATCTGCATGGTTGTTCGGTCCATAATCGCGTGACTCATGTCAAGGCGAATCATGACTTCTTCCTCTCCGTTATGCTTCCATTGGCACAGGTTCATTCGGTGCATCAACTGCCCTTTGGGCCAACCTTCTGACAGGGCAGCTGGGAGAGGAGGATTCGATCCCGATAAAGTTGTGTGGCTGACTACGGCCTCCGTTGGAACATGTCGCAAGACGAGTTGTTCCATGTAGGAGCCACTGCGTGGGCTGTCGATGAAAACAGTGCGCAAAGCTGCGTGCCGTTGGATAACCTGAGAGCAAGCGGCATACAGACGCTGTGGATCAGCTGCCCGGCGCTTCCCATCATTTGCGGATTGGATTTTCCACGTCACACTGGCGTTGTAGCTGTGCGCAGCTTTGGCCTGGGCGATGAGCATCCCGTGCTGACTAGGTGAGCATGGATAAATCTCCTCAACATTTTCCATTGAAATACTCATAGTCGGTAATGTTGTGAGCACAAGTTCTTGCAGCTGCGGGTACGTCAAGGATGGCAGCAGAGGGAAATCGGACAACGTGTAGCGAGTGTGGTTTTTCTTCTGGCTTGCAACCTGGAGTTGGGATGCTGCACCCTCTAGTGTTGCCTGATATATTTTCACCCACTTGTCAATAAGATTTGCTTGTTGGATCTGGCGGGGGTACACCAATTGAACCCGCAAACCACCGTTTTGCACTGATGCACCGATTTCAAAGATGCCAAACCGTTGGATATCATCACCTGCGTCCAGGGCTCCCTGATCTCCATGGGATTCGGTAGCGAATAATCCATTTGCATGCTCCAATTGTTGGAACTCGCCAGCATAGTTGAAAATGATCTCCATCGGGTGTTCCTGCCTAAAAGCGCGTTGACCGTCCGGACTGAGATAGCGAGACGTAAAGTACGCCCACCCCTTGCTTGGTACCGCTCGTCGTGCATCTTTGACTAGACGCAAGATATGATGGAAGTCGTGACGATCCAGTTCGAGGGTGGCCGCCATCACCACGGGCCAGGCGGTGGTGAACCAACCTACGGTTTGTGCGAGATTGATAGTGGGTTCCCACGGTTCTCTGCCGTGGCCTTCATTGAATATAATGGGCGCACTGCGAGCAGGGAAAGCTTTGAGGAAGGAGTATAAGAGACCAGCGTGCAGGATCTCGACTGGTTGGCAGTCATAGGCAACCTGTGCTCCTTTGAATAACGACTGTGTGGTTTTCTGATCCACAGTAAAGCTTTGAGTCTGTGTATCCCCCATGCTGTTGGACTGGTCGGCAGAATTGAACCAGAACTCCCTGCTGTCCTCATGGTAACTTTCTGGCAAGGTCAATGGGAGAGCGGCCTCAGGGGACAGCGAATGTTGTGCAAACTGGGCCTGGCGGCGACACCAAGTCTGAAATGAGATGGAATTGGTCTCCTGTGCAAGAGTCTCCCCAGCGAGCAATGCATTGAGATCGGCTAGGATGATGCGCCACGAAACAAGATCAACCACCAAATGGTGAATCGCCAGGAAGATGTGCTGCGAGCCGTCATCCGTAATGTCAATTAGATTTACCGCAGTCAGAGGGCCCTTCTCCACGTTGATCAAGTGCGTGCTGGCCGCTGTGACTGCGCCTATCTCGGAACGGGAATCCAGTTGGTGGGAAGCGCAGTGATAGTGTGTCTCTCCCGGGCCAGGTGGCAGAATCTTTTGCATCCACCGACCATCATCAGGCAGCCGTGCAAATTGGGCTCTCAGCATGGAATGCCTGGAATGTAGAGTATCCAGGGCGGCGCGCAACGTATCTAACGACATGGGCCGAGTGAGACGGAGCAAGAAGGTCTGGTTGAAGCGGTTGATACCAGTTCCCTCAGGTTGCTGATCTAGAAACATCTGTTGAACTGGAGAAAGATCAAAAAAGGCGTCAAGTTCCTCTTCCTCATCGTGCTGCTCCCCACAAATGGCGGCCGATCCGGCTGTGCACTGCTCTGAATGGAGGATGATTTGGGAAATCGTTTTGTGTCTCATAATTTCGTCGAGGGTTACTCGCAGGCCTTTGAAGCGCGCTTGTGCCACAATCTGCATGGCAGTAATGGAGTCACCACCAAGATGATAGAAATTATCATCCACCCCAAATTCCTCGGAAGGCCGGTTCAAGACATGTGCCCACACCTCGTGCAACGTCCGCTCTGCATCAGAGGTAGGAGCTCTTGCGGAAGCTTTATCTGAATCCACGCGATATAATGCTAGCTGTTCAGGTGAGCACCCCTCTGCGAGATCACGCAGCCGGCGTCGGTCCAGCTTGCCGGATATGTTCTGGGGTAGATAGCGGACAGGCAAGAAGATCTCTGGGACCATGTACAGGGGCATCCTGTTTTGTAATTTAAGACGGGCAACTGACACTTGCGCCTTGAATAAGGGTGATGGATGGTTAATTAGAACGATAGTACCGTCGCCTGCCCCGTTTGTGGAATTTGCCACCATGTCGGCAGGCACCACGAAAGCAACAAGGCTTTGGGTGTTGGACGAAGACGATATTTTGAAGGTGACCATCTCGACAGCAACTTGATCAATCTCCAGCCAAGACTGCCGGACATGATCCTCGACCTCCCCCAGTTCAATGCGCTGCCCGCGTAGTTTTACCTGGGCATCCCGACGGCCAACGTACTGCAGTGACCCGTCGCTATTGTAACTGACGAGATCTCCAGTTTTGTACAACCGACCATACGGTCCTTCGGGACGCATAATGCGTAGCCAGGAGGTCGGAGAGGAGATAAAGGCCCCCTCGGTTTGGACTGGATCGTCCAGATAGCCTCGAGCGACGGTGGGGCCTTCCACAAGAAGCTCGCCCACTGCGCCAATGGGCAGTAAGATTTCATGGCTTTCGGGATGTACCACAAAGCAGCTGACGCCAGTGAGTGGGAACCCGATGTTCTGAGGGTTCGAGCCTGTGTTGATACATGGCTGAATGGTGGTGGAGACCGCACACTCGGCTGGTCCATAACCATTCATCACTCGACACTTGGGGTTGTTGCCGGCCCAGTCGGCCACATCGGAAGGCGTCAAGGGCTCACCCACACTCACGAGAATCTCGGTAAAATCCGGATCGTTGCGCAATATATGCCGTGCCAGAGACGGGGTGAGATGGGCATGAGTTAGGCGGAATTTACGCGCCGCCGCGCCCAACTCATTGCGGGCTTCGAAATTCGAGGGCACACACAAGCAGCCTCCGGCCATCAATACACTCAGTGTCTCCATAATGCTGCCATCGAAAGAGTACCCAGCGAACTGCAACAAACGGGATTGACTTGTGACTTCCGTGGCGGTATTGAGAGCCAGTGCGCTGGAGCAGAATGCCCGGTGATCAATTATGACTCCCTTAGGAGTGCCAGTCGAGCCAGATGTGAAGGCGATATATAGTGTGGATATCGGCTGGGCAGCAACAGTTGGTGTAAATGTAGCAGCAGGGGGCCAGGACTTTGACTGATCTTGCGCGACGACCACAGCCACAGCCACCAACGTTCGGGCCAATTCGACCTTGGATGGAGATGTCACTATGGAACGGGCTTTCACCCGGCGACAAATAGCTTCCAGGCGCTTCTGCGGCTGGGATGAATCAAGAAGTACAAAAGCACCCCCTGCCTTAATAATTGCCATGATTGCAACAGTGGTCCAAAGGGATTTCTCCATACAGATGGGCACAATCACCTCAGCTTCCACTGCGCACGTATTGGTGAGCTGTGCAGCCAGGCTAGTAGATAGCTGGTCCAGCTCCGCATATGTGAGTTTTCCGTCCCACGCCCAGACAGCATTGGCCGTGGGTTGTTCAACGCAGCGCCGCTGTATGATATTGTGCACACATTCGTAGTTACCTCGGGGAGAGGACGTCAGCCCACTCCACTTGTGCAATTGTTGCATATCCATCGAACTGATACATGGCACCTTTCCTATGGGAAGCGAAGGCTCTGTTAGGAGGAACTGCAACGTCTGTTCAAAGTGCTGTGAAATCCGCTCGACCCCTGGCACTGAAATCACGTTGGGGTCAAATTCCATGGTAACATCTACCTGCCGTGAATCAGTCAGGCTACATATGACTGACAGCGCCCAGCTGGCAAACCCACCAACCACCGAGGACCCGGCTTCCAAGGTGTTCAGCAGTGGTCGATTTTCGTCGGCCCACGACGGCTGGACAATGAGCTGACTTTGGAAGCCACATCCATCGTCCGCTTCCTGACTGACTTTGCGGATCCGCTGGAGACCGAATTGCTCAAAGGCAACCATCTCACTCGACTGGTTTTGGATGGCCTCTAGTGCCGCTATGATGGTGTCCTCGGGACTGAACCGCACGCGGAGTGGCACCGTTGCGACGACGGGAGCCACCATCTTCTCAATGTCAACCACGGGGGCAGCTCGGCCGGAAACGGTTACACCAAAGGCAACATCGGGCGAACTAGTATAATGGCTGATCACCACAGCCCATGTCAAACGGATCACATTAGACATCGTGTATCCACCCGGAGCATCACGCTGGCAGGGAATCGAGAGGTGGATGCTTGCCGAGGGCACTGGAGTGTATCCGGGGAATGGGAGCGAAGGGAACACCTCTGCAGCAAGGTTTTGGAACTCCGACTTCCAGTACTGTTCGCTCTTGGGGCTGGCGAGCTGGCCAGAGAGGTATTGGATGAATGGGGTCATCGAGTTATTGACGAGACAATCGCCAGCGTAGGCCTTCTCCAGCAGATCCATCATCAGCCCAGAGGCCCAACGGTCACATATGCAATGATGCATCATGACCACGAAGTAGGTCGCTGACGGATCGCTCTCGAAGGAGGCGGAATCTGACCCGGCAAGAATTCCGGCATGAACCAGAGGTGCCCCAAGCAGGAGGGTCTCTGTTGGCCGCGGTTTCATGTACATATCCCAGTCAATCTCTACATCTGAGTCTGTGTCATCCCATTGGAAGCTCTCTCGCAGAACGACCTGGAACATCCTGCTGCCGTCGGGGTCGGTCACCATTCTTGTCCGCAGGATTGGACTGGCCTGTACTACCATCTCCCACGCACGGCGTAAGGAGCCGATTTCCACATGAGGCTCCAATCGGTGAATAAATCGTGCAATATATGCCCCAGGCTTAGAAACAGATAAAGCCACCATACCTTCCTGGAGCGGCGTACAAGGATACATATTCTCAATCTGGGCTGCTTCGACTCCACACACAGAGGCTGCAGATTCGATTAGCTCTGGCTTGGATTGGGCATCAAACAATACAAATGGCTCGTTGGGGTCCGTTTCACTGGTCGTTGCTGGACCCAGCTCAGCCGCCATAAGGGCTAAGTCGCCGAGATTGGAAGCCGCAAAGATATGTGTTGCCATCAGGTCGACGCCAGCCGCTCTCGCCCGAGAGACCATTTTCATCGCTTTCACTGAGTCTCCACCGAGGGCGAAGAAATTATGTTCCATGCCAACTTGTGTCGGGGCAAGGTTCAACAGCTCGATGACGAGGCGGTGGATGAGTAGTTCATGGACGGTCTGTGGGGGCTCCAAGGCAGCAATGGCCACGCCGGTCCATGCCAGCAGCTCCTCATGTCGAAGTTCCTCTGCCTCTTGCCGGAGTCGTCGTCGATCAATCTTGCCCGTGACAGTCAGCGGCATGGACTGGATCTGCACAAATAGGCGCGGAATCATGACATCAGGCAGCTTTTCCTCCAGGGCCTCGATCACCTGCTGAGCGGTGGCCACGAACTCTTGGTCTGGCATAGTGTAAAAGGTGTTCCTATCGTTTGATGTGATTGGAGTCGTGTGTGATAAGGGTGCTTCAACGAAGGCAACCAGGGTGGCAACCCCATTACCATCGGCAGGCACAATGGCATCGATCACGGCCTTTCGGAAAAGAGGCGATGCCTGAGCTACATGGAACTCAGGCTCTCCCAGGTCAATCCGCTGCCCACGCACCTTAACCTGTCTATCCTGCCGACTAACATACCGAAGCAGGCCATTGGAATCATAGTAAGCCAAATCTCCAGTTCTGTAGCAGCGAACACCTCCTCCGTAAGACAACTCCCCAACCCCTACTAGTAGTTCCTTCTGCCTCCAGTCAGGTGCCTCCAGGAAACTGAGGGCCGTCTTCTCCGGATTGTGTAAATACCCCTGGGCAAGACTGGGTCCTTCGACAAATAGTTCCGCCACCGCGCCAATTGGGGCAATTCTGCGTGAGTTCCCAGGCTCAATCAACCAGCAACGCGCGTTCGCCGGGGCTCCAATAATGCCGATGTCTGCTATGGAGTGAATCTGCGGCGATACGCAACACACACCAGCCCATTCGGTAAAGCCATAAGCTTGAAACAGCCGCGTGCGCTTGGCCCATAGAGAGATTTGAGCCTTCTTCAACGGCTCGCCAGCGACCATGATACGTCGTAGTCCAGGAACTGCCTCTGGATCGATGGTCCCCAGAACGGTTGGAGTCACAAAAGCCCAATTGATTTCCATTGACTCAATGGCATCCGCCAGACGACTCACTCGGTCGGAATCGGAGGGCATACACACTGTCCCACCTGCGGCGAGTGTGCACCAAATCTCGATCAAAGACACTCCAAAACTGAAAGACGCAAACTGTAGTACCCGGCTCGTGGGATTCAAGTGGAGGGCTTTGCAGTGGGTTTGCACACTGGCCAGCGCTGCGTGATCCACAAGACATCCCTTGGGCTCTCCCGTACTACCAGATGTGAAGAAACAATATGACGGTGCTGTAGGATCGATTGGCCAGTCGCTATAACATTTGCCCTCCGCCTCACAATTCTCCGTCTTGGTCAGGGTGAGAATGGTTTGGGCGTCCACCGCCAACGTCGGTGTAATCACATGGCCCATCAGTTCTTGATTCTGGGGCGAGGTGAGTCCCAGGGGTGGGCCGTTTAGTTGCTTCACAATTAATCTCAGGCGACTCAAGGGCTGTGACGCATCCAACGTTACAAATGCCGCCCCGGCTTTGTTGATAGCGAGCATGGTTACTACCGCCCATAATGATTTGTTGAAACACACTGGGATGAGAGTGCCTGCGTTCACACCTAGTGTCTGGAGATGGCGTGCTAATCGCGACGAAATGACATCCAGTTCGGCATACGTCAATTCGCCATCTGCTGCCAACAAAGCAGGATGGTCACCCTGGCTGTCGGAGAGATTGTGGATGATTTGGTGGATGGTAGGAGCTGATGGTTGGGCCAATACTTGGCCATTCCATTCCTTGATTGTCTTTTGCTGTGCACTGCTAGTGATGGCCATTTGAGAAAGTTTACTCTTGCTCGTTGCCTTTAACGACACGGTTGTCACTACTTCAGCCAGCAGGGATGCCATGTGGTCCGCCTGCCCACTGGACAAGACAGAAGTGTTGTACTCAAGAGACCATTCGGAGTTTTCCAAATCGAGGGCCAGCATTATAGCACATTGCTATAGAGAGTTTTCCAGTCAGCTATTTGTGTTTCTTTTATTTTTCCCTCAAGTGACGGACGTGTTTAGGCAGGAATTTAAGACAAACCTTTTCCTCTTCTCCTTCTCTTGCTTTGCCTAACTCTCCTGCTGTCCGATTCTCAGCCGCATCCCTCCCGGGTTTCCCATGTTGATCTTGATAGATTGCAACCCCTGTATTGAAATATGGATAATCACTCTGGCTCACACTAGAGACCGACCATCCTTCGAGGTGAAACAATTGAGAGACGGACCCCATTCGACTTGGTGCAGACGAGAACAGCTTCATATTTTGCTTCGCTGCACTCCCGGCTGTCAAGGGGGCGGGGGTCTGACAGACACCAATTTGGACGATGTCGACTTCGGCATATTCACAAAGTATCAGAGCCCACACGGTAGCTAAAAAGCACACGGGGTCTTTCTGCTGCGCCTCGGGGCTCCGGTCTGGCTCCTGGCCCTGGTAGGGACAAGAGGCCTTGCAGGACGAGGATGGAAGGATTCCAACTGCCTTGAGGGTGCAGGTACATAGTTTGGTCCGCCCCCAGTTTGTTTTCCCGTCGTCGGGAGTGTTCCCATCGTTCCGGATCGGGAAAAGGCACTTCTTAGTTAGGAGATTAATTTCTCCCTCGAGAGATTGGATTGTCATCTTCCGTCTAATTGGATGAACGGGCTTGGTGAAATCAAATGATGAGCGAAAATGCTCTTCTTGGTAAAATTAAGGAAGAAGAACGCAAATCCTCTCTCCTTTTAATCTACAGACTTGTATTACATCAAATTCTTTCTTTCAATGTTGATGTGCAGCTGAAGAGAAACCTCCACATACATGGTCTTTCTCTTAGTCTCCATTCTTGATATTACCGTGCGTCCCTGGAGCATCTCCTTACAGTATAGATACCACCATATAATAATTGCAATAAGGCTAAGAATTCGTCATCGGATAGTCCCGACTAGCTCAATGTTCAAGTCTCTATAGCTATTGCAACTATCGAAATGTGGCATACAACACATACTTCATTTTTGTAAGGGATATGCAACTGGTTGGTAGTCTTAGGACTATTTAGCCTATAAGCGGTGAGCCCTGGAGAGTTGGTCTTATGCAATGTCTCTTTTTCAATGTATCATCTATATGAAACATATGATGCATCTGGACATGCAAGGAAAATCACTTGCCCGATAGAGTTATTATCATCAGGCCCCCTAACACGATACCCCGGCCCAGAACGACGCTCATGCATGCACGCCACCTGTATTATATATGGTATTACTACAAATGCATACAACGAATTAAATACAAAATGAGCTATAAATTTCACACTATGAATGAATTATTACTAATCATTAGTATTGGAATTACGCGCAGGCTACCCTTGAACAGGTTAGGATATACATCTACGTTGGCGTGGCTGCAGGGCAGTAGGGCATGGCAGCATGCTACATTCCACAAGATCAAAAGTCCGCGGAGGACAAAGTACACATGACTAGCTAGCTTATGCTCGATTAGGTAACAGTAGGTGCATTGGCATACATATGCACGCAGATTACTGCAGTAAGCTTGATCGTATGTTATACTCATATGACAAAAAATTAATTAGTTTCCATTAACCTCTATCATTTGATCGATTCATGTTCCCCTCTCTCTGGCCTTAGTTTTATTCCGCTTTTCTCCCTTAGCACAGGGAAAACAATGACCAAGATGACAACCGACCCTCAACTATCGGCATCTGCTCCGCATGCTGGGAATGATGCTGCTCCTAATTCTACTGGGATTAAAGTGGTAATTGTGGGAATCGGGCTCGCCGGCATTACCGCGGCGATCGAATGTCATCGAAAGGCTCACTCTGTGATTGTCCTCGAAAAGGTATCCGAGTTAAAACATGACGGTATGTTATTCTACAACATATATCCCCATACTCCCGTAAATCAGATAGTTGATTTGCATTCTTCCTGAGCTGATGACTGTAAAGCTGGCGATGGGATTATGATCGCCCCTAACGCAAGCAGGGTCATCCGCCAGTGGGGCGATGAACTGTTCGCAGAGATCGTCCTAAATCGCTGTGACTCCACGCAAGTAGATATGATGGACCATAACGATAATCTCATTGCTCGGCAGGAACTCCCTGGAAAGGGGGAAGGTATTGTGACAAATCGTGGGAAACTGGTGTGTCTCCTATACGCCCACGCCAAGAACCGGCTGGGGATTGACATCCGACTGGGCTCTCGGGTGACCGATTATTGGGAAGAGAACGGACAGGCCGGTGTGACTTTGGATGATGGGGAGCGTATCAGCGGAGACTGTGTAGTCTGCGCTGATGGAGTCCATGGAATGTCCAGGAAGTTTGTCACCAAGGAGGAGGTGGCTCCACAGGAAACCGGCTGGGCAACTTTCCGGGCTCATATTGAGACCGACGCATTTGCAAATGACGAGGATGCAAAATGGGTGCTGGCCGGAACTGAGTCAAAGGACCGGACCTATGCTTGGTTCGGGGACGGACTGAATGTGGCCATGATGACCTTGAAAAGGGGCAAAGAAGTAGTGTGGATGACGACGCACAAGGTAGACATCTCACTCTTTTCTTCCTTCCCTGCATCACCTTTCTGTCCCACTGACTTCGGTTTCTAGGATTGCTATGGAGCACGTGAGACATGGAATGGCGGTGGTCAAGCCAAGATGGAGGATGCACTGGCGACCATCAGTCACTGGCCTGGTAGGCACAGAATTGAAGCCGTCATTCGGCACACCAAGCCCAGCAAGTTGGTGAACCATGCTCTCATCTATCGTCCTCCACTCCGCACCTGGATCTCTGACGGCGGACGAACTATGCTCATTGGTGATTCTGCCCACCCGTACTACCCCGTTGTAGCCCAGGGTGGAAGTCAGGGAATTGAAGATGGCGCTGTTCTCGCCATTGCGCTGTCACTGGCAGGTAAGGAGCGCGTGCCCCTTGCCCTGCAGGTGGTCGAAAAGATACGATACCCACGAGCGTCTGTCATCCAGCTGGGGAGTCAGACATTTCAGGCCACTGTGCTCCGGTCAGACTGGGGCAAGGAAGAGAGCAAGCGTGATGAGTTCCGGTTCCCTAATCCTGACTGGATCTTTAGCCATGACTGTCAGAGCTATGCCTATCAGGAGTTCGAATCTGTAGTGGAGGCTATTCGAGATGGGAAGGAGTATGTGCCTACCAATATCCCCATCGATGGGGTGTATCGGGTAGAGAATACATACAAGCGAGGGTGATTGTCACTTTCGTTCACCTGTTACTATTTGATAGTTGCTATCCCATATACTACCAAGAGGCGGATAGTTGAACAATATATCGGATAGCCCGTTCATGTGATTTTCTTCTTCTTCTAGTGAGTTTCCATGCATTAGTTAATCTTTGCAGCCTTGATAGTCCCTCTCCCACGGCATTAATGCAGTATCTCTACACCAATCTATGTATTTGGGCAACCTCTCCCAGCATAGACAAAAATCAGTCAGGAGAAAAGGCAGAAGCAGTGCTAGCCTCATGCAGAAATTGCTGGAATCAAAGTAAATTGCCTGGACATAGCGTGGTAAGCTTCCTCCTGCAATAAAAATGCAGGGTCTCCGAGGCAACTGTCTTGCGTAGAATGTTGGCAATTTAGATCCAACAATGCGTAAGGGGCCTATGGCTGTAAAAAAAAAAAAAAAAAAAAAAAAAAAGCAAGGACCTGTGAGACAAATGGCTGGATTTTCTTCTTGTGTAACGTGAGAATGATTTCGCATGAATATTGATTTCACTGCATAAGATCGACTACCTTGGTAGAGCGTAAAAATTAGTCGGTAAGGGGACATTCTTCCGCATCTGAATATCTATATCAGATGAAAAACAGGCAAGATCTAAAAACAAACTCAAAAAGAAATTCAACGAGCACCAACAGGTTGAGTCTGGTGTGGCTACCTAAATAATTATATATACATATAGGTAGATTTCCCTTAAGATCGGATTTTTCCACCAAGACAAATCGCAACGAAACCAAACAAAAGGAGAACGGCACTTTGGTATATATCATGCGATCGTACTTGATCCCAATCCTCGCGGGATTACCGATCCTAGCGAGATCAACACTAGCACTTGCTAGCCGAGATGAAGGTCCTGATTTCAAAGCTATTTTCAGCCCAGTCTTGTCTTCCGGTGCCCATCTATTCCTCCCCGGTGATCCGGAATATTTCAAGGTCAATGAAAGATGGTCCAATCTGGAAGACCCGCAGTATGATGCTGCTATTCAACCAGCCACCGAACTCGATGTGAAAAACATTGTAAGTTGTTCATATATACCCCCGATGTCATTTTCGTATCGATGCTGATTGGGTTTTTGCTTTACTCAGGTTTCAGCTGCTACTGAGCATAATATCTCCTTTCTCGCCACTGGATCAGGTCATAGTGTCAAACCAGGCTATGCTTCCGTCAAGGGGGCGGTGAACATCGACCTCAGCCTAATGAAAAACATCGCTTTGGGCTATGACACCGACACCGTGACTGTCGGACCAGGAGTAAAGAACAGCCAGGTGTACGACGTGGTATATGATGTGAAAAAGGAACTCCGTAATTCCACTCTGATCCCCAAATTAGATATCCCAAGTTGTCTGGCTGACCTGCTTAGCTCTTAGCACCGACCGCTGCATTAGCACGATTGGCACGATGATTGGAGGCGGCCTGGGAACTCTTTACAGCACGCGTGGTATTTTGGCAGACTCGCTGGTCTCAGCTAACGTCGTCACTGCAGCAGGTGACCTAGTCACAGCCTCATTGACCGAAAATCCGGATCTCTTTTGGGCTATTCGTGGAGCCGGTCATAACTTTGGCATTGTGACCTCCGCCACGTTTAAGATCTACGACCAGACCAATGGTGGCAACAGTCTAGTCGGTGATTTCGTGATTCCCAACTCCAGGAATGCCTCCGCATTCGAGATATTGAAGTCAGTGGATGAGGACCTCGAGCACAACGTCTTTTGGGGAATTCTAATCGGTTTCAACCACACGACCAAGGAGGTGAATGAACCTCCCAACCAAAGTAACAAAAGCAAACAAAGGAAACCTAACAAGGGCAAAAATAGGCTGAAATTCATCTCCGATTAATTGTCCAAGGGAGCGACGAAGAGGCTGCCCCCCATCTCGCCAAAGCAAAAGCCCTCAACCCAACCGTCACCTCCTGGGAGAACATGACATGGAACGCCTTCGGTGAACCAACCGAGATCATGTGCAACACGGGCTGGAATTCCAACATGTACCAAATGGGTCTAAAGAAGACTGATGTGGACACATTGGTTTCGTCGTTCAACCATTGGAACACCTTCTCTTATGAGAACGACTGGTATAACGGGCTGATCATGATGGAGAGACATTCCGAAAAGAAGGTGATGTCGGTTCCAAAGGAGGAGCAAGGAGTATTTCCATGGCGAGATACCAAAATTCAAATGTATGTGTTCCTGTCGCAATGAAAGCCAGACGGGGAGATTCCAGCTAACTGTGGTGATATCTCAGGATACTTGTCAACTACGTGACCGACCCGAAATACGCTGGTACACTCAATGACTTTATGCAGCCGGTTCGCGCAGATATCCAGGGCGCGATGGGATTCGAAAATCACCATAGCTATGTGAATGAGGCATTCGGCGATGAAGGTCCGAAAGTGTGGTACGGAGAGCATAACTTACCCAGGCTGGTGGCGGCGAAGCAAAAGTGGGATCCGAGCAATCAATTCGGAGCTGGAATGCCAGTGCCACTGAGTCTCTAGGTGCCTTGTTTGTGGAGAAGGCTGGATGAGTTGACCTGGTTATAATGCGTGAATTCTAGATTGTCGAAGTGAATGTCTGCATAAATGGAGAGTGTAAAGAAAATAGATTATAAAAATAGAGAGTGATATTATCTCGGCATACTTGAACGTATCGTTACCTCAAAAACTCTTAAGGACCAAATATTTTCAAAATAAAACAATACATCAGTCAAGACGGATTATTCCTCTTGACCTTCAAATTAATTATTACCATGTGAGAAGAGTACAGTGGTTGGAAGTCTGGTAGTGTCACAGTCCAACACAGGATAATTTGTGTGCCATTCAGAAACGTCTCAAACTGAGGAAAGAAAGAGAAGAGAGGGAGAGAGCGAACAACTACAAAACAATACCACCCCCGAGTCCCAATCTGGACTAGCTCGCTACACGAACCATGCGTCATAGGTAGTGTTGCCGCATAAAAAAACTTTTCTACAATCTTTTCTACTTCTTTGCAAAGAAGTATAACTAGGCTGTTTATTTCATCTAGATACAACATATATAGGTAATACATTTTAAATTAAAATGAAAAGAAATCAAGGTACTGCATAAATCGTTATCATTATTTAGGCTAAAGTAGTCAGGCTTAGTATGTTAATTTCTGGAGCGTGGCCCACTAACAAGGGAAGGTATGTATAGCGGCCAAATTGAATCAACAAGAACCAGTGGACAACACACACACACACACACACACAACAAGCACTTAGTTAAGGTCGTGCTGAGGGAGGTCGCAAGTGTCTAGGTTGAGGCCGTGAGGCCGTACGGGCAATCCTGAACGCAGCAATCCTAATTAAAGCCGTGCGGTTTTCCGGACTGAGGCCGTATGGAATGTACTTAATACGGCACGATGAGTGAAAGATTGTAGTGACAACTGGAATGAATTGGGTAGATGCCTCTTCTGTCTCTATTCTCATGTGGAAGCTGTTGCTTACGCCCAAGGTATTCGGGACACCTCAGACCGCAACTGTATTCATTATGTCATGCGTTCCACCACTACAATATGTAGCTACACTAGCGATGTATACGTGTAACAAAATGGCTAATGGATAAGCTGACTTATCCAGAATTGTGGTGAATCCGCGGATTTTGCATAGATATAATATACTCGGTTTTAACCCGGTATCCCACCATTGTATTCGACATATTTAGAGATATGCTAAATGTAGTCTCCCCGGGGCAAATGAAAAATTTTCATTCAGCGCTTTCCAATTCATATCCATCTGACAGGCTCATGATCGGAAACTCCAGTTGCTTCTCCCGGTGAGGAATAAGAGAGTCAATATCAGAAGAAATATGGTCTCCAACCACTGGCTTGCGCGTGAAGAAGATCAGCATGTCTCTAGTAGCCTCTCTGGAGGCATCGACCGCATAGACCGGGGAGATGCTGTGTTTACGCTCATTATCGACAATTAACAGGGTGTCCAAGAAATTGCGATGCTGCGCTCGGGCCTGGATAAGTTCCGGTGAGGTCTCATTGAGCCGGATGCCGGTTTTTTCTTTGATATCATGCAGGAAGGTCACTGCACTGTTAGACGACATGTTTGTACTTCGTAGGTAGGTTGTCATGGTGTGGTCGACACCATCTGTGTGCACTCCTTCCAGGGCGGGCTCTCCCAGCATTTCTGGCGTCGTGACCGTGCGCAGAGCAAACAGCGTACACACCCATTGGTTGCTGCGATAATTAAGCTTCGGACGCTCGTTCACCGTAATCCCATGGCACATGACTCCTTTGAATACAAGAAGCGCTTGGAAGACCGTGTTGCGCTGTAAATCATTGTCTACTTCATCGAAGCGACGGATGGTGTTCGAGTCATGCCGTTTGAAGTCTTCCTCCAATGACAGTGCAAAGGGCTGGAACTCAAGTCGTCGCAAGGACTTGGTATTCCAGTCGAAGCAGAATCTTCCATTGCGGGACTTGCGGAAAGGTAGAGTCGGATCGTCAATGAGGACGTTGTTCACGGCCTGAAGCGTCGCGAAGTCTTCATCTCTAGCTCCAAGCGCCTTCAAGAGCGGCACCATCTCCCTGCCATCCACGAAAACTGTCCGATTCTCCAGGTATTTTTGGCGTAGCTGGCAGATCCGACCGATGGCCTCGTAAAACTCGGCTTTGCCCCTCTGCTTCTGAACGTTGAGCGGGGGTAGATGAGGTTCCACGGCCAAGTCTCCGGTCTGCTTCAAGACGGAACTTGCCACTCCTATTCCCCGGTTCCATTGCTGATAGGGACTATAACCACGGATACGGTGCTGGAGATGTGAGACGGGGCGTACCATACCCCATAGCTTTTTGATGGGTGATATAGCTTCCATTGATGCTCGCCGTAGCAGGAGTGAATTGCTGGGAAGAGATCACCGGAAATAGCACAGAAGGAACACAGGAAATTCCAAAGTCCCCGAGATGATGAATGATTGGCTGGCAAGATTTTGAAAATTGGTAAAATGTTCAAAGGAACTGTCAACGTTGAGTCGATCGTTATGTACTGCCTTAAGTGTGTGCCGCTTTTTGAATTTATTGGAGGTGCCGAAGCCCTAGGGTGCCCAACATAAGACCGCTGCATCTGGGCACCTTTGGTGGCTTATTGTCGTATGCATCGGACCACAGGTGCGTCATGCCCTGTAGGTTGATTACTTTCCGTTATGTGAAGTAAGCCCAGAGGGACATTACTTTTGGCCCTGAAGGGACCGAATCATGGAGTGTGGTCACCTTCTGTTCTTGTATATAGAGTTACATTTAATCTGCTGGATTCCCTCGGAGAGATGAACCAGTACAATTAGATTCCAAAACTCTTCTCATGATATGCACATTGCTCGACTCATGTTCCCAAAGCCAAAAAGTACACTGAAACTTGACAAAATGCAGGACTAGCTGCCTAGAGTCTACTTTCGGGGAAATGTATATAAACATTTCAAGCCTATTTCACAAGAGTGTGTTGAGAAGCCGAAGCAGCTGTTCTTTTGGTATGCGACCGGCGAAATGCAACAGGACAATGGCTGCAAGTGCTATGTCTGATCGATCTCGTTGCCAGGCTGCCCTATTTTCGGCGGCGAGCCCCATCATCAGAGCCCACCGGGTTGGAAGCTAGGAGTTTCATTTAGTATGTTGCCTTCAGTGGAGCGGTCAATCATCTCACCTCATTCTCCATGATCCGTTTTATAGGATTGGGGCTACATGTCTTGTTCGTCGTATCCTGCACCTGCGCCCGGACAAAGGACATAATGCATTCAGTGAGATTTCTTTGTGCGTCATCGCCCTCCGAAGATAAGAAGTTCTCTGTGGTCTTTACGATTTCTTCCTGTAACCCTCGTCGCTCCCATGAGTCCCATTGGTCTGCGGCATGACATACATCCGCGATGACTTTGGGCAGCCGTCTAGTGCGACTTAGACGTTGTTCGTATGCCAGCGGCGATGATTCTGCAAAGATCCCATTGTAATAGGCCGTGACCAGCACGTCAAAGTTTTCGAAACCACTATCAATGACACGTTCCATCACACATTCAAGACGGTCGTTTAGCGAGATTTGTTTTGCTGACACCACCGAGTCAGGGGGACTATATGATGAGTCTGAGGTGTGGGTAGAATTGGATGAGGCTTCCACCAACGGGATTGTTCTCATCGGCTGACAGGGGGGCTTTGGTTTCCAGGCGTCACCCAAGGTGTTCAAAAGCTGTTCCCTGCTAACTCGGCTTTCTGTCATGAACACAGCATCACTGTCGGGTTGCTCAGCTAGTCCTGCTGCTCTGTTAATGCACCGTCCTGATCAACTGGATTGAGGCTTTGGGCCACCTACCCAGGTTTGTGTTAAGGCCAACCGAGCTATTCGCGTGAAAGTTTGCATTATCTTGCCAGATGGTTTCATCCAATTGGTGTTGGGGGGAACCGATCTCATCTAGAATGCGCTTTACTTCCCCTATTGGAGCATCGCCTGTCTCCCGTTCGTTCTGTGAATGGTGTACTTGTAATGTCGGACTCTGTTCCTGGTATGAGCTCTCTTGCAGCACCCCACCCAAAGCAGCACATCTGGTCGGTGTTGGAAGTAATATTGGCGATTTTTGGCACGACTCAGCTGTCACTGTGCAATATGTACTGGCCATCAATGAGTCGTTGTCGTCAGTCTGCTGCACTCGATTTTGTTGATCGTCTTCGACTCTTGCCTGGAGCTCTGCTAGACGAGCTTTGACGCGCTGGCCTAGTGCAAATTAGTTCGCTGTTTTGGTTCTCTGTCACCGGTAGGATAGAGAGGGCATTTTACGATAGGTCCTTTGAGCCATTCGGTTCTGAATCCGTTTCCTTTCCATCCGGCTCTTGACCGCGATCGAGCTTTCCGCAACGCTTAGCTCGCTGGCACTGGGGAGGGAAAACGCCGTTGGAACCCCTGTCGCCCTCCAGGATACTTGCTCATTTGCGTAGAATGTCATATTCATTACGATTATACGAGCACTCGCTGGGGTTCAGACTCTAAGACTAATAATGGGAAGTCTTCACCAAATACTACGGTCGGTAAGCACATGTATTCTGTACCCACTTGATTATCCACTTGATTTTCTGCCGGCTATATCACATAATCACCCACCCTCTAAATATTTCTATCCCCCGGGAAAGCGGTGATAGGGGCGGTGGCTAGGTGGCAATGTGGGTACTGAATATATGTGCTTACCGACTGTATGTGTATCTGCTTTCCCTTCACTACAGCTCCACTCGACCACGCTGAATGCACCTATCAGCCGCAGTAAAAAATAGTTCCCCTGGTGATGCCAAATGCAAAGAGCTTTTCAACACACCGCTACTTTAGAGAAAATCCCACAAAGGTGATCGCGAACAAAAAATTGCTGCCGGCTCAATGACTTTGAACTACACCGCCAACATTCATGAAAATGCAGGATATGCAAGGGGACAGTGCGATTGTAGGCGGAGGTGTATGATGGCTCATATCGACCCGCGTCGGCCCGCGTCGGCCCGCATTAGACCGCATTAGCGTCCATTAGCCTCAGATGAATACGATTTATCGACGGAAATCATTTCCCTTATGTCCAGATCACGTAATGCGATCATCTTTAGTTCATGTTACGACAACAATGAGATGAATAACTTGCATATCCATGGAGTCCACTGCACTCTGCCCGTACACCTGTCACATTCTTCACCTCTTCCGCGTGGAATCATTGTTACAAATGAGAATTATTCAGTGGTCTAAATCTCACGTTTCTGCAGCAAGACCGTCTTCCTTAATCGCTATAATAGAAAACTCATACTCCGTATCGAAATTTCTCCAACGTTCCATCTGATGCAAAGAACATCTGCTCCTGATATTCATTCCAATCAGATCCAAGAATCATGTCTCAATTATCCGCATACCGCCTACTCAGCTTCGATGTCTACGGCACCCTGGTCGACTGGGAAGAAGGTATCTGTGCCGCCCTCCAAGTGACACTAGATCACTACGGCGTACAATTTCCGCGAGACCGACTGCTTCACCTCTTCCATGAACTCGAATTGGAACATGAGACCAAGTCCCCTGGCATGCTATACAGTGAATTGCTGACCGCTGTGCATCCGGACTTGATCGAACAATTGGGCTTGCCTTTACCCACCCCTGAAGAAAACAAGCGCTTTGGCGAAAGCGTGGCGCGTTGGCCGGTCTTTCCCGACACGTTAGACGCATTGAAGCGGCTTTCCAAGCATTACAAACTTGTAGTGGTTTCCAATGTGGATCAAATTTCTTTCTCCAAAACCAACGCGGGAAGTCTGCAGGGCTTTCCATTTGATTTGGTGCTTACTGCACAAGAGATTGGGTCATATAAACCGGATTTACGCAATTTCCAGTACCTGTTGAAAGCTGTGAAGGAGCGGCTGGGAGTCGAGTCGAATCAAGTCCTGCACACCGCGCAGAGCCAATTTCATGACCACCAACCCGCACAAAAGGTGGGAATTAAATCAGTGTGGATTGCGCGTTCGCGGGCGATCATGGGCAATGTAGATGAGCCCATGTATGACTGGCGATTTGACACACTTGGGAGAATGGCGGATGCAGTGGATGCGGGTGGGATCTAGAGTAGGTTAAATTCTAAATCCGCACATGCAAGGATCAGGATAGCTTCATCACAATCTTTGTATATCTATGACACCTAGTTGAAATATCAAAGAGTTACTGGCTCTTTTCCTTTGGGACTTGATACAAAACTGTCGTCCAACCCGAACATGATCGCGTCACCGGCCATGGCAACCTCATACTCAATATCCGGCTGCGCCTCTACATACAGCCAGTCCTTCTGGCCTGCCATGGCAAAGTTAAACTGAGCCAGCTGATTGGGGATAATATGCTTCTTTAGGGCGGGGTTCCCTGCACAGGCCGCCTCCACCTGCAACTGGATCTGGCAACTGCGGTCGAGCAGCGTAAAGAGAAAGGAGGCCTCATCGACGGTGGAGCCAACACTCAAAAGACCATGGTTGAGCAGTACCGCGGCCTTGCCCTTGCTGCCGAGGGCTTTCGCAATTTGCTGCCCTTCTTGCTGGGCTGTGACGATCCCCCCGTATTCCTTACTCACCGCCAGCACACCATACAGGTCACATACATCCTGTGTGATCATATCTAAGGGCTGGCCAAACGTAGCCCACGCGCGGCCGGCAATGGTATGCGCGTGGCAAATCGAATGGATGTCTGTTCTTGCTTGGTGAATCTCCGAGTGAATGAAGAAGCCAGGAGTGTTGACAGGTCGAGTCTAACAGCTAGATGAGAACATGACTGGGAAATGATGATTGTGAACAAGGGGCGTGGGAACATACTAGATTACCACCGACGATTTTTCCAGTCTTGACATCAAGACACACCATATCGCGTGCCTTCAACAGGCCAAAGTGCTTTCCTATTGGATTCATCCAAATATACTCAGCATGCTCTGGGTCGCGCACACTGATATGACCCGAGATTCCTTCAGTAAAGCCCACACGCGCCCAGTTGCGAAATACAGCTGCCATATGCACCAGAATATGCTTCCGGTGCTCAGCAAAGGAGTCAAACTTTGGTATTCCTGATCAATGGCTCTATTGTCAGATGCCTCTACGGAGAAGGAGGTAGTTGGCAGTACCTGTGAGAGGGTTTGGGCCATGGCTCAAATTGTGCAATTGGCATTCATGCTCAAAATTGGAAGATGCGTCCGACGCGTCCTGGGCCGTAGGTACAGCGGGAAAGGTCATATCTCAGTGAAGGCGGGCGTAGGAACAAAGCAATGCTTAGTTCATGATCATTGTAGATTGGAAACTTCTCAGGTTATTATTAACAGGATTTCGAACTGACGTGAGAATGTCGGGCCCTTAAGGGATGGTAAGCCAAACAGTAATTCGAGCACCTGACAGTAAGCTCCGAGGAATCCAGACTCCAGTGGACGAAAGATCCCGTCCCAATACATCAAATCAGATATGCATACGATAAGCCCAAGCGCTCTATCGACTAGTTACTGCATGATCCATGCAACTAGATCACACCGCCACATCAGCCGTTCCCGTGCATCAAACGAGCACATCTGTTTCGATTGACTGTAAAATAAGGCACCAGTGCTCTACAATGAACGTCAAAGGTCCCTGTAGGTCCACTTAGGGGGATTGTATCTTGGTCATCCAATTCTCCCAATTCTCCCTGGTACTCTTATGAATACCAATCAACGATTTTTTTTCTATCCTCGTAACATACCAAATACGCACAACAATGACGAAAGTTATACCGACTACCGGCATCACTATCATCATTGTCGGTCTTGGGATCGCTGGACTCACTGCCGCAATTGAGTGTCATCGACAAGGTCATAAGGTGATTGGATTAGAAAAGAAAAGCACGGTATATCAACTTGGTCAGTTCTATCTGTATACCCCGGCTCCGGGTATCATCCAGTAATCACCTCGCTGAACGGCCCGCTGGAGTCTAGGGGATATCATTGGCCTAAGTGAGAATGGCCTCAAGGTCCTTTCGCAATGGCCCAACGCCAACGGCACCTCCGTTGCCTCAACCCTGACATCGCTCGGTAGCGAACTGTCTTCGGTGGAGATTTTCAGTAGTGCTGGGGAATTGAAATATACCATCCCATTCGGCGCCGATAGTCCAGTGGCGGGACTGTTTCTTCGTCGGTCGGACCTGGTCGAGTCGCTGTATCAGTATGCGACAAGCGAACTCGGATTGGATCTGAGATATGGAGTGACGGTAGAGGAATATTGGGAGACAGCAACAACAGCGGGTGTGATTGTCGAGGGGGCAGAAAGAATAAGCGGGCATTGTGTGATTGGGGCAGATGGCATTTATAGCAAAACGCGTGCCATCATCACCGGTGACAGCCCAGAAGAGGACGCCGCCACTCTTCTGGAAACCGGGGGCGCAATATTTCGATCGACGTTTGATGCGAGTGCGGTCGCTACCGATCCTGATGCACAGTGGGTATTGCAGGACGCATCGACACATGACAGACATGAGATCTATCTTGGAAAGGATGTCACGATTCTTATGGGGACCATGGGGAAGGGGAAATATGTGTGGTGGAATTGTTCACACAGGGTAATCTAGCACCAATTTTAGCATGTCGAATATTTATATTGACCATAGATTTGGTTACAGGACCCGACGAAAGCTACGACCAACTGGGTCCAAGCCGCATCCATTGCCCCGGTCCTGAGATATATACAAGACTGGCCGATCGCGAAGAAGCTATCTGCCGTGATATCCAAGACCCCTCAAGGCAAATGTTTCAATCATTCACTGGTTACAAGAAAGCCCATACGGACTTGGGTTTCGCGCCAGGGCCGAATGGTTGTAATCGGGGACGCGGCGCATCAATTTCTACCACATACGGGGCAGGGGGCCAACCAGGCCATTGAAGATGCCGCCGTGGTGGCAGTTTGCTTGCGGCTGGCATCGCGTTCGAACGATTCGAGTAGCCGGGAGGAAGATGGTGTTCCTTTGGCGTTGCGCGTGATGGAGAAGCTCAGGCAAGTTTTGGGCCCGTCCTCTGTTAAAACTGATTCTGATATCAACTACTCTCTAGATATAGACGGGTCTCCGTAATCCAAGAAGGCTCTGTCGAAGCCCAGGAAGTTACTCTTGAAGCCGATATGGACACTGGCACCTCCGGCGACCGTTTTAATGCGATCTCCCGTCCAGCCTGGATTCATTGCCATGATTGTGTTAGCCACGCTCACGAGGAATTCTCTAAAGTAGTGGATGCGCTGAACAAGGGAGAGGGAAATTGCGATGCATATGTTCCCACGAATGCCCCTATGGATGGGTTGTTCCACGCGGAAGACGATTATATCCTTCAATCGAAGGGGGCTGTTTAGGGATATAGACAAGAGGTAGAGAGTATCAATCCAATACATCAGTGTGACCCTCTTCTCGAATCCCGTAGGATAAAGGCAACACAAATACCTACCTTTTGATATGTGGTAAAATTATGCGACACTCAAGGCCGGGACTAGCGCTCTCAGATGTCGGCTGGTAGACTAAGGGGTACAATACAGTACTGAAGTGGTTACCATGAAGGATAGAGAGTATGCATACGTAGGTACTAGTTCCAAATGATACCTTAATTTCCCAAGAATATTATCATTTATGGCAATTCTTACCATTTGATCTTGGAGATCAATGCATCGGGCATCGAGACAAATTGACCGAGAGTCGTCGCCAGCTTGTCTACCAGCATATCTGCAATATCTTGCGACAGCCTAATCTCCGGTCCAAGGATAGCGACATGCAACGTATCTTTCCCAGGAACTAATTGCACTTGCACATCTTCCAGGCGTCCGTGGAACGCCCAATTATGCGCACACACCTGCCCATCGACAATGACCGGGGGAATCGCCTCGGTATTTTCCAACACTAGGAGATGGCTGAACCGAGTAGTCTCCACTGGCCAAGACGGAACACAATGGGGAACAATATCTGGTAGTTCGCAGGTTTCAAACGGCAGCCGAGTAGCATATTGCGCCTGCGAGTGCGAGAGGAGATCCTGAACGGTGGCCCCCTCGTGATGGGGAATGGTAATACGCATCGGAGTCTCCGCTGCTGTACATCCCGTGATACTCTCCACGTCTTGCACGAGAGGCAACGTGCGACCTTCGACAAATTCACCAAACACCAGATCATGTTGGCCGGTATAATTCCCAAGCACAAATGCCCAGGCAGCCCGGAACACAGAAGCGAGAGTGATTCCGACGGGAAGGATGGGGGTCGGCGTAATTGGGCGCATAACAAACACCATGCCAATATGATCCGGAAGCAGGTCGGCAGAGGAAGCGTCCGTGAATAGAGGTTGACTCATCTGGGAGCCATGCAGGAATTGGGTCCAAAAGTCCATCACTGGTGAAGACAAGTTCTGTTTGACACGACTGGTCATGTAGTCGGAGAAATGCAGCTCGCATTGGGATAGCTCGCGACCCTCGAAGGCGGCCATGAAGTCCTTGAATATCACATTCAGTGTCATGGCATCAAATTGCGCGTGCGTAGTGCGGATGATGAGCAGACTGCTGCTGTCTCTTTTTTGGATGATTCTCGTTAACTTCCACCAACGGCTGCCATTGAGAACGGGCTCAGCATCACGGTCGCAAAAGCTCGCTGTAACCTCCTTTATTGGTTGATCGTCACAATATTGGATGGAAATCGCGGTTTCAGGCTGGCGGAGGAAAGCTTGGTAGACACAGCCATCATGAGTGATATAAACGGACCGAAGGGAGATGTGTTTCTTTTGAACAGCCTCCCAAGCAGCCTCTAGCCGCGAATGATCTAGGCCGGAAGTATCCAGGGTAATATGCATGCATTTCAATCCGGCGGACTTTTGTTGAAACGCAGTGGTGGGAAGAAAGCCTCCTTCCAATTCATTGGCCTGCAGTTGACACTTGGCTAGGAGGTGATCTGTCACAGTTGAGTTCAGCTGGAATGATACCGATGATGGCATGTTTGAAATGGGTTGTTTTATAGCCCCTTCCAACATGCCTGCCATCAGCTGAATAGTTGGATGCTTGAATACCATGACAGAAGACAAGCCGGCATATCCCAGTTTGCGCGCGCTCGCAGAAAGACGAATAGCGTCAAGTGAGGTTCCGCCGAGACTAAAATAATTGTCCTGGGTGCCGATCTGGTCAATGGGAATGTTAAGGCTGGATGCCCAGAGGTGTACGAGAGACTCTTCGAGCTTGGTCGATGGCTGGCCCTGAGAGGTCGCTAGCATACTGCTGTATTTCCTCCTCTCCATCGGCGCAAGATTTGCAGCCATAGTTCGAATGGACCGACGGTCAGTCTTCCCGGAAGGCATCATAGGCAGGTGGGAGAGCAGCAAGAAGTCCGAGGGAACCATGTACGCGGGCAACTTCTCCCGCAACGTGCCTTCTGCCCTCCTCGAGTCTGCAATAAATTGCTCGTCTGGCACCAGGAAGAGATTGTCATGCGCGACCATGCTGGTCATGTCTTGAGAGCGACTCACAAACGCAATTAGATTCGGCTCCCGATTCTCTGCCGTCACCAACTCGACGATCATTGCGTGAGGGGCCGGGAAATATTGTCGCAGCTGATGCTCAATCTCGCCCAGTTCCAGACGCTGCCCGTGGAGTTTGACTTGGGAGTCCTTGCGACCCAGAAACTGCATGGAGCCGTCCATGTTGAACTGGACAAGATCACCAGTCTTATAAAATGATCCGTAGGATTCACGGATAAAATCTCCGACCCAGGCCGGAGCATCAATGAAGGTCGACTGACTTTCCTTGCGGGGGCCAAAATACCCTCTACCCACAGTGTGACCTTGGATTATCAGCTCTCCTACTTCCCCAACCTCCAGGAGCTGATCATAGTTGTCCGGATGCACGACCCATGGGGTGATGCCAAGCGAGTATCCTATGTTGTTCGGGTCGGCCTCGTTCATTGCCTCGTTCATGATAGTGATGCACCCAGCTTCCGCGGGGCTGTAGCCATTATGCAGGTGAACATATGAAGACCACCGGCGCACATCCTCACTAAGTACAGGCTCCCCGCACAGCATCACGGTTTTCAGGATTGGCAAATGTTCGGGCTCCAATAGTCGACTTACTGAGGGGGTCAACATGGCAAGGGTGATTTGATATTTGTGGAGGGCCTTGGTGAGGTCACCCTTCCTCTCCTCTTCGGAAGGAATACAAATGCAGGCGCCGAAGATAAACGGAATCAGATGCTCAAATGTCGCCAGGTCAAAAGAATTGGACGAAAATTGGAGCGTTCGCGAATTCTTATTCAACCCCAGCGATTGGCCACACGCCAATGCGCAGGTCACCAGCGCGCGATGTTCCATTAGGAAGCCCTTAGGTGTTCCTGTGGAGCCTGACGTGAACACACTGTATAGCGCGTTTTCGGGCTGATTGACTAGTCCATCGGAAGACTCAGTAGATGGATGAGGAATTTGTTGATCATCCATTATCATCGAGTCTGCGCTAATCTCTGCCGCGATGCCAGCTGTTGCAGCTGACGAGATAATCATTTGTGCCCTCGACTCTGCAAAGATAGCTTGCAAGCGACCCACTGGTAGACTGGGATCCAACAGCACAAAGGCTCCGCCCGCCTGGAGGACCGCATGCAGGGCAACGGTGACGACCTTGGATTTTTCGAACAGTAGGGCTGACAGAACCTCGGGTTTTACCCCCGCCGGCGGAGTTCGTGGGCCACGCCAGCGGAACGCTCTGCCAGCTCGCGATATGTATATGTACCATCCCAGGCACAGACTGCGGGGGCATCTGGACGCTCGAGAGCATGCTTACGAAATATCTCATTTACCGTGGAGCTCACAGGATGAGATGTCGCGTTCTTCCAGTTAATTTCGGGAATGTATCGCTGGAGGACGATATCTTCTCCTGGGATCTCCACTGCCGTAGTAATAACTGGCACAGGCTTCTCGTCGTGGTTCAGAGTCTCAATTGGCTCAAACATCTTTCCTGTTTTTTGTCTCGTGAATTGAGAATGGTTTGAAGTACAGAATATCTCCAATTGATTTTACTTTTAATAGGAAGACTCTGATTCAGAACTCGATGTTTTAATCCCTTTCCTAGAGGTTATGTGGTTGGCCAGAAGTCCCACGCATTATATATGCAAGGGGGTATTTCATCAGCTCTCCTCTCATTCTATGGTATTGCGTAGCTGCAGAAGTGGCTTATGCATCATCAATACAGCATTTTAACTGGAAGCTGGTTGGTGCATCACTCAGTAATATTTCATGAGAAGTCAATGCAGTGATACATCATCCTGCAAGTAAGCTGTTGTGTAATACGCATATCCCAACTACTGCATAGAGATGCCTGTCGATCATTTGGGGGCTATAGCATGATATTCCGGAACTAGTGCTATATTTCCGCAGATCACAATATCAATGTCTAAAGCGGCATAAAGTGCAAGTAATACCTAGGAAGTGGTATAATATTTCTCTCATGATATACAGTTTACAGCTAGCGCAAATATCTTCTATTGGCAGATATCTTAGCTAACCTCCTATTTCCTATCTTACTTATTAGAAGAAAATGAAAATAAAAATAAAAATTGAAACAGACCAAGAATTCATCCATACCACTCCACTCTCCTAACAAGAATTTACGAAATGTATCTTGCAACTTTGTCCTGTGACAAAGTACTGAATACCCCATTCTGAAGAAATGAGCCCATAGCATCCGATTGTAGCGTAACGTAAGCCTCCCACCCGGGCTTCTCTCCACACCCATCACCCGCACGCTCCGGCTGGATAATACAAAAGCCATCTAACAGCGTAGCCTGCGGGTTGAACTCCGCAATTCGCCCTAGCGCAGGCCCAAAATCCAAACGACACGCCTTGAGCTGTCGCCAACTCGACACGATCGTGTCCGGGAGACGTGTACCGAGTTGGCTCCAATCCTTGTTGCTCATCAGGCGTGCTATATCCTGGCGCACATTCGCGTCATCCATTAAGGCGAGCTTCTGGCGAAGCTGAAGTGCTAATGCTGTGATTTCCAGAAGCGTGGTGTTGTCTATGGTCGGATGCTGGTTCTGTTTCGAAACCAAAACAGCCGGGTTGGGAAACGCATCCTGGAGGTGTGCACGGGCTCTGATGAGAGAAACGCCATTCCCAAGGTAGCTGTTCGGCAGGGAGGCAAGTTTCTTACGCAGGTCGACAATCACGACCATCTCTGCATTTATCTCGGTCTGGCCATCTTTGATGTGATGGCTGCGAGCTTTGTATATATCTAGTGCAGCTAGGGCGGTCAATATGTCGTTGGTGGAGATGAACTTTTGCCTGGGATCTTTCGATTCACCCCCCGGCCTCGCGTCATCGTATTGCCGGGATTGAATATCCGACAATACGCTGTTACAAGCGGTCTTCAGCTGGGTGACAGCAGTAGCCGAGAAGTGAAAAGAGTAGACGTCCAATTTCGGTAGGGCCCAGTCCGAATCCGTTGTCGACGTTTCGATGTTGCTGTTCTGGCCTTCATCTTTGCGCGGACGGGATGACCCGGCTGTGAAGGTCCCAATATTGTCAACTAGACGTCTGAGTTTAATTTCATCCTCGACCTCAGTTGTGGGTGTCAAATCGTGGGAGCTGGGGCCGCCGCAACACTCAGCTAGTATTTCAATCAACCGCCCAGCTCCTGTGGCATCAAACACGCTGTGGTGGAACCCTATCGCCAGAACAAGTCCGTCCGCGAGGACATTGACTTGGACGCGAAAAACTGGTCTTGGGCCTGGTGACAGGGGCAACAAGGAGACGGGAGGAACGTATGAGTCGTCGAGAGATGCAAATCTTTGGTTCTTACTAGCTCCTGCTTTGATTTGGAGTGGTAAATTTGGAATAAGTTGGTGGGGGTGTTGCTTGATAGAAATCATAGGAACTTCGCGGATCAGGATTGAGGATGGTACGATCTGCATTACATTCTTCCTGCCATCTGGGGTGGTGGTTTGGATGACATCTCCGGTCAAAAAAGGAAGCCTGTCGATCAAACCAGTGATTCCCTGGTTGGTGGCAATGAGGCATTCTTCTATGTTGCTGCAGCGGAACGATAGGAAGAAATTCATGAAAACCGGTCCCACAGTATGATCCAAGCAGGTGAGATAGAATGGTTCAAACATCCTCACGGGCTCATCCTTTGTTTCAGAGACTGTCATGTTGTCAAATGGTCGGAATTTTGGACATGCAAAAATCAATTCAGTCGAGGTTCCTCTAAAAAATAAGAGATAATCTCTGCTTCTAAGCCCGCCCTAGTTTCAAGGATGCTCTGTCTCATGCAAAGGACCGTGTAATGATGGCAGAGAGTGTCCACTCCACCCCTTTAGACCCATCCCTCCCACCCTCGATCGCTAAATGGCGGTGTAAAGCAAGGATTATGCATGTACTCCACGACCACACGGGGTGTCCAATCGCATAGTGGCATCTGCAGGGAGGCATAAAATCGCTTTCTTGAGCCCCAATAGGATCTATGCCGTGCCATAATTACTCCTGTGATTCTGCAGGCAGGATAGATGACATACTTGCGGGTTTACGAACTTCTTCCTATTCACATCTGATTCTTGATAACTTCGAGATTGAACTTTATTTTGGTGGCCTTCATTCTCAACTTGCCATGTCTATCCCAATTGGAAGCCATGAGCGAGATCAGCTCTTTGGGACTAAGACACCCCCGGGGCTCGGAAGCGTACAAACTATGCGATGGGGAGCGAAAAACCCTCCCAATGATCCGCAGGTCTCATTTTCAGGCATGAACGTCATGCTTACCGGTGCCAACTCCGGTATTGGGTACGAAGCCGCCGTAAAGTTTGTCAAACTGGGGGCATCGAAGGTGATATTAGCCGTCCGAACACTTGAAAAGGGGCATGCGGCCAAGCGAAATATCCAGATGTCTGTGGGAGAGGGATGCAAATGTGATCGTATCATTGCCATGCAGCTTGACATGGATGATTTCGGAAGCGTGAAGCGGTTCGCGACCAGCTTGGAGGAAGAGGTCGGAGCGGATGGCCTGCAGGTCGCCATATTGAATGCTGGAGTTGCCCCTGGAACCTATTCAGTGGTCAAGAAGACAGGCTGGGAATCAGCGCTACAGGTCAATGTTCTGTCTACAGCTTTGCTCGCCATCTGTGTTCTACCTCTTCTCAAATTGGGTTCAGAAGGAAACGTGCACCCGGCACAACTCATCCTCACAGGTAGCGCCGAGTGCGTCTCGGTGACGAAGGATATACCCATCGATGCTCCCAATGTGCTGGAAGCTTTAAATGAGCCCAAATCATTTTACTCTCGGAGCTCATATCTCATCACGAAACTTTTGGTTGTCTATGTTATGCAGGGATTGATAGATGATTATTTGGTCGCACCTTTGGACCCACAATACCATGTGGCTATCAGTGTCGTCTGCCCCGGCTACACAGTGACTAATCTCACCCGAGACCTTCCCTGGCCTCAGAAAATCGCCATGATGTTGTTGAACATATATGGCGGGAGATCTGCGGAGGAAGGAAGTCGTTCCTTGCTAAGCGCGTCATTGCTCGGGGCAGCTGGCCATGGAAAGTTTTGGACCAACGACAACTTCCTTGAGTGAGTCGTTCCGTCTCTGATTGAATTTCATACTATCTAAACATCAGTGGCAGTCTTGAATGTATCTCCACAGCTGAGGGTCGGAAGCTTCAAGCTCGGGTGTGGAAGGAAATTCGCGATATTTGTTTAAAGGAACTTTGAAATAGGCAAATCATTGCATCCCAAAGTCAGTGGAATAGCGGTGGAATTTCAAACCCAGATGGCGAACCCTTATCACCACACATGAGACACTAAAACCATGCGTCTCTCGCCAGCATGGTACCAGGTATGAGTGGACAACTCCATCAAGAATACCGAGCTCATGTTTTGATATAGTTCCTGGTCGGCGTCTTTGCCTGCCTTGGATCATTCCTTTATGGATGTATGTCCCCAATCGCCATTCTTGACACGCGGAATCTAATGTAGTCGCAGATGATCTGGATGTCATTGCCGCGGTGCTTGTCTGACAATCATTCAAAGCCAAGATTGAGGCAAATGACACTCAAACGTGAGTTTCGCATACCACACAATATATTAAAATCTCTGACAGCTCGGCAGAGAATTGATCGTGTCTCTATTCACGGCTGGTGCATGCGTCGGTGCCGGCTTCGCGGGTCCCAGTGGCGATTATCTAGGTAGACGACGGACCATCTCATTGGGATGTTTTTTCTTTACTTTCGGAGGTGGTCTTCAAAATGTAATAAATGACTCACACTACCTTACCCCCAGAATCAAACAGTCCCTCACTTTGTCTACCTTGTTTTCTGTGTCTACCAATTTGGCATGGATTTTCGACATTTGGAGAATGGCTTGCCTTCGTCGCCTAAAACCCAGCCGCAGCTCATGATGGGTTCAACGGCAACGATTTTTTCTTAGCATCCGAACTACGATAAGGCAGCTAGTGCCGCCTTTTAGATTGCATCCGCGCAATTGATTGGTCATTGTGGCCTTCGCAACAAAGTCGAAATTTCGACCCTATCCATTCCATCTAGCGGGTAATGCCCTGAAACGAACGCATTGATAAGGATAAGTGACCTAAAAGCGGTTTTTTCAACACCAATTTTGTAGTAGAATAACACAACGTGCATCGAGTATACTCAGTAGGTCCGACGTAAATCACCGGAGACATGAGTCTTCTGGATCCATGCGAGCGATACGGCACGGTTCTAGATTAGCGTGTTTCAAACGAAGGCTCGGGAATTCAAGTCAAAGAGTGTGGAGGTAAATCTGACTTCGAAATACTACTGTAATGAATAATATGTCTGGTACTGACGACTTTCTAGAAAGAGCGGGAATGCCGAGTTCCGTTGGGAACGTCGAGCACGGCAAAGACTGGGGTGTTACAGTAATTCATGATCATACCCGCGTTATCTATTAGGGAAGCGTCCATGCCCGGGTTGGATACCGTGCACATGTTAGACTAGTGCGTGTCGCTTAGAAAATCTCTGAGCCTGCTCGACGCGACCCTGCTGCTGCTGGGCCATGCCGTTCTGCTTCTGTAGCTGGGCGGCATTAGCAATAATCCCAGCCTATATAGCAGCTAGAAGCTTGGAAAGCGATCAGAAATTGACCACTGGAAGCGAATCTGGTACTTAGGGCACACTAGTACTTAATTTGGTGCTTGCGAACGAGGGCTAGTTGGTCAGAGCAACCTTGGGGCGAGCTTTGCCCTTCCTATATGCCTGAATTTGAGGGATGGTGTTGTTTCTTGATTTTCGTGCTCCAGTATACCTTCATGGAGCCTTCAGTCCTTCCAGGGAACTTCTGACCGAACCGCTTGGTCACTTCTGACTAAGTAAGAGACGCTTGCCCCGAAGCTTTATTGAAAAGCTCTGAGGGATAGAATTAAGAAAGCCGTATTGCTGCCGGAACATATACAAAAAATAGGAAAGCCCCATGTATTGGCGACATATAGATATGGCTATCCACAGGCATGAAAGACTTAAGTTTCATGGCTCAATTATGCTCTATGATGCTATTCAAGTCTTGCTTCAATTCATTCAACAAGCTGTTTGCCTCCTGTTTCGAAATTGAATTGGATATAGAATCGAGTTTCCACAACAAAGCATCATGATCCTCGCTGTAACTGACCTCCAGATAGATGCTATTCGCACCAGGGACACTTTTCCAGTCAAAAGGATCGACAGCGGTTTTCCCGGTCGAGAGCTCTCCAGAGTCAAGTTCAATCTCAGAGCCAATTGATAGAGGGGCAAAAATGGAATCACCTTCTTTATCAGGCTTGCCCAAAAGGATGTTGACAAGAAGATTGAATTCTAAGTCTTGGCCAAATTCCTTCATTTTTTCACACAGGCTTTGGAGGTCTGTTTGTTCATATAAAGAACGTTGAGCCAGGTTTTGCTGCAAGTTGACCAGAGCCTCTCGGGTCGGGCAGTCCAGGGCATCGTGGACCACCAGCGGCAGCATATTAACAGTTGGACCCGCCATATCGTGGATTCCTGGGTAATCATCTGAGCGCCCATACTGGAAAAGACCAAATGTTGGATGAGAAATGCCAATATTACGAGCCAAGCTGCGAGCCACGGCAAGTAAGATAAGAGAGGGCATGGAAATGTTCCACTCGTGGCATTGGTTTTCCAACTTGCGGAGGTCTTCGGGGAAAACAGCCCGAGAAGATTGAATGCATATAGGAGCTTGTTCAATAGTAGATTGTGCACCAATTACTGAACTTTGACCCATTCTGAGTGCTTCTTTCCAGTAATCATCTGCATACCCATAGTTGTATTTCTGCTGTGTGCCGAGTACAAAGGACGTGAAGCTCGGAGTAACACCCAGGGTCTTGCCTTGGTACAAAGCCTCCAGATCACGAATAAGAATGGAAATGGTTCTCACGTCGTACAAAGCATGGTGTAGGGTGAGTAGGAGAACATCTGACTCTGTATGCCGAGCTAGTCGTAGGCGAGCAGGGGGCGTGAAAAGATCGGATGGTTCTGAACGAATGTCACGCATCATGCTCTGAATGGAAAGTTGAAGGTCCCCAGAATATTGTTCAATTTTCATTCGGGGCTGTGACTTGTCTTCATCGGGGTTGCGTACGACTTGCAGGAGTTGGCTTGGGGGAATAGCAGCAAAACTTGTACGAAGAATGCCATGTCTTCGTTGAAGCTTTTCCCAAGCATCTTCCACTTTCTCGAAATCGAGTCTGACTCGACAATTAATTGGGAATGTAAATTCCCAAAGTTGGCGGTTATTGCGGAGCCAAGAAGCAATGTAGAATCTTTGACCACTCAGACAAGGAATGACAGCCTCAACTTCTTGCTCAGAGAGAGACAAGATGGATAGCGTTTCGTTTCTGGCGACTGAGCTCACAGTTATGTGCATAGGCTCCGAATTGACCGGTATCTTCTTCGATGCGAGTTTGGCGATGCCCCGAATGTTTTCTCCTCGCAGAATTTCACCGACTGAAAGCTTGATCCCTGCCTTGCGGCACTGAGAACTGACATCGAGTGCCAAAATCGAATCTAAACCAAGTGCAAAGATGTTGCTGCTCTCATGGATCTATTCCGATGCTACCCCTGTCACTTCCGAAAGTACATGCATCAGAGTTTTCAAATAGGTCTCAAGAGTAGGATCATCTTCGAAGTATTCTTCTGTCTTGTTCCGAGGACTAGTGACCAAAGGCAAGCTATCAATTCCGGGGGGGAAGCTGAGAGCTGGCGCATCACTAGAAGAGAGGATGTTTTCAATCCCTAGAGCAAGGTTCTCGGTCCAAACTTTTAAGCCGTTCTTGTTTTCTGGGAAATCATGGCTTATCGTCCGGATTACAAGAGAGTCGGCACGTTGATCAAATTCCACGTTGAGACTATAATGAGGTGCGTCGGGTGGGAGAGACGAGTCATAAGCCTGGAAAATTGATTCTGAGCTGAATTCTGAGTATTTGTTGAATGTGAAAAGCGTATCGAATAGCGAAGAACCGTTCCTTCTGTTTTTCAAGCGCCAGTCCTTTTGTATGAGACTCAAAGATGCATGGTGGTAAGGCTGAGAATTGAGGGAGAAATGTTGGATATCTTGCAAAGCCGAACGGACACTCTGATTAGCAGACTCAAGCCTCAGTCTGAATGGAACAGTATTGAACAGAGGACCTATTACAGTCATGGAGGGATCGATATCGAAGCCGCGGCCGGATACTACGTGCCCGAACACAACGTCACGCTGGCCAATCATTGGCATCAAAGAACGCCCAAAAGCAAGCAGAGCGACGCTCTGTAAGGTCACTTCTATTGAAACGCACCGACGCTGTAACTCGGGGACCGGAGTTTGTACTCTTATCTCTGCCCATCGAACATTGGGTATGTTGGTGCACGAGAGCGGCAACCCCGGATACTGGTAATTCGAGAGCACATGTGTCCAAAACTTCATCGATGTTCCTTGTTTGGCTGCTATGTCGCGCGCAGCAGGCGCGAAGGAGCCCAGAGGATCTGAATAACCAAAGTAGCGCCTCTCTAAACTTGAAAAGAGGAGTGGAAGAGAAAAGCCATCGTAAAGACAGTGATGCATTGTGACGACCATCAATCGCTGGGATTCTCCAGTAATGAAAGTGACATACCACGGAGGCACTCTGAAGGCTGCAGTCCTGGCATAGGACGCCTCTCGGGATATTTTTTCGATGGCTTCAGGTAGGGATGCGCTGTTCGGCTGGTGCGACAATTGGACGGTAGGATACTTGTGGACCGCAACATAGAATTGATTATTGGTGCCTTGGCGGTGGAATGAAGTACGAAGAATATCGGCATCTCCCACTGTATGTTGCCAGGCAGTGACTAGCTTCTCCAGGTCGACTGAGCCACTAAGAGTTACCACGTGGTGATGAAGATATTCCTTGCCCTCAGAGCCCAAAGATTGGCCAATCATTGCCGTCTGTAAAGGTGTGCAAGGGTACATCTCAACAATCAAGTCATTTGGGTCGAACAAATCAGCGCTCATGTTATGCTCCGGCAACTTTTCGAGAGCCTCCTTTCGAACTGATACGGCACGAGGTTGCTTGAAATGATTGTGAAGAGCGCCGATAGATGGATACCTCAGGATGTCACTTGGAGACGCGTCGATATTTTCCTTTTTCAGACAGCGCGCCAGATGAATAGATACCACGGAGTCAATCCCTAAGGCAAAAAATGATGCATTTTTTGAAACCTGTGAGTCTGACAGACCAGAAACTTCAGAAACGGCCCGACGGATCTTCTCTTCATCCTCGGTCCATTGAGTTTCATCCCATGTTGGTTTCTCTTTCTTGCGTGACTCGAATGATCCTGTGGCGTCGATGATAATATCCTCATCGGCAATCAGGTCACTTAAAAGAGTAGAAACTTTATCAATCAAAGATCCATATCTTTCACTGGAAGAGAGAGCATTGGAGATTCTCAAGCGCAAAGTGATCGTGTCGGTATGCGAGTCAGCTTTGGCCTCTAATGCAAGTGGGTAATTCGCTGGCATAACGTTATCCATCTCAAACAGCATGTTCTCTGCAGATGACCTAGGGCCGATGGGAATGTAAGAGATTAACGTGTTGAAAAGTGGGCCCGGTGCCTGAGTGTAACGCTGAATCGCACGAAGAGGCGTATGCTGATAGGGAAGAGACTCTAGCATAGCATCTGTATGCAATTTTGCCTGCCGAAGAAGACTTGTTCTTTGGGAAGGGAGTCGGAACCGACCAGGAACAGTAGTGACAAGAGGGACGAGCAATTTTTCCACTGACTCAACCGGAATACTTCTACCATCCATAACTCGACCAAATATGACGTCTCTTTGGCGGAGACACTTTGCTAACATGGCCGCCCATGCTGTTTCCACAATGAAAGCTGCAGTTGTCGAGGCCTTTGAAGCAACTTTGGAAAGCAAAGATAATTTGAAGGTAAAGTTCTCGTCATGATAGAATATGACCCAGCATTGCACTCTTCATCCTCAATGATTCCTGGAAGATAGCCAGAAAGATAGCCAGACCAAAATTGCTGGGCATTTTTTCCATGGCCTGTTATCATATATCTGTAAAGGGGCGTGAGATCAGCGGGACTCATTGACGTAGCCCCGGTATAATGATGGTGAAGCTGCTTGACGAGCAAGCCCATGCTGGCACCATCAAATATAGAGTGGTGGATTGACAACATAAACCATCCTGGCTCCTCCTCACACACTGGAAAAGCTGCTAAAATATGAAATGGAGGCTTGGTTTCGATGTTTCGGATGATGCTGGACGCAGTTTCGGTTTGGCGGGTGTTGAAAAGACGCCGGGCAACATTTTCATCGGAGACCACAACTTCATCCCAGTGAATCTCGACCACCCGAGGTTTCAGAACAACTTGAAAAATCTTGTTGTTAGCAATGTGGAAACACGTGCGCAGAACCTCGTTGTGCTGCATTAAGTCTTCGAATGCCAGCTTTAAGTTTTTGAGGGTGATGCCCTTCCCCAAGCGACACAGGATATGGTTGACATATAAGGGAATCGGGCTGCCAATGGAAGTGGAAACAATGCTTTCCTGTAGAGGCAGACATGGTCGGACGATAGCAACGCAAGAATTCGAAATTTGAGTCTGCGAGTTTCGAAACTCTTGGTCAAGCTGCTCCAATCGCCGTGAAGCCTCGGTTTTTTGTGCCTCGGAAAAGTTCTCTCTGTGCCCTTGGTCCTGAATTGTATAGGAACGTGGCAATAATGCGAGCTGTGCAATAGATTTACCGAGGATATCGGCTGCTGAACAAACGTATCCCACTCGACGCAGTTTTGCTGCCACACTGAGAGAGTCCAGGCTGTCAATTCCCAATTGGAAAATATTCGTTGCCTTAGTGACCGATTTTTGATCTGCATCCACGAGAGTACAAAGGATATCCCGAATTTTCATCTGCTCAGCTGTCAAATGTGCAGCATCTAACTCCGAAATGGACTCTAGGTCCGCCATTGCAGTTTCCCGGGGCCCTAATAGCAAATCAGAGATGGGAATGCTTTCATACAGCGCCACTAAATGACGCTTGTCTGCTTTTCCTGAAATCTGGACAGGTATGGTGGAAACTGGAAGAAGAACACTTGGTACCATATATGCTGGCAGCTCGATACGACAGCTTTCTAAGATCTTCGGCACCCACTCTTGGTATCGATCCTTCAGAAACTTAACCTTTACACCGGTAGAATATGGTCTGCCCCCGATTGGGCTGATGAAAGAAACCAGTTGGGGTCGTTTCGTAATTGGCGAAGGTGTCACCATGGAAGTCACTTGGACTGGAAATCGTGCACATCGACGAACTGCAATGGAGACTTCTTCAAGCTCCAGGCGCTGGCCACGGATTTTAGCCTGGCTATCTCGCCGTCCGAGGTATTCAATGCAGTTGTTGGCCATCAAGCGTACAATGTCTCCGGTACGATACATCCGCTGCCCATCAAGGTTTGTGAAGCCGGTCGCATTAGGCCTGCGATGATATCCATTTGCGACCAGATCACCAGTAACACAAAGCTCTCCCGCTTGGCCTCGTTTCGTGTATTTAGTTGTTTCTGGCTCGAAAACATGAATAGTGATGTTTCCCACAGCGGTACCGATATTGCGCACCGTGGACCATGGTTTCACAGTGTGGCTGGTGAATCCTATCGTCGCTTCAGTGGGTCCGTAAGCATTGATGAGAGCAATTGACTGTTTTCCAACAAATCGTTCAATTATTGTCTCTGAAATATTTTCCCCTCCGACTCCGAGGTAGCGTAGGTCAGGCAATGACTCCGCACTAACCTCTGCATGCTCGAGAAGCGAGGGCACAAATCCAGCATGGGTGATTTTCAAGCAACTCAGAACCAAGAAGAGATTATCCAGAAGCATATCTCGCTGACCTGTGACCAAGCGAAGGCCATGCCTCCATCCCAGAACCATCTCACAAATATGCACATCAAAGGCTCGACTGGCATGCGCAAGATAGCTGCCTGTTCCCTTCAATCCCGGGGTATCCGGCACTTCGTGACAGATATATTCCGACTGCGCCTCAGTGAAGGCGGATAGGTTTCCACGACTAACAAGCACTCCTTTAGGCGTTCCGGTGGACCCAGAAGTGTAAAGAAGGTAGCAGTCATCCGACGGCTTCGGGTTGACTGAAATTTTGTCGACCACATCAGGATTACCAGGGAGCTCGAGGCCGTCTATATCAATCACCTCGCAGTTTTCAGGGGAGAGAAGGCTTTTCGAGGCCCACTTGTCGACAAAAAAAGCTGTCGCTCCGCTATCTGAGAGAAGGAAGAGCTGGCGCGCCACTGGAAGATCTTCGGCGATTGGCACATAGCAGTTGCCACTTTTCCAAATGGCCAGCACTAGACAGTAGGCCATGAATGAGCGATCGAGGCAGACTGCTATTGATCTGTTGCACCACCCGTGGCCGGCGAGCCATGTACAAAGTTGATCGGAGGTATGAGAAAGATCGCGATATGTCCATGTCCGGGATACGGTATTGTCCTTACTGATTGCATCGAGAATTTCAAGTCCGACCCAAGACGGGTTATAAGCAGCCCATTTGTCGACCCAGTGAGCTGGTGATAGTAATGGGGCTCTTTGGAGGTTGTCACTCGCAGCGGCGGAGTGAAGAGACAGAAGTTCCTTTGGAAATAGCTGGGCGAGATCTCGGATCCGCTCGGTGGGAGAAGAACACATTGCGGCAATCAAAGAATTTATCTGTTGTAGCACAAGCTCCAAATGAGACAGATCCATCAGCAGAGACCCGGAAGATAGTGTGCAGGCTGGCTGGCCCTGCTCCAGTTTTCGAAGAATGAGTTCTATCGGGGCTGCAAGAGACCGGGATGCGTCGTGGGAAGATTTCCGATCTTGCTCCGGGACCACATTCTGCTCGTACGCGAAGAGGGCATTGTATGGTACCTGGGATGAAGGATATCTAATACTTTCCAAAGCATTGCCATAGAAGGACTTGAAATTGCGGAGGTTTTTCGAACAAATTCTTCATCGCGGCGTAAAATGGTCTCAGAGGTATCGTCCAAGAGAACACGAAATGGGATCAGATTAACCGAGTTTTCTCTGCTCATGTCTGCGAGGTCTTGGTCTCCCAGGATGATCCTGTCTGTCTCCATATATTCAGCCAGCGTGTATGCAAAGGCCGCGCGGACCACAGAGATACCAGATCTGAGACCAAATTTTTGGGCGAGATCTTCAACTCGTTCCCATGATATCTTAATATCAAGGGTTTTTGTTATGCACGCGGGGCTTGTAGTCGAATCGCGGGCCCGCATCCCCGAGAGTGTTGGGAATTGAATCTCATTGAGACCGGCAAATCCCTCGAGCGCTTTTTCCCAAAAGGAAGTTGCCTGGTCTCTGTCTTCTTTGTGTTCCAAGAAAGATCTCAGTTGTTCTGAAAGATGGGATATGTTGTTCTCGGCTTTCGACTTGGCTCGATACAAGAGGCGGGCAGCCGGCAGTTGCAGGTCTATACATAACGCCACTCGGATCTATAACAAAGCCTTACATCAACAAGTCATCATGATACGACTGGGATATTCTTACTTACCGTTTCCTTCACGAGTTTTTCAATTGCTGGTTTGTGGCTCAGACATAAAGAGAATTCCAGACGTTCTTCCTCAGGAGTAAGGTCTTCCGAAGAAGTCTTGTATGCGGCCCACTCCAGGATTTCGTATTCAGATTGACGTTGTGCTGACACAACTGCACATTTGGGCACCGGTCCTTCCTCCCACTCAGTAATCAGAAATGCGATGTGCGTTTGATCTGTCACTGTCATGATCCAGCGTGAGTAGCTATCAATGAGGGAATTGAAGCCATCTCGCGTTTTCAGACCCTTTAGACAAGAAACGTTCAGCAATGTCGAGCATTCGATTATTGAGGAGGACTCATCCACAGCCTCATTTGGCAGCAATGGAAGTAAAGTAACTGGGAAAGCTTCATCTCGCGATCTCACTGATGGCTGTAGAGAGCACCATTCCGCGACTCTGGTTGACATCTTGAATCAGGTCTCACGAGAAAGCCTTTCACTGACTAAAAGCTTGTAGGTGTTCAGTCAGCCCGGATAGAACCGTGCAGATGGCCATATACAGCATACCTTATATCATCATAAGCCCTTAGTGATTGTAAAACCTGCCCTCTCGGCGCCAAAAGTGATTCAAGCTAAACTCGGTATTCCCGTTCCGACCCACGTCGATCCCTCAAAATACATCTAGTAATTTTCAAAGCCTAGGATAAGAAAATAAGGGGTCTAGGATCAGAAAATATTTTGGAGCCAAGAAATTCTAAGAGCTGTCTCTCTCGATTCTGAGACATTATAACATTGGCAAAATTGCTAGCTTCTCAAGGCTTGAATCCATCCTGGAAACAATTAGAAGGAATGAGGCTTTCTGGAGGATGCCTGGCTAGTTCCTACCAGTGTCTTGATTGATTGAAGCTTAGTATTGTTCCCAATGAAGACAAGAGTATCAAAGCCATATTTATGTTTGTTCCTAGGGTCTTTTGGTCAAGCCAATTATTCATATACTGCGGTGGGCTCCGCGGATCGATTGATAAGATTTTGACATCGCTCATGTGAGACATGCTAGCCATAACGGCGTTAGAACAAGACCAAAAAGGAGAAGATGAGCTTCAAACGGAACAGGCAGCACCGGATCACGCCATTATTTTCAAGCAAAAGGTCGTGGCGGCATGGTTCCTTGATTCTCCTCGGACAATAACGGGCGCTCGATATTGTCTTCTGTCCAATAACTGTTTAGGGCGCGACAGCGGTTGTTCCGACCCATCACATTCTCCACCGATCTAGTTAAAATTTCCTGGTATCTATTGAGACGGTATGCACGGCGATTCTGACCCAAATTGCACCCCTGCGAAAGATAGGATATAAATCCACCTCAAAATACGACCATCTTGGTCTCAATTCGTGCCGATCTTTCTTCTCTTTCTCACCAAAGTTTTGTTATCTTGATTTTATATCATGAGTGCTTCTTCATCCAGCCCTCGGCTGGACGAGAACTCAACATCGGGTCGAACAGATGCAGCATCCGCAACAGCAAAAGGGGAGCCCGAGCTGCAGCATTCGTATAAAAATCGGACCCATGAGAGCACCAAAACAGATTCTATCATATCTAGTGATGCTGCTGGTGTCAAGAAGGCTGAAGCAGTTGTTCGCGCATGGAGTGGGAACGTCGTGTGGGCTGTCTATGCCTGGTATGTGATCCCAGCCTTCGGGATGAAATATTCTTTGGCCAGGCATTTCAAAGCCGTACAATATCTGACTGTTTTACCCATAATCTAGGATCTGGGTTTGCTTCTTTATGCTAGCTTTTCATTCCTCCATCCAGGGCAACGTGATCTTCAACGCATATGCCAATTTCCAAAAAGCCCCGGAAGTTTCGACTTCAGCGATACTGGGTAGTGTTGTGGGTGGAGTGGTAAAACTTCCCGTCGCGAAGATCGTGAATATCTGGGGACGAGCTGAGGCCCTTGTGGTATTTACTGGTCTTTTTCTGGTGGGTATCATTGTTCTGGCCTCCTGCACTGGGCCCAACGGATACGCTGCCGGATACGTTCTCTACTATGTTGCATATAATGCAATTTACTTGATCCTTGATGTGTTCATTGCTGATACATCTGGGCTTCGGAACCGAGCATTTGCATTTGCATTCTCGAGCACGCCTTTCATCTGCACGGCATTCACGGGTCCTTTGGCGGCGCAGTCTATTTTAAATATGACAACATGGCGCTGGGCATACGGTATCTTCTCCATAGTATTTCCGTTTGTTCTTTTGCCACTTGCCGTTGTCTTCAAATTTTACGAGCGAAAGGCTGAGAAAATGGGGCTCTACCAAAGAACCAAAAACAATCGGACTTCGCTTCAATCACTTATACATTATATACATGAGTTCGACGGTATGCACTGGCCATTGTCCTTGGAAAAATATCCAATGCTAACTGGTTTGCTCTAGTCGTCGGTGCTATATTGTTGATGGCAACTTTCATCCTACTCCTCCTTCCATTCAGCCTTTCAACTTACGGACGTGCTGAGTACGGATCTGCTACTTTTATCGCCATGCTTGTCGTTGGGTTCTGCTTCTTCTTTGTCTTCGTCGCTTGGGAGAAATTCTTCGCGCGCCATCAGTTCATTCAATACGATCTGCTTGAGCAGCGAACAGTGCTTGGTGCATGCATACTGTCCTTGGTTCTCAACTTCGGTTATATGGCTTGGGATACCTACTTCGTCAACTTTGCTATGGTGGTATATGACCTTAGCGTCTCAGATGCAGGCTATGTGAACCAGATATACAATGTGGGTTCATGCTTCTGGGCACCTCTATTTGGTCTTTACATCAGACAGACAAAACATTTCAAGAAAGCATGCCTTTTTTTCGGCTTGCCATTAATGCTACTTGGCTCTGGACTCATGATCCATTTCCGTGGCCAGGACGACGGCATTGGATATGTTGTCATGTGTCAGATTTTTATTGCTTGCGCTGGTGGAACTTTGGTTATCGGACAAGATATGGCCGTCATGAGCGCTGCCGATCACGATGGAGTACCAATGATGCTCTCGATCCTTGGACTTTTCGCTAGTCTAGGTGGTGCGGCAGGTGCTACCCTTGCCTCTGCCATATATACGAATATTTTTCCAAAAACACTGGTGGCCAGATTGCCCGAAAAAGCCAAGGCTGACTGGTCGGATATTTATACGGGTGGTTATATCTCACAGATGGCTTACCCGATGGGATCAGAAATAAGGAATGCCATCAACCTTGCTTGGGGTGATAGCCAAAAGTATAGCTGCATTGCAACCACTGCAGTTGTTGCACTAGGCTTGCCGTGTATTGCCATTTGGAAGAACGTGAATGTGGATAAGAAACAAGTCCCAGGTCGTGGTGCTGTAGAGCTCCTTATCTTCTTGCTTCAAGTGGAAATTGTTAGGTCCCACCTGGCAGCAGACTATTGTGGCTGAATACTTACAATACTGTCCGATAGTTTACACCAATCTATTGACTCCTCTCTTACTACCAGATGTGTTTAATGCTGTTTTTCTCCTTTCTGGACAAAAATATATTCAGATAGAACTTGCGATTTTCTTTGAAATTTCCAACTTGAACTCTATGGTATATGTAGCTGTAGCTGTACGTTGATTACCACTCTTGCACCTTTGACCTGGATCAAACAGCCTAATACTAGCTTTTTATTTGTCACAAAGCTTCCGAATAAAGCTACCCATACTTGACGAACATGCATTGTTAATCTATGACTGAAGACTTCCATTTTATTTGAGTATTCAAGCCCAAAGAACCCCCACAATTCAATTTCAATCATCAATCAAAAGACTGGTGACGCACAGCCTCACGGTACATCTCACTGCGTTCAACAAGCTGAGAATGGGTTCCATGATCAACGCAGCAGCCATCTTTAATGAGGAAAATCTGATCTGCCCGATATATTGTTCTCAAACGATGCGCAATAGCAATGACCGTCATTTTTCCAGCAAAACCCGATAATGCGTCTTGGATTTTCTGCTCAGATTCACCATCGAGAGCGCTTGTAGACTCATCAAGTAGCAAAAGACTCGGTCCTCGAACTAGTGCCCTTGCGATTGACAGACGCTGACGTTGGCCTCCAGAAAATTGCTTTCCATCACGCGTGCAAAGAGTTTCATATTTATCAGGTAGGGCTGTTATCACATCGTGAATATGAGCCAATTTGCACGCTTCTTCAATCTCAGCTTGTGTTGGCTTGTATCCTGGCCTTGCTCCTAGCGCGATGTTGAACGCGACGGTTCCTTCAAAAAGAGCGTTTTCTTGGGGCACAAGAGCAATACCGTCTCTAAAGTCGGTTGAGACAATTCGGGTTATGTTTTGATCATTTATGAAAATGGATCCGGACGAGGGATAGTAGAACCTTTCAAGCATGCTGAAGATAGTTGACTTTCCCGATCCACTTGGGCCTACCAACGCGTAGTACCCACCCGGTTTGAAGGTGATACTCATTCCCTTGAGGGCGGGAATATCGGGGGAGCTGGGGTAAGAGAATTTCACTTGATGCAGCGCCGCGCTGACCCCCGAACAAACATATTTGTTCCTGGTCGAGGTGCTTACGGGGTGTCCGTTCGCTTCGACATCAGAAACCAACGCCATCTCTGTCTTCGAAAAACGGAGATATTTGTTATTTTCAAGAGTTTCCTCGGCGGAATTCGTGTTGACGAGATCGACGATACGGGACGTAGCCTTGCCTGCCTTCGAAAGATCCGGGGCCAGGGCAAGCATCTGACCGCAAGATTGTGTGCTGAACAGAAGGGCCGGTAAAACTATGAAGAATTGAGTTTGCGGGTACAACCCAGAGGCAATTTGTTTCGAGCCCCACCAATATGCAAGTGCACTTATGAGGTTGCTGACACTGAACGCTGATGCAAGCCAGAAATTCCCCCACGCAATCGCTTCATTGGTGTCCTGGTACGGCTTCTGCATGGATTCTAGAAACTCCTTGAATAACTGGTGCTCCAGCGAGAATCCTGTAACGAAACGCAGATTCCCCAAGGCTTCCACGGTGATCTCTGTGGCCTTGGAGAAGGTTTTTTTATGTCGTTCCGCGAATTGACTCTGTGTCCGTAGCTTCATCACTCCTGCAAAAAGGAGAATTGGTATGGTCGGGACGAGGACAATTGATATCTTCCATGCGACCACGAATGAGATGACCACACCAGCCAGAAGATTCACGGCAGTCGTAAGAAGAAGTCCAATGGTAGTGCCAGTAATCCCACTCAGTGCCGATGCATCGCCTGTGATATACGCAACCAAAGTTCCGGGACTTCTTCCCTCGCTACTATGCCACGTAATGTTTTGGCTGAGTAGTGATCGAAGAGAAGCCACACGGGTTCGGTATAAAACTTGGTCTGCGGCCCAGCCATATGCACAACCGCCGATGACATTTGCGAAACATTCGACCAAGCCAACCACAAAGAACATCAGGCCGTATAGGTTTCCACTGTGACGAATATTCGCCGTGCTCTTGCATGGGCTGAGACCGCCAACAGTATTGCCGAACAAGATCGCGTTCGAGCTATAGCTAGCCCCAATGATCACCGACATGAACAAGCCCAGAACAATCAAAAGGACGTTCGGTCGAATGAATGCGAAACAAGATTTTGCGGCCAGCCAATTTGAGATAGATGTTGCATCTTCTGTCTTTGAGGGGAAAGTGGTGCTCTCCATCTCCTTTTCAGCTGATACATTCTCACTATCCAGAATGGCATTCCGTTTGCCTTCCAAGGTCATTTCCTTCGTTCTTATTTGGTTTGGGTCTGTAGAAATTGAATTTCCTTCGGTATCGACTGACATGGATATTGAAAGATCGTTGTTCGCATTATTCACTTTTTGTTGACTGATCATTGTCGCATAAGCACCACCTCTCTTCAACAGCATCTGAGGAGAGCCTCTTTCCACCAATTGGCCGTTCTGGATAACAACGATTTGATCCGCGTCCTTAACCGTGGCAAGTCGATGCGCAATAGATACTATTGTGGTAGTTTCGGACAGATTCAGCAAGGCAGATTGAATTAATTGCTCACTCATTGAATCTAGTGCTGCAGTCGCCTCATCCAGAATAAGCATCTTGGGTTCTCTGACAAGAGCGGTTGCAAGCGCAATGCGCTGCCGCTGGCCGCCACTAAGCTGACCACCGGCCATGCCCACTTGACTAGAAATTCGAAATTCCAAGGCTTGGATAAAGCCGAGGGCGTTAGCTCTTTCTGCTGCTGCTTTCGCCAGCTGCACGACTTCAGCAATCCGGACATCACAATCTGCAAGTGCCTGCTCCTCAGAGCATCCAGACTGAACTTTAGCTACGAAAGCAGTCAAACTCATATTCAAGATGACCTCTGCCAGGTGCTTATGCCTCACAGATCCAACGAGACCATATGCAATATTCTCCAAAATCGATCGATTCATCAACTGCGATTCTTGCTGCACAAATCCCATCTGACCTCTCAAGCTCGCAAGATTCACATTCTGAATGTCCTGTTCCCCGATGAAAATTTTCCCTTCAAGTGGATCGTAGAATCGTTCCAGCAGTGCAACGATTGTGGACTTTCCACCTCCCGATGGCCCGACGATAGCGGTGTGCTGCTTTGCCGGGATTGAAAAGCTAAGTCCTTGCAAGATGGGTGTTTCTGGTCGTGCAGGGTATTTGAAGTGGACCTCTTTGAAATAGATATCGTGGTCCTCCAAATTGGCGTTCCGCTCGCCCTCGCTGGATGTACCGTCGATGTTGGAATCCCGCTGGATGACCTCTAAAAACCGTCCAGATGCGCTAGTCGCCGCGCTAAATACGTGCATGTAAGGGGAAACCTGGCTGAAGATAAAAGTGGCTATTGGCTGGATTAGCCGATGGAATATGAAGCAAGGGTGTCGTAGCTTGAAGACTCACCATCGATCAGAATAAATATAACCGTATAAACGGCACCAACAGAGACTCCAGAGTTGAGAACATCGATTGAGTCCGCTATCAAATGAGCACCCTTCCAGTAAGCCAACGCATTTGACGAGTAGACTATGAAGAATAGCGTGCCCATCTGTCCGGCATGCACCGCAGCTTTCTTGAGCGCACCTTTGCGAGATCGGGAGAGGTGAAAAGAAAAAAGCTCCTCCAGCCGTCTCTGCGCATTGAAGGCATGGACAATCTTCATATGGGACAAACTAGACAACGCGATAGAAGTCGCACTGTCAACATTTATACCCACCCGTGTCCCATATCGTGATGCGAAATGACCTCCAATCATAGCCATGGCAAAGAGGCACGGAATAGCAGCGACCAGTATACCCGCGATGACGGGCACTTTGCAGAATGCCACGGTATATGCAGTCACAAAGTATGACACTGTAGCGATGTAGATTCCAACTTTTTCAGAAGTACCGGATTGCAGCGTCTCAATGTCACTGACCAACCGCGAAATCACTTGGCCGGAGGGCAAAGTATCATGGAACGCTGCCTCTTGGCGGATGACGCTGCGAAAGTATGCTTTGCGGTACCGACGAGCGAGTCGTTCGCTGACAAGAGCCCAGCATGACGCGTAGATGTAGATGCTTGCAAAATTGAATATAGTGATGTAGATTAGGTAGAGGACTTTCGTTAGAACGGAGGAGGAGTTGTAGACTGTTGCTGAGCAGGCAACTTCATTGAGTTCGTTGATCAATTGACCGAGGACAACACCGAGTAATGGTTCCGGGATACCTGCGGCGATGGCGAAGAATGTTCCGACTGTAATGAGCACGACGTCTACGGTGGTATAGTTCAGCGAAAACAGTAGGCGGATGAATTTGAAGGCGGTTTTCAAGTCTTCCTTTTTTGGAAAGGCATTGAGCAGTTGTCCGGACTATTTAATATATGAGCATTGGCGACCTTCAGAGAATTCACAGACTGGAGGGGTGATTTACCACTGCTTTCACTCGTCCTTCGACCCCCATCTTCCTATGTGGTAGATTGGATTGGGAAACCCCCGGTTTTCCCAAAGCCTTCTGGGAACCGTTCGTCTGAGCGTTTACTTGAGCGCAAAGATTGTTTGCTTCCGACTTGGTGAAGCAAGTGAGAGCTTCCTTTTTCCGCGGAATAAATTATAATGCGACATCCTTGTCACCATTCACCCACTAGATACCAGTGGGATCCGGTTCATCGGATACCAAGTAGTTAGTATATTATTATTTCTACGTATTACTTGATGGAATGTACAGCATAGCCCCCGTCTAGTCTCAGAAATGAGGAATTCGCCCCACAGCTTCCTGGCTCTCTGGCCCCTGGACCCTTATCAGATGATCAGATTGCCTTTGTAGCCGTGGCTTTGACCATCATGTGCTCTTTGCTTTACGCATTTTGGGAATGGCCCAGCAGAGAAAGGAACGTTTCCTCCGGGAGAAGTGGGGAGTCCACTTCTCCCGGCTGAAATGCAACATCGTGCGAGGCTTGTAATTTTCAATTGTGAGAACTGACTTGGCATCAAAGATTACTAAGCATATACCACTATCAAATATGACATCGTCTCGGACATTGACCGTTATGGCGCATCTAGCTACGTGGTGATTTGTATCCAGGTCCAAAATCTGCAAAACAAACGACACATTAAGTGTACTAAGCTGGAAGTGGATGCTTGGCCGAGACATTACTGTTCAAGGTGCTCATATTTACTACAAAAACACTCTGCCGCCGAGGTATATTGCTATTCGTCCCGTATATGTCACATTCCCCTAGTGCCTCTTCAACTGGTAGGCGTGATAATGATGTCGATTATATTGAAAGATTTATGATGAAATGATCTTGAAGCTGTTCGCTCTTCTTCCTGGTTAGGTGAATAAGCTCTGTTTTCTCTGCTGCAAAACAGGAACCAGTTTTTCTGCCCTGTACTTCGATACGTGGAATGTCTTCGGACTGGATCTTAGCGATGTTTTTCCCGGATGACCTACCTACTCGCTGTCGAAAATAGATATGATTTAAGGCTAAGGCGCCACCGTGGAAGGTAACTACTTAGTCAACTAGATCTGAGCTGAAATTTGAGAATAGAATAGGTACAAATGAAGAGCTTTACGCCAGTCCAGCATTCGATAGTAGTGTGATAAAGTCGTCAAAAGCAACATTAGCGTGGCGGTCGCTCATGAAGCTACCGGTCTATTTTCTAGCCGCGTTTAGGATTCTCATGGCTCGAAATCAAGTATCCAAGCTTGTTAATTAACGCCATTGAAGGCCCCTTTCAGGTTGATATATCCTTTTGCGTTATTGAACCGATAAGATAGATTTGATGGCTTTTTAAGTGGCTGTACCAAGGTAACTAGGTGCGGTAAACAAAGCGTGATTACTTATGGGCTATCAGAACCGGTACCAAACTATAGGCAGTTTTAGCAACAATATGTCTAATACACGAGAGTCAGTCTTAATAGAAGGGCCTATTTTCAATATAGACTGTACATTAAAAGCGTTATCAGTGTCACAGAAAATAAATTTGAATTTTGATAGTTGAATTGCCTCAAGTAGATAGACTAGATAACGAATAATCTGCTAGTCCAGAATCCTGCTTATATCGGCATTGGCGTCCTATGGCGCTATTCACTGCAATATATTTTCCATAGAGAATATATTCGCTACTGCCCACTCCGATATTTCAATCTCCGGTTCTTCTTCCAGTTCAAACCACAAATGTAAGGCTATACAGTCGTGGGGTCACCTATTAACTCCATACTAACCTACACTCTAAAATCAAAACATCTTTCAAGGGGCACCTTTGCTCTTTCCATATAAACATATATATACGCGTGCACGGGTGTATGAGAAACGAAACCGCTACGGTAAAGGATCTCGTTCTGTCTGTATCATGTTCTAATTGTTGATGGTCACATTAGCAGCGTATACATTCATGATGAATGCAGTGAGGAACCCACGGTCTTTGATGCAGTTTACATCCACCGGACATTTAACGAGGAAAACATCCGCACCCAGGGTCTGGATGGTCGTATCCCTCGCAGAAGAGCTACACAGTACCAGAACTGCAGCTACCCATTGCTGTTTCGCAGAGGACGTCTGCGTTTGAGTTACATCTGCACTTCTTTGCACAGTGGGTTGATTCAATAACGGAGCCTCCGTCACAGGTGTAAGTGTACATATTATCACGCAACACTCATGCCAAAGTCCGTGAATTGCCCTCTGTATCAAGCTTGTCTATACGTTTTTTTTTTTTTTTTTCGTTAGATAGGTTTAAGGGTTCTTGAAAAAAAGGACAATGCTTTGCAGAATAGCTGACTAGCCTTCCATAAGTTGCACAATTCTTGTGTCAGCCCATGGAGGGATAACTTACCGCTAACAAGTGGTCACATTGAAGATCACATTTCCTATGTCTTTGTATGTAATTCTGCTTACTCATGGACTCGAGCGTGGTAACCGCCGAGTATCGGTTGTACGGACTGACAATCCCGTACGGACCGCCAAGCCCACCCGTAAGGGCAAGGGGACTACTCTCAACAGCAGTCTCCGGAGTTTCCTCAATCAATCAATCATTTCAATCCACATTATATTGATTCCGCTTGACCTCATTGGCCGTCGCAGCATACTAGGCTATACGAATATAGCCTGTGTAGACATCTTGTTTCTATTTCAGCAGATGTGTACTATGCACACAGACCTAGATACCGAGCATGGCAACATTTAAAAAACAAGGAAAAAAACTCGATATGCGGGTGTAAAATCTCTTTAAATCTAGGTAACATATTTCAGACATATTGGACACACCAGCGCTGAAAACGCAAACAAAATACAACGCCAGTATTGGGATGATAATCCCCGGTTATGTATCCTCAACAAACTCAAAGAGGCACGAACCCCTCCATACGCTTCCTTGACTCTTCTTCTTCCTTCTGCAGACGATCAGACTTCTTCCGCTCGTAGACAGCACGCACAACGCGACGAGTCTGTTCATGGCCCTGGTTGAAGTTGGCTTTAGCCAGGCCTACAACGGAATCGATCTGTTCTGGTGTGTAGATAAAGTTCCACGTGGAAAGGAAGTCGTCTTTGTCGGGATCGATCGAGCTCGGGCGCGGAGTAAGAGGCTTTTCAGCATCTTTAGTCTGCGTGTAGTCTCTATTCATGGAATGAACTGCTGCGCGGGGACGGGTCTCCGGGGCGGAAGGGAGATCTGGGGCAGATGGGTTGGGAATCAGAGGGAAGTAGACGACAGCGATACCGGCGTCTTTTCTCATGAGATGGAATTCAGACTCGGAGTGGTCTTCGATGTGTTGGGGTTGGAAGAGACGCTTGGACGGCGGGGGTTCTTTCTCGGAGATGCGCTCTTCTTGCGTTCCAACCCAGACGTTGCAGTAGCTTAGATCTGTCTCAGAGGATTGATCTTGGCTTTGAGCATCGGTGAGTTTCTTGTTCGCCTTTTCGTCTGTGATACCCTGTGGTTCGCGGAGTGCTTTCTCGGCATCTTCCAAGGTCTCGCTTTCCCTGGGCCACCCGGCACCGATCGGCCAACCCTTGATCCCTCGTTGACGGGCGTAACCATCGACGACCGAAAGCCAGTTCTCCTGCTTGATGTCGGCGGAAGCATCGAAAGCGAGAATGACATCGACATCTCGTCCTGGTCGGATCAAAGGATAGATAGGGAGGTTGTTGCTCATGCCAGCGTCCATCAGATTCAAATGACTGCTGTTGAAAATAGACTCGGGACAAGAGGCAGGAAGTTGGTCTTTCATTCCGATCACGAAGTTGGGAATAGCAGCAGGATCAATAGGGTGTACGCGGACCAAGTCTTGATTTTTGCCTTGGATGAGAGTATCGATTCCTCCGAACCCAGCAAGGCCAACGACCAAAGGCCGGATCTCTTTATAGTAATGAGAGAGAGTTGCGCAAAAAGCGCTGCCCCAGATTCCCATCAATCCCGGGACTCGGAGTTCAGGGATAGGGGAGTTTTCGGGGGACAGCACACTACGGCCCCCGTCGAAGTGACGGCCTAACGCCCAGGTGGGAATACCAGCATTGAGTTCCTCGCAGAAGAATTCAAAGGGGGTGAATTCAAACCACTGGAACCAGGCTTCCTTCTTCGCTTCGCGGATCGCCTCTTCAGGGTTGTTGGGGCCTTTGGTCTCGTCATTATGCTCTGCCTCGAGTAGGGGGATTTCGTGTCGCACTGCAGTGTATATGGGGAGGGGATGCGCTCCATCGTAGAGATTGGCTGCTTGAGTTGACAGCTTCAAATCGGAATCTGAGACTCCTAGTTCTCCACGAGGTACCATGAGACGTGCTGCAAGCAGCAGTCCATATATGTCTACCAATCCGAAATCCGCACCAGGGTCACCTTTCAGCTTCTCAATAAAGCCACTGAGAAGGTATTTGTTGGTTGGTGCAGTTGTGAGCAGGTTCAGTGCTGCAGGTGGAAAGGCGATGTGCACACCCAATCGGTTCTTCAGGTGGTCGACAAGCTTATGGAAATTCCGGCCTGTGATGGAGGAATGGTACAGGGTCTGCATCCAGCAGCTGCCGCTGACACCTGCAGTGTAGGTAACACAATCCCACAGACCTGATTCCTGGGCGGCGAGATAAGATCCGGTGCCAGCAACCAGGGCGCGCAGCCCACCCCCAGATCCGCACATGGCGATGACAGGCACATCGTCGGGATGAATATCCTCCACTGGAATGTCAAGGTATGATGCCAATGCTTTCAAAGCATGTTGCTGGCGCTTCTTTCGAAATGCCTGTTCCTCGGCGCACAGGTCACCGCTTACCCGGACCCTGGCGTCCCTTGTAATCTCAGGATTGAGCTCAGGGTCATGAGCCTCCTGCCAAATTTCGTCTGCCAATGAGCCAGGAGCCAAGGCGAGCTCTCGCTGCAGCTTCTGGGCCGTTGCTGGAAGCAATCGCGCCCAATCTGGGATGTAGCTCGAGATGTTGCTTCCTAGATCTGCTGACCCCACAGTATTCTTGACCTCATCAAGCTTCTGGGTGATCTTCAGCCATATTCCCTGATCTTCAGAGTCCTGACTGTCGGTTTTTCCGGTGGTGTGACCCCGCAACTCCGAATTGGTGTCAAATTTGGCCAAACCCGTGGTAAAGTAAGCTTTCTGCTCAGCTCTCGCCATGCGCCGATTTGGTTGGGCCCAGTCCCCCACAGTGTAGGCAGCTAGAGCAGCAGGAGGGACGGTCCAACTCAAGCGGGAGACCCTTGCCGCAGCCATTGCGACTGGAAGAGATGAGTGTGCTGCGGCTTGCATGCAGGGAGCTTCCCTCTACGGAAGCAAAAAGCCTGGCAGCAATTGACCCTGTCTATAAGAAACCCGCGGGAAATGACGAAATGTCATGTGATCATGGTCACATGCTCTCAGTCTTTCCGTTCTAAGACTAGCACGAACTCGGCCACTCGGCCATCTCGGAGCTTATCGACTGCGGACAAACATCCTCGACCCCACACTTTGGAGGCATGACGGCTCCTGGTGACTCGGTCTGTCTTTCTGTCTGATCAGCATGGTGGCTCCCAGGAACACCGCCTACGCCGAGGAGAGCGCCGAGGTCGAGGTTTTGTACGCCAACCTCACTAAGCTCAACTCGCTCACGAGGAAGATCCAGGGCTCCCTTGTGCGCCTAGAGACCAGTGGACAGGTGGTCAAAGAGGCCATTGGCCCCATATACAGCAACACACAGTCACTTCAAATCACGAATACTAATATCGACAAAGTCAATGATGCTATCGACCGTCTTCGCCAGCCTCTCGACGCGAAGAGCCGCGAGGAAGGCATCATTCGCGCCGGGTAAGTCTCACCTCATCGCATGACCCAAGTGCTCGTGGCATCTTATGGCATCTTACTAACCAATCTCTCCCCAGACCGCAAAGCGCAGGTCTTTCGCAGTACCTCTCGGCAATGAAACGTGTTGAAAAGGCGCTGGTCGACCTCAACGCGACGAACCTTCGATCCAACCAGACTGCGATCACAGACTTCAACTCCCTTCTGGGCACAGGAAGCATCAACTTGCAAGAGATGTTCCGGTCTGAATTGATGCAGAATACCGTTCCAATTGAACCTTTGCACTACGTGACAAAAGGTATGTTTATCACCCCACGGTTGCCCCTCGGGAGACGTGACTTAGCATGGCCGTTACAGACCTCCCTTTCCCATCGATTCCCGAAGAAACAATTTCACATTTGGCACCGTTATGCTCTGCAATCGGCTCTGCATCCGTTCATGGCCCGCAGCGCGGTATGGGAGATAACCCTGCTCTAAAGATATATGCTGAGGTGCGCGGGCCGTACATTGCCGCTAGCTTGCAGAACCTCTCCATTGCATCTCTCAATACTGTCAAGCGAAGACCCACCGATGGGCCTTACAAACAAGGAACCAATGGCATTGGTATGTACTCGAATGCGTTGGAGGGTTTCATCACTACAGAACATGAGATCATTACGCAGGTATTTACTGGAGACCAACAAGGACTTGCGCTGCAGGCGACTTTCCTTTCGGCCATGGCCGACTACTCCAAGACATTGCGAGAATTGAACCAGTACATCAAGGCAAACTTGATGACGGATTGCTTCTTGGCTTTTGAGATCATTGAGATTGTGACTGCAATGTCCTACCGCATTGATTCGAAGACTGCCGAGCTTAAGAGTCTTCTTATCGAAGCTTTACGGCCCGTTCGTGAGACCGCAAAGTCTTCTCTTTCGGAGTTGCTCGAGGAGACGAAGCGCAAGGCTGCCAATGCGACGCTACCTCCGGACGGTGGATCTGTACCATTTGTTGAGGAGGTAATGAGCTCTCTTGCCACATTGACAGGCTACTCGGGCCCCTTGGCGTCTATCTTGACATCTTTGGGAGATGGCAACTGGCGGTCTAAATCGAATACCGCCGGCTCTGCCCCCTTGGATGTTGGTCCGGACAGCGGAACACTCTTCTCTCATTTCATTCTGGATATGATCGAGGCCGTTATGACAGGCCTGGAATCGCGTGGTCGGGCTTTCCACCGTTCCAAGGCCGCTCTGGGTGTATTCTTGTCCAACGTCTTCTGCATCGTTGACCGATCAATCCGACAAAGTCCCGAGCTGGCCCGCTACCTGGGTGCGCCAGATAGTATTGCACGGATTGACACTTTCCGTAAGCGCGCAACATCGACCTATCTTGATGCATGGAAAGAAACATCTCAATACTTGTTGGATGTACAATATACCTCTCGTTCTGGAGCACGTCCTAATTCGGGAGGAGCTGTGGATTCCAGTGCCATTGTCAAGAGTCTATCGTCGAAGGATCGGGACGCTATCAAGGACAAATTCAAGTCCTTCAATGCAAGCTTTGATGAGATGGTGTCCCGCCACAAGTCTCTTCATATGGAACGGGAAGTACGATCTGTGCTGGCCCGGGAGCTGCAGGCTGTTCTCGAGCCGCTGTACGCGCGCTTTTATGATCGCTACGTGGAGATCGACAAGGGTCGTGGCAAGTACATCAAGTACGATAAGTCCAACCTGTCGATTCAACTGGCACAGCTTTCCTGAACACACCGTATCATGCCCATGTCTAAGTAGTTAGAGATAATATCATAATTGTCCAATCTTCCACGTTCCACGTTCCACGTTCAATGATCAATTTTATAGAATGCACGTGATTTGCCCCACGAGGATGCGATAACGTGATAAGCCCCGCTACACCCGGCTTGCAGGCAAAATTTCGTAGATCACACACTGCCTGATTCTTATCTTTTCTCCCATCCTGCACTTCAATTCGTCTCCGAGGTGCCTTTGACGAGTACCGGCGATATGTCTGCCAGCAACGATGTCTACCAGACTCCCCTCAACTCGCGCTATGCGAGTAAGTGCTCTTCCCTTTGTCCCGACCAATGAGGGGCTCAACAATCCGGGGAGCTCGAGGATATTAATAGACTCGAATTAATTAGGCAATGAGATGAAGTATCTATTCTCGCCTCGCATGCGTTTTTCGACCTGGCGCAAGCTGTGGATCTGGCTCGCGGAGTCCCAGAAAGGTACGAGACTATGGATGGCGTGACCAACATCGGACGTCATCGGGAGGGAAACGAAGAACGAAATCAATTGACAAGATTTTTGTTATAGAGCTTGGCCTTCCTATCACCGGGGATGCTATTGAGCAGATGAAGGCTCATGCTACCATCCAGGACGATGAGTTCGCTGTTGCCGCCGAGGAGGAGAAGCGTCGCCGACACGATGTCATGGCCCACGTCCACGCCTTTGGCCTGGTCGCTCCGGCTGCTGCTGGTATCATTCACTGGGGTGCTACTTCGTGCTACTGCACTGACAACGCTGACCTGATCCTGCTCCGCGACGGTCTCGACATCCTGATTCCCAAGCTTGCCGTTGTCGTTGACAAGCTGTCCCAGTTTGCTCAGCAGTACAAGGACCTGCCTTGCCTGGGTTTCACCCATGGTCAGCCCGCCCAGCTGGTTACCGTCGGCAAGCGTGCTTGCTTGTGGATTCAGGATCTGTTGATGGACCTACGCAACCTCGAGCGTGCCCGTGACGACCTCCGCTTCCGTGGTGTCAAGGGCACTACCGGTACCCAGGCCTCCTTCCTTCAGATCTTCGAGGGTGACCACGACAAGGTTGAGAAGCTCGACGAGCTCGTCACCGAGAAGGCTGGCTTCAGCTCCGCCTTCATCATCTCCAGTCAGACCTACTCGCGCAAGATCGACGTGGACGTCGGCAATGCTCTGGGCTCGTTCGGTGCTACCTGCGAGCGCATTGGTATTGACATTCGTCACCTTGCCATGCTCAAGGAGGTTGAGGAGCCTTTCGAAAAGGACCAGATTGGCAGCAGTGCTATGGTACGTAATATCGGATCATTGAGCCAATGCAACAACTAACAATATGTAGGCCTACAAGCGTAACCCCATGCGCTCCGAGCGTCTCTGCTCTCTCGGTCGTCACCTGCAGAATCTCCCCAAGGACGGTCTGGACACCTACTCTGCCCAGTGGTTCGAGCGCTCCCTGGATGACAGCGCTATCCGCCGTATCAGCATTCCTGAACTTTACCTGTGTGCTGATGCTTGTCTTATCCTCCTGAGTGAGTATTTTCGTGGTTGATTGACGATGTGATTCTAACATTGACAGACAACGTTTCCTCCGGCTTCGTCGTCTACCCCGAGGTCATCAAGCGTCATGTCAACGACGAGCTCCCCTTCATGGCTACGTAAGTGATCTCCTCATCTTCGATGCGATAATTGACTAACATAACTTCAGTGAGAACGTGAGAAACCCGATACGATACAACATCCAATTCCAATGCTAACTGTTTCAGATCATCATGGCCTGTGTCAAGAAGGGTCTTTCCCGTCAGGATGCCCACGAGGAGATCCGTACGTGACAGTCCTCTACAACGTTTGATTCATGTCTAATGATCCGCGTCTATAGGTGTCCTCTCCCACCAGGCTGCCGACAACGTCAAGAAGCAGGGCAAGGACAATGACCTGCTCGAGCGTATCCGCCGCACCGCCTTCTTCGAGCCCATCATCCCCGAGCTGGAGAGCCTTCTGGACGCCCGTACCTTTGTTGGCCGCGCTCCTCAGCAGGTTCAGAAGTTCACGACTACCGAGGTTGCTGCCGCGCTCAAGCCTTACGCCTCGCACATTGCCAAGGCTGAGACCGCCGCTTTGTACGTCTAAGCGTAGCGGGCGTGGATGGAAGTTAGTGCTCAGGGACATTCAGAATGTTCAAAATGTTCAAAATAAAAAGACGGGTCCGTACAGGGACGTGCAATAGACCAGGTACCCTGGAGTTGAGTGTATATGTGAAGCTACGAGCTATGAAATGAGATCTATACCTTTATTACTTATGACTCGTTGACCGGCTGCCATTATCGATTAGGGTATATAGGCGGTGGACATATCAGAAGCCAACCTTAACCAACCCATTCTAGGTTTGAGAGTATGCACGGTATGAAAGGAAGACATGGAGATCATGGAGATCATGGAGATCATGAGGAGCAACGAACGCTGATGAAGAAGATGGATGGATGAGATAGACGATAGAGAAAAGATGAAATGAAAATAAAAAATGAAATGTGACAAGAAATGAAATGAAAATGCCCAGGTAATGCAAATGGATGCAAATGGATTGAGTGACCAGCCCTGTATGCAATGGAACGCTGTCGATAACAGAACAGAATCCAAGGGGAAAGGGGTTTTTTGGAATGCGCAAGCGAACGAGAAAAAAAACAACTCTGTCCTCGAAACTGGAAATCGAGTTCTTGCAGATCTGCGACGCCCTCGACGGTGTTGGTGCCACGGGCGTGACGTGGGTGAATGCGAGACGCAAGCAGGATGCAGGAAGAAGCCGACTTCCAAAGGGAACGTGCCGGTGTCTATCTCTCACGCGAGATGCAGCCGAGATGCAGTCGAGAAGCACACTGCGGGTGAGAGGGCAATGCGTTCGGGAGTGTTGACACACTGTCAAGCCGCGCGCTGCAACGCCGCACGCTGCACGCCGTACCCCGTAGCGTGTAGCGCGAAACCCGAAAGTCCAGTTTAGGCACCTTCACGCGCCAAAGATGCAAGTGCCCGTTCTTCGAGGCGATCGAGGAGACCGAACACGCGATCACGGGCGTTGACCGTTCACCGTTGCCCGTTCCCCGTTCACTCCTCGGCGGTCGGGCTTAGCTCGGAGGGGGTGAAAGGGAGGTAGAAAAGGTCACGAATCAACCAGAGGATGTAGAGGACCCCGAGCACCCATAACGAGGCCATCAACTTGTAGGTCGACGAGCGCCAGGTGACGCGGCGGATCAGGCGGCGGCCATTGGGACCTTCGATGGGCCCTCGCGGGGGCGAGAAGGGCGTGAAAGGATAGGCCGGGGCCTCATTCATGGGCTCGCTGTGAGATGTTCGACGACGAGACATGGTCAAAAGATGGGGCACCGCCACATGGAATCATGGTAAAAGGGGAATTCTTCCCGCACACAAAACACGAAGCGAGGTCCCACCGCCAAAACAACGCAAAACAGCACCAGGCACAAAGCACCAGATTGGGGAATCTTGAGTCCCCACGGGCTCAAGAGGTTATGACCGACGAATCGGGCATCACGAGGGGAGTGGGGAGATTTTCCATAGTGCCATGAAATTGACAGGTAAGAGCTAGTTAGTGTATGCCCTCCTTTATCTGTCATTCTTTTTTTTTTTTTTTTTTTTTTCTTATTTCGTCGGTTCTATGGTCTCGTGGGACAAAAGTACCGTCGTCACGATCGCCCCACCATTCGGGCGAAGGGGAGATCCGGGGGTCTGACATATGCGAGATACAGCTTGAAGGGTCTTGGTTAGTTGGTTCATTGATTAATTCGTCAGTTGGTCTCTTCGTTAGTTACTTAGTTGGAGCTAGAGCGAGGGGCGAATAGCGGAGTTGGTTGCGCCCCCCTCAGAGTGAAGGACTGTATCATATGATCACAACGATGCCTTCTACCATCCCCGGAAGATCTAATTTCCTTGGGGACAAGTTCATTGCCTGCTGTGACTCATGGTGGAAAGTAAAGCCTATGACAAGGACATGCTCTAGCCCCCATTCCTTGTTGTCGAAGTCTACGTCGAAGTCTAGCTCTAATCCAAGTCCAAGTCTCAATCGATTCGTGGTGGTAATACGTTTCCTCCGACTCCGGAAGTTGCGGTCGCCGGAAACTCGCCAACCTCGGCAGTGCGATTCTCCCCGGCTTGACCTCATCCCCTCTCGCACGCGACACCTCTCCTTCCCCAACCATCTCGGACTTCACTTTCCATTTAGCTATCGGCCCGTTGGCCTCTTCTGTTGCACCATGTGGAAGCCGTCGGAGCGCCTGATGGAAACCATCAGGCACTATGCCAGCTTCCCCGCAACCGGGGTCTCGTTGAGACAAATGGTCCAGTTTGGAGATCGACCTTCCACCGGTACGTGCTGTTCTTGCTTCTTGCTTCTGGCCTCATCAAGATCACTGTGCCAGAGTACCACTGTCTAGCTTCGTTCTCGTCTAACGCAATCATAGGTACCCTCTTCCGCGCATCTCAATTCCTCTCCGAGGAGCTCCCCATCCGTCTGGCGCATCGAGTCCAGGATCTGGGCGAACTGCCCGACGGACTCAGCGACATGCCTTCCATCAAAAAGGTCCAGGACTGGTATGCGCAGTCGTTTGAGGTATGCTCCCGCTAGCTGCAGTATCGGGGATCGAGTGGTGTGACTCACGATACCTTATAGGAAATCATCACCCTTTCCCGGCCATCCCTGACCCAGGAAGTCAAGACTCGTCTGTTGCGACCCGGTCGCATGAATGGCGGCCCCTCTAAAATTCTCTCCGAGGCTACTCACAACCCCAGTGTGCGTGAGGGCCAGTACCGATCATCGCCGACGTCGCTCAACGGCAACGGCAATGGGAAGGCGGCTGCCGCTGCCGGTCGGAGATATTATCTCCCCGCAGACGACCACGCAGTTTGGCCCCCGGAACTCAACGATTACAACCAGCGATTCGCTACGACTCTCCAACATATCAAGCGGCGTCATGACAGTGTCGTGACAACCGTGGCACAAGGCATTCTGGAATGGAAGCGGGTCCGACAGCGCATGCAGATCGACTCGACCATTCAATCTTTCCTCGACCGGTTCTATATGTCTCGTATTGGTATACGAATGTTAATTGGACAACACATCGCACTCACGGAACAAACGAACTCCAGGCACCCCAACTATGTCGGAATAATCTGTACCAAGACCAACGTTCATGACATCGCTGTGGAAGCCATTGAAAACGCACGGTTCGTTTGTGAGGACTACTACGGTCTGTTCGAGGCCCCCAAGGTGCAGCTGGTCTGCGAAGAGGACCTAAACTTTATGTACGTTCCGGGACACCTATCCCACATGCTCTTCGAGACCCTCAAGAACTCTCTGCGAGCCGTGGTTGAGCGCCATGGTGCCGATCGCGATCAATTCCCTGTTACCAAGGTTATCATTGCCAAGGGTAAAGAGGACATTACGATCAAGATCTCGGACGAGGGAGGCGGTATCCCACGATCTGCGATTCCCCTCGTATGGACCTACATGTATACGACGGTGGAGCAAACACCCAATCTCGACCCGGACTTTGACAAGAGCGACTTCAAGGCACCCATGGCTGGTTTCGGCTACGGTCTGCCTGTCAGTCGACTCTACGCTCGCTATTTCGGCGGAGATCTTAAACTGATCAGTATGGAGGGGTAAGCAAGCATCAGCATCAAGACTCCTTCGAAAGCCCAGCTAACCGAACTAGATACGGAACCGATGTCTATCTCCATCTCAATCGTCTCTCTTCAAGCTCCGAGCCCCTGCAATGACAATTACCCGTCATGAGAGACGGTCGGGTTCGGTTCACCACTTCCCACCGCCTGCACCCCGACTACATTGGACCGGATCCCTCACCCGCGCCGTCTCGAGGACTGACGCTCATGAACGTCCAGGCTCTCCGCACGCGTATTCGCACTCGGGAAGTCTCGGAACGTAAGCAGGTGGGAGATGCCGAGAGTCTTTTCCACGCGGAGCAGCAGCTCTGGAGAGATGAAGATGTCTGATTACCATCTTCCTTCGGATCTTGCTTCGTGGAAACTCCGTGTCTCTTGGCTCTTTGTTGGCATCGATGCATCAGTTTACGAAGCACGGCTTGTCCAACATCTTGAGAGGGAATCTAGCCCTCAGACTGGGAGAGACGAACTCTTTTTTTTTTCACGCCTCAAAAAAGCCAGGACTTCTCTTCGGCTCACCCTCCAGATACCCCTTTCTCACTCTTTGTCTCCTACATTGGTCTCTCCCGTCTCAGCCTGGATCTGGTTCTCTGTACAGTATTTTTTTTAAGTTAGCGAGCATACATTGATTCTTACACTTTATTCACGTAACCCATCCGACCATACATTATAGCCCCGAATTGGCATAACAACACACTAATGCACACGCTAAGTAACCCCAACATAACCCTCATTCAACACCCGACCCATCCCTGGACACATCTCTTGAACTCATCCCCGAGCTCCTCCCAGAAACAGACCTCTTCTGCCCCCTCAGTCCAGATCCAGACCCAGATCTAGACCCCGACCTCCTCGCCCCAGCCCACCACCCACTCTGATCATGACTCAAAACCTCCTTCCAAGCCCCCGGAACCAAAAACGCATTTTCATTCAAATCCCCAAGCGCATGAACGGGCGGAACCCTGCCCGCTGAAACAGCAGATAAAAGCTCCGATTTCGCTTCAGGAACAACGAACCGCGCTGCGTACAGCTCGTCCTCGGAGTCTTGGGTCTCCGCGATTAATTTTGCCATGAAGAAGCGGCGGGTTTGTGGGATTGTCTGGTTTTGCTTTTGTTAGTATTTTGCTTTCTGGGGCTTCGTGGACTGTAAATGCCAAATGGTATTGATGGATGGGATGGAAATAGGTACGTACGCGGCGAGAGTTTATAGCGTATGTAACTAGTAACTCCCAGTCATTCAGAACGGTCAGAGCGGCGTGGTCTTCTTCTCGGATGCGTTTGCGCGCGGGTGGGAATATTTCTCTTGGTCTGTGACCTGCTGGACGTGGGGATATGGAGATGGAATCTGGGTTTGGGGCGTGTGTTGTGAAGTTAGATTCTGTGTTTGTTAGGTTTCACTCTTTGGAGATCCAGTTCGAGTTCGAGTACGATGTCGAACGTGAACGTGAACGTGAAAATAGCGGGGAACGCACCATCCCGGCCTAGACCCATGACCTGGGCATCAAACTCGATCTCGCTACCGGCAATCTGGAGGATGGGTTCGGGCTGGTCGATTTGCATGCCGCCATCTGAGTCTGAGTCGAATTCGTGGAAGACTTCGCCTTGATCTGAGGCTGATGAGTCTGTGTCGATTTGGATGGCGTGTGTGTGGTTTGCACCGTCTATGTTGCCGTTGTGGGACATGATTCTGATAATACAATACAGGGCGAAGGATGGAAGATGGGTATCAAGTTGAAGCACGTAGATGGCGGAAGGTCAAATGAGATGGATGACTTTAAGAGTTGCGGGAGAGAGGGCCAGAATAACCTCTTATTGAACCTTGTCCTTGAAGCTTCTGATCAAATATTTGTTGAAGAGGCTTGGAAGTCAAGCAAAGACGAGACTGGGCCTGCGCTCTCTGTTCACGTTGATGCCCAGGTTGATAGGCTGAGCGGGATGGTCCCAGCTGAATCTACACAAACCGTGAGTCTGGCTGTTTGGAGTAGACCTGGTGTTTTCTTACTAGGTTTCGAGGACAGATCCGAATGCCGTAAATGACGAGAAAGGCTTCAGAGCAGTGTTCTCATGTTGAGGTCGGTGGAGGGGGATGTGCTGAGTCAGCCAACCCTAACCACGATTAGGACATGGGGATGCGTGAACGCCGTTAATTCTATGGAAGGTCAATGATAGGTGAGCAAAAAGTAGACAAGGAACAATTGGGGAAAGATACTTGGCTTTGTCAAATTAGAAATAGAGAGTCCAAATATTTGGGGGGAAAACCTTGTGGCCGTTCAAGATCCGGAATCTACAGCCTGGCCAAGAAGATAATGCAAATGAGCTCAAGCCTTTGGTTCCGCTAGTTCTTCTTCTCTTTCTATTCTTTAAATATCTTTTCTTGGAAGACACAAAATACCACTGAACAGATAAGTCATCGCCGCCTATTCAGGCTCGTTCAAATTATCTCCTTGGTCACGCTGTACGCACGTACTTGCCAGCATCCTACAATAGCTGAATCAACTCCGTATAGAGGCAGTCTACCATGGCAAAACAAAGAACACTTCAGGAGTGAAAAATAAATATGATATAATAGTAGGTATTGAATCGACACAGTAATGAATGCCTAACCTCCAACGCCAAAACAAGATGCCGCTAAAACGACGCAGGAGCAAACTCAAGGCAGCCTGTTCTTTAACAGCCGTGCATGTAACTGTTATCTGGCCAGTGATATCCAGCATCCGCCCTATTCAGAATTAGCACTTACTCGAAAGGTATCTTAATATAAATAATACATACCAAGTAGTCAAATTTGCGTTATCATACGCCTTTCTGTGAGTCTCGATGTACTCGGTCGTCTCCCATCCGGGTGGATCACAGGTGACGCTAACATCATCGGGATCCTGGTAGATGCGTACATAGTCGACGTGGAGGAAAGCGGGCATATATTCGCGGATGGTCTTGTTCTGGGGAGCGAAGTTGTCCGCCATACCCAAGTTCATGACAATTGACATGGGTTCCAGAGGGATCATGCGCTGGCCAATGTTACCGTTGGGGCCGATTGCGCGGGCGTCGAGCGTCCAGGTTTTGTCGGGGCCGATAAACCAGGTGACATCGCCTTTGTCGCCGGGTTCGTATTCAAAAGCGTAAATTTGGTACTCGGTGCCATTGTACCAGCGAGAGTTCAGGTTGCTGAGGCCGGACATGGCTTGTTGGTATACACCGCCACGGTAGGCGTTGATCTGAGTGATACGTGGATCATACACAGCGGTGAAGTCGTAGTCGGGCATGTACCATAAGTCAAAGGGAGCGGCTTGCATAGATTGCGAGGCACTACCGACGTAGGGACCGCCTTCTTGCCCGTAGAGCGGTTGGGTGCTTCCTTCGATCACATCAATTTCTGGAGCACTGCGTGCGCGACCAGGGTTAGGATGATCGGATCCTGGACATGTGCAACCTGGAAGACGCATGCCCGGCAAGAAATTGATTCCATCAGGGGAGCTTTGGTTTGGTGTGATTCCTGCGTCACAGCCGTCATGGTAACTGTACGGCCACAGGCCGTCAGTGGTTGCGGCGTAGCCAGGGCGAGCAAGGTTTCCCATGGCCCAGAAACCAGGCCAGAAACCTTCGACATGACCATCTCCTGGAAGTGAGATAGATGCCTCCAGACGACCGCCTTTGAAGCACAACTTGTTCCAGCTCTGAACCATACCAGATCGGTATTGCAGATCGTGGTTCTCAAACTCGTCGAAGCGGATTACCAAAGTACCCTCACTTGTCGTGACAGCATCAGGATCGTACCACTATACTTGGTTAGTGGTTATCCAGCTCATTCCTTGCTAGTATACAAACCTCCTTGTCCATTGTCACGCCATACCACAAATCGACTGCTTGGAAGAATGGATCGTCGCCATCATAAAATGTACGTCCTGGTGCATTAAACTCGTCCGAGAACTGTTCCATGTCAGCTGGGTCGTTTTATCTCCAGTTGAGAATGACTGACCACTAGCTTCCATTCCTTGCCGTCGACATTCTTTTTCGTCATCGCATCCGCAGGTGTATCAGGGTCGATCAATCCACGGCGAATATTAGTGAGCAAAGGCCGAGATCCAACATCAAGACAAGCCAAGTCGCCAGGTCGACAGGTGACTTTGTGGTTGAGCATACCTCCCACCCAAGTTCTATCCGATGCGTCAGTACTGGATTCACCATTTTCAACTGGGGATCATACATAATGGGGTACCCGATGAACAGAACCAACAGCCCAAGTGTCAGAACAACCAGACCACCGACATTCATCATCCCTCGGCGATTCCATATATCACACTCGCCCTCCCGGTCTGCTGGGTCTGGGTTGTGCAGGTAATCATCCTTTTCCACGTCCTCGGGGAAAAGCAGAAGACCATCAGTAGGCATAATATTAAACTTCTCCGAGACCGTCTGCGTGTTGACGTCGTATTCGTCGCTGCCAGAGCGGGACGAAGGAGCCCGTGAATCTTCAAAAGGATCCATTTGGAATCTGCTGTCCCGACTAACCGAGCTCACACTCGACCGCGCATTGGACCATCGATCCGGTGATCCAGACCTGTCATCATGACTTGGTGTAGGTCGGAGCTTAGGGGGAAGCAAAAACTCCGAAGACTCTGGAGCATGAGATACCCCATACGGTGACATACCCTGTGCACCAACCGCGACTGGTACATCCAAGGCCGGAGTCAAGGACCTAGTCATCGTATGGTCAGTAGCCACGGGAACGTACCCTTCGGCCGTCTCGGTGAACGGGTCCTGACGACCCGAGTTCAGTCGAATATGAGGCATCTCGTGCCTCGGGGAATCGTCCTCGTGATCCGACATCTGAGAAATGGCCTGCAGAACCGCTTCCTTTGAGCCTCGGCGGTCATCGAGAGGCTCAAAAGATAGCGGCCTGGAAAAGTTCTTCGAGTCCGAGGAATCCAGTTTGTCGATTCTATGGCGTCAAGCCCTATACAGGCGCGGGTTGTTGTTTGCTGATATCCAGCCGGTATTCCTCCGAGGTCGAATTCCTCCCTATCGCACAAACTCCAACGCGGTAATGACCGAAGGGACGCTAGATTTCACAGTCGTCGAGTGGCGGAGATGCGAAAGAGTGGACAGGACTACTTGGAATCGCATCCAATGTCCCTGGGCGCAGCAGGCGAAAAGACAGCGTATAGAGCTAAGAAGAGGAAGAAAACACGACGACACCAGAAGAAAAGCAGAGCCTAGATTGCTCCTGGATTATTGTTTGGGGGCATGAGGGGACAGGAATGGACACTGTACAAGGGGGGCAACCCGTGGTATGTGTTGCGTCCTTTTGGTGAGGTTCGACACCAGGAATCGGAGTGTGATAGTCTCTTTGACTTGAACAATCAACGGGTTGTAGTTTTTCTTTTCTTCGCGGAAAGTTAAATCATGGTGAAAGTTCTAACGATCGATGCTGCTATCGTTGTACACGGCTCTTGAGGCCACAGGGCTGCAGGGCAAGGTGCATTCCTCGTTGCCCCCGGCCAGCGAGGAATGGGTAGGCATGAATGCTGAGCAGGAATCCGAGATCGGCATCTTTGCTCTTCAGTCGCATGTTGTAGCGACCGAAGGTGGTTCGGCCCAATGGAAGGGACTGAAGTCTCGAGTATAGAAAGTTGCGAGGTTGATTGAAGCGATGTATCGTCAAATCCGCCCTTGGTTGGTGTTTCAACCCTCTATCAAGATCATTTTACCGAGGAAAGCACACTTCTAACATTCAAATTCAAGATTTGCCATTCTCACATCATTAAGCTATTATTATTCCAAGCAATAGCTACTCCAGGGCAATAGTGTCCCAGCTAAAGAGCGGCCATTCCCGAACACGCGTACCTCAGTCGAGCCAACGCCAGCAAGGAATGTCAGAGCACCCGACAGAAGGCGTCAAGATCAGCTCTTCCATAGGTGTTCATCCTTGGTTTAATCCATATTTCCAAAGAAAGAGAATTATTCCTACTTTCACGTTGATGACCACGCGGACGCGGAACTCGGCTTTCCTGTTCAGACCTAATAGACGTGTAGATCTGAAACGTGAATATCAATTCACCACAAATAATGCATTAATTACATCGGTCCTAATTCCGCAGGCAAACTAGCCTACGACTCAACGGACTTAGCCCGCAGTCCAACCAATCTCCCCTCAGCCGGCTCGAGTGCCAGAACCCAGTACTCGATTTTCGTGCTGCTCAACTCCACGCGATAAATCTTGAGATCAACAGTAGATTGATCTGCACCCGAACCCCCCTCGACAGCAGCAGCCCGCACAGCATGCAGGGCAGAAGCATACTGATTCTTCGGATCGAAGGAGGATGCAGAAAGGGTCTCGATAGAACCGGACAGGTCAGCCGACGGCGAAATCAAGGATGAAAATTGGTCTATCAAGGCGTGTTAGTAGACACATTTGCAGGTCCAAAGGCACGCCATCAAGGGTGCGAACATGAGCCGAACTCCCAAGGCCTGCAAGGCGCGGCACGTAGGACGGTGAAACACTGGGATGCGGAACGTACCGGCACTCGGCCATTTGCCCTTGCTCGCTCCTTCCCATTTGAAGGCGACGGGCTCGAAGGGCTCGTCGGTGTCGGAAATGTAGTATGCGTCGACGGACTGTAGTGGCGCGGGGACTTTCACGTTCGTGTGGACGGTCTCGGTGCGGGCGGTGCCGCCCCCTTGCTGGCTGCGGCCGGTGTTGAGGTCTGAGTTTGCTTTGTCCAGGAAGGACGAGTAGGCGTCGTCGGACATGATGGTGGTGGTGGTAGAGAAGGGTGCGCGAGAGTAGTGGGCTGGTGTAGCTCGGTGGTAGCTTGGAGTTGCGGGGAAGCGGGCGGTTTTCTGCGCGAATACCAGCTGTCTAGGTGAAGCTGTGTTGTATGAGTGACTAGATGGTAATAAAGACTGCGATCGTGTAATGGAGACGTAGGTGGTTGGGCACGAAAGGTGCGCGAGGGCGTTGGCTTGAAAGATGACGCAATGGAGCCTGTTTGACGGCTGCATCCTGTGCACCGCAATTTGTGGCGAAGTAACAACTTAGACTAAGGAGATCTGAGCCAGTTTTCAGACCCAAGGTCAAAGGGTGTTCCTTTCACAGCTAGCTCGAAAATATGTCAGGGTGAAGAATCTGCAGAGCTGAAATATATTTGGTTGTAGGCGGACAGATATCACCGTAGTGAACTTGTCCAGAGCCTACATGGCCACCAGAATATACATCGAGCATCGCACAGCATTTTGAGATGACGTTCAACATTTGAACCTTGCAAACCTTGCAAACCCCCTCCCAAAGCCATAATGATGTACCTGACAAGTGCTTCACACTGCAGGTCCACAAATATACACATAGTGCACAGCACCTGGAACAGATGGGACAGAATGCCAACATTGACAAAATAGAAGGACAAATCTTCCAAACGTCCAAAGTGGGAGATTTCAACATACAATAGCCCTACATATCTACGCAGTACTACAATAGCTACCATTCATAAAAGGTATTGTCCGCTTTTTTTATTGAACTTGAAATACGTGCACCTTTCACCAGCCATAGCTCGAAACACCTTAAACAGTCTGGACAAGATCCTTCTTGAGGGTACCAATGAAGGCCTTCTTCTCCTCGGCGGTCTGGAAAGCACCGTGACCGAACTTGGAGGAAGTATCGATCCACTTGAGGTCGATCTTCTCGATAGCACGGCGGCTGGTCTGGGGGTAGAGGGTCTTGCGCAGAGTCATGACGCGCTTCTTGACACCGGGGACGGCACCCTTGAGCAGGATCCAGTCGTTCTTGACCTCACCGTAGTGAACGAAGCCACCAAGACTGTGTGATTGTTAGTTTTGTGATTTCTGATGTGGAGGTTATAGAAAGGGGACGTACGGAGTAATCTGCTTCTTGGAGATATCGAACTCGGTGGAGGCGGAGCCCTCATCGTCGGCCTTTCCGATGCGGAAGACCTTGTGGTTGCAGGAGGTACGGTGGTGGTAACCCATCTGACCGGCACGGGCAACAGTCCACTGGACGTGGTTAGGGTGCCAAGCACCAATACAGGCAACCTTGCGCAGACCCTTGTGAGTCTTGCGGGGAAGCTTGGTGGTACCCCAACGGGCGGTAACACCGGAGAAACCGTGACCCTTGGTGACGGCGATGACATCAATCATCTCGTCCTTCTCGAAGATGGAGTCGATGTCGATGGTCTTCTCGAAGAGGTTGCGGGCGAAGTCAACCTTGTCGGCGACCTGGCCACCGTTGATCTGGATCTCCATAAGGTGGGCCTTCTTCTGCTTGATGGGGGTCTTGCGGATCTGGGTGTGGGCGAGGACACGGACGACAGTGCAGTACTTCTTGATGCGCTCGAGCTCGCGGGTGACGGAGGCACCGCTGTTCTCGGCGTGCTGCTTGGTGTACTTGGTGAAGGCCTTCTTCTTGGACTTGTACCAGTTCTTGTAGAAGCGACGCTTAACCTCGTCGCTCAAGTGCTCAGCCCAGACAGTGGTGAGGGAGCGGAGACCACGGGGGGTCTCGATGTAGCCAACGACACCAACGGCAACCAGAGGGGGAGTCTCGATGACAGTGGCGGCCTCAACAACCTCCTTCTTGTGCATCTTGGCACCGGGACGGTCGAGGTCACGGACGATGGTGGTCATACCAGCCTTGTAGCCCATGGTGGCAGTCAGGTGGACGGGCTTCTTGGCGTCATCCTTGGGGAAGCTGTGCGCAATCGAGTCTCAGTATACCAGGTCTAGGTCTTCGCACGAAATTTTTTTTTCTTCTTGATTTCGAGATTCAGGGAGGGAACACTCACGACTTAACCTTACCGCGGTGGCGGGCAGCGCGCTTGCGCGGCAGGTAGGCCAGGGAGCCTGTAGAGAAAAAATCAGTATACTGCACAATGGTTGTCGAATTTTGACGCTGAGGTGAAAAAGTGTATCACGAACCGTGGCGAGGCGCTTCGAACTTCCGGTGACTCCTGTTGAGGAAAATAAAGTCAGCAATTGTGTTTTGAGAGTATAATATAACATTATGTCAAAGGGCGACTCACATCTTGACCCTGTGTTGTCGTTAGTCGTCGAAGTGGTGAAAGTTGGAGGATGGGTTTCGATTTAGTGTGGGCTGTGATTCTAAGCGAGACCTATTCCTAATCGGGGGGTGAGTGGTCATGTGACCGCTTAGTAACCTCGAATTGAATTTTACGCTCGAAGTGGGTCAAGCATCTTAGCCCTGATGGGGAGAGTAGCATTACTACCTCTTACGATTTTAAGAGTATAGTGCTATGGATTAGGGTGCAATTAGGTAGCCTGGCTTATCATCAAAGCTATCAAACATGGTACTACATATGAGCTACGAGTGGCCGGCTATGAGGGGCTTCATTTCTACAGTTTGCCACTTTAGGACTCGTTCTTCAATGTTAAGGGGCTGAATTGGGCTATCAAAGATGCCTAGTGCATCGAAAAAAAAAATTCACAGGGAAATGAAAGCGAGGAAATCATAACACAGCACAAAGAGAACGAATACAGGACCTCTTCAGAGCCTCGGGCTAGCCGGAGCAGACCAACGTAACTGACACATTCATACCGTACATCACGCAATGGGAGAGAGTTAGAAATAACAGAGGAGAAGAGTGGCTCAAAGGTGGTGCCAAGAAGGAAAGATTCATTGCATAGTGACCCAAGGGGTTTAAATTTTTTTACGCCGAAGACTCAGTCTTCGAAGGCGTACCCTGGCGACCGTTGCTGGCAACTCCATTGCCATTGGCCGATTCGGTGCTGTTACCGTTGGGGCTGCCCTTTGCCGCAGCACCAGCCTTCTTCTCCTCATCAGGCTCGTCATCATAATCCTCATCGACGTCCATCTTCCGAGCCGGAGGCTCGTGAGAGGCAGGCGCTTCGGGACGAGGAGCTTCTTCCTTGACCGGGGTATTGGCCGAAGGAGGAGCCGAAGGGGGTCCGTTTGATGGAGGAGCGGAGCCCTCCGCCATGGGAGGAAGACTGGGTCCGGTAGAGGGGTGGGGTGGCATGTTCTGGATAGATGGGAGAGAAGGGGGGTGATGGGCAGCCTCTGAGGGGTGGTAGTTGTCGTTGGCACGACGGGCATCCTCACGGCGGGCCTCCGAGGAGCTGCGTCGCTGCATCTCACCAGGAGACGGCAAGCGAGCAGGGGGGCTGGCACGGCGGGAGTTCTGATCGTCCATTCGTGCACGGTTCTCATCGTTGGCCTGCTTCTTCACAGGACCCTCACTCTCCCATTCACGGCCACGCTTCATCGCAGAGGTGGGGCGGTCCTCACCACGCTCACGAGCAGCGGCGTCAGCAGCGGCCGCCGCCGCCGCGGGCGCAGGGGCGCCCGAAGCTATACCAGTGGAGTTGTTACTCGCAGCCGGCGCGCTAGGGCCGTGGTGGTACTGTTGGTGGGGGTAAGTCGAGCCGGGCGAAGAAGGTCGCTCATCGCGGATGGGCCGAATCTCAGTGGGAGGAGTGAAAGGACGGTGGTAGGGAGCAGCGCCACTGCTAGCCGCGCCGCCGTTGGGACCAGCAGGAGCGGGAGCCGGGGCGCCACCAGGAGCAGGGGGAAGAGGTCCTCCTCGGCCGAAGCCGCTACTGGGAGCACGTTCATGACCAGAGGCCGGCGCGTTTCCCAGCTGGGGCAGGGTGTGGACAGGCGGATAGGCACCGGGTCCACCCATCTTGGGCGAACGGGGAAGAGCACCACCGCGAGGATCAGGGAAGGCCCGACCAGGCTCTTGACGAGGGCTGGTCTGCGGAGGAGCGCCCGGAGCGCGGACGGCATCGCGCGGTTCCACACCGTTGGCCAGAGGAACCGATGGCTGCGACTGGATGTCATTGATACCACGGTTCCAATCTGCGATCTGTCGAGGCGGAGCGGGAGCCTGGGGAGTTGGGCCGACCGGAGCGGGAGCACCCCATTGAGGAGCTGGGGGAGCACCCACACCGGGAGCCTGGTAGGCCTGGGGGTGGACATCCTGCGGCTGAGGTGCCGGGGCATTACCTTGCTGACCAGAGCCTGACAGTTGACTCTGGAGCAGCTGCAGACGAGCCTTGATGTGGACATTGGTCGGATCAAGGTCCGCTGCACGTCCATAGGCATCGAGAGCGTCGGCGATCTGGTTGTTGCAAGACTCGTAAAGAGTACCCAGATCATACCACACCTCGGAGATGTAGGGGTTCAAGCGAATAGCACGAGAGTAGGCATCGAGCGCATCGCGGTACTGGTTGATTTGGTAGTAAAGAACACCAATCGAGCACCAGAATGTGGGGTTACGACCGTCCCGGTAGACGGCCTGCTGATAGGCTTCGTAGGCCTTGGGGTACTTGGCCTGCGACATGTAGCAGCGACCGAGAAGATACCAGCTCTGGGAATCGTTGTTATCTAGGAAAGAAAGAAATGAATTAGATCATCAAGCTTTGGTGTGGCGTTTTGAATTAGAAGCATACCTGCGCTAACAGACTTCTCCAAGAACTCGATAGCCTTGTCCTGGCTGGCGTAGCTGTTGCTCTGCTGGTGGTAGAGCCAACCCAGCTGTTGGAGAACCTTGGCGTGGTTGGGATCCCGGTCGAGAACGCGACGGTAAGCAGCTTGAGCAGACTCGAAATCCTTCTGCTGTTCGTGAACGTGGCCAATTTGGAACCAGATATCCTCCTCGGTCAAGGGACGAGGCGGCTCGTTGACAATGAACTTGAAACACTCCAAACTCTGCTGGAACTTTTGCTGCTGCTTGTATATGATGCCGAGGCGGAAATATATTTCGTTGGCCTTTTCGAATTCGGGAGCCATGCGCATGACCTGGGAGAAAGCCTCCTCGGCATGGTCGAGAGAACCGTAGCGATCATATAGTATTCCGATGCCATACCACAGCTTCGGTTCCTTCGGGTCGCGCAGGTGATACAAAGCCTGCTGGTAGGATGTGTAGGCCTCCTGCAGGTTATCCATCATCAGATGGCAGTGACCCAGGCTACCCCAGGTCTCTCCATTGGTGGGATCCAGCTTGAGGATGTTTTGAAGGTACTCGATCGCTTTGGGGAATAGCTCCTTGGTGCGAAGGATGCAGGAGATGGCATTCATAGCGGGAATAGACCATTGGTTGTGACGCAAAGCCTGCTCGTAAGAAGTCATGGCGCCATCGAGATCTCCCATCAGTTCGGTTAAGCTCCCTTTAAGACGAACAGTTAGTATTTGTTTTGGTTAATTTTGGCGCGGCGTCCTTACCGATTGAGAGCCAGACCTGCTCATTCAACGTAGCAATCTTCTGGGCAGTGGTCATTGGGACTCCCTTCTGAGCTTGCGCTGGGATGGCGGGCATGTGGCCGTTGACCTGAGGGTGCGCGGCGGGATGCGCGGCCGCCATGTGGTGGGGGCCAACCACAGCGGTAGGCGAAGGCTGAGTGTGGGACATTATTTCACGAGTCGTATTAAGATGAGAATCCGAGATGATCAGTGTCGCGACCCAAAGTCAACCGGGTTTGCGACACAATGATGCAATCTACCGAGGCGACCAGACACGCGGAGTCGACGACGGACCGATCACTAATAGTCCTAGCCGTCGATTGAAAGACGTTGGAAGCAGTACGGAAGATGTCAAACGCGACCCCGACGATGATGGTGGATACTAGGGGATCGGCGGGATTGGATGAGGATTTGCGCCTCTCCTGAGGAGATAGTAGGGGAGGAAAGAGAGGCGCGTGTGGGGAAGGTAGTGGTAGTAATGCCGGACACGAAGGCGGACACGGTGACCAAGTAAAAAAAATAAAATTAGAGCAAGAAAAAAAAGGAAGGACGAAGTAGGATGGGAGTCAGACGAAGAGGGAAGGGTGAAGCCCAAGGAGAAGGAGAGAAGAGTCGAGGGGCTGGCAGGAAAGGTGTGAAATCTGCCAAGCCACGCTAGTGGTTGTGTAGCTGAGGACCGTCACCACAGACACGAAAAAAGCTGACAGTCCAAAGTGGTTTAGCGTGGTGGGTCCCGGATCTGGAGGCGGTTATTACCTTGTATCTGTTATGTGTACGTTTTCCCATCTACGATAGAGAAATACCCTGTGAAATTTGAGATATCTCGGTTTGCTGTAGTGGACCGCATAGATGCCTCCAGCTATTACTGCCTGTCGTCCCACCTTCAACCATATATGTACTTACAGAACACCCCGGGGCCGAGTGGCGCCCGGGTGGGGCCTCGGGGTGGGTTCCCCCGTGGTCACTGCTAAGGTACGTTAGTGCGACTGTTCTCCGTGCTACTCCGACTTTGGCCTAACCCGGTCAAAGGCCTAAGCTAAGACCCGGCATGCTGGACCGTGCACCTGAGCTTTTGTCTGCCCTACCCCTGTCTACGTCTACCCGCAGACGCACTCCGCCATTTCTGCACCGCCGACTCATGTCTTCCCTTGCATCGGTATCGTATTGTCTTTCTACATCTCAATATTCTCCGGTCGATCCGCTGTATACCATAAAATTAAATTAAATAAAATCTAAAAATACCAAAATGTACTCCTGTACACCAGTGTACACAGTGTACTTCGCTGGCCCTGCAGGGTTTCCCTGACATGCCATCAACCTAGCGCCGTTCGCCCCCTTCCGTCATGATTCGCCTGAATCCCGCATCCAGTCACTTACCGTGTCTGGTTTAGCGTCCCCCTCCACAGTTTGATCTATTTTTTTTGCCTTTTTTTTAAATTGAAAAAAAATGCGAAAAATTCAATTTGGATTTAATTTGAATTTTCGGCTGTTCAGTGCGCTTCAGCCACAGCGCCACAACCCATTGCCGCATACCAGTGAATGCGAGATGATGATCTTGATACCTTTCCAGCCCCAGTGGAGCCCAATGTGACAATGCACACAAACTGGCCCCTTTCCCAGTCCGCAACACTTCCCACAGTTCCTCCCCCTCCCCGGGGATCCGAAATACCGGTTTCCTCCTTGTACTCTCCATGACTTGATCGTCCCCATGTCGTCAGATTTGCGACGAACTCTGGATACGAACTCCACTCGTGGATTTTAACCCCCCTCCCCCTCCCCCCAATATTCCGGTTGTGGGTTTGACTAGCCGACCCGCTGCCGTTACGTTGGGCGTGTAAAACATTAAACGGGCCTCGAGTGTTCAGAGCAATGACGAATACAAAGATGGGGTTACACGACCGGTAGGGTGATTTCTAACGTGTGCCGTGTTTGGGGGGCATGGTTTCCCTCGGATCCCTGCAGAGTGGATTCCGACACGACTCACAGTATGACACGGGAATGTTCTCTCAGCCGCGCGCATATAGTCCACTGTGGATCCGGACCCGTTAGGATCATCTCATCTTTGCGGGTCACGGGTCACGGGTCTCTGCACTATCCTCCGTGGGTATCACCGTGGAGCCGGCCTAACCCTGATATACGCGGGATCGGAGATCCTCGTTGCACGGCCTTCTGCAATACCACTTGTTCCCTTTTTCGTAGATGTAGATGTAGATGTAGATGTAGATGTAGATGTAGATGTAGATGTAGATGTAGATGTAGATGTAGATGAAATGATCCGAGACCAGATCGTCTAGCTTGTTCCAATAAGTCCGGACCCAGGCGATTGTAGTCCAGTCTGGCACGGTTCTTGTACGACCCCTCGCACAAGAAAAGGACGAGACAATCTCCACGGGACACAGTACGTGTCTATATCTACATTGACACGACTGTCTTTGATCCATTTTCATGTTTCTTTTCGTACCTAAGTATTGGGGTACTCTCAAGGATGCGACCGGGGACTCGACACACCTCAACTCGGAGCCTCCATCCACAGAAAGAAAAAGCAAAGCGACACATCTTGATCATCATTGATCATCACTGAGGCAATCAGAATGGACTCTGCTCTATGAATCAAAAGAACCGACCGGTAGCTCTCAGTCGCCTCAGGTGCTCGCTCGGTTCACCTCTGCTACCCACGTAGAGAGCTACCCTCGATAGTGGTACCGTGCAGGCATGGCACATAAACTTGGACGGGTCGCGCTCGGTCGACTTGTCAATTGATCTTGATACATCTCAATTGCCAGTGGCTTCGCGTCTCCTGCAGCCACAGACAGCGCAATCCAGTTTCGCGGGCTCGGAACGATCTGACTCGTTATATATCTGCAAATGGGAGCGGGCTCCGACCAGGGTCTTTATCTATGATTGTCGATTGACACCTGCACTTTGACTTTGACCTTTTTCGTCGTGGAATTATCTCGATAAATTCAACCTGGCTCTGGCCCTGGAGAACATTTCATGTTGGAGTCATGTTCGACGTGGTCTCAGTCTGATGCCGGCTGACGCGCCCGGGTGATTTATCTGCACTCGACGATGGGAACACCCACAGTCGCCTTGAGCGGCTGAAAACAAGGATGCGATCGGTGTATAGTACCGAAAAAAAGCACAAACAAGGCTCATACCAATCATAGCAGTAGGGCTGGAGGATGTAAAATGCCTTACTTCTATTGATCGACAGATCGTGCTTGTCGCTGTCCATTCATGCGGCTGAGACCTACATATTGCCCAGGGAACGATAGCAACAAAGTAGACCGAGAAAAAAGAAATTACGATACAGTCCATGAGAATCATACATATGTCAAGTGGATCCATCATGTTGCCTTTTCTTTTCTTTCCATCTTTTCCGAACTCCATGGTGAGGTAAATTGCCGAGCCCCTGCCGTTCCTCGTGGTCGCTAGATTCGGCATGGAGGGGGGCGACGATCTTCGCTTCACTAAGCCTGACTCCCCTTGCCTTTTCAGAGGATTTAGTTTTCTTCTTTTTGAGCTTGGCTCTAGATAGAGTTCATTGGCTCTTGTCAAATGCCTGTAGCCTCTTCGACCACCAATTTCTGTGGCTTCCGAGCCTTCAAGGCGGCTCGGCCCCCAACTCTCTTCTCCTTTTTGTGATGTGTTGACATTCCTTGGATCAGAGCGGAAGTCGGTCCGTTATTTTGTAGTAAGCGCGTGTACCTCGGTGAGATGGCAGTAAGCAAGTCGAACATTCTCAAGGCAATAGAGCCCTTGAACCCCACGCCCTAGGCCGGACGAGTTTAGGAAGAGGGTACCCCTTTCCGTAGAACCACTTACTCTTGAACGGTCTCACTCCACATAAGCCACACAATTTCCAGACCGACCATGCACCCGCCCGAGATGGCCTGGTTGCTTTTTTCTGGGGAACCGATATGCAGGACCACTTGTCAGCTCTAGAGGGGGTCACCAGGGTCGGCATCTAAGTAAGGTAAGCATGTCTGACAGGAAGCAAGGAGCCTTGATCTTGCATCTATCGAGGATAAGGTGGGAGTGTACGTGCCCGGAGCCCTAGAGATCCCTTGCAGCTGGCAGCCTTGGTCTGCCATCTCCATATCGTGTTCTGATTGATCCTGCGGCTTTGTTGATCTCCGGAGATGGTACAGAGTATGCATGTTGAAGGGGCCGCTGGCGCCTGCACAAAAGGTGTGCCTCGTTTGCATTGTATGTCTTCACTCGTATCTGGCCTGAGGCAGAATTGAAATCAACACACACAGCTTCGGTCCGTTCTTTGGACATGTCCAACCGAGGCTTTGATCTCCGAAGTGGCTCCGACCGGGCCAATGCGAGGCCCCCACAATGATAAGGTGATTTGGTGATCATCCGATTGGCAGGGATGTCCTCTACAAGCATAGCGGTTGGGTTCTCACCATTGTTGACACAGACAACATGAGTATTCTATAGGTCTCGGGCTTCATAGAGCGAGGAGTGCCACCTCGACACGCGGTGTGACTTATCAACGCCTTGACACATGTTATTGCATGGCCGCAGCTGATCGACAGACGATCTTTTCAACCAATCTCCGAATCATATGATGACAACGAGAGGCCCAGAAAAGCCAACCAACCCCCCAGTCAGAAGGCAATCAGTCCTTCTGATAGTTGGTCGACCCCGCGCACGGCAGATCCCGACCGCAAGACAATAAGCTCGAAACTCAGGGCCCAGGGAGTGACAGAGAGAGAGCACACGGGGAATTCTGGGCTAGACCGCGCGGATTACGCACTCGTCCGCTCAGCCAAGCGCGCCTCGCGGTATTTGGGGCTGAGTGACAGGCGCCGAGACAACCAGCACCAAGGCCAAGGAATGATCTCTAAGGGACGAGACACCGGGGAAGGAGGCTGAGCGGACGAGATGGCATCTTATTCGCAGAGAATTTGAAACACCTCGGTAGCGGAATGAGAGGAGGGAGCCAAGACGGACACAAAATGAAGGATTACAAGATGCTGGTCCAAGTGAACCAACATGGGTCTGCCTAGTATTGGCAATGTTGGTATCTGCAATAAAGCTCTGCAGAGGCCCGAATAGGCGTAAACTATTGGAGACTTACCTAATAGATATTGGACCCCTTCAGAAGGGTGAGGTTTTTTTCTCCGAAGTCAAATGGATGCCAATCTCTCGGCGTCTGGGCGTGGCTCGGCGCGGACACACCGAGGCTGATCAGGGCGATGCCGAGCCAATGAAGTGGTATGAAATTAGCAAAGATTTAGAAGATGAAAGATAGGCCCGACTGGTCTTGCCCTATACTGATATTATAGCCAAAGCAAGTGTGAAGAAGTACCATTTTATGCGCATTGTACATTACCGCCAAGACTCGCACTAGAGCCTGTCAGCCAATGAAACCACGTCATTTCAGTCGTCGCTCACGCGGATTCTTGGCATCTTGGCGATTGGTAAAACAACGAATGCACAGCGTGGGACAGTCCTCTGTCTAACGTGGCCTCTACGATTAACAATCTGCTCGAGAATCATACACACTAACTAGCAAATGGCAGAAAGGCCAGCACAGGGTGACACCAGCATACGAAAAGGTGAAAAAACCACAGCAGCGACACTCGACGCCGAGACCTTGGCATCTGGGCGCCTTGGCGAGAGCACCTGCAAACAGTAGGATATGCCCTCCTCCGCTGCCATGGCCTTCCCTGGCCTTTCCGCCGTGCGGTTCTCTTATAAAATTCCCTTTCCGCCCTGGCTTTCCTCCTCTCCGTTTCGGCCAGGCGGAAATACACCCTAGACCACCCCCTCCAACGTCCAACGCATCCCCCCTATGATCCCTGGATCGTGCCCCGTGAAAACCATGTGGTGAGCCCTACAGACTCCTAGTCGCCCTCTGTGCGCCTGTACGACCTTCACCAGGCTCTCGCCCTCTCCTCCTACAACTCTGGCTCGCCATGCCGCCGCCGGAGATGTCATATAGTCCTGCCTATCACCAGGCTCAGGCCCCCCTCCGCGCGGTACCCGCTTCTATCATAGCCCCTCGTCCCTGTCAAACGTTGGGTTCCCCCGATCCGAGCCATTCAGGCCCGCAGCATCCCTCCGACGAATGGACGCCCGGGTTCGACATCAGTCCCCGATCCTCCGGACCGCGGGGCTCCCACACCTACTCCCCAGAGGCATCGCGACGCCAGTCCCGAGTGGACGACGGCTCGCAGATGTCCCGGGTACTCGTCTCCAGCTCCGGAGCCGCTCACAGGGAAGAGCGAGGCAGCTGGGCGGACCAGCCGTCCTTGATATCGGCCGACCAGTTGAGCTCTCCGCGCGCACAGAAGCGAGTCGTCCCGGACGATATCCCGGTTGATCAGAGTCAGGATGCGCTGCTTATGCTGGTAAGTTCTCTTATACATATTGCGAAAGATTCCCTTGGTCTGACAAGCTTGTAGTTCCGGCTTTCTGTCCCCGTCCCGATATTCTCCTTCGCTGCCTGTCTTTATACCTGCTGTGCCCTTCTATTCGCCGTCTTCTCTTCACCACTGCGAATATGCTCCCTATCACCCTACCTCCGCAATACCTCTTTCGTAACACAAGTTTGCGACCTTCTCTCACCGACCCTCCACATCCATGAACGGCTCGTTTGCATGCGTCCACCAACATCAGACCGTTCCTCCTCAACCCAATGGATCCGCTCCGAAACCACCTCAGACCAGCCGTCGATGCTGGCTGACTCGACTCGATACTATAAAGTTGGCACCTCAGCAGGCGTCCTGATCCTCTCGCCATTCCTGAGCATCGCAATCCTCCTCTGCGCCTGGACAGCCGCTTTCTTCTGGGTCTTCTCCATGGTAATGGGCAACCCAGACGGCACAGAGCGCAAAGACGACGGCCGCACAGCAGTCCTAGGAGTCTGCAAATGGTGGCGGACGTGGCTGGGCAAAGCCCGAAAGTCATGACCAAAGCCCCACCTCCCCCACCGGGACGATCTCCCTAAATGATAGGTCCGATTACGGACCTCCTCTCGGACCTGGATCCAGAAGAGAACTACGCGACACGACCCCTCATCACTTCATTTGCCAATATTACTATTACTTCAGTCTCTGAGAGGCTATGACTATACACCTGCATCGTGTGATGCTCCCGGAGTCAGGAATCGGGCCATGTCTTTGGCGTCGAAAGCGGGTACATTAACTATTCCCTTTTGGCTTCGACCTCCTATGTGATTTATTTGTGGAGGCTTTCTATACTTCTTGCTGGTCCTGTAGATGGTCCTTGTTCTCGATGACTGGGATGTTGATTCGTCTTGGGAATTGGAGACTTGCATCAACTGTACTTGTATGTATACTGTGCTTTTTGCGCGCAAATTTGATACCCGGATTATGCCTCCTTCAGTTTGGGTTCCTCTGAGGACTAGTATGATTTTGTAGATGGATCACATTGGACGAGTAGCGAAGACCAATCATGAAACGAAACCTGTATATCGGGAGAACGGGGTACAGAGGCTGAATCCATTCCACAAGATGGCCCGATCTTGCCATTGTTCGATCAAGGACCTGCTGCAGTGTTTGACCGTACACGAGCCCGTGCCGGAGTGCGTGTATCATGAGCCACGTCAGAGGGCGGGCATAGACGTCTTCGTCGCGCCTCAGGGTCTAAACGGGTCTGCCGCCCCATAGTGTAGGATCACCGAACTTGGGCTACAAACAACGACAGATCCACAGCGGGCTAAAGCACGGTATCTGCCGCACCAATTACAGTATACGTCTTACAGCCTAGAGAGCCTAGAGATAAATTGAAATCCATTACACGAAAGGAAATATAAGTAGCGGTCATTTTGCCTATTCAACTCATGCCGCTATTCCACAGCAGTGCCGCAGTATCTTCAGGTATGTACCAGAACACTATCCTTATCAAAGTATTATCTAGCAGGTTCTCTGCAATTTCCAGAGATCAGTACTCATCCGATGTTTCGCCTACGTAAAGGCGAGCTTAAGAACTCGATCGAGCGAGTGCTTAAGGAATGACACACTATCTATGTAGCACCCACAATAAGAGAATAGTTTTATCATTACTATGGTAGGGTGGCTCTCTGCGACTCATGACCGCGGGCTGGATTTCAACAACCTAGAAACTACTTCAAATGAATAGTGAGATTATAGAGGAAACTTTCAAGTGCAGAATAAGATCAAATTTCTATGTGCAAGATGCCTTAACAAACTTTTGCTCGTAATCAAATCATGACAAGACAAGCCCAAGACCTGCGAATATCAGTCAACCCCCAAACGGAAGCGCCAAGGGGGTATTATTCGAAATGTTCCTAACCAAAAAGAACGTGTGCCAGAGCCTTGGATGCGTGAAACAGTCTCCCCGACCTTCCCAAAGATAAAGGAAAGAAGATATAGGAAATTGGTCTTGCGTTTACCGGCTTCCGCGACCGCGGCCACCGGAACCACCTCGGCCACCACGATCACCGAATCCTCCACGTCCACCACCACGACCACCACCACGGCCACCGAAGCCGCCGCCACGATCACCGAAGCCTCCGCGTCCGCCGCGTGCTCCGAAACCGCCACGGCCACCACGATCACCACCTCGGCCACCGCGGTCACCGAATCCTCCACGACCACCGCGATCACCGAATCCTCCACGACTACCGCCACGATCACCGAATCCTCCACGGCTACCGCCACGGCCACCAAAGCCGCCACGTCCGCGGGCACCATCACCCTTCATGCCACCGCCCTTACCCTTGAAGGGTGTTCGGCGCTTCTCGATACGACCGCCACCGGGGGAGCCGTGGGTCTTGGGAGCACCGAGACCACGACGACCCTGAAGGCTCTCCTTAATAGCGCCTTCATCATCTTCATCGAGGTCCATGGCATCACCACCACGCTTGGCTTGACCCATCCTGACCTTACCCTTCTGGCCGCGGCGGACAGCATCGGGTCCACTAACAGCCTCGAGGTAGGCATTGACACCGCCAGCCTGGGCACCGCCCATCTCGACGTCTTCGGCAGCGTCGTCATCGCCAAGAAGAAGACGGCCATCAGCATCGAACTTAGCATTGCGCTTCTTCTTCGAGCCAGGGCCGGTGTTCAGGAAGCGCAGGCTAGGCTTGGTGGTAGAAATGTTAGCCAGAGCGTCGGGTGCCAGCAGATCAAGCGGGTTGTCGTCAGGAGACGTCTCGCGGATGTACTGGTTGCTCTGACCCTTGTTCCTGCCGCCAGCACCCTTGCCTCTGATGCGAGCGGTCTCATCGACGTCGACGTCACTGGCGCCATCGTCAGACCCGTCGTCTGAGTCCTCGGAGTCGGAGCCGTAGACGGCCTTGTCAAAGGCGTTGCCGCCGGATTGCTGCTGGGCAGGCTTCTCATCTTCCTCGTCCTCATCCTCGGCGCCCTCCTTCTTCTTGCGCTTGTTGCGCTCACGCTGCTTGCGAATGTTGACGACCAGCTTACGGTCATCTTCACCGACCAGGCTCTCCATGAGAGGAGCACCGAAGCGGCGAACCAGACGATCGATGATACCCTTGACCTTGCTGCGAAGACGACCCTTGTGCTCCTTGTTCCAAGCCATGAGGTTGGGGACAAGGGCATTGAGACGGGGCCGCAAGGCCTCATCGGGAAGAACGACAACGGCAACCTTGACGAAGCCGAGGACGGACCGGACGATCTCGCGGTTGTTGCTGGTAAGGAAGAGCTCGACAGTCGCCACGAGGTCAGACAGAACCTCGGGGCGGAGCTGAGTGTGGAATTCGAAGAAGAGGCGGGACAGGGCTGTGACGGACGCAGCAACCATGTGGGGAGAGGAGCCAGCCAAACCGGCAGACACCATGGTGAAGAACTCCTCAATGGTAGCAGGGGCGTCAGGTGAGTCATCGGGCATGTGAGCCACCAGTGAGTTGCGAATCACAGTGCCCTCGGGGTTACGTTCGGGGTCAGTAGTGCGGTGGGAGAGGTGGATCAGTAGATCGAAAGCGGCAGTACGGGCCTTCTCGTTACTCTCCTTGCATCCAAGGACAACCTCAGACAAGATAGCCGGGATGAAGTGGAGCTCGGAGGTGGGCAGGTGGGTGATCAGCTCGTGAATGGCGAGCATGCGGTCACGGCGACCAGATGCGGGAGTCTTGTCAGATGTGGCCAGCATGAGAGCCTGCAGCTCACCGCTGCGCTCTTGCAGAGCAGCGCTACCGGTCTCGGTTGAGGCAAGACGGGGGATGAGCTTGTAAGCTTTCTTGATAAGCTGCTGATCGGGGTTGGGGGAAGTGCCATTGAGAATAGCGGTGGCCATAGCGAAGAGACCGCTGAAGCTGGAGCGAGGCAGATAGATAGACATGGCAATGACCAGGTCAATCAATGTGTGTGAAGTAGGGGGCATCTTGTTGGCCTGATCCTGCTTGGGTGCATCCTGCTGCTGCTCCTCCGCCAGCGAGGATTCGAGCATGGCTGTGACACGAGAGAAAGTCTCATTGAGTTCTGCCTCGGGGGTGATGCTCAGATAGGAATTAATACATTGCAGGATGTAGCCACGGTGGTGCGGAAGAGTCTGGCTGTAAACGTTGAACAGCACGGCCAACAGGTTACTGGCAAAGCCAGCCATGTGGGCAATGTTCTTGGTGGCAGCAGCCTTAGTGATACGGCGCTGCAGGATCAAATCCTCCTCCTCGCTTTCGACCTCCAGGATAGCCTGGTTAGACTCGACAAGGTTTTGCAGAGCGCGACAGATGTCGACGCGCAGCTCAGCCTGCTTATAAAGGACGTTGGAAAGCAGCTCGGCAAAGCTCTGGTCAAAGGCCTCAACCAAGTCGAGGGGCAGTTCACAGTATCCGGGAAGAATTCCCCAGGTTTGCTGGACAAGAGTTTCGAAGATCTTCATCTCAACGTGCTTCTCGGCACTACGGAAATCAACCATCTTCTGGTAAAGAGCCTCACTCAAAGGCACAAACTCTGAACGGAAGTGACCCAGGTCGGTATTCGTAACTGAGTCACGGAGAATAGGCAGCAACCAGACACGACCGGGCTGGCCATTCTTCTGCTCAATGATGTTCAAGGGCAGAATGTCGAGAACGGCGGCGGGGCCCATGGCCTCAATGGCACTGCTGAGAACGCTATCGGCCTCCTTCTTTCCGTGGAAGGACTCGTTGCTGCGGAGCTCACCCACGGTTGTGACAAGGCTGATAAGGAAGGGGCTGGAGCGCCACTTGAAGCAATCGAACATGGCAGAGCAGACATTGAAAACCTCCATCCAAGCAGCCTGGTACTTGACAGACAGAAGATCAGCGGCGGCCTTGGCCAGCTTCTCCAGAGTCTTCTCATCGTAGACAGAAGGGTCTATAATAACACTGTTGGGGATACAGTTGTGCAGGAAAGAGATCAAACACTCAGACGCGGACACGCGGATGTTGTTTGAGGGCGAAGCCAAGAATCCAGAGATGAGCTGGAAAAGTTCAGGAAGCTTCTCAAAGGTGTCTTCGGGGCTGATTTGAGCAGACACATCGTATCCACGGGACAAAACAGCGATCCAGGGAGGAAGAAGTTGGGAGTCATTCTGTGCGGGCTTAAGCTCGGAGATGGCCTCCAAAAGACGGGGAAGCTTCGAGGACGAGAACTCGTCCGCCATACCCTCAAAAATGACCTCGAAGACCTCGAACGCACCCATAGTGATGTACTCGTTGGTGGAGCGAGAGGCGTTCATCAGCAGTTCACAGAGCGACTCGATCTTCTTGCTAGGCCAACCGCCCGAGGCTGTAGCAATGGTCTTCACCAGCTGGAGCGAGTGGATAATTAGAGGCTCGTGGTTGTCTTTCTGTGCATCGTGCTTGCCCTTCTTCTGCTTCAGCGCAGTCGCAATACTATCGCCAAGCGTCTTCATCGCAGACTCGGCGCACATATCCGCAGCCGGGTGATCCAGAGACGGACTGGGCGGGGGATTCTTGAGAACCTTGACCAGCGCATCCTGAGCGCGCTTCCGAACCTTGGGCCGGTGGTCAACTGAAAGGCTGAGCAGACCCGCCGTCGCCCGACGGGGACCGATCTGAGTGTGAGGCAGATTCCATGCTGCGGCATCCTGAGCAATGAGAAGCGACTCAAGACAGCCAATTGATGGTCGCAGAAGCGGGGCCTCGACCTCGGGCAGCGAAAGAGCAGGCGCAAGACCAGTGAGAATCTGAGAGAATTTGGAGCAAAGAATCGGAGCGGGAACGTAACCGGTGGTGATGTCGAGCAGATAGACGACGGATGTCGCCAGGTCCTTGTTAACGATTCCTTGGTCGGCGGACAGCGACTGTGAGAGGAGCGCAAGGAGCGCAGCGAAATAAGCGGTGGAGGAAAAGTCTGCCTTTTGGTCGCGAAGAGTGTCCTCCACTGCAGAGAGCACCACGGCGGTCTGCAATCGGGTCAGTAAGTTTCTGTAGATTGGCATGGGATCACACATACATGGTGCTGATTCTGCAGCTTAGGAGACTTGATCTTCTCGAGCTTCTCCGCCAGGGTCGCCATGATGATCGTGGACGACAGGAGGAGAAGGACAGAAAGCGTGCGGGGATGCTGTTCTGGCGGTGATGGAGAAAAATCGACGAGAAAAAAAAAGGTACAGCGGGTTCTTGGCGCGGTTATCGATAAGCAACTACCATCTCTCCACTGTGAGACCCGCTTCTACTCTGGAGAAAATAGGAAATTGTGAGAAAATTTAATCGAAAAAAATTCATAGAACCATCAATTCGTGGATTTTTATTATTGAACAAGGCAAAAAAGGGAATATGGACCCGAATTGGGTGTGAGGACGGCCATTCTGCGCCATTATCAGTAGGCGGCGTGCAGAAAGACGAAGGAGAACGGCAAATCAGCTTCAGACTAGAGATACTAGTTTACCTCAGAGTCGTCCTTGAGCGTATCCTTCATAGGTCCCTTGTATAATCTCACGTTCACAGTTCGTGAGAACTTCGAAGACCTAGCACAAATAGAAGCAGGCCATTGCAAGAGACTTTTCACTTGCCACCGCTATTGAATAGTGTACAAGTAAACTTGTCCAAGCCCATAAGCGCAGGTTCCATCCTTAATGGCGAACCCTCCAATGGCCCCCAAAGAGTGCGTCGTGAGAAATTTCGGGGCTTCGGGATGAAGACAACGGCCACACAAGTAACAGCGGTAAGAGAGCTACTAGAATAGGATCTCTCCGCTGTGCTCAGGCTCAAAACCCAGAGCGGACAGCTCCTTGTACCGCTTCTTATCACCGGTCTTGCGCTGGTTGTCTTCCTTCTTCTTAAGCGCAAAGACTTCTTCGAAGGGAGCCTTGGTTATCGTAGTAGGAATTTCATCTTCGCGGTCCAAATCCTGTAATATTATATTAGCATTGAGCTTAGTAAATCAGAGGTTGGAGCTTCTCCATGCACATACCACTTCACCGAGCAAGAGGACATTCTCGCCACGCACGAGGAAGACGCCGCGCGGGACATCAGCGTAGAGGTTTCCAGCGTAGATGCGCTCAACGGTATCCTGGAAGAAAAGGTTCGCTGTAAAGTGGCAAGAGAGGCTGGTAAGACACGGTTTACGTGAAAGGCTATGCGACACTCATACCGAACTGGTCCCAGCTTCGCAAAACACCGATCAATTTCCTCCCATCGCGCAGAACAAGCACTAGCTTTTCTACAAGGCAGAAACAATTCCCCTGTCAGCAAATGACTCTTCCCGGGTCCTCAATGCGTTTTGGGTCACGTACTATCTGTCAAATCAAGTAATTGTGCGGCAGTGGTGAACATCTGCGGGGGGAGCTGGGGTGGGCCAGAGGTGGGCTGGTTCTGGCCACCAGGACCAAGAGGAGTCTGCTGGGAGAACTGCTGGGAGTTGCGCTGCTGCGCATTGGCAGGGCTGTCGTTGAGCGACAATCGCTCCATGTCGGTGGTGGAAGGTGGGGGTGTCTGGGAAACGGGTGGGCGTAGATTGCGTCAGAGAGCGGTTGGAGTTGGAGTTCACGAGGTTCAAGTCAGGAGGAGGCCGCTCTCATTATAAGCGAAGCTGCACCGGGATTAAGAGGAGCGCCGGGCAGCGCGAGACTGAAGTCGCCGGAGACGATTATCAAGGGCGGTGGGGTGGGTTTGTCGTGTTTGCACCGGGTTCTACTTTCTACTTGAGTTACTACCTTCTATTGCTATATCCTTCTCTTTTTGGATATGCTTGAATCCATGCTGAGACTATCTGGGATGATTTGCCTTATCTCTAAAAGTAGCTAATTCAAATAGTGCAAGTTGCATTCAAACGTGAGCATGCCATGCAACCCACACTTCCTGGATCTTTCCATCAGCTCTATGAGTGGGAGGTTCGAAGCCACTCTTTGCATTTCTCGTCTCCAGGAACGCTATTCCCGAGAATTACTCTCCCGGGAATGCCATTGCACCCAGAATCATTCCCATGGCATGTATCGCTTTCAGTAACGTCCTGTCCGTCAATCCATTCACGGCGACCCACGTAATATAGTCCATTGCGTTTAGGATCGATCTCTCCGAGGTCTGGATGGTTTGGGTTGTAGATAAAGAGACTAGGGCGAAGCTCTTCTGGGACAGGTTTTGGGGAGTATGGAAATTCGGCGAAGGAGCTCAGGTCTGTCCGTGGTGCGTGTCTCACAATTTGCTCGCGGATATCAGCAGCCCATGTATCCCGTAGGTACCAGTAGAGAACAAAGGTGAAAAGATCATGGTCATAATCGCGATCGAATCCGAATGGCTCTGAGGAGTTGAAGTCAGCCATTAGCTTGCTGACGATTGTGTAGCGCAAGTTTCGTTGGCTTGGGGTTTCGAGGTGTGCTGTTGTTGGAAGAAGATTGGAGTTCATTTTCAGTCGGAACGTGTGAATGAAGAAGCGAATCAGTGGGCCAAGGAGGGCTTCGAAAGATGTGAGGAATTCAGGAAACGTTCTTCGAAATACCTGGACTGCGTTCGCTGCATCTCGCGTGAAGTCGTGAGTCTCGTTGTCTTGTGAGGACATATTGAGTACCGTTTGATAACTTTGGAATGTCGAAAAGACGAGGAGGAGATGATTGGTATTGAGGCTGGGCCAGACGATGTGAGCAGTTGAACATTGAGCAAACTGAGCGAGAGAGCTTGAAAAGACACAAGCCCAGTAGGCATTCAATTAGGAAGTGATGATTCGGAGACGATGAGATGATCATTGGTCTTCGAAATTAACTATAATGTACTATCTGAGTTTAGTCTTTCATATCTCTCGAGCTGTCTTGCATTCACTGATGCTTGTTGTAGGCTACGTCTACTAGACTTCCCTCTATAGCTGTCATGGTACGATCTACATCTACCTATTCCTCTCCCCGGCAGAGACAATTCAACTTGTATTCAATTAATATTATCCCGAAGACGCTGCTTTGATCTACCAGTATGTAATTCATCAACACGATCGATTAGAACCTTCACAGGTTGGTTCTGTGTCAAAGATTTATGAAGCTCGAGATAGCTAGATAACATCCACAAGGCACCACAAATCGGAAAAACAACAACAACCAAGCAGATCGAAGGACAAATAGTTCCCGAAAATTTACCGAACTATGTAGTTTTCGGATGTGGTCTATCACATTTGCTCTCCACCAGGTTCACCGCCCCTAACGACGTCCCGAAGACTCAGCTCAATCCATCGTCTCTCATTATACGCCCCACCGAGCAGCAAAATCTACTGAAACATCCATTCCTACGCCGGAAAGCGGCAACAGCATCAAAAGACAGATAGCAACAAAGTCAACGAACAGAGGACAGCCTCAAGGCAAAGCTCATGCAATCTCATTCTCAAGCAGTCCCTCGAAAAGACCAAGTAATCCAGAAAGAATAATACAGAGTGCAGCAGACACAGAACAAAACCTATACAGTGAAAAACACATAGAACGAGGGGATATCTGAACCAAAGGCAAAAAAACGGAACCCAATACTCAAATCCATCAAAATCCAAATCCAACTCATTCCAACAGATCAAACAAGGCAAACCCCCCTCTGCTGCCCTCTGATCCTCTCCTCTCTCCTACGACTATACGGTGCACAGTATGGCTCATCCGATGACCCGATACTAGCCCGCACGCCATCTTGTGAACGATGATATGCTGGACTCGACGGCGCCGGAGCAAGTTGCATAGCCTTGAACTGGGCATCAGAGATGATCCGTCGGCCATATAGGTATCGCATCAGTTCAAAATCCGGCCTGCTACCTGCTAGTGTTTGTCCGTGCTGATAGTGTTCCGTCGCGACGTGGTCGAGCATGCGGTCCCAAGCTGGGGGTTCCTCGGTATCGTTCATCGAAGTATCCTCGTTATCTTTTGGCCTATCCTCCAGTACTCTTTCCACAGGCGTCATGGAGTCCGAGTCTCCATCCACAAAGTTCGTATTCGGACAAAGCGGGCACCGCGCCGTCGACGGCGGCGGGTGAGTGCGGAAGTGACTGACTACATGCGTGCGCCACTCGCTTTCATCGTCGAAAGAATCATGACAGTCCAGCATGTGGAAAAGACAAACATACATTCTCGTCTGCTCATCGACCCTATCAAGAGCCTGCGCAGCAGTATTCCACGACGAAGATGAAGACGAATCTTCCACTCGCGATCCAACTGATCCTCGGGAAGTAATAACAGGCGCCAGACCATCCATCTCGACACGGCCTTCAGCGGTATCCACCGACGATATGGACGGCGACGAAGACCCGCTCGATAGGCCCGGGAGCGTGGGCGAGGAAACTGGCATAGCGCTGACGACCACGCCGTGCTTTTTTGTTTGCGCGCTTTTACTCATGGGGGAGGTGATCGCTGGGCGGAGAACGGCGAAATGCTTAGAGCTGATCGGGGGCGGATCTGACGGCTCTTGGGGCTCGTAGGCTCCGACATGCTCCGCACGGGGCTGGCGGGGAAATAGAGATACCCTTGATCACGTTAGAGGATGTTTCGTCACCGGTGCACGAGCGTGGAATGGATTCGGTTTGATTCGGGCTGGACAAAGCTCTTTCATGAGAACGTACGGTCTTGATATGGTTCGAGAGAAGTCCAAGCTGGATAGTGACTTTTTTTTTTTTCTTTTTTCCCTTCTTTTTCCTTCTGGTTGGCTCCAGGGCTATAAAGGGCACAATTTCTGGATGTACCTGTACTGAAGTCAGCATGCATGACATTATAGGTGCCGGCGTAGCCCGACTCTGCATAGGTGGGTACATTTGACGAACGTTGATAGACACGATGCAATTCTGCACGGACTAAATGTCCAGGGCAGACACCGCACACGATTTGGAGATAAAAGTTCAAAACGTTGTGTACCTGGTGGATTTTCTGCGCTAAGCATGGAGGGGGAGCGGGGGCGTCGGGCTAACGTTTGGGCTGTGCAGTAGTATCGTTGGGAATTGTCTATCATTTGTGTGCTCGGCTTGAATGGTACTTTGTTCTCTGAATCAGATGCTAAGGACTGGTCTAGATCGTATGTGGTAGGTAGATCTGCAAGATGTCTTTTTGTGTTGCGTATCCTTGTCCCGACAGATCTGTATGGAGGGTGTCAACGCTATGGTTGTGTAAATTTGAGACAACCACATTGGAACTACAAATTTGGATGTGACAGATGCATATGAGTTGATAGTTTTCATTTTTGTCCCATGCAGAGCAGGGTAGCAATTAGAGAAGAGAATAAAACAGGGTGGCCAGAAGTATAACAGGCCACAGGCCTGGGAGGGGAGAATCAACACAAAGAAAAGTAGTCAGGTCGACTGAGAAAGAAAAAGATTTTAGACTCGAAGAAGGGCGAACCCCTGAGAAGAAACAGCCACAAGGAAAATCCCATCCCATCTATATCATGGAGACGCCGACTGAAAATAAGAAAGAAAAAAAGAAAAGAAAAAAAAACCATCCAAACCGACACCGATGATGCCTGCAATCCAATAAAATGCACAAAGTCTATATCGTTTCGTGGCGCGCATAACATAACAAGAGGAAAACAAGATTAGAAGCGGTCGGCTAGGTCACCGCCTGCAACGGAATTGCTGGTTGACGAAGACATGGACGCGAAGCCGCCTGTCGGGTTGAGCATGTCCTGCACCGCAACCTTGGGAACCTGAGGCACGGGAAGCTTGCGCTGTGTGCCGTCCGGTTTGGACATGATGTCCGTGATACTGGGACCTATGTGTCCTTGACCGGGGCTGTAGTAGTTGGGACCCTCGGGTTGGGGCTCCATAGGGGCCAGAGCGGGAGTGTGTTGGAGGGTCAGGTGGCGGATTGAAGGAAGGTGCAGCTCGTTGGCCCCCAGAGGGCGCAGACGAGGCGAGTGGGCAGGGGTAGCCAGAGGAGTATGATCAGGAGTAGGAGAAAGCGAATCGTGCGAGAATGTAGGGGAGGAGGGCGCGGTGGAATTGGGAGAGTTGGGGCGCGAGCGCTTCACGCGGTGTCCACCATACGCATCATCGTCCTCGTTGGAATGCGAGCGAGTCATGTTTTGAGAGATGGCGTAGGCAGACAGGGAAGGCAGACCACGACCGGTGCCATGACGGGAACCAAACATGTGTCGCGATCCGTGGAAGCCCATGTGGTCATCGCGCTCGACCTGCGACGCAGCGGTGGCCAGCAGATTGATATCCATACCGGAAGAGGCGCGCTCGCTGGTGCGCGAGTAGGGGCCCAAATTTGAGCGCATGTGGTTCGCGTAATTGGAGAAGGAGTGTGGCGGCGAGACGTCCGGGGATCCAACCTGAGAAACCGGCGCAGAGCGAGTAATAGGCTTGCTCGGCGGAGGCATCATGTTGGCGGCGCTGGCCATCGCGGCATCCTGACCGGCGGCGGCAGCCGCAGCGGCTGCGAGGTGTTGGGCCTTGTTGCTGCGGCGCGAGTTGGGGTTGTTGTGGATGCGCGAGTGGCGAGTGAGCTCATCAGAACGGCTGAAGCGCTTCGTACAGCCGGGGAACTGGCAGGCGTGAGGCTTCTCGCCCGTGTGCGTCCGAATGTGACGAGTTTGGTGCTCCAGGCGGTGGAAAGCACGGTCGCAAAGAGGACATTTGTAGGGCCGGGGTAGGTCCTGGCGGACCTCCTCGTTCGCAGGACGAGCACCCTTCATGAGAGGCGGTAGCAAGCTGACAGAAGATGCCATTGAAGAGGAGTCTCCCGAAACAGGAGAGGTGGGATCCGTGGCTTCTTGAGGATTCAGTAGATTGGAGAAACCCACTGACGAAACCGGTAGTGGCATGTGAATATTTCCAGGTGGGACGGGACCGGATTTATGGCCGCGAGGAACAGATTGAGAGCCGAGGGAGTCTTCACACAAGGGGGGGGCCAGAGCTCAAGAAGGTCTCGGTTGATCTGCACCCGAGGGTTCTTTGAGAGTCGATCTATGATCTGCCCTGTGATCCTATCACAGATATATAAAGATAGAGTGTGGGGGTGGTTGTATTTGGTATGCGAGGCGCAAAGGGGGAGGAAGAGAAGAATCTGGAGATGACGATCTGGGGAGCAGGAGATGATAAAGAGAACGGAAGGGGGGGGGGAGGGAAAGATGTATAAGGAATGGAGGGGAAAAATGGAGGAAGGGAGAAATCGGGGAGAAGGGGGCGCTTCGGGATCGAACACTTTGGGGGAAAAAGTCAGAAAATCGGCCAAAAAAAAAAAAAATAGAAAATAGAAAAAATCAAAAAATAGAAAAAGAAAAAAGGGAAAAAGAAAAAAATCCCAAAAAGACTTATCGGATCGTAACAAGGTTGGGCTACGGTGTGGGGGAGAAGGAGACCGGGGGGCGAAATTAGGAAAGGGAAAAGAGAAAAAAAAAAAAAAAAAAAAAAAAAGGGAAAACTCTGAGAAAGGAAAAGGAAGAAAAAAAAAAAAAGGACAACGTGCGGTAGATCGACTTGCCTGTTGCAGCGATGGAGAATGCCCGAACTCCCCTATACAACTCTTCTTTAAACCATTACCGCTGATTCTAGTCATTGCAAATTCCCATCCTATCGATTCTACCTAGATTATAAGGTACATCCTGATATTAATCATGGCATAATTGCCCCGAATTGACAGGAGGGTTACGTACTCTGGGTGTGGGGACCAGGGCTAGTTCCGACGCTACGCAGGTCCTCTGATTATCTCATAGTTTGCTGAAGAACCCCGTGTGGCGTGACTTACCGGTGCGTGGACATTGTACGGTCACTCTCACACATCCGGCTATCGCGCGTCTGGAGAAAGCTGGGGACTGTTTCCTTATCTCCCCCCTCAAGATGCATGATAAACCATGATGGCATGAGCCAGTAATGAGGGAAAGGTTATCTTCTATGTATTACCCCAGGGTCATCCCCCGGTGACGCCAGAGTCAAATCATCGATGATGTCGACACATGATAGACTGATCGGAGCATGATGGAGTCATGAGCCCGATCGTACAGGTGAGATCGCACGAAAATGAGCCGGGTCACATTGGAATCGTTCGACCATGGGAGCTTCAAACCAGGGTAGCTGATAACGAGGGTGAAAATACCCCGGATTCTCTTGGGACTGAGAACTGCGGACTAAGGATTGAGGGCTGAGGACTGAGGGCTTAAGACCCATGTTCAGAATGGACTGATAGGCGCGAATGCAGCCAATTGTTACCATGGTCGAGAGCGAAGATGCAAGGCCAGGGATGATAAGTGTTGTGGCACAGGTTCATGCCCCCGGGAAGGCAGCCGTAATCACGGTCCAACTTCGGGGCACCCCGTGGAGGTTTAGCCCCAAGCCACCAGAAACAGCCCCCGCGCCTCCAAGCCATCAGGATAAAGAAAGATACGCCTAGTCGGCATGCTCCTCCCGTTTTTCCGTCCACTCGGACATGGTCCATGTGACGGCTATCGATAGCCTGACTGGTCTAAACCTGTTGACACCGATCGACCCTTGATCGTTCCCCCCAGTTCGAGATCCGCGGGCGGTGGGCAACCTGCATATAGCCGTGCCCCTTTAGTGGTAGATCTTAAGACTGAAAATACTGTAGGTTGCAATCGAGGTCTCAGATGAGCTGATGAGCTGTCTCGCAGCTCTTTTTTCTCTTGCTCTCTTTCTCTCTCTCTCTCTCTCTCTCTCTGTCTCTCTCTTTCTCCGGGATTCAATTCGGCCGAGCCCGTGGGTCCGGAGAAACACCCCATCCCCCAGGTTGCGACACTACACGAGCCCACAAATATCTTTTTCCGGGCGATAAGAGCTCAAGATGAGAGAGCCGAGTCGAATGCCAGGGTACTTTTGGCCGAGGGAGACTCCACCGTGCAGATTCCGTGCCGGACGCGGACACTGCCTTCTCCACGGGGAATGGCGCAATCACCCTGGAGAAATTCCGGATTCGGCGCCTCGATCTGCAGGGGGGTGGGAAGAACATCCCATCGACACGTCCGCTTCCAGTAATTACCCGCTTTTTGCCGAGTTGGATGAAACGGCTCTATGAAACTGATCTTTTGTTCGCTACTTTTCTCGCTGCTTACCCTAGGTGTGGTGGTTTCAGCCGAAGCCGGCTCCCGTTGCCTCGTCTTACTTTCCTTTCTTTCCTTTGTTTTTCTTCCCCTGCAAAGTTTTTCCAGAGATCCGCCCCACGATCGCATGGATCGACACCGCTCTCCACCTACTATTGCAGGGCGTGGGGGGCCGGTGTTGTCTTCAATTGCCGACTAGGGCTATTTCTCGCGTTAATCAGGCTATTATCTATTCCCGCCGAGATGATCGTCAAGGTTTGGAGAGATGTCCCCATTGATCGTCATTTCCAACTTTGATGACTCAAAGATACGACTACCCCGCAATCTCCCATATCGTACAGTAGTCCTCCTGTCCCTTGGATCGCTCGATATGGTGAATTGGCATGATCCTCTCGGAAATGGCTATCAGGTCCGACATCGCTGATGTCGAAGGCGTCAGAGATTGCGCACCCCGATTATCACGCCATCCGGGGAATACCAAACTTCAGACTTGACTTTCTTTCCCGGGTGCGGCGGATATTATCTCCTACGACCACGCGCCAAGTTCCGCAGGATCAGGAAAATGAGCAAAAACGAGCAGAAGGGGGAAATGTATATCAAATCACGGTCCATGAACAGCAGCAATCTCCGGATCCCCGTTCTCCCCGACCTCCACCGTCCAAGGGGTCCTCCGTTCTTAGTCAAGTGGTTGCGTGTCGCCTACGCGATGGAAACAGTCACTCGCCTGGCCACGCCACCCCAGATCAACCCTGCATTAAATTAAAAGAAAATAGAATAAAAGAAAATCCTAGATGAGGTTGCTTCAGCTCAGCTCAGCTCGGAGCAAGCTGGGGCACCGCCGGCTCCAGAATCACTCGTTCTCGCATCGAACTTGGTCTGGACACATCAGCCAGCAGGCCCCTTGCGACAGCCATGACGTCGCCAGCTGGAGGCAACATGGAATGGAGGGGGGCAATGCCCGGGCTCGATTCGCAATCGACCTGCTGCCTGGGCACTGAAACCTGGAGCAAACGCCCCGGGCACACGAGCTCGAGTTGTTGGAGTGTAGCGGTGTCGGATACGATCGACGTGTTCCCTGATAGTTTTTATTACCAAAGTCCCAAGTCCCACCCATTCCCACTGTTGCATTTTTGGGTTAAAGTAAAGTAATTCTATAAGATAATACCAAGGTAACATCGGATGCGGGGAGATATGGAATCCGGGGTAGTGTGTTTTCGTATGTCGGGTCTAGCTACTGTATACAGCGGGGAGGCCATTAAGAGTAAGATCCAAGACTACCAAGCCGCCTGAGGCCCCTTTACCTAAGAACATAAGGCAGACTTCACCCACTCACTTGATTCTATGCACACGCACACCCCGAATGGTCCTCCAACGCCAAGGCGAGCGATCCACGATCCACAGCTTCTGGAACAGACTTTCTCCTCACCCAATGAGAGCCGCCAGGGGCCTCATGCTGATATCACTATCCCCAAGACGATGCGGGGCCGAAACTCCGGAGTTCCGCTTGGTTTGAGGGGGCAATTCCTGGAGATAAGGTCCTCCATTTGCCCAGAGAACGGAGTCCAAAGGCATCGAAAAGAGAGGGGAGGTGATTCCCATTACCTTTCCAGCTCTCGGTGAGGGCCAAATTGACTCCCCCCCCCCCCCACCTGAGAGAATTATCCCTTCCCCATATTCCCAAGTACGGTAAGACTAACCACCACTGGTCAGGATCGGGGAAAAAAGGGAAATGCCAGATCGAGGGGCTTATCACGATAAGCCCAATCTGGACACGTCGCTGCTCTCTGGCCACTCTTCCTTTCACGTGCTGCCTGTCATCCGGGGGACATGGGTGACCCCCAGATCCAGACCCCCGGAGATCTCACGAGCTTGGGGAGTTACAGTTTTCACATGTGAAGGCAAAGGGGGGAGCCCTTATCGCAGCCCTTGCCGGTTCACGTCATCTTTTTGTCTTTTTGTCATGTTGTCATGTTCCATTGAAGTGCACGGGGTTCCCAGACTATCACGTACTATCAGCCTCGGCTTCCGCCCGGCCTGAATACCCCCAAGATGACGCTCAAAATAGTGCTTCTTGCGAGCCGCGTCTACTCATCGAGTGCCTGATCGGCTGTCACCTGATGAGGCCCTGGCCAGCTTGACAGGTTTCTCTCGGCCCCCTGGACCCACGATGGATACCATCTAAGATAAGGCTATACCAAGCTAGATATACCGGCAGTCCCTATATTGACATGCGTCAACGCGCTAGCATCATCTTTTATGGGGATTGGGGATTCAAATATCGAGAGTTATGACGACACAGCTTCCTCGGCTAGACCGATTCTACTGCAGGTACCGTACACCGGCAGAGGTCCAGGCTTCGGGCAATCAGCCCATAGGGCTGGGGCAAAGGCGTGGAGAAAGAAAAATCAGCATGATCGGGAGAAGTCGGAGCTGGTGAGTTGCCAAATTGTGCCCTTGTCGCAGACTGCGGGGCTTAGTGTGGCTTTGCCAGGACTTGTCCCCACGACGATCTAGGAGGCGGGTGAGTCAGGAGTTAGGCACATTCCCTGGGTGGCCGCAGATCGTACGATCCCTGGAGCTCGAGGCGCATTCGAGTAACGGGGCAGATGAAAGAAAATTTCTGTTTCTCAACGGAGCAAATACTGTAAAAGTGCATTCAAATCAGCCCAAAGCGGATGTCCCGGTGAATGACCAAGTGTCGACGGCCATTGTCCGCGCCCTAAACCCCAAAGTGATTCCGTCTTCTGGAGCCGCGGGGCCCGACCTTCTCGGCCCAGGACTCGGCACGGCAATGCCGACTCGGCCTTGCGTGCTCCTGAGCCCGTCTCTCTTTGGTTCGCATTGGGGGGGGGGTTTTCCCTCTCTATCTCCACACTTTTTTTTTTTTTGTTGGAGGCGCCGTCGGTGACCCGCCGAGGTTCAGCCGCCGACATTCCTCCGAGGCTCGGATGTGGCAATTGTTGCCTCCCCGTGAAACTGGAGTATACAGGTCTGGGTTTTCAGGTCAAATGGGCAATACGGCCGAAGTGAGACTGACCCGTCATATCGTCACATCCTCACGTCGTCACGTCGTTTCTTCCGCATCGACTATATTATACTGTACGTTGGAAGCCCTAGGAGTAGACTCCAATACCCTTAGGTAAAACTGCCCCGGAGAAGTGCAGTGCCGGTGGTCCGACCGGTTGCGGTCCCGCAGACCCGACTTGCGGAGTGTCATGTTTTTTTTTCTCCCCCTTTGTGTCTTCTCCGCATGGAGCGGTGAAGCCCTCCAGGTCTATCTAGGGCAGGTCGTGGAAAAGTCTCATCCGGGTTCTCCGTACGGAGACAGTGAGTTCCCAATTGGGAAATCTCTTTGGCATCATCCAACTCATACTCTCAGGCCATATTGCAATTCCAATTCTTACTACAAAAACAAACTCCTTCAACAATAATGTATATCACATTGAATAATGATAGTCGCAATCTCGGAGCCATGTCCGGTCCCAAAAGCGGAAACTCCATTCTGCCATTTGCCTCCGCCTCGCAAGCGGAGAGAATGTCGAGTCTGCGCTGAGTCCAGCCCATAGCCTGCCCAAGATTGAACATAGGCATTGCTCTTTGGATTCATTCTCAAGACCCATTGACGCACGACCATCTTCTTCTTGCTTTTTTCTTTTCCCTCCCCGCTCTCCGCCAGCTAGCCATGGCTCCTCCGCGCCAGCGCACCGCCGCAATCGTGGACGACTCGAGGTCCGAAGCCTCCAGCGGCACGCGAGAGTATAAGAGCGCTGCGCCGAAGCGCAAGGCCGCCGTTACAGCCAAGGATAAAGCTTCAATAACCAGCGCGCCTGCTATGCACGATCACCAAGTCGACAATCAGCCAAGAGTATGTTAAGATCTTAGGGGGGCTCCGACAAAAACGTCATGTCACCTCCCAATAGCCTTGGACTCTTTCAAAGAGAAAGCATGCTCATACAGTTAAACTATAGGTCCCTTGGTCTGACCTCCCCCTCGATATCCTTCACGCCTACCGCCACGTCCACAAACTTCCCACCCCAAGCGCCTTCTCAAACGATTACTCCCGCGTCGTCCTCTCCCAAGGCGTCGGTCTCCGCTCCCCAACTGCCCTCGCTGCCCGCCGCGCCCAATCCTCCAAAGACCGCAGCGAGTGGAACACAGCCTCGGGCTCACAGACCGAGTCCTCCGTTGACGACGCCAGTCTGCGTCGCATTATCGGACAGGATCGTGTGAGCAAAGACCAGTTTGCACTTGTTGTCCGAAGGCATTTCAATAGTGCTGGGCTCTCGGAGCAGGAGACTATTGCTCGGTTTCTTTATACAGTGCGCGAGGAGAGGAGGGGTCGTCAGTTCCGGTTGAGGTTTCAGCCTTAAGATTGATTGCGGCTCTTATGGTTGTGTCTGACCGGAGTTTTTGTTCAGTCAGAACGATTTCAACTCCTGGATGTACTGTAGCCTCTGAACTTTTCAATTGGTTATAGTATAGGGATTGGAGTTGAGTGACTGAGCGGATAGCTTTGGTTTTTTGTTGTCGGAGCACACCGGCTGTGCTCGTGTTGCTCTCTGTCCTCTCGTCTCTTCTTGTTTTATCTAAAGATACCCATCGGCGTTCTATGTTCGGGTGGTGCTTTGCGGTTGGCCTGCAGACTGTCTGTATTCATGTATGTATACATTTCTCGATGTCGGCGTTCTGGAGATTAAGCTATCTATATGGCCTTTTGATCCGGTCTCTCGTTAAACGGGACGAGTTGTCTTACCAATGGATGGTTTTACTATCCCAACATTCGATTATCGCTTTCGTCAACTAGTGGTTCTTTCGTAGTGATATATTGATCTCGTGTTTGAATGGTGTATGTAGTTTGGAACGCTGCATGGAATTGCGGATGGATACCCCCACTGGTATATCTTGGCATTCACCACAATAACTTCCAAGGTTAAAGGAACAGCATAACTACCCAGTAGCTTGAAGCTGACGTCCACTCCATGGATCCTGTCTGAAGACTAAAAGCTCAACAACGAGGCCGCGTAAATACAAAAGTGATATCAAAAACAAACGCCGAGATGGTATGCCCCGCCATTTTCCCCACCTATCACGTCTACCAACTGTGTTCATTTCCACGCATTGAGACCAGCCCACGGGTCATTAGACGCAGATGGTGGCTGCTGCGACTGCGAGGGTGTCTTGCTGTGTCCGTATGGTGGTCTTGCCTGCGCATAACCCCCAGGTCCAGAGGGGTACGGGCCGCTGGCTGAGGGTGGGTATTGGGTTTGCTGCGGGCGCGGGGGTGGCGGGGGAGGAATGTAGCCCTGCGGAGCCATGTAGTGTGATGGTTGAGTACTAACGGCCGAGGAAGGAGCTGGGCTGGCGCTGGGGTAGCCGCTATATGGCGTTGGTGTCTGGGAAAAGTATTGCTGGTTTGGCGGTGGAGAGACCGGGGTTTGGTAGGGGTATGCCATGGGGTTATAACCTTCTGACAACGGAGCAGCTGCACCTTGCTGGAAGGGCTGAGCAGGATTGTAGCCCGGAGCACCTCCCATATACTGGCCATAAGGCGCTGGGGAATGTGACAGTGGAACTGCTCCCGGCATGCTGGGCGGATAGCGGGGTGACATCTTCGGTTCAGGGCCAACGGCTCCATACACTGGGGCCTGAACAGGAGGTGGGGGGGGACTTGATCTTGGAAGGAGGCGCAATAGAACCCGTGGAAGGTGAACTAGAAGATGGCTTCGGTTCTGTGGACAGGCGCTCCATCAACTGGCGGAGCTTCTCTCGTTCAAGGTCTTCCTGGTCCGAGACACCAACGGCCTTGTCGCGCTCAATCTGGCTCAGAAGCTGTGCGCCTTCGGACCGACGGTTGCCGATGAAGGTCTCCACGTTTTTCCTCATGCTGTCGACATTGTCACCCATGTCATTATAAAACTTCCGTGCCTGAGAGACGCCCATGGTGAGGCCATTGAATGCCTCATACACCTTCTTGTATCGAGCCATCACCGCATTTCTCTGCCGCGTGATACCTTCATACTTGGATTGTTCGGACTGAACACGCTTGTCCTGGAGCAGGTCGCCGTATGTCTTGGTCAGTTCCTTCATCAAGGATGACTGCTTGTGATTGGCCTGCAGAAGTCTGTTCTGGTGCGGCCGGAATTTCTCCAATTCGGCTTCGAAGAGCTGACTTTCTTGGCCAGTAATCGACTTTTTGTTTAAGATCAACACGTTAGAGATGTCATCATTGTGAACCTGGAAATTGGTCAGTTTTGTGTACGTAGTATATGACGCTGGAGAATCAGGCTCACCTTGTCTTTGAGGTCTTTCAGCACGTTAGATCGCTCGCGTTTGACGAGATTGAGTTTCTTTAAGATCTCCTCCACCTTGTTGATCTGATCTGACACAGAGATACCGCCCTCGTCATAGACATCGTCTAGCAGGCTACCCTCCGCGGGACTGGCAACTCCATTCTTGCCCTTGCCTTGCTTGGACCCAACCTTGATCATGGCTCGTTGGAAAAGAATGTCCGCTTCATCGGTTTCCCCAGCAGAACGCATCTGGTCAAAGTCCGACTCGTATTGCCGGAATGTGGCGGAAAGCTGAGTATCGCTTGCACTAGCCTCTGCGATGGTATCACGGTATGTTCGAATATCTCCCCGGAGTGTCGTATTAAGGCGGCCACTGGGTTGCTGGCTCCAATCGCCCCCATATTTGGATCGCATCTTCTCGCAGACGCTCTCTTCCATGTCTAGTTGCTTAGAGCATTGATCCAGGTGGGATTGTACCTCTGCTTTGCGCTCCTGTAGCTCGTCAAATGCCCTGTTGAATGGTTTGTGACCACCAAGCTCCGAGCACCAGCGGCGGAACTCTTCATCAACCGTCATATCCTGGTCCATTCCACCCTTTAAGATGTTGAGGCTACCTGGCAGCTTTAAATAATCCAGGCTAGCGGCCATCTCACCGTTTGCTGTCTCGACCTTTTCGGTCTCTGCACGAACCAATTTGGCCTTCTCCTCATCGTATAGACTGGCAGTCTCTGTGACAGACATGGGGACGAGCTTTTGGAAAATATCTGGGCCGATAATCCGTTGAATATCCTGTCCTTGGTAGAGCTCGCTGACTGGAATCGCCTTTGCGGCAGGCATCTTGGCAACTGGTGACAAACCCGCCTCATTGGGGACCGGCTGGTGGTAAATGAAGTCATTATCCTTTATCATCGTGGCAAGCTTGGACTGCACATTCGCTTGATTGTGTTTGATAAGTTCCACCAGAGCGGGACCGGCCTCAGCTGTCAGATTTGAGGTTGCAGGAGCTGATGAGGGGAATGACTTGCCCCAACCGAGGGCAGTGTTGGCCTGCTTATCAGCCAACTGCAGTCGCGCAATGGCAACGCCGTGAGATCCGCTCTCATCATCCGCAAGAGCCTGGAAGTAGGACGCTACTGAGCCCATGTGAGCTGCCTTTGCCTGCACCACAACAGACCACACTTTGTCGAAAACGCCCTTGCTGGCAAAGTCTTGCATTGTCTCCGCTCCCTGAGAATATAGATAGGCGGCCTGGCCCGCCAGCTTGGCCAAGAACCCAGGCTTCTTCGCATCGGCCATTTGCTTCTCCAGGAAGACCTCCTGGGCCTGCGCGAGGGTAACATGGATCAATGTTTTGACTGTGTCTCGGTTTAGGTCAGTAGAGGGCGCGTGAAGGAAGTTCTCATTGATATATGTAAACATTCCAGCCGACGCTTGGAAGGAGTGGTAGGCTGTCTTAACTCCAGTGTCTTCGGCACGGTTTTGGTTGGCAGCATGGCAGGAGAGGACAGCAGAGATGTTGAAGATGATGGAGGCTTTCTCGTATGCGAGGGAGTACTGCGAGGTCGGTTTATGAGTGAATGCATCATACCTGTATAAGTCTAGTCAGAGTTCAGTCCAATTCAGTTGATATATGACTCGACCATACCATGTGAAGGAGATCTTGATATGGTTCTCATCAACCGGGAACCGCAGGTCCAACAGCTCCAGCTGGCCATAATAGCGATAGAGCAGATCGCGACCGGTAGCGCTATCCTTTCCGGCGCCTCTCATATCCTGCCGGAGGCGGTTGAGGGTGACACATTCTTGATTGTAGGTTTCAGGGTCCTCGCCGTAAGTCTGCCGGATGTAATCTTTGAGGGGTTGAATCCAATCAATTTCGTTGGTTTGCTTCAGCGGACACGACAGCATCGGTGACTGAACCATGATGAGACGATCGTCAGGAGCAGGAAGCTCCCATCCACAATCCTATAAAAGAGAGGCGCGAGCGCAGGGATGAGGTCGGAGTGCGTTGAGGGGATCGGGATCGAGGCTGTGGGGTAACGTAGGGCGGAAAGTCGGCGCCTGATGGTTGATCACCAATGACGTCGGTCTAGTCGAGTCGCGAAGTCTGAAGCAATGAATTGAAGATGATTCAAGAGGGAAACGAGGGAAACGTCGGGAGTGACGGGAGGAAGGAGGAGGGGTCGAGCTGGAAAGGTGACGGAGTGGGATGTGATGCTCTGACGTTACTCTTCAGCGGGCGCCAACACAACAACACTTATACAATTTACCCTTCTATCATTTACCTCCCATGGAATGTGTACACTTATATTCTGTAAACACAATTATGATTTTTCTTTTCTATGGAAGTTGAGAGCTTCAGGATAAACCTAGCATAGTAATACAGGTGCCTGCCTCTTCCCCAAGGCAGAACAGGTCCCAATCTCGCCGGCGCTATGATGAAGACATTGAAGTAGATAAAACCCAGATGATATACAGTACATGGAGATTTACATAGATTTAGGGTTTCTTGGACTCCTTGCTGGCGTCACCCTTATCCTGGCCAGCGTCCTCGGTGTCCTTGGTATCCTTCGCCTCGGGCTTGGAAGAGTCACCGTTCTTGTCGGTCAGCTTGTGCCAGACGGACTTAAGGAAGCCTTCATTCTTAAGGCTTTCACCGTTAGAATCGGAACTTGGAGGGCTAAATAAATGTATCAGTATTGTTGAAGGTACCTGAATATCAATGTGGCTTACCTGTCCTTGGTAAAGTTCATTGTTCGACGGGCGGTCTTATCACCCATCTCATCAGCAAGGACCTCCAAGATTGTCCGCTGGTTACCAGTCAGGTACTTAGGCATGGCGACCTTGAATTCGACCCTCAGGTCACCCGTGGGGCTGAAGCGTCCGCGACCACCAAGCTTCTTCATGCCCATTCCAGACAGAGTGATCCGATCACCAGTGCCGGTACCAGTGGCCACCTTGACCTTGACTTCATTGTCAAGAGTCGGGATGGTCACTTCACCACCAAGCAGGGCGGTAGTGAGGGGAATAGTAGCTGTGTAAAGAACGTCGGATCCGTTACGGGTGAAACGGGAATCAGGAGCGACTCTGATCGTAACATAGAGGTCACCCTTCTGGGTGCGGGCTCCAGATGGGGCGGCAGTTCCAGTAGGAGGCGCATCACCTTCTCCAGTGACTCTCATGCGCATGCCGTCTTCAACACCCGCGGGGATGTCCACCTTAATAATCTTCTTTTCTCGAACCACACCGTTTCCGTGGCAGGGACCACACTCGGACCCGCGAGGAACGGTCATACCGGCACCACCGCAGGCATCGCACGTCGCGGCAACTTGGAAACCACCCTGCATGATGTGAACCCGAGTTCCAGTACCATTGCAAGTTCGGCACTGGGATTTTTTCGTGCCCTCCTTCATGCCGTCACCTTTGCAGGTACCGCACTGCACCAAAGGCGTGATGACAATTTCCGAAGATGTACCCTTGGCGGCATCCATAAAAGAGATGCTGCTCTGCACTTCGATATCCTCACCCACGAAGATTTGCTCCTGGAACGGGTTGCGTCGGCCGCGGGGGCCACGACGAGCACCTCCGGCAAACGCGCCGAACAGATCTTCAAAGTTGATGTCGCCGAAGCCTTGTCCTCCGAATCCGCCTCCGCCTCCGCCTCCACCAAATCCACCACCGAATCCGTGGAAGCCACCTGCACCGGCGAAAGGATTGCCTCCGGCGTTCGGGTCGAAGCCGCCATTTTGATCGAACGCAGCTGAGCCGTATCGATCGTAGTTCTCGCGCTTCTTGGTATCGGAGAGCAAGTCGTAGGCTGTCTGAGCTTCGGTGAATTTATTTTTGGCCGCTGGGTCCTTGTTGGTGTCGGGGTGATATTTCTTGGCCATGCCGTAGTAGGCCTTCTTGATGTCACCGGCGGATGCACCTTTGTCGACACCGAGAACTTTGTAGGGATCAGGAATTGCTGAGAGAGGGGAAGTAGTGTGGAAGATCTATGAAGAGACAATTGTCAGTGACATTGAAATATACAGACCAGTATGGAAAGCTACCTACCCTGACCGACGGACCAACGGGGGTCTTCTTCTTGTAAACACCTTCCCGCAGACGTCTAGCAGGAGAAGCAGAGGCAGGCGCATGATAACCTCGTTTCTGTCCCGAAGAGCAGATACTCGTCTGCGCGGAACATTGCTGCGTCCGCAGCAGGCGCGCGGGGATAGCCGCGGCCTTGGGGAATGCTGCGGATGGGTTCATTGATCGTAATATCCGGGCAGTGGTTGTATGGTTATCGTCGTGATCGAAGCCGCGCGCCGGCGAGGGGTGGTAAAGTAATGGAATAAAGGAGGGAAAGACTGGAAAACAGTAGTACGGGAAAAGTCTATAAGAAAGCCAATGGAATCGTTCTGCCACTTGCCTTCGCGCAGAATTCGAGATGCTTCGGCAGTGAACCTTCCCTCGGACAAAATGGTTAATCCGTTGCCGATACAGCCTGCTTACAGAGCACTTGCGAGTGGTCCGACTACGGACCTTAGCTACTTTACCCACCACTTCAATCCGCCCATCTTTTCTCCTGGAGGTGTGCGAACACGCTGTTCGAGCTTCTATTACAATCCTCCATCTGTCTCCTTCTCCCGCATTTGAACCCTTCCAGTCCCGAACTCGCCACAACCTAGAGGTCCTCAAGTAGCATGCTCCGCGGCCAGACCCTCCCCTGGAGAGCTGCGCTCCACCAAACACCTCGGCCTTTACTTCGTCGGCCATTCCTAGCTTCGCCACGGAATAATGCGATCATCCGCTCAGCATTAAGCGCGACCCGAGTCGGTCGCGTGCTTCCCTCTGCTCCCCGCACGTTCTCCTCAAGCTCCATTCAACGGAAAGAGAAACCCCCACCTGAGGATCCAAAGGACGAGCCGGAACAGAAGAATGAAGATACACAGCAGGAGGACAAGGAAGCGGAGCGAACCCCTGACACCCGGAAGAAGCAGTCAGACCAGACCGGCCCCACACGGCGAAGGGAACGGTCGTCCGGGGAGAAGGAACAACGAGCATTAGAAGAGGAAGCCAAAAAGGAAGCGAAGGAACCAGAAGAAAAGACTGACTCGAATCAACCATCCCCCATCCCGCCTAGCAGTAGCTCGGCCGATTCAAAGCCCAGTGCGGCAAGCAGCGGTGGAAATGGTGGCAATGACGACAGTGGGAAGAAGGGAAAGAAAGGCTCTGGAGACAAAGCTCTCCAGAAACCAGCTGTCCCGGATGTATACCCCCAGGTGATGGCGATCCCCATTGCGAAGCGACCGCTGTTCCCCGGATTCTACAAAGCGATTACAATCCGAGACCCGAGTGTTGCTGTTGCGATCCAGGACATGATGAAGCGGGGTCAGCCGTATGTAGGTGCATTTTTGTTCAAGGATGAAAATGCCGACGGTGATGTGATTGAAAACTTGGATGACGTGTATGATACTGGAGTTTTCGCCCAAATCACGGCCGCATACCCCCTTCGCGGCGAGTCCAGCGGTGTGACAGCCGTGCTCTACCCCCACCGGCGCATCAAGATCTCGTCACTTCTGCCTCCTAATGAAGCCAGTAAGTCTGGAACCACCGAGACCAACGAAGACAAGACCACCGAGAAGCGAGGGGACGTCGTGGCCAGCTTTGAAGAAGGTGCACCTGAGAATGCGCCCAAGGACCACTATGAACCCACTTCTTTCCTCAAGAAATACCCGGTCAGCTTGGTCAATGTGGAGAACTTGACCGAGGAGCCTTACGACAAGAAAAATGGTATCATTCGGGCAGTGACCAGCGAGATTGTGAATGTCTGCAAGGAAATCGCTACATTGAATCCCTTGTTCCGTGACCAGATCTCGGCTTTCTATACCGACCAGTTTCCCGGAAACCTCAGTGATGAGCCCGCCAAGCTTGCTGACTTTGCTGCCGCCGTTTCGGCCGGCGAGCTTCATGAGATGCAAGAAGTACTCGAGACCATGAATATCGAGGAACGTCTCCCTAAGGCACTTGTGGTTTTGAAGAAGGAGTTGATGAACGCCCAGCTACAGTCTAAGATTACCAAGGATGTGGAAGCCAAGATCCAGAAGCGCCAGCGTGAATACTGGCTAATGGAACAAATGAAGGGTATCAAGCGAGAGCTTGGTATTGAGTCTGACGGCAAGGATAAGTTGGTGGAGAAGTTCAAGGAGAAGGCCGAGAAGCTAGCCATGCCCGAAGCTGTCAAGAAGGTCTTTGAAGAGGAGATCAACAAACTGGCTCACTTGGAGCCCGCTGCCTCTGAGTTCAATGTTACTCGCAACTACCTGGACTGGTTGACTCAGATCCCCTGGGGTCAAAAGAGCGTGGAGAACTTCGGTATCAAGAACGCGGTCAGCGTCCTTGATGAAGATCACTATGGACTGAAGGATGTGAAAGATCGGATTCTTGAGTTCATTGCCGTTGGCAAGCTCCGTGGCACTGTGGAAGGCAAGATTCTTTGCCTTGTTGGTCCCCCTGGTGTGGGTAAAACTAGTATTGGCAAGTCAGTGGCTCGTGCCTTGGACCGCCAGTACTACCGCTTCTCCGTCGGTGGTTTAACCGATGTTGCGGAGATTAAGGGTCACCGTCGAACCTACGTCGGTGCTCTTCCTGGCCGTATCATTCAAGCTCTGAAGAAGTGCCAGACCGAGAACCCTCTGATTCTGATTGACGAGGTTGACAAGATTGGCCGTGGTCACCAGGGCGATCCGTCTTCTGCCTTGCTGGAGCTTCTCGACCCTGAGCAAAACTCCTCTTTCTTGGACCACTACATGGATGTTCCGGTGGATCTGTCGAAGGTCCTCTTTGTCTGCACTGCCAATGTCACTGACACCATTCCTCGTCCTTTGCTGGATCGTATGGAGCTGATCGAACTCTCTGGCTATGTGGCTGATGAGAAGATGGCGATTGCCCAGCGATACTTGGCCCCGGCTGCCCGAGAACTTACTGGCCTGAAGGACGTTGATGTGAACCTCAATGAGGATGCCATCGAGGAGTTGATTAAGTCTTACTGCCGGGAGAGTGGTGTCCGCAACCTGAAGAAGCAGATTGAGAAGGTGTACCGGAAAGCGGCTTTCAAGATCGTCCAGGACATCGGCGAAGATGTGTTATCGGAGGAGGCTGCGCTCACCGACGAAGGCAAGGCTGCTCAAGAGCAATCTAAGGAACATGAGTCCTCTGACCCTGCTGAGGCTCCTCTCGAGCCGGAGAAGTCCACCACCGAGACCCCTCGATTGGCGCTCAAGGTCCCCGAGAGCGTGCACCTCAGCATCGGCAAAGAAAATCTGAAGGACTATGTTGGGCCTCCCGTTTTCACCGCCGACCGCCTGTACGACCGGTTCCCGCCCGGTGTCACCATGGGTCTTGCTTGGACTAGCATGGGTGGCGCTGCGCTCTACGTGGAGTGTATCCTGGAGAACGCCCTGAACCACCAGTCACGGCCGGGTCTGGATATCACCGGTAACCTGCAAAACGTTATGAAGGAGTCCACGCACATTGCCTACTCGTTCGCCAAGTCCGTCATGGCGCGACAGTTCCCTGAGAACACGTTCTTTGAGAAGGCCAAGGTCCACCTGCACTGCCCCGAGGGTGCTGTTCCTAAGGATGGTATGTTTGCACCATGCTTCACCTTTAATATCTTTAATTGCTAACCTTTCTCGAATTAGGTCCTTCGGCTGGTATCACCATGGCTAGCGCCTTGCTGTCCCTGGCGCTGAACCACTCGCTCGACCCGACCATTGCCATGACGGGAGAACTGACGGTTACGGGTAAAGTTCTTCGCATCGGAGGCTTGAGAGAGAAGACTGTGGCTGCTCGTCGAGCTGGCGCGACCAAGGTCATCTTCCCAGCGGACAACACATCTGACTGGCTTGAGTTGCCTGAGGTGAGTCACCAAGAGTCATGTGCACGCTTTTAGAAACAGACTAACATCAGGCAGAACATCAAGAAGGGCATCGAAGGCCACCCGGTCAGCTGGTACTCGGAAGTCTTCGACCTGTTGTTCCCCGATCTCGACCACGATAGCGCCCGCAAGGTTTGGCAGAAGGCGCTTACCAAGCCTAAGAAGGGCGAGGCCGAGGCTGATGACGAGTAACATGTTTTTTCTTCTTCCAAGGGCTGTGGTATGTATGTGGTTCTACTGTATAGTTGCGTGATGTAATTTCTGGGATGTACATGGAGTCAGTGTCATTGTGACACGGAATGCATGGACTGGAGTTTTAAGTTAGACTTGATTTTTCAATGGAGATCTCTCTCCAGCATCAAAGTAAATAAATAACTCCACTCTCAAGTGCCTAGTGTATAGTAGTCTTCCATCGGTCTCATGCAGGTGTAGTTCTGTAGATCCAGTTGGTCCAGAAGTCCCCGTTGAGCCTCTCCCCAATCAGGCACGACGTCAGGCCGCAACGCATCGTTAAAAAAAAAAATCATCTGTGCGCGATGAATCATATCCTATATTTTATTTATCTCTTCATCCCTTTCTCAAAGGGTAGGGCATTTTCTGACTGATCTCCTGCACAGTGCTTTTGCGCCGTTCTGTGAGACATTGAGACCTTGCAGTGGGATTAACGCACCGCGTCTACTATTTCATTTTCCCGCTTTGATCTCCTATCAAGAAAGCGATCGGTCCTCTACGACGAAGAAAAAAAATATCTTGACCGACATCTCCGCACCGCCTTTTCCTCGTCACAGACCAAGTCCCCAGCCTCGCCCATTGCAACCCGACGTTGTGTGACTCTTGAATGTTGACTTCGAGCCCTTTCCTCCTTACCAAGGGTCATCCGTGAGTTGAAACAGGGAGAAAGGATAAACCTGGTATCCCAGGGATTAATATCACTGATCGCGAGCCCCTCGAAGCGGCCAAACTCTTATGGCTGGAGGTTTGGCCAGTGGGGTGATCGAGTCGTTCCCGAACGAACCGTATGGCCATCTCCCTCGCCAACAGCTCCTGTACCCCGACGCGGCTGGGTCTACCTATTGAAGAAAAGGGGCAAAAACAGAGCATGTGGCATCGATTGGGGCTTCGACGATGGCTGGGCCGCGAAGATCGAGACTTGGGACGAGATGACTCCCCCCACGATAACGACCGTGATTCTTCCCTCAACTCATCCAAACCCGACAAAATAACCCGTCGTCTCTCGCGTCGAGTCGGTGTCGGTCTTCCTCGTTCTACTACCTTTACACGCCGTAATTCCGAATCTCGCGATCGCCTGGCGCCCCTAGAGCCCGAGCACCGCCGTGCTCATTCGGTCGACCGCCCGCTAAGTGCCCAAAGAACGAGGTCTCCACCGCCAAACGTGGACCCACGACTCTCCGCGCCAGAGGTTCAGTGGCTCGGCCCGCTCGCTACCACGGTCGACGAAGTCCTGAACACCGCGTACGAGAATGAAAACGAACTCCACTGGGATCCTAATCCCGACGTGACCCCCGAAGCCCCTGAAGAGCCCCCGGTGCCGGCGCCGGCGCCTGACACACTCGAGATGGATTTGGAACGGCGATGGATCCTCAATTTAAGCATGCACTTCCGAGATCGATCGGAGCGAGAGAAGTTCTTCGTGACCTATGCGGAAAGCCCGACTCGATGGCGGCGTGTGACGATATCTTGTGATTACCGAGACGCGCCGCCCGATTCGCTCGAGCAGGACCTGAAGGAGCTGCGATACCAACGCGACAAGTGCGCCCGCATTTACGAGTCGATCCGTGAATCACTCCCTGAAATTCAATTCTACGATACCGTGACAAATCTGAAAGTCGAAACACGCGATGGCCGCCTACACGTTCATGTCACAGAGGACGTGAACGAAACAATACCCTACCCTCCCATCTCGAGCATTGGACATTTAAGGGGCGCCCGATGCGTCCCGGAGCATTTCCTGCATTTCGAATCTCATTTGTCAGGGTTTGTTTACAAGGTTCGGCTGGGTGGAAAGGCCTTTATCAAGAAGGAAATTCCGGGCCCCGATACCGTTGACGAGTTCCTTTATGAGATCAATGCCCTCCATGCTCTCAATGGTGCGCCCAATGTTATCAGTGTGGAGGGGATTGTCGTCGATGAGCGTCAGGAGAAGGTCAAGGGATTGTTGATCAGCTACGCCGAGCAAGGTGCGCTGGTCGACATCTTGTATGAGCAGCGTGGGGAAATCTCCTTCGAAAGACGAGAGGTATGGGCGAAACAGATAGTCCAGGGGCTGTGTGAGATTCACGAGTCGGGCTATGTCCAAGGCGATTTCACTTTATCGAATATCGTGGTGGACGCAGACGACAACGCTTCGATCATCGACATCAATCGCAGGGGCTGCCCTGTGGGCTGGGAACCACCGGAGATTGCTGCGAAGATTGAAAGCAACCAGCGCATCTCCATGTATATTGGAGTCAAGACGGACCTTTATCAGCTCGGAATGACGCTCTGGGCTTTGGCTATGGAGGAGGACGAACCAGAAAGACAACATCGGCCTTTGCTTTTGGGTGATGTGGATGTGCCTGATTATTACCGACGAATTGTTGATATCTGCCTCAGCCCGACTCCTCGACATCGACTGTCTGCGAAAGAACTCCTTTCATTCTTCCCTCCGGATCTTCTTTCGAGACAAATGTACCCGGTGAACCGTATCCGAGAACTGCCCTACAGCAATCTCCCTCCTCTTGTTACGAAAAGCAGCAGGGCCAGTCCTCCAATTGTAAGAGAGACCCCCAACCACATTACCTCCCAGGACTCGTTCGAGAAGTATACACACGCACATCGCGACCCTTCACCACATCACTATTTCGACGGCCATGATCAAGCGAAGCGATCAACTCCAACACTTGCAGGATCCAATACTGGAGTCAGGTTTCCTTCTGGGCATTCTTCAACCTCCACTTTGAACCACGAGCCTCACAATAGCGCTGGATGTTGGGACTCCGCCGGATCTCCAGATGATCTCACGCCTGCAGTCCTTGTGGAAAGCACAGTGCAGAATGCCGTCCCACCTGTATGGGCTAACACGATGAGCAATGGTCCCGTTTCTCACGAGCCCGAGGAACCGACAGTTTCGGAAGAGTCTGTCAGGTTCGACAAGAGCGAAGTTGGAGATGCGCCATACTCTATTAGCCATCATATACCACCTGCGCCTGCCTCTGAGCAACCCTCAATCGACTCTTGCAGCCCGCCTCGATACAGCGAATCAATTCTACAAATCCCTTTTCTGGAGGAACGAGTCCCTGAACCCATCCAAGAGACTGCCTTGACTGAGCCACAGACAAACAAACCTTCACCTTCACCTCCACCTTCACCTTCACAGTCATCGCCATCCCTCCTCCTCTCAATGCTTCCAATCAACCCCGCCTTCAACACCTCGCGGCCTAGCTCTTATCCTAGTGCAAGAGGCGCCAATGCATTTTCAAAACGGCCTCAATCCAGCCACTCCAGACTCTCCTCCTTCCTTTCCGAGTCTCTTCTACCAATCAATCCTGCTTTCCTCTCTCGGTCCAGACCTTTCTCTACGGATGCGGCGAAAGACATCACCCCATCTTCCGACCGACCCAAGTCAAACCATGCCAGACTCAATTCCTTCCTCACCGAATCTCTCCTGCCCATCAATCCCGCCTTTAAAGAAAGATTCTCCCGCCGTACCTAAGGCTCCGTCTTGCTTCCAGCGAAGGCTTTATAAAGCCAACCCAACCCCAGATCATTTTTTTTCGAATGGCCCTATCTAGGGCCACATGCTCGATACCCTCTTTGTTTCTCGCTTGTATAGTTCACCCTTTGTCGTTGCCGCGTTCCAGCACAGCTCTTCAGGCATCTGCACCGATGGCGCATGACGGCGAACTCTTGGCGTCTTAAAAAGTCTTTGCATTCTCTGGTGGATTTGATCGTACTTTCTGATTTTAATGCCTCGTCTTTTTCTTGCGCTCTATATTATGTGTCCTCTTTCCGAATGGGAGGTTTCTTGTTCGGCGTTATTGAGATGTTTGATTGTATTTTGTTCGATTTGCTCTCCCTCTCTTTTGGCTTATATAGCTGTATTATTTTTCCATTGATTGATTACCTACAATGCAACTCTCCGAAGTACATCGGTATACCCTCAGGCGTCTAGACTGATACTATGTTGATGTCAATCTTGATGATATTTTTCTTCAGTCTACATCCGTACATAAGACTCGAAGCTCTTCCTCCATGGGTCTACACTCAGTCCCAAACCTCGGCCAATTAGAACGATTTTGCACTGAACCTCCTTCTCGCCCTTCTGCCATGGATCCGAGTCCCGAATCTCGAAGACATCTCGCACAGCTTGGATGATCTTGGTTGACCCATCTTCAAAGTAAATGATACCCTTCAATCGGTGGATCTCGAAATCTGTCGGATGAGACTCGGACGGCGACTTGGGACATTCAGGAAGTACCGAGTCCCAAAGCACTGACTGAAGCCATTCGTCGATTTTGGGAACCTTCGAGGCAGAAATTGGAGACGTCAAGATAGCAGAAGTAGAAATAGCCTATGAAATGAGTCAGTCTAAATCTAACTTTTGAAACCCCCGTATGAACTCACTGGATCAATATGGCTATGTCCTTTCTCACTAAAGTCCATATCTGCTAACTGATCATACGCATGCAAATCAAGCACCACGCCCTCGATCTGCGGTGTACGGCTATGATCTGTCTCATGAATCTTTGCAACGCTATTGATAGACGAGATTCGGTCCTTAACGGCGTCAAGCTCTTGCGCAGAGGCTAGATCCGTCTTGTTGAGAATGATCACATCAGCATGGGAAATCTGCATGTGCGCCATGGAGAGCACGGGGCCGGATCCGTGGTCGTGGTCGACATTGTGAGCCTCGGCTTTTTCCTCCGGGGCCGGTTCGTCGAGTAAGCGAATGATGTTCTTCGCGTCGACTAGTGTCACGATCCCGTCTAGGTAGATTGAGCTGCCTAGACCTTCGTCCATCCAGAAGACTGGGGCGATGTTGCCTGGGTCTGCGAGGCCGGTGGTTTCTAGCAGGATGTAGTCGAATGTACCGCGACGTTCCATAAGGGATTCCAGGGCCATGACACCTGAGTCTCTATCAAGATTGTTAAAATGTGAGGTTTTATCTACAATGAGAGTGGTATGTACTTCACTGAGCAACAGATACATCCATTGCCAACTTCCATCCACTCGGTGACTTCTTGGCCGCCCTCGTTTACTGTCAAGGGCTTTTCGATGTCCGATGCTTTGAAATGTTAGATGGAGAAGGGTCATCATATCTCATCAAAATCTTACAGTCACCGAATTCTATAGATTTTATTAGTAGGATTTTCCAAGTTGGCCTATTTTCATCCGGGTACAAACCGTTCATGATCACAGCAATCTTCTTCCCATGTTTCTCTGTCAGGATGTAGTTCAACAGGGTGGTTTTTCCCGCTCCCAAATATCCTGGATTGGATAGTCAGTTCGCATCTCATAGCCACTTGATTCTCACTCTTCTATACCTGTAACAAGGGTGATAGGAACTCGGGGCGTCTGTTCCTCCTCTATAGAGGCTGGCTGCTCCGGTACCTCGGACACATCGATCAGCTCCGGAGGCGCATCATCATCGTCAAAATTGGACGACATGGTTTCACCGATCACAAATGTTGCAGAATCAAACAGACAGGCCACTTCATCTGCAAAGCAGAACTCGGGGCGTAGATGCGGATGACGTTGTATTACCCAGATGGGATGCTTAGGGCTTAGGGCACCTGGCGGTCATTTGTTGCTGCTTATCTGCGAAGCTCGAGTCAAGCTTCAGTGACGATGCTCTCCCTGCTCTTCTCCATCTAATCCATTTTCGAGGGCGCGGAGTTCCCTTCCACTCATTTGATACTCCCGGTTTCCCTCGTTTCACTTCCCGCCTCTCCAAGTACCCAACTACGACCCCCTTTGTTTACGCGCCATGACTGCGGGTGTCTCTCCGTCTAGCTCCCCGCGACTTCCCAGTCCACCTCCCTTTACAGAAGTCCAGATCGGGCCTCAGTCGCCTTCCGTTGGCGAGTCGTCTGGCAAAGATGCAGAGCTGTTCCTAAGCGCGGGCGAGGACGATGGGTCGACGCGCAGGATTCGACCGGGCACCAAGACTGCTGACATGGCATTCGGGCCGCCGCTGATTCCTTTGTCGCAGGTATGTACAAGATCTACTGTGGTACTCTTCGATGAACTAACAGTCGCAGCTCGACTCTCCTTTCCAACTACAGGAGCATCTCAAGGCTTTGTACAATCACTTCACCAAACCTGAAGGATCAGACACGATCATCCCGATCAACCGCGAAGTCGCGCTTCAGCTTGCCGAGCCCCCCGAGGGTGTTGACCGATCATTATGGCTCTATGAGCTGTGCCGCTTCCTCACGATGAAAGTGAACAACCTCATCGTCGCTTTCTTCGCCGAGAACCCCCCGTGCTCCGCGCAGACCTGCCCCGAGATGCGCGCATCCGAATGGCAGTATCTCTGCGCCGTGCATGACCCGCCCAAGTCGTGCTGTGCGATCGACTACTGCTGCCACACTCTTGACTGGGCAACGAATACCCTTACGTCGCCCAAGTACTTCCCCAGCCGGCTCACGCTAGGCTCCGATGCTGCCGGGGGCCCGCAAGCTAGCATGAGACATCTCACCAACATCTTCCGCCGACTGTATCGCATCTTTGCGCATGCCTGGTTCCAACATCGTGATGTATTCTGGGAAGTGGAAGGCCATGATGGACTGTATATTTTCTTTAAGACGGTTTGCGACCTGTTCAGTCTCATCCCGGAAGATAACTATACCATCCCTCTCGAGGCGGAAGGCCCGGATGCTGTACAGCCCGAGGACGACGAGCCGGTCGAGACCAAACGCCTGACGATCTTGCGCAAGGATAATGAAGATCCCTTCGCGGGCGGCGTGGAGGGCATGGATCCGTCTATCAGCACCGGTGCTACCACACGCCGTCACAAGCATAGTCCGTCAACTGGATCACGCGTCACGACGATTACAGAGAGCGCGGAAGACCCGGAGGAAGCTTTGCAATCTGCTGCCCCACTCCGGGAGGTCATGAAGGATTCGCCCGAAGCCCTGCTGGTGCCCCAGTCAGCCGAAAATGTCGAGGAGGTGCAAGAGACCTCTGCCCAAGTGGCCGATCCAGTTGCTGCAAAGGAAGCCACCGAGTCGACCGAGGCGGCTCCGGAGGTACAAGAAGAGGTCCCGGAAGAGGTGCAACAACCCGCTAATCCGCAGGCGGATTCAGAGGCAGCCAAGCCCGAAGAGGCTGAACCTCAAGATGGCGAGGATGTCAACACCGAAGAACCTACTGAGTCTACTGTCGAGGAGGCTACCAAAGAACCCACTGAGCCCACGAAGGATACCACGGAGGAAGCCACGGAGGGAACCACCGAGTCCGCCGACCCTGTCGAGAAAGCTCCGGAAAGTGAAGATGCTACTACCGACCAGGATTCCAAGGAATCCGAAGAACCGAAGCCGGAAGAAAAGACAGAATCCTAAGCTTCAGAGATCTGCCTTACTCCTTTTAATGTCTTGAACCCCCTGTTTATTTAGTGTGACGATGTTTTATTGTAATATAGCTCAGGGTGTTCTTCATGGTCAATGTCAATGATACCCATTCTCCTGACGCAGATACAAGTAGATATACTACACGGAGGCGAAAAGAAAAATTTGGACGATTCATCAGGCGTAAGAGTCTAAACATTACAACGGGATCAGAGTCATCATTAACTCCTTGGTTGGGCTAATACATCTTCATTACCCCGTCTAGACATCTTTCGCGATATAGTGGCTGTTGCCGAGATGCCCTGCAATGCCTCGAACTGTGAAACGTCTCGGTTTAAGTTACACTCTTTGAAGCTTCTGACAAAGTTTTAGTTGCACTGGTGAAAGAAATGCTCAATCAAATCCTATAATTCCTTTACTGCCTGAGGTGCCTGAGACAACACCGGGAATCCCTTCACCACTACATCGAGTAATGGATACGTATTGCTTGAGTTCGACTTCCTCATAAGTGTATCAAGCTCTAGTACGTGTACTCAGAGCATCTCATACATAAGCTAGAGTTACAAGAGGATCAATGTTGTCACTATATCAGTAGAAACGAGCACGCATCAAGCTCTGTAGTTAGTGTAGCCTATTTCCCCGAACTTGATAAGGGCTTATCGGGATCGACATCACCGAAACCTCGCCTTCCCCGAACCCGAGAACTACCTTCAATGTCCAACACATCAAATATGTCGGCGCTGAAAGGCGCCGCGCCAATTCACTTTGGCTCATTCCGCGTTAATTCTCAGGTATTTGATATACTGCCGTGAAGATGACACCCCAATTAACAAAGTACTTCAGGTCTTCCACCAAACACCACTCTCCTTCGCCCTCGTCAACCTCAAACCAATCCTCCCAGGGCACGTCCTCGTCTCCCCACGCCGCGTCGTCCCACGCATCGCAGATCTCACCACCACCGAAACAAGCGATCTCTTCCTCACAGTGCGCCGTGTGGGCCGAATGGTGGAGCGAGTATACGGCGCCTCGAGTCTGAACATCGCCGTTCAGGACGGCGTACATGCCGGACAGAGCGTGCCGCATGTCCACGCACATATCATTCCACGTAAAGCCGCGGATCTTGATCACCGCGGTGGGACCGATGCCGTGTATGATATGTTAGACGGAGAAGAAGGGGATGTCGGGAAGGCGTTTCGGGAAGGCGATGCTACAGATCGGCCAAAGACTAGGTCTCGATTTCCCGTGGTGGATAATGAGGGGCGCAAGCCACGTACTCCTGACGAGATGAGGGAGGAGGCTGAGATGCTGGCGCGTGAAATGGAGAAGGAGCCGGTGGATTGAGCGTTCCGCTTCCGCTTGGCGATTATAGACTGCATTATTACGCTTTACGCTGAAGTAGACGGACCATGCCAAGAACTGAATTTGTCTTATTCCCGAAAGACCATGTGCAGTCGTTCATCATCATGCATTGCAAGTCATCCTCTATGGTATTTAGGGGGACCCCGAAAGAAAAAGCACAGTAAACAAACGCCCAAAGTCAAGTGTAGTTGATGCGCACGCTTCCCAATTCCCCGACAACTTTACTTCAGGTTCGGGCGCTCCTTGACGACCTGCTCAGCCCAGACTTTAATCTCAGGCAACTGGACACGACTGGCGACACGCTCAAACTCGGAAAGATCGACCTTGTGGGTGCGCTCGTACTCGACCATTTGGAGCAGCAGCTCCATCTTATCGATATCGTGGACGAACTGCGCCTCAAGTGTAACATTATCCTCGTATTCCTGGAATACGTTCCTGACATCCTGGGCGGACAATGCCGCGCCGGGAACATTGCCTAGCAGAGTGGTGACGATATAGTCCATCGTATCAGCTTCGCGACGAGCCTTCTCTGCCTTGGTGATGTGCAGATCGACCGGAGTGATATCGCCGACAAGGGCCTCGGCCATGTCGTGAATGAGCGCCATCTTGGTGCAGTGGGGGATGTTGAGCTTGGAGGCCAGCTCTTGCGGGGCAAACATCGTCATGATCGACATGCGGTACATGTGGTCCGAGATCGACTCGCCATTAATACCGAAACGGCGCCAGCCTTCGCGCTTGGTCGTCTTGAGGCGCTCGATCAGGTGGAAGAAGGGAATCGGAGTAGTCGCGTTCTCCTCGGGCGGGTGCGGGAGGGTGGACAGCACTGTATAGGCTGATTAGCTGGGATCCTGATGGATTCAATGTACTACCAACCAGTGTGCGGGGTCCAGGAAGCGTTTTCCGATCCCATGTCTGCGATGAGTGGAGAGGTAATGCAAATAATGAAGCGGAAAACAGGAGAGAAGAAGGGGAAAGAAAGAAACAAAGCGGGACCCAAACGGCGGGACCCAGAGAACTGATAGGCGCCACAAACAGTGCAAAACCCCCTTATCGGTTGTTGACGCTCGACTAGTTACTAAACTACGGCAACTATTCGCTACACATGGCGACCTCAAGGCCGACACGGCCAAAGCCCCTAGGCTGGCCGGCGCCATCCCATCTGACAGTATTTATTCGCAATCTAAAGCTACTTCAACTTGATCAGCGCGAGGACTGGCCTGATATCACACTCCGCTCGCTGTCCCCCTCATCCCAGAACCAGCGACAGCGCATTCGTCTCGTCGAATGGGCCTTGTACTACCTTTGTACTATCTGGGATCCCGAGACTGCACAAACTGTAAGAGCTGGTCAAACCTTCACATGAATGGCCCATACTAAACAATGACAGAAACTCCGGCCCTTTTTCCCACCGCTAGAACCCCTGCAGTCTGTCAACCTTCGTGCAGCTTTGTTCCGGGTTTTGACGGAATTAAAGAAGAATGGCGACCTCGGGCGAGAAGCCGTCATCCGCAAGACAATGCTGGATGACTGCAAGGGTGAGAAATTCGACGAGCTGCTCGCCGTCTTCTCCACCACTGTTTTGCGGAAGCTCGTAGCGGTCTCTGCGGAGGAGATGCATTGGAACCTCGCCATGAAACTATCTACTGCTGAGTCCATTACTCCGGTTGATTATCAGAATATTCTGCCTTTGATCCTCGCGCACCAAGTGTCTCTCAATGCGGCGGGGGCCCGTCACGCTCGGGTACACGAGACCTACGACCAATTTTCCCGGCTCCTAGACGATAAGAAGATCGAACTTTCCGAGCGTGTCGAGAAGCTTGCAAATGAAAGAGATCATGTGCCAGTTGACTCGGATAGCTTGGCTCGAGAGCTCCAAGCAAACTGGCTGGGTAGTGAAGAGTGGGCTACCGCTCTGCTCCACGGAGGATCGCAAAGCAGCACGGATTCTTTCCTGGAACTTCCGTTCTCGCAAGCATGGACTCAGGCGACGGCATCGAACATAGATGGTCTCAGAAATGGGGCAAAACCAGATCTGGTGACTGACTTGGAGACACGGGTGTTACGCCTGCGGAGTCGGTTGAGAAGATGGCATGAGTTTAATGATTCCCTTCGCAAGGAGCGAGGTGGAAGTGCTAATTCTATGGGACTTGAGTCTCATGAGCCCCGCCTTTTGTTCCAGGATCATCAGGCCCTGACCGTTGCAAGCATATCAAAGGCCGTTCGACAGTCTGGTGATCGTGGAAGAGCCCTTCAAGACGCAGACCGATCGTTCATGTTGAACGTGAGTGAAGCTGTGACTCGTGTCAATGGTCAGTCTCGCTCGAATGCCAGTCGTGCTGTTTCAGTGAAGACCGTGACGAAGCCAGCAGCGCTCAAAAAACCCACCACGGACCTTTATAACGAGCCACCCTCACCAAGCTATGATATAGAGCTTCCCTCGCCACCGCCGAAAGCCGAAACTCTGGACCCAGCTCCGACCCATGAGGAGGAGAACAGCTTGCCCACTCCCACTGTCCGCTTGTCTCCCGACCAAGACTCGGAGATTGAGCCGGAACCAGAACCCCTCAAGATCGTGCCAGTCTCCCACTATACCCTCGCTGAGCGGACCCGTAAATCGATGTCCCTAATCCCACCACTCCCCACACATGAAGCACAGCCCCGTCCCCGATGTCGTGGCCCACGGACTTCATTCCCAGTGAACCAATTTGAGACGCCGCGCAAATCCTCACGCCCGTCGGGTGGCCGATCCGGCGCCTCCACGCCTCAGGACAAGCTCTTTGAAGAAGATGCCGAGTACGCCAGCGTCTTCAAGTCACGGCCACGTGTGGCGCTAAGTCCCATATCGTCCCCTGCTGTGCATTTAAGTCCTTCCCTGGATGAAGAAGAATTCGAGTTGGAGGAGGACTATGATGGCGAGTGGGGTGATGTCGATTCGCCCTTGGCTACTTCTCGGATGAGATGATGTCGATGGATGATTTCACATAGAGTTCGCTAAATTACACATTGACAAGAGACTTTCAACCTGGTTCTAGATACCAGTGCTGAATCCTAAATTTCACATCTTTCAATTTAATCGCATTCAGAAAATTGTGAAATCTCAGCTCCAGTCAAATATTGCGGGTGGATACTAATGCTCATGGCGGGGTTCGAAACCACGACTGTAGAAAGAACATTGAGCAGGTTAGGAATAATCTCATATTCCAGACAACCGCGGTATCATTAGCCCCGCTAGCTCAGTTGGTTGTGCGTTATCCTCACGTGACCGTTTGTAAAAAACCTCCTACTTACATTCTTTCCTTATAATAGAGAGCGCCAGACTTTTAGAACACATGTTCAAACAATATCTGGATGTCACGAGTTCGACCCTCGTGCGGGGCGAATGCCCTTCTTTTTTTCTTTTTATTTTTTATCTCTTTTAAACCCTTCACTCTTCAGCTTAGATTTAGTGCTGACGGCCCTGGGACAACAGATTACCCCACACGCTAGTCTGAACTCGGTCCCCGCTTGGTTCTTCTTCCAATTTAAATCAGATAATGTCTTTCTAAGTAAAGTAAAGAAAAGAAAACTTGGCTGACTCGTCAATTGAAATCGTGGAGGGTTCACTCCCCAATTTACTCGCGACGAAGATTGAAGAGTCACACATCTACAATGACCTCCTTGCAGCCCCAACCATCCGAGTCCTTCGCCATCCTGACACCTAGACTCATCATCTTCCCTACAACATTCGCTATCTCCTCGAAATCCTACCGAGCACTCTATGCCGCGTTACATGCCGACGAGAACTTCTGCCAAGTAGCTTTCGGCGAGCACTTCCAGGCTCGCAATTGGAGCGACGATGAAACACGCGAATGGATTGAGACACGCGATATCGGACGCTGCTGGAACCCACGCGGTCTGGGTGATTTTGCCGTGGGGCTACGCGAGTCAATCAGCTTAGATGAGACCATTTCTCATTATTCCACATCTGTTCTCAAGGAATCCGAATTCACGCTACTTGCTGGGCCGAATGCGGAACGCCTTGATCAGATCGAATGGGTTGGATATGCCGGTGTCCGCGATGCAACCACGACATCTCTTCCGAAACGAGGAGTTGATGATACCAATCTCCCACCGTGGGATGAGATGGTTGAGCTGCGATATGGTCTTTCGCCGAAATCTTGGGGCAAAGGAATTGCAAAGGAGGCGGCGGAGGCGGTGATGCAGTGGGCCGCGAACGAGCGGGGGGTGAAGAGATTCATTGCTGAGACGGAGAGGGACAATCGACAAAGCGCGAGGCTTTTAGATAAATTGGGATTTGTTGCAAGTGGGACTGATTATTGGAAAGAGCCCAGTGAGGTAGAATGGGAATTGGTTGTACGCTAGTCCCTAGGTTTACATTAGCCGGTTTAGATGAACAAGAACCTTTGCTGTTCGCAGGTCAAGGGAGTTTGATGGCCAGAGTGAATCCCAGTACCGTCCTAGACATTGTCGATGGCACCCTTCGTCTGATCGATCTTTGACTACGAACGGGGTTGCAATTGCCCGCACATCTGCCATGGGTGTTTCGATCTTTTGGAGATCTGACAGCCAAGTCAAAGTCTTGAAAATTAGGAAACGCCATTAGGAGTCCTCTGAGCACGAGCCGCACCGGGGGTCAAAGCCACGTTTCTCTTGTCGTTGCACTTGGCTGGAAAATGTCTAGCTTTCAGCCACTGGCTTGTATTCATAATCGCTAGCGGATGGCGTCAAGGCGTCGATCTGCACGATCAGCTCTGTGAGCTAGGTCGAAAGCCTCGCGATACTCAAGCGCGGCGCGAGTCAATTGTCGATATCAGAAACTTGGTTGACAGCTACCCATCGGCCGATCACACGTGCAACCTCAGGGGGGAGCATCTCGATTGGATGAGGCGGACACGGGATAACGTGGCTTGAAGCAATAGTTCTGGCCAAGCACTCTCCGCTGGACCGAGTACAGTACTTTGTGATTCCGGTGACTTGTCAGGGGCAAAGACAGGGGGCAAATATCTGCGGTACCCCCGTCCGTGTAATCACTTATCCTGCCCCGATCGATGGGTCCGATTTCGTTTTCTCCGGTCCAATAAATTCGGCACCGAACCGTCGCAAAAATGGATTCATTCGACGGTGGGGAAAACAAAACGCCATTAGACATTTCCTTTGTCCAAGCGCGCGATCTGGAAAAAGGTATCGGCAGTGATAGCCGACTCAGGCTAAACTTGAACTTCCTTGGCATCGACAGGCGAGGTTTTCGAGGTCGGAAAGGTGGAGCAGGCTGATTCTGCATGCGAAGCTAGTGTGATAGTACCCTGCACGGTTATAGAGTTAGTGATACTCATCTCGCTTGGAAGGAAGTCCAAAAGGGAGATGAAACAGCCCCTGCCAATCATCCTGCATGACTCGCGGCTGTTCATTTCGAAGTCTAGAAGCCCACTTAGGGTTCGAGTGGAGGCCATGTCCACTTGTTTGATCCGCCGCGGCAGACCTCCGTCTTTTAACAACGGATCTGCAACGCCACTGCCAACCTCTGTAGGGTTGAACTAGACTAAAGTAGCTCTACCGGCGACGATCTTCAGTAAGCCGTCGCGATGGCCCATCAACCAAGGTTCCGGGACTTGGAAAGTCTAGGCGTCGGAAATGACGGTTACTCACGAGCCTACCCTCGTATTGACATTTTGCCCGTCTAGTTACCTAGAACAGTCTTAGATCGTCACCCGGGTTCCTCTGGACTGGCATTGGCAGCGATCTAGGTTATTATCTCCCCACTCCCGTCGCTCTACCTGGTTTGAAGTCTCTTACTCCATGTTGATCCAAGTCGATGGTTTAAGACATTGATTCGACCCTTGACAGCACCACAAGATTGAGTAGAACATAGTGCTCAACCTTGACGCTATGGCAATCTACACCGATGCTGCTCCGTCGGTGGCGGGCAGCACCATCATGCTAACGATACTGGCTTTTTTGACCTACGGCTTGAGGATTTACTGCAGATTGACACGCAAGTCATGGGCAATGGAGGACTGGATCATGACAGCAGCCCTAGTTTGTGGTCCTCATCCAACTCCCGAGCACCCGACTAATGACATCGAAAGGTACCATTCACGGTGCTTGTGGCAGGATGTGTTGGAGGAGCGTTCAATGGAATCGGCATTCTCAATTCGACATTTGCAGAGCCTGGGAATGAAAGATATGAGGCAGAGGGGAAGAAAGTAAGCGCCGCTTTTCCATCACGCTGACCGACACAACATTAATCTCGCGAAAAGTTCTTCCTTATCTTCGAAGTCGGTTATTGCGCCGCCATCATTCCGATCAAGCTCAGCATCAGTTGGATGTTGATCCGAGTAGCAAGTGGGCGCAAAGAGTATCTTTACGTACAATATGCTGTCATTGCTACGTTCGTAATCATGAACATCATCGCTTTGATCTTCATTCTGACCAACTGCATCCCCGTCGAGTAAGTCTCGCCACAACCATATTCTAGGAGTAGATGCTAACCTAGTTAAAGAGCTGCATGGAACGCCGAAGCTCTCAAGAATGGCCATTGTCAGCCTAGCTATGTCCTTGCCGATGTGTACTATGCGTGTACCGCTGTTAACATCCTTACCGACTGGGTGACAGCTTTCCTGTGCGAATCCAAGACCCATATTGCGCGAGTAACCAAAACCTGACTTCCTCAATAGGCCAATCCCTCTGCTTTGGAACGTGCAGATCAACCGCAATACCAAAATTTCGATCATTGGCTTGATGGGCCTCGGTGTCTTGTGCGTGATACTTCATATCCCTTATTGCGTTCCCTTGGCTGACATATGTTCTCTGCAGTGCATCGCTATCCGCATGTGTCCGACTCAAGTATACTGTCGCCTTGACCAGCGAAAACAACTACCTGTATAGCATCTCGAACGTTGTCATCTGGGGATTTGCCGAAAACGCTATCGGCATGATAGTTGGAAATGTCGCAACCCTCCGTCCGCTATTCCGCATCCTTCGCGACGGCAGAACCTCAGACTACAAGAACTACCACGAATCACCTGGATTCAACAGTTCTCACCGCACCGGAGGGGCGTTGTACTCACGGAACTACGAACTTGCCGAGCACGGCAAGAGCGTCAACCACACTGCCATCACCTCGGTCGTAGATCGAGAGCGACAAGGCAGCCTGAGTGATGGAGATAGCCAAAAGGATATTCTCGATAACGGTCAACGGCCCGGTGAGGCTGATATTGTCGTCAATCGACAGGTCATTGTGGCATATGACTAGGTTTTCTGGGTTAGGCAGTTGCTTTGGGGGTCTATACATTCATTTAATTACATGTCTCATCCTTTTCTTCTTTTATTTTGTTTAGTTTGTTTCATTCTTTTCTGGTCGTACACCCAGATGGTGTGGTCATGTCGATTTAGAAGATCAGCGCATATATATAGTACAGGTATATGCAACATATACCTAAATCAATCTAATGTCTTGAAACCTCCTCAGCTACTATTTATCTATCAGTGACCCTCTCAACCAGACTACAAGTATATGTATAGGTGGACATGGCTTTCGAGCTCGGACTCTTCAAGGCGGTTTTGTGTTCACAAAAGGTTTTATGCGCGCGACAAAGTAAGCATTACTTGGTTGAGGGGAGAAGCGGTGGACACAGGCATCTCCCAGTGCTTGAATGGGGTAGTAGACTGTGTTACAGAAAAGGAGACCATACATAATTATCGATATTATGCAGCCAGAGCTGGATTCACTTTTAAGCGCAAACGATCTAAGCACCCTATTCTCCTCACTTCTCTTCGCTAGAAAAACTGATAAGCTCGACGGCTCAGGAATTCGACTTATTCAGCACTAGGCTACTGCTACTGCAGTTTGTAGGTTAAAGTTAGACCAGTGCTTTATACAATCCCAGCCATGGGTCGACTGCGCCTTCCTACGGCCATGATATGGCAGAAAATCTCGCTGCAGGTGTGGAAACGAACGACAATATGATCGAATGTTCTACCGTTGAAATCTCCACTATAGATCCACTACGGTCAAATAGACATCCGACTGGAGACTTTGACAATGAGCCACAGCCTCGGCATCTACCGCTTTAATCACTACGGCGAAATAGACGCCCGATCGGAGACTTAAAGGGGATGAAGGCACTTGGCATCTACCATAAAGACTTGAAAGCAATTTTTTTCAAGTTTTCGAGCCCGGGGTCTACTCTCACCAAGATGACGCAGCCCTAGCTAAAATTGATTATGTTGAATAATCTTTTGCGCTCGAATATTAACCGGTGTGGATTTTGTGACGAAGCCGTTTCAGATACTAAATGTTATGCAAAACAAGGTCGGACGTTAGCCGCTGTGGATACTTTGGGAATACGTTCGGAGACATTTTGGTCTTCACCGTGATATCTTGACAAGTTAGACTCCGGAAAATTTGCCAAACTACTCATACCATTGAAAATGTGAAGCTGCAGGCGGGACCGTTTGGATTTGCCAGGTGACTATATATAGACGGGCCACCCTCAAGATCCTGGTTCTCTAGATCTTCAATTATATCAGAACCATTCAAGATGAGTACTATCACATATGACACCTTCCGCGGCTCTGTGGATGGCAAGATCATCGCTAGCAGAAGCACTGCTACCCTTGAGCACAATGAAGTATTTATCGAGACCACTCATTCGGGCCTCTGTGGAACCGATGAGCATTACCTGAAGGCTGATATGGTTCTCGGTCATGAGGGCATTGGTATTGTGAAGGCTCTTGGTCCTCTGGTTACCTCCGTCAAGGTGGGAGACCGTGTTGGATTTGGATACACCCACAAGGTCTGCACTGAGTGTGACAACTGTGTTTCTGGTATGTCTGTACACCGACCTGGCTGAATGTTTTATACTGACCTTCAACAGGCTGGGACCAGTATTGCCGTAACCAGAAACAGTACGGCTTCCACGACACCAATAACGGCTCCTTCAGCTACGGTACGGTCTGGGATGCTACTTGCGTCTACCCCATCCCCGATGAGCTTGCCTCCGAATATGCTGCCCCTCTCATGTGTGCTGGTGCTACTGTCTGGACTGTCCTGACTGAGTACGGCATCCGCCCCACCGATCGTGTTGCCGTGATGGGTATTGGTGGTCTGGGCCACTTGGCCATCAAGCTTGCCAGCGAGATGGGCTGCCATGTTGTCGTTCTCTCTAGCTCCGAGTCCAAGCGTGAGGAGGCTATGGGCTACGGTGCTTCCGAGTTCCACGTTTTCCGCTCTGGCGAGAAGCCCCCAGTGGACTTCGACACTGTCAACCACCTTCTTCTCTGTGGAAGTGGAAGCGTTGATTACCCTTCGTGAGTCTTGCCAAGTACCGGAGGTTCTGTCATACCTTTTCTAACATTCATATTAGCCTTATCCCCCTTATGAACACCCACGGTAGCATCTACCCCTTGACCGTTGCCTTTGAGCCCTCACCCGTTCCCATGCTGGACATGGTCTGGAAGGGTGTCCGCATTCAAGGCTCCCTGGTCGCCTCCCGCCGTTCCATTCGCAACCTTCTCGATTTTGCGGCGAGAAAAAAGATTTACCCCTCTATCATGACCTTCCCCTTGACCACTACGGGAATTGAGGAGGCTATGCAGACTCTGAGAGAGGGCAAGATGAGATATCGCGGTGTCCTTGTCAAGGTTTAATTGGCCTCCACTAAGTTCTTTTGCTGGTGTCGATCCATAGAAACTCATAGAATTTAAATTCCATGTACTATAGTCAACCAAAGACATCCCAGCCACTTGTTCATCTACTTAGAACCGACTAATCCATTCTCACGGTATGTAAAGAACGCCTTGGAATTATCAAGCTAGGCATGCCCTTGCCGTTCTAAAACGTATACAATGTGAGCTTTATACAACCAAGTGGGGAGGTTAGATGATTATTCAAGGGTACAGTGGAGGTATCGGATTCCTCGTATTGTTCTATTCTTATACATCAAGTTCTCGCGATCAATAGGTCGTATATTCCTTCAACCGCCACGACCTCGCCGTCTAGTATTTCGAGTGGATGGTTCATATTCAGGCTCGTTGTCCTCGTCAGAGTCGGGTATCGAGATGGGTGGTGACAGCTCCTCAATATCATCATCTTCATTTCCCGAGTCGTGGGGATGAGACTTGGGTGGGCCTTCATTGCTTTCATCATGATGCTCAACAATCAAGCCGTGATCTTCGTCATCCCCTTCGCCAGGCAAAAGAAACCCACCACCATGGTCAATGGGGTTGTGAGAAGTCTCTTCGAGATGATCCTCCTCGTGCCCATCCCCAGCGTCATGTTCCTGGTGTTTCTTCCGAGTAGCAAATGGATTATGAGAATCTTGCTCACGATCTGCATCTGGATCTCCACCGTATTCTTCACGAACACGTTCAGCGATACGCAAGCCGAACAGGAACTTACGCCATGTCTGCAAAATCCGCTTCTCAGCTTTGAGCTCTTCGCGCTTGCGTTTTTCAGCAGCTTCAATTCGCCAGGCATCTTTCAGCAGATCCTCATTCTCAGCGGCAATGACCACACCCTGAATCACGGGTACTGCCATCTTTGAACCAAACTCGAACCCGGTGACTGCTTCAGCATAATCGATGCCCAGTTTCTTGCAGATTCGTACAGTTCCAGGGAGCGGGACATGGGCGGCGCCGCGCGGTACCATAGTAGGTACAAAACAGTCGATATTCCCGTAGTCATTCTTTGGAATTCTGCCATCTTCAATGGGCGGAGGGATTATGAACTCGGTCTGTTCGCGAGAATATAATCCCTGCATGGGTTTTTCTCCCGTTTCACGCTGCAGCTCGTCGACTTCGCGCTTGCGCATCAGTGTTACGGCTCGAATGGGCACTCTTTTCAGAGGGACCGCGCCAGGCTGGATCTTGCGGCCTTCTTTATGCCAACTCTCTGCCGACATGCACTTGACGACATGTGCTCGGAGGAACACGGGTTCTTCCTTGGCTTTGGCACCTCTGCCTGCAGTAAAGGTGCGAACTGACTCTGAGCCCGGCTTCAAGGCCTCTTCACGGCGCAGGAAGCGCTCCAGCACAAATTCGGTCGATTGGCGAAGGCTCTGAAGAGTATCAGTGGTCTGGGCCGTTTTCTTTTTTTCCGGTTGCTTTCGTTGAAGATCTCCTGCGTCCTCGACCTCGTCAACCTTGGTTCTGCGGTCTGGATGCCTTTCGTATCCACGCATGACCGTTCTGAACCAGTCATACTCAAAGTATTGTCCTCGGCGGCCCGGTTGCGGGATTTTCTCTACAGGCATCCGGAATCCTTTGGTCTTGCCTGGCCATGTTCGCCGTCGAAGGTATCGCGTGGTGACGTCCTTGCCGGTTCCATCGGGCGAGTGTGCGACTACGTAGCATATTACCTGCTTGGCGCGTTCTGCCTTGGCTCCGCGTGGCTCGAATGCTGCTTGAAAGTCCGGTGTTGTTGCAACGGAATTTGGAAGGACCAGAGGGTCAATCGCGATAATCTGATGCGTGACCGGCGAGGCAACTTCAGTCCAGTATATAGGGAAGGGTAGGTCCTTGTCGAACTTTGGGATGCTCTTCTTTGCCTTTGGAAGGTCCTGTTCTGAGTCGATCTCGGGGTCGAAACCACCAGCGTCAACATCAGTCTCGACTTTCTCTTTTTTCTCCGTCTTGGATGGAGTAGGTGGGGAGGCAGTTTCTGCTTTGGTCCAGCCAAATCCCAGTGGTTGTAGACTGCCTACCAGCCGTGCTTCAATCTCTAAAGCTCTGATCAAAGCTGTAAATAGCTGGGCGCCAACGTCCCGAGAGCCCTGCATTCGCTCTGCCGTTGATCGGAACTCTTCGAGATTCGCGATCCGTTCTCCGTGGATTTCTGGGTTGTGGTCTTCCTCCCTGAACTCATTCATTATGACCTCGACTGAGGAGACTGGGCGATAACCATGCTTCCGGAGGCCAGGAGCTGTAATATGAAACTGTTTCTTCCAGTACGCAACCAGGACCTTGAGCAGAGGAATGATCGGGTCGCCCGCGCTCATATCTGGCTGACCCGGCTCCAGTCGTTCGGATTCTTCACCCCAGTCTTGCTTCTTTCGAGCCTGTTTCCCTTTCTTCTTGCTCTTCGGTGGGGGAGGCTTCGGCTCCGGGATCTCTATCCCCGCTGCAATGCGCCATTTCTTTACTTCATTTTTGATGCCTTCTGGCAGCTTCTGGAGTAGTGCTTCTTGGACCTTCTTATCGTTGATCCAGGCATTGCGAATGGCATTATGGAAGAGCAAGCACTGGACATGCATGCAGTGCGTCTGGTTGCGAATCAGGCGCTCAATCTTGGACGGCCCTTTCTTGCCATCCAGGAGGTCTGAGACATGATGTTCATCTTTATCTAGCGTCAATTCTAGATCTTGAATCTCAGCGACGGCCATGCTTGGAGTGGTCGCGCTCGTTGTCTTAGTGTCGATCGCATCTTCCCAGTCGATATCGTCCTCTTCCTCCTCCTCACCTTCATCATCGTCGCCAGATGCGCGCGGCGCCTGGGGAGTAGCATTGGCAGACTCTGGCACATCGCTCAACGAAGAGTCCGAATCTGAATCGGAGTCACTAATGTGAGAGGGCTTGGTGGAGTCATCGGCCTGGGCCTGGCGTTTGGCCGGGGGCGGGTCCGGGTCCTCGGAGAAGCGCTTGCGGGGGACGAACGGTGGCATGAGAGTTGGGCTCGGAGCCCCGTCACTAAAGCGTGGGAGCAAGTGGAATCAAATGACAGTCTTGGAAGGGTGGAGGGTACTCCGATAGGCGGAGCGGAGGTTGGAGATGAGCGAAGGAGTTGCTTTCGGCGGCTACCGAGGTTCGTTCACTTTCACTTTCACTTCTCCAACTTTCTGACTTCTTTTGTAACTATCTCTTCGACGAATTTACGAGATCACGAAATCACGTATACGACCAAATTTGCAGTCAGCATTTCTCATCATGGAAGCCGTCAAGCGATTTTTCAGTTCCCCGCGCTTCGCTGTGGCGGGGGCCAGTAATGACTCCAACAAGTTCGGATACAAAAGTATAGCTCTACGTGAATTGGAAACCTGGCAGTTTTGATCTAACCTTCCAAACCTCAGTCCTCGCTTGGTATCACCAGCACTCCCTACCTGTGACTCCACTGAACCCACGGGCAGCGCAGATTTCGCTTCCCTCGCGCTCCTACGATACAGTGCCTTCACCGTCGGCTCTGGCTTCACCCACGCAGACTTCCCTGTCAGTGGTGACCCCACCACCCGTGACTCTCACACTGCTGCAGGAGGCGCATTCAGTCGGTATCCCTGCCGTCTGGTTGCAACCCGGAACCTTCGATAATGCAGTGTTAGAGTATGCGCGGGGACATTTCGAAGCGGTGATTGCGGGCGACGGCGGAATGGGCGGCGAGGGATGGTGCGTCCTGGTGGATGGCGATGATGGATTGGAGGCAGCTGGTGTTCAGTGGGCCAGCCAGCGCTTGTAAATGGACAATCTGTTGATAGATCGGCGAGGGGGTGAGGATGTGTCTCGGAGTGCCGTGCATGACGCTCTCTGTTGTTGAGTCTAAGCCCGAAATAGTCAACTTTGTTTTTTCCCAGCCTTCGCAATCAATAACCTACATTCTCTACTCTCTCACCTCTCTTAAATTCTCACCTTTTTTTTCCCATCAAAAATGCCCGACATGCCGGCGGTCTTCCACTCGTCTACTTCTCCTCCTAAACTCGATCTCGCCAGCGCCAACTCTCAACTCTTCCAGGTCCCTACCTCCGCCTCCGCATCCTCCTCGCTATACTCCCTCTCCGTGAGTCGCAAGCGCCCACGCCGCGACAACGAAAAGCTCTCATCCAAATTCGATTTTTCATCGGAAGATGCCAGTCGTTCCCTTCTGGAATCTGAATATCGTAAAACAAGCGGTCGTCATGACTTCCACACCACTGCTGACCTCGACTATCGTCCGAACCGCTATCGCGAGTCTTTCCTCCCACCATCGTTAGACGCCAGCGTGGAGATGATAGATCAAGACACACAAGCAAATAGCCGTAAGCGCAGCCGCCGCGACTCTTGCATCGCCTCCCCGTCTGCGGATGGTGCCGATACCCCAACACGACTTGGATGGGGACGCACGGTTATCAAGGCAGTCGGCAAAGTACTAGACTTGTGTTGGACTGGAGCATTCAGCGGATTCTACGCTGGGGGCGGTCAAGGTTACGATATCCAAACCGGGTCACCAGCACAATATACTGCGGCCTGGCAGTCTCCCGTTTCGGTGGAGAAGGATTCGATCTTTCGAACACCCATCCCGGGTCAGTATCCCGACGAAGAGATCGAGCGAAGCTGGGTGGTCGTTCCCACTGAGCCAGCAAATCCTTTCGTCGGCGACAGTATGGGTAGTCCATCTTTGAAAGCTCGCCGAATTCACCAGGCTTCCAGTCCCCGCCGTCGTCCAGCCGTGATGCCCCGATTGAACAAAAGAGCCGCCCCATCTGCTTTGCGGCCGTCAACACCCACGAAAGGTGTGGGCCTCGGTCTTCCATCCCCGCGATCAAGAGATGGCCCGGGATCGGCTGAGGGGCAAAGACAAGCTGCTCGATTACGCCGCAGAGAGCGTGAAGAGGATGCTAGCATCCAGCGCTTAAACAAACAACTTCAAGCGATGATTCGCGAGGGCAAGGAAGCCCTCGGTACGACGGTGGAAGTGGATGATATTGAGATGGACTACGATTGATTGCAACCTTGCTTTCGTCAGTTGGTTTTCTGATATTTTGGTTCCGGCTATTTGCTTCGAAATATGGCTTTTCTTTTCTGGTTGCACATAACGATTCGATACCCCAAAAGCGCATGCTAACAAGGTGGTCTGACCAGGACCAACCTGCAGCGCTCAACGATTTATGATTTCGATGTTTTTCCTTTACAGTGATATTCGAAATCAGATTTACCTCTACACTATTCGACTTTCATTCCCGAGCCCTAGCATGAAACACGCTAATCCATATTGTAGTGGTGGAACCCATGACATAATGAATACAGTTGCGTACCTTCATGGCAGCCTCTTTGGCGGCAAACCTAGTGGTCTTTAGCTTGCTTTCTTCAACTTGGAACCATGTAGCCTTCAAGTCCAGTTGTTGAGGTGGGGCGGCGCCTTACCGTCCAGCAGCTCAATTCGTAACTTCTACTGTAAAGCTCTCGCTCGTATTTGGAATACTACTCGTCACTGTCGATACCGGACACATAATCGCCATTTTCTTCGTCAATTATCCGTGCTGAGATAACCTGTCTCAATTACAACACTTTGTCATACTGCTCTTGAAAAGCAAGCAGCTCTGCCGGACTGAAAATTCGTCGACTGAATTTGTCGGCATGCTTCGGATGTTCGTTGGTCAGAATTTGCCGGATTCTGGGAATGTGACAGATGTCGGTGCCGATACTGAGTGGATATAAGAATGGAAGAACATCTGCTAACGCTATCTAAGCTTTCTGGTAGACAGTCTTGCACTGTAGGATAAGACTCTATTTATGTAGGATACCACCCGCCATAGAACTGACTTTGTATGCTACCTACATAGGCCCGCTCGGCAATCCAGTCTTTAACTCCCAATTTTCCATACATCCCTATCCCACTTCTCTACTGAGGAAAAACAGAATGACGTTCAAACGGGAATACGCGAAACAAATCTATTTTTAATTGAAAATAGTTATTCGGCAAGCCAAAACCGTGATACTAAGCTCTTTTACTCTTGATATAGTCAATAGCAGATTGGACTGTATATGGTTAGCTGAAATCACTTCCCTTAAAGAAATCGGATTGTTACCAGTAGTAATCTTCTCAGCTTCTTCATCCGAGATTTCCATATCAAACTCCTATACTTTTTTCAGCATAAGTGAAATCGATAGTGAATAGAGCTCATACCTCCTCGAAAGCCATGAACAGCTCCGCTATATCAAGCGAATCGGCTCCAAGGTCTTCCACGAACCTAGCAGAATTCACCAACTAGAGACGGTAAGTAAAATGCCCAAGAAGAGAGCTTCTTGTATATAGAAGCTTATGAAAATTATACCTCATCTTCCTTCACTCCTAGTTGCTTCGCAATTACTTCTTTGACTCTGGACTCTATGGTTGACATTTTGCAGGCTGTATGGCAGATATTAAGGAGGTGAAAAGAGAGTTGAAATTGGAACAAAGTCAAACCACGGACATGGCTACACTAATTAAATAGTTTTGTTGTTCAAGGGTTACCATCCATTCTAGCTTACCTATCACAGGGGCTGTAGCTATATTAAACCTAGATCCCTGATTTGACCAAATTTTCCAATAGTTATTTGCAAGGTTACACGGGACTACGCTTCACTTTGAGCAGTGATCTTCGCGAGGGGTGGCCGGAATTCCTCACAGGATCCACCATACTATTGGGTCTACTGAGTACATAATGTACAATGACGTTAGGCAAGCAGTTCCACTAGTCCACTGATCCACAAATACCCATGGCCACGGGTTATGCTTTCAAAAGGGGGACTGGAAGAATTCTAAAGATATCGATTTTGCGCTGAGCCTAATCCCCGGGCAGAGTTGAATTCGTTTTGCGATCAGATCCTTCGAGATTCGTCTCATATTGCATGAAAATGTTCTCGTCAGCTCATCTACCTATGTCTGGTGAATTCCACGCTTTCTTGGCCCTAGTCCGCACCACTCTGAACTTAGATCCTCTTGCCTTTGTGAATTTTGGGCTCATTGTGATCGGTCTCATAGCCTCCCTCCGCTCCGCCGGAAACATAATACACAGCTACGCCGAGAAGACATGTTTATCAACGGTACACGTCGAGGAAGACGACCCTCTCTACTATAATGTCATTCGCTGGATGAACGATCATGTATTTCGGCATCGCAACTTCCTCTCCGTCCTGGCACAAACCACCAACAATCCCGACAGCGTCAATGCTCTAATACAATCCCCACTATCAAAACTAGATTCTGATAGGTTGATCAGCTACCGAGAGGTAGATGACAAACCGTCTATTGAGCTGAAGCCTTTCCACGGGTCCCGTCTCTTTCGCTTTAAGCGAACATGGATACTTTTTGACCATGCAACGAAAAGTCCTGAAGTCACCGGTCGCTTTCCATCAGTGGAAGGCAAGCCTAAGTTGACGTTGCAGTGTCTCAGCTTTTCACTTTCTCCGATTACGAAGTTCCTCGAGGAAGTGCACGCGTACGGTTGTAAAGTCTCCGTATCTAGCACCACGGTCTACCGCACTAGGCATAACTCTCGCGACATTGTCCGGTGGAGCTCAGTCGCTTCGCGACCGTCCAGAGACATATCCACCATCATCCTTGACAAGCACAAAAAGCAAACTATCCTGCGAGATGTCAACGAGTACCTTCATCCGCATACAAGACAGTGGTATGCCAATCATGGCATTCCGTATAGACGTGGGTATCTGTTTTCTGGGCCTCCGGGCACCGGCAAGACGAGCCTTGCGTCCGCGATTGCCGGTGTCTTCGGCTTGGATATATACGTGTTGAATCTGCTAGACCCAACTATGACAGAACCACAGTTTATCCGGCTGTTCTCCGAGGTACCCACGCGGTGCGTGGTGCTGTTGGAGGATGTCGATGCCGCAGGGCTCAGCAGATGTGACCTGGTACCTAGTCAAGATTGTACTCAGTCCAAATCAGCCGCGCAATTTACTATGGGAGCAGCGAGGGCAACGCCAGCAAGCACATCGGCAATCTCTCTATCTGGATTACTGAACGCAATCGACGGCGTCTCATCCCACGAAGGCCGTATCTTGATTATGACAACAAATGTGCTACAGCGTTTGGACCGCGCACTCATTCGACCGGGTCGTGTGGACATACATATCCGATTTGAGCTTCCATCTCAAGAGGAGCTGCGAAACCTCTTCTTAAGCATATATAGCGATGTGTCTCAGAACACGGCAGCCCCTACAGGAAAAGAAAATGTGCAACCTGAAAGGCTGGATGAGCTTGCAGGGCACTTTTCAGGGCGCCTGCCTGAGGGGCGATTCAGCCTTGCAGAAGTACAAGGTTTTCTTTTGCGGTATAAACGGCAGCCCGATGAAGCGTGTGACAATGTTAGTAGCTGGGTTAAAGAGATGGAAAATAATTGACTTCGTTGATGAGCAGCGTCTGTATGTAATCATATCATGCCAAAAGGAATGTAAGCTATATCGGGCACGGCTTCTGTCTCCAGTTCCTCCCTTGTGATAATATCTGCAGCAATCGTGTGGCGAGATGCATAGTGGCCCACTCCCTGAAGTAAATGGTGTCTGAGATCAAGATGTGGTCAGATACCGTTTGGAGGTATTGGATCGTATCATTTATCATCTTTGTACTGATTGCTGTAGCTCTGAGAAGTCTCTTTCGATGAATCTGTTGTGTCGCCAGTTTGCGTGAGAGGGTTGATGATCCTGCTGCTCTCTTTTTTCCCTTTCAGTGGGGATAGGTCTTGATTTTCAGCCTTAATACGTTTTCAGGAAACGAAGAGTGCCTTGAGCTAGCAACAGAGGTAGCCACAGAGCTATGTTGCGACCGGTCAACAGACGATTGTAAAACCTCATGAGTGGTCGCGATTTCCGTGGGTAAATTGGCGATCAACCCAACAGAAGTTTTCAGCCGATTCATTACCTCCACGTGATAGATTTATTAGCCTATGGATTCTTCGAGAAAGGGGGACCTAGAATAATGATACGAGCTTGCCATGAACGCTCATTGTGGCTATTTGTGTCTGGTCTAATGACCTTCTTTGATACCGGTGACAAATTGTGATCCATAAACGCTTGGCTCTGCAAGTGAGGGCGTTTGACAATGTCTTAGAATAAAAGGGAAACGTGAGAGAAATCACCTGCAGGACAAACCACGAGCTTTTAACTGGGCAAAAGAGGCTATATCCACTATGAAATTTACATTCGCACTTGTAATTTTATGTTTAGACTTATCAATACCGTCTCCTACGAGCGCTGTGGAAGTCAATATGTTACCTCAAACCGTGCCATTATGGATATCTCAATCCAAATTATGTATCCACATAGCGTCCGAGCCACCAATGGAGGGCTTGAAAAGGTATTTATTTATTCCCGGGAGCAAGAAGACCTCAGAACACAGGCAGTCATGAATAGTAAATTGAGGGATGGCGTTACATCTCCGACGTACTGGAGTTGCTATCGTTTCCATGATTCAGCCGCGCTCACAGCCACAAAAAGAAATGACTGACCGATAGTTTGCTTTGTGATTCCTAGGAGCTCTAGAGCTTTTTGTCACAGTCCGGGCATATGCAGTAGCTTGGGTGTTTGGTCGTTGACCAAAAATTGTGATTTCTGGCCAGTTGACGTAGTGATGAAACCCAACAATGTACGACCCCTCATACTCTTACGGCTGTCGATGGCAATTCGCTAGTATTATGCTGATATGATAAAGTCCCTGGAGGTTTTTTATTCTAGCACCACCTTTGGCGATGTATTTTCTAGTCTTATTTTCTAGTCCGCTGCGGCTTTGGACTGCAATTTCTCCTTAAGCCATCTGCGCAGATCATTAAGCTAGCTACCTTTCTCCATCCAAGGCGCAGCCTTGCAGGCACCACAAATAAGTTCGCCTCTGAAGATTTGACCCTCTGAAGCTTAGATTCACTGTTGCTAAATCTATTGAATGAATGCATTACCACGGAGTTATTTCACGCTGGTCGCTTTAAAATAGCGTTAGTTGAAAAATGTTCCCCCTTAGACACTTACACCTTGCGTTTAGGCTTGTACCCTAAGCCAACCTTATTTATAATAGGAAATAACCCCTAGTCACCCTACTTCATTGTCGCAGGTAACTACGGCCTAAGGAACAAAGCTTGGGTGACTAAAGAGTAATCTGTTTTGGAATTCTAATATATGGTCACGGGGCGTTTCGGCACGTATGATCTCCCCAATGCCGGAACTTATAATAACGGTAATTTTGGTGATCTACCGGAGATACATCAAATATAGCGGGGACTTCTTGACTGGTTAGTGCGATCTGAGTGGGGCACTGGGAAAGAAAGCGTGAGTGTTTGAGGGGTAGTCTACTTTCGAATTCAGTCATGCATATAGGAAGATCCTCGTTGCTAGGAAGAGGTAGCGTGGTTCATACGTATAGGAGTTCCGTATATGCTAGGGTCCGGGAATGAAAGTCAAAGAATGTAGAGGTAAATCTGATTTCGAATACTACCGTATTCTCCTAATTCTCACTTTCTGTTTGAATCTCTGATGGGGTCTGTTTGCTATTTGAGCTTTCTTGCGTATTCGGTTTGCAAGTTTACGAATTTCTTTACTGGCCGCGAGCCATGCCTTCTTTGATGAACAGATGCTATTTCATTCAAGTAAACAATTGACATTGCGGGCCAAATTCAATAAGTACACCAATCAAACTGAGTTCCAATATCTCCTCTAGCAACATCACGAAAAGAGAACTCGACCAAACAAACTCGTGCTTGCAAGAAAGTAAGTCCGCTTCTGTTACTACATACTCACTGGGCTCCAGCGCCGGCACCTCCAGCACCGCTAGCAGGCGCAGCAGCAGCAGCGGGAGCAGCAGCGGCAGGAGCAGCAGCAGGAGCGGCAGGAGCAGCAGCAGGAGCAGAAGGGGTCAAAGTATGAGCAAGCTTGTTGAGGACACCGCCGCTGAAGAGGACGGACTCCAGGTCAGAGCCCTGGATGGGGGATTCACCGCGAGCCTCGTTCTCGTGGACATCACGGCGACCATTCATCTGAAATATATTAGCACTGCGACGAGAATCAGGATCAGACGAAACCTACAGGGAAGATGCCAAGACCATGGTGAGCGTTACCGGCAAAGAGCTTACCGAGACCACTCTCGCTGGCAAGCTGAGCAAGAGGGTCGTTCTTTTTGTCATACTGGTCAGCCTGAGGCTGGGACTTGGATTGGCCAGGTGTGGGAGGGGCCTGATCTTTGTTGTTCTTGCCTGCAGTCAGGCTGGCGGTCAGGTCGGACAGGCCACCCAGATCGCGGCGCACCTAGAAAAACGTCAGTCGTTGCATTGCAATCATTCTCGCATTGTCACATACGGGCATGGCCATGTCAGCGGCATCAGTGCTGGCGTCGATACCGTTGTCAAGGGCATCGCTGACGGAATCGGCAATGTCACCACCATCGCTGGAGTCGCGGCGAATCTTATGAATGGTCAGTTACTTTTCGTTCGAGCTTGACGGAAACAGTTTCTATCGTACGGGCATTATATCTGCAGCGGCGCTCAGAGCACCAGCGGCAGCATCGGTAGCAGCACCTTCTCCCTCACCGATGAGGCTGTGGAAAGCTCCAGGAGAGGTGGGCAGATCCTCGCTACGCTTGTGGCCCTTGGTGATTGACTATGTTTTCTCGTCAGCGTATCCTTTGTCCCCAAGGGGAGATGATAACCTACACCGCCACTAGTCAACTTGCGGATGAGCCACAAAGCACCAAGCGAATCGGGGTTGTTGGGAGGCCCTCCACGCTTCTCCATGTTCTGGCCCTCATTCTGGCCATAGTTCTGGCCTTCGTTTTGGCCGTGATTCTGACCATAGTTCTGACCAGCATTCTGGCCCTCATTTTGGTGAGCGTTCTGGCCAGCGTTTTGTCCGTAGTTTTGGCCATAGTTCTGGCCGTGATTCTGGCCATGGTTCTGAGGGAAGCCCTGGATTCAATGTTAGCCGACTGATCATACTTCATTATCTAGGATTGTAAATACAGTCTCGTGGTGGGAACGACGCATGCCAACCTTCTGACCTCCGCCGGTCTGGTGAGGGGAGTTGGCCGGGTGGTTCTGGTCCTGTTCAAACTATCAGTTTCTGGACCAATTTTCAAATGGGGTTCAAAGCACATACACCACCGAAGAGAGATCCCAGCAGGGGGAGGTTGCTCAGATCACCAGTGAACGAACGAGCCTCGTTGTCTCGCTTCTATATCTCGGAACTCATTAGCACGAAATTTCCTTCATCACATTACTTTGACAACCTACCAGAGGAACTGGTCGTAGCAAGGGGCCAAGAAGAGGAAGACTCTCCAAAGCGCTGTGTGTCACCACGGGCTTTTTCTCCTTCTTCTTTTCATCTGCGGCCTTGATCGCCGCTGCCTTTTTGCCCATTTTTGCCATCTTATCATCAGTAGCGGGCTGGTCGTTTTTGGGAGTAGCGAGTCCCTTGATCATCTCATTTACAGCACCATCGGCGGTACCAGCACCAATAAAGTTACCGGTACCATCGCGAGCTATGATACCGGTCACATCGTTGCCAGCCGGTGGCAACGGTGCGGCCAGGCTCATGGCCACAAAGACTGTCAGGGCGTAAGTAGTCTTCACCATTGTGTCTGCGCTTTGATTGAGTCCTGCTGAAGGAGAGTCTGCGTCCACGGGCGACGGGTCGGAGCAAGCAGGAAGGGGGTATTAACGAAAGTGTGCGGAATGCGAAGCAACGAGGGATGGCAGCGATTCCAGCGTCTTTATAGCGATCGCCGTGGTCACATTCTAGGATACTGGGGATGAAGGGGTGAGGGGTTAGAAAGCCTCCTTTTACTCAACAGTCCATGCTAATACCCTTGCTAGGAATGCTATGACTGCCATGCTTTAGAGAGGAGACGGGTGATTTGATCTTCGGGCCCTGGCAGGAATGTTCCGATGCTTATTATGAATAATATCTCCGTCGATCATAGTTACAGGGAGGCGAATGCAAGGGGTGATAGTCGCTGATCGTGCACCTCATTGTATACCAACGTTCCAAACCCGCATCTCCTGACCGAGGCTTCGTTTCAACGGAGCCCATTTGTGGGCGAGCACAAGAGCTAAGTATGCATTTCGTTTCAGTCTGTTTATTATGACTTCCATGTACCTATGGTTCTAAACGTCTTTGTCCGTTTGGCTCAGGCTCTATCAACACAAGGGGTGTGGCCCTGTTTACCCTCTATAACCCCTTCACATTGAATCTCGCATCCCCGGGTTGACTTCGTTGCTATCTGGGGTGTGTGTAAGCGTATTGCAGCCCCATGATCGATGAGGTACCTAGGTATTCAATCATGTCATTACTAGATGACACAAGCGAAGAAGCACCAGTCGAAGAAGTCGACGGGCTCAATTTCGGTGAACATCATTGGAGGAGCTTCTGTCATATTTTCCTCCACGAGCCTAGCTCACACTACTAGTTGCATCCAATTTTAAATCGACATGTGAAAAATTATTTCCAGGTGTCGCCACATGCGCTTCTTCATGGCGCGGGTCTTCTTGAGAGCAATTGTGGGAGAAAGAAAATATCGGGAGAAATCCATGCCAATATATATTGGCAGACGCCCGGGCATCCAAATCAAAATAATGTAAGTGCTGCTGGTGTTCCCGGAGATGTGCTCGATGTCAGGACCCTGCTTCACAATTTGATATGCAAGCCATGGCCAAGGAAGTCACGAGTTTCTTATACTCTTTGTGATGGTAGCTGTTGCCCAAGGTATGGCCGCTCTGCCTGCCCGGCCAACACCTGTCTAGGCGAACATTCAGTCAGACTTGATTCAGTTTACTCAAAAGTGGCCAATAGGCTTCCTACCTACTTTTTATTTTATTTTTATTCCACTCAATGCCCTCTTGGCATAATATTGTTGATTGACGAAAATATCCATACAAAGAAGGTTGCGTAGTTCAGGTGAGTTGCTCCGGATTATTTGTGGATCATGATGCCAAACCTTTGACTTATCTTTCATCTTCCGGCCAATTGGCCTAGTGGTAAGGCATCCGTTTCCGGTGCGGGAGATCGTAGGTTCGAATCCTGCATTGGTCGTTATCTTTTTGCTTTTGATCTATCTAGATTAGAGTAAAAACTTTTTTTTTTTAATCTCAACTATTCTATTTTCTTCTCAAACAATAAATAATCATCGTCCCAGCCAAAGAAAGCTAAAAATTGTACATTGGTTATTCTACTCATGTTAACCCGCGGTTGTGTCTAACAAAGGGTCGGCTAAGCTTAGCAACGTCCTAAATAAATGAACAACTTTTATCTCTTCTTATTCTGTTCATGCAGCGAAACTGATTTCGCTAATAATAAAGCAAAAAAAAAGAAACGACCAATGCAGGATTCGAACCTACGATCTCCCGCACCGGAAACGGATGCCTTACCACTAGGCCAATTGGCCGGAAGATGATGATTGATCGAATCTTGCGGCTATGTTGTTGATCAATCCTGTGCGAAAAAAGCTATTGGGCACGAGGAGCTACGGGAAGCCAATTTCTTTCATTAGTTTATTATCAACAAACAGCAGGAGCAAGAGATACGAATCCTGGAAAAGAGGAAAGACGAACCAAAAACAAAAAAGCAAGTCTTGACAATGCAGGACTCCAATGGTAAGGATTATAAGTGTAGTCAAGAATGCTTATACAGATACTGAAGGCCTAACCCCAGTCCAGGGTGTAATATAACAAACGCTATTGAGGTCATTGGCAAATCCACCCTGATTCAAATTTCATTCACAATCATAATCAAGTCGCCTGAAGCAGCCTTCAAAGCTTTGAGCCCTGTTGTATCGGATCCCTATCCAACCGCGCGGAATTCCTCGCAGAGTGGATCTCCCAATCAGAAGTAATTTTAATCTGTCCGTGAGCCAGCTCACTCAGTTTCTTCGCCATGGGAGGCGGTGCCACTATCACGAGAGGGATTTCGGGCTCTTCCATTTGCTCTGTCATGACTGTTGTCTTCCAGTATCCGGCCGACGGCGAGTCAGAGGCTGGTCCGTCTGCCGCGGAGCAGAACACGGATGTTCCGAAGAGCTGTTGAATAGCTGGAGGAAGTAGTGGTAAACAGACAGCAATGATGCCAAGAAGAGGGGCGATGCATGCTATCAGTGATTTTCGAGCAGAACCGTAGGTTGGGTCCTCTGGGTCGAGGTTGGACTCGATCTTGATGCGGACTGCCGAGATGGCAACTATACTGCAAATGCAATGTTAGAACCAATGTATATCCTAGACGGTGGCACATCGATACTTACACGATACCCAGAATGTAAATCAACCCGAGAGCGACTTTTCTGGCGCGGGCTAACCTCATATGCCGTACAATTGGCAGGGGAAGAAGCAGGATGAATCCATTGAGAATAACTTCGCTCACAGCGGTGGCAGTATGGAGCATCTTCCGGTCACCGCAATGACCCTGCGCACCAGCCCACCATACTTTGCTAGGCGGGTTACAGAAAAAGGCTGTTGCGAAGAAAGTTGCAATCCACAGAGCTGTACACAAGCCCATCACGGTGTAGGTCAACCACATGATGACCTGCTGCTGAAATCTGCCGAGATAATAATGTAGAAGAGACACTTGAACCAGGCAAACCACGGTACACCAAAAAGGTCTCCCGCATATGTGAGCTGACGAGAGTTAGCCAGGCTGCCAGGGTCTCCACCTGACGTGCAAAAGTACGAACCTGGTTAAAGCGGACAAAAGCCTCTGCCCCTCCAGACCGAGCCACCTCGAATGAATGTAGTCCCATACCACAGAGTAGAATCAGCACCAGCTCTATAATGTAGCGACCAAGCATGAGGACCTAGGAGACGTCAGTGTCACCGATCTGGCCAGTGGACCTATCACACCGGGAGAGCAGGATGAATGGGATCTTACCGCAGCGCCTAGAATCAACCGGTCATTCCACTGCCACGAGGTCTGCTGCAAACGCCTCGACCATAGCCGAAGACCGACAGCCGCGAACCCGGCCGCCAGCAGGACCGTTTGGACGGCGATGTCGGCCTTGCCCAGCCAGTTATGGCCGAGTGCGTGGACTAGGGTACCTATAGGCTGCGGCATCGAGGCTCAACCTGAACAGAAGAATCAGAGGAAGCACCCAGGGCACCAGGCATGATATATTGAATGTCGAAGGTTCAACGTTCCATGTTCGATGCCACAAAAGTTTCGGGGGGGGGGGGGGGAAACACGAGGCACGCAGGGCGGGGCCGTGCATCAAAGTCAAAGTAAGGTAAGCCGACCAAACAAGGGGCCTGAGGCCTGCGGCCCAGGGCGAGATGGAGTTTTTATCCCGGTCTCTCGACCTCGTTGTCATGCAGATTGTCATGTATGATTGGCTTTCCACCTCACCTTCTGGAAAAGAAACCTGGTGCTAGCGTTTCGAGGCGGGAATCGCCGCACGGTCTCCCGGCATCCTGAACTTCCAAACTTCTCCACTTCATTTAATCTCTGACACCTAGTCCGCGTTTCACACCGCTGCCGAGTGTTGCCCTATTGTTTGATGTCTCATTTTTGAACCGCTTGACTCTGCCTATATGTGCCTACACGTGCCTACACGTGCCTAACGTGCCTATATGGGCTCTGAACGGCCCACATGCTGTATCTCGTCTCGCGGTTTATTTCTCGACAAGCTGGTGCCATTGAACCCTGATACGATTTACACCAAGGTCATGGTGGACCCATGATGCAAGGCCACTTGGGACCTTTGAATATTCGAGCCTCTGATTTGATTGCGCGATGCGGACCATCTTAAGTCCTACTGGGTATCACTTCCCTGCATTTCCACGTGGCACGCCCGTATAGTCCTCCACGAGGAAATCTCACTTGCTTGGAATCAAAGATGTTGATTCGCAAAAGTTCCATCTAGTCCACATCCCACGTCGGGTCTAGTCGAGCAGGGCGTCGCAAGAGGACCATTGGCCCCTCTAACGGAAATCCTGCCAGTGAAAGCCTAAGAAATTCTTGAAGTGCAATTTCAAGGCTTATGCATCTTACACGTGAGATGACCTGAAATTTCTGTTCTTAGACCAGACGGTAAACAAATATCTCGTCGACATGGAGATCGTGGAACCAATTTGTGGAGCGCCGATCCACCATGTGGAACCAGTCGACCCTTTTGAGTTTTAATTAAGTCCACAGATTTGATGCTTACTGCAGACCCTGTAGGAGGCCTGTAGGAGACCTGTAGGAGACCCTGTATAGCCGGAATTTTGAAACTCCGATACGATGCCGCGGTCTGCACTTCCAGATTGGTGCAGTATGCGAAACCGACAGTCGTGCTCTCGGTTGACCGTGTTTCTCCATTCATAGGGCTGCTTGCCACATGTGTGCATGATGTGTCAGACGACGGAAGGTCAACGAAACTCATTAGGAGCGCTTTTGAACTACCTCACGATTCTAGACTATATCTGGTGCCCAGGTGCCCAGGTGGCCTTGTGGAATGGCTGATCACATATCACATATTATTTAAATCTAATGACACCACGACTTCATCGGGCTCGTGACGCTATCGCTGCGTGAGAATTTATCATTAAATGCTCCTGCAAACATCCATCAGTTGGATCCACCGAGAATGTCAAACACATGCCGCAATTGAGCGATCCACATCAGGCTTAGGTGCTCTTCTTCTGGGCCTCGCGCTCCGCCTTGCGCAGAGCACGCTTGCGGATGCTTTCATGCATACCCTTGTTCTGGTCAACCACGAACTTGCCCATGACTCCAGTGACTGAGGTCAGGAACCAGGCCATGATACCGTGGCTCCAATACGGGGAAGAGCTGTACGCATAGGTCGAGGAGCCACCACTTCGGCCGATCTTAGACAGAACCGAGCGGACAAAGGCGCGAGGGGTAGGGATGGCGGCAGAGGCACGGCGGATCTTGGACATGGCGGAGGTGATCAGGTATGCCTGAACGAGCTCAACCTCGATACCGTGGGGAGCCAATTCGGAACCCAGAGAGGTGGACCACTGCTGCAGGAAGGCCTTGCTGCCGGAGTAAGTGGCCAGCAGAGGAGTGGGGAGCAGACCGCCAAAGGAGCCCATGGTCAGGATCAGACCGCGGCGACGTTGGATCATGCCGGGAACGAAGAGCTGGGTCACGCGCAGGGTGCCGGTGCAGTTGATCGTGATGATCTCGTTCATCTCAGCGGCGGGGGTCAAGGCGAAGGGAACGGGGATTGAGTGGCTCTGGCCGACATTGTTGACCAGGATGGAGACATCCAGACCGGAAACCAGAGAGCGCATGGCCTTGTAGTCTTCGTCGGCATTGCGAGAGAAGTCCATTGCGAGGATCTTGGTCTCGACCTTCGGGAACTGCTTGGTGATCTCTTCCGCCAGAGTGACGAGCTTTGATTCGGTACGGGACACCAGAACAATGTTGAACTTGGCACGCGCCAGCTGCAGCGCGAACTCCTTGCCCAGGCCATCCGAGGCACCGGTCACGACGGCCCAGCTACCAGGAGGACCGAAAGAGCGGAGCTAGAATGAAGTATATTAGTGTCAATCAAAAGTTAAGGAATTGGCGGGGTGTACATACCGGCTTGCCCGGAAGGACGAACAGACTGAGGAGCACGCGGACGAAGCTCCAGACCTTACAGGCGACAACGAGGCCACCAGTAGCAAGCAGAAGCAGAGCGCCGATAGCAGGAAGGCCCGACTCGATGTGAGCGGGCCATTGCGAGAGGCATTCGGTGTATTTGGAGATATCCATGGTGAGATGTTGGGGGTCTTTGAGGAGGGAAAAAAAAAGTTGGTACTGTTGGGGGTTGATCTACGCCAAGAACTCCAAATACCTCGGTCAGCTCCTTCACTCTTTATTCTTCACAGCTCCTATTTTCCTCTAAATCCTTTCAACCTTGCACAATGGATCAAGTCATCTCATATCTTCCTCCCTTCGAGGGCCTTCTGCCCAAGTGGCTCTTGTTTGTATGTTCTTCCTTGTATTTTTGGGTGGTAACCCCTCGCTCATCCCATTCAGGTCTCCGTTGTCTCCGCCGTCAACAGTCTGCAGGCCTACTGCTCCCCCGACTACACCTCCAAGCTCTATACCAATGGCGCCATAGTCGTTGAACCCTTGTCCGGCCGTGTCTTCGGCACCTGGACTTTCCTCTCCGCCGTGATTCGCTTTACCGCCGCCTACAACATTGACTCCCCTATCGCATACAACCTCGCTATCTGGACCTACGGCATTGCGCTGACACACTTCGTTGGAGAGCTTGTCTTCGGAAACGCTTCCCTCAAGGGACGCTTCCTTAGCCCGTTGATTGTCGCGTCCTCGTCTGTTGCTTGGATGTTGACTCAGCGCGAGTTTTACCTGGCTTAAACTGCCACAACAATGGGTGGTGTACCCCGGGGTTGCCTTCGCTCACGACTGTGAACCCAGCTCAGCACTTGATATGCTGGCTCAGAGGTTTAGAAGAAAAACACATGTACAATATCTTACGCAAAAGACATCTAATCGATTTTCGGGCAACCGTGATTCAAGTATATTTTTACAATTTTATATCTGCATCCGTGAGAGATTTGGTGGGTTATGCAATACTATTCATAAGACTCCCTGTCCATGCTCCGGAAGAAGAAAAACAACTCTACTCCATCTTCTTGCGGTACAACTCACCTCCGCAGCCACGGAGTCGAGCAGCAGCCTGCTCGGGCGTGATATCACGCTGAGGCTCAGCCATCAGCTCATAGCCGACCAGGAACTTGCGAACAGTAGCGCTGCGCAGAAGAGGCGGGTAGAAGTGCAGGTGCAGGTAAGAAGCATCCACTTCTTCTTGAGTACCGTCCAGAGGAGCCTGGTGGATACCCATGCTGTAGGGGAAGTGAGTCTCGAAGAGATTGTCGTAGCGGCGGGTGATCTCGGCAATGGCCTCGGCGAGGAGGGTTCTATCGGCATCAGATAGATCAACAAGAGCGCGCTTGTGTGTGCGGCTGATGATCATGGTCTCAAAGGGCCAGGTAGCCCACCACGGGCAGACGACGACGAAGCCCTCGTTTTCAAAGACCACACGGTCCTGCTTACGGCTCTCAAGCTCTGCGTAGTCCTCCAGCAGGTGGCTACCACCGTGCTCGCTGCGGTAGCGGCGCAGCTGCTCGAGCTCGGCGGCAGGCTCCTCGGGCAGAGTGCTGGTGGTCCAAACCTGACCGTGAGGGTGAGGGTTGGAGCAGCCCATAGCGGCACCCTTGTTCTCAAAGATCTGCATGTAGCGGTACTGCTCCTTGGGCTTGGAAATGTTGCCGTGGTGGTTGACCGGCTGGACGTGGGTGGGCGGCGCAAGCTTTGCCAAGGGAGAAGTTGGCGACAGATGAGCGGCATAGATCTCAGTCCAGGCATTGATCACGGGAACGATCTCAATAGGAGCCAAGTCGGCAAGCGTGAGGTTGTGAGCGGCAGAAAAGGTCAGGACGTAGCACTTGCCCGTCACGGGCTCGGCCTTCAAGAAGCGCTTTTCGATGTCTGAATTCGGTCAGTTTAGGATTGGTCGACGGTCGAGAGACGCGTACCATCATCATTGCTGTTGTCATAAGGAGCCTGCTCCTCCTTCACGGCGCTATAGTCGTTGACAAAGACAAAAGTGCTGTCGTACTTGGGGTTGGTGTCACCCTGGGCGCGCTCGTTGCCAGGGCACAAGTAGCACTTGGGATCATAGTCAGGAAGAGTAGTCTTCGAGGGACTCTCTTGAGCACCTCTGCAAAAAGAGCAAAATCAGTCAGGCAATGCCATTGTCGCACGATGGCAAGCAACTTACTGCCAAGGGCGCTTGGTTCGGTGGGGAGAGACGAGAATGTGCGAGCCACGCAGAGGGTTATATCTCCGGTGGGAGATGTCGTCAAGAACGTTCTCCATGGTCTAAAGAGAGAATTCCGAGTACCTTGTGGAAGAAAAAAGTGGGAGGGAAGAGGTAGAAAAACCCCGCCGGGGAAGGAGTCTGCCGCCCGGGCCCCCGCGGGGTCTCCATCAAAGACATTCAACATGACGCAGTCAGTAGTTTAGCTTCCTCGCTTAGGGCATAATTTATACCAATGGGTTCCTGGAACGCTAGAATATTCCATGTTATTACCGATGAGGTCTAAAGTAAGCTTTAGTATGCATCGAGTAGCGAATTGAATACGGTATAACGGGTCTTGGCGCCGATGTCATTTCTCTCGGTGAGCCGTAAAGGCATCGGCAACCCGGGGCCGGGGATATGGGGCTATGGGGTTACGGGGACACACACAAGAGTCCCGGATAAATTGGACTTGGCCATTTCGGAGACCCTGTCCAGATTACCCTTCCAGATTCACAATGTATACGAAGATAATGACATTTTATAGTTATACGAGTGACGTCATAGGCAGACTTTATCGGCCGCTCGATAAGAGATAACTCGTCTGGGCATCAATGCTTCAGCTCGTACTACCACACTCCACTCAGTACTGGTGATGGTGTTCATGTAAATGACGAACATGCACACCATAAGACCAGTTGACCAAGAGACAATTCAAGATCAAGACCAGCGTTGACAGCCTTTTTCTGGCTTCCTTGTAAGCTTCCGTTCGTAATCTCAATCAACCTTCCACCTTCCATCTTGATCCAACTTGCTGTTGTCCGACTTATATACGGCATACTACATACTCGCCGAACAATGAACACCGAAAGCTTCCCCGTCTCCGAGGGGAACCAGATCTCAAGGCTGGCAAATCTCCCAACCGAGGTGAGATAACGGCTCCTCGAGCACGGGATGATGGCTGATGTGTAGGAAAGCTGCTCGATCAGACAGTGTTAGAACTACCGGTTGAGCATATGGTCATGGCAATGTCTGTGTCTCGCCGCTTCAAGACCATAATCTCAAACAATTTGAATCTCATGCTTGACCGTGCCATGCAGGCTATCGAGGAGGACCGCTTAAAGGTCATGCTTACATTTGCACCGCCTGCTTTTGCTCAAGGATTTGTCCTTTGCAGAAATATGACTACCAATAAGATGGATGGATATGTCACTGCATACTCCTCTTTCTCCCAGCAGGGGGTTTTTGGGCCCAACCAAGGCCCTCCGAGAGAGACATCTAGTGAGTCTCTGCACAAGTGACAGAGAAAGATATCAGACTAACACAGAAACTTTAAGCAGTGTGCAAAAACTTCCTCCAGGTGGTCGATATTGATGACGACGAGGCATTCACTCAGGTTAAAGTCTCCATTCAGATAGCCTGGATGCCTAGCTTGTCCTGGTTCACAAACCGAACGTTGCTTCTTGACAGCACCATTCGCCTTTCACACGACTGGCTTGATCAAGGAACTGGCGAGCTTCTCTGGCTGGATGATGCAAAGTCGTTTGGCTTGCACCTGCAGTCTCATCCTAAACAAGTGCCTAATCCTGCTGAAGGGACTTCCTATTACGATCTCGAGGTGGATGGTAAACGCAACCCCCAATATCAAGCTGAAATAAAGCTTACATTATAGGACTGCATATACAAGCCAACAGATTCCTTGCCGCCGTGAAAGATGCGGAGCGTAAAGAGGAAGAGGAAACGGTACGTAGTCTTACTAACTTCTGCATACTGAATTTCGTTGACTGTTGTCGATAGCATCTTACCTTGACTCAGAACTCCAGATTCAGCTTGATCTGGTAAGCAAAGATCATCGATGCAAGCTCTCTACCAGGGCCTATCTGTGCCTTGGGAAGCGAGGCTGGCACTCGAGACGCAGAGGCTATGAGGATGCAGGATAATAGACTGGCGTAAACCTAAGGGAAACAACTGGCGAAACTAAGCCATTGGTGATATGCTGTTTATAATCTTATAATGCGAATTAATGAAAAGGCCAGCCTCATCTCAAGTTCAAAGTTATGCACAACACCTTAGAATGTGGGAAATCACTCTGCCGCTGGGCTGTCAGATTTATGTGGGTCATGTCGTGTAGAGCGCAAGCAAGCACCTGAGACTGGAGCGAGAATACATCAGCCCAGGAACCCTTGTGCCAATTAGCCCGCACCTTAGTGAGAATGAAGTAGATGAATGTATCTTCGGCAATTCCAAGACTAGGTACCTTGTCAATTTAAAAACATTAAAACATTAAAACAAAAAAAAACCTCATCTCGGGAAGCCGTGTATTTCAACGGGGTGGCGCTCGGGCCGGGAACGTGGAAAGGAGTCAAACACGACTCCACTAAAAAATCTGAGGGTGGCGGGCCACTCCACTCTGTTTCGGCACTGCAAGCCGATTCTACCTGAATGCACTAATCACTGCACAGAGTTGACACGGTGCCTGAAAAATGGCTAACCCTGGTAGGAAAATGCCGAGGCTACCGGTTATCAGAGTGGGGCTCGATTTTTGAGATTATTCTTCGTTTCGCCCTAATAGTGTCGATGATTCCCATTTTTTAAATCTTGATCGATCGCGATCTGCATTTGTTAATCTCAGGGCGAAGCCGAAGCACTTTTGATTGATCAATTTGATCCCATCATCTTTCTCAATACCTAGCTATCTCAGTGCTAGGCTTGGTTGATCATGGCAGCACTGGGTGCTGGAGGCGAGTCCTCGTTCCCATCCAAGATCCCTTTTTGGCGTCTGATCTTTGACCAAAAGGTCATCACACAGGATGTCGCACAACATCCATACCCCGGCTCAGGCACTGAGGAAGATCCATATGCGGTGACATGGATCCCAAATGACCCTCGCAATCCCATGAACTTTCGCAACACCACGAAATGGGCCATCACAATTCTGGTCTCATTCATCACATTAGCTGTAGCGCTGGTATCCTCTGCATACTCGGGTGGAATGCGCCAGATTATCGCTCAGTTCGGTGTCGAAGAAGAGATCGTCATCCTGGGAGTCTCTCTTTTCGTCCTTGGTTTCGCTATTGGACCCCTGATTTGGGCGCCGCTCAGTGAAATCTTCGGCCGTCGTCATATCTTCACTTTCAGTTACATGTTTTTGACAGCATTCAATGCAGGTGCTGCTGGCTCGCAAAACATTCAAACTCTTATCATTCTTCGATTCCTCGCAGGCTGTTTTGGATCTTCGCCTTTTGGCAATGCAGGTGGCACCATTGCCGATATGTTCCCTGCTTCTCAGCGTGGTATTGCAGTGAGCTTATTCGCTGCGGCGCCTTTCCTGGGCCCTACTATTGGCCCTATTATTGGAGGATTCCTTGCCACCGGAGCTGGGTGGCGCTGGGTGGAAGGCTTCCTCGCTGCATTCTCAGGTGTTCTTTGGCTATGCGTGATCTTCTTGCTGCCAGAGACCTATGCCCCGGTTTTGCTGCGTCGACGAGCGGCCAAGCTGTCTGAGTTGACCGGAAAGGTCTACCGCAGTAAGCTTGATATCGAGCGCGGCCCTGCTCCTATGAGCAGGACTTTGAAGACGGCCCTTTCGCGACCCTGGATCTTGCTATTTCGCGAGCCTATCGTCTTGCTGTTCTCCATCTATATGTCGATTATCTATGGAACCCTCTACATGCTTTTCGCGGCCTATCCCATCGTCTTCCAAGAGGTTCGTGGATGGAGTGAGGGTGTGGGTGGTCTTGCGTTCTTGGGTATCTTGGTCGGCATGGTTCTCGCTGTGATTTACACCTTCCCAGAGAACATGCGCTACGCAAAGAAGTGCAGCGAGACCACCGATCGTCTTGCTCCGGAGCTTCGACTGCCTCCGAGTATGGTTGGAGGTATTGCCCTGCCCATCGGCCTCTTCTGGTTTGCTTGGACAAACTCCCCGAGCATCCATTGGATGGCATCGGTTGCTGCTGGTGCCCCATTCGGATTCGGCATGGTTCTCATCTTCCTGAGTGTTTTCAACTATCTCATTGATTCATACACCATCTATGCTGCCTCGGTATTGGCAGCCAACTCTGCACTCCGCTCCCTGTTTGGCATGGCATTCCCTCTTTTCACGACATACATGTATGAAAACCTAGGCATTCACTGGGCGTCTTCTATCCCGGCCTTCCTATCGGCTCTCTGTGTGCCATTGCCGTTCATCTTCTACAAGTACGGCGCTCAGATTCGCCAACGTTGCACCTATGCGGCTGAGGCTGACGCGTTTATGCGCCGACTCGCTGAAAAGAACCAGGCCGAGATTCGGAGAGAAGAGGTGGAGGAGAAGACCGAAATTGAGGACGAGGTAGATGATACCAGCGACAGCGAGGTCTTATCAACTGTCCCTTCGCGGGGAACTATTGCACGCTTTGCCTCAAAAGCATCTCGTCAATCAGAAAAGTCGATGCATCGCGTCGCTACTGCGACTCAGTACGAGGAAAACCCATATGACCTGGATTTGGTTAATACTCGCCAGTCTGCCATCAGTCGGAAGGAATGAGAGATCAATGCCAGGATATGACGATCTACTCGAATGAAAATCGACTGATTTACTGATACCCGTCTAAAGTACGGGTCATTCCCGGCTAGATGAAGGCTGATCATTCTCCGCTTCAAGCCAGCCAGTCACAAGTCGGCCCTTCGGTCCGTCAATATAATTTTGTTGACTCGAAGTCAGAGCCTCTTTCCTGGTGCATCATCCCACAGGGACCATTGGATGTCCTATCAGGCTCAGTCCGAGCGTGTGAAAGATTGATCTTGATGATGATGAGCTTCTTGACTCTATGTCAATTTGAAACAACGTGAATAACCTGATCTACACATCCTCAACGCTACACGAGAGCACACTCATGATGAAGGAATCCGCATACTAGCAAATTACGTGAGAATTGCCCCAACATACCTCTCAGCAGCCCTGATCGTTTGGACCTGCTCTTTGCATATAGCGATTTTCATACATAATTTAATATCTAATTCTTCGATATTTTATTTCAGTTTCTTTGATAGATGAAAGTAAATATCTGCAGCAGAAAAAAAGCAAAAATGTTACTCACAAGTAGCTGCATGTATTATGTAAATGGTAGTCCGAGAGGAATTATCTGCACTAAAAGCAAGATAGAACTATACTAATCCTTCAGAGATTCTGACGCCACCAAGAGGCCGGTAAAGCCCCATTCATCCTCAGAGACGAAATAAAATCAAATCTCTTCTGACCAGGATTCTCAATAGGAGCAATAGTATTACCAAGCATCAGGAAAACCTCCCCTTGGCCCTTGTACTCAGGCCATTTCGGAAGTCCATCACCATTGGGATTCCCAGTTTTGGCAAAATTGGTCCAATATTTCCTCATCTTCTCGGAAAAGGCCTCATCACTAGCCGTCGGCGACTCGGACGAAGAGAAGCTGGGAACGAGGTTTCCGAAAACAAAATTTATTTCTGCGGTGTGGATGGCCACTGGTGAGTATGGAGAGGTGTAGTTGTAGTAATACGCGTAAACGTCCTGACTGCTTGAGCGCGCCTGTCTGTCGAGGGCTTCGAAGGTTTGTTCGCTAATGACTAGGTCGCCGGTGAGGGTGTAGGCGGAGTTGGTGGCTTGTGGTTCTGTGTCGCCTGGGTAGAGCTTGAAAAATTCGGACGAGTGTTCTGTGAACATTGCTTCGGCTGCCTCACGATACTGGGCGGAGGTATTGTGAGGCAGAGCTCGTGTATCGAATATAAGATCTTCGCGTGCGTTGAAACCGCCCAAGAGGGGGATTTGTTGAGTTTGAGCAAGGTCGAATATCTCCGCTGGCTCTTTAGGCACCACGAACTTGTCCGTGTTTGGTGCGAAGGCTGTGAAGCCGGGGTCGAGGCTAGGATTCCATAGTGCCGCATTGACGACGGTGTCGACAGGGAGGGCACGTAGCTGGGCTATCGAAGAGACATTCAACTTCTTCTTGAAAGACTTGCCCTTGGTTCGAGCGTGGGAGAATGTCTCAATCGATCCATGCTCGCTATCCCAGTAGGCTCCACTTTCGATGATTGCCTTCTGAAAAAGTCCATCAGATAGCGGAGAGGCCATAAGCAGGCCAACCGAGTGCGCCCCGGCCGATTGGCCCCAAATAGTGATGTTGTCGGGATCACCCCCAAAGGCGGCAATGTTCTTCTTCACCCAGCGGATGGCAGCTAATTGATCTTGGAGGCCGAAGTTACCGGACATGGTGCCTTCTGCATCGAGTTCCGGGAGGGCCAGGTATCCCAGCACTCCAAGGCGATAGTTGAAAGAAACCACTACTACACCTTCGCGAGCGAGAGCTGAGCCATCGTAGGTGGCCATGGCGGAGGTACCGAACTCGAAGCCACCTCCGTAAATCCAAATCATCGTGGGTATCTTCTCTGATGTGCTATTTGCACGCGTCCATACATTAACGGTCAGACAGTCTTCGCTTGGAGCTGTCAACGGAGATTCGCCCATGTAATTGCCCGCCAGAGCCCCAGAGCAGCTTGACCCATAGACAGTGGCATTATAGGTACCCTCGAAAGCGAGTTCTGGCTGTGGAGACTTCCAACGATTCTCTCCAACAGGAGAAGCTGCAAAGGGAATCCCCTTGAATGATCGGACCCCGGTCTGATCGGGCGGGTTCCCTTGCACGCGACCACTGCTGATCTCAACAATTGAACTGATAGGCGAAGCAATGGCAGAAACTGCCAAGCCTGCAAATAGTGACACGGTAAGCCTCATTGCCCCTTGATTTTGGGCTTAAGGTAGTTTAAGTTGACGGAAAAGATGGGTCTGAAGTCTGAGAGATACACTTTGCAGACTCGGAATCCGATTTCAAGGTTCGTGGTACGATTGAAGTGCTTTAGAAACCATCGAGCTTCTTCATATATGCTGACTCTATATCATTGTGGGGCTTACGCTTCGTGTCGTTTAGTCCCTTTTGCGGGACGTGAACTATATTGCGGGACACCTGCACTAGGCCGTATAATGTATCTCAGCCCTTCCCCCCGCTAAGCTCAAAACCCAGGGTAGAAGCGCTATGTTACAACTCCTATCTCACCAACAATTGGTTATTTAGGATGTTTCAAGTATTGCTATGCGTTCTGTATTCATGAATTTGCCACTTAAAGTAATTCTAAGTTACTAGACAATGCAGAGTGTGTTGCATCTTAGACATATTTATTTTGTCGCTGCAGCCACTTGGGCAGGGGAATTTTCGGTAATTGATAGATATATTATATCAGTTACATAATTACTACCAGATCACGATGTCTTGTTTATGATAATAATTGATAGCTCTAGGAAAAATCGATTGAAATCTATCTACAGTTATTGAGCTGTAAAGTGTGTTTTGTATGGAATTAGGGATAGCGGCGAAGGGACGAAATACGTTGAGCTTCGCCACGTTGCGGAATCGCTTTGCAGCCTGACTCAGGCTCGAGTGATGAGTGGATCCCAGGGAATGCAAGATCGAGAGTTTGGGAATATTTGTCGACGCTTGGTGTCGAGGTGGGAGAGTATAAGAAGTCAAGCACTTGAGGGTAAATAGTCGAGTAGCATAGTATTGCGCCAAGCCTTTTGAATGCACCCCAACATCCCCCATGCAGCTTATGCAGACAATGTCAAATATTCCAGACAGTTGGACAAAGATGCAGGCGTACACAGTTCATTCAAAAGTCAACAGAATTCAAAACAAACATTCCGATAATGGACGCACGGAGATGGAGGCCGCCGGCAACCTTGGAAATTCATGATCACTCATCAACCCCACAGCCTCGGTCCGTCCCCAACTCCACCCGAGGGCCACCTACTGTTATATACCCAACCCCAGACGCAGGCTGATCACCTCATCGTTTGATTCAGCGTTATTACACCATGTCTGGAAAGATTGACGCGTTCGTCGATTGTGGTATGCCCCCTCGAAGACTCGGCTTGCCTGCAGGCCTTATGTCGATTCGGCATGTGGCGGATGGCTGATAGATTTAGTCTCGCCCTACTCGTACTATGCGACCCTCTATTTGAGGAAAAACCGGAAGGCGCTAGAGTCGCACGGCGTGGAGGTTGAGTGAGCGTCTCCGTCGAGTCTTCGAATGTTGTGGTATTGTACTAATCCTGGAAGATTCCATCCTGTGTTCTTAGGGGGCATCAATGTTGGCTCTGGTAAGTGACATACATGATACATTTATGGAAATTGCTCTCATGCAACCAGGAAATAAACCACCATGGACCTTACCCGCCAAAGCGAACTATTCCAAGTTCGACTCCGAGCGCGCATGCAAATACTTCGGCGTGCCCCCGATCAAAACCCCGGATTTCTTCCCTATCCTCTCAATCATGGTATGCATCCCAGGTATCTTTAGATCAACCTAAGCTCACAACCAAGCCCCAACGCTGTATGATCTATATCAAGCGCACCTACTCACAGGAGCGATTTGAAACCACCTTCCTCTCGTTATGGGAGTGGATGTACCACAAGAACATCGACATCAGCAAGCCCGAGCACTTGGCCGAGCTGCTCAAGTCTCACAACTACTCAGATCAGGAAATCAAGGCGATCCTAGGCGCGGCACAGAGCCCTGAGTACAAGGAGGCTTTGACAGCCAATACGCAAAAAGCGTTGGATCAAGGTGCGTATGGGGCGCCATGGTTCTGGGTGAAGAATCAGTATGGCAAGGAGGAGCCTTTCTTTGGAAGTGATCGGTGAGTCTGTTCATTGACGTGGAGTGGAGTGGAGCTAATCTGATGCAGGTTCGCATTTATGTGGCAGTATCTGGGTCTGCCTTTCCAAGACGTCACTATTGTTGAAAATGCCGGGAAATCCCGGCTATAGAGGATTCTGGAAATGTATTTTGGAAGGAATGCTAGGATTTTATGGATCAAATGAGCCCAGTGACCAGATTGAAGATCCGGAGACGACAAAGGCCCGCGCGGTCCGCACGATCCGCACGTCCCGCGTAGCATTCTTCATCTCGGCCTCGGCTTCAGTGAGTCACTGCTTGACAAAGTCGATCCGAAGGCCGATGTCGATAGTAAAATCATTGAGTCCAGCTAGTATAAGGCTATAGAAATTGCCTGTCCTTGAAGGATGTAACTGTATGCAATCCGAAATCCGGCTAAATACTAGGCCCCCCAATTGATATCGTGCTACCCCACGCTGCCCCACGTTGAAGCTTGAACTTCACCTACGCATTCCGCTCTTGACTATTTCTCAATTACATCTATCTTCATCTATAAACCATGTCTGGAAATCGCGTCGCCTGGATTGGCCTCGGCAATATCGGCCGTGTAAGTTATACCTGATATTACCCCGGGATGCACCTCCACCTCCACCTCCAACACCATTCTTCCCACCACTTCCAGACTCAAAGACCCAAGACTCAAAAACCTAGAGCTAACAAAGACTAGGGCTTGAGCGCCAACATCGCCAGAAAGGGTCCCCAATCAAGCCTGATCCTGTACAACCGCACCACCGCCCGCGCGACCACTCTCGCCGCAACCCTCGACGGCAAAGCAACAGTCGCCAATACGATCCCCGAAGCCGTACAGAACGCCGACGTCATCTTCATCTGTGTCGGCGACGACCCCGCCCTTGAAGAAGTGATCGCCGGCACACTTTCTGATAACATCGACCTGTCATCTAAGACCTTCGTCGACTGCTCGACTGTTCACCCTGATACCTCTCGCCGTGCCGAGGCCGCCTACATTGCCCGTGGAGCCGGCTTCGTCGCGTGTCCTGTTTTCGGCGCGCCTAACATGGCGGACATGGGACAGATGATTGTTCTGCCAGCTGGTAAGCAGGCTTCTATTGCCAAGGTGAAGCCTTTCTTCGAGGGTGTCATTGCCAAGGCGACGATTGATCTATCTGAGGGGACGGGTGCGGATATCGATGTCGGACGCGCTTCGACTATGAAGGTGTTGGGTAATACCTTCATCTTGAACACTGTTGGTGTTCTTGCTGAGACTCTTACTGCCGCTGAGGCTACGGGTCTTGGCACTGGGCCGATGAAGCAGTGGTTGGATCTGTTTGCTCCCGGGCCATTTGCTAAATATGCGGAGCGTATGATTACTGGTGATTACTACCAACGCGAGGAGCCGCTGTTTGCTGTTGATCTGGCACGGAAGGATCTGAGACATGCGTCGAACTTGGCCAAGGAGGGTGGCCAGCACATGCGTAACGTTGAAGTTACGGATGGATTCTTGCAGGATGTCAAAGCTGAGCAGGGTGCCAAGGGTGATATTGCAGCTGTCTATGGAGCGGCGAGAAAGGCTGCTGGGATGAAGTTTGGCAACCAATAAATTTTCCATTCGAGATGTGGCGATTGGTTTCTTACTTACAAAAATTTGGAAGAATGTTTCATGATGTGAAGATTGAATTGTATTATGGTTGATTATAACCATTTCGATCCATATTAGATCCTGTCTCCAATTAAGAGATCAAGCAAAGAGATGAGTGTTCAATATACACATGGGGATTCATAACTAAAAAATACATAACGCCAATGGCCTGCCGGCCTTTTGGTCTGGATATCAAAATTCCAAGAGGATCTAGTCCTCCTGGATCTCAGCACCCTCGTGCTGCTGCTGCTCACCAGCACCCTCCTTGGGCTCGTGGGTAGAGTGGAGGTCAGCCACGATGCCCTCGGGGGCAACCCAGCTGGCGGACTTCCAGGGCTTGACGTGGAGGACGTACATGGTGTCGACCTCCTCAAGAGTACGGCCCTGGGTCTCGTTGACGAAGAAGAAGACAACGAAGATAGCAGCGAAGCAGCAGCCAGCGAAGACGTAACCGTAGCGGAAGTCGATGGCGCTGTTGATGAAGGGGGTGAAGAAGGAGATGAGGAAGTTCCAGGTCCAGTTGGCGGCGGTAGCAACTCCCATGCAGGTAGCACGGTAGCGGAAGGGGTACATCTCACCACAGATGGCCCAGACGATGGGTCCCCAGGTGGAGGCAAAGCCGACAATGAAGAAGCAAGTGAAAACAATCATGGTCACACCGGCGGCGTGGTCGGTAGGGTTGGAGTGCAGGATCTCGTGACCGACGGAGGCCCAGATCAAGAAGCAGATGAACATCCAGGCAGCACCGGCCATCAGGCACTTACGGCGACCGTAGTTCTCGACAATGTACAGGCCGGGAAGAGTCATACCGAAGTTGACAGCGCCGAGAATGATCTGGGTGACGTAGGAATCGCTGAGACCAACACCCTGGAAGATGGAGGTTCCGTAGTAGAAGATGAAGTTGGCACCGGTCAGCTGCTGCAGAGACTGGAGAGCAATTCCGAGCATGAGGCGGTAGAACATGCGGGGACCAGTGACAGCCTCGTGCCAGGGGACGCTGCCAGCGGCCTTCTCCTCATCGAGCTTCTGCTTCATGTCGGACATCTCCTGGGCAACAACACGGTGGTTGGTGGGGACACCGTACAGCTTGGACATAACATTACGGGCCTCCTCAACACGGCCGTGGCGGTAGGCGTAACGGGGGGATTCGGGCAGGAAGAGAGTACCAATACCCAGGATAAGAGGCCAGGCGAAGCCAATGCCCATGGTGATGCGCCACGAAGCAGCGGAATCAATGCGCTGGGTACCGAAGTTGACGATGTAGGAGATGAAGATACCGAAGGCGACGAACAGCTGGAAAGCACTAACCATGGCACCACGGACCTGACGGGGAGCGGACTCGGACTGGTACATGGGGACGACGCTGGAAAGAGCACCAACACCAAGACCGGCGACCCAACGACCGAGGGCAATCTGGTACCACTTGTCGGTAGTGGCGATTTGAACGATGATACCGACAATGTGGAGCAGAGCCCAGAAGGAGATGGAGAGCTTGCGGCCGATTCTGTCGGCAATGGGGGCCGCCACGAGGGCACCGATCATGGTACCGATAGACAGAAGACCGACAATAAGACCATTACGGACGTTGCTGAAGGCGTATTCCCCGGTAGCAGCATTGTACTCGGCGAAACGCATCTTGAAATCGGACATGGTGGTGAAACCGGAGATTTGACCTGTGGAGACCAATTAGAATCGACATCTCATCGTTCTAGATCTGTAAGTGGAACCATACCAGTAGAGTAACCGAAGATGAAGCCACCCATGGAGACACACAGACCCAGGATGAAGGAGCGCCATGTCAAGTACTTGACCGGGCTATCATCGATGGTCAGGTTATCCTTCTCGGCACTGGTTGAGTCGGCACGAGAAGGAGTAGGAGCCTGGGAGGAGAACCGGGACTCCTCCGCAGTAGGCTTCTTCAAGCTGGAGATAAAGTTGGAGACACCCATGATGAATAAACTCCAAGTGGAGAATACTTCTGAGGGTCCAAATAGATTAAAGAAGAGGGAATGGAGGAAGGAAAGAAAAAAAGCTGGAGGGAAGGGGGGGAGACGAGGCAAATAAATAGACCATGACAACGGATTCGGATTCGGTCGTCTCCCCTTGGGGTACCATGGCAGGCAAAATGGGGGCCCGGATCTCGCGTCCCACGTTTGCGCCGGGATTGGGTGGAGGAAATTTCGAATTACTCCATAACTCCATGGGCACGGCAGTCCCTCTCCGTGGAGGGTTCCTGGGGTGGAGCACCAAAAGGGTGGAGAAGAGGAATTTGACGACGGAAATGGGGGGGGATGTCCACGTGAGGTCCTTCCAGGCATTGTCTACAGACTAGATCTGGTTATTTGTGTGCTGTGTTAGGTTCGATCGTCCCTGCCAAGGGCGGTCTTTGCATTGTTTGCTTGTTGACTCTCCGCCTGGATGCAGTGGTATGTTCTACAGGGAACATTCCAGGTGGCGGGCATCCGTGATCGGTGGAATGTGTACACAATCCGATGCTCTCTCAGCAAGGGGGGGGAATGCCGAGCATTGCCACTGTTCTAGAAACCTGCGAAATGCAGTTTAGGGCCACTGGGTCACCGTCCTGGAAACGGCGAATGAAAGGCATGTTCCTGACAACGGACGCTTTCCGTGGTTGGACGCAGGTATAGTACGGCTAAATGTGTTAGCTAAAGTGTCGTCACGATGAGCACCTGACGAGCGCCATTTTCCGAGTTTTACTTGATCGAGTCGGCTAACGGTAGGAGGTATCAGCCGTACTGAAACGAGTGGGCTGACTATCCATTGAAGTGAGAGAATTCGACTCTACTGTAGAAAATCTCTGTTTACTCAGTGGGGCGGCCGTGGGTTCTTCAACAGGAACGAGGGCCGGCGCACGAGCCGGTCTTAGGCAATGGATCTTCACAAAGCTTGGTAGGCTCTACGCATGCATTCAACCCTGCAAAAAGGGCGTCATCCTGTCCTGGGTTCAGGTCTTGTTATATAGAATCTCGCCGAGCACGTTCCAGTATGGAGGATGTCAAAGAAGTTCACCGCAGCACTGATAAGAGCTTTCAAAGTGGGCAGAGCTGGGAGGGAAGCTGGTCGGACTAGAGTCAGACCCACTATCGGTGAGCCTTCGGACGACTCCCGCGCAGAGAATTCCGATCCGTTGAGCCTGCCGTGGGCTCCACCGTGCCCAAATCGGCACACCGAGTCCAGCTGCGGCTGTCCCGACTCCGACCGACTCGGCATCGATCCCGTATTGACCACCTGGTGACAGCTGCATGTCACCGTGATCGACCTTGATCACAATCGCATTGACATGATATTATACTTGACCAGCTATGGGCTAGACCTATCTCTTACTCCCTATATACACTCAACAGCGCCTGAGAAAAATCCAGCTGAAGAGCAATCTCGGCATCCCGAAGATTTCAGCCCCCACTCAGCCCAAGCCTCTTCCGTGATCTGCGGTGAACTCACTTGGAAATTTCGGTGCAAATTTAGGATTTGAAAATAAATAAATCATCAAAAAGGGGGTCGCGACAAGTGCTAACGCTCCTTCCTTCCTAGGTGATATCCAATCAAAATCTGATGTGACCTTATCTCGCTAGCGATCTAGAGATTTTCTGGCCGCCGGTGACTGTGCGCAGTCACGGAAGGTCTTGCGTCGGCTGACTTGCTGTTCAAGGCTGACAGCCCTGATCAATGCCGCTCGAGGCTCTATGTACTTAGCTGGTCATTGCGATAGCATCATCAATACTGTAGTCTTCTACGTCGTTGCCCAGAAATCTCAAAGTCTATTTAATTGCTCGATTTTTCCGATAAAATTAGTTCCACAAATTGGATGAGACACTGCAGCCACTTCCAAGGTTGTCCGCCATTCTCCCGAGCTTGGAAGGTCTAGACAACCGTGAAACGCAGCCCTTTTGAGAAAGCGGATCCCTTTCTGAGGAATGTGTACTTTACAAGAGACTGGCCCACGGTGACCTCATTCCCACTAACTCTGTAGACAGCTCAATACCGTGTTACAACCAGGCATCATTAGCTGTAAGCCACAAAGCGAGGCGCTTCTCCTGCAATATAGGCCTCTAGGGCTTCGTGACTTTGGCGCTGAACCGATACCTCTCAGAGCCATACGGTATTTGCAGGACGCTAATGCATGTTGATGGCAACACGGATGGGGTGACTGTGTCTTAGCGCTGGTGCAGCTAGGGCGTCGAGTTTCTTGGAGATAAGTGACAAGCCAGAGATCGTTTCAGGTTAGTGTCCGGCCAAGTCCTGGATATCGTGATAGGGCTTCGGTGCTTCTGTACATTCCCTCAAAGACCGGTGCTGGAAGATTCTTGTCATTACGCTATGCCCTTGTCGACCTGAGAGATGAAGGCATGTGGCGTTTGGATCCAACTACGACGGACGCCATGACAGTGAAACCCCTACAAAAAGAAATACTATAGAAACAAAGGTAGGTGTCATTCTTCTAGACTATCAAGACTGGAGCGTCCACGAGTTCTGGGTCATGGAGCATTTGAGAAGAGGAGGCCAGAAAAGTAATTATCCAGACGCCGATGGAAGGTCAACTTTGGAGGGATCGAGCTAGGACTTCTCATCTGTCGAGTTCCATCCACGTCACATCGCTACTCCACTCTTCACGCAGTGAGAAAGTTCCTCCAGGTCCCCAGTCCCTTGGGATACTCCGTACTCTTCCCCGCTCCTTTTGCCTACCCCGTGTCCTACCGATCACACAAAGCCTCAAACTCCCCAACAATAAATTATGTCAGCAATGTGAGGGTCCCGACATAGCTGACTGGGCCAATGGACCTGTCGCCGACAATGTCGATCCCGAGATAATCAGGCCCCCGTCTCGCCTTTACTTGCCTTCCCAAAGAGGAATAGCTCGATTGTGCATCGTTCCTAAGTCATACAGTGTACGGTGTGCCCATGGGCGTATCCTAAATATTCAGCTTTATCTTCCCGCACACCAGGTTGCTTGTCTATCATGATCCCATCGTCATCATCGTCAGGGTCAGTAAAATCACCCATTGAACCCACGAGAACCCCCCTCTGGCCCCATGCACCATCAGCCAGTACTGTGGTCCCTAAATTCTCTTCTGCTATGTCTCCTCAGCCAACCAAGATTTCTGGTGCGGAGAATGGTGGTAAGGGCAATGATCACGGACACCATCCAGAGGGTTACGGCCAGTCTGAGGGTCATGGCCAAAAAACCGGCGAGGACAGCTGTGAAAAGCGGGTCTGGCCCAGGCTCTCGTTGACACGGCAGTGGCAGTGGCAGTGGCTCTTCAGACGAGGACCATTATGGACTGGTGAATGGGGACACAGAAATGACAATGGCGGCGGTAGTGGCAGCGGTTTAATTACGACTAGAGTAAAAAGGGTGAATGCCCATCTGGCAGAGGAAGAATGGTACCACATATGTATGGATGCATATGGAGTGATCTAGTTTCGAAGTCTTCAGCTGGGCATCCCACAATCTGGGTTGACAAAGTAGTGGGCTCATTGAAGTATGTACAAATTACATAGGTGGAATATATAAGTCTACGTTACTTGCCCAGGTATCGACATGCTGCATGCTTGAAGCAGGTCCAGTTGATACTTTCCTGGTGACCGAGGAAGACTTCGTGATGGTGACCCGCCGTCAACTTCTCATCGCAGACGGACAAGACTAGGAAGGGATACGGAACATTGTCGCCGAAGTATGGGCGCGACTGTCCTATCCCGATCAAGAGAAGAGACTAATCGCCGATATTGCCCCAAAGGTCAGCTCAAGGGGCCGCTTCACAATTGACGACGCCGGAGGAACTGAAGAAGTTCGCCGACATACTGACTGAGGATCATCGTCGCCCAAAGACCGGCCAAAGGTAAAAGAACTGGGTGTTCCCCACTCAGTTCCCCGCGACCAACCTACCTCCGACCACACCGACAAAACAGGTGACGGGGAAGGCAACAATCGCTGGTGCTCGACAAAGATACCGTGTCGAGAGGACTGGAGACTGTAGCCCGGCGCACTGGAAAAAGGCTTCACGATATTTGACGTAGCTGAAGTTGCAGCCAGAGCAGAAGCAGATGGCACAATGGCAGTCGAGGCCATGCACACTTCCTCCTATTCGCCGATGAAGATACTATCCAGGTACATCTCGAGGTGACCAGAGTTACAATCAAAAAGGAAGTACGGAGACATATACGTAGCTCCCGAATCCTCCATTATTGAGCAGGTCCGTAGTAATCCCTGAATACGAGTTCACCAATTCGGCAACAGCTGGTTTGAGCCCGCAAAGTAAAAGAGAGGTTAATATCGCATGTTACTCAGGTTGCCGATTCAAAGAGAGAAAGAGTGAGAATACAAAAGTTCCCGAGCAGAGTAAATGAGTGACTTGGAAAGGCAAAAAGAGTCCATAATAAGGAAACTCCTTTTACTGACAGTCCATAGCTCGTTTCTGGATCAGGAATATCCGTGTTCAAGAGGGTTCTGACATCGCGATTCTTGAACATCATTGAACATCACAATTACAAGGAATGCTAGCAAGCATGGCGTCAGCTACGACCTTCTGCTTACTGAACGCGTAAGCTGGCGGCTGCGCTATTGATTTACAGGGCTGGAAGCATGCGTGGGTGTGACAACTCTGCATATCTTGAGCATGGGTTGAAATCAGCAGATACTCCACATTCGAATTAGAGTAAGAGAATTGCCCCTGGAAGAACAACTAAGCTAAGAGTTGAGGGTGGGGGCTGACGTAGAGGTAAAGAAGGAACAACACTGCATAGTGCAAAGGCATTGGCATGGTCCACAAATCTACAAATAGCTTCAAATCCACTAAAAACCAAGAAACAGCATCTGTATTGGTATATGCAATATCATCAAGTCAAGAACTTTTGGTCCTATTGACTGGGAGAGGCCCCCACAAATTGTAGAGTTTATCCAGAAAAGATGGAAGTCTGTGTCAAATGAACATGAAAAGAAAAACAAACGCCCGACACCATTGTGCACCCGGTATAGAAACCAATCGACGATGATTAAGAATGGGTCTCGTTTCGTCGCCAGCGGAGCCTTTAACGGCGCTGGGTCTTGCCCATACCACGCTTGCCGGAGAACTATAGAAATGTTAGAATTGGTCAAGGGATATGGTTGGGTAGGGTCACATACCAAGTGCTTGGGCAGGGAGGCGGTGGTGTGACGATCGGCCTCACCCTGTCGGGCCATGCGATTCATCTTCTTCTGGCCCAGCTTGAACATACGCTCAGCCTTGTCGCGCGCAGCGTCGCTGACAACACCGTCGTTACGACGATCAGTAGCCGCCACGCTGCGAGCACGGCTCTTAGCACGGGCAATAGACTGCTTGGGGTCGTCAAGGTCCATATCGTCATCGTTGGGCTCGTCACGGGTAAGAGCACGTCCGCGGACCTGGCTCTGGGAGCGTGCGCGGTCGCCAGCAGCATCCACATCGTAACCGGCTGAGTCCAGAGCGCGGTTCATCTCGGAGAGCTTCTTGGATTTGGCGCTGCGGGGGATTTGTGCGCGGTTCTTGAGCGACTTGCGCATCTTGGCTTCATTGCGCATCAACACGCGCTTCTCCCGGATGAGGTCAGCCTTCATGCGGACATCGGCATCCTCAGCATCCTCAATAGACTCGTCGGAGTCGTAGTATCCATCGGCCTCCAGTTTCTCTTCCTCCTCCTCGAGAGCAGCCAGCTTAGACTCAATGTCGGGGTCAACAAAGTCGTAGATGTTCTTGCCGTTCCACACCTCGGGGATCTTATCGTGATTCCACTCCTCGTTGCCCAATGTGTAGTCACGCTGCATATCGAAGCTGTAGACACCAGCTCCACCGTTTTCCTCCTCAAGGTCACGCTCGAGCTTGCGGCGGTTGGGGTCGTTCTTGTCGTACTTCTTGAGCTCCTTGACAGCCTCGGGGATAAAGGTCTCCCGCTGGGCGCCGCCCATGGGCTTGGCGACGTGGATACGGGCCAGGACATCACCCAGACGGCCACCAGGGGTGCCGGAAGCGTTGGTACCAGACTTGAGCTTCTGGGCCACACGCTCGGCGAGAAGCTTGTCGCAAGCAGCGTTCTTGACAGCAGTCACACCCTCGGTGGTAGTGCAAGAAGCCTCAAGCATCTCAACATCGCCAGAGTCCAGAATATCCTGCAGCTCCTTCCGCTGCTCGGGGTCCAGATCCTCGGGGCGACGCACATCGATCTTGTTGACAACAATGTAGACAATCTTGTTAGCGAACAGGGGCTTGATGCTGTGGAAAAGTTTGATCTGATCGGCAACAGAGTAACCGCACTGCTCGGAAAGATCCATGAAATACAAAATAGCAGAGCGCAAGTGAGCGACAGCAGTAATGGACTGCATCTCAATGGTGTTCATCTCCTCCAGAGGGTGGTCGAGAATACCGGGGGTATCGATAGCCTGGAAGCGCAGGTACTTGTAGTCGAAGTGACCGACGAACAAGGACTTGGTGGTGAAAGCATAGGGCTGAACATCGACATCGGCACGGGTGATGCTGCGCAAAAAGCTGGACTTTCCGACGTTGGGGTAACCGCAAATCAGGAGAGTACGGGTGTTGGGGTCAATCGATGGCAGACGACCCAAATGCTGGCGAACCTGCTCAAGATAGACGAGAGGGTCCTTCAGACGGCGACAGATGGTGGCCATGCGACCGAGCGCAGCGCGCTTAAGCTGCTTGCACTGGAACAGAGACTGGGCATACTTGATAAGACGGACGTAATCACGGGAAACTTGTTCGATAAGGTGCTTCGCAGTCGAGACCTGACCGAGGGCAATACGGAAATGGTCGGCATCATAGAGAGTGTTCATCAAATCCTTGTCTGGTGGATGTTAGACCCCACCCGAGTGGCATCAAGCTGCAGAAAAAAGACTTACGGAAAGGATGAATATCCTGCAGACGGGGGAAGCCATCGAGAATGGCCTGGAACTTGTCACAGAAGGTCTCCTGAGTAAATTTGACCTTACGAGTGTAGAAACCTGTGCAGCGAAATTTTCAGTCAGCGATCGTGCTTTATCGATAACCCCGATAAGTTTTTTTTTTCTCTCTTTTCTCGATGAAGGCTGCTACCCTCAACACAGCGACTGGGATATAGATAAAGGAGAAGTTGACGATACCTCTGATACGGGCGATCCTGAAACCGGCACGAATCTGGGTGGGCAGCTGGCGCTGAGTACGACTCAGGACAATGTCCAAGAATTCCTGGTTGGTGGGCACAGGCGCAATCTAGCGGTGAAACAGGTTAGAACAAAAGGTTCGCAGACCAAGGAAGAAATAGAGGGCACTCACATCCTTCCACGTAGTCTTCATGATGGGCCACAGGAGTCAAACAGAAAACTGGACTCTAAAGTGGAAAGGTTGTTGGGGGTCCCGAGTCGACGCTGGATTCTCCACGAAAAAATTGTTGCGGCCATTTTTCTGCCGGGCGGTGGCCTATCGCGGGGGCAAGATTGGTTCTCGCTGTTTGGTTTTTTTTGCAGCCGAAATAACCAACGTTTTATTCTATTTTCAATATCATTGGAAATAATTCTGGTATTAATGTTTTTTTTTTGGTGTATATTTTGGACGACCACACTTATGTACAGCGCATTCAAGTATAGTACATAAGTCAAGTCCGATTTGGGAAGCTCGAGCCTCTCCATAGTATCCTAATATCTTAAAAAGACTGGCCATCACTATCCCGCCCCCAGAAAAAAATCGAACTCCATTTTTCTCTCAAACCCGAGGACCAAAACCGATGACCGGACATGAACGTGCGTAACGGGGGACATCACAGAAAAGAAAATCATAAAGACGAAACGGCTGAACGACCACACATGGCCCACGCCGAGGAGATGCAAAGGAAGAATACATTCGAGCGCTTACTCCTGCTCAGGAGGGCCGAACTCCAAAACCTAATATTGGTCAGTTTTATTCAAGTATGAGACCGATGGAATGTTCGTACCATATCCACCCAGCCACCACCGCCGAATTGGCACTTGCTGGGGCCATGAGACTCGAAGCCAAAGGTTTCATAGAAGGGAATAAGGTGATCGTGGGCGATAATGGCAATCCGATCGGCAATCTGGGCGTCCCGAATGCGTTGGATATAAGATTTCATCAAGGTACTGCCAACCTGCTTGCCCTGGTGCTCAGGCAGTACGGCCAGCGAGTGAATGGCAATGGTACCGCCGCCCTCCTCATGGCCAACGGCTTGGCCGTCCTCAAGGGTCCAGCGTTCGTTTGACCAGTCCTTAGGAAGCTTCATGGAACCGTCTGTCACACAGGGTCCTGAAGTACGGGTGGCAATAATGTGTCCGACAAGCGTCGCGCGGGGCTGGGGCTTGTCGTTAAGGACGGGGAGAGTGAAAAGACCAAGGCTGAGCTCAGGGCATCTGGTCAAGCGGTAGATGAACTGATCGAGATAGGATTAGCAAGACGATATTCCGAGTTCATTAAGCATTGACGATCTTCAGCCGACCACGGCAGCTGCCGTGGTCGAGAATGTCGCATCAAATTTATGCCGTTTTCTTGGCAGGTGATGCCGTACCTTGTCACGCGAGCAACGCTCCTGCTCTGGGAACGCATTCTCCACATTCACACAATCTTCGACATTAGATGTGGATAGCAGCTGCACGAAGGGGTGCAATTCATCCAGCTTGGTACGGTGGTGAGTCGGGGGCCGACGGAACCAGTGTGGGAAGTCGTTGGCGTCCTCTTGGTCGACCGCGACGTAGTCCTCGTCCACCTCCTCCTCGTCGTCGTCACCGTCATCGAGCGGGAATCCATTGGACAGCGTGATGCCGGCGCGACTCATAATGCGAGAAAGCTCGCTGTTGCTGGGGTTTGAGAGGGGCATGTCCTCCGCATTGGACAGTGGCTTCAGCCCAGAGGTGTCAGGGCCGGGCATAGACTCCGAAGGACGCTCGCTGGGCTCAGACATGGTCGAGTCGAAGGATTTGAGGTATCCGAGGAAGAAATATAGGGTATGGATACGGCGAAATTGGAACGCTCTGGTGTGGGTAAGAGCGCGTTTCCACGGTGGGTTCGCAGGGGACCCGGCTCGGTGGCGTCAATGGAGATCGAGGAATGCAAATCTAGACCGGTGGGGGTTAGTTTCTATGCAAGTCACGGCCAGATCAAAGTCAAGCAAAACAGCTAGCCGATCAGAAATTGATTTCCTCTGGACTTTCGCTCCTAGCGACCGCGCCCTTGGCTTATAAGAATCTGCGACGCAGACTTGCGGGTAGTGTGCGCAAGGAGGGGCAGCGACCGAGGGATGGGGATGGGTCGGGGCGAAAGCAGGAAGGGGATCTCAGACAAGAAGATCAATTTACATACTTGAGTGAGTCGTTTCAAGACAGAAACCAGAACAGAAGCACACGTGTATTCCTGGTGTGAACAAAAAATGACCTCAGTAAAAGGAAGTGGCGGGTGAAGGGAGAGACTTCGGCGGTACTGCACGGTCGCCCGCTTTCACCGTGCGCCGCGATGTAGCATCAAGTACATCAGTGACCGCCTTAGCGGGGAAATCATGGACGCAGTAGGAAAACTTATTTGATGCGGTCATCCTGGATCTTAGCCTGAAATAAGTATCTAGAACTCGTACTATGTTAATACTGTAGAACTTTGCAGGGATCTGGCGCTTACCTCTGACGTACACATCTCATAGGTAGTCTAGTAGCTATATGGAATACAGCCTGACAGTGACCTAAGAGGGTTCACAGACCTTGGTCTCATAGTTCCTATCAACCTATTTTCGAAAATTGCTCGTTTTTGATCCATCATTCACACAAGCTGAAACATCCCGGGCCTCTTTGAACACGAGAAGACAGGACATTGTCGCTTAATGAGTACATATTTTATCTTTTTAGTCCAGCTGTATGAAATGCTCAAATGCTAGAATAAATAATACCTAGGTAGGTATTTACGTAGGCCATTTAAGTGGAGTATAGATATGTAGATGGAGAATTCCTGGAGAGCTACCAAGGCAGTCGATCAAAGAAATTGTAGCATGAAGCTTGATTTCTTGCACGTGTGGCTTCAAGGGTTGCTCGGAGACCCTGGAGACAATCAGATCTCTCATGTGAACTTTTGAATCGTGACTGGCAGCATGTCATGCATCGATCATGTTGTGTTAGGCCCTTAGATCCCGGAAGTTGCATGGTGCAACTCGGCAACTCCCTAAGGTAGAACTGGATAGCGATCTAAACATATACAAGTCTCTTGGACTACTCCGTACCTAGCTTGTTATTATCGTCTCCTTTTAAGGTGGAGACTATCCTTCTCCAGAATGCGAAAATTATCGCCCGGGCCAAGAGTCTCCCCGACAATATTCGTCAAGTCTCGGACTTAGATTCCACGCAAGGCTGCCCCCGCCCGAGCTCCGAGCTTAACATTCAATGTTTCTTCACTAGGAAAAAAAAAAAAAAAAAAAAAAAAAAGAAACAACGAATAAAATTTCTGATGAGGAGCCAGTGCATCGGTAGATATAGCCGAGGCCATTCTAAAAGCAATAAGCATCATCAGACCCTGGTGGACCTAGCCACTGTCTCAGTCGAGTTCCGAGTGAGAATGGATGCCCGAAGATCGTCAGGCGGTGAATCGCAACCGAGGATGCGTCATGCCGCATTTTCTCGTCTGCTCCGATTCACCTTCTTTTTTAAAGAGCTGGCCCTCCTTCTGTCGACTGTTCTGAGGTTGCTCCCCCTCCCTGCAACTGCCGCAGTGGTGCTGGCGCCCGAACATGAGCTCAAGAGCACGGAACTGGCCGCGGACGGCCCAGTCCTCGTTAGCGAAGGTACTATACTCGACACCGCAACAATCACAAAGCTAACTCAGGTGCTTTTAGCAACATCTTGCTCGTTCCCATGATTCCGGCATTGTGCGCCCGGCACAATTGCTACCCCAGGCTCAGCAAATCGCCGATTTCTCCAACACTTACCAGAGACAAGAAGGATTGGGACGCCGCGCCAAAGAGAAGCTACTCGATAAGGTATGTGATGGGATGGAAAGAAAGAGGGTTCAATAATAACACCTTCTTCTTAAAGGAATTCTTCCTGAGTCTGCTCAACTCTGCCGCGACCAAGCGCGAAGCAAAACAATACCTATCTCGCTTCAAAGCTAGCCCTTCCAAGTCAGATCCAAAGAACGCAGAAGAATCCATCAAAGAATCCATAACAGAATCGTTACCGCTGGGTGTTAATTTGGGCTCTTTCTATGGAGCTTCACGAGCCGTTTATGAAACCCCGGTGTTCCGACAAAACACAACCCCGGCTCCTCGCGGACAAGAACCCGCCGAGCGACTACATATGGCCTTGATCAAGATTAGTACACCCCAATCTCTCGATGATTATACGATCAAGGGGGTGGCCAAAACCCTGTCGCAGCTCGTTCGTCTGGGCATGGCGTGTTGCGTCGTTATCGACCCAGGGAAGATAGATAATGTTACTGCAGTGCGACAAGTTGCCATCGAGCAGGCTAATCGGATTTCAGCGGCAGTCGATGAACAGCCAGACTCAAAATCATTCCGTCTGGACTCGGCCTTATCGCTATCAGAGGACTCCGGTCAACTCACGGTCATGTCTCGGAAGGGTCTGCTGAGCCCTCTTCGCGACGGACACGTCGTCATCGTCACACCGATTGCGTACATGGAAGAGAACCCCAAGGCTGTCGCAGTGACTGCAAACGAGGCTGTGATAGCCCTGACGAAGGAATTTGCTGGATTGAGTACCTCTCCGGACCCTGACGAAGACCCAACAGTCACTGCGGAGACAATCAGCAGTTTACAGAAGGAGGTTTCTCTGGATCGAGTGATTCTGCTTCACCCTCTTGGAGGCATTCCGGCATTCAGGGGTCCTCAGTCGTCCCATGTCTTCATTAACATGGAACAAGAGTATGATGAGATTGAGGAAGAATTGAATGATATACGAGACTCTCTTGTCGGCGAGGGAAATGAAACAGTCGCTCGCAAAGATCCTGGACCTGCATCATCTATCTTGGAGAGCAATCCTTTATCCATGTTCGTGAATCAAGAAATAGCTTCGCCTCTTCCAGGACAGTCGCAGAGGCTCCCTGGAGCACAAGCCATAGGCCATGTGCTTGATGGCCATATGGACAATCTTCGACTGTCGCGACAAGCTCTGGCTGTACTGCCATCTGCCTCTTCTGGCATTATCACGTCACCTCAGGAAGTCGCCAACTCCGCTCGTACACCGCAGACAGATACCTCGGATTTGTCTGCCGTTGGAACTCGTCGCCAGCGCAATCCGCTCATCCACAGTCTTCTCACAGACAAACCGCTTCTTTCATCATCTCTACCCCCAGGGCGTCGTGGGACTGCCCATGGTGGACCCAGTGCAATTAGCCCATTTACTTCTCACACAACCTTCATCAAACGTGGAATGCCTCTCACGGTCCTTCCGAACCCCTGGGTGCAAATGTGGAGTCCTCAACGGAAACGTGTGCAATTGAATGATCCCTCAATCGACTTGCCCCGTCTTGTCCATCTCATTGAAGATTCATTCGACCGCAAACTTGATGTACAGAAATACTTGGAACGAGTGAACGACCGTATTGCCGGCCTGATCATCGCCGGAGAATACGAAGGTGGTGCAATCCTGACCTGGGAAACACCACCGGGTGTCGTCGACGACGGCAGCGAGGAGAGCGCTGCTCGCATGGTCCCATATTTGGACAAATTCGCAGTCCTCAAGCGCAGCCAGGGCGCAGGCGGAGTCGCTGACATAGTGTTCAATGCCATGGTGCGCTCATGTTTCCCTAATGGAGTTTGCTGGCGCAGTCGCAAAGACAACCCCGTGAACAAATGGTATTTCGAGCGCTCGAATGGGACCTGGAAGCTTTCCGATAGTAACTGGACCATGTTCTGGACCACAGCTGGACTGCCGGAGGATATGCAGAAGTTCCAGGATTATGAAGCCGTGTGCAGGATGATTCAGCCGAGTTGGGCCGACAATAAAAGTGTTATCGATTGATGGACTTGATATAGACAAGTCCTTGTACTGTACATGCCATCAGTTCCACTCCTCGACAGGTAATTGAAGGAAGTAAATGACTCCAAACTTCTTGTCCACCGGGGCTAGAACATCACCGTGTATCCGAGCGGCGAACATAGAAATAAATAAACATTTGAACATTTTATTGTTATTCCAGTATATATTCAACAGCCTAACAGAGTATAGAGTATTAACATTGAAGGCTGAAACTCCACTGATAATTCTAGTGTTGGAGCTTTCAAGGGTTCAAAAACTATAGATCGGTCCCACCTGGGTCCAAACCCAACCTCCGCTTCGCAACGCACTCGCCCACTCCCATCCGCAAGGCGCAATGAGACACGATGCCCATCTGCATCGAGTGCTCATACCCGGTCTCGCACCTGTATAGCGCCTACAGTCGTGCCGATGACCGCTCCCAGGGTAAAGGCGTGCGATTGACCCAGTGTCCGCGCTGCCAACGCTTCGCCGACAAATACGTTGAATACGACTTTGTTGTGATCTTCATCGACCTTGTCCTCATCAAACCACAGGTATGGGCTATTATGTTGGAAGGAAAAATATTAGAGCTAACCGTCTCTCGCTACAGGTCTATCGCCATCTCCTGTTCAATCGACTTGGACGCGATGACAATCGATTCGATGTGAGCGCGCTACATTCCAGCATTACAAGACCAGCGAGCTGACTGCAACTGATTTAGCGATCAATCATCCGCCTGGGAATCCTCCTTCTCCTATTTGACGTCTACCTGACCTGGGCCCGTCTCGAAAAGGACCCCTCGCTCGCCACAACCTTCGTCGCGCGCGCCCCAATCATCGTGCAATACCTCTTCTTCCTGACCCTGAACGCGGCAGCAACATTCGCGCATCATCTCACCGTTCGCCTCCTCGCCTCAGTATTGGTCCCAAAGTCCCACCGCTATGTCGCCGCCGAATCGGCCAGCGCCAACACGACCAGCACAGGCGACACCACCCCCCTCCCATCTGGCCCTCCAACACCTACGATCAGGGCATCACCCCCGTCGCAACCAAACTCACAAACACAACAACAGCTCAGCCCAGGCGCAGCTGCACTTTTACAAAATCCACACCTAATACCCCCTTCAACGACCCCCCCTCCTTACTAGACCCATCACTCCTTCCACCAAGTGCCATCCCAGCACCACAGCGTCCTCCACCCCTCCTCCGCGCCTCAACAGCACCACCACAGAACATCCAACCCCTCCCGCCTCCAACAGCCGCAAGCCCAACAGCAATCAGCACCGCACTGCTAGTCAGCAGTTGCGCAAAGCTGTTCCCTATTCTCCTCGTAATCTGGGGCGCCGACGGCAGCGGCAACAGCAACTTGAGCGACATACAAGCCGGAAACACAGGTGCTAGGAAAGATATGGGTGCATCGAAGGCGGCACTCTCTTCCAACCGAGACTCGGCATCGCCTTCATTTCTGGAATCGTTCCTTGCGGCCGCAGAGTCCTCGCTCCGACCTTATCTACCGACGCGGTATGTGACTGGCCTGTTCGGTGTCCTTGCATCGTTGTTGTCACTGGGCGTTGTGGATACGCATCTCGTGCTACTGAGTAATATCGAGGCGCTTTATATTCTGCTTGGATGTGGGTATCTGCGCGCCGTGGCCGTTGCTGTTGCGGGGCAGATTGCTCGGTGGGCAGTGCAAAGAGTCATTCTGGGTGCTGTCGGAGTTGGATAAATGTGTTGGGGGATGGGTTATGATGAGATGGATGTGTATAGATAGAGAAAAATTATACTATGGACCTGATACATAGCCGACTACTCCAAGGCATCAATCTACGATAGCGCAAGAAGTGCCTTGATGTAATGTAATCATAGATGCAAAAGAAAGCTATACAAAACACCCGCAACCAAGTGCAGAAATCGGATATCCATCTCCTCCAAGAGTCACATCTATCGCGACTCAAATTGACCGGAATTTAAAGGGTATGCCACGGGATAGGATCTCGCCCAGCCCGAAATACAGTATCAAATGATGACCAACGAAACCGAGCATTTACTCCGGTACACGGTCGGGACGGATATCGGCCCTCTTTGGCGCGATGAGGGGGTGCCACTGAGCCAGGAAGACAATGGCTAGTACATGTTAGTTCTGGATCTTGGCTAGGGACAGGGAGAAACGTACCCCACATCAAGTAACAGGAGATGAATGAGAGGATGAGTGTGCTACGCCAGACACTGAGTTGGATGTTAGTTAGAGGACATCAATTAGTGTAGAGGACAACTCACGTCAGGTTCTCGCCCTTCGGGCTGAAGAACCAGGCACACAGGGAGGCGGCCACAATGATGATGAGGCCGATGATGAGGCTCCAACTGTTGCCGTGTCAGTACCTGTACAGTTGGGCTGTAGTGGTGGGATAAGGTGGTGCTCGAGGATCAGACTCAAATCCAAATCGGATGCCTCGTAAACCCTGAATCAACCATCGCGTATCATGAGAACATACCCGCTTGCCATTTTGTCTTGCTGTGTCCTTCACGGATCCGTCAAGAGCCAGTCTTTCTCGGATGTAGTGTTGCCGATTGCTGTATCCCAATTGGAAGACCCCGCGGGATGAAACGAGTCCGGTGTTCGCTCAAGAGGTATGCGCTCAAAGAGAAGTGGTCGATCGGACGTAGATGAGAGATTCAAGGCCGGAAAGCGGGACGTGGTCTTGACTCGGAGATCGTGTATGCGGTCGTTCGAGGACACACGGGGAGATGGTCGGGAGATATTTATCGAGTCACAACGACGCGTTATATTGTGTCTTCCCGAGGGATACCAAGTAAAGAAATCTGGCTCGAAAGGCGGGCGCAGACCGTTGAAATGGCCGGACAAGTTGCAGCGTTGGATGTCGGAGCTCCTGGAGCTAGCGGGCCTAGAATGCCTGAGGCACCAGGGCGGTCTGAACTAAGTGTCCACGACTTATACGTTTTACTATGCATGTTTCAGTGATGAGCTGGATTTTTCAATCTATGCAGCCGAATACAATGAACAAAGTGATCCCTTGGGATGGCACAGAAGCAAAAGGGGTTTAGATACAAATGGCTTACCCCGGACTAAACGGGCTCAAGAGTTGAAAACAGAAAGACGAATCTACGCTTACGCACCCTCACGGCTCTTGCGGTAGCTGGCCTGTAGTACATGTTAGAGATTATGGTTCATTTTGTCGGAGAGAAGAAACTTGCCTCCTGCTCGACCTGCAGAGCATCCACGGTAGGGGCGAGCTCGCTGAGGATCTCGTAAGCCTTCTTGTGGAACTCTAGCTGGGCGGCAATCAGATCGGCCAAGTTGCGCAGGGGCTCGGGAGTATCAAGGACCTAGAGCAAGGGGTTAATATCAGTATTGATTAATCGACGGGACTCGGAGATAAAGTGGAACGTACGTTCTTCATCACGCTCACGGCCTCCTCAGTCTGGCCGACGAATTCATCCTCCGCCTGCTCAATCTCGGCACGGGCATCCTCGCTCAAGTTGTCCAGGTCGCCCCGGGCGGCAGCCTTCTTAGCAGCCTTGACCGAGTCCAGAGTAAGACGGGCGTTCTCCACGTTCTTGCGGGCCTTGGCGGCGAACATCAAGTTGGTGTTCAGGGTGGTGTTCCAGCCAGCCAGGAAGCGTGACTGGATCTGGGCATCCTGGGCCAGACGGGCCTCGCCGACCTTCTCCTCGGACAGGGCGTACTTCTCCAGCGCGGTGGCGAGCGGGTCCTCGCCCTCGGTGCTCTGCACCAGGGTCTGGGAGCCGGCGAGCGAGGCGCGGGCGATCGCATGGTTGAACGTCTTAGGCTGGGGCTTAGCGGAAGGAGGTGCGGTCAGCGCAGCCTGGGCTTCCGCGGGCGAACCAGCCTGCGAGAGCAGGCTGACCTTCTCGTTGATCGTGCGACCCAGATCATTGAAGGACTCGCGGATGTTGGGAGGGTAATCGTAGGCTTCGTTGGAGTATTGAGAGCTGCACAGCCACAAAACCTGTCAGTTTCACCCCGGAAACAACAAGACAAGCTGAAGGGAGAGGGCACTCACGTCACCGACAGGAGCTTCTGGTGGACAAGCTTCAGCGCATCGACGCGCTTCTCGAGCTCGATGTACTCATCGGGGAGCTGTGTCTTGTCTTCGGCCTGGCCCAGTTGCTCTTTGATCAACTGCTGGGTGCGCTGCGCGAAAGGCGTGAAGCTAGCGCTAGTAGAAATAAGAGACAGGACGAAGTCAGCACACTGATTACGGTCGAGAACGGGCGATGTGGGGGCTGCGAGATAGAGGAGGATGTAGATGAAAGGGCCAGTGCTCACCTGAAGTTCTTACCGAATGCCTGCACTCGATCCATAATGACGGAATGACTGAGAGAAATAAGTTAGAGGGGAGGTGTTGAGGCTACAGCTACGAGGAGGACCATCCCGCTCTGAGGGCCTGCACCGCCCCACTGCACCGCCACAGTTTTGGAATCAGGCATCAATGCCATTGTAAATTGTGCCAATTGTAAAAAAAAATAAAAATAAAAAAAAAGTAAAATAGTAGAGAATACAAGGAGAAGAAATACTCATAGCATGGCATCCCGTAAAATCATCAGTCGTCGCCACTGCGCCAAACGCCCTAGGTTAAAGTGGCCATCATAGCCCGCATCACCCTCGAATTTGGTTCTATAAGAATGTTAGTCCGTAGATCCAGTAAACACGAAAAGGTGAGGAGTCTTACCTCTACGCTCGGAGCGGCGAACCTCCGTCACTTCCTCCGCATTACCGTGGTCATCGATAATGTCTGTCTCGCGCTGTCTCGTGATCTCAATGCCCCCCTGTCGCTCTAATCGCAAGAGCCTGGTTTCTTCTTCTAGATCTTGGATATAGTCATCGTGGTCACTGTTTCGAGGGCGTACGAGTACCATGGACCCAGAGTGGCCTCTCGTCCCTACACGTTCCTCGACATACTCCCGAGGCTCAACGAATCGGACGGGAGATGCAGGGCGGTGTGCATGCACAGATACAGACCGAGGCCGCGAGATGGTATGCCTTCTTGGTCTGTCGATCAGCTCCTCGTACTCGTACTCTGGAGAACGGGAGGGCGACGCTTCCACAATAAACGCATCGTGGCTCGAGCGAGGCGAGTAGTGGGAGTGCGAATCAACGACTAGATGCTCGGTGGTGACTCGTTCGCGCGGCACCTCTCGATGGGGAGAGTGCGCGATACGAAGGTATTCGGCTAGTCTCCGGTCAGTCCCTGAAAATCGCCTAATGATCCTGTTGGGCAGCGACTCACTTTCCACCTGGGGTGGTCGCCGGAATTCTCGACTCAAGCTGATCACCTCGTCGATCTGTTCTTTCGACAAGGCTTTCTGGATCACAATGGTGTCGTCCTAGCCATGTCAGTAACCCCCACATAGATCAATGGGCATTAAGATTGAGTACCTCTTCTTTAAACGGATACCCTAAATCCAGAATGGCATGGATATGCACCCGTTTTCGAGGAATGCGAGTCTTGCCTTTGCGCGGATAGGGCTTCTCCTCATGATGCCGGCGCCTCATACTGCTCGAGCGACGATGGTGACCCATGCCCTCTCGATCATGCATGCCTCTATACTCCTCGTCGCCGTAGGTGTCCGGATCAGCAATGCGAATATCCTCGTAAATTTCACGCTCTCGATAACGACCGGGCGACGCGCGAGGTGGCGGCGGAGCAGAAGGTATACCCCTCATACGTGGGGCACGATCGCGAACCTCTTCCATCTTGCGACGAGGGATGCGGTCAAAAGTATCTAGGGAAGACTGGCGCCTAAGTAAACGGGGCCGAACGAAGGAGGGACTTTCGTCTCGTCGGCGGCGGTCATGCGCCACAAGAGGCCCGGACGTATGAACCAGGTGCTCGTCATCATATCGGCGACCGGGGGCGCGCGCAGGCGGGCCATAACGGTCTTCTTCGTGCATGCGGAATTCGAAGCGCTCGTCCTCGGCGTGGCGGGGTCGTTCGGCCACGGGAGGGCCTCGATAGCGGTCATAACGATCGCGGGAGTCTAGTGTCCCTGTTGAAGAGCGGTAGTCATCGTAACGAGACATGGCTACAGTTGATCACCCGGTTGAACGTGTAAACAGAGAAATGGGGACAGAACCGTGGATGACGAGGGCGGCTGACTCGGCCCGTTGAGGGTGGGGGCGAAGAACCACGGGAACGTTGGAGTTGGATGAGACTAGAAAGACGAGATGATACACCTGGGCGAAGATGGAGGGGAAAGCAGCTTCAGCTCAGCTCAGCTCGCGAAAAAGTCAGGCACAAACCGATGATGACATTGGGCAAGTGGGGGAAAGATCCGCCACTCAGTTCACTGAGTAAACTAAGGCGCACGCTAGAGTGCCGCTGACTTCACGCTACTGTAGACCTGCGTGTCTAATGTAGGTACCCTGGAGATAATCTCTCATCTGAGCCATGTCTTGTCTGCTCGTATTCCAGGTGTGTAAATGTTTTTCTTGGGATACTGAAATGGCGCAAAAAGATCGCTGGAGAGATCTGGAGCAAACTTTCTACATCGGTGAGAAGAGGTGAAAAAGGACCAAGTGAATAAAGTCTTTCGGCCCCTGGATTATCTCGGACTGTACATAGGAATCTTGTTCAATCCTATAATTCCAAATTTTGCATGTCACCCTCCAAGCTCAAGAGCCCCATCGCCAAATAAGCCCGGTCTGGCCCAGTTACTGTGAAGCGTCGATCACTAGACTGCGCCCCCTCAGCTCGAGAGAGGACATCCTGCTCCTACACCTATAATTAGCAGGGATCAATGGATCAGTTCAGGTTAGCACTTACATGACGCTCACGGTCAGGCTCGAAGCTTCTTTCGTATGGTGGCCCACGGCCATTTTTGGCTGCAACAATCCATGCCTTTTCACAGCCACCGGCGATAGCGTCGGAGGTTTTCCAGCCCGTTAGACGAGAGATGTCTCGCAGCTTTGCGATTGTCCAGCCTCGCTGCGCGTGATCTACGTACTGCACCCCGGCGAAGAACATTGGCATTGTCATCTCCTGGAGAGACGAGCCGAGGGTTGGGCTTAGGCTGCCAGCCTTGAGGTTGTAGCGCTGGGGATAGTAGATGCCTGCGGCTATTCTGCCAATGATTTGTGCATATTCCGCTGTGGTTGAGGCTGCCACACCAGCCGACATCATCATGGCCGGGGGCATGGAGGGATGAAGTCGTTTGAGTAGGATTCGTCCAGCATAGTAGAATCCCCAGATAACGGCAATCGTGTGTGTTCGATACTGGAGGGCGGGTCCAAATGGACTTGAGATGGCCGTCGTGACATCTGCTGGGAGAGGTTGGAAATCTCGACCCAGCGCCTGAGCGTATGTATCCATGGCGACCATGATTTCCTCCCATTCCTGGTCTGCTTCGGCATATGAAAAGTCTTCTTTGTCTTCTTCGGGTAAGTCTTCCTTCTTGCGACGGTCATCTACAAATCCTGATGGGAGACGAGTGGGCCCTTGTGGTGGGACCATTCCGTACATGGGAGGACCACTTTGAGGCGGAGGTCCGGCGACTGGGAGCGGCGGACCTGGAGGACCTGGAGGAGGCCCAGATATAGAACCCTGCCCAGATGGTGGACCACCAGGTTGTTCGGGTGGCCCGGGTGGCCCAGGAGGACCTGGTCGTCTATTAGGGTCGCCTTTACTGAAGCGACCCATGAATTTGAACATCCCCGGGCTAGGCCTCCAATCTTTTCCACTCGCACGGATAGATTTCAGCTTACGCTTCCGGTCCCGATATCCAAAGTCGCTCACTCGGGCGAGGAGCAGCCAGAGATGATCAGCAGAGCCGTAAATGGCATCAATCCGACCGACACCTGCTCGTGGCGGACACTGTCCTTGCAAATAATAGGGCATACTATATTCATGTTAGTAATAGAATCGATGAATAAGGATACTTGACCGACAAAAGTTTGTCTCCACTAATCAGACTGTGAAAGACGTCCTGCTTGGTGTACCACCAGTATAAGTCACACTGGATGCGGAAGTTCTCAATGTCCTTGCGGGTGAATTGTCTCCTTGGAGTATATGTCTGTCCTTCCTCAATGAGTCCAAACTGGTCGTAGTTGACTGCTCGCCCCAGAAGGGATCCGATGAAAGCTCCATCAACGCTAGTCTCTCTTTCGGCGAATGGATCATCTTCGTTGATGACACTACCAAATGCAGGATTGTACATCGACATATTATTCCATCCCATTTGGTGTTGCTGCTCGTTCATTTGTCGTCGATGAGCCCGAAGGTCTCGAGTGGTGCGGGCGAAGTCAATCTCTTTGATCAGCTGAGCGGCACCGGCGACATGGCTGTTCCACTTTGAGTGATCGGCAGAGATGACCTCGTAGTATGCGAGTAGCTCGGTGGCTGCCAATGTTCCAAGTTGCTTGCGCCTGTGCGGGAGGCCAACGGCCTTACCAATGCGCTTCAATGCATAGTGATAGTGCTTGAGAGAAATCGTAGTGGGGACACCTTGAAGGTATGCAATATGTATGCTGGAAACCGCAAGAATGGCCTGCATTAATGCAGGGTGTTCCATGGCTTTAAGTGGGAGAGTGTATGTCCAAAGGCCCTGCTGCGCAGGTGAAACCGGATCACCTAGGGTAATCGACGAGTCCGTCGGGTGTCGTTCAAATATAGACAAAGAGGGCCCCGTGGAATGAAGGAAGTGGGCGAAAATTCGAGCTGTCTTGGGGTTGTTGAGGGGAGATGACCCCAGGTGTGGGTAGTAGGAGGCGAGAATGTTAGGTTCATTCAAGTGTGTAGTAAAGGAGCGAAGGCGGCTGTCGTCGTGATTTGCAGAGGCCATGATTAAGCTTAACTGGTTGAAGCCTTCCGCCTGGGTCTGATCCACCATGTCATCTTCGGATTCGACATCGTAGTAGTCTTCCGCTTCATCCTCCACATATACGACTTGTGTTTGTGATTGGGGGATGTATTGTGCGGATGAATCGAACTGCGGAGAGAGCGGCCCATGTTGCTGCTGGTAATGGTAAATGAGCCCAGGCGGAATGCTTGTCTGTAGATACTATTAGTGCCATCATGTGGAATACCCAACTTGGATCGATACGCACCTGGGGATACAGGTTGCCGTCGTAACTGTTGTCCCATACTGTATCGCCAGTATATGGCGGTACAGATGCCGAAGCAAAGTCTTGGCCCGGAAACTTCGCCCAATTGGTGATTGGTGGGGGGTATTGAGGATCGGTCTCTTGTTTGTACTCGTCTTGCTTATAGCCATCTTGCCTGTACCCTGGTTGGTACTGCTCTTCAGTATACTGGGAATTATCTTGACCAGAGCGAGGCTGAGTCTGGGAAGTCTGGAACTGTGAGTGATTAACAATAGCCGAGGGTATTTGCCCACGTCCATGTTGCACCGTTGGCTGTGTTGGCCAAGTCTGAGGTGGTTGTACCTGCGGCGCTGGATAGTAGAATTTAGGTGCATTGATTATTTGCGGTGGCCCTAACGGGGCGATATCAGAAGATGGGTAACTATGATAACCAATTGTGGCGGCATCGATCGGCCGCGGAGCCAACATCGGATGTTGAGCAGCGGCAGCAGCTTGCTGAGCCGGGAGAGGGTATTCACTGAATAAGGGCATTCGCATCTGATGCTGCATCTGTGGGTCCTGAACTTGAGGTGGACCATGGGATCCAAAAATCCCTAGAGGGTTCTTGAAAACAACGCGCTGTGCATAGCCCTCGCAGCTGCGCTTGGATTTGACGCAGTTGCTGCATATTGGCTTTTCCTCGCCGCATTTAATGCGGCGTTTGCGGCAGGCTGTAGGTATAGGTTAGAGGACATAGCTTTCGGGGTCTTTTCAGCGTAGCATACTCAAACAACCGGTTTTGGTCCGCTTCTTCGGCACTCTCCGGGAACCTGGAATCTTGGGTGCATCGCCCTCCGGCGAGGGGCTGTCCAGCTGGGGGTCTTCAGTCATGATGTGGGGAGGAGGAACATGGCAATTGAGAGTGCGAGTCATGAATAGACATTAGTGGGGCAGGGAAGAAGACAAAAGGTCGGAGATCGGATCGGAGTCGTTCTATGTTGGACTGCACTGGGAAAAGCTGCCGAGCATCGCAGATCACCCGAACTGCGACTGTTGTATTTTTTTTTAAAGGTTTTATAGATTATTTTTACCTCCACTGCATGTCGTCTGTCCACTGCCTACTTTCTACTGTCTGCTTCCTACTGTCCACAGCTCAGGTCACGTTTAGGGTAGGCTCCCGTGTTCCCCTGAAGAACAGACTGGGAACACGAACACGATCAGCATGAGACCCAGCCCAGCCACTCAGATAGTAACCATGCTAAGCTTATGTGCAGCAGGCCTTCAGAGGCGCATATACACGATTTTGAACAGAGCTGGCTCGGGCGAGTCACTCGGATCGATTTACGAATCCCGCTATTGCACAGAGGGTATCTAGAATATCCAGACTGGCGAAACCAGAACAATTTAGACATAGAAGCAGCGCATTCCTCGTTTATCTTATCTTTGATCATCGGAGCCTGTTGATGCCTGAGGGTCGTATTGTAAGGTTCGTCACAGGATTACCAATGCGGAGATGAAATTTTGCCAACTTTTTTTCTGCGCGGAGATAAGTTGTCTCCAGTCACTCGAGAACAATTTTGCTGTGCAACGCTAAATTCGACAGAAGCTATCAAAGCTTTACTTGGCAAACATGTTCGCCGTCCCAGGATGGTCCGTCTCGAGCTCTGCACTCACGCAGCAAGGCGATGCGCAGTCCAAAGATCAGTCCCAAGGCAAAGATGCCTCGACGCCCAATGCGAAGAAAGACAACAAGCGCAAGCGCGGCAAAGACCGTGTGACCTCCGGCAATGTCGATGAAATGTATCGGAGGCACATTGAGGGCAACTCCGGGCCCAAGGGTGGAAAGCGTGGCAAGGCTGGCGCCAGTGCTGGTGCTGCTGTCGGTGCCGGTGCCGGAGACAGTTCCATGAAACCATGGGAGAAGAAAAAACTACAAAAGGAGCAGCAGCAGGCATCTGCCGCAGGAGCTTCAAATGAAACAAACGAGGCCCCGAAGGCCGAGGCCGAGGCCGAGGCTGGCCAGGAAGAAGGAAAGCCAGCGAAGAAGCAAAAGAGAAACAGGAAGAACAAGAACAAGGACGGCCAGCAAGATAAGACTCAAGAGCAGGATGCGACTACCTCTCCATCCACTGAAACCTCCGCTGCTGTCAAATCAGTCGCTCCGCCCATACCAGCAGCATCTGCTACCCTTACACCCCTCCAGCAGGCAATGCGCCAGAAGTTGATCTCGTCTCGATTCCGTCACCTGAACGAAACCCTGTATACTACCGACTCCTCCAAAGCTGTGGAGCTGTTCAACGCCAACCCCGAGCTCTTTGATGAATACCACGCCGGTTTCTCGCGCCAGGTGAAGGAATCCTGGCCCTCCAACCCGGTCGATGACTACATCCAGACTGTTCGTCGCCGTGGCGCCGTCCCCGTGCCCAAGAGAGGCAAGCCCGACCCGAGCAAGCCTCTTCCTCTTCCCCGTCGGCCCAATGGTGCATGCACCATTACCGATTTGGGCTGTGGTGACGCTGGGCTTGCGCGCGCCTTGACTCCGGCGGCTAAGAAGTTGAAGCTGAAGCTTAACAGCTACGATCTCCAGGCGCCCGATGCTCTTATCACCAAGGCGGATATCTCTAACCTTCCCCTGGAGGACGGTACCGTGGATGTGGCTATCTTCTGTCTGAGTCTGATGGGAACAAACTGGGTTTCCTTTGTCGAGGAGGCATGGCGTGTCTTGCGTGGCGACGGCAAGGGCGAGTGCTGGGTCAGCGAGGTTAAGAGTCGATTCGGCAAGGTGACGCGCAAAAAATCGCAGATCGGAGCGCAGAAGCCGCTTAGCAAGGCCGAGCAAAAGAAGCAAAAGAAGAAGAGCGGTAAAGGCGATGATGAAGAGCTGGATGAGGCCGACATCTATGCTGAAGATGCCCGCCCGACTGACAACGACGAGACGGATATCTCTGCTTTCGTCGAGGTTTTCAAAAGCCGTGGCTTTGTGCTTAAGCAGGAGTCCTTGGACAAATCTAACAAGATGTTTGTGAAAATGGAGTTTGTCAAGGCTGGCTGGACCCCGACAAAGGGCAAGCATGCTTCTGCGGCCCCGGCCCCGGGTGTGAAGGGTGGCAAGAAGCGCTTTGTCGAGAAAAAGACTGATGCTGATACCGGTATGACGGAGGAGCAAGAGGCCCAGGTGCTGAAGCCTTGCGTGTACAAGATCCGGTAGTCTAGTGTCGCGATGACGATGTATCATTAGGATTATACCCTATCAAAAGCATTTTATCATAGAAATTAGAATGACAAGTTTCAGTCATGTCCACCCGTATCGACTCTACTGTAAGAAGCTTAGATTGATGGCTAGACGTTCATTTCTGTGGTGATGGATGTCTCGCGATGATCACCCTTGGACCCTCCAGTCTACGTCGTGGCAAAAATCATTACTTGCTCATGCAATCAACAATGAAAGAGGCACCGAGTACCTTCATCTAGACATAACCACTAACTCGCTAGTCATTTATTGATTCCCGCCGAGCTGCGCAACAGCCCGACCCATCTCCTCGTCATCGTAGATGCGGAAGCCCTTGTCCTTGGTCACGCTGGCCAACTGGACGTTCTTAGAGTCCAGTTTCTCCTCCATGACCTGCTTCAGAGTCTTCAAAACCAGCGTCTCGGCCTCGGCCAGCGTCAAAGAGCGGTGGTATTCGTTCTGTAACTCCGCCTGCGCACCCTCACTTCCAGAGCCGATGGCCTTGGCGTCATACCGGTAAAATGTGCCCGAAGGCTCGGCGTGATATCTATCGTGTCCGCGTTAGCGTTGTTCATACCGTTCACAATTAAATTCCACGTACAGCTGAGGCCCATCCTCATCGTAACCAGCAATTAACAGAGCAACACCAAACGGTCTGCTCATGACACTCTCCTCATCATCACCGCTCTCTCCGAAGCGAAGGGCCAGGTCGCAAATGGCCTGTGTGGTACTCTCAACGCGCAGAGGCTCGGCATAGTGGAAGGCGTGGTTTTGGCACTCGACACGGGCGTGCTCGACCAGATTGCGGGCATCAGCCTGCAGGCCAGACATGGCGCAGCCGATGTGCTGGTCAATTTCGACAATTTTCTCTACAGACGAGGCCTCGAGTAGGGTGGACGTCACGCGCTTCTCAACACCGAGGATGACACCTTCAGATGTTGCGACCTAGGCGTTTGTCAGCATGGGGGCAGTTCCATGATATAAGCGTAGGCGACTGCGCTCTTCCATCGAGAGATCTTGTGGTCTCGTATTCGATCACGATGGAGATGGAGATGACGACAGGGCGAGGGAGAGTAGAGCTGAACGTACACCAATTGCTGTGGAACCGAGCTTGATGGCCTCGAGGGAGTATTCGACCTGGAACAGACGACCTTCTGGGGAGAAGGTGCTATAGGGACGTGCATTGTCAGACTGGAAGCTTCGGTATGGGGTAGACGACGTCAGGAAAGGGTGCGTACTTGATTCCACGGTCTGGTCCGAGCTGTTAGCGATGCCTTAGCATGATGGGGTGACAGAGCTTACCATATTCAGATCGTGCAATAAACATCGTGAATTATGTTTAGATGGACGGGATAAAGGAATAGGATAAAGAGGAGAGAAGGTGGAAGCGGAGCAGTGACAACGGAGCTTAGGCGGAAGCTCTCTACGCAAGTCAGTTGCCTGGGGTCTCAGGCGGTGAGGCCGCGCTGCCCAAGCCCCAAGTTCCACGGTTCAACCTTTGTTTGGTTCTTGTTATTCAGATCTATGGATTTTGGTTGAGTCTCCTTCTTCCTACATGACTTTGTCGCGTTCCCTTAATGTCCTCCAATGACCGTCGTGCCAGCCATATGAGCGCTCCTCGACCCCGCGTTGCCTCCAGTCGCGTCGATGCCGACAGGCCGAGTCGCGGCGCCGCATCGCCGCTCCAAGACATGGATCCGCGCACGAGTACCTCGAGCCAGAAACACAGACTGTCTCGAGACCAGAAAACCATGTCTGAGAAGCGCACCGAGCGTACTGTGATCACAACAAAGGAAAAAGCGGTGCGGAGGAATCTTCCCAAGGAGTTCAACGTCGCCATCAATGCTTCGAAATGGGAAGACAAACCCAGGAAGACCGGCCAGGCGGAGGGCGCGAGTCCTGGTAGTAAGAAGAGGGAACCCGTGGCGGAAAATGGTCGGTCACAACATACATTCGCATCGCAATCTATGCTATGAACCATGATATTGACAATGTTTTCTACAGCACCATGGAATCCGCACGCATCTCTCATTCCACACTCAACGGCTCCGCTCGCCTGTCGAGTATCTGTTCCTCCGTCTGCATCGGCAGCACCGCAGTCGCTCCATCCCCGACCATTTAAAGAACTGTCATCGGATGCGCAAGAAGCCGCGATCCTCGAGGATCTGCTTTTCGTCTTCATGGGCTTCGAGGGCCAGTACATCCACTATCACGGCTCGTACGATTCATCTGCCGAGAAAGATCGCTTGACCGGCCCGATATTTCAGTTCGCGCCGGGGTTGGATCCTACCCTGCGGGATCTCACACAGTCTATGTTGAAGATGGCGACTCATTACAGTGCCATGGAGGCGTTTGTCGAGATCCAGAGTCGCGCAGAGTACGGAGCTGTCAGCCATGCTCTTTGCGCAGCCATTCGAAAATTGCTAAAGGACTACTTAATTCTTATCGCTCAGCTGGAAGGCCAACTGCTAAACAACCCCACTTTTACTCTTCACCAACTTCACCTTCATACTATGCCGACAAGTCAATGCCTTGCGCAGCTGTACTTCTTGGGACAGGAGCTTCTTCGTCGCAATGGTCTCCTAGATCAAGACCTTGACGAGTCCATGGATGATTTTGGTGACGTTGATAACATTCTCGAACAACTAAAGGAAGGAGGCGATCTTGTGCCGGGCGCCATGTCTAGCAAGAAGATTTGCAAGGGCGGCAATATTTTGAGGCTTCTGACAGAGCGCTTGGCTACCTTCTCCGGTGACCCAACGACAAAGACTTTGATTCAGTCATTGTTACGCGACGCCAGTCGGCCATATATGAATATGCTGAACGAATGGCTGCACCACGGTGGCATCAAGGATCCTCATGCCGAGTTCTTGGTGAAGGAGCAAAAGTGGATTAAACGAGAGAAATTGGAAGAAGACTACACCGACGAATACTGGGAGAAGCGTTACACAATTCGCGACAAAGAGGTTCCACCGCAGCTTGACAGTGTTCGAGATAAAGTGCTTCTGGCAGGCAAATATCTAAACGTGGTACGAGAGTGCGGTGGTGTCGATATTAGTAAAGCCGTCCAAGATGTTCCCAAGACCCTCGATGATCCACGCTTCCTGGACAATGTTAATGCAGCATACACTTACGCCAATGCCTCCCTGCTCAACCTTCTTTTGACGAAAAATTCACTTACGACTCGATTCCGCTCCCTCAAACATTACTTCTTCCTTGACCGGTCCGACTTTTTTTCTTATTTCCTTGAGCTTAGCGCATCGGAGTTGCGTAAGCATGCGCGAAATGTGAACGAGGGCAAGCTTCAGTCGCTTCTTGATATCGTGCTACGCCAGCCGGGAAGTATCGCTGCACAAGACCCTTTCAAAGAAGATGTCAAGGTGCGAATGAACAAGATTGGTCTCACAAAGTGGCTGATGGAGGTCGTGAGTGTCTCGGGTATGGACCAGGAGAATCCGCAAGCGTCTGTTGAAAAGCAACAAGCCTCTGCAGCTCAGACTGCCGATGACGACAAGGATATCCTGGGATTCGACGCACTGGAGCTGGACTACTCAGTACCGTTCCCATTGTCTCTTGTCATCAGTCGCAAAACAGTCTTGAGATATCAACTTATTTTCCGACACCTGCTGTCACTGCGGCATCTGGAGACGCTGCTAGTCACGTCCTGGGCCGATCACAACAAGACGGCCAGCTGGCGACATAAGTCATCAGACCGCAGGCTGGAGATGTGGAAGCGACGGGCATGGAATCTGCGTGCAAAGATGCTTGTTTTCGTGCAGCAGCTTCTATACTTTTGCACAGCCGAAGTTGTGGAGCCAAACTGGGTGGGACTGATGGAGCGAGTCAATGGAGCTAGTGCCGGGACCGAACTGACTGTGAATGGAAGGAAACAGGCCAACCGCACGGTGGATGAGCTTATGCAGGACCATGTGGACTTCCTGGACACATGTCTCAAGGAGTGCATGCTGACCCAGGCCAAGCTCCTGAAGGTACGTGGTGAGACGATATTCTGGCAAACAGGTACTAACAGAGAGAAGATCCATTCCAAGTTGATGACTTGCTGCACGATGTTCGCCCAATGGACATCTCAAACTCTTTCACGGGCCTTGATTTCAGCCGACCCAGACCTGGCAGGCAAGGCGACCGAAGGCGATCCGCGGGCGTACCCCTTTGATCCAGCGCGCATGGGCAAGCTTGAAGATACTCTCAAGCGATATGAAGATCACTTCAACCGCCATTTACGGATTCTTATGGACAGGTAAGTCATAGTATGCACTTTGTTTTGGTGTTTTATGCTAACAGAATCTAGTCTGAACTATTTCGCGGCAACTGAGAGTGTGGTCTTGTTGAAGCTGGCACACTCTTTGAGCTCGATCAGCAAAGAAGATTGAGGTATGATGCCATATACCACCTTACTCGCTCCGTCCATCAACGGACTTTCGCCTACGGATATTGGCAAATGCGCCCACCACCTCGAGCATATCGATCATATTGCCGAGTCTCGCACCGAGAGATGTCATATGCCATCCCGAACGGCATTTCCCAGCATCGCAGCATCGCCGAATCCCGAATTCCGAGTCGGGCCTCACATCATACCAACACCCTGATCATGGTGGGGCCGGTGGATCTCGGAAGGGAATCCGAGAGAACGATTAGATAGTTTCGAGCTGGAGAATGAACAGAACGGAACTAAACAGAAACTCGATATAGCATATGAATTGAATGAAAGGCTACCTTGAAAACAAGAATAAGAGATAGTATATGATAGCAAATAAAATAATATAGAATAGGAAAAAAAAGCAAGTAAGACTATAGTCGCGATGCAAGGCCTCGATAATTGAAGGCGAGAGGTAGTATGGTGAAGACGTGATCGCATGTCCAAAAGTCAGAACTTCGCTCTCCGCCCCCGGCTTGTGAATAACCCCAACTCTCTTCCCACCTCCCACTTGAAGATTAAAATGGCCGACACATTCACACATGCACTCAGCAGAGTGCGCCTCGACAGGTTAACACTCGCTCTCAGCACCGCCGCCGTGCTCGGCACCGCGCTCGTCCTACCATCCGTCTACCGCGACTACCGCACCTTCCGGAATTACGGACCAGGCGGTCTCCCAAACAATGTCATCGGCTGGCTGACCTGCCGCGCGCTCTTCCAGCCCTTCAAGGGCGAGATGTTTAGCACGGAGGAGTACGTCAGGCGCGTGGAAGCGGCGGAGGGACATGGGAAGGGCGATGAGGGGTTCTTGGAACTGTCGCCGGAACAGCTTGCGTCGCGCAGTGTGACGGATCGGCCTGTTGTAGGACCTCACGTCGTGCCGCAGCGGCAGTTGACGCAGATACCCGATGAGGACGTGATGGAAGTGAGTGGCATACCGTGGGGATGCGTGATTATGTGCCATGTGCTAATTCAAGGGTAGAAACTTCGCTCGGCCTTTTCCGCGTTCGGGTATCGCAATCACCATCTTGTCAAAGTGGAGTACTCGAATCTGGAACGACATTCGGATGCACTTTTCTTGGCGGATCATTTGCCTGCGACAGATCTCGCGCAGACGATGCAAGGTGAGATTGTGCATATTCATTCGGGTTATGATCATTCCATACACGTGGTGTGTTCACCAGCGGATTGTAAGTTATCTCTTTTCAATGATCTCACGCTTCATCATGACCTCGACTCACACGGTACAGGCAAGAAAATCCTTGATGCAGGCTGGGGCCAGCGACACGGGTTCTCAGGTACTTCAGCTATGACATACTTGAGTCTGGGAACGCTGCCCGATCTCCCTCTAGAGTATATTCTGATCTACGCGCCTCGGACAGAGGCTGATATTAAGACAATAATGGATATTATTGCAGCCGGCGTGAAGTTCATGACGGGACGCGAAGATACACGGTGATTTGGAGAACGCGGGATATTTGGCATCGGCGAGGTGCGATGGTGGTTTCCTTTTGACTCTGGTGGACTTTGTACAGCGTATTGGGTTCTCGTCTAGCATTTATTTATACCCCACTCCATGAATTTGATGACGTGATTTGCAGAGATGAGATTTATCCCATGAGGATCGATGAGCATATAGATATGTATGGCTATGCATTCTGCCGAGGTGCAGAAGCAGGCCGAAGGTGGCCTACTCGAAACGGAGCTAACAGTCCACACATGTGCACCAGGGCAATCACGAGACTCGAGCTAGTTCTCTCGGGCTGGAGGCAAGGTAGTCCGACATATAAGCCGTTAGGCAATTTTCACAGTTCATCAGCCTAGCATGTGTGAAGGGATGACCAGATTCCCGTCACAGATCATAGACAAGACAATATCGAGAGGAGCAGAATCTGGACACACCATCCCCCAGTTGGGTAATCATATCCCTACTTCCTTAGTAAAAGAAATGGCAGCTAACTTATTGTAACCCCCGAACACTCCGAGGCTAGACCCATACAATCCGATTGTAATACGACATGACCCAGACAAAGTGGAGTCAAATCTAATAGTGAGGTCAAGGCAGGATCACACCAATCCTAGGGCCTCTTCACCCACTCGCTAACCTAGGAAGGTGGGCAAGGAGGGGGGGCATGAACCCGAGAGAGCGGCACGCTAAGCAATAATTCTTCTAGTAAGTTTAGTCGCCCGGAGTCCAGTCTAAGTGGCAGAGGTAGAAATAATAACGGGAAAAAGAAAGGTAGAGAGGTGGGTTCTCCGAAACCGGTGTGCTGGATGGGTTGGACGGATCGTCCCCTCTTCCCGCTTGCTCGAACCTCGTTGTCGGGACCAGAATGAAATCGTGTTAGCTTAGATCGTCCGCGGAGAAGAAATCGAGATTTTATTTACGACTGCTTCGGAGAGACCTTGGAATTTGGATATCGTCCGTACTGTTTCCCGGTTACCCCTTTAAAGAGCGAGAAGTACCCGTACCCGTGCCCGTGTCCCCTGTTTACCTCCCCCACCAGGTTCGGAGTATGTGCTGTCAGCCCCGAACTCTGTCTCTTCCCGAGGTGAACCATGGCGCTGGGTTGCAGCCAACGGCCTCCCCGGGTACTGCCACCCCTGTTAGTCCCGACACACTGGGCCCCCCGAATATGGACGAGACCATAAACTGTAGCATCGAGTTTTAGAATCAAAGTAACTAGTGAGGAAGTTACCGTGAGCCTAAGAGCCAGGGCCTCTGAACGAAACCCACAATCACCATCCCGGGGCATCCACTTCTGTAAAGTCAACACCCCCCCGGGGGGGGGAGGTGTTACGTCGCAATGGACCCGGAACCTTGGAGTTGCTCCGTACACTTGGAGACATAAGCGCCTTCATTCCTACGTTGTGTCAGGTCGGCCAAGCGCAAATTTCGCGAGTGTCGTGGATTCCCGAAGAACTGGGTGGACTCCCCAGAAATCCACAGCGTGGACTCCACGACGTGTTCAGAAAATATATGGCAACATTTTCCGGTCTTTGAGATGCTCCAGCTCCGCCAGCCCATCGCAGGTCGATTGCGGGATTTCTGTCGTACCTGAGTCGCAGAGATCTCAGAGGGTGTCATCTCTGTTGCAAATCTCGAATCTCGAATCTGCATAGTTAGTTGTCCGTCGACTCGGCCAACGTCCTAAAGCACATCTGGCCGAGGACAAGCGGTGAGGGAAATGAATGAATCCACCGAGGGAACGGAGTCCAACGAGAATGTTGCTGATCCTGACCGTCTAACCCCACTCCGGTTGGAGTTGTGTCTGGGAGACCCAGCTGAGCAAGCCACTGGGCGCACTGCATGCACATTGGCCCGCTGGGAACGGGACCTCCGACTCTTTTGGCAAACCCGCCACCGATTCAATTGCTGGATTGTTGGTTTAACTGACAGCGGGTGATGACGAAGACGAAGATATGGGGTTCGCAGCACGGGCTTCCCTCCTGCGTCGCAATGCAGGGATAAGCTATCCTTTTTGTCATAAATGTCCATGGATCCACGTTTCATTGTAGTCACTGGTTTCTGACATTCGGTGTCTTCTCTCATCTTGGTCATCTTGGTCATCTTTTTAATTTCATTGGCCTGTGTTGCGCGCCATACTCGTAGGAATGAAGGAGGCACAAGCCAGCGTAAAGCAGCATAGAGCAGCACAGTTCGGTCCATTTTGTGGGTTTTGGGCAAACTCGCGCCTCAGCCGCTGGACGTCATCAGACCGGTTATAGCCACAGTTCATGCTGACGGGGCCGGGAGACGTGCAGGTAAGAAAAACGACTGGGTTGCGCCCTGATCCACTCCGTCGGGCGCGCTCTTGGACCTTCGAGGCCGAAAGTAGGTCATATGCGGGCGAACTGTGCATAGGCTGACGGCCCTGCTAGCTAGTCTCAAGGTTTGTTAGCTTGGCTTTGAACAGAATGGAGCCAAGTCTATCCTGATACTTGGGGCCTCTGTTCGTGAACCACTCGGTTACTCAACCGACCCGCCCTTTTTTTCTCTGCCTTGGCTCCATGGATCCAACCCCTTGAGAGTAGCACTTTCTTCACGTCCCAATCGAGTAGTAGTTCACGCCGGTCAGGGAGGTGAAGAACCCTTGGAAGATCTCCAGGAACCACAGGCAACCGTTTCGGTGGCTGCGTTGATCGTATTCCACAGTCTGGTCGCCGTCGCCCATTCAAGACGGCTTGCCATTCGAAAGACCAAAACTCGGTAGTTTGCAATATTTCCTGCACTTGAAACGAGGCAACTGGAATCAGAATCGGCGCGTTTGGGCTCGTGCTCTCATTCGTACCATTTAGTACGTATCTTGTATGACTGGGGGCCCCTCACACACGTCCTTGACAGGCGCCTACGACGTGAATGATCCTCGAGCCGCCATTCACCGAGGCCGTTGCCGCCGACTTTTCCCAGGCGGCACACGATCGCGTCAAACTCACGGCGCTTGAATTTCATCTTCCCCTCCGATACTATAGTCAGATGCTTCCCCTTGATCCGAAGAATTCAGCCCCGCCATTAAAACTCTGGCTAAGCATTCTCAATATACCATATCACCCTTCAACGTTGGAAAGAATCGATCCCAGGCTATAATGACGTACTGCGCTGCCTTTGCTCTCTTCCCCTGGCATCTTGAAGACTAACCATTTGGTCTTGAAGGAGCCCAGATTCACAAACGGAAGAATTGCCCGGTGAACTTTTCGTTACCATCACGGTCCAGGGCCGCGAGTACCAGAAGTATTCAATCGACAACCGGATATATTTCGGACCAGTAGACGATGTGAGGCAGGCAGTCTCTTTCTCGTCTCTTTTGTCACTGACATATGGTGTAGGAGGAAGCCCAACGTCTTGATCAGCAGCAGCTAGTCTTCCATCGCATTTTCGACCACCGACTGATCTTTCCGCCCATCCGGCATCTGCGAAGGGTACTGGACTGTGGCCATGGCTCTGCACGCTGGGCTGTAGAAGTTGCCGAGCAGCACCCAGATTGTCAGGTGAGACCCCATCCTAGGCTCTTCACTCGAATCATCTCACACTCTTGTTTGTCATAGGTCATTGGCGTAGACATTGCCCCGCACATGAACCCAGACGATGTGCCCGAAAATCTGTGGCTTCAGGTGAGGAATGTTCTTATTCTCGTTCTTTCGATATTTTCGTCCAAGAAGACACGAGTCGAGGGTGGTCATGTTCACCACGGTGCCACTCGACTCTTAAGAGTCACCCACCCATCACCACTCATCAACATGGTTTCTAATTTGATTCGCAGTGTAGCCGGATGACGGTCGCTAACATGAAGCTGAATAGGTCGATGATTTGAACCGGCCATTCACATTCCCTGCGAACCACTTCGACCTTGTCCACTCTCGACTCGTTGCGACCGGCATTGATCGTAGCCGATGGCCAGCCTACATTAACGACATTGTCAGGTGCGAACCCTCCCAACAGGCTGAAGGGCTGCCTCCAGTTTCAGAGACCGTCTCTGACTCCTTCCGATACTAATGGCCGGAATCTTCAAGAGTGTTGAAACCAGGAGGATGGGTTCAGATGATCGAAATTTACTTCAACGCACAGTCTGACAACGGCTCGCTCACGGATGACCATGCCTTGAGGAGATGGAGTACTCAGTACATGCGGGCATTGGAAGACAGAAAGGACTTGCGAGTAGCATCGAAGCTGCGGAATCATTTCCTGAATTCGGGGTTGGTGGAGGTCGATAGCAAGATGATTCAACTGCCTCTGTCGGCATGGTCAAACGGTCAGTGGTTATTGCTATTGACATGAGGCGCAGTCTGACTGTTACCTAGACCCCCGAATGCGAGCCATTGGGCGGTCCAACAGTGACAACATCGAGGAACTCCTTCAATCCTTAGCGCTATACCCTCTCACACAACGGTTGCACATGTCGGCGCAGAGCTTTGATTTGCTGGTGGAACAAGCGCAGAGCGAGGCAAGAGATCTTACCCTCAAAGCATATTTCCCATTGTGAGTATGACCCACAAGCATCAACGACAGTCATTCTGACGCGGACAGATACGTTTGCATCGGGCGAAAGCGGGCATGAAGAGGCAAGGAGGCCTCTAGTAACCACCTCTACAGCCGTCACGGGTATGGGTAGGCATCGTGAGCCATGATCCGGCCTGATTGTGTCGCGTACTTTCGACAGCACGTTGTCTCTTCACGGTATTTCAACTCGGTTTCAGTAGATTCGCAATTGCATTTGCACCTGCGTTATTCATGTTGAATTAGCCACGGTTAGTGAAACCAGTTTTCTTGAACCCATCTGTACCTCGTGAACCATCTGTACTTAGTGCTCTCCAATGAGACACGATCTGCTCAGATCGCTGCGGGAAGGCTGACTGGCTGGCATGGTCGCACAAGGCGGTATTGAGCAGGCCGAACGGGCCATGTCTTGTAGTACTCTGGCTTGGTACGCCGTGTCTGGCTTGGAAGGCAAGGTCCCTCCGATCATTGCGGGTTATGGCTCGGAATCGGAGGATCGGAGGATCGAGCAGATCTGGAGGCTGCACTAAGCGTCGCCACCACACTTATAGCGGAGCCCAATCCCCTGATTGACACGATTGCGAAGATGAGGCTCTGGGTCAATTGAGTTGAGAGAACAAGCTCAGGGGGCTCGGACCCGACCTGGCGGGAAGGGACGGGGGAACGTTGAGGCGTTTCGCGCCTTTGGGCCGCCAAACATGGGGTGCGCTATGAGTTGGGGTTGGGTTTGTCTGAGTGTGCTCATGCTTCAGGCTCATGTCACACTTGCAGCAATGTCCGGAGAAGTCTTTGAATCGCGATCTCTGTGGATCGTAGATCTCTGTTTACCTACACTCGATGAATCCCTGGATACCAACTGCCCGAAAGCTTATCCTGAACGCCTGAACACACCGGTTCATTTACCGGGCTATGGGTATTCGCTGCTTCAGAATACCCCTGTCGGAGCATGGACCAGTGTCGAGAGCAGTTCATGGACAACAATAGTAGAGATCACGAGCGTGGGCCTACAGGCCCATGGGTGGATGACGCGAATGTCGTTGGCATTGCCTTAGCTTAGGGGAGACTCCGTTGCGGCGCCGGGAGTTCGACCTCACTACAGTTCATCCTGGAATGCTCTCAGACCTTGACTTGCCCGCATCGCTATTTGAATATTTGATCATCAAATACATCGCCCAGGTTGTTCAACGCATCTCTTAAACGAGCTTTGTGAGGTATCGTGAGCACAGACTCTACCCGAGACCATCACCGATGCGATCGATCTTCCTCCCGGGGTCGCAAAGGGTTATCAGAGCCAAGTCGCACGGTAATAAACGGCTAGGGAACCCCTTAGAAGATTGTAAGGTTGATTATCAAGCTAAGTCTCGAGTTTCCTAATCTTTGCCGCCCCAAGTTGAGCTTGATGGCCATTATCAGCTTCCTCAATACAGATGTGGTGCCCAAACCCCTGCGCAAGCAGTCATAACTACCAGCCAGGGCATACTGACGTAGAAGGAACAACGTGTCTAGAGACGACATGCTGAGGACGAAGTCCAGAAGGACCGAGAGAATAGAGTTTGCACCTTGAATCAGGGTAAACATGCGGGAATGTGTCAGAAGCCATTGGGAAGCCAAGACAAAATATACTGCCCATATCATTTCAGCAACACACGGACGACTAAAACCAGAGCCAAAATATACATTCCCATCATATATTTAGAGTAAAAAGACGCAATTCAAATGTCCGATCTAGATCATTGGTCGCCTGATAAACAAGGCACATATATGCCCCAATCGGGTAAAGCGGCGGGGAGAAAAAAAAGTTGGAGCGCGGATTTTCAGAGCTGCGGACCATCACAGTTTGCGCCCATACCGCAACCATGCCTTCCAATAACAACAAAGAAAAGCCGTGGGATACGGATGATATCGATAAGTGGAAGGTAACACAAACCCACAATCATCCCCTTCTAAAGCCATTGCCCCAACTAACAGTCCAACGCTTTCAGATCGAAGAATTCAAGCCCGAAGACAATGCCTCCGGAAACTTCGCAGAGGAGTCCTCTTTCATGACTCTCTTCCCCAAATACCGCGAACAATACCTGAAGGAAGCATGGCCCGTCATTACCAAGTCCCTGGAGAAGCAGGGCATCGCCTGTACACTCGACTTGGTCGAGGGTAGCATGACCGTCAAGACAACCCGCAAGACCTACGACCCGGCTGCGATTCTCAAGGCGCGTGATCTCATCAAGCTCCTTTCCCGAAGTGTTCCCGTCACCCAGGCCCTGAAAATCCTCGACGATGGCGTGGCTTGCGACGTGATCAAGATTCGCAACCAAGTCCGGAACAAAGAGCGCTTCGTCAAGCGTCGCCAGCGTATCCTCGGCCCCAACGGCTCTACCCTCAAAGCGTTGGAACTCTTGACGAGTACATATATCATGGTCCAGGGTAACACGGTGGCGGTGATGGGTCCGTTCAAGGGTCTGAAGGAGGTGCGACGAATCATCGACGACTGCATGGCCAATATTCATCCTATCTACCATATCAAGGAGTTGATGATCAAGCGTGAGCTAGCCAAGGACCCCACGCTTGCCGACGAGTCGTGGGACCGCTTCCTGCCTAACTTCAAGAAGCGCACCCTGTCCAAGCGCCACATGCCCTTCAAGGTCACCGACAAGACGAAGAAGGTGTACACGCCGTTCCCTCCCGCCCCCGAGAAGAGCAAGGTGGATCGGCAGATCGAGTCTGGAGAGTACTTCCTGTCCAAGGAGGCCAAGGATCGTGCTCAGAAGGAGGAGGTCATGGAGCGCCAGCGCGTCAAGCGCGAGGAGAAGATGAAGGAGCGCGAGAAGGATTTCATTGCCCCCGAGGAGGATGGACCCGTGAAGAAGGAGAAGAAAGACAAGAAGGAAAAGAAGGAAAAGAGCAAGCGAAAGCGCGAGGCGGAGGCCGAGGCCGGTGGGGACGATGCCGACCGCAAAGAGAAGAAGAAGAAGAAGAAAAGCAAGTCCAAGGACGCGTCCGACGACGAGTGATATCCTTGTCTTTGGTTTTGAACTTTGGCGCTTGTGGCAGTGCATGGGTTTGGCGTTTCCCTCGTTTCTTCTTGACTCTTTACAGTGTCTATGGCCTGTATGTAAAATGACCAATATCATGTTATTTTTTGAACGATGATCCATTAAGAATAGATTCCATTTTTACGAGAAAACATAGAAGAACCACATCTGCGAGATACCGAGAGCAAAGTCCGGAGCTTGCCCATCCCATTGCCTTAATGAATCCAATCAGTAGCTCGAGGCTCGAGAACTGCCTATGGACTCTCTTGCTTTTAACGACAAGGATACGCGAGAGCAGGCGCAGAAGCTGCTATTTCAAGGTGAAATTGCCGCGGATTCCCTAGGTTATTTGTAATTTCGGTGAGGATACGGGACTTGCTAGACTTTTACATGACCGGTATCACGCTCAGTCGGTTGTCAGCATGAAGATGTCTACGGCAGTCATAAACAATGGGTTCATGGCCCTTGTCAGTTGATCGTCCCTGGTTCCGCCCATTTATAAGTTGCTTAAACGAACCAGGAATACAAGAAACATGATCTAAATAGGTAGCTGTGATTTAGCTCCCCGGGCGTGGTCGAGGATATTGAATTTGTCACCTTGGAAACGGACGATAGGGAGGTCTAGAAACCCTACCGCCGGATCCTGAATATAACATAAGCGGATCCAAATAGGCGTCTGCCACTGATCACACCGGATCCCTCGAAAGCTATCCAGAAGGATACCCTGTGAAAGGAACCAAAAGAGCTCTAGAAAGAGCTCTAGAGAGATATTAAGAGATAGGTTGACAAAGACCCTTTTATGTTGTCTTCTTGGGAGGACTGTGGCCACTGCCATAGCTGAGATCAGAGATAGATTCCAGTTGGTGGCGATGTTGTTCAAGGGAGAAATCCCAAGCAGAGTCGCCCCGACATGGGAAACAGGTCAGTCATCCCTTCCCGAGTTGCATTCAGGCCTCCACTAAGTACCAGCAGAACGGTTGCCTAGACAGGCTTAAAAGGGCGTCTATACTTGATTTGGAGAATTGATTTAGGCTTCATGGCGTTGATACTTCGGCGCCGAGATGGGACTTCGGCGCCGAAACAACAATTATTGTGTTTTCTCACCACCATTCAAGCTATAAAAGCCTCGCCATAGACTTCAGACGTATCCTACTCATCAAGAAATTCCTCCTCGCTTTTATATTATCATTCTATAAAATGGCATTTACCACCCACCAACCTGTCATAGTGGTCGGCGCCAGTCTGGTCGGACTTTCCGCAGCTCTATGTCTAGCCTCTCACGAGGTGCAGACCATCGTGCTCGAGAAGCACTCGGGCATTTCGAAGCATCCTCGAGCAATCGGTTTCACTGCACGAACAATGGAAATCTATCATTCCCTCGGTATCGAAAATGAAGACCCGGCACCAGAAGACTTCAAACTCGAGCGAGCCCACGTCGAAAGCATCACAGGCAAATGGTTCGACAGTTCCTCTTGGTCCGATACAGAGAGAAATCTCAAGCCAGAAGCCCCAAAAGAGCATCTTCAGAAAGAAAACACTCCCAAGAAAGAGTATTCTGCTGTTCGGGGGTCCGCCATCCCACAGGATAAACTGGAGCCAATTCTCGAATCATTGGCCCTCGAGCGTGGCGCAGACATTCGTCGTCAACAGAAAGTCATCCACGTGGAACAAGATCAAGACGGAGTCACAGTTACAACAGAGTCTCATGGTCGGCAGCAAACCATCCGAGGCTCCTACCTCATCGCCGCCGATGGCAATCGCAGTACCATTCGTGAGCTGCTTCAGATCCCTCGACACGGCCGCGGATTTATGCAGAATCTTCACAGCATTCTTTTCCGTGCACCTCTCGCCCAATGGACGAAAGGATACGTTCAATTCGACATAGACCAGCCCGATCTTAAAGCGTTCCTTGCTTCCTACAGTGACGGACGCTGGGCCCTTATGTCCAAAGATGGCATTGAGCGGGGAGAGCCAGCTCTACGTGCTGCTATCTATGAAGCTGTTGGTAGATCGGACTTTCCCATAGAGATCATCACGACCGGTCAGTGGGAGTTGACTGCTCTTGTGGCGGAAACCTTCCGTTCTGGACGGGTCTTTCTCGCTGGTGACGCGGCGCATACCCTACCTCCCAATCGTGGTGGATATGGAGCAAACACAGGTATTCATGATGTGCATAACTTGGCATGGAAGCTTGCTGCCGTTCTCTCTGGGGTGTCTTCGTCGGACCTTCTCGATACATATGATGCCGAGCGTCGTCCGGTGGCTCTTCTTCGACATGATCAAATCTTTGTACGCGCTGATTATAAGGTGCATTTAGACACGGCCACCCCAGTTGGTGAGAAAATTGATGATGATGCCATGGAGTTTGGTCAACTTTACCTGTCAAAAGGAATTGATGGAGCTGATGGAAGTCTGCCGAGGGCGATGAAACCTGATGAGTGGCATGGCCAGCCGGGTACACATTTGCCACATTTGTGGACTTTCAGAAAGGAAGAAAGGGTCCCTATTCTTGATGTTGTTGGTCAAGACAACTGGACCTTGATTTCTGAGATCAACGAGTGGAGTGATATTGCTTCACGGGTGAACGAAAAGTCGCCCCTTCCGCTCATCTCGATTCATATCGGTCGCGATGTGCAGCTTTCTCAGCTGGACGAGTTCCAGATAGCTTTCGGTGTTACTAAGACCGGTGCCACTCTTATTCGTCCAGATGGGTACATTGCATGGAAGGCAAATGAGTTACCAGCTAATGCAGACGAGGTTCTGAATAATATCTTGGATAGGGTTGCATTCAGGATTGCTGCCTCTGCCCATTAGGAGGCGTAGCTATGATCTTTTTTGTTATGTATCTGTTCACCGGAGTTCTTCTTTACAACGTGACACCTTTTGCCGCAGCTGATAGAATAGACCTGCTTATTGAGTGTTTGGGCCTATTAAAGGTTTTTCTTCTATCTCCTGCCTTCTCTAAGGCGATTATAGCATCGGCTGATATCGATAGAAAGTGGTCAATTCAAAATTACAATATAAGATTTCAGTCACGTAAAATACTTTAATAGGGAAAGCAAAATCTATGGCTATAATTCTACAAAGAACACTGAAAGGTCAAGGTGCCACATCCTGGGCCAACGCATCTTCACTCAAAAAGACAGTCATATTGATCAAGAGCATCCTGAAGTATCAAAGGTTTCAATGTGCGGACATCATGATTTTGACTCCTTATACTGATCAGCAGGCCATGTACCTCGCTGCTCTGGATAGTGAGGAGCGAGTATGGGAAGCTCAGTTCCGAGGCATGAATGACCAAACCTTGAAGCTGAGCCTTAATGGTGTCCGCGTGAAGACTATTGGTAGTTGCCAGGGATAAGTGGCCGAAATAGTGACCTTCGGCCTCGTCCGTACCTCCGGCTGGGGATTCCTCACAGACAAGCACCGTCTGTGTACCGCGTTTACCCGAGCACTGAGTGGCCTGTACGTCATGTTCAATGGGAAAGAAGCCCTCCGGTTGTCTCCAGCAGAACGACCCTTCTTTCCCGGGCAACTCAAGATTTTAATCCCCTTGTTTCGACCAAACAATCTAGAGTCCATCAATATGACAATCTTACGTCGTAGCCCCTCTCGTACGGTGTTGATCATAGACTGCGGCTGAACATTGCGACGACGGGCAGTACCGATGGTGATCAGATGCAGCGGTAGTGACTAGAACAGAAATGTTGAGAAATACTGTAAACTTCTCGGATGGAGGTTAACGTACAGGTACTCCAGCCTGACCAAGGTGATAATTTGAATGCTCTTGAAAAGCGGCCATACCCGGTCTTCCGAAGTGTGTTTAAAGAGATTTTTGAATTAGATATTGGAAAGGAACAGAAAGACGTCAAAGAACACATCCATGAAATTTGACGGAAAGAAGCTGAGAAGGACAGGAAAAATCCCTTAGATTTCTTTAGATTATTGTCTTGGTCGGGCTGTAATCGCTGCGGGGGGAGCGTAGAGAAAATTTCCTAACTCATACTTTATTGGCAATTAACTACTAGATGGGATGCTTCGCTACTTAACAACACGTCTTCCCCTTCTCACAATTACCACCGTGATGTACACCAGCCCAATCACAGCGGCCACTACGCCGTATGAAATCACCGCGGCGCGAGGAGCATCAGGCATGCCGATGCCTGTCAATTGAAATCCAAGGCCAACATTGATGACTCCAAGAACGATCATCGTTCTCCCAAACCACCGGTGCAAATATGCAAATGGTCCTTTGCCACCCGATTTGCGGAAATGTCGATGTTGCAACCATCCCATCGCTGGCTGAAACATTGTCAAACCGGCGACCACCACGATTCCGATTACCGGATGATGATGGCTCAGTAGTTGAAGATCTTTGGCCATGGAAATCCCTACCCCCATCCCTGCAATAGCCATGGCAAGTGTAAAGAGCTGCAGACTTCCGTGGATGGCCACAGTGCCCGATGGGAAGAGATGCAAGGTCAACGCAAAGCATGGAAACAGCAGAGTAAAAGCAAGTGTCATGAGCACGGCGTGTGCCTTTTTCTTCCGGTCGAGTACCTCATCAATCTGCGGGCCAATATCCATCGCGCTACCCGCTGTTGGACTGGATAAATCCAGGAAAGGGTTTCTAGAACTCGTCCCTGTCGCCTGGTTCAGGTTCACGATCTCTTGACCCACGCTGTCATGCTCGTGAATAATCGCAGACAGGCTGTTGGAATTCAACGGTTTTCCATATTTCACAGCCCAAATCCAGTTGCTCTGAGAATTGTTTGGATCCAGGCGGCCTCCCTGCCATGTGATGCAACTGTCACATCGAAAATTGGCAGTAATGACTCCATCGTGAATTCCAGTGCCGTTCATGGTGCTTATTGCGGCATTCTCGTTGTAAAGAGGCTGTATCTCTCCTTTCCCCAACCTCGGAGAGATTGTTACATTGTTTCCCAAGGTATACACCACGAACATGTTCGCCCCTATCATTGAGGTGCCCTGGCCCAAGGCAAACCACGTCAACTCCTTCGTGGCATTGAGCTGGATATAGATGGGACCGGTCCCCCTGGTCGCTGTATCTTGTGGAACATGGATACTGTAGGTAAGCGTATTGTCTCCGGGAGGCGTGAAGCTTGCAAATTGCGTTGCAGTGACGGAAAGTGCCCAGGTGAGCGAAAGAAGAGTTCTGCGTGCGGTCATCTTAATGGAAACAGATAGTTATACTTCACATCCCCACAAAAGGAGGGGCGAGCACCCATAAATAGTCGGTCGTTGACGGACAGAGACCCGTTACACAGAATGCCCAATTGACACCTGTGTATACAAATCAACTGGGGAAACGAATCCATTGAGCCCAGGGCGTTCCTCGTAGTCACATTCCTCAGTGAGATCGGTGTGACCGACTCCGCCAAACACCTTCTACAATAGGCAGGCTTCGACTACCAAATTCAGTATATCAGATTGATCATCATCGGTTAGGAGGGCCAAGAGATATTTCAGACGCCATTCTGAGCTCTACACCAATCTCACGCTGCGTCTTCAGCGTTACCGATTACTTCTGGAATACTGACCTTCCAAATGTGTAATCCTGCAACGATCCAAACCCCCTTCCCACTTCCTACTTCCAAATATGTAATTCAGTGTGGGCCGATACGAGAACGAGGCTTACTATCGGGACTCCTAGCGCCCGGACCCCGCAAACTAAAGTCTGTTTGAGGCTATTGTATTGACGGCCGTCTGTGGCTATGCTGGGAGCTTATTCTTAGCGCATCGGGATGACATCTCAGCATCCCTTGACTTGATTGGGGAAAAAAGATTACAAATCGAGTATATTGGGGAATTGGTCTATCTAGGCAGCCACTATTATTCTCGATAATCGGATCGCGTCACTCCAGAACAAAATTGGATCAAGGCGCATGGCTAAGCCTCACCAGGCACGAAAACGGGACTTCTTTCACGGCGTGGCACTAAACTTCAGAAATTGAAAAGGTCATCGGAATTGCCAAGCCGGTAGTGGAGTCAACAAGACTTGACGCAGGCCCAACATCCGAATTACATAAAACTAGACTGGACAGCGACGGGCATTGTACTCGCAAGAAGGGAGCGCAAAATTGTTTTTGCTGAGACTGCACTCGTGCATAGATTACCTGAGTCTCGACAAGGAAGTTCATCTATTACTAAAACAGCATTGACGCCCGCTCCGATGGAGCTTGCTTACCTATGTCAGCAAATCCTGTCCGTAAAGGGTCATCCAATGTGATCACCTACCGCAAGGACAGGCCATGCTCAGGGATAATTCGTAGCTAGCGCCCCCAGCCAGACCGGAAGAGACCTACTCAAAGTAGAAGTGCTTTGAGGACCGCTTCACCTCCGTTGGCTTTCAAGGCACGGTTATAGAAAGGGAAACTGGCAACTTTAATCAGCACTACAAAGTTTTAAAATCACCCACAGTGGGAGAGTTCAAATTATCAAGCTCTATTCCAACCCTTTTCTGAGGAGGATTTGGGGTAATTTCCACGGCCAGGTAAGTCAGGCTATAAGTAAACGAGGGATAGAAGGCAAGGTATGCGATCGTTGGCTCTGTTGCATTTTAACATAGATACCGGTTTCGACTCTCGGGAACCAATAACTACCCTCATATTGAAGAATGGACGAGCTGCTTGGTAAAAGTATTATTGATATTAAGGTTCTCCTGCTCGTGCAGATACAAGTATCTTCACCAGTTGCTTTGCGTAGTCTCCTTGTTTTCTTCTTGCACATTTGTGCATATCAGAGGCATACGTTTCAGGTAAACACAATGGACATGAGATAAAATTAATACGAGAAGAGCCTCGGCGGTATTCCCTCTCTGTGTAATATTGTCAGCTCAGGAGTGTGACAGGTCCAGGGATAAGCTTACAACACCGCCGTAGACTTGGGCTGCTTGGTAATGTGGTGTGAATAAGGCGGACTGCCAGCTCCCGGGGAGGCTCAGTACGTCAAAAAGCCATGGGAGTTCCATGCTCCTAATCCGAGCCAAGAAAACCCAGTAGGCTGGTTGTTTTGAAGCCGTATTCTCTCGGAACTCTAAAGGCGCCACTTAAAAAAGAGAATGACCGGCACTCGCAGAACCTGTGGAAAGATCCCTCATACAGACAGTAACCATATTCTCCAACTTTTTCCAAATGTTGTAATTCTATAAACCCTTCGCTTTATGCCGTTATGGCAATCAAGAATTTTCGCTTGAAGCTCCGCATTGCTCTGCTGACTGTTACATGTGCACATACATGTATCTGGAGTAGGATCAGCAATAAAATACAACTGGTTTGAAAGAAAAAGAAAAAGAAAAGGCGGGGGGCGTGACATCTTTCCTCGGACGTAGTTATTCGAAGTCATCCCAAATGATATCTCGAGAAAGAATAGAAAGGGGGCACATAGTTTTGAAGGGATCAAGAAGATATAGAGAACTAACTGATGGAGCAAATTTCAATGCCCCTCTATACTACTGTATCTTCTTGGTCGGGTCATTGTACGGTTTCGTTTCTGTTGGGGTCATGCCCAGGTCTCCAACTTTTAGTGCAATGTATCGGCTAAATGACTGCGAGATAAGGAATTGGCGTCAGGCACAACAGCCCACTTTTTTATTGACCATCAGGTTCAATCTCCAAATGCCAAGATGTTTTGATAGCTGCTGCGAAGTTCCTCGGGATATTTGAGAAAGATCCACTGGGATTCTCCGTGGCTGCGCTCGTAGCATTTGCGTTGCCGATTTTTGGGATCAATGCGAAGAATAAAACTGAACGCTCTCCCGATCCATGCGACGTAGAGCCCCGGTCAATTGGCAAGGCGTTGGATGGCCGGGATTCTTTGTGAGGGGAAGGCAAGCGGGGTATTTCTTATCTATCGCCCTAGTGCCAATGTCGGCAACTTCCTACCGGTTTATATCTCCCAACATCGCATAACTATGGATAGTTACCATGTGCCAAGCCCGGTGCAATCTTACGTTCTCCAAATGCAGTCTCAAGGCATGATTGAGTAGGACTCCAAATAGACCCTCAAAGCACCCAACTTGCTCAAGTGAGTTTCATCTCTCAATCAAGCTATAGGAAGTAGCATCGGTGCTATAGTAGCTCGAACGACTTCACTATGTTGTTGAAACGCTGCTTAGATCAAAAGATATTTCTTTTCGCCTCACTTCTGTTTACTTCCATTAAGTTTTCTCACGCTGAAATTGTTGACAACGGAAAACTGGTCATCTTAGATGGCATCAATTACTATGCGGGAGGCATTGCCGTGTCGAAGCTTGTTCCCCTGCCATCTTTTAACTTGACATTCACCGATGGAGATCTCGTTCCAATTACAGTCATACGGTCGGACAAAGATAAGTTCACGTACAGTGACATGGAAGAAGCCATCTCGAATTTTACACAGTCGGACGATGTGTTTCAGCAAGGATTTATGGAGGGTAACTGATTCTGCATGATCTCTCTCGATCCAGGGCTGTGCTGACAATAATACAGCCATCTTCCTGAGCTACGATGGAGACGGCCGAGGGCATATTGAGATCTCAAACTTCAATGATAAGGTATTACATGCTTCGTCGAGCTACCATCCGCAAGGGCACGTTGTGGGGGCAAATCTCAACAGTCATATCCCGCAAGGTCCATACTTTATTTCGCCAAGTACTGGTAACATTTATGAAGCTTTCCGGCTCTATCCTGATCATCAATTAGCTTTCACTGAAGCAGCTATCAGTGATGGAAACGGCGGCTTCAAGCCATTGCCAGCAGTTACAGAAGTAGGTTTTCAGTTTATCCAGCTTAAGTAAGTCTCTCACCGGTGTAGGGTGCCATGACCAAGAGTGTTGCTGTGCCTTCTCGATTGTACTACACTCCCAGTTTGGACAAGCCTCTCGCCGGAGTAAGTTCCATAATAGGATTTTGTTGATACACATCTAACTGAACTTCAAAAGCTACGTCTTGGTGTCAAGGATATCTTTCACTTGAAAGGTCTTCGAACTAGTGGTGGAAATCGTGCATTCCATGATTTATATCCTCCGCGTAATGCCACCGGCTCAGCCGTTCAGCGCTTGATTGATATGGGCGCAGTAATCGTGGGAAAGATGGGAACTGTACAGTTTGCCAACGGCGATAATCCCACGGCAGATTGGGTGGACTTCCACTGCCCCTTTAATCCGAGAGTAAGTTTTACATCTTCTCATTTCCGTTTTCATACTGATTCATATACAGGGAGATGGCTATCAAGCTCCAGGCGGCTCCTCGTCGGGTCCTGGAGCTGGTATGGGCTCGTATGACTGGCTTGATATTGCCGTGGGTAGTGATACAGGTGGCTCTATGCGTAGCCCTGGGGGAATGCAAGGTCTCTATGCCAATAGACCTTCAATCGGAGCAGTGGATCTCGATGAGGTTCTTCCATTGTGCGATGCAATGGATACGGCCGGGGTTTTCGCACGCAATGCACAGACCTGGCACACTGTGATCCATGCTTGGTATCAAAACTTTACTGATTATAGAAGGTACCCCAAGCGGATCTACTATTCTAATTCTTCTTTCCCAAATGTGGATACCGATGCTGGTGCTCTTCTTGAAAGCTTCGTTGTCAAGTTGGAAAATTTCTTGGGTACGAAGAGAGAGCGTGTGGATATCTCTACGCACTGGGAAAATACACACCCCACCGAGGCACCGAGCAATATATCAGATCTATTGAACACGGTAAGTAACTTTCGAACTTCATACCCCAGGGTAGTAGTTTACTTGATAAATATGCTGACCCCTTTTAAATAGACATATGCTACCCTCGTGTCGGTTTATCAATACGACAATCTAGCTCTTCCCTTTTTCGCAGACTATGCTAAGAAGCATGACGGTCGCCGTCCCTTCATCAACCCAGGGCCTTTGGCCCGATGGACATGGGGCCAAGACAATGAAGGAGACACAGGCTATCAGGTAGCATTGAAGAATAAGACCATGTTCAAAAATTGGTGGGAATCAGATGGGTTCGGAGTGGCTCACAAAGAGACCTGCTCTGAGGGAATTTACCTGTACCCGTACACTACGGGCCAAACACAATACCGCAATGTTTATTTCAGGTAGGTTTTGAAAGTCTTCGTTTGAAAGGCACTTGGGCTGACTTGATGTGTAGTGCTCCCACAGCGCCGCCAATGGGTTTCTCTGACGGGCGGATTGGACCACTGACAGGTGTACCTGATTTCGTCGTGCCTATTGGAGAGGTTCCTTACAATTCTACTATCTCTCTCACGACAGAGTTCATGCCGGTGACCATGAGTTTCTTGGCGTCTCGAGGCTGCGATTTTATGTTGGTGAATCTCATCCGTGAATTGGAGGAGACTAGGATTTTGAAGCCGGTAGAAACAGGAGCAAGGATGTACCCTCAGTAGAGAACTTGGTAGGGGAAATAAATTTGTGTCATTTTAGAAGAGGCTCTAGAAAGAATGAAGGGAAGAAGGTCCTGGTGACAAATGAATTATCTCCAAGTGCACCAGATCGTCATTTCCAGAATGGGCACATATATGATGAGCTTTGATCTCCATCCTGAAGAATATCCGCAGCATGACTGATTTCAAAAAGATGATCTTGAGGGTCTTTTTCGACGTCTTTCTAAGCACCTCTAGAGCACTTTTAAGGCCTTTTTTTGTTCCTTTTCCGAGCCACCCCCTAATTAACTTCGAATACATCTAGTGTGACCAGTCACGGATGCTTATTTGGAGCATCTTGCATTCTAATCACTGGCCCGGCTCTAGACGAGTCCCAGTTCCGTGATATAGCGCTTGTTTTAGAGGGTGAGAGGGTGCTTCGGCGCCGAGTCTCACTGACACCTCGGCGCCGAGATCTGGGTCTCGGCCCTAGATGCAACTATAAACACCAAGAAACGCTGTGTTCCATTCTGGACCCTTTTATCACAGCAACAAGGAAGAGAAATCCACATCTTAAGTTATCCTCTGATCTTTTTTCTTCCAGTTCCACAACCTCCACAACCACCTCGCATGGCGGAGCCTCGAAAGCAAACAAACCCAGAAGGCCCGCCTTCAGAGAAGCCGGCCGATGCGTCCCGAACAAATGAAGAAGCCCAAGAAAAGGCTCAAGCTGAAGAGCAATTCATTACTGGGACGCCACTTGCTTTGATTACGGTGGCACTCATCAGCGCCATGTTCCTCGTTGCACTGGTAGGCTGTCTCCCCAATGACTTGGGTATACGAATACTCACATCCGGTTCGATAGGATCGCACAATTATTGCCACGGCCGTACCAAAGATCTCCGATCGATTCCACGCTATTGGAGATATAAGTTGGTATGCGAGTGCCTACTTGTTGACGAGCAGCGCAACCCAGCTCATCTGGGGTCGTGTGTACACCTTCTACTCGACCAAGATGCTTTTCTTAGCTGCAGTCGTGGTCTTCGAGATTGGGTCCGCAGTTTGCGGTAGTGCACCCAGCTCCAAGGCTTTTATTATTGGACGAGCAATTGCTGGAATTGGGTCGGCTGGCATCTTCAATGGATCAACGGTCATCGTTTCGCAGGTGCTACCTCTACATAAACGCCCAATGTACATTGGCCTGATGGGCTCCACATTTGGCATCTCATCTATCGTCGGTCCTTTGCTGGGAGGTGCCTTCACCGATCGAGTGAGTTGGCGGTGGTGCTTCTACATCAAGTGAGTTCATGTCAGGTTCTAGCATGAGGTCAACTAATTCTAACTCTTTCACCTTCTTCTAGCCTTCCGATTGGAGGTCTTACTCTTTTTATCATTGCTCTCTTTCTTGATGCACCGCCTCGCTCCACTACAGCCACACTACAGCGCCAATTGATCCGACTTGATCCCTTGGGTACAGTCCTATTCTTGCCAGGGGTGGTTTGTCTGCTGCTGGCACTCCAGTGGGGCGGCACTTCCTACAGCTGGGACAATGCTCGTATAGTCTCCTTGTTCGTCTTAGCGGGCATTCTGCTCATCGCCTTTGGCTTCGTTCAAATTTGGCGAAAAGAAGATGCAACGATTCCACCGCGAATCATCAAGCAGCGCAGTATTGCGTTTGGTGCAGTCTATACATCCTGCGTCTCCGGGGCAATGATATCAATGCTCTATACTCTGCCACTGTGGTTTCAGGGTGTCAAAGACACCAGTGCGGTGCAGTCAGGAATAGACAGTATTCCAATGGTGCTGTCATTGGTTGTTGCAAGCATTCTATCCGGAGCAACTATCTCACGCACGGGACATTATGTACCGTGGATGTTTGTCGCGGCCATTTTCATGGCCACTGGGTCGGGTCTGATTACCACCTTCAAAGTCGATACGAGCCACTCGGCTTGGATCGGATACCAGGTTCTCTTCGGGTTGGGGCTCGGGTCGGGGATGCAGCAGCCGACCATGGCCGCACAGACCGTGCTCGAGAAGGCCGATGTCCCCATTGGAGTTGCTCTGATGTTCTTTTTTCAATCCATGGGAGGTGCTGTCTGGGTTGCCGTCAGTCAGAATCTCTATACCAACTATCTGACCCAGCTACTGCCCAGCATTTCTGGTATCGATCCAAATGCAATTCTCAAAGCTGGTGCAACAAGCCTGGCCGATCTGGTCCCGGAAGACAAGCTTGGCACTGTGTTATTCGTTTATAATGTGGCACTTCGTAAAGCGTTCCTTTTACCGGTGGCGCTGTCCTGTGCCATGGTCCTGCCGGCGCTAGGTATGGAGTGGCGCAGTGTCAAGGAGAGTGAGAAGAGATAAAAAGACGCGCTCGGAAACGAAGATTATCTGGCAGACTTCATGGGTGACAATGCCAGAGATTGAGAAGAATGTCTCAGGTTCAGGCTCTGCGCATCAATCTGATCTAAATTTTGGATCGAAGAAAGGTGCCTTTCGGAGCACATAGTTCAGTAGTAACATCCCCACCGATTATTCTGCACGCGCAACATTGTACTCCCTGTGCCGCTTTTCACGCTTATAGTTTTCCTGCAAGACTCCACTGAGTAGATCCGCCAGTGGCGATTTCACATGTTATAATGTAATGCTCGGATCTACCCTCGAACACGTTTTGACTGTCCTACAATCTCCCCCGATTTAAGTCGGGTATCTCGAGTTACTCTCCTCAAAGGCTCTGCATCGGCCCTCTCTGTCATCTTATACAGATTCATTAAACAGCTGAGCTGAGTCGCCTCGTCTAAGATACCTTTGCTGTTAGCGTCGATCGACTTCCATTTCAAGCAAATCGGTCTCAGCCGGTCGCCGAGATGATGATCCACAAACCCGCCCCAAATGGCATTCAAAGCCTAGGAAGAACGCATTCGAACCCACCCACCAGGTAATGATGAAAAAAATGTGTCCGGACAAAACGGCAGAAGCGAACAATGCGCGCAAACGTGCGAGATCGACCCCACCTCAACGACTAGGCGCGAACTAGCAGAACCAAGTCCCACTGTGGGTTCGAGAGTTCAGGACGAAACGAGATTTGGCAGTAGGTGGCAGGTGGCCTAAGCGGCTGTGCAGAGCTGAGCTTGATTTCTGGAGAAAATTCAGATCATGTTGCAGATCAATGATGCCACCCTGCCCTTTCCTTGCTGATATGAGAACCGCGAGCCTGGTTCAGGAGTTGTCCTCCACCCCCACAATGACCCGAGCACCTTTCTCCACGCTGACTTTTCAGTATCCACATTTTCCGAATACTACCCTTGATTCTTGATTATTGTCAATCCGTAAATTCTTCAGCGGAAATAAGGTTGTGAGGGAGACGACATGTGAAAGGGGAATATAAGTCACATGATACATGACTAAAGTAGTGTATTAAATATCAGAATTAATGAATGTAACTGGCGAGAGACGCCGAGTATAATCAGATCGTATCTACAGTAAAGCCCAACAGGGCGAGAGTCATATAGCATTACCAACCCATTAGCCGATGTGACGCGCATTCTGGTCCACCGACTCCGCCGAGATGGCGGGTTCATGAGAGATCTCGATGGTTGTTTCTTGGTACACACCTCCGAAATCGGACAATTCCACGCCATCTTTGGGAACGATCTCTTCCGTTGATCCTTCAAAGGGACTATTCCTAGTCTCCTTATCCGTGGCGGGCGCGCTGCGATGCCATTTGGAGCCGAATCGGGATCCCTTGCCGTATCCTCCCTTCTTGGAATGAGTACCGGCAGTGGTTGTGATCTGAGTCTGCCATTGAGAATCTGTTCCATCATAGTTCCGGTCCGTCGTAGAATGCTCGGTATCGATGATCAAATGGCGACGAGTAAGAGTGTAGACCGCTACATCCATGAAACCTGATAGTGACATCAAGCAGCCAGCCACACCGAAGTAAGTCTTTCCCGGAGGAGTACCACGAGCAGTAGCCATACGGCCAGCCGCAAGTGGCAGTGACAAGACCAAGTACACAAGCGGATAGATAACCATGTAAATAACCACTCGGTTCAGCCGGCGGAGACTCTCTTGCTGACCTTGACGCAACTGCTTCGCTTGACGCATTTTGCGGCGAAGGAATGTGAAGAGCAATCCATAAAGGATCAGATTCAAAAACTAGAACACTGTTAGCAATAGCATCTTATTGGGGGGGCGGGTCTGAATGATGTACCTCAGCCAGGAAAATGAAGATATAGTGTCCCCAGAGACGTTCATTCTCGTGGTCGGGACTCAACCAACACTATACAGCGGTTTCGATCAGTTTGCATTCGCAAGGTTGTTGGAATTATTTCTTTCAGAGATGGGACCTACCCAATTGGCTTCCGAGATGACAAAGGACTTTGAGCCGTAGAGGCCAATTGGAATGAAGCCCAGAATAAGAATGAACATCCACAGTGCGATTACACAGTAGACGAAGATGTTGAATGGTAGTTGTCGGCCACGCAGTACGACGGCAACTGTGTGGAAGGCGATAGACAGGACAAATAAACCGCTGCCAGGGTCACCTGTCTGAATCCACCATCCTTGTAGATAGCAGGCAGGTTCTCCGAAATGAACACTGCCACGAGACACCCAGTACAGACTGATCGTGAAAGCAATGGCCTGTTGGAGATCGACGAGCAGAAGTTGGTAAATGAGCACAACGTATTGGTTCTTGCCAAGCGGGCTTTTGTAGTAGCGTTGCCAATAAATGAATCGATAGGTAAGGAAGGACAAGAGCGAAAGTGTAGAGACCAAGGATAGTAGGCCAAAAAATCCCATTGCAATAAAGAGCGAACGGTCGCTACCTTTGAGCGGAGCTTCATCACGAAACTCCCAGCGACGTGCAAAAGCACCACCGCTATCCCCGGAGGCTAGGGAACGCAATATGGATAGCATGACCAAAATGAATGGGATTCTGTACAGGACAGGCCGGGAATTAAAAATTCTCGACGGTCCAGGGGGAGGGATCAATACCTGTATAAGGATGCAGTGAAATTTCCGGGATATTTAGTGCCCTAGCTTCTGATACCCGACTGGCGGGACCAGCGGGCTATACCCATCAAAGATGCTCCACTGATTCTATGCTAAGCAACAAAAGCTTTCTTGGCCTCTGCTTGGCTCCTGAGCAGATCGTTACTTACTTGAAAAGAGATAGGAGGAAGATCCATAGTTCGCCACCACTGAAGTGCCTCTAACTATGCCCAGCTGGGAAATTGTGAATGGAAGGATTGTATACCACTTTGGGTAGAAGTGGATGAAGCTCTGGAAAATGTTTGGCCAATTCAAAATTTGAACCATTGGGCACTTCTGCCGAACATTACCCACCACGAAGTCTGGCACATGAATTGCCTACAGAATGCTACGTCGATCGATCGTGATTGTGGATTTGAAGCCCCCACTATGGCGACTGGATTTCCACACGATCCTCCCGGCGAGCGAATCCCAGGCAACCCCCTAGACGCCTGGTTCCGCGCCATCGAATCTTAACGCCCGGAGAACGCGAGAAGGTGAGAGGCGCAAGCGCACAGCTGTCTTGCAACGCCGAAACAATAGTATGACTGGTAACCGGGCCGGCCAAGCTGTGGAGTGTTAACGCCAGCTTTAACACAACTAGCTAGACCAAGCGAAAGGGTTTGGTACGACGGCACGTAAAGGTTAAGCCCTGAAGCTAAGAGGATGCAATTAAATAGACGTATCCGTGGACAGGAGAAATAGGGGAATGTGCCGATCTAACGATGGACTCGCATGAATAGGTTGAGCTTTCGTGACTTTATTTCACGAGCCACATTTCATCCTCTTTCGGCTGCAAAGCATATATAGGGGCTTGCTCGTTTGGTATGATCCTCCGTGTCGTGATCACCAGCACGATGGGTTGATTAGGGCTCTCCATCAGATAATGCCAGAGGCTTAATTGGGTCATAATATCTCCATTTCTTCAAGATATGGAAATTCTGTTCCCTTGGGCCGATCAATAGTATGCTCGACACTGTTAACAAGGTACCGATTAGTTGAAATTGTCAGATCACCTAGGGCCGATACGGAGAAAGCTACCTGTTGCGGCATATTGATCATCGGCCGTTTCCAGTCCACTGAGTCATTTAGTGGGGACCGAGGTTAAGATTATGGGGGCGAAATACTTGCGATGTCTCGGAGCAATAGTAGTCACGTTGCGTCGAGTTCAACCTAAGGATAGTTTCCATCTTTGAAAGATGCTGTCACTTTTTTTGGCTATATGTATTAAAAGGCGGCGTTTCACCTTCATCAAATCGTCTCCGTGGCGCAATTGGTTAGCGCGTCTGACTGTTAATCAGGAGGTTGGAAGTTCGAGCCTTCCCGGGGACGTTTGTTTTTACTTTTTACTTTTTTCTTTTTACTTTTTACTTTTTTCACCCGGAATGCAACACTTCTCTTTTTCACCTTTATGTTTATACCTAATTTGCTCGATCATCTGACCATTCCGTCTACAAAACCTCTTTTGAATCACATGTGAGTCAGGATCACATCGATGCGGCTGTTATTCATACGTGGTTCCTGCCTGATCCGTCTCGGTGTCGTTAACAATGCAACCTCACCTGTAGTCAGATATTTGGAGAACTTATCACTTCTCATTCTATTCGCATTACCGCACGTGGATGGTGCAGGTGATCTACCTTTGCCACGATACACCCTCCTCTGGGGATGGATCTACGGCTACCGTGTCTCACTAGATCCCCACCCCGCACTGCCCACTTTGCCTTAATGCAGCGATTTTGTAGCCTCAGTCGCGGAATCGGCAGGGTTTCTGGTTCAAGTGTCAGCTAACTGTCTGAGACCTGCATTGGGCATGTCTGGGCTTTGCATATGACCAGAATAGTACCGATTTCAGGCGTGCACTGGCCGGATCGTCAATATATAAATATCCCATCTGCAGTCGATTGAGTGGCATATTACGACACTTGAAGCATCTCAACTTTCATAGCCACCTTTCCTTGAAAACTTGTCTTCAAGTCATTTATCATTTTTTGGACCCAATTAAGCCCTTTCTTAACCATGAAGACCTTCTCTGCAATCACCTGTTCCATTCTGGCCACTTTACACCTCGCTGGAGCCGCCCCGGCTACAACGGCGGTGGAAGTGTCTGTCTCCTATGATCAAAAGTACGACGTTGGCAGCAGCTCTCTCAATACCGTCAGCTGCTCAGATGGAACTTATGGTCTTGAGAGCAAGTACCAGTAAGTGATTCCTTGATAGAGCATGCTCCGTCCTATTTTGGTCTAATAAATCGTCCAAAAGTACATTCGGTGGCTTGCCTAACTTCCCTCTTATTGGTGGCTCGCCGACAGTCAGCGGCTGGGGCAGCAGCAATTGCGGCCAATGCTACCAGTTGCACTACCAAGCCGGTGACGTCGACAAGACAATCAACATTCTTGCTATTGATGCTGCCCCCGGCGGTTTCAACATCGGGCTTGAGGCTTTCAACCAATTGACAGACAACCAAGGCGTCGCTCTTGGTCGTGTGACAGCCACCTACACTCTGATCGAGAACAGCGCTTGTGGAATCAAGGCATAGAATGAATAGTTGAACGAGAGGATGCAAAGTGGATCATGTTTCGAAGAGATGAGGTTTGGGCCGCTGTACATGGAGGCCAAGATATTTAAACCATGTTATACATAGAAGCGTCAATCAAGAACCTGGAGCATTTCTTCCACACGTCCCATTTTATCACGAATCTTGCCTTTTTGCTGACCGCGCTTGCGCTCAGCGGCGTCGATCCGCTGCCAGTCCTTCCAGGACGTTGACCGGAGACCGCGGCACTCTGCCTCGGCCTTGACCCCGTCCCAACCAAGACCGCTACTGTGATCGGGATCATGTAGTAATGAGCCAGAGCCACTATGGCTAGCAAGGTCCTGTATGATCGAGTCGGCTGTGGTGAAGGCATCGGTCATGGTCGAAGCGATGACACCGGTTGGGCCGCGTTTGACCCACCCGGCACAGTACAAGCCGGGCAAATGGGCAATCACAGAACCGTCGGGCAGCTTCTGCTGATCACCTGCGCTCGAGGGGCTTCTTACTCGACCGAAACCATCATTGGGAATCACACCGCGCTGATCGTCAAATCGAATCCCAATATCCTCTAGACCGGGTAAGGGTAACGACTTGTAACCTACACTGCGGAAGAAGATACTGGCAGGAAGGTTTACCATCGCAGGTTTTCCACTGGAAAGATACTTGGGTGTAACCTTGGAGCTTGGGTTGTATGGGTCTGCAGAGTCGAGTTCGTTGCGGGAGAACTTGGCATGGCTGAGATGGTACGGGTGAATCGGTGACCAATGGAGAGAGTCTGGGGAGAGAAGGAAATCTAATGACCAGGATTTGGTTGATTTCTGAGGGTCATTGGTAGAGCCTTTACCAAGAAGTTGCATCAGACGCTTCTGCGCCCGAGGCAACGCGTTCACAACATCGTCGGGAGGAAAGATGTCTTTCGAAATCGGATCAAATGCAACGGAGGGCAATTGCAATAATTCACGAATTTCTTTGATAGTAAATGCGGCCTATTGCATCCAATATAATTAGAGATTTAAATTCCACGATAGATATTTTCCACTTACCTGTAGGGGTCCTCGGCGGCCAACGACTCGTACCCGCTTAATGCGGCTTTTGGACAAAGCTTCAAGAGCATAGTCGGCAATATCAGTAGTGCGAAGAGCATCCACATCTGTCAACAATATCCTAGCCACATCAAGAGCCACGTTACCCTGGCCAACAATCACGGCATCTTCGCCGCTTGTCAGGTCGGGTTGTAGATCGCAGTGTTCGGGTAGACCATTGTACCACCCGACAAACGCACGAGCTGAATATACACCTCGGAGGGCTTTCTCCCCCGGGATTCCAAGCTCTTTGTCTTTAGAGGCTCCGTATGCGAATAAAATGGCGTCGTAATGTGGTTTAAGCGCAGTAAGAGGCAAGTCGTTACCGAGGTCGATGTTGCCGACAAAGTTGAAGCGTGGGGACGTTGCGACTTCTGTAAATGTCTCCTCACAATTCTTCAATAGACCATTAGCCCATGAAACTATATATACGGCCCGCATATCACGCCTTGAGGCACAATGGTATGCAAAAGTTGGTTTACCGAGGACATACCTTTACCTCGGGATGATCTGGGGCCACACCATAGCGCGCCAATCCGAACGGCACTGGAAGCTTTTCATACATATCAACCACCACATCCTGCTGCTTGCGTAACAAGCGCGCAGCTGCATAGAATCCCGCAGGTCCGGAGCCCACAATGGCAACGCGGGTGGGGCGGTAGGGAGTCGCATTGCTGCTCAAACGGCGGGAAGTTAGGGAGAAGGGCGCTTTGGTTTTAAGAACAGGACGAGTCACTCGCGCTGTGCATTGAGCACAGACAAATGCGCGGTCCAGCATGGCTTCAAAGAGTTGAAAGAGACATATGATCGATGGATAATCTTTATCGGAGTCACGCCCCACGTGACCGTGATAGATGGTTGCTGGGCCGACTATCATGTTTGATCTTGTTGATCTCCCTTACTCCGCACCCGTCATACTGCGATGGGCTGAGCGCATTCCATTCCTCATCCACATTCCCTATTCGCGTGGCCCACACGGCTTCCAATCACTACAATGGGGAAATCGGAGCCTCCATTCCTTTACGATCGCCCATCTACCTACAATTTCCATGGTCCGACCGACCAGGGCTTCAACCCAAAGGCCGTCACGCAGGCAAGCCGGGTTCGCGAGCAGCCGAAGCCCAAGCAAACAGGCCCGCTCCTGAACTTCAATCGCCATCCAGATTCTGTACGGGCAATCAATCTATGCGCATGTATGATACGTGGTTAACATTTAGTGGTAGTGGGCCAGCAGCCTCGACAAATCAACATGGACTCCGATGCACCCCAACACCAAGAACAGAGTCAAGTACACTCGTGGTACTCAACTCGGGTTGCGAGTTCTCACCATTCTGGGTGCTTTAGGCTCCCTCTTCTGTTCCATCGTTATTAAAGATGCCGCGACGACTGTGATTTGGATCATTCGGGCGGGAGTAAGCCACTGTGTTTACAATTGTTGATTGCGAAGAAACAAAATTGACTAACCCATGAACAAGCCCATCGTCGCAATCATGCATACCATCTACGGTATTTGTCACCTGTCTCGCTCTCCGGCTCCCCGTCCCCCTGCTTCGCAAGCCAGCTATGGAGTGTTCGCTTCCACGCTCGATTTGGGGCTGATCCCATTCTACGTGTTTACCGCAATTATTGCGCACGCGGAATACACAGAAGATGCCTACCACTGGAGTACCATGTTCAAAAGTACCGGGTTGACCGGGGACATTTCCGAGGCTATGTTCATTTGCGCCCTGGTCAATGCCGGGTTGCACCTTGTGTCGCTTTCCCTGTCAATCTACCTCGCTGTGATCTTCCGCAAGATTTCAAACTTGCCACCGGATCTGAACCCACTGGAAGACAACCTGACTGCACGTCCCAAGAGAAGCCGCAAGGAAATGAACATGGACGAAAAGCATATGAGTTCTTCCACGTTGGCGTCGACCATAGAAGATCCTCTTATTGGCCCTCCCCGCTCTGTGCCGTTTATACATACGCGCAACCAATCCTTTGGCGGCGGTTCTAGTCGAGGATCTGTGGATATCATGAATGAGAAGCGCCACTCCGAAACGTCTTTCCAGCAACACCGTCTATCTCACATGGAGCCCGCAAGCCCAGAGATGCTCTTCTACCAGCCCCCCAGTCAGCCGTTTGATCTCACATCCCAAACCTCGGCACCGGAATATAGAAATGTGCCAAAGCAACTGCCAGAATTTGTTGATCCCACTACTCACATGCGTCATTTGGCGTCTCGCACCGCGGACAGGTCAGACTCGGTGAGCCCCTTGTCCGACAACTGGATTGCATACTCAGATCGAGCTCCGTCTCCAATTAATGATGTTCATAATCAGAATGAGACTACCCTCCGTCAGTCGTCCTCTGTTTACAGTCGACGAACTGATGCAACAGGTGCCTCCACTGGAAGTGGTATTAGAGACTGGTTCGCATACGGTCAGAAGCCTGCCAGTATTGGGAGCGCGATTCCTGAAGATACTCGCGGCGAATACGCCTCTGTGGCAGCAAATGAGTACTACGGCCATGAAGACGACAATGATCACGAGCAGGATCTAGGTGATACTCGCTTCAACATTTTCCCCGACCCTGAAGAACATGAAATAGACACACAGGATGAACCAGCTCACGGGCTTCCATTCAACCCCCTCATGCTCAACCCTCCCACCCCGCAGCCTGTTCTGACGGAGATCCCGGAGAACACCGATCCTGTGCGCCGCAGTGCGCTGGGCAATAACCCGAATATGTCGCAAAATCCGAAAGCTCACGAACTTAAGCCACAAGCCACTACCGACTCTCCTCCAACAAAGAGCCGCTTCTACGGTGGCCTGGAGGAAGAAGGAAAACCGAGACGCGTCCGTTCGCGAGAACCGAGTGGTCAGGACCAAATGGCTCGCAAACCGACCAAGCTCTCCAAGAAGCGTAGCAAGAAGATGGCTGCCTACCAAACGCTTAAAAAGGATGACAGCGGAGACGAGGGTCACATGAGTCCCCCAGTCCCGTCATCCCCGGCCTTGAACGAGGGAGATCGTAAGGGTCGCGTGGTCAGCAATACCGGTGCAGACACCTTCGGGCAAAGCATCGTCGGCGGTGTTGGTGTATCCTTGTCATCTTATGGGTCTTACCTCGCTGGACTTGGTGTTCCCAAGGTTGGCACACGTCGGCGTGACGTGTCAGGAAAGGTTGCCGAAGAAGGTCGCGGAGGAAAGAGTATCGAGGTGGAACCTCACTCGAGCCCTAGTGCAAATCAATCACAGACTCGGGCTGCTGGCTGGGCACGATTTGCCGGTCTGTGACATATTTGTCGACGGGTTCTGGATATTGGGTTTTCATTCAGGGTACGGCGTTTTGACTACCATTCTGCTTGTTCATGAATGACATGTAGCGAAGATGTTTCTTTCTCTTTAAGTACATAGCGCCAAATTTACAATTTGATTCGCAGACTTCCAAAATTGATACCATCATATAATCCTGCATTGTATATGCTCGATGAGGAAGGACACGTTGAGTCGTGTCATGGCTCAGTGAATAATATGGATCCCATTTTTACCTAGAATTGAAGGACAGCCACAATGGAATCATTATAACGCCGGAATAAGCTTCTCATGAGAATACAGATTACGCAGTCGCGATGATGAATGAAAACGACACATGCTTTCCAGATCAATCCAGATATGGTAAGCCGAAATCCCAAATGTCTTCGCACCAGCTCTTTACTCCTCCACCTCCTCGACCCGGGCGGCCAAGTCCCGTTTCACGGGTGTCGAGCCCGGGGTGGATGTTGGCTGAGCAGATGTGGTCGTTGCTGAGGGAGCGGCATCACCAACATCGCTAGCGGCGGGTTCCGATTTGCTCTTCTTGCTCTTCTTCTTCTTGTTCTGGAAGTGATATGTTAAATTACCGCACTCATGGTCATAGTGGAAATAAAGAACTTACCTCTTGCCAGCCCCACAGAGGCTTGAAGCTGTCAAAGAAACCGACATCCTCAAACAAATTGGGGAACAGCCAGAGTCCCGGTGGTACAGCGAAGACAGTGATGCAGAACAGAATCAGACGGAAAATAGACATGGCGAAGAAGAGACCGAGCAGACCCATCATACCCACACTCAAGTACCAGACACCCTGGCGCAGCATGATCGGCCACAGAGGAAAGAGAACAACGGCAAAGATACCCGCAACAACGGCGGCAGCCAAGGCCTTTTGCTTCCACTGAGGTCCTTCGTACAGCCAGACGTAGTGCATCATATCATTTGTCTCCTGGTGCTGCTCGACCTTCACGGTCCAGAGACCCTTCACACGGTTCTTCGGCTTAGCATGGTCGTGCCCGGCGTGGGGGTCAATTTTGGAAACTCGCAGTGCCAGCAGCGAGAGTGGGAGGAGCTTAAACACGTTCTCGGCGGAGGCGCGGTCGGTCACAGGAGGGAGCTTGGAGTTCTTCTTTGCGGCGGCTTTAGCGTAGGCGGGAGACTCGATCGCACGGATGGCTCGCTTGACTATGAATCACAGTGATGTTAGTAATTGATCAATGAGAAGGCACGATAGATCGAGGCTGTAACGAACCCTTGAACATATCCTTTCGTTGTCCATCCAAGATGCAAGTCCGCGGCTTCAAGTTCTGCGACCGCAGGAAGTTGGCCACGGCGATGGCCTTGGGATCCGCAGGCTGACCCGGTTGTACAGGGACCTGGTGCATCTGCTGTTGTGGCGCGGGCGATTGGCCCGGTTGTCCTTGTTGTGGTGGTGCTTGACCCTGTTGCTGGGCTTGCTGGGCTTGCTGCTGGGCTTGCTGCTGAGCTTGCTGCTGATGCTGTTGCATCGCACGCATGCGCAGTTGCGCAACGTATTGCTCTGGAGTCAAACCGAGTTTCTCGGCGTCGGCAGTCAGCTGTTCGCGCTGCTTTTGTGCAAACTGCTCCGGAGTCATCCCTCTTTTGGCGGCTTCGGCGGCGAACTGCTGCTGCATGGCGGCCATCTGTTGAGGGTTGGGGCCTGCCATTGTGAGAGAGTGACCAAGATTCGACGGGTCGAAATCGAAAACAATAGGTCGAGTCGGGGTGGTTGATGTAAGAAGTTGAAAGAACGACGAAAGTGGCCAGATCTACGGGTAACTCAGGTGATCTCCGCAGCTTTCCTTCCCCGTTGTTCTATAGTATAAGCTTGGAGAATTCCCCACGAGCACTATTATTCAATCCTCCGAGCCAAATAAGAGACAGCTTCTTAGAGGCTTAGGGGCCCTGGGTAGCCACAATCATAGACTGACTTAAGGCGATCATCATACTAATTTTCACTCGTTCACTTCCAGCGCCGCTGTTTAGCCAACCGAATAATGTCTTAAACAAGATTAGGAACAATCTGGAATGAGATTCGAGATTTTACCCAGACTACCTGACCTTCACATTGGAAAATTCTTCAAAGAGAATTCTCCAATAAAGATACCCAAGTAGGTCACTAAATGACCTTCGGGGATAAACTTGCACCTGGATATGTATAGTGCCTAGGTGACTGCCAGCCCTGCAATGGTCGAGTCATTGAGCTTCGGGTCTCCTGTAGCGCCGAGAAAAGATGCTTGGAGGCGATTATCACGGAACTTAAGCTAGCTCATCGCTACTAGGCATGTCGGCAGTGGCCACTATTCACGCCCGTCTCTGGTTTGGTGGAACAATGCTGATCTAAGCGGTTTGCCGCCGCTTGGATTGGACATTGACCATACAGTAGCTTGCCTGCGCCGCCGCACCCTGCATCAACTTAATGTCCGTTTCGTATGACGCAGAGAATACCCTGGACGATGCTACCTGGGTGGCTGCGCTCCTGGTCAGTCTCTTCCCTCTTTTTTGATCGAAGCTAACTCCAGTGCAGAGTGAACGTGATGTAGCTGGCCAGATACCGATCAACTTCGTCACTAACCCTGCCGTGTCGCTTTCCTCGGCCTGCTTCGGCGCAGGCTTGTACGATCGAGAAGATGCTGCAAAATGCATTTCAAACCTCCTAGCTGTCGGATACCGACGACTAGCCCTGGACCTGTATTGGTCCGTCACGCGTAGGACATGGACCTTCTGCCCCGTCAACATCCCCGCAAGGGCCGATGTCACAGTCTCCGCGTATACATCTACAACAACAGAATCCTCGTCGACAACTATCATGACGACTACGACCGACTCATCCTCGACGACATCGGGCGCAGCAGCAGCCTCCATAACCGGTTACTCGGATAGCCACGGAGACACGGTTTATGAGCTAGGGCCTTATCGCTGCACGGATAAACTGGATCTATCCACCTTGGCTGAAATATTGGTTGGCTACTTTCAAGACACAACATCCGAGTTGACTACATACACAACCTATCTGGTATTGAACTTGCATGCAGCTAGCAGTGATTCTGCGCCCACGGAACCTGCATCTGCCGTAACTGGGAATGACTTGCCCTCATCGCAAACAGAACGAGTGGGCTCGTTTCTCGGATTGGATTTGAGAGATTACTTATACAGTCCTTCTCAACTCGCCGAAGACCGAAGCAACCTCAACGAATCTTGGTATGAGGTTGAGGAGAGTTATATGCCCATTGTGGAGTACTTCACCATTCATAAAGACAAGAAGGGTTTACATAGCACACCGGATGGATGGCCATCATCCAAGTACATCCAGCTTGCCAAGTCTGACCGTGTCATAATGGAGTACGGCTCGGTCGACCCGCAGCTTGCCACTTATGACCTGGTGCAAGATCAAGATACCATTTTCCCTCCTGGTTATCTGACAACCGAGACACAAACCTCAATGGCCACAAACGGATCTGGTACTCCGGGCTGTCTGTATAAGGCAGGTGCCACGGAAGTCTCCCAGGCGAACTCATCGTGGGCAACATCGAATGGTATCCCTGTGGCATACAGTGCATCTGATGATATTACTATGCAATCGTTAGATGACACCATTGCGGGTATTACAGGATGTGGCATGTCGCCGATGCTCAATTCTACTCTATTTGAACAGACTGCGGAAGTCAATGTGGACCATTACCGTAATGTCTCTCTTGCGGTGTCATGGGCATGGGCAATTGGAGAACCAGAAGGTGCAGATTCTGGCGGTGGCACTCAAGGTGTTCCCACATTTGATCGCTGCGCCATCATGGACCTCTCACTGGGTGGCCGCTGGCGTGCCACCAATTGTACCGAGCAGCGACGGGCTGCATGTCGAGTGGGCAATTCGCCGTTCGAGTGGGCGCTATCCAACTCAACGGCCGAGTACAAGTTCGTGTCAGGCATGTGCCCCACAGGGTCCAGCTTCGCCGTTCCTAGGACCGGCCTTGAGAACACTTATCTTTATAAATACCTCCTGACCCAACCCCAGTCTATTATCAATCCTGAGTCTACGGACCTTTCTCAACGGGAGGTTTACATCGACTTTAACTCTATTCAAATCACCTCGTGCTGGGTCTCTGGTGGCCCCGGAGCCAGCTGCCCCTACGCGTCTGACCCGCAGGAATTGGAACGCAGGACGGTGCTGGTTGCCGCCATTGCTGGTTTTGTGATCTTGGTCATCACCGCTTTAACACTTTTCATTAAGTGCAATGCCAATCGCCGCAATTCTCGACGCCGGAAGCGTGTTATTGAGGGCTGGGAATATGAGGGTGTTCCTTCATAGACTTCATTGCCCATGGTTTACGATCCACTTATGTTGTCAGCTTTTATCAGGGTGACACTAGAGTTACGCCCCCTCCTTAATATGTACTCACCTAAATAAGCAATTGTAAAGCCCAATAAACTTACTATTCGCTTTAGATTGTTTAATGCGGCTGACAAGGCCGATCATCCTAGCGGTGATGAATACTGGTTCGATCACACTTGCCTAGCAGAGCACTTTGGAGCTACGGTTGATTGAACCCCAGAGAAATTTCACGCAAGTGCCTCTCTGGGTAAATGTTGATCCCTATAGGCTTTGGTTTTTCTATGTAGACTGCAACATTTAACATTAATCAAGCCTAGGATGGCACATATCGATGTTTCATTCGGGGAAAGGATAAGTGGGAGTGGGATGCAGATGAGAAGAAGATGGCGCTTGCGAGATCGGGCTTAGTAGAAACAAAACAAGGAAAAGGGTGTTTGTAATGCATGACTAGGTAAGATAAGTTAGTGAAGTTGAAGTTATATTACCTAAACACTGTTTTACTTCAGGTACCGGAGATATGACATCATGCTCCCTTCGCTCCTTTTTAGCGTAGAACTCCTGTCAATCATCGTGGCTTGGTCCTCCGATCCCAGACTTCCCCAACCTTCCTTCCCTCTCCTTTATTCCTACCTTCTCCTATCGTGAATGGTACTAAGATGCCATTGCATACGGTTGCTCTGGGTGCGGCCTTGACTCCCACAGTCCTTCATACTCTTGTTACTCATGTGGGTCCGATTCGGCACTTTAATACTGCACTCAAGCTGACGATGTGCTTCTCTACAGTATCTGAATCGCAAAGCCAATCATGCCAAACCAACTGTTCATATTACCTATGATGAAGGAATTCACGTCATCCGTCAATTCCTGTACTACGCGTCTAAACACCCTGTCGAAGACATCCAGGCCTTTACCCGCCAATGGGTCCCTAGCCCGCACTGGGTGAAGACCGACACGGTCACCATCCCGGACCAATTTTTTGGGCCTGCGGCTGCTTATATCTCGAAGCAGCTCGGCCCTAGGGGTGTCATGCGCGTCGGTGGGGAGAAATGGTGGCAGTGGCGTGGGCCCGCCGAGGATCTCAAGGGAGAGTGGATCGAGATGCGCAATCACTACAATGAGACTATCAAGTCCGGGAAGCGCTGTAACCGGATTATGCTATACGTCCATGGTGGCGCATACTTCTTCGGTAGCGTTGATACCCATCGCTATATGATGCAGCGCCATGCGCGCAAGTTGAAGGGTCGCGTCTTTGCGCCGGACTATCGCCTATCGCCCCAGTACCCCTTCCCTTGTGGTCTACAGGACTGCTTGGCGGCCTATCTCTTCTTGTTGAAAACATTTGATCCGAGTGAGATTGTCCTTGCGGGAGACTCTGCGGGTGGTGGTATGGCGCTGTCGATGCTGGTTATCATGCGCGACCAGGGTATCCCTCTCCCGGCGGGTGCAATTTTGATCTCGCCCTGGGTCGATCTTACCCACTCCTTCCCAAGTATTGTGAAAGAGAATCCCGGAGATTATATTCCCCCATACGGATTCCGCTACAAGCCGTCTTCTGCATGGCCTCCGCCTAATTCCGATGAAATCTTGAAGATCAAAAAGCTGTCTCATAAAGGAGCCGTTACCGCAAAGGATGTCGAGCAAGCTATTCCGGCAAACAGTAGCGCCTCTGCCCAGACGGCAGTCCGAGGCTACACTATCCACGAGGATAAGCCTACAGCGGATGAACATGCCTACCCTGGCATGCAACAGAATCCGGACCAGGACACAGTACATGGAGAGCCCGATAACATTCATGTTGTCTTGGACGAGAGGACGGTTGAACTCAAAGACCAAATTCAAATGTATACGACCAATCAGCTTCTCTCCCATCCACTGGTTTCGCCTGTCCTTCAGCCTTCGCTTGGCGGTCTTCCTCCTCTGCAGGTTTTAAGCGGTGGCGGCGAAATGCTACGCGATGAGCAGTTCTATGTGGCGCACAAGGCAGCCAATCCAACGGCCTACCCGCCCGCTGACATCTATCTGGACGAGTTTGACCCCGAACGGGAAACTCTCAACAAATATGAGCCGACATATGTACAGCTTCAAGTTTGGGACGATCTATGCCATGTCGCCCCTACCCTCAGCTTCACCAGGCCCGCCAAGTACATGTTCCGAGCAATCTCCCAGTTTGGCTCCTGGGCCTTGGCTCGTGCGCAAAAGTCAGAAGTCGATATCGTGGATGAGGCCATCATCTCGCCCGTTTCGTCTACAGATTCGGAGTCCGAAAGCCACGAGGAAGGACCTGGAGGCAGGAAGCCAACATTTGAGCCTGGTACTTCCGTTGGGAAAGCCGGCGATCCTTTGCCTTCTTTTGATCGGAACATGATCCGTCAGCGTGTTGACAAACGTGGTCACGTCTACCCGCTTGATCCACCATCATCATATCCTGTCCTGGACATTCCGCCCTCCAAGGTGGGCGCAATCAACCCTGAGCTCATTAAAAATTGGCTCAAAGCCAAATACGAATGGGATGACAAATTTTCCAAGGAAAAACTTCAGGTACAGAGCCGTCGCATCAAGGAAATGGCACATGGTTTCCAGGACTTCGAAGGCGAGTTCCCACCTCCGAGCTCCCTAGCTGCCCGTCGCTCCGCACCCGGCGTGTTGCCCAAGCGCCACGCAAAGAAGAACTACGGCATGATGATGTGGAGCGGCTGGGGTAGCAAGCACGATGAACGGACCATGGGACGAGAGACCGAAGCTGGGAAGTCAGGTCGACCAACTCGCACAACCCGTACGAGTGTGGATTCTGGACAGGCTGGAACATACTCGAGTGCGCCCTCAAAAGCCCAGAAGCCAGCCAATGGCGGAAACCAAGGTACTGGTGCCACTGCTGTTAATTGGAACAAGTACAGGGAAAAGGAGAGGTCGACCGGGGATGTACCAAATGGAAGACCCTACGGATCGGCGAATGGTCGTCCTGGCTCCGAAAGTGCCGGCCCGATCCTCATATTACCGGAGGTTGACAACCGAAAATTGAATGATGAAGCCGCTAGCACGAGAGCCCTTTTCCATGATGCTATGACCTCTGATGTGTCTCTACCTTACCTCAAAGGCAGGCCTTCATCGGTGGCTGGTCGCAGTGAATTCATGTCTGACACTGCTAGCACTGTTGGTGGCGACAAAGAATCGGTTACTACCTCCGGTGTTGCGCCAGACGGTGCCAGCACCCGTGCCGTGTTGAGAGCCAAGGGCGTGGTCGATGTAGTCGGTGCCAGCGAGAATGGTCGTGTGTCTACCGATACACAGTCTGTTCTCTCTGGCCGTGGCTCTACGTCTCTTCGACCTGAACTGCCCGACAGGGAAGTTTTCAAGACAGCCGACGAGATGCATTAGGCATCTGATCTATCTTTGCCATTTCTGATCTTCAATACTTGCATTTCTTTTTTTTTTTTTGTCACCTTCTTACTGGTCTTGGACGAGATCTTCTCGCACACGCTTTTTTTCTTCCTTTGTTTCAAACTACTGGATTGGTCGGAAGACGCCAATCTTCTCTCATTGATGATCATTACTTTCAAATATTTGTTAGATATACCCTTTGAACCCGGTGATGTTTACGGAACCTCTATATCTTGCCATTTTCTTTAAGGAAGCCAATGAGCATATACGGCGCACCCCATGAATGCCTAGTGTATCAATTTGACAGACAAACTGGATCCAAGAAATGGAAATATCTTAGGCTATCACACATATTATATTACAAGTAGAAGTGCGAGTGCCGAGGGAAGACATGACTCTCTAAGAGGGTGACGTATGCAAAGCTTCGTGGATGGTGTACAAGAATAATAATGTTGATACAGATGGAGGATCAGGCTCAGTGCCAGTCCAGGCCAATCTTTTTGGCAACTTGCTCAGCAACGTTAAGGAAAGCTTGACGTCTGGCACTACGCTCTGCACTCTCCTCAGCGACGACTGTCGGCATACCACGATCAGCGTCTTCGCATACTTGCGCGTCGAGAGGGATGTCCCCCAGAAAATCGACACCTAGCCGCTTGCACTGAGCTATGACACCCCGGTCCTCGCCACATGAGTGGTCAGAATCGCCGTGAGAGAAGATGCGAGTCTGGTGTCCACAGTTGGGACAGGCGAAGTAAGCCATATTGCGGACCATGCCGAGGACGGGGACGTCCATTCGTTGGAACATGCCAATGCCGCGCACAGCATCGCGCAGGGCAATATCTTGGGGTGTTGTCACAATCACCGAGCCATCGATGATAATCTCTTGGTTGATAGTCAATTGCACATCACCAGTACCTGGGGGAAGATCTAAGATGAGCACATCTAACGGCCCCCATGATACTGAGTGGAGAAGTTGGTGCATGGCTTTGGTCACCATAAGGCCGCGCCACGAAATGGGGGTTGTGTCCATGGGAACTTCGCCTGTGGTGCTGTCTGCCTGGGTCTGTGGTAGTAAATATCCCATCGACATGGACTTAAGTCCGTAATTTGTGAGAGGGACGAGGCAGTTATCTGATAGATGTTTTGTCAGTGCGTTTCCCAATTCCCCTCTTCGATGGTCAGGTCGATCTTACTTTCATCAAGACGAGGCTCGCCATGAAGGTTTAGTAACGTCGGAATAGACGGGCCAAAAATATCGGTGTCCAGAATCCCAGCCTTAATGCCTCGTCGGGCAAAGGAAAGGGCGAGGTTTACTGCATATCCGGCGACCAGTTTAGCTTTGATCGGATAGTACATTGAATACCTGACGCAATTGACACCATCTTATTGAGATCAAGTAAAACGCAAATGAAGACAGAAAGGGCTATGAACCCACCAGCCACTGTTGATTTGCCAACGCCACCCTTCGCCGACGAAACTGCAACGACTTTCTTGACATCTCGAATCTTGCGCTTTTCTGGTAGTCCACGGCGACGGGGAAAGGAAGGAGGCGTTCCAGAACGTGGGAGACCCTATTGTAGGTACTTAGTTTAGGGCTTATACAGTACGTTATGTGACCAGTGACTAGCATGCAAGTGGTTTGCAACACAGGCTGCGTTTGGAACTCACCAGGGGATTGTCATGTTGCAGTGCTCGGAAAGTTGAAAAGACCCTCCTAGACACAGCGTGGGTGCCACATGATGCTGTCCACATATTAGTAAATGTGATCGAAGAATAAGGTTGAAAGGCGAGACAAGTGACAGGAAGATCAATAAAAAGCTGTGGGATAGACATCGAGCTGCCTATTCTGCCGAGACATATTAGACCGCTTGGCAGACCGCCATTTCATCGATCGGCGATATGATACGCTAGGCCGAAAAAGAAGGTTATTCCGTTATCCGGAAAAACAAAAAAAAAGTAGCGGGCGCCGTTCGGCTTCTTCCAGAGCTTCATCATCCACCATGGCTCCTGGAAAGACGCGTCCTGGACGCTCGCTGGCTGACCAGCTAGCAGATCTTGAAGATCCTACTCCCAAGGGTATGTTGAACTTCTCTCTGCTTAAATCTGCTCTCCGTCAGAGACTTCCGCTAACTGACATGGATACTAGATTTTGATCCTGAGGATCTCGAGCGTGATGGACAATCCAGCGATGAAGAGACTGGCAAAGTGTCAGATATGAATGCTGGTAGAGAGCACTACCAGTCGGTTGGGTAAGCGCATACTCACTTGTTGGCAAGAGTCAATTGACTAACGGGTCGAAACAGCAAAGCAAAACTTCGGAACGAGGAGCCCGTTACATTGGGTAAGCAGTACGCTGGTTCTCATGTTAGCAGAGATGCCCTAGATGCCGACAGCGACGATGATCCCTTTGCCGCGCATACCGATGACGACGATGAAGAGGATGAAGAGGATGAAGAGGATGAACAGGACCAAGAGTCCAGTGGAGGCTCCGAAAATGAAGCCTCTGGAGATGAAGCCTCGTCAAATGAAGGTTCTGAAGGGTCAGAAACGCAAGACGATAGCGAGGACGAAGTAGAAGATGCAGTAGAAGATGACAACGAGGAGGACCAGACTGATCTCAAAAAGAATTCGAAAAAGAATCGGCATGTTGATCGGCCACAAAAGCAGGATGACCGTGAGGAACTGCGCAAGTTAATGGCATCTGATCAGAAAACAATTGCTGCAACAATTTCGCAGGCCGCCAAGGCAGATGCTGCAAAGGGAAAGGCTGTGAAGGAGCAACGCACCACTTTTGACGCGCTTCTCAACACTCGAATCAAGTTGCAGAAGGGATTGAGCACGATCAACGAGATGTCAGATGTGATTGAGGGAGATCACGCGGCAGATACAAATGAGACAGAAGAGGACTCGGAGACAATCAAATCGGCTGAATCCGCCGCCATTGCCCTTTGGTCTACTCTCGAAGAGCTACGCACCGTCTTGTCCGACGCTCACTCTAAAGAAGGCGCTAAAAAGCGCAAGCGTGCTTCTCCGGTTACTCCTGCAGCCACTACCTCTACTCTCTGGGAACGCATGAATAAACTCGAGTCTGAGTCCCTCCCTCATCGTCGTTCGGTCCTTGATAAGTGGTCTTCAAAGGTCCGTGGAACCTCAATGTCTCGTCCCAACTCCGGGGGCAAGCTACTTGGCTCGGCATCTGGCCTCCAGACTATTACAGCCGTTCTTGATGCTCAAGTCGCAACTGAGCTCGGCGATCGCTCTTCCAAACGTGCTCGTCAGACTGCGACAGCCAATGGCTCTGATTCAACAGATCAGAACCTACCAATCTACGATGATACCGTTTTCTACCAATCCCTCCTTCGCGAACTTGTCGAGCAACGCATGTCCTCCGAAGCCATCTCTGGCGGTCTCGACGCATTGCAGCAACTCCCGTCTCGCCTTCCGATTCACCCCATCACGGGGATGCGCAATGACAAAGTAAAGCGAGATGTTGACACCCGCGCCTCAAAGGGCCGCAAGATGCGCTTCAACGTGCATGAGAAGCTGCAGAACTTCATGGCCCCGGAGGATCGTGGTTCATGGACCGGTCGGGCAAGAGATGAATTCTTTGCTTCCCTTCTGGGCAAAACGGCTAGTGGGCTGTTGGGCGAAGGTGATGAGAGTGATAGTGATGTTGAAAGTGATGGTGACCGTGAGGAGGGTGGCCTGCGTCTGTTCCGTGGTTGATTTCCAGGTCTGCAGGGCCTTTCTTGTATCATACCCAGCCAGTACAGCCTCTACTGGTTACAATCGCACATAAAGCAGTTTCATGAATTTTAAGTGATCTTCCCATCCTCAGTATTTGTGCTCTAGCCTTGTAAAAGAATCTCCTCTACATCCTCTCTACATCCTCCAGGATGAGGATGCGACTCCTTTGAACTTGCATAAGACTTGGACATCGGGGGGCGGTCAGAAGATACAACCCCTGGCTCAACTTTTGGTGCGACAACCTGCAGACCACCGTGTGGACCAACGGGCACACGATCTGTCTCAACCCCCGGCTGGGTACTACCACATACCGATCCCATCGTTGGTCGCTGGCTGCTTGGCGGTGGTCGCGTTGTCGATGATTTCATCAATCCCCTCGATATTTGACAATCGGGGCATTTTGGTATCCTTCTCAGCGAGTAATGTCTCCAATTGCCTATCAAACACATCGTCCGGAAGACCCTTAATCTGCGGTTTCATCCCTTTTTTCGTACCCATAGATACAAAGCGCTTCCAACTTTGGTGGGAGATGATCCACAATAGCAAATGATGCATCGTCGACCTGACCGGCACCGATTCCTCGCGACAGGTAGCATATGATATGGATTCCGAGACTCAGACTCTTAAGGTGCGTAAGCCCACGAAGAGAGCAATGCGATAATTGACCATCCTGCTGCAGCTAGAACTGTCGAAAGTGAAATCTCGTTTTTATTACTCGTCATCCCATTGTTGCCGTAATGAATTAACTAGTCCTTCCATATTCCAGCCAGTCCGTGCATGCATATCACGTAGCAAAGATTCTGCAGCGGCTTGATCGCTGCGATTGCGTAGCACCCAACCCCCCTTTTTACAGGATCGTCAGTAACTTGAGACTCTTCGTTCTTTTCTTTAATAAGCTAAGAACTATGTGGAGATGAGCAACACGTACAAGCTACCAGACTATGTCGTGCAGTAAATAGCGTGTTCTCTGCCTTTGTATTTGATTGTGCAAGGCCCAGAATCTGAAGTAGGTGTTGACGAATATTTTTCTGATAGGTAGAGCTGTCAGCATAATGAACAGAAAATTATATAGCTTCGGACATACTTCAATTGCACGAGACTGCCGTAGCTTATCATATGCAGACGAAGGCTTCGATGATTCAGAGAGCGCAAGAACAATTTTTGCAATATGGTAGTACTGTAGGCCGACCACTTCATCTTAGGTTAGCAGGAGACACCAAGTTAGATTTGATGTATTCTGATATGCTTACCATGAACGGGTAGTAGCATCCAGATAAGAGGGAATCTCTGATCTAATCCTGGTCCACGAGGGGCCACTCGCACGGGTTGAAAGGTATGCGGTTTGGAGGCATACCACGCCTCGACTTCACCATCAATCATGGCCAATTCGACCTCTGAATGCCTCGAGAATGCACTCTGTAGGGCTTTGGCTAGGAGGAATACCATTCGATTGGACCATGCAAAATCATCATCTCTTTTAAAGATACTGGAGTCATGAAAGTTTTGTAGGCTGGTTCGAAGAGGTTTCTGGGAGATTAAAGAGACATAGATGTCCTGCCGCAAGCAGAGCCAGGCTGCTGCTTCACCAAGCCCGCCAGAAGAGCCAAAGGTGGAGACGGTGTTAAGGATGTGGGTTGTCCCAATCAGATGAAATTGATTATCTTCTCCTGGAAGAAAAGCATGATTAACAATAGCATCAGATATGTCAGCGTGGCCGTGCTCACCATCCATTTCTTCATGCTGTCGCAAAATCGCAACTGCGGCCAGCAGATCCTCCGTAATGTGCTGTTCTGGTTCGGAAAGGGCTGGAATTAAGAGACTCACACACTCGCTGTGATATTGCAGCGCTTCTTCAATGTCGCTTGTATTTTGTCGATTAAGATGCCGTGATGAAAATGCAAACATGGCACAGCGTAAGACTGGTTCCCGGAGAGCCCTCGCAGGAATTTCTGACTCGAAGTGTCGATGCGGATCAGTGATATCAGCCTTAGGTTTTCGATTAGTCTCAACCATCGCCATTTCAAGTACTCGTGCGCATACTTACCCAAAGCGCCATGTTCTCAACAAAGTTCCGCAAGAGTATTGTTTCTCGTTCTGTCAAGGGATTGATATTCTTGGGTGCAGAATTGGCTTGAAATGATGGAGAAGAGTACAAGGATAAACTGGACGGGGACAAGTCTTCTGTGGTAGAATCGAAGAACGGTGGGCAGACATCAACATGTGCATGAGGCTGAGTGTGCAGCTCATTGGACGTGAGTGTTTCCCTTTCTTCCCCCTCTAGCCTATCGATCGTGTCATGAACACAGCGAGGGAACCTTGCTTCTAGGCTATCCAAGTACAGGCTAGCGATTTCTGGCGTTTCATCATGGAACCGAACTGTAGACGTGTAAATATTAGAATTTACCAGCAATTCCAGAAGGATATCCCCGAGAACATACCTTTTCCATGAAGCTGAGGCCAGCTCTCGTGACCGGGGAATGCAACTTCGGGTTCTTTTGGTAACGTTAGACCTTCGCGAAACCGAATGGTTGAACGATCGCACGCGACCCCAGCCGCCCGACAAGGTTCACAGACTCGGGAATGGACATCGCCTGCAATATTTAGTGAAGGAACTAATCGGAACATGTCCGCAACCACATCGCTTACACTTCAAATGCCGAACTACCAAGTAAACATTCTGTTAGCAACGGCCAGTCTCATGGTAAATCCGTAGGCACTTACCCCGGCATCGTCCACTGTGGGGGTTGACTAGGGTTAGCAGAGAGGCCTTGGACAGGTGAGACGGGCCAACTTACCATCCAGATGCAAGGCGGACCCTCTTCGGCATATTCTTCAAGGGACAAGGATAGTGAAAAGGGAGAACAAGGGGAGAACATTGCCCATGTTGCGAATCCGGGGCAAATCAATCCGGGGAAAAGAGCGATGAGGGTGCGGGGATAGTCAGTTATCATAACCTCAGCAAATCACATCGACTAGAGTGGATCATTTAAAGAAGATCGGGAAATTCTTTCCGATCTACATATTTCCACTTTCACCCATGTATTCATCAGAATGCAATCACTTAGGCTCCATCTCGAATTACTTAAATGCGGGCAGGGAACGTGGTTCGAAGTATGCCATTTACTTTTCATCGAACCTTTCACAATCGCAAACATCATGGGAGTTCAACGCCTCCGTATCGGAATGGCCGGTCTTGGCCGAGTCGGAAAGTTTCACGCCATGAACTTCCTAGAACGAACACCTCGTGCTGAGTTGGTGGCTGCTTTTACCCCAGACACCAATGAGTTGGCTTGGGGAAGAGTGAATCTCGAGCCACACGGAGTCACTCTCTATGACAACTATGATGAGATGTTGAAGCACCCGGGCCTTGAAGCCGTGGCCATTGGCACTGCTACTTCGGTGCATGCTGAAGAGGCTATTAAAGCCATTGAACAGGACCTGCATGTCCTGTGTGAGAAGCCTCTCTCCATCGATATTGAAGTGGTCAGTGCAAATCTTGATAGATGGTCGGAGACCGTGGCTGACCATCTCCTGCAGTGCAAAGCTGTGGTAGCAGCAGCTAAGAAACGCCCGCATCTGAAAGTCATGTGTGGCTTCTCGCGTCGGTTTGATGAATGTGGGTATCCAAATGTTTGATTGATTAATCCTACGAGCTAGGGCTAACGTGCGGGGCGAAAAGCGTACCGAGAGGCATACGCAAAGATGGAACTTGGTATGTTCTTGTCCCACTCATGGAGCCAGACTATTGTATCTCTAACCCTGAAAAGGTCTGATCGGAAGGCCCTCCATCATTCGCTCTCAAACCTGCGATAGGTATGACCCCAAGACTTGTCAATTCTTCGTGGATTATGCTGCGTGGTCCGGCGGAGTCTTTGTTGACATGGCCGTTCATGACATTGATCTTACCGTGAGTATCAATCTCTCAACATTGGAAGGTTCGTTTGGTATCACTGCTTACCTACCGCGTGACAGCTTTGGTTCTTCGGCGACGACGTGGTTCCCAAGAGCATCTCCGCTCACGGCATTACCGCGGTGCAGCCCGAGCTTCAAAAACACCAGGATTATGACAATGCAGTCGGAATTGTCGAGTTCTGGAACGGTAAAATTGCCTACTACTACTGCAGTCGCATGATGGCCCATGGACAGGAAGATACCACTGAGATCATCGGTACGGAGGGCAAGCTCGCCGTCAACAACAACCCTCAGAGTAACCTTGTCAGCCTTTATCATACCGGTGGAATCACTCGTGAGGTCCCGCCCAACTTTATGGGACGTTTCGGTGCTGCTTTTGCCACAGAGGCCAACGAGTTCACAGCCGCCTGCCTTGACAACACCCCGCTTCCTATGAAGCTCACCAATGCTGTCAAGGCAGTTGAGATTGGTGCGGCCCTGCAGGAGGCGCTGAGAGCCGGAAAACAGATTCACTTTGACCAGATCGGACGGCGCATTGAAAAGGCTCAGCTGTAACTAGAATATGACAAGTCGAGTCAACATACTTGTTACTCAGAGCCAACCTTTGGTCATCAGGCCATCTCTCATGTCCACTTCTCTAGGCATGCTGACGGTGTTATTTTAACTCCCTACTGTCGCGTAGACCTCTAGCAATATAAATCCAGATCCCTCTACAGACGAGGTCGAACTACTATAGAGCCGAGTGTGACAATCACTTAGAGTATCTAATCCCCAATTCCCGGCCTGGGATTCCTGGTGAGAGTTTGAGGCTATAACGATGGTTGATTTACATGTCTCCGCAAAGATCAAAAGACCGAGATTCCCCCGAGATTCGTGATCGGCGGCGCCTTTGAGGTGATTGAGCTGACGCCGAGTGTGGGGAAATTCCCCCGACTCCGATGACGACAGCGATCAAGGGGTGCTCCATTTTGGACCTGGGAATACTTTCACTTAACCCGACTTTTGGATCCGTATACTGGATATACTGGATATATTGGATATACTGGATCTAAGGGGTTCACCCCTTCACCTTCATTACTTGAACACATCCCCCGCCCTGATCTATGCGCCCGGCGCGCGTGATCATTCATCCATAAAATGCGATTCAATATGCAGATGCCCCTGGGACTGGGCTCCCTTTGGACCTTCTTCTCGGGCCTATCTCACAATGGTCTCACGCATCACCCGAGTCAGCCGCCTTCGTACCCGCTCGCCGTCCGCAATCCGTACCTGTCAGCCTGGATGCCAAGCGATCGCGTGCACCAACTGCCCTCGTCTGAGCCGCAGTTTTGGGCTGGGCAAGAGCTCGGTTGGTCTGTCATTGTTCGTGTCGATGGTGAGGCTTATAGCCTAATGGGCGTGCCCGACTCGGAATCCGCCCCCATCATTCCGGCCACGGTCCGTCGCGCCGAGTTCACGTCAACTCATTCGCTTTTTGATCTCACCGCAGGCGGAATTGCCTTCACTTTGGATTTCTTTTCGCCTGTTTCTCCCTCAAACTACCTTCGCCATTCAATCCCTTTCAGTAAATCTGCCCCGGTATCGACGCCCTTGATCTAATATCTCCGATCTAACGCCACTATCTAGGCTACTTAACCGTCCATATCGAGGGCGCTCACGGAGTTGAAATTCAAGTGTATTCGGATATCGATGGGAGATGGACGGGTCAAGACGACCACTCCGTCCATGACTTTGAGGAGCGTGATGGCCTGGTCATTCATTCCCTCTCAGTGGCAGACGCAGAAAAGTATTCCGAGGCGAATGATATGGCCCTTTGGGGTGATGTGATACTGGCTTCACGCCAGTCGAATTCGAGCACACTCTCTGCGCTCGCCGGTGACCCGAAAACAGTACGCAGCCAGTTTGCCCAGGATGGTGATCTTTCAGGCCAAGAATCCACTTGGTCACGCCAAAACGTTGTGGCTGTTGCACACGACCTCGGCAGTGTCACCGGTGGTGCTTCGGTGAATTTCGCAGTGGGCTACGAGAGAAAGGAAGCTATCAATTACCTGGGAGAGGCTTACACGGGCTACTACCGAGCATACTACCCGACCACCCACGAAGCCCTCAGCTTCTTCCTGGATGACTATGGGGATGCTTTTTTGGAGTCTCTGAAATTGGACCACGAGATGGTGACCTTTGCGACCGCTGCGGCCGGTCCCAAGTATGCGGATATCGTGGCCTTGTCAACACGTCAGGCATACGGTGGCATGGATTTGACGATATCAAATGAATCACTGGACACTGATGATGTGCTGGCCTTCATCAAAGAGCTTAGCAGCGACGGTAATGTCAATACCATCGATGTCATCATGCCGGCTTTCCCGATCTACTGGGTCATGGATCCGAACTGGATCCGGCTGCTGCTTGAGCCTATCATGAGATACACGGATGCCGGTCGCTGGCATTTGCCCTACACCATTCATGACCTTGGCTCACACTATCCGAATGCGATCGGTCATGATGACCAGCAGGCGGAGGCTATGCCGATCGAAGAATGCGGTAATTTACTCATTCTTGCACTGGCATATGCGCAGGCCACCGGAGACACTGGTTGGACCGACCAGTATATGAGCATCTTCCAACAGTACGCCGATTACTTGATCGACAACGGCGTCGATATCGCCAACCAGCTCTCTTCTAATGACGCCGCCGGACCTCTTCCCAATGAGACCAATTTGGCTGTCAAGGCAGCTGTCGGCATCAAGGCATTCGGCGAACTAAGTGGAAATGAACAATATTCAAAAATTGGCGACGAACGTGCAGATCTGTTCTTCTACGAGGGCCTGGGCACCGACGAGGAACAGACTCATTTCGTGTTGCAGTACCCTGACTTCCCCGAGTCCTGGAAGACCCCGTACAACCTGTTCCCCGATGTCCTACTAGGTCTTAGGACATTCTCTGACGAGGCATATCAAATGGGAAGCGACTTCTTTTCGTCTGTTCGCGGCGAGTTCGGTGTGGCTCTGGACAGTCGACAGGACTGGGCCAAATCTGATTGGAATATGTGGCTAGCAGGTACATTTGACACGAGCACGCGGGACGAGTTTGTTGATGACCTCTGGGCCTTCATGACCAACGGCAAGCATAACTGGCCCTTCTCTGATCGGTATGTCTCAACCTCCAAGCATGGAAATGAGCCGGGTACTCCTATCCTATGCCGTGCCCGTCCAACCGTCGGTGGTCACTTTGCCTTGTTGGCATTGAAGGGACCTGCGTCCATGCAGTCTTTGTCCGACTATAAGTTCGCCTATGACAGGCCAGCTCGAAAGGCTGACAAGCTGCGGGACAATCATATCAGCGAGCTCTGATTGTCTTGGATGGAATAGCATTCGTTCTCTGCTTTTGTCCTTCATTGCTGCATCATGGCGCTTTATCTTTGCAGCATGGATTCATGGCTGCAGTCCATCTCATCAGTAACTACTTTTCTTCTATCTCTTCCTAGAGGACCTTCCATACAGTCCGTCTACGTATCTTCTTGAAAATTGCTTTGCAAAGTGTTAAGACATGCTTCGATATACATATCGTCTCACATTCTGATCTATTGCATCAGACCAACAATTATGTTCATCCGACAAAAATATCATAGACACGTTGTTCGTAGTGCACTGTAGGCTCAAACCCACAAAGCAGAGCCTACTAAATGACACCGAAATCCTCAAACCAGGAAAATCTGTCACGGATCATGAGATTTCCCATTGATAGAAGACAATCTGAAGAATCTATACCAGCTCTTGAAAAAGGGCTGTTATGCCGCCCATCAGGGCAGCCAGGGGCGCTGACTAAGGCATTACTCCCCAACTTAGCTGTTGCTTCATCGCGCAGGTCACGTCTTCTTTTTGCCTTCAACTTCCAACACCTCCCCCTTCCTTCCTTTCCTTTGATTTCCTCCTTTCCTCTATCTCCCCCAGTCCTACTTTTGATCTCCGACTTGTTACACTCATGGCTTCTGTAAGTGATGCTCTCAACCTTGGAACTCCCTCCCCTCTTACCCCCAGCTTCTCTCCGCGGAGGACCAATCTAGTTTGTTTCGCTATCAGACACGCTAACCTATTGTCTCCTTGTCTCTTCTCTCCAGCCCCGCCCCTTCGCTCCTCAAGGCTATCTATCCAACGGCGCGACACCCGCGGGTCCGGCGCCCGGAGCCACGCCGCTGCTACCCAACAATGGCCGAGTAATTCAATCGGGGCCCACCCGAATTCTGTGCATTGCGGATGTTCGAGGTATGGAGGACCGGACGAAAATCTCGTATAAAGCTGGACTAATTGAGTTCGCGATGCAGGAAACCTGAAGTCTCTGAATGAACTGGCGAGACAGGCTCGCGCAGACCACATCATCCACACGGGTGACTTTGGTTTCTACGACGATACATCGCTGGAGCGCATTGCAGACAAGTGAGTGCTACACCATCCCGAGCTTTCACGCACGCCCTTGCTGCCCGGCAGGGTGGCTAAACGGTCGAGTCAGCCGGGCACCAAACTCAGCGGACACATCAGCTAATCGGGATTTTTTTTTATCTACGCGCAGGACGCTTAAGCATGTTGCTCAATATTCCCCCCTTCTGCCAGAGAACGTAAAGCGAACGATTGCACAGGTTCCTCCTGCGCAGTCGATTAAGCAGCGATTCAACCCTGATCAGCTACCCCTCTCCGAACTGCCGATGCTCCTGGACAAACGAATTACCCTTGATGTTCCGGTCTACACAGTTTGGGGTGCCTGCGAGGATGTTCGTGTGTTGGAAAAGTTCCGGTCAGGCGAGTACAAGGTTGACAAGTTGCACATCATCGATGAGGCCAACTCGCGGCTCCTGGATATTGGTGGCGTCAAGCTGCGTCTGCTTGGACTGGGTGGTGCGGTGGTGATGCACAAGTTGTTCGACAATGGCGAGGGCAAGACAACTATTGCTGGTGGCCAGGGCACTATGTGGACAACACTTTTGCAGATGGGCGAGCTGATCGACACAGCCAACCGCGTCTACGATCCCTCCGAAACCCGCGTCTTCGTCACTCATGCCTCGCCCGCTCGTGAAGGCATGCTGAACCAGCTTTCCGTTACCCTCAAGGCCGACTTTTCCGTTTCGGCCGGTCTTCATTTCCGTTACGGCTCTTCCTACAACGAGTTCTCGGTGAACCCTTCCCTGGATCACTACCGCGGCAAGCTCGCGGCCTCCAAAGCATCTTTCACCGATGTTTGGGAGACTGTTCGGGGAGAGGTGGAATCGGCAATTTCCTCAAACGAAGCCCAGAAGACTCTCCTAGACAACGCGTTGGATGTGGTTCAAAAGATGCCTTCGATCGCCAATGGCGGCAACCCCTTCGGCGGCCCTGTCGCTGCTGGTAACGCCGCTGGTCAAGTAGACGAGAGCGCCTTCAAGAACATGTGGAACTTTAACTTGGCTGACGCCGCCTTTGGATACCTGGTTCTGGAGATCGAGGGAGGACGTATCGCGACGGAGATGCGGGCTCAGGGCTTCAACTTCGCCCACCGCAGTGGCAAGCCTACTGCTGGAGGGCCCCAGGCTGTTGCCGCCGCCCCCCCCGCTACTACTGCTTCTCCTGCGCCCACCGGTGCTGCTGGTGGCCGGCCCACTGCCTCCACCCCTCAGTTCGGCCAGGCTCCTACTACCCGCGCTCCCCCTGCTGCTCCTCAGGGCCAGAAGGGTCAACCCGCTCGTGGCTCGCCCGCTCCCGTCATCCCCAAGAGCGCTACCCCCCAGCCCCCCGCTTCCACTTCCGCTCAGCCCGCTGGGGAGGAGAAGGTCGCTGCTGACGCCAACGGCTCTGCTCAGTCTGAGAAGACCGAATCGCCCGCTCCTCGTGGTGAGAAGAAGCCCAGCAACGGACTCTTCGTTTCCAACGTCGACAACGAGCAGGCCGTGCGTGAACTGCTGTCGGAGGAGGACCAGGCCAAGGTGGTCAAGATCGAGAAGTATGGCAAGTTCAACCACGTCGTGACGTTCCCGACTGTGGAGGACGCCAAGTCGGCTCTGGACCGCCAGCCCATCGAGCACAAGAAGCCCACTCCTACAGGTCAACCTCGTAAGCCCAACTTCAAGTTCTTCGAGGATCGCGGCGGCCGTGCACAGGGCAATGCCGGAACCTGGCAGGGCAGCAGCAGCCGTGGTGGAGCTAGCGCCGGTGGACGTGGCTACCAGAGTGCTAGTGACAGCGAAGGTGCTCGTCGGGGTGGATTCAGTGGTCGGGCTCGAGGCGATCGTGGCCGTGGAGGTCGTGGAGGTCGTGGTGGCCGCGGTAGCTTCAAGAGTGCTGGAGGTGACTCTCCTGCTCCCTCAACTCCCTCTGGGGACAAGCCCGCCCCTTCTGGTGATGCTTAGTTGCTAGACGTGTTGATCCTTCATCCTTTTTCACTCTTCCTCTACATTTGGGCTATCGATACACCGTCGACCGCCTCGTTTTCCTACGCCTCATGTTGATTCTATGCCCCTTTCTTTGCCCCATATTCTAATTTTTTTGTGTCTTTTTTTTCTCCGTGAAACATTCCAAAGTACCCAATCTTTTTCTTTACTCCTTTCCCCTTTAGCGAGGTGGTGTTTCCATCGCGCTTGTCCCAGGTTCATATCTGGACATCGCGAATCCACCATGAAGCACGTTGGAATCGACCAGATGAACAATCTGGAGAGAGCGTTTGTTGTGACACGCAGAGAGTGTGGAAGACGCAAAAAAAAAAGCCAAAAAAATAATCATCATCCACCCGCCTTGCCCCAGTTTCTTTGTACTTTAGTTCTTTTTTCCTTTACCCTGGAAGAGACCAAACATCGATACCCTTACCGCTTCGGTCTATCCTCGTCACACTTGCTGTAGAGATCTCCCATAGACATCCTTGGATGGACGACAAATTTGCATTTGGCCTAGGGTTGAGCATGCTCAAGTCATATCTACAAATGGACCGAAACCTGGAAATTTTCACAAAATTGAGATTGTTTACAAGGGTAAGATATCAGAGCAATGAGTGCAAGCCTTCCCAATATTCCCGTTCGCCGGATTCCAGATTTCCTTCCAGTACAATGAGTCTCATTTCCATGCTGATTAGGCGTTGAGACGATGCACCACCGGCATGACGAACCCCCGCATCTCCATTCGCCAGGCTTGACGTAAACAAGCACGCATGAAAGACGACAAGGGAACAACTACTGCAAGCATTGAGAAGAAGTTAAAAAAAAAAAAGATCAGAGAATGTAGATTCGCCGGAATGAAGGCAGCCATCGGTACGCCGGTGGACATAGGATTCAATTTCGAAAGAGCGCCTGTTCCTCTTTTTGTTGGTATTCATGACGCCGTGTGGGGTTGAAATGATAATTCGTGGGTATGAGTAAAATAACGTAGTACAAAGTTCAGTAGACGTGAACGGTTTCCGTGAGTCGTGAAAAATGGGTCCGGAGGGCCATTATGCCCGTCGTGGGTAGGGACTGGCTATTTGGCGCGGCCCATGATGTCGTCGACATCACTCTGGTTCACCACTACGCCGCCCTCTGAGCAGCGAGCCTTGGTTCGTAGCTCGGAGCAAAGATTATCGACATCGATCTCGCCGTTGCGGAACCTCTCCATCGATTGGAGGCGATCCCTGTAGCAAATAGTCAGTGATCTGTAGTGTGAGTTGGGATAATGTACAGAAAACATACCAGATCTTTGTACACGACAGCATCTGTGCCTTATCTTCGCCCGGCACAACCTCGTCTTCATCCAGCTTGCTGTCGATTTGAGCCAGCAAGCTCTTCTTGGGAGCTTGGTTTGTGGCCGCCTCGGTCAAGTTGTGAGACGGGCTGCCCAGATCGGGGAGTGGGAAGGCGTCATTGAAGAAGGATCCAAAGTCCTGGGACAGAACGGCATCCTGCGGCTCGCGCCAATCCCCGAAGAGCACCGGGTCGAATTGGCCACCATTTTGCTGAGCCAGCCAATCGAAGCCCATGGAGTCATCAGTGGAGTTAGGAGCCGGTTGCTGGCTGGAAATACTATTGGACTTGTCTTTTTGGTCCCGCGCAGCTGGAATGGGGTTATTGATGTTGCCGCAGGCCATGCCAAGACGTGCGCAGAAGGATTCCTCACCATCAATGGAGCCGTGAATACACACATTCGGTCCGGAGTTCTTAGCATCCAGCGGGGAGTGAGAGCTAGGCTCGGGTGAAGTTCCACTCGATGAGAGCATCTGGCTTTGGTGTGAGTCCGATGATGACGAAGGAGAGTCCGAGGTAGATGTATCCTGGGTGGGGGCAGAAGAAGGCTTGAGGCTGGAGTAAGGGGTCTTGGCAGACGCATTGCTGCTAGGGGTTCCGTAAGAACCAGTATTTGCATTCGGAGTGCTGGAGTTGGACTTGGCCGCGGGGCCACGAGAGCCGGCAGCGTTCAGGTTGTCACGACTCAACACACCCGGGGCACGAACACCGTCCTTGTTCCTGGACTGGTCCTTGTTCTGCCCGTTGAAAAGATGAGCACCGGGCAGATCACCAAACTTGGGGAAATCAAACAGGAACTCGTTGTTTTGCAGACCGGTGGATCCTCTTGACTGGGCGTTGGGGTAATTGCTCACGGCTGAGAGGCCGCTACCACCACTGCTCATCCACGAGAGGCGCTTGCGGTACTCTCGGAGCTCGACCTGAAGCCGTTCGACCTGAGCACGCAGCAACCCATTCTCCTGGTTAGTGGTGTCGGTGGACTTCTGCAACTCGTCCACCTTGGTCTCCAGATCCTTGAGGTGCTTTTCTTTGCGCTCTCGGAATGCCCTCTGAGCGGCTCGGTTTTGAGCTTTACGCTTCTGTTTTCTGGGTTAGAAAGTACTGCCTACCACGCGAATTGAGCAGAAGTGAGGGGATGCATACTGTAGTAGGCTCCGAGGTCAGCGGCTTTCTGCCAGGCTTCTTAGCCTCGCTCTCCCGCCGCTTCTTGCCCGTATCTTCACCATCATCCGACTTGCCGTCGATGGACTTCCGCTTCTCGCCCAGTTCATAGTCCTGCCCCGAGTCACCTGGAAGATCTCCGATCAAATCCCCGGACGCGGTGTAATCGAAATCGACACCCGGGTCGAAATCGAGATAAGGGCTTTCGTCATCTCCAAAGTTACCGAAGGGGTTCAAATGTGAGTTGGAGTCAAGTGCACCGGATGGAGGGCCACTGAGGCCGTTGGATGAATGACCGGGGCTATGATCGGGTTTCATCTGAGGCGTATGATTGGAAGGCTTGTTGGCGGGGTTGTTGGAGTGGAGGGCAGCCATCAGCAGGTCCTGCTGGTCCGGAGACAGGTAGAGCCCCTGATTGTAGAGCTGGTCGTAGTCACCCATGGTGGCAATGTTGGAACAACGCGATGGGGTGATGGGGTGGCGAGAGGGTTGAAAGAGGAAAGAGAAAGAGTAAAGAGGGGGAGGATAAGATTGAAGTGAGGCTGACAACTGGGCCTCTAGCCCGCAAAGGAAGGGTAAGAACGTCCAGGCCAGGAAATCTGAGGATCCGGACGAGACGCAATTCCCCGCTATGGATCCCCGGAGATCGGTGAGAGTGTCGTGGTGAGGGGTGAGGGGGATGCAGCACAGAACAGAGCTGAAGACGTGAAGAAGTGAGGTTTCAAGATTGAAGGGCCTGAGGCCGAGAAGAACGCTAGTTGAGAATCAGCCCCCGGTGCGGTGCTCGGTGCTTGTGGCTGTAGAAGATAGAAGGAGGAGATGATGAAAGAGGCAGAGTGGGTGAACCGGCTCCATCATTGGCCCGACACCCGGTTGTTGGAAAAAAAGCCAATCATGGCGGGACTCACGGGGGTCGCATTTTTGCTTAGAAATCAACGTTTCTGGTCAATTCTCCTCATTTTTCGTCGATGCGTTGCCTGCAGACCCCCTAGGTCGATTCTTCGAGCCCTATTGGAGGTCTTACAGCGATCCCCTTCCCTCCTGCCACGCTAGACTCTGTGAGTCACATCGTATTTTCCATGCCACTTTGTGTAGGGTCTGGCCCCACCCCCCCGAATCAGGCAGAATCAGGCAGAATCAGGCAGAACACACGGCGTGGCAACGGGTTTGGTCTAGAATGACGTTTCCATTTCCACTTGCCTTCAGTCCGAGTAAGGTGATCCTCGACTGGTTCCCACGTTCTACATGGCTCCATCTTTCTCCGATACAGGAGGGCGCTCTCCGGGTACACATCAAACTCTCCGTTTTCGCATGCAGAATGTCGATCGGCTTATCGGGCTTATCGGAGTTACTGCATATAGTACAAGCGGTGACTGAAACCCCTCAGGCATATTCGAAGTCATTCAGGATACCTTCTGGGAGGATACTAGCACAGCCCCGAAAATAACCCATATCTATCTATCTCTTCATTCATTGAGAACAACGTGTCCAGAACATTTAAGCTGAAGGATCAAGTGTGGAGCTGTTCACTTTCACCGCTACACATCATCGGGGTTCTTCGAGCCCTGCAGGGCTGTCTAGACATACGCATATGCATCCTAGTGTCCTACAACTCCATTGGTCTTGTTGTATTTGTTGATAATCGTAGATTTCCACGTGTGCAATCTGCTACGTTTCACGTGACCGCAACTCCAACAACGGCGACGGGCCCGGCATATCTCTCCGCATATCCACCCCAATTAGCGCCTCAGCCGAGCCTCTCGTTTTTCTTTCCCAGTTGAACCTTTTTCAGACACCACTTCCCTTTGCATACCCCTCACCATGTCCGACGTGGCCGCCCTAGAGGCAGAGGTGAAAGAGATCAAGCTTCAGGTCAGTTCTTGTCCCGCGGTCTGATGCTCATCCATACTGACTGGCTCATCCAGCTTGAAACCGTCGCCTCGAGCTTGCAGGTAGATCCCGGTAACTCGGAACTCCTGGGCCTCAAGACTGAACTGGAAGAATACATAACCCTCACCGAAATTTCCATTGCCGAACTCAAACCACCCGCGACCGCATCCAAGCCAGCCCCGCCTGCTAAGGAGTCATGGAAAGATCATACGCCTGGCAAGTCAAACGCAGAGGCCACCGAAGAGGCACATCCGCCAGCCCCCGCTTCATATCGCGTCAATGACACCGTCCTGGCCCGCTGGGTGTCCGGCGACGGCTCCTACTATCCTGCGCGCATCACATCCATCACCGGCTCGTCCAGCAATCCCATCTATCTAGTGTCATTCAAGTCTTACTCGACCATGGAGAACTTGACTTCCAAGGATATTCGCCCCGTCGCGGGCATTGACCGGAAACGTAAGGCTGATGGAACTCCAGGCAGTTCGGCGTCACCTTCTCCCGCACCGCCGCCCAACGTGATCTCCGCGGCGGCCGATATCAACCCGGCTCTGGCCAGTCAGGTCCGGCAAGAACCCAGCAAAGTCGAAGATGGGCCGGCGCGGCCGGCCAAGGCGCCGCGCAAGGTGAAGGCCAACAAGGAGCTCGAGGCGGGAAAGAACAAGTGGAAGGATTTTGCGGCCAAGACCAAGACCAAGGGCAAGCTTGGGAAGAAGGATAGCATGTTCCGCACCGGTGACAGTGTCAATGCACGGGGTATGTTTGATCCGGTCTCTAATTTCTGTTCTTCAGGTGCTAACCATCTCTCGGCAGTGGGCTTCACCGGGTCTGGCCAACAGATGCGCAAGGATCCGACACGAACACGTCACATCTACCAGCAGGCTGATGAAGAGGGTTATTAGAAGGCCGGTTTGAATTGCAGTGGGCCTCGGCGTAACGGCTATGTCACGTTCTACTTCTGATATCTATTTCCTTGGTGTTTATTGGATCCCTCATGTGCCCATCGCTAACTGGATCGGCCATGCAGATACAGTCATCTTGTGTATTTCGCACTCGGAGTTATTGTTCATAGAGTCCGGTTTTCGAGTTCTCGGTTTGAGCTCTCGCAGATGGCCTCCATTCGTGTAAATTTCTCAATCTGGGTTTGGCGTCGGATCTTTACATTTCCATTATGTGGGTTTTGTATAGTATGGATATGGATCCACAGCGTACATGCAGAACTCACATCTCAGCATAATAGCCAGCACATGTGCATCTATAATCCTTTGAGCTGTTGCGTTCAAATACATGTCGGTGTATATTCGTACACGCCAGAGCGGACTGTACTACTGAGCCGGGGGGCTACTTAAGAAGCCCGTGTGTGAGCTAGCTTAGCTTGTAGCAGCTGGTCTTAAATCGATAAAACAGCAGATTCCTACTACAGAGCATTACGCGTTGGTCACGATCTGTCCAAACTGCCGGAGAAGCTTGTTGGCCTGATGACCTTGGCGATATTATCCATCGCTTTTAATTGAACTGGCAAGTTCAATCAAAGTCTTGCTGACATTCATGGTATATAAACATGGATATCTTGACCCGCGTTAAGCCAACACTGTCCATCAGCAGACCGTAGCTTCATCGCGCATATAATACCCTATCTATACGTACCATTATAGCGGACGAGAGCGACACTAATAATCCTCGCTTATAGATGCATCTTAAGTCCGAACATCCTAATAATCGACTATATCTAGGTGAGCGCCAAGTTGTCTCTCCATGGAAATAAGCACTGCTCACTGGGCATTGATGGAGAGTATCATTGTGCATGTGGAGGCTATCAAGGTATCTGCGGAAACAAGCATAGTATACAGAGAGATATAGTGCATGATCACTCATCTCACCACACAATGACATGTACACACCTATACCCATCTGGACGGATGTTTCTAGTACCCGGTCTCATAACTTGCCATGCAAGACAGCCGTGTACAAGTTTAAAGGATCTAGAAAAAGCTCCTACACGACAAGTCCCTGGAGCCGAAGTTGGAAGTGTTGTGCGGGGCCGGAGGTACCCGCCCAGTTAACTCCATTTCAAGTTCTAGCTCTGTTTCTCTGCCTCCGCTCTTCACGTCATGCTACTCACCAAGGCACCTCCCAAGGTTCCTTGTTAGCTGTTGCTGTTCTATATTCAACCATCGTTACCCATCAACACGGAGTCGTGCTTCGTATTGCATTCCTGACGTCCTATCCGGGAGTCCGCCCACGCCCTTCCTCCTTGCCCCCGCCCCCGAGCTCGGCGTCGCGACCGTCTCCACTCGTTGCATGGTCATCGATCTCGAAAAGACCGTGACAGCCGCGACGCGAAATATTCTGATACCACAGCAACATAGAGTCTGAGATCTAGCTCTCCCAACAACATGCGGCAGCTGACTTGGGTCTCTACGCTGGTTGGGTTGGGCGCCCTTGCTTTGCAACCTGCGCTGGTCGGCGCGCAAGGCCACACCAAGATACACGAAGAGGGTCGCTGTTCGTTCCGTGGTCATTGTGGAAAGCAGTCTATCTTTGGCGGGGAACTGCCCTGCCCCGATAATGATGTAGCACACCAACCGGAAGATTCGGTGCGGCAGAAGCTGGTTAATCTCTGTGGCCCTAAGTGGGAGGAGGGACCGGTCTGTTGCCGCGAGGAACAGGTGAGCATAGTCCCAGCTTTTGGATCCGTGGATACTATCCTTGTGAAATCAGTACTGACTGGTCTCTCCTTGTAGATCGATGCACTTGCAAAGAACGTGCACCTTGCAGAAGGCATCATTGCTTCTTGCCCTGCTTGCCGAGATAACTTTTTCAACATTTTCTGTACTTTTACTTGCTCTCCTGATCAGTCGCTCTTTGTCAATGTCACAGACACCGAAGAAACTAGTGCCGGAAAAACGCTGGTCACAGAGGTTGATAATCTTTGGTCAGAGGAATACCAAGGCGGCTTCTATGATAGCTGCAAGAACGTCAAAAATGGCGCTTCCGGTGGCAAGGCGATTGATTTTATCGGTGGAGGGGCGAAGGACTATCCGCATTTCTTGAAATTCCTGGGTGATAAGAAGTTCCTGGGCAGTCCGTTCCAGATCAACTACCTCACCGAGCCTAGTGGATCTGATCCCAATGGCATGAAGGCTTTGTCAATTACGCCTAAGGCCTGCAATGACCCTGACAAGTCCTTCCGCTGCTCTTGTGTCGACTGTCCTGAAGTTTGCCCTGAGTTGCCTGCTGTGTACTCACAGGAAGCATGCCACGTGGGACTGTTGCCATGTCTCTCTTTTGCAGTCATCATCATATATTCTGCTTTTTTGCTACTGGTTATGGGACTTGCTAGCTATGTCACATTCAAGGAACGAAGATTTCGCAAACCAGAGCGGGTACGCCTTCTTCAGGACCCAACGCCAAGCGATGATGAGGATGAAGGAGAGGTCGTGCATCGCGGGGGCTACATGGAACAGCCACAGGGAGTATACAAGCCCAACTCCCTACTTTCGGCGATTTTCCATCGCATTGGTGGTGCTTGTGCACGCTTCCCTGCCATCACA